AGGGCTCGGGAAGCTTAGAGCATCTCTGGGGGAAACGGGTCGAATATGGTGAACGTGAGCCCTTTGATCTGGGCCGGCTTGGACTCGGGCCTATCAAAGGTTTGCGAGAGAGAGCAGGCGTCAGGTCTATCGGTACGATACGATGCAGCCTCTCACGAGTTGGGTCTCGCATCGTGAATGAGAGTGTCTACGGGTGGCAGCCAGTAACATCACCCTCATGGGCCGTACGTTTGGTATGGGTCATGATAAGGGCTAGAGAAAGGAGGACCTGTTACCCACTGCTTACAACGGCGTACTACAAGAGACTCAAGCAAGTGAAGCCTCGCGAGCTAGTGCTGGCGTCGGTGTCGACCCCATAGTTGCCCAATCCTTGCTTCCCTCCACCCCGTTCCCAGCTTTGGGGCACTTGTATAACCTACCTCTTATAGACACCCACCCGCTCACATATACACACACATACACAGATATACACATTACGCAAAATTGAAAACACGGCTGATGGTATGGACGAGAGCGAGAGAAAGACGAAAACCAGGGACGTGAAATGAGGTCGGGATAATAAAAGGAAGACCAAAAAGAGTCTGGAGTGGAGGGTGGCGGGAGAGCTATTATGGTTCTTAGGATACGAAGGAGGGGGAGGGAGCGAAGGCAAGGTTGATTGGTCTAGTGGACTACTCTATCGCATACAGGGGCAGAATAGCCCCGTCAGAGCGCACAGCAAAGGCAGAGAGAAGGCAAAGAGGGAGATGGGCAGAGAGAGAGAGAGAGATGGATGAAGACGAAAAAGAGTCAGAGAGGAGAAGCATGGCGGGAGACGTGAAGTGACGTGAGGCCGGATGGTGTGAATGTAGCAAGAGCCAACCAGGCAAGGCGAGACTTTGTTGAGGGCAGCGGCGGTTAATTGCAACAAATGAAGCACCGTCGGTGTGTTTCTTGTTGGCCATCTTGCTGCTTGCTCTTCTTTCCCGTTTCTTTTTCTTTCTTTTTCTTTGATTTAACCATTTACTTCTCAGAGCAGGTCTTAATATGTTGTGTCTAAGAGGGATAGAGAAGGGTAGCATGGGATAGGAAGAGGAGGAGTTAAGGAGACAACGCGCGGGAAGAAGCTGATGCTCGGGGATCAAGCATACCCCCTTTTGTCTTCTAGCCTTGCCTGTAGCCATCACCGTGTGCTACATCACCGCATCGTAGGTACAGTATGCGCGCCATTCATGAAGTCACAATGGAGTTTCTCAGAGGATACCCAAGCCAAGCTAGGTAGGAAGCCAAGTGCTCCCACCAATAGACCTACTTCTATCGAGAGACGCGGATGCTCGTGAATTAACAGCAGGTCCTGAGCTCCTACTTGTTCGGATTATCAGGGCCAACTACACGCCCCCTCCCTTTTCCCACTCTCTTTCGCCTCCCGTCTCCTTTTCGGCTCGACTTCGATAGACCTCTCTCTTTTTCGCGGCCCTCCCCCTTTGCACAGGAATAAATCGGCTCTTGGTCTCGGTACCGTACCAGGGGCGGGAATGGGTAAAATCGAGGTACGCCTTGCTGTCAAGTCCGTCAGAGTTCCGGGTTCTTCAAACAAAGAAGGGGGTTTAAGACAGAAGGGGGAAAGAATACAGAGCATATCACAGCTTTGGTCTCCTTGCCTGTCCCTTTTTCCCTACGGGAATCTGAAGTTACGGATCTGCGCTCTATCACATCTCTCTGAGACCCGTCTACCCCCTTCTTTTCCCCCTTTATTGATCTTGTTCTCTTGTCTGGTTTTCAAAAAGAGATACACGCCCGTATATCGCACCCTCTCTTTAAAAGGTGCATCAAAAGTGTGTGTGTACTTCCGTTTCCCAGGAAAAGTGAACAGGGAGAAGGGGCGGCAAGGAAAAGAGAGGAAAATAGACAAGGAGACAAATTGAGCGTACACGAGTCCGTCGCTGCGCCTAAACAGGCTGTAATATGGACATGTAGGGTATCATAACCGACCGCGGGAAAGGGGGTGTATCGAGTTCGATGTGGTCTCCCGGTGTCATGGTTGGTTTCCATTACATCCAATGTGTTTCTTTCTCACTCTCGCAAGCTGTCTCTCGTTCTCTCACTCATACGTACACCCTGTCTATTTTTCTCCTGTGTCGGCTGTTTTGCTTTATCCCGTGGCGTCCCTGACATGAGATAGGAATCTCGCCAAGGCACAGCAGGGACGCAAGGATGGACGGTGATCAGGATGAAAAAGGAGTAAATAAAAGAAAGGGGAAAAACGACGGCGGGTTGGCAACCATTTCGCCTACCTGTCTTTTCCTTTCTTTGATCCCAGCGAGGAGGCTTTCCGAGCGAGGAGGCTTTCCGAGCGAGGAGGCGCTCGCTCGCTTCCCCGCAACGCAAAGACTGGATCGGTTACCGACAGGGCCGCAAATGGGTTCAACGAAAAAAGGAAAAGAGCCGTATGTAAGGCTGTGGGGACCTCGTCACGATCTCGCTTGGGGAAGAGAGCTTGAAAAGGTGACGTAAACTTGAAAAAGATTTAAAAGAGGTCTATCGACGTCGGAAGAGGCAACGTAACGTGGCCCCGAAAAAGAATGCATTTCTTTTATTTTTTATTTTTTTATTTTTTGTTAACGAAAAAGAGAGCGAACAAACGGGATAGACGGCGTAAAGTGAGAGAGCGAAACTGGAAACAAACCTGTCACAAGGGTGCAATGATGTCCTCTGGATGATACTACCCACACGAACGTCGATCTGAACATGTTCGTCGGGACTGTTCACCAGTTTTTCACTGCACCAGGGTGGCCCGACGGGCGAGAAAGAGAGACGCGCACATAGGCATACACCTTACACATAAGTACACACACGCACGCTGATATACACGCAGACATACATGTCCCATTCGGATGAGCTGATGGAGCTACCTTGATGCCGCATCACCTGTTCGTACGCCCGTGTTCCCACATGGGGAGATCTGTAAATCAGTCGTTATCTTCCGCCCCCTTGTATCAAAAACGCCATGTCGCCTGGCGAGAGCGCGTCCGGGTACTATGTTCGCCGTTTCCCTGTATACAATCTGGCGTTACGCCCCTTTTCCCTCTGAGCTGTCCCTTGCCTGTCCCTTGGGCTTGTTTTCGAGTTTTTCTTTTTTTCCTTTTTCCTTTTCCCCTTTCTTTTTCCGTCCCTACTCCTTCCTGGAGCCCCAACCTATGTCTCCCTGTCCCGGTCGAGGCCCAGACGGCACGGCGTACGAGCTCTCGACATACAGCAGAGGTCCTGTGGGTAAATATTGGCTGAAGTGAACGTGGCTATTAGCCGGGGCGGCGCTTTTATCCACACCACCCATTCGCCCCTCCTCAACCTGTCTATGGTGGCTCCCGCATGCCCGGCCTACCCCCTTGTTTGGGATCTTTGTCGTGGAAAGTGTTTAGACTTTATTCCCAAGCCCCGATGTAACCCCGAAAAGGTTTCTTTTTCTTCCATTTGGTGGATCCAGACGTGGGCCAATTCGACGAGCGAAACCCGGCCGCAAGGGTAGCATGAGGATCTGTACGTCCAACGGGGCCCGCACGACGCAAATCCGCCGACAAGACGTCCAAGGGGAGGGTCGGATTGAACGGGCAGGGGGCCGTCAAAAGGGTGGGTTGGCATACCCGGCTTGGTTTTGTAAGTCGGCTTTCTCGGGCTATTTCTTTTTCTTTTTTATAAGTTGTGTCTTAGAGAACAAAGGAAATGGCAAGAGTGTACCTTCTACGAAGATAACAGATAGCTTCGAGAAGGATGAGAAAATGGTCATAGATGATACAATGGATCCACGCAGAGGCGCGGGGAGCACACGCGGGTACTCTGCTAAGATGAGAGGAGGGAGAGAGTGTTTGAGAGAGTGAGTGAGCGAGAGAGAGAGAGAGAGTGAGTGAGTGAGTGAGTGAGTGAGAATGAGAGGGTGTTGGGGCGCAAAGATCACACGCACGCGCACACCTCGTTCTGAACGGCAGCTTCTTCCCCATTCGAGCGTGGATTCCGCTACTCCGGGCGTCTCACATGGCCTCCATGTCGCCCTCTTGTCGAGCCTGTTCAGAAATTCCCCCAATGGAGTCGAGTGGGGCCAATCCAGTGCCGATCCGGGACCCCTTCTCGGCCGTGTCACTTGCGCCCTCGTTGCGAGAGGGGCCCGAGTCATCGACAGAAAGAAGAAATCGCCAAGCGACGGCAAAAAAGAGGCTAGGGGGTAATCCTTTAAAAGAGTAAGGGGAAACGAGAGAGTCCGGGAAGAAGAGACGAAGCAAGGGCTCAAGGGTGCAAAAAGAGCTTGGGCCAAATTTTAGACCGACACGCGATTCCTTTCCATGCCCTGTGCCCTCTTTTCCTTTCCAGACGTGAGAAGCGAGTGTCAAACGGGGGCGCTTCTTCTCCCCTGTGCCTTGCACCCACTACCCGACCCGAGTTGAGCCGGTTCGGGCATCGAGGTGTAATTTTGGATGTAATCTGCCGTGGTTGCCCCCGAACGGCTCCCGGCTGCTGGTGCGTGCTAGCAGCTGTCACAGAAAGACGTCCTAGCCCCGGCATTTGCACCTCGTCTCGGGATGACACGCCCTAGCCTCGCCCCTCCCCTCCCCCTTCTTTTTTTTTCCCTTCTCCATCCCTTCGCCCCGTGTTTTGCGATTCTCGCTTGTCCTAGCGTGCAGAGGGATAAGGGATGAAGATCAGATCAGGTGAACTTCGGATGCTGAGTAGGACGGCACCGCGGAACAAAAGGAAGTCGAATTAGGGGGATTCACGGAGAGAAAGGGGGAGGACATAGGGAGAGAGTGGGAGAGAACAGATGGCGAGGGCGGCAGACGAACCCAAGGAGAGAGAGTATGGAAACCTAAGCTCCAAGGGAGGGGAAAACGGCGAGTAGAAGGAAGCCGAGCTACATCGGACGATGGCGTGAAAAGAGCTCGGGAGAGACAGACGAAAAGCGAGGGGGCGCAGCCTCCTTTCTCGCTCCCCTCCCCTTCAACTCGCTTCCGCCGCGAGGGTTCGTTTGAGCGCTAGGCTGAGGACGCATCATCGCTTAGCCTTCCACCGATCAATGACATCCGCCACCTTCTTGTGGCCCTTTGCCTCGCGATGCCTGCCGGCGTCCCCTGCCTATACCTCGAGCCGACGCGAAAGTCCTCGAGCGAGTCGTACACGACGTTGGCGTGGAGAGACCTGGCACCGGCTTGTAGCAGGACCTTGGCCGACGCTATCCGCCCGTGGCTGCCCGCGTGGTGGAGAGCCGTGGCTCCGTAGTGGTCCCTGTGGTTGACGTTGATGCCCAGCTCCAGCAGATACTTGAGCATGGGGACGTTGGCCGTCGCGACGAAGAGGACCGTCTCTCCAGCAAGCGACCTCGCTTGCGTGCTCGCGCCGCTCCTGACGAGCGTCTTGACCGTCGGAAGATTGCCCGCTCGCACAGCCGAAAAGAGCGGCGTGTAGCCTGGCCAGACCGTGGACTCTAGGTTGGCGCCCGAGTCCGCCATGAGCCGGAGGATGTCGTTGAGGCCGTACTCGGCGGCGACGTGGAACGGCGTGGTCTCGTGCCCGTCGTCGTCTATGAGCAGCGCTGTCGTGTCCGCGCCTGCGTTGATGAGGGTCTGCGTGATTGCCTTGTTGCAGGCCTCCACGGCGATGGAGAGCATCGTCTCCTTGGGATTGATGCGGTGGTTGAGGTCCGCGCCGACGTCGATGAGGAAGTCGATTGTCTCTTTATTCCGAAGCTTCACGGCTATCCAAAGGGTGTCTCGCGGTCCGTTGTCTCTGGGTCGATCTCGGACCCGGCAGCCACGAGCTGGCGGAGCATGTCGACCCTGTTCCTCAGAGCTGCCATGTGGATGGGGCGATACCCTCGCGCCCCTCCACGTTGACGGAGGCTTCAAGAGATAGGAGCTGATTCGTTAGTGCAACGTGTTCGGCCGAGATGGCGGAGAGCAGCGGAAAATTCCCGTTCCCGCTGCGTTTGTTGATATCTGCGCCGGCGTTGATCAAGCTATGGGCGATATCGAAGCAGGCCATGGTGATGGCGAATGTTAGCGGCGTATGGTCGTGGTATTCCTCCTCCAAGTTGGCCTCCCACTCTACGAGTAAATCGCACAATGCCTGGTCGCGCTCTTGGATCGCGAGATGTAAGATTGGTTTTTCGCCGGGGAGCTTGGTCTCCAGGTCCGAACCGTACTCGAGAAGTTGCCTTGCCGAGGTATATCGACTCTTGGAGACTGCCGTTGCTAGGGGAGTGAAGCCTTGCTTGTCTCTTGCATTCACATCCGCCCCGGCAAGTATGAGGGTCCCGATGGTATCATCCTCTCGGTTTAGCAAAGCGGCAAGGTGAAGTACCGAGGAGCCGCTGTCGTCCGTCGCGTCGATTTTTGCTCCCAACTCGAGCACCAAGGAAACAAACTTGCCCGAAAAGCCGCGTACAAGGGCCTTGTTCAAGGCTGATCGCCCATGGTCGTCGTCGTCTGGCGTATTCACGCTGGCACCCGCAGTCGCCAACGTCGAGGCCATGTCTTCGTCTCCGAGGTTGATGGCGCGGTGCAGGGGCAGGAGAGGAGAGCCAGCCCGGCGCAGGTTGGGGTCTGCTCCTTGCTGAAGTAGTTCCGCCACGGCTGGACATTTCTTCTTGTCAATGGCGAGGTGAAGAAGCTGGCAGAGCTGCCGCTCTCGCCGAGATACAAGAGAAAGGGCTTTGCTGGAGGCTCGGGTGGGGGCCGGGTGCCTGCAGTAGACCCGAAGTGGCTCTCGAGATCCCGTTTTATGAGGGATAAGGCCGACATACCCTTGACACTAATGGCAGTGGTGTCCTTATCACTAAGCAGAAGGGCAAAGTTAGTTAACACTGACCATCGAGGCAAGGGGAGGGAGAAGCGAAAAGCGCTCTCCTAGGGGTACATGCGTTATCGAATGATGCAACAAAGAATTTAGCGATGTCCCAATCGCCTTGAGGCTACCTAGCGCTTTCTTGATAGCGTCCTCGTTGTAGATAATGACAAGCTGGCTGTCGTCCGCTTCGGAATAGGGGATACGGTCAATCAAGCTTTGGAGCTGAGACAACAAATTCGACAGAGGCCACACCAGCTCCTCGATCCCGGGCACGGCGTGGGGCAGGCGGCCGGCCTGCGCAACACTGTCGGCAATCAGACTACACTCTCTCGACACGGCGGCTAGCGTTACGGGCGCGGAATTGAGCGTGGCGGCGAGCGTCTTCACGCTTCGGGCGATGGCCTGCGCCTTGGTCTCCAGCTTGGCAAAGCCTCTGGGTGGCGGCGCCGGCGCCGGAGGCCCGAGGATTCCTAGACCACCATGGCGAGGCGACGAGACCGAGGCGTCGTCGCTCATGGACATGACGCTCATCGCGGGCAGGTGAACAATGGCGAGGCTTTCAAACAGAGCCGAAGGGGGAATGGCTTCCAATACAAAAGAGGGCCTCCTCGTACATTGAGGAATTACGTGCCGGCCCGTCTGGTTGATATTTTCTGAAGAAGACGAACGGAAGGGGGATAAGGGGGAAAAGCAAGGAAAGGGAAGAGAGAGAAGGCTAGCGAGCTTGTTTGTCTATTCTACAAGTATTAAGATAGCCGCCTCCTCGCTTTCCCTCCCCCAATAATCTGTGCAATGGAGAGAGACTTGCGCCGCGGCGCGCCCCAGCGCCCAGCTTTTTGCAGATTTTGGGGGTGTGAGGTCGGACATCTCCACCCAAAATAGCTCGACTATTGAGGAGAGAAAGCCCGTGTGGCGCCAGAGGTGACAGCGAGTGGGCAGGGTGCCGGTGGGTAGATAGGCCAATGATAGCGAGTTTCGGTGGGCGAGGTTATGCCTGAAGGAGGAACGAGCGTAGGAGTAGCGTCATCCTCCGGCTGTGACCCAGGGCAAAATGGCCCACCGTTCATAACGACTATGCAGTAGAATCAAGGGCGCTTTCCCTCTTGCCCCTTGGCTTGTGAAATATACCGTCGCCGGTTTATCCAAGGGTGTAGCGTTAAGCCTGATGCGTTCTGGCTCGAAAAGGGATGAGCCTCCGGACTACTCGGGTAGCGGGTACAAACTTTTAGAGAAGAGAACAAAAAAAAAAAACGAAAGCCAAAAGTACGAGGAGCGCGAAATACCGAAGGCAGGTGTGAACATCATGTTCTTGGTGATCAGCCGCTAACGCCGCCAAATAAAGCTGGTGGCGTTCGGCGAAGTTCTGTCCCTGGCAAGAGGCTCGCCGAACTCGATGCAGCGACCTTCCAACGCTGCTTCGCTTGTGCTGTCTCCGAGCATCTGGCTGTTGCAGAAGGTGACCACCTTGAGCCGAACAGAATCGATAGAACATGGAAGGCTCGTTCACAAAGGTCTGCAAGAGAGACGTCAGTGCGTCGACCGGTCCAGAAAACAGCCCCTCAAGCGCAACCGGGATGGTGGTTTGGGGCGGGCTTAGCGTCCGGTGGGTGATCTGAGCTTTCTGAAAGAAGACGTCGTTCGGGGTTTTGACTCCTTCGTTGGCCAGGGCAATGACAAGGGACCCTGATCCTTTGGTTGGTGCCTTGCATCTTCTTTAGGAAGTTCCTCGAGATTGATTGACCAACTCGCAATCGTACCCCTGGAAGGATGGCCCTAGCCAAGAATCTCGGGGATCAGTCACATTAGTTGTGGTGGGCATCCAGGCTGCTAGGCACGGGGAGACTTCGAGGATGAATTTTCGCAGTGCATAATAGTATTATTTTGTTGGATCTAGGAGAGTGAGCAATAGCGTACACTACCTCAGTACACCTCAGCGGCTCACTGCACTAGAAAGATTGATGGCAGCTTTTGTGATCTGGCGCGCTTGCTGCAGCATGCGTGTTCCTGCGTGCGACTCCACATGGACCAGCAGGGGCAAAGTCTCATCGACGACATCAGGAATGAGAAGAGGACCGAGGACGAGCCTCTTCGCATCGCGAGCGTAGACATACATACTTCGTACGAAGTATTTACTCCTGCATGGCCGATGGATCAACCCTTGTACATCTGCTGCAGAATCTCTCCGCGCTCGGGGAACGAAGCGTGGAAGGGGAAACTGGCATCAATGATCCATTAATCCATGGCTGGATGGACCCATTGATTACCCAAAGCCCTCCGTTTTGGTGGTTAGTGGGGATTAGTTTCTTTGCTTCTTTGGCCTCCCCAAACTTATCAAAGCTCATTGTTGGCAGAATCAAAGATCGGCGCTGGATGTGCTCTTGGCCAAAGTTGTGGGTCAACTTAATGTTACATAAGCACGATCCCCTGTGCTCGCCTCAGACCACCACCAAAGTGTTGTTGCGTGGTTAGCGAATGCTTGATTCGCTTTCGGTGCGGACCGGTGAAAAAGCACTGACGGGCGTGAACGAATGACTGCATGGTCTGCGTACTTCGTACTTCGTACAGCATAGTTGAGCACCCCACCCCAGCTCTGCCTGGCTGCAGTCATCGAATTCTCTCCATGAACGAAGCCAACCAACATTTACATTTGGATGCTTTTTTCTTTGCAATCTTCATTAGCTGAGCCCCACCACCCTCTCTCACTTATATCACAGCTAAGAAAAAGATCGTCTCGTGCGAGAGAGTTTCGCTCCACCGTTTGCAGATCTTGAATTGTTCGTAGGTCAGCGCAAGCTGGCCCCTAAAAGCAGTGTGGCGTGGTCACTCTGGTCTTCCACCAAGCCGGCTCACGGAGCTGACGCTGCGACGTCTTCCTCACCCTCGGCGCCCCAGCCTCCCCAACAGCCCGCCTTCTCCAAGATGCGCGAGCAAGACATCCCTCGATTGAGCCCCCAGCTCTGCTTTTCCTCTTCCACCCTGCGTGGTAAGTCCTTCCAACCCCCGCCCGCGCCCCGCGGAGGCCAAGATCTCGGACAAGCCAGCAATGTCTATGCGAAGGACCCCCAAACCCCAACATGGTGTCCCAACAGTGCTAATAGGCTTTCGGTAAAGATTTCTTGCGGTTATCTAGATCTTCGCTCGATGATTCCATATCCCAACAGCTCAATGCCCTCGTCCGACCGTCCCGCCGCGGCTTCGATCCTCATTCCACTGACCAGCTCGGGCCAAGGTCCTTGAACCATACGATTGAGCCAGGTTCATGCGTGTCCTTCAAGGAACACATCCTTTTCCCGACCTGGCAGGCCCGGAGCGAGGTTCTAAACTACTGCGCAATCGTTGCCACTAGCCCGGACCCCAACGACCCGGATACGGCGCTCCGCGAGGCAGAGTCGGAAAAGGATAAGCAAAGGATTGTCGATGAGCGCCTAGATCCGTACTCCGGTCGGTTCTTTCCTCGAGAGCCTCGCACCGAGCTACTGGCGGCCCTACTCCGACAGGAAAGGTCTGTGGAGAACATCGTGCGTCTGAGGACATGGAGCACGATACAGGAACGCTGTGGAGAACCTCCTGGGAGCTGGGAGGTGGCCTTTGAGGCCTGGTCCAAGGGTAGAAAAGGCTAGCTGCCCAATTCGGCCCAGTCTAGCAGGGGAGAGAGGAGGTTGATCACCCTGTCGAGTAATAACTGCCTCTCGATTTGGCCCGTGTGGCATATTGATATATAGGGGTAGGCGATCATGATGATATGAATATTTTGTATACTAGACTTGTAAACCATCCCAACTATTAGAATCCACTTTTCATAAGATTAAGTCAGACAAGAAACTGCAAAATTGCCATAATACGAGCTTGGTTAGATTTAATCATTATGATTTGAGGCTCGGTATTCCCTGTACTACTTCAGCCTTGGCCATCAAGCTCCAAGTATTATGCTCCGAGCATGAGTGGAAAGTCCGTGACGTGATGTGGCATCAGTCACTGGAGTCCAATGCTAGTAAATGGCACGGTGGAGGTGTAATATTAGCACCCATCAACACCTACAAGGCTGTCCCGACCGTGCGTCGCCCAAGTAATTTTGCCGATTACGGTAATAATAGCGGTGCGAATTCTCCCGGCATTTGCGTTGCCATTGGTGTAGGTTTGCCGATCCACCCACCCACACCTGTTCCTCCATCTTCTCTCTGTGTCTTGGCCCGCCACAGCCTCGAGAGCAGCTCCTCGTAGAAATTCACCCCCGAAAAACCCAGCATATTCTCTCGGAGCCTCCTCCACCTCCTCTCACCCTCGCCCTCGCCCACACCTCTCCCCTAACCCGTGCACTCCGCCGGATCTACTCCCCATCGACACCTTCCGGGTCCTACAGGCGCCAATCCCTCCCGAAGTGAGTCTTTTCCCCCTTCCTTCCCCGCCCCCCTTGCTTATCTCGCCTGCATCACCAATGATTGCCTAGCCCGCCAACCCCTCCGTGGATGGATTTTGATGTCGCGTGCTCCCATCTGGTCGCAATGCGCATGCAGAAACGTTGGCAAAAGGCGAATGATGATTTCCTTTGGACAGAGGGGCGCCGATAGCTGTTTAGAGGCACATTGTCAAAAGGGCTTCGTGAGCTAACAATTCTTGCACGACAGAGGCCGAGTCCCTCGCCAAACTCCCGGCAGCATCCCCTCCCTCGGGACCGATTCCTAAAAGCCCTTGCAGGCCTCGAGATACCTCCCACAAACCGACCGCAATGCCGCAGCCTCTAAATGCGAAAGAGGCCTCCCTCTTTCGCCAAGTCATCCGCAACTATGAGGACAAACAGTACAAGCGCGGTATCAAGACGGCCGACCTCATCCTAAAAAGTCCCCCGGCATGGCGACACCATGGCCATGAAGGCGCTCATCATGAACGCTCAGGGCAAGACTGATGAAGCCTTTGGATTGGCGAAGGAGGCTCTGACGGTGGATATGAAGTCGCATATCTGCTGGCACGTCTACGGCCTGCTTTACCGCTCAATTAAGAACTTCGAAGAGGCCATCAAGGCCTACAAGTTTGCCCTGAAGCTCGATCCCGACAACAATCAAATCCAGCGTGACCTGGCCATCCTCCAGATCCAGATGAGGGATTATCAGGGACACATCCAGAGCCGTTTCACCATGCTCCAAGCCCGCCCCAAGTTTCGCCAAGTCTGGACCGCCCTTGCTGTCGCCCACCACCTTGCCGGTGACCCTGCCGAGGCCGAGCGAGTTCTCACGACCTACGAGGAGACTCTGAAGGCGACACCCTCCCGCCAAGACTTTGAAAACTCCGAGGCCGTCATGTACAAGAATACCCTCATCGCCGAGCAGGGCGATTACTCCCGGGCACTAGAGCACCTCGAGACCGCCGTTAAGCACAACCTAGACCGGCTTGGATATTTGGAGGGGCGTGCTGAATACTTGGCTAAGCTCGAGCGCAACGAGGAGGCTGCTACCGCCTACCGGACCCTGATTGAGCGAAACCCGGAGCACCCCGAGTACTACGAGGGGCTCATGTCCGTCGTCGGCGTTGCCAAGAACGATACCGCCGCGCGCAAGGCCATTTTTGACGAATATGCGTCCAAGTTCCTCGAAGCGATGCCGCCAAGAGGCTTCCGCTCGATTTCCTTGAGGGTAAGGGTTAATTGATGTTTTGTCCACGGCGCAACGACGCCTCTTCCATAACCTCTCCGCTAACGCAGCATATCTTGGTTTAGGTAACGGGTTTGCTGATGCCGCGAGGGCTTATCTTACTTTCATGTTGGACAAGGGTATTCCTTCTACCTTTGCTAACCTGAAGCACCTCTACTCCGACTCCTCCAAGAAGGACACCCTTCTCAAGCTCGTATCCGAGTACACGGAAGCCGCGGCCAAGGACGAGGCGAAGAGCGAAGAGAAGAAGGACGAATCGAAGGGAGAGACGGCCGGTCTATATTATCTCGCTCAACACTACAACTATCACCTCAGCAGAGACTTGACCAAGGCTTTAGAGTACATTGATCGCGCGATTGAGAGGATACCCGACAGTGTCGATTTCCACATGACCAAGGCGAGGATATACAAGCACACTGGAGACCTTGTCAAGGCGGCTGAAGTCATGGACAAGGCACGATCCCTTGACACCAAGGACCGTTACATCAACACCAAGGCCGCCAAGTACCAGCTCCGTAACGACGAAAACGAAAAGGCGCTCAAGACGATGGGCATGTTCACCCGAGCCGATACTCCTGGCGGGCCCATCAGCGACCTGCTCGACATGCAGTGCATGTGGTTCCTCACCGAAGACGGCGAGGCCTTTGCGCGCCGAGGCGAAACGGCCATGGCGCTCAAGAGGTTCCACCAGATCTTCAACATCTTTGAGGTGTGGCACGACGACCAGTTCGATTTCCACAGCTTTTACCTGAGGAAGGGCCAGGTGAGGGCTTACGTCGACATGATTAGGTGGGAGGACAGGGTCTACGAACACCCCTTCTACACGAGAGCGGCGCTCGATGCGGTCGAGGTGTATCTCAAGATGCACGACAAGCCCTCGGCCAACGGCATCAACGGTGGCGACGGAGCTGACGGTGACGGTGATTCGGAAAGGAAGAAGGCGGCACGCAAGGCTAGGAAAGAGCAGCAACGCCTCGAGCGGGAGATTGCAGAGCAGGCGGCCAAGCGCGACCCCAACAAGGCTAAGCCGGCAGCCGGAGACACCAAGAAGGTGGACGAGGACCCTCACGGGCTCAAGCTCGCGGCAACTACGGAACCGTTGAAGGAGGCGACCAAGTTCCTCGCACCCTCCTGCAGTACACGCCGAAGAGGCTCGACGCCCAGCTTGCGGGCTTCGACGTCTACATCCGCCGCAGTAAGACACCCCTACCCTGGTTCACTTGGTGGCAGGCCACCTTGAAGGAAGTGCCCAACTCTCTAATTTCGTTTGCTAACCATGATTTTCTACAGAGAAATACCTGCTTGCTCTGCAGTGTCTCAACTCGGCCATTGCCCTCGATCAGTCGAACCCGAAGGTACACGAGAGGATCGTGGAGTTCCGCCACGTCGTCAAGCCCGAATTGGCCACGCTGCCTGCCAAGGTTGCCGAGGTGATCAAGAGCAGCTATCCCGCGATCGAAGAGGCCGCCGATCTTGCCAAGGTCAATGGCGAGTTCCTTGCCGGGAACAAGGGCAGCCCCGCGCACATTCTCTCCGGCGTGCGCACACAAAAGGTACTAGGGAGCGCTGATAAGGCAGCCTGCGAGAAACAGTTGCTAGATCTTGTCAAGATGGATGCGACTACGCCGGACATTGCGGAGGAAGCGCTCGAGACCCTCAAGGCGTGGAAGAGCGGGGAGGCGACAGCATTCAAGAAGGCGGCTGCGGCGAAGTGGCCTCAGGTGTCGAGGTTTGCATAGTGTAGAGTTAACTTACACCGCCTCTGGCTCGTGGGACTGCATGCGTCTTATAAGGATATGTTGGAGGCGTACAGAAGATGAAGAAGAAAAAAAGAAGAAGAAGAAGAAGCGGAAAATAGTTAAAAACAGGAGGATGGTCATTCGAGATATAAAAACGGCGGTGAAATGGAATCTGGCGGAAACCGCATGTACTGGAGTTCGTTGTTGATGGCCATTATCGATATATTTTTCTAGATAGCATGCTAAGGGTCTGATTCATCGTTCTTGGAACATGGGCAAGAGCAGGTGTTTATATTTACCTTTTTTTTTTGGGCAAAGGCTAGTAGGGCAGAGGAAAGAGAAGCGGGGACAAGAAAGGAGGGAAGGAGAGATAGCCATGCTCGATGAAGAGAGTTGATTCGTGTCACAAGTCCGCGTATCTGCCGATGTAGTGAAGAACGTGAAATCTACAACTTCGATCGGCGCCGCGATAAGCAGGCAGGCACATTCTAGGTTGAACGTTACCAAACTGTGTCGAGATATTACATGTACCGGTTGAGGCTCTCTTCCCGCTATGACGGCCCCTGCTTACATTATTATTCGGGCGGGATGAAGGCGGGAATTTTTGCGGGGAGCCTCATCCGGGACTTCCGCGGTGCATGGAGACACGTAAGATGGCTGAGGAGGTGAGACGGGCTCCTTGGATATTAGCTGCCTCGAGCTTTTCTGAGCAATGAGATGGGTTTATCTTTCGACTCCCTCGACGGCTGGTCTAGATATTAGCCTCTGTCCTTTATTGTGCCTTCCGCCCTGGTGATGGGTAATACATGGTGTGGTTGTTAGCCAACGCCTTGTGATATCTCCTTATACAAGTATAATACTGGTCGGCAGGTGGTGGGAGACAGGGGTGAAGGGGAGGGGATACGAAAAAGGTCCCGATGTTACGTTGGTGACAGCGGGGTGCGCTTGTCCTCTTCAGCAGCACTGGCTTGTGCTGGCTTGTTCGTAGTGTACATTAGGAAGGCCCCGCCCGAATGGTAAGATTCTCTCGATGCACTTATCAAAATTCAAGTAGAGGGAAGATGGTTGATCTTGATCTTCACGTTAGGAGAGCAGCGACTGTGACGAATTGTTGACAGGCTGGGGCAAGCTTCGAATTCCTTCGTGAAACCTGTGTAAGGATGTATGTTCTTTTTTGTTGGATAGGCGTCGGGAGCATTCCCGCCATCTCACGACGGGACGCACTAAGCCAAGGTAGTAGTAAGGTTTGATGTTCCTTCTTTGATTACAAGTACAATTGAGTATTACGAAGCTGCCCGGCTTGCGACACCCTCCAAACCGATCCTTCAGCGTTCCTTCCTTCCACTGGTCAGCGACGCCACACCGAGACTGATGTGCTGTGCCCTGAGCGTGAGTGTTTAATGTTTCTGCCTATGCCTGTGCCTGTGCCTGTGCCCGTGCTGTGCCTGCCTGCCTGCGCTGACCTGCCTTGCCAGGAGCTGGAAGGAATTAATTCGGTTGCCTCGGCCAAAATGCAGTTCAATGGAGGGAGCTAAGCCCGTGCCTGTGCCCCCTTGCCCGCCTTTTGTTGTCCGACAAGCAGCACTGAGCACTGAGCACTTTGAGGGACTTCAATGAGAGCTCTCCCCCATTCACGGGACTCCGTTTGGCTGAGTTGCTTTGCTTTTCCTTCCCCACCACAACTACCACCTCGCCATTCATTGACCCTCGATCACATAGATCCCATCTTCCCACCTCCCCCATCCCATCCCCCATCCCACCACACATCACGCATCACCATACGGGCCGGATGACCTCGTCGGGTTGATTCCCCAGAACTGCGCATTGAATCCTTGTACCCTTTGACATAGTCAAACAAAACATACATACATACATACCCCTCGCGCTGCTCATCCTTTGTCTCTTAATTGTTACCTTCCTAGTCTCTTTTTCATATTTCAAAGCTTCCCTCCATATACCCCATTTTTTTCTTGTTCTCTATCGCGGACCTCCACTCCACTAGCAACTCTTTATTTTTATTTTTTTCCCTTTGCCTTTTTTCTTTTTCTTTCCTGCCTTGCTTGATTCTACTTGACGCCTCCCTTCCCCCTGGACATTTCGGCGCCCTCCTATTCTTGCGGACCAGTTATTAGCCTCGATTGAGACCTCTCGCATAGATTGAGAGAGCGTGCTCCGCTATTCGACTCGCTTGAGCCCTTGCGTTCAGGTGCTGCTTGGGCCAGCCCGCCTTGCATTTCGTGCATTGCATGTGGTTGCGCGCCACCTTGTCTTCAGCCGTAGCTCGATTAGTGAAGCGTCGCCGCGTATCCAAAGCTTAAAATCACCTGCACTCACATCCCACAATCACCATGGCCTCTACCACTGTAGAGATGACGGCTACCCTCAATGCACCAACCCCCGACTACAAATTGGCCGAGGATACGCTGGATGGTGAACCGGTAGCTGCGGGAGACGACATCATTGTCGTTGACGGCAGTTCTACCTTGAGCCTTGGTCCTGACTCCCTCGTGTTAACAAGTAAGCTGCTTCGCCTCGCGATCGCGCGCCAACGCCTTTTGACCCCCGCTTCACCGTTGGGATGGTGGCTCAGGGCCTCTTTTCTTCGTGATTCTAACCGTGGTAATCTTTTGCGCCAGAATCGACTCATGCGAAACCAAAGAGGACCTGTGGCATCATTCCCACCAGTACGAGCGCATTCTTCCCAGCCGCGTCAGCTCCCGAGCGCCACCTCCTGGCTCCCCTACTGACCTCTGATACGATAGGCGATTCTTCGAATGCTAGCGAATCGATACCCCTCTACAATGTCCTTTGGGCCGAACTAGCCTCTCCTTCTACCCTCGTCATCGACTTCGCGACTCAACAAAGCTCCAAAAACTCGGCTTGGGAAAGTGGACGCTATCGGTCCAGGAAGCCCATGCTAGCGGCATACAGCGCTGGACCGACAACTTGCTTCGGAGAGCGTATGGCCCTGCGAAGCTCCGCAAGCGCGCCAAGGTGCTCGTCAACCCCCACGCCGGACCTGGGGGCGCCGACAAACTCTGGGAGCATGAAGCGAAGCCCATTTTTGAAGCCGCGCGGATGGCTCTCGATGTAGTGAGGACGAAATACTCTGGCGAGGCTATCGAGATTGCGGAAAAGACCGACATCGACGCTTATGACACCATTGTGGCATGCTCGGGAGATGGGTTGCCACACGAGATCTTCAACGGCTTGGGCAAGAGGCCCGATGCACGCAAGGCGCTGGCCCAGCTGGCCGTGTCGCATATACCCTGCGGCTCCGGAAACGCCATGAGCTGCAATCTCTACGGCACCCACCGCGCATCCCTTGCTGCCCTCGCCATCGTCAAGGGCGTCCCGACCCCCATGGACCTTGTCAGCATCACCCAAGGAGACCGACGGATATTGAGCTTCCTAAGCCAATCCCTAGGCATCGTCGCCGAGTCAGATTTGGCCACGGAGCACTTGCGGTGGATGGGCGGCACACGGTTCACCTACGGTTTCCTGGTGAGGCTCTTCCGGAAAATGGTGTACCCTTGCGACTTGGCGGTCCAGGTCGAAATCGAACACAAGGACGACGTGAAGGAGCACTACAGGCGCGTGCGCAGCTATCACTCACTCGACGCGCTGGCCAACGGAGTTGATGGGGCTGGCGACAGCGGGCGGTCAGCGGCGGACGAGACGGCGGACTCTGGGTCGAGCGTAGCAGCGGCAGGGTCAAGCGAAGAAGGGCTACCGCCGCTCAAGTATGGGACGGTCAACGACAAGTTGCCTGAGGGATGGGAACTTGTGCGCTACGAAAAGATGGGCAACTTTTACTGCGGAAATGTGAGTTTTTATCCTATTTCTTTTACTCTCTTTCTTCAGACATCTAACAGTTCTCCCTGGGACTTAGATGGCTTATATGGCGCCGGATGCCAACTTCTTCTCGGCGGCATGTGTCAACGACGGTTTGATGGACCTCGTTTGCATTGATGGGGATGTGTCGCCCTTGACCTCGATCGGACTGTTGCTCTCCGTCGAAAGTGGAAAGTTTTTTGAGAATCCGCTCGTGTCGTACCGCAAGATCAAGGCGTTCCGCATCATTCCGCGAGACCAGAAGGATGGCTACATCAGCATCGACGGCGAACGCGTGCCCTTTGAGCCATTCCAGGCCGAAGTACATAAGGGCCTGGGCACCGTCATCTCGAAGAGCGGCGACTTTGAAGCACCGGGCCCTCGCGACTGGGACAACGTAACGTTAGCGGACAGGCTCATGGCGTAGTGGGACCAGGTAGCCGATTTCGCTGCGGCTCACGCCCGACGCGCCAAGAAGAGGAGCGGCAACGATGGCAACCGCGGCAAGAAGCTTGGAAGGCTGATATACCTGTTTATCCGGGTCTTTATGTGTAAGGCATGGTAAACGCGTGGAGGGCTCTTGGGGGTTTTTTCATCATGTTTTGTTACCGTTGCGTCCGTACGCCTTGCGGTGATCCCCGTTCCCCTTGGAGATCATCGAGGATGGCGGCTATCTCGATACATGTATGCTTTGGAGGTTACCCTGTTGTTATTCCCTTATTTCGATTCCCAAAACAGAAAGCGCATACCATACAGAAAGAAGGCGGCTTGGTTTTAGTTTTTATCGACTGGAGGTTGGGGAGTTGTTTTGATTCACGGGATAGCCGGAACTGTACATAGACTTTTCGTATATCTTTTACGAATATACATATCATTCATCAAGTCGAGGTGTGATGGCCAAACGAGGTGAACCCGATACGTATAATGTATTATTCCTTCATTTCTTTTTGGCTACAAAAATGCCGTCCGTCTATGTCTTGGATATCACCAGCATTTAGTTTTGGTCTTGATATCTCTCTTTTCTCTCTTTTTTTTTTTTGCCCTTTCCCCTCCTTCCCATGTGGCGCTTTCCCCGACCCAAACAAACAAACGACAGGGACCAACCCTCCCAGCGTTGCGTCCACCCCTCTTAATCCTGGAATCCCGCCCACCCATCATCATCCCCTTCTTCATCCGCAGCATTGGGAGCCTTGTACCACGGCAACCTCTCGTCATCGAGGGAGTTGGACGCCTTGGTCCGCAAAGGCTTGCTGGGGACGTCCTTGGTCAGGATGCGAACGAGGGCACCCACGCTGTCCACGAGGGCGGTAGCCTTGGCGGGGTCCACGGGCGAGGTCTCGTCGTTTTCGTCGTCACCGCCGGCAGCGTCGGCGAGCACACCAGCCCTCTCGAGCTCGTCGACCCACACGTCGAGGACGTGAAGGCGGAGGCCGAGGGGCACGGCGTCGAGGCCGCGGTCGGTGGTGAGGGGCCAGTCGGCGAGGACGGAGAGGAGGGCCCGGGCCCGGGCGGGATCGTAGGCGGAGGCGCGGACCCAGGAAAAGGAGGCGCAGAGAAACCGGCGGACGAGGAGGAGGAATTTTTCCATGCGGAGGACGTCGATGCCGGTGGTCCATTCGGCGGCGTGGACTTGCCAGAAGGCGGACATCCAGGCGTCGGCGCAGTCGGGGTGGACGGCGCCGGCGCTGGAGGAGGACTGGGAGGAGGACTGGGAGGAGGCTTTTGTGGAGGGGGCGAGGAGGTTGGCGAGCTCGGCGGCGAGGTTTTGTTGGGGGATGGGGCGGTCGCACATCCACATGGCGTAGAAGAGACCCTTCCAGAGCTTGAGAGCGTCGGTGGTGGAGAGGGTGTTGTGGGGGTTGGCGGGAGGAGAGGAAGGCGTGGAGGGAGGCGAGGGAGGAGGTGCGGAGTTTGCGGTCTGGGTTGCGCGCGGAAGAAGAAGTTAGCTTGGGTTAGGATTATACGAAGGGTGAGAAGAGGGGGAGGGGGAGACGAACCGCTTGACGCGAGGTTGCGGATGAAGGGCAAATTCGCGTCGGCCATGGCGAATAGGTACTGAGGGGTGTGAGAGGAAGGTAGCTGAGGTTTCTGCCTCTTGTGTCGGTCGCTTGTCGCGAGGCGGGGGGGCAGTCGCAAAGAGCCCAGGGCGGGATGGACGGAGATGAGGGTTTGCGCAGGGTTTCTAGGAGGAGATTGGTTCTGGTGCGGTGGAAAGGAGAGCCGTGATGTCGGAATCGATTGATCAAGTCGTTCTGTCTTTTTTTCCAGGTAAAGAAGACCTTGGCTTTTTTGGAGGGGCAGAAAGCGAGGGACGAAAAAAGTTTGGGCGGTGAGAGTGGTTTTGCGTGGAGTTTTGGCGGGGCACACCGAGATCCGTTGATTAGCTCCGATTTGGTGGGGCAGTATTCTTGTTGCCCGCATCGCAGTGCGCGGGCCGGCCGGTGGTACCATGGGGATACAAGGGGCATACAAACCCCGAATTCGTCAACAAGAACGGTTCCTGAATGTTTCTTTTTCTTTTCTTTTTCTTTTGGTGACTTCTCTTTCTTGGTTCTTTCTTAGACTCGAACAGCTTAGGGTTAAAAGGTATCACGCTCGACTAATACATTGTCCTTGGATACAATGTATCTCCCATAAATCTGTCCTGCTCAGCAGCGCGGTTTTAACAGAGAAAGAAACACAGTATCTAGTATCTTAGGAGTGGTCAGGGGAAGAGTTTAAACATCCCTTACCATTCCTATCCTACCCCATGTGTATACTTGAAAATGATCAAATGTCCCCATTCTCATCTCGTATAAGAAAAAGTCCCCTTGCATTTCCCCTTCTAAACCTCACCATTTAAAAAGAGTTCTTCAAGTTCTTGATTACTAAACCTATTCCTTGGGTAAGAACCAGGAATGCGACCCAGCGCAGACCGGGAATCTGTTTCTCGCTCCGCCTTATCAGCTGAACGCGGTGTCGAGGTCAAGGTGTGCGCCCGGACCCAGACGAGGAGAGAGCCCAGCCATCGAGACCTTGCCAAGTGTCTTAGCCCGGACGAATAGACAATAGGCCGTCCAGGAGGGTTTTCTACGTAGCAATCTTTAGCATGGTGCCAACTGTGAGCGAGAAAGTGAGAGAGAGAAGTAGAGGGGGAGGAAAGGAGGAGGAGAAGCGGAGGAGAGCGAGGGGCTGATGGGTGGGTCGTGGCATCTGTACCTGATGTCAGTCGGCGGCGTCGAGCTGAGAGTGTTATTAGTGATAGGATCGGGGAATGGAGGAAAAGGCAAGCACAGCACCAAGGATGGAAGAATATTGGAGAAAGGAGGTCCACGCAGGAACGAGGGAGAACCCCGAAGGCGGGCCCCCACGACCCACACCCGGCTGCTTATATTGGCGTAACACTCCAATCATATCTACGCCGTGACAGCCCATTCCAAGGCTCTCGTCGGCGTGTTGCTTCTTGCTTCGTACAAGTATGAAGTCGGTGGGAAAGCCTTGCTTTATCCATATGCTACACTTCCATACGTGGCTTGATAGCATCCGGCGCGCATCAAGTCGCCGAGTTGCCTTGCTCTCGAACGTCGCGTTCGCGTTCAAAACCACATTCCCATCAGCACGCGTGTCTAAGGAAGCCAGAGCACATCTGATCAAAGACAGTCATGTCAGTTTCCACCCAGGTTGCAAGGATAGGCAGGATATCTGCGTCCGCAACTATTCCTCTGCGTCTATCCGCGCAAGGCTCCGATAGGGAAATCAGAGGTTATTCCATAGTTGGTAACCAGCGCGGCGCGCTACGCCGTCCCAGGCTCTCACTCCTCCCTGTCTAGTTCGGGAAGCTCGGGACTCCATCTTCATGTCGCCCTCGAAAAAGCGTCCAACGATGAGGAACCTGCATGATTTCCATCCCCACTAGTGGGAGGCGTGGGAGGCATGGCTGGTCTGGGCGAACAACGACCCCTGAAATCGGTTCGGGCTTTGCTCGCACAACGGTGCTTTTTCCCCTCCAGAGAAATTCACTAGTGTAGGTTCAACCATCAGCCACGGCTTTCTTGGCAACCCCTTGCAGTGTACCAATTCATGCATATAATCAATGTTCCTGCCTTGAGCAGGGGCCACTCATCTGATCACAAGTGAGGGCTATTCGAGGTACACTCCTCAGAGCGAGACAGTGTTGTGGAAGGTTAATTCCAAGTTTCTAACCCAACATGTCGAGAATGGTCTAAGAGTCTAGTATCTTCACTGATAGATTCTCTGCTAATAGATTCTCTACTGATAGATTCTTGCTTCGTTCTCAAACTGTACGGTAGATGAAAGAAATAAAGAAGAAAGAAAAAGAAAAAAGGTTCCGGAAGAATGGCTCCTTTTTCCAACCAGTCCCTTCCTCCCTCTCACTTCCTTGCCTATCGAGCCATCCCGTGTCTTGATCTTTCCTTTTCTCTGCGCGCGCGTCCCACAACCTCCAAACGGACTCGAGATTCAATAGGGCAGGCAGTGCGCCATGCATCGACCGGCTGCCTGCCGGAAATCGATGTCACTGTGACTAAAAGACCAAAAGAGGAAAAAAGAAGGAAAAACCCTCAGCCCCTGGTTTCTGGCTTGAGCGGCGGGCGGCAGGCGGGAGGAAGGGGGGACTGACCACCCCGGCCAGGCTGCGGGGATGATATCGGCAGTCGGGCATTGGCCGCCTTGCTAGCTGCAAACACAAAAGTCAAGCCGGCACCGTGCATGGGGTCGACGGCCCAAGAGTTATTTTCTTGATTAGTATTGGTTCCTTTTTTCTTCTTGTTGTGAGCCAAGTCAATTCTTGGGACGCGAACAACAGCTATATGGATTCTTCACTATGACAAGGTACATGTGCTTCAGTCTGTCTCTGATTGCGGAAGAAGAGCGAGAAGGGAGACCGGCCGGAGACCTCAGCACCTGCAGGTACCCGCCACGCCCTTGGTGCTATGGTTGATGTATTTACGAGGAACTCGTAAAGTATCCAGCTTGTTGTAGATATTGGTAGAGCCAAAGGCTTCCCCATGGTACCCACGATGCCCCTTGCCTCCCTCATATGGAGACTTATAGCTGAAAAGGTACCGGGAAAAAGAAAGGGAACCGCGGTGTTCTTGGCAAAGAGAATAAGGTCTAGCTCGTAATAAACCGACAATGCTCTTTTCGAGAAAACCTGCTCAGCCCTGGGCGAGGAAGGGGGCGGACAAGTGACGCGCTTGATAGGAACCATCAATGCGTTCGCCAATAGACCTGCCCATGCCATTGTCACGGCACGGCGCCCTGGTGGGAAAACCAAGGCGCGCCGACCAACTTGCGCGCGGGCATGAGCAAAGAATGAATATATAATAAGTCGAGCCAGGCCGCTCGCCCCCGTACTGGCAAGTGTAGAAGACCACCGCAGCCTCTCTTTCTCTTCATCTCTCGTTTTGCTTTGCTAGACCGAACCCTCTTCTCTCCGTTCTTTGTGAAGATTGGTTTATACACTCGTTACACCACTAAAAGCATCTGTTGTTCTCGCTTTGCAAAAACAAAACAAGGCTCGACACCATGCGTCTCCCCTCGGAATATGTCTCTCCCTCCTCCCCTTCGTCCTCCCCGCCCTGGCCGCCCAGCCTAAGCGGGACTACTGCCCCCGCGCCAGAGCTCAAGCTCCAGCTCCAGCTCTGAGCCCCCGGTGCCCTCCTCTTCCTCCACCGACGTAGACCCCACCGGCACGTCGGATCCCACCGGCACCACCGAGCCCTCCGGCACCGCATCCCCACCGCCGAGGGCTACGTCATCGTGTCCCCGACTCGTGCCCTCCCGCCGTGCGGCCCGCCGGAAACCCCATCGGCCAGAGCAACGCCGAGTACACCGAGACCACCGGCCTCGAGTACCTGCAGTACCCCGACACCCGCTTCGCCATCCACAACAGCACCCAGGGCACCTTCTACCTCGACATGTCTGACGCCCGCCAGCTCGCCGTCTCCGACGAGGACGGCGACACCCTCATCATCTACGAGAACGGCACCTACGCCCTCTACGTCGGCAACTGCGAGGCCGCCGTCATCGGCACCTGGCTCGACCCGGCCGAGGGCGCCCCCGTGACCAAGCGCGAGGTCGGCCTCCTCGCCAACCGTGATATCGGCAGCGCCCTGTGCAAGGATATCCAGTTCTTCTGCCACGAGACCCTCGGCCAGGCCATCCTCGCCATCGGCGCCGACCGCTTCTGCAACGCCGTCGGCGCCACCGTCGGCTCGCGCATCGGCGGCGCCATCGGCTTCCTCGGAAACGCCCTCGGCCCCGAGGTCGGCATCCCCACCACCATCATCGGCACCGTCCTCGGCAAGAAGTACGGCCCCGTCCTCTGCGCCGGCGCCATGGGTGCCCTGCTGTTCAACATGTGCGGTCTCTGCCCCAAGGTCGAGGAGTGCGGCGAGGGCACCATCAAGTGCAGCGAAACCGGCCCTTGCCAGGACGGCCTCAGCGATCCTAACAACTGCGGTGCTTGCGGCGTTGTGGTAAGTAAACCCCCTTGACGAAAAGAAAGAGAGAGACAGAGAGAGAGATCGATTCACTAACACGGGTTTTCTTTTTCTCCCAAATAGTGCCCCTCTGGCCGCTGCCGAAATGGACAGTGCACCCAACCCACCTGCAACCAGAGCGTCTGCGGAAGCCTCTCCAACTGCGACGGCAGCTGCTACTGCTTCACCACCGCCGGCGGCACCGGCTTCTGCGGTCCCAGCACGCCCTGCGCGGGCCTAGCCGACTGCACCTCCGACTTCGACTGCGCCCAGGGCTCCATCTGCGCCGTCGGTACCTGCTGCGGCAGGAATGTCTGCCACCCGCCCTGCACCCTGCTCGCCCGCCGGGAACTGCCCAGCCTCGACGCCAACCACACAGACGAGATGTACACCAACGGCTGGGGTGGTATCATGAATGCGCCCGAGGTCCTCTTCTCGTAAAAGGGGAGATGACATCGAAAAAAACAGGGTGGATGCGCAGTTTAAGATGGAGAAAGCAAGGGAGGAAAAGTAGGGGGTTTGCGATGTCTTGGTCGTTGTTTAAAGTAATCTTCTTACCCATGGGCGAGGTGACATGGAAAATGCCATTGTTTTCTGGCCGAGTCAATCAGCTCGTATGGTTGTAGTAATAGCTTTGCTCATTCCAAGAGTAATAATAACATTCCTCCCGACGAACCGAACAAATTTGCCCAAACCCGGTCACTAGCGTGAGAGCCCTGGCCATTCGGATTCCAACAGACCGCAATGCTTGGAGAGGTGGGCGCTTTCCTGCAAGTTGATTACTCCGCCCTCAGTGGGAGATGAGACATAGACGTACCCTTGCAGCCTCTCATGAGTAGCGGTCCGCGAAGAAGAGCCCAGAATGTCGTGAGTGTTACCGGGGATCATTGGCTGGTGTGACTTTCAGATCGTCGCGAGGTCTAGGAGCACCATGAGTGAAACGATATATCTCTTCTTAGAGATATAGGGATGCGAGACATGTGTATATAACGAATTATATTAAACCCCGTTACGACTCCACCCTGGCACATAAGACATCTGGAATCGTGATTATAGTAACGTGATGCAAAGACGTACAAAAAAACAACAACAACCTAGCCACTCAACCGCCGATAGAAGAAAGAAAAAACAAGACGAACTAGACTGCCCCCGGGGTATCAATTCTCTTTAAATCCCTTCCACAACTAGTCCTGTTTTGCATGAGGTGGAGGCAAGGCAGAAGAAAACGACGGGAAAGAGGGAATTAATGCTTGAGAATAAAGAGGGATGGGGAGAATAAAAAACGAAATCTCTTGGAGTAGGAGTGTTGGCCGGCCCTGCAGGCTCTGTGTTGATGCTCGGGACAGACCAAACTGTGGGTATTCTTGACTTTATTAAACACAAACTGAAAGAAAGCCAAAGCCAACAAGGGAGGTGGATATACGGGTATGGCGCATGATTAGACTGACCGGCTAGATGCGGCCGCGGTAAGGGTGACGATATTATAACTTGTAACGGAGGGTGAAAGGGGAAGGGATATAGGAATGAAGCCTGTCACCCATGAAGCGAACAGGGGGCAGGTATACCACGAGTTAGCACCGGGCGAACAACTTATCGCTTCGTTTCCGGTACAAAGACTACAGGTAGACCCAGCCGAAGATTGGGTAAGGGGGCGGCAAGCTGGCAGCGCAAGGCAGCTCCTCGTCCGCGGCATCTTGCTAGTGCAACGGGGGTGGGGAGCGCTCGCTTGCTGCCGCAAGCTTTTGAACCAGGCCAGCGGCCCGGACTCTGGGTGGTCCTCGTCACCGTCTTCTGCGCGCTCCTAGCGCTGGAAAACGAGGGCGTTGATGATGTGGCCGGACTTCCAGCCCTGGTCCTCGAGAGATGCATTGTCCCTTAGAATCTTGCCTAGGTAGGCGATGCGGACGGATCGATTCGCGGGGAGCTGCGAGGGGAAGAGTTAGCGACTGTTAGCAAGCGGCGCATGGGGACGGGATCTTCTTACGCCAGACTCCTCTAAAATCTTCCGTGCCACGACCCGAACAGCGTCGGTCTTGGCTACAGAGATCTTGACATCTCGCGAGTTCTCGCTGAGGCGGGCAAACACTGTAATTAGGTCCCGGACGTCGACAACGGCCTTGCCCTTCTCTTCTCTCCGGCGGGAAGCCTCTTCATCGTCGGGGTCGTCCGATTCCTCGAAAGCGGGGGATTTGTTTCGTATCATCCTCGCCCACCGGGCCTGGCGTCTCCTCTGCCGTGGCCTCCACCATGTTGGTAGGATCGGATATTATCCACTCGTGGAAAGCATAGTAGTTCCCTAGGGCGTCGTACGCACCCTGCGCCAAGTTGCCCGTGGGTAGGGTAATTTCCGCCGCGTCAAGGATGCTCTGAGCCGTCGCGAGCCCTTCGACCCCGTCTCCAGAAGCGCTCTCCGTGTCCGGAGCCCAAAGCATCTGGAGAACGGCATGGAGGGTGGCCCAGACCTCGGGCCGGCCCGTCACACGGGTGTCGAAGAACTCTGCCCGTTCCTTATCGACTGTCACTCTGGTCCATTGTCGATTCTTCGACGCCCACACGTGGCGTCGCAAGGGCTTGTTTATATGCTGATCGAGGGGCTGTTGGCTGCGTCGGGGCCGTCGCGTGGCGCCGGCGGCGCCGGTGGTGGAGACCGGGCCGGAAGTGCTTGTTTGGATCGTTTCGTCAGTGGAAGGCTGGTCTTGCCTCGTGGGCTGGGCGTTGATCGCATGTGAGGAAGCCGAGGTCACGCCATCGACATAAGGTGAGTCGTCGCCCGAAGGGCGGAGGCGCAGCAACCCTGAAAGGAAGGCGTGTCAGTAAGGGCAAGATGCCACTATTTTTGTTTTTATACTGGACCAGCACATGGCATCGATTCTCGAGAAAAAGAAGCCATATCACAAGGGTTTCTCTCGATAATATCTCTACGTACCATTGCTTCGATGTTGTCTCGTTGCGCCTACTAGGATATGTGGGGAGCAGGCTTGGCTTGCCTCGTTGGGTGAATGTCAGTCGTTCGCCCTCAATGCATGTGGCCAGGGCGTCGAATTGCCATGATATCGTCCGGAGCTGTGAAGGGTGGTTTCGGGGATAAGAGGTCGAAGGAGAAGAGACGGCTGGGAGAGGAATCGAGAAGGGGGTTTCGGTTGGAGGATCTTCTTCCCAGAACTCGATTTATGTTTTCCTTTTCTCCTCAGTCTCCTCGCGCACCGGTTGCGGATTGGAGGGGAATATGGAGGGGGAATGGAGGGTTGGGAATTTCTGGTGACCTAAACTCACAGGGGGAAGAGCACTGGCGTGGACATGAGCGATTCCAGCCGACCGACCTCCGACGCAAGCACCATGAGTTGGCCTGGGTCCTTCCTGCCAGTTTTCCCCAAAGGGTATGGGGTGGCATGAAATTAGTGAGATTGGGTGGCGATAACACTGTGCTGGGCTGGCATGCCTACACCAGGTCGCTTCGTACTCCTTGCGCACTAGGGAATCCATAAGGAATGTGCCTCGAACTTGGGGAGCCTCGCCCACATCTTGGCAGGAGCCAGCGCAGGGCGATTTGCAGGGGGTGGCCACGGTGTGAATATGGCGGTCCTCACGCACGGCCTGGCCAGGAAGCTACAAAGTACCTGATCTGATGGGACAAGTCTCAGGGAGGGAAGCTTAATTTACGACTTGTCTAGCACTCTCGATCTGGTGGTCTACATCAATTAGATCCAATCCAGCCTGCCAAACTGACAATACCCATAATGATGGCATGCAACCACGCTACTCCCACCCAGAGGGAGGCATCATCGAACTTTGGCACGGCGTAGTAGCTTTCTTGTCCTGTTCTTTTACCTTTCGGTTCCCATGGCCTGATTTCATGATTTTACAGGGTATCTTTCTTTTGGTTTTCGCTTCTTCTCCGCATCTAGGAGAGGGGATTGGACGAGATGATCATGATTTCGTCGTCATCCCCCTCTTCCCGAAACCTATTACACTTTAGATAGGCTTGATCTTGAAATGAAGCGAGATCAAGCTGAAGACAAGGGCCTTAAGATCTTGGACCAAATAGTAAAAACCCTAAGTCCCTCCGGATCTGCTGATTCGCTCACGTCGACGAGAGATCCGATCTTGGCCGTCTGTTTGTTTGTTTGTTGGTTAGTCTGCTGCTGCTACTGCGTGGTGAGAAACACCCTCGTGCTGCGATGCCGCTTACCTCGAAAGAAACGTGCTCTCCTCCGAGCCTGATCTCGAGTTCCTGGCGACCATCCTTATTCTTTGGGGCCATTTCTTGTCGTCTTCCCTGTATGGGGTTAGTCCTTTCTCCTAAGCCAGAACCGCTTGACATCAACGTACTTGAGAATTTCGCTCGACTTGACGATCCTTCGAATCTCGTCAATCACCGTGGAACTCACGCACACTGCCGGCCAGGTTAGCGCCAGTCCATCACCTCTTTTAGCCTCTGCGCAGTCCATCTAGACAGGCAGACAAAGGGCAAAAACATACTCTCTTTGCGAATGAGGCTGTCATTCCTATAGTTAGAGTTGTTGGCGTATCGCGCGAGTGCGCTGCGACCATCCCCAACAACGCGGAAATCGAATTCTGTAGTAAGAAAGGGTCAGCAGCAGTCCTTCTCGATGAACCTTCTCCCCCTACCGTGGAGCTGTCGGGACACTAACCAAGGAACTCGTGGCCGAAACGACCCGAATGGCCGGAACTGGAAAGCTTGGGGTCAGCCTTGTCTCGTGCCGGATGCGCTGGCTTTTGGAGGGGCACAAACTAGTAGCGAAGGTAGAAGCCCTCGTTAGACGCCATCGCGGTGGTTGGTCGAGCGGAATCAGTGTTCTCGTGCTCTCTACTGTGTTATGGGCGGCGCTGGAGGGGAATTGAGGTGAAAGGGAGGTCGAAATGGGGGTGCGCTGCGGAAAGTTCGATTTGGGTTCGATGCGTCCAAGTTTAGAGGTAGGCCCAGCCTTCTCACCGCACAGCTCGTGCACAATTCTAGCGAATTTTGGCGGGTAGACCGATCGGGTTGGATTCGATGGAGGGGCGTAACCTGAGCGCGGGGCAATAGCTCACTCACTTTCAAGTTGGTGCACCCGGCTTCCATGCGAGAGCCGTCTTGATGCCTGGGCAAAATAAACTTACATAATACGAACACAGCTCTCTTCGCTCTTGCTGCAACTGCCAGGTGGAACAATGGGGCTCTGGTCCCCACTGAGACAAGGTCAGCTTGGCGTAGGCAAACCACTGAAACTACGCCAAAATCACGTGACACTGCCGAAATCTGGCCAGTTAGCCCCCTTAGCCAGGGGTACGTACCAGCAATTGGGGGAAGGAGGGCGAGGGTCGCGCAGGACAGATTCACCAAAAGGTGACCCCCTAATAGTGCCATTGATGGTTGACTTGTCCACACCGGCCTCCCAACCCAGCGATAGTGAATATCTCGACCTTGTGTGTGGCGCGCTGCCATTCAGGCTAGGATTTAGGAGTTCTGACAGCTTTCTCATTGCATGGTCAAGCTTCAGCCGTGTACCTCTTGTCTGCCCTGCCCTCCACCTGTCCTGACCTCGAAAGTCGGGTTCCGTTCTCCACTCTCCCAACCTAGGCCTTTGGAGCCACCCCTCGATTTCTGGCGGTCACCTCCTCCCCCATCCTCTACTGGGGATCACCCTCGCCTCCGAGTAACACCAACCCGGACCTCACCTGAGCCCGTCAAGCCGGCCCCCATTGCGCGGACCGACAACGTACCACATCATGGCGACCTTTCTCGAAAGCGCTTACAGCCTGGTGCACCAGGACAACACAGCCGATGTCCCCTCCGTCTCGGATCTGCGAATGCAGCTGGAGAAGGGAACCGACGAGAGCAAGATTGATACCATGAAGCATATCTTGACGATTATGCTCAATGGCGACCCTATGCCCTCCCTTCTCATGCACATTATCCGATTCGTCATGCCCTCCAAGTCCAAGCCGCTGAAGAAGCTGCTCTACTTCTACTACGAAATATGCCCTAAGCTCGATTCTAGCGGCAAGCTCAAGCAGGAAATGATCTTGGTCTGGTTAGTTGATGCTCGCTATCTCTTTGATACATCTTCATCGATACTTGAGCCACGGAGCTGAGCATCGCTAACGTAGCTTCAACCCACTCTAGCAACGGCATTCGTAACGATCTGCAGCATCCTAACGAGTACATTCGTGGAAACACCCTCCGCTTTCTCTGCAAACTCCGGGAGCCTGAGCTCATCGAACCCCTTCTCTCCTCGGCCCGGGCCTGTCTTGAATACCGCCATGCGTACGTGCGAAAGAACGCCGTGTTTGCCGTAGCGTCCATTTTCCAGCACTCGCCCTCGCTTATCCCCGATGCCTCCGATCTCATTGCGACTTTCCTCGAAGGCGAGAGTGACGCCACTTGCAAGCGCAACGCTTTTGCTGCCCTTGCTAGCATAGATCATGACCGGGCCCTCGCCTACCTCAGCCAAGTATTTGACGGAATACCCAATGCAGAGGAGCTTCTTCAGCTCGTTGAGATTGAATTTATCCGAAAGGATGCTGTCCAAAACTCACAGAACAAGGTACGGATGGTTGGAGCTTTGGGTTGACTATACGCAGTCACCGCCTTGAAATATTTTTACTGGAGATGGCTAGCTAACGTACAACCCTCTAGGCCCGTTATCTGCGTCTCATTTTCGATTTGCTCGAGGCTGGCGCTTCCACCGTCGTTTATGAGGCTGCCTCTTCACTCACTGCCCTCACGAACAACCCTGTCGCTGTCAAGGCCGCCGCTTCCAAGTTCCTCGAACTGAGCATCAAGGAGCCCGATAACAACGTCAAGCTTATTGTCCTTGACCGCGTGGACCAGTTGAGGAGGAGGAATGAGGGTGTTCTCGACGACCTGGTCATGGAAATTCTCCGCGTTCTTTCTAGCACCGATATCGATGTCCGACGAAAGGCCCTTACCCTCGCCATGGAAATGGTCTCGAGCAAGAATGTGGAGGAAGTTGTGCTCCTCCTCAAGAAGGAGCTCTCCAAGACTGTCGATCAGGAGTATGAGAAGAATTCGGAGTACCGCCAACTCCTCATCCACTCGATACACCAATGCGCCATCAAGTTCTCTGAAGTGGCCGCCAGCGTTGTCGATCTTCTCATGGACTTCATTGCCGACTTCCAGAATGCCTCTGCCGTCGACGTGATCAACTTCGTCAAGGAGGTTGTCGAGAAATTCCCCAATCTCCGCGCTGCTATTCTTCCCCGGTTGGTTAGCACTCTGAGCGAGGTCCGAGCCGGCAAGGTTTACAGGGGTATTCTCTGGATCATTGGTGAGTATTCGCTCGAGGAAAAGAACATTCGCGAGGCCTGGAAGCAAATCAGGTCTAGCCTGGGAGAGATTCCCATCCTTGCCTCCGAGCAGCGACTCCTCGACAATGTGGACGTGGACGAGAAGAAGGACGAGGACCAGCTCAACGGCCATTCCAAGCAAGCTGCTCCCAGCGGTTCCCGACGAGTGCTGGCTGACGGCACCTATGCCACTGAAACTGCCCTGACCAGCCAGTCTTCGGTCGCCGCCAAGCTGGAGGCTGTCAAGGCGGCGCAAAAGCCCCTCTTCGACAGCTCATCCTCGATGGAGACTACTACCTCGCGACCGTCCTTTCGTCTACCCTCGTGAAGCTCGTCATGAGGCATGCCGAGATCTCGTCCGACATTTCTCGTACCAACGCCCTCAAGGCCGAGGCCATGCTGATCCTTATTTCCATCGTCCGCGTTGGCCAGTCCCAATTCGTCAAGGCCCCCATCGACGAGGACTCGGTAGATCGCATCATGTCCTGTGTCCGATCCCTTGCGGAGTTTTCGGCCCACAAGGAGCTCGAGACCGTCTTCCTCGACGACACCAGGAAGGCCTTCCGAGCCATGGTTCAGGTTGAGGAGAAGAAGCGTGCCGCCAAGGCCGCTGTCGAGAAGGCCAAGACCGCGATTCAGGTTGACGATGTGTTCCAGATTAGGCAACTCGCTAAGAAGAATTCCGATTCCGTGGAGCTCATGGACGCTGACCTCGAGCGGGCTACGGGTGGCGAAGGCGTGTCGGAGGACCTTTCTTCCAAACTCAGCCGCGTCGTTCAGCTTACCGGTTTCTCCGATCCTGTATACGCCGAAGCCTACGTAAAGGTCCACCAGTTCGATATCGTTCTCGATGTTCTCCTGGTGAATCAGACAACCGAGACTCTTCAGAACCTAGCTGTCGAGTTCGCTACTTTGGGCGACCTCAAGGTTGTCGAGAGGCCTACGACGCAGAACCTCGGCCCTCACGACTTCCACAATGTGCAGTGCACCATCAAGGTGTCTTCAACGGATACCGGTGTGATCTTTGGCAACGTCATCTACGAAGGTGCTCACTCTACCGATACCAACGTCGTTATCCTCAACGACCTTCACGTCGACATCATGGACTACATCCAGCCCGCGACTTGCACGGAGACGCAGTTCCGCACCATGTGGAACGAGTTTGAATGGGAGAATAAGGTCAACATCAACGCCAAGTGCAAGTCGCTCCGTGACTACCTCGACCAACTTATGGCGTGCACCAACATGAACTGCCTCACCCCCGAGGCTAGTATGAAGGGCGACTGCCAATTCCTGAGCGCCAATCTTTACGCTCGCAGCGTGTTTGGTAAGTGCTTTGTCCGGGGAACGGGGAGAATGTGCTGCTCGGCGTCCTGGGGCGGCCGTATGCTACTGATATGATGCTAACCAATATATAGGTGAGGATGCTTTGGCCAACTTGAGCATCGAACAACAGGGTGAGGATGGTACGATTACCGGATTCGTGAGGATAAGAAGCAGGTCACAGGGTCTGGCACTGAGCCTGGGCTCGCTGAAAGGGCTGAACAAGATTGGAAGTGCTGCCTAGGTAACCTCAAACCCCCGGGCGTGCTATAATGATGCGGTAAAAGAACTGGCGAGAAATGTTGGATCCCCAGTTGCGTGTTCCAAGCGGCGTTAACACCAAAGATGGTGGCGAGGACAGAGAGTTATGGGAATGAGTGATGCAAAATGGGTTATGCCTACGACTTTCTCCAGACTTAGTTGTTAGTAGATTCGAATTTCCGAGATTTCTTTTCGGTTTCGGAAGTTGTCATCAAAAATATATCTAGTTCTTGGTTCATGCTGCCCGTAGCTTCAATTAGCACACCGAGCACGAGCATTAGGCTTTCCAGACGGTGAGCCTCTGTTGGTGCCCCTGCCAATCATCGCCATGATCATAATATTAGATGGCAGAAGTGCGTGGAAGTATGTGATTAGTCATCCTAGAAGAGCTGTCGGAATCGTTGTGGCAATTGGTCTGTGCACGCTCAAGGCTGCTCTGTGGATTACGCGAGCTCGCCCATTACCTGAAGTGAAGGCTGATGCTGAACAGCTCCTGCGCAATGCTTTTGGTAGCATTTCCATCATCAAAACAGACCACCACCCTTCCCTCTTCCCAACGGCACGGCAGACTACCCCCTGCCTTCCTCTCTTCTTTTATCGTCACACTCCGAAATCGAAAACCCACCCAATAATAGCGTAATTTGAGATTATATCCTGACGCCCGCCTTTGCAACCTGCTCCCTCCTCTGTAAATCGACGACGCCTACCTTCCGCCACCTTTTATCCCGCCCTCCTCCTCCATCATGTCAACCCTCGAAGAGCTTGACGATCTCGATCGCCGTGATCAGCAGGAAGATAAGGACAGGAAGGACGGCAATGATGGCAAGGGAAACGGAGACAAGAAGGGGTCCGGCGGCGATGGTGACGGCGATGCCGAGATGAAGGACGCCGAGCCCGATGATGTCCTCGACGATGAGATTCTCAACCTTAGCACGCAAGACATATTGATGCGGAAGCGTCTTCTGGAGAACGACTCTAGGATCATGAGGAGTGAGCTCCAGCGGTTGACGCACGAGAAGGCTACGATGAACGAGAAGATCAAGGACAACTTGGACAAGATTGCTAACAACAGGTAAGCTATCGATTGTCCATCCCCCACTTCATTCTTTCGAGGTGGGAAAATGGTGCTGGAGGAGGGAAATAAAAAAGTGGGTGCTAACCTAACCGTGCAGGCAATTACCTTACCTTGTCGGAAACGTAGTAGAGCTCCTCGACCTCGATCCCACAGCAGAGTCATCTGAAGAGGGTGCTAACATCGACCTCGACGCTACCCGAGTCGGCAAGTCGGCGGTAATCAAGACGTCGACGCGACAGACTATTTTCCTGCCGCTCATTGGCCTAGTCGACCCGAACAACCTGAAGCCTGGTGATTTGATCGGTGTGAACAAGGACTCATATCTCATTCTCGACACCCTACCCGCGGAATACGATAGCCGTGTCAAAGCTATGGAGGTTGATGAGAAGCCAAAGGAGCAGTACACCGACGTTGGTGGTCTTTCCAAGCAGATTGATGAGCTGGTGGAGGCCATCGTATGGCCGATGAAGGAGGCTGAGCGATTCAAGGCCATCGGCATCAAGGCGCCAAAGGGTAGGTCCTGCTTCGTACCATTGATTGAGCCACTTTCTTTTTCTCAACTTGCAGTTCTTGTTGTATTCCTTGTGCCCCCTTCTAACTCTAGTCTCTTAGGTGCTCTTATGTACGGTCCTCCAGGTACAGGTAAAACGCTACTTGCGCGTGCCTGCGCCGCTCAAACGGACGCCACCTTCCTCAAGCTTGCTGGTCCTCAACTTGTCCAGATGTTCATCGGTGACGGTGCCAAGCTTGTGCGGGACTGCTTTGCTCTAGCCAAAGAGAAGGCCCCCTCAATCATTTTCATTGACGAGTTGGATGCCGTCGGTACGAAGCGTTTCGACAGCGAGAAGAGTGGTGATCGAGAAGTGCAGCGAACCATGTTGGAGCTCCTCAACCAGCTTGACGGTTTCGCCTCGGACGACCGCATCAAAGTTCTCGCCGCGACGAACCGTGTCGATGTGCTCGATCCCGCCCTGTTGCGATCCGGTCGTCTTGACCGAAAGATTGAGTTCCCTCTGCCCAACGAGGAGGCTCGTGCTCAGATTCTCAAGATCCACTCGAGGAAGATGCGGACCGATGAAAGCATCAACTGGAGTGAATTGGCGCGCTCGACCGACGAGTTTGGCGGTGCCATGCTGAAGGCGGTGTGCGTTGAGGCTGGTATGATTGCGTTGCGGATGGGCAAGGATAAGGTCAGCCACGAGCATTACGTCGATGCCATTGCCGAGGTGCAGTCGAAGAAGAAGGACGTGAGTATATATACTCGGGGAACAACCCATGGCGCCCCAGCCAATTTCCTGAACTGGTATAAGTGGATGCTAACCACCCTCTTTAGACTGTCAATTTCTATGCCTAAGTTTATCACCCTCCATGGCCATGGCCGTTGTACTACTGCGGACAGCAACACGTGCTTGGGAAATGGTGTTTGGTGCTCTGGCTCGATGTGGCCGGGGCGGGTAGAACGGACATTGGGCCACGCATATAGACAATTGTATGACTATTCGACTTCGAGAAGCAGTTTTATCCAAGTCTTCTTTTGGCGGAGAAATGAACAGGGCGTTTTGACCAGACCAAAAGCGCTTGCCCCTTTGGGCCCTCCCTCTCTCCTGTGTGACTAGCGTTTTGACTTTACCTCTTCGTCTCGTGCCTCTACATATCTGTAGAGATCTATCTATATCCATGTGTGTATGTCTAGGTGCGTATGTTTATTCCGTTTTCGGCATCCAGGAGCATGGGTGCTTGTATCTGAAAACACGATTCATGAGGTAGGGAGCGGGCCTTCTTGGTTGTGAGATGCATATGTGCGAGGGATTCTCGACCGAGTCAGTGTGTAAAAGAAAAATAACTGCTGTTTACTATCGTAAAGGGACTTTCTATCTTGTTTTAAACCTCCAGGAGATCAAGTTGGTACACACATATGTATACAAATGTTGATATCTTACATGCAGAGGCGCTTGCACCAGCCAACCTCTTTCCTCTCCATCCGCAAGGAACACTACACCCTTTGCTCTTTATAAACCGCCACTTCGTTTACCCCATAGGCGGGGAAAGCGGCCTCATGCTAAGGGGAAGAGATGGGCCCCAAGCTTAGCTCTCCTGCTTCTGCTCGCCCTTTTGCTCCTCTTCCAACTGAAGCTTCCTGCCCTCGAGCGAGAGCCACAGGCTCTTGGATCCGCTCTCAAGGGTGTTGGTCAAGCCGAGGCCGACGCCCTGGAGCATAGCCACAAGCCTGGCCCTAAGACCGTCGAGGCCACCGTCGATACCGCCCACCCACTTGATGCCATCCACATCAAAGACCTTGCCTTCGACGCGACCGCCGACGAGGAGGAGCTTGGCGAGGGCGGCCTGGACGACGGGATCATAGTAGCCCGGGTTCTTCTTCTTAGGCGGCGCAGGGAAGAGGCCCGGCGTCGGGGCCAGCACGGACAACGCGGCGGCGAGGTGCGGGGGCGAGACGGCGGGGAAGACGAGGGCGGCGACGGGGCCGGACATGAGCGGGGAGAGCTGGGCGTAGGTGCTGTTCGCGGGATCGATGCCCTTGCCGTCGGCCTCGGCGGCCTTGACGGCCTCGTAGGCGGCGAGGAAAGGTCGTGGACCAGAGGGCCGTGGCGGTCGGTGCGAGGCGTGGCGGGGTCGCGGGCCGCGAGGGCGGGATCGAAGAATTCGTCAATCTTCATGGCGACGTCGAACATGCGGGAGCGTAGGACCTCGAGCCTGACGTGCGGTGCTAGATCAACGTGTTGTCCTTCGCCTAGCTGTTGCTGTTGCTGTTGCTGGAGCGGTGGCGCGACGGCGGCGAGGGCCGTCTTGAGCTCGCGCCGCACGGCGATCCACTCGACGGCCGTGAGGTTATTATGCTGGAAAAAAGCAGCAGGGGCGTCGAGCGCAGAAGGGCCGTGTACGAGCGGATGAGCTGGGCCTGGCGCGTGTCGGGGCGGCGGGCGGACGGGGCTGCTTGGCGGGCACGTAGCCGCTCGGGAGGCGGGATCCCCTCGACGAGGAGCCGACGGCGGCGGCGGCGGCGGCGAGGCGTGGGCTCGTGGATACGGCGCGGCAGGAGAGGGCGATGGGAGGGCGGGCGAGGGCGAGGCGGGCTTCTAGCGTGCAGGGGCACGCTAGGGCGTGGCGTGGTATCCGGGGAGGCATCGTCGTCGCGCGAAACCTTCCTTTGCGTCAAGGTGCAAATATGTCTGGGAAGGGGGGTGGTGGCCTTGCTCGTAATCGACGGCTTTTATCGTTGTTTTTCGCCCGCTGTGTCGGCCTAGGTGTCTATGGGGGCTTGACGTCGGGGGTATCGGTTAGCCACGACGACAATTCTCAAAACGACGACGTGGGGATATAGGAGAGTTTTTGGGGAGCAAAGGCCGTCCAATTCGAAATGCTTCAAGAAAAAAGTCTGGAGCTGGACCTTCCAGCCAATCAAGGACAGTTTTGGTCCGTGCGGGTTCCTGGACTATACAGTGTTGGTGTGCGTTATGTTACTGTATTCGTACGATCCTCGAGGTGGTTTAATGGAAAAAAGCACTGTGTAGTCACCATTGACGGATTGATATTAATGCTGCCTCAATTCATGGATGGGCATCGGAGTCATAAAAGCTTTTCTACTTCTAGAGTACAATAATATTGTAATACGTCAAATAGGGAGACACGAAGTGAGGGTAAAAGTAGCCGTCAAAAATAAAAAGAGGAAGAGAAAAGAGAGACAGGGCCACGACAGTCAAGTTGTTTGGCCTCGCCCTCGTCCTCGTCCTTGTCCTTGTCCCCGACCTCGACCTCGACTTCCACGGTGATTCTATCGCTTGTGAAAGTTGGCTACGCCCCCTACGAACCCCTTGAGCGTAGGCTTGTCCTCGAGCACCACGTCGTGAATCTTGCCGTCGCCGGCGCCGTCCTCGAGCCACTTGGCCAACAAATCATTGCTCTCCTTGGGCTTCACGGAAGAGTCTCGGGTGCCAATCGTCACATGGGCGACCGTGTTGGACGTCTTCCACTCGTCATTGATCAGGCGGGCCACAAAGGTCATGACGCGGTCGTCAAAGACAATCTATATAACATTTATCTCCGTGTTAGCAAAATGATGATAATAGCGAATGAAGCTTTTGCTGCAAGGTGGCTGATTTTAGAAAAAGGTTCACTTACCCTCTCGAGCATAACATCGCACTCGCCCAGCTTGTTTTGGCCACTTCCAGCCTTCTCGGCCTCCTCGTATAAATCATTGTACTTCTTCCACAGCTCCGGGTGCTGCTTCGCGGACGCGCGGTGAATCAGGGTGACGTGAAACTTGGCCTGGACCCGGCGAGTCTGCTTCAGCTGCCTGTAAAACTTGGCCGCCTCGGGAGGCTGGCCGACAAATGCCTTCTCCAGGATGTCGTTGACCTCCCGCGTGGGGAGGTGTACGGCCATGTACTCGAGCGGCTTCTTTTCCTGCCGGTCCTGCTGCTGCTGCTGCGCCTGCCCGCCGCGCCCAAATGGCTTGCTCTTCCCGCCGCGGTCGGGGATGGTGTGCTTGATGTCAGGTTTATACCCCATGGCGGCGACAATGGCCTCGTCCAACCGTTCCGCGCTCGGCATGTCCTTGACGAGGCTGGGGTACCACTGGTGAAGCTGCTTGACGACCACCTCGAGATTCTGCCGGCTGTCAACCAGAGGGTTCAGGTCGATGACGTGGTCGAAGCCGTCGTCGGGCGGGGAGAAGGCGTTGCACGGCTCGAAGCGATCCAGGAATCCCTCCATCACGTGCATGAACTTGGCTTGATCGGTCGCGGCGTGGATTGTCTGGTGGTTGTCGCCGCGCTCGATGACGCGAGCCTGAGTGACCTCGCGAATCTTGTCCATGGTATCTGGAGTATGGACAAAATGAAGGGCGACCAACCTCGCGCTCGGGTGTTGCAGCTTGACGTCCGTGATGATCTGGCGCCTCTCCATCCTGGCTGCGTTATTTCTATCCGCAATCACGGCAGCGCGGGTTTCCAGCTGCTGGAGACACATCTTGGTCAAGCGGGGGCTTCTTCCCCTTGCCGGTGATGTTATCGTTCTGGACGTGGCCCCATTCAAACAGCCATACTAGGGCCTGCGCGATAGTCGTCTTGCCACATCCAATGGTAGCGATGGGGACGAGGATCACATCCTTGTCTACTCCGATGGAGGGGGAACCCTCGCCATCCCCTGTCTGATTCTCAAAGTTGGCAGCATCCGCGCCGTTGATCTGCTTGAACGCAAGGAAGTCGTCGCGTAGGCCGATAATGCCGTGGTTCTGGACGTACAGCTTGCCGAGCTTGGGGTCCGCGGCGAGGCGCTTCCGGGCATACAAAGATACTCTTCCGTGATCCGCTTGTGCTTCTTGAACCGGGGAGGTTTCCCAGAAATCAACGCCTTGGTGCACTCTCGCCATTGGCGGTACATGAGATATGGCTCCTCGAACTTGTACTTGAAGAAGAAATCCTGATAAGGCGTGGCGGCGGGGTTGTAGGATCGCTGGCACCGAATGACGAAGCCCTCCACATCGCGGCCGTCGTGGGCACCGGACTCGGCGACCTTTTCGAGAAAGTTCTTGACCTCGTTGACATCCTCCATGACGATGAGGCCCGTCTTTCGGAAGCCCCAGTCATCCGCAAACTGCTGCACCAGGTCGCTGGTGTACGTGGTAAAGACGGGGAGATTCAGGTTCATTCCGTGCAAGTACAGTCCCGCCTTGTCCTCTCCGTAGGCTAGAATATGCTCTTCGAAGGCGTCGTCGCAAAGCTCGGCGACCGCAGTCACATTTCGACGGCGAAGCTCGGCGGCGAGGGCCCCCTCGTCTTGCCTACCGCCGCAAGCTGCCTGTCGATGTGCCTCTCTCCCACCTGGGCGTGGCTGAGATCCGCATCTCCTCGGTCGCCTGTAGAATGCTTGCTGCAGACGAGTAACGTGCCATCCTCAAGGCCGGAGATGAAGATGATGCAGCCATTCTCCTTGAGGGTGAGCTCGTAGGGCCCCGCGTCTGCTCGAGGATATTCTTCCACTCGGTCTCGTTGACCTCGCCGACATTGAAAAACTTGTCGTAGCCGCGAACAGCAATCTCGGGCTCGTTGCGACGATTCCTAGTGGTGAATAGGCCGCGGGCATACGTGGGCAGGTCTCTCCGCTTGTAGTCCCAGTCGGAGAACTTCCAAGAATCTACCGTGATGTCGTCTGGGGAGTTGGCAACTTCAAAGGTATTCCTCTTCACCTTGAATGATTTCTTGCCGTTGCTGGTGGGATTCCTGCCCTTGTCAAGGCTCTTGACCATGGACGCTACTTCGGAAACATCCTGGGGAATTTTGGGTGGCTGCTTTGCCTGAGGCATGGGGATGATGGGTTCCGCCATTGTGCGGGTGTGGAATGGCACGGGACTTTGCTTTTGTTTTCCAGGGTAAGAGGGGACCCAGGCCAAGGGAGCTAGCTAAAAAGAAGAAAAGGGTATCCTTTCAATAAATTACTGCTCTTTCTTCGAGTATATTCGAGTGTGTTTGGGCGGGCGGTCGGTAGAGATATATATGCTTCCTCAATGTCAAACTGGCGATTCTTTGGTTCCTCCACGCACACATACAAGGTCGCACTTACCCTTGAGCGCGAATCAGTCAAATCGTCGTGCGCACCGCCGGAAAGGGCACCCCACCTATGCCGTCTGGGATTGGGCGCCTGGTTGGTTCCCCTGTTGGTTTCAATAATAATCCCCGTTGTGCGATGATCAGTGATGCTGGTGAGTCAGATGCGGGTTGATGCCTGGCGCCCCAGATTGAACTACTCTTCAAATGGTACTCGAGGAGTCAGACGGCCAGAGAGCCTAAATCATGGGGAGGCTGAGCTCGGCGCAGGGTCCCAAGATGTCCGGTGGCTTGGCTAATCGCTGCAATGCCAGGGGGATATCGATCGGCTCAGGTGTTTGTAGGTTGATTTCTCTCTCTTCTTTTCCTTGCGGAACGCTGCTTGCTTCCCTATGTGAGTTGGACAAGCTCTTGTGGTTGGGGCTGTAGATATCAAAGCTTTGAGCGATGGCCTAGACACACTCTTGACACTATATTGATGGATCGGTGGCGGGGTTATTTTTCCCTTGGCGCAGCCAGCTTCATGAGGTACTCTTTCCTAATCTTCCTGCAGCGATGGGAATGTTCGCTCCCAGTACCAAACTGAATTGGGTTGGATTCAGATGGATGTATTGAGCTTCTACAAGGCCATACAGCATAGATCCATGGATCCTTCCCAGACACCAAAATTTCCATACCCCGCTTTAACTCGATTCGAAGAGCTTGGTCGTGGCGGAAGCTCCAGGGCTCGATTGAGGGGCAAGGGAAGAAAAAGTGACAAAAAAGGAAGAGAAGAAAAAAAAAGAAAAAAACTACCCCACTATGGAAGGGAGTTTAGAGCAATGACTAGATAGTACCCCAAAACCCTCGCAAAGAGATGAATAAATTCAACATTCTCTAACAGTCCTCTGTTCTACAACTAGACACTTGATTAAAGAGAAGATAAAAACACCTTAAACTGTCCGCAACCACCGCATCCAAGCCATGGCTCCCAACCCCTACCTCCTCGCCGCCGACAACAAGCCCGAGCTCCTGCCCCTCCTCCGCGAAAACCCCGCCATCGCCTCGGAGCAAGACGACCACGGTTACTCCCTCCTGCACGCCGCCGCCAGCTACAACCACCTCGACCTCCTCCGCGCGCTCGTCCTCGAATTCAAGGCCAACGTCGACATCCGCGACGAGGACGACGAGACCCCGCTCTTCGTCGTCGAGACCGTCGAGGCCGCGCGCCTCCTTGTCGAGGAGCTGGGCGCCGACGTCAACGCTGTAGGTTCCGAGGGCTTGACCGCGCGGCAAAGATTGACGCCGAAGGCGACTTCCCGAGGTGGTTGCATACCTTGCCACCAAGGAGGCTGGGTCCACCGCCGCCAGTGGTGGTGCTGGAGCCGAGACCGATGCGCTTCCCCGCTGCCCGAGGGCCTACGGGTGACGGTGGGCACGATGGATGCTGAGCAGGATGTCCCCGCCGAGGTCGACCCCGAGTTTAGGCGAAAGATTGAGGAATTGGCGGCGCGCGAGGATTTCCAAACGCCCGAAGGCCAGGCTGAGCTGCGCCGGCTCGTGGAGGAGACCGTGTTCGCCGGAGACATGTCGGAGGATCGAAACGTCCGCCAGAAGCAGTAGTCGAGGGGCGGCCCCAGAGAAAGAAAGGCTAAAAAGAAAGAAGGAAGAAGAAAAGGTCATGCTTCGAGATTTTCGACTTGCGTTCAACCGTCTCGCCTGACGTCCCAGAGGATATACTGCCCTCCCGAGTTTGGCGGTCGGAAAAAGGTGCACTCGGCATTGTCGCTAGCCGTGGTGCCTTTGGAAAACGTCGTCGTGCTAAATGCGAGCCAGGATTTGAACGGTACCTCGCGCAAGACGGTGGCAAGCGTCGCGTGCGCCCACGTCGACGGCATGAATCCTCGCCATGTCACCCGTCGCAGCTTCAGAGTCTGCGGCCCATCTGGGCTCATGGGAACTTGATATCGGGACAAATAAGGGTCAACATTGTCTCCGAATTCGACCCTAGGGCTCCCGAGCCTCACGAGGGAGAGCCACTCGTAAAGGTCGGCTGCCGATTCCTCAAACGTCAGCTTGTCGGCCCCAGCGAATTCCTGTAGGAGTCCGTCAAAGGAGGGCGAACTGGTGGGGAGAGTCTGAGATGCCGTGGACTGGATGGAGTTCTTTGTCGGGAAGAAGCCCTGTACATAGTTGGCGTTCATCTCTGATGGGTGAATGCAAAGTTAATGAGTTTGCTTTCTAGATTTGATTTGTTCAATGAGGGTTTCGCAGCCTACCTTTAGATTTTGACGTGGTGCACAGCCAGGTGATGGGTTCGCTAAAGACATTTTTGCATGCGTAGATGAGTCTGTCGAATCCTTTCTTTCCATGCAGCATGGAAGGGGCCAGCAGGTCGTATTGCACGACTAAGACGATGACTTGGTTAACACGGGAGAGTACGGCGAGGCCAAGGAAAGAAAAGAGGGCTTACCCCATCGAGGTTTTCCACCTCGCTTGCCCTTGACTCCGTGAGGCTCCCCACGAGGCCTGCCCTCTCGTACGTCTCGCGGTCGAGGTACATGGTAAGCTTCCCTATCGAACGGCATTAGTATAGCTATCCACTGGGGGAAGGGCAATCTTGGCTTCCTCCACTCCTACTCTCTCAGAATTCTATCTTGAACGAGAAATGGAAAGATGAGGAAACCCTAAAAGAAAAAGAAAAGGAAGTGTTTCTCGTACCATCTCTAATAGTGAAGAGGTTGTCTACCGGTTCTTGGCCTTTCGAGAGCATCAAGACATCTCCTACACCGCTCTATTAGCATGACCTAGCCCGCCGTAAAACAGAACCTAGAAGCGAGATGGGCGCGCACCGGTTTTTAGATAATCTAGTAGAAAAGCACCATCTAGAAGTTTCGCCAACGGCGCCTTGATCCTAAAGAAAGCAGGCGGCGAAAGACGAGGCAAGACCTCTTTCTTGAGCGCCTCGAAGCTCTCCTCGGGCAAGATCAAGTCAACGCTATAGACAAAGTCCTGGGAGAGGATCGGGGCCCATGGCTTGCCCTTGTCCGGCGCGGGGAAGGAGTACCCGCGGCGCTGCTGGGTGCAAGGTAGGGCATTTGGCCGTAGGTGACGAAGCATTTTGAGGACTGGTAGACGGACGGTGTGGGAAAGGAGAGCATTTTGACCAAGTCACCCTTGAAAAAGGGAAGCTAGAGTTGCGTAAGAGAAGCAGAAAATGAGCGAGTATTCCAAGTCAAAAACAAACCAGTGATCGTGAAAGAATGATCTCTATGGGGTAGAGATATTGACTATGTTGTGGCTTGGGCAAGGAGCGTACATGTAGGAATAATAGGAAAAATTCCCAAGCCCAAAACGGGTGGATAGACTCTTTTGCGACGTTTGGTGTACTTTGGTTTTTTTCTTCTTGCGCGCGGCAGTTCAAACTTTTTTCTCCTCTCTGTTCGTAACGACAATCAAGTTTGCATTCCCACTTCCAGATAATATATAACTCCCAACTCCCTGAGCCTATATATAGCGAGGAAATCTCATACCCCAAGGAGCTGGCCTATCTAAAAGCATCTTCTTTACCCCCTCCTGCTCTTGCGCGGCGCAAGTTTTCGCACAGCAAGCAACAGATCTGCCCCGCGGCCCTCAACCCCGCCAACACCACAGCCATGGACTTCATAGTCCGATTTACACAGTCGCACGAGACATTCCGGATACCAGAGATCGAAGCTCTGGCCATTGTGGAGGGCGTAGATCTCAAAGTCAAAGAATACAGACCAGAAGTACTGTGTCCCCTTTGAAAACATCTATATAATGAAAAAGAAAAAAGAAAACCTCCAAATAGCACGCGCATGCGAAACAAAAAGTCTAACCGCCTGCGCCGCATAGTCCCCCTACTGCATCGTCACCCTCCCCTCAGAAGACGCCGCCAAGCGCCTCGTCCAGCGCTCCATCCTCGTCCAGGCCATCTACGAGCACTGGGCCGACGCCACCACCCTCGCCGATCTGCAGGACCAAATCCGCGCGGGCCAGAAGCACCTGCTCCCGCGCTACCAGACGTGCTCCTTCAAATTCAACTTCGACTCCTTCCAGGGCACCCGCCAGCAGGACGCCAAGGTCGCCATCATCAACTCCTTCGCCTTCCTCGCCTTCAAGGGCCCCATCGCCCTCCGCAACCCCGACGAGGAGTTCGCCGTGCTGGAGGAATGGAGCCTGGGGAGCACCGCCCTCGGCGTCGCTGACCCCGCGCGCCTGTACTTTGGCCGTGTCGTCGGCGCCGGCGCCAGGGACCTCGCCACCGTCTATACCCTCAAGAAGAGGGGGTACATCAGCACCACCTCCATGGACTCGGAGCTCGCCCTCGTCACCGCCAACGTCGCCCTCGCCGGCCCCGGTAAGCTCTTTTACGACCCGTTTGTCGGCACCGGTAGCTTTCCCGTCGCCTGCTCCCATTTCGGCGCCTTGTCCTTTGGCAGCGATATTGACGGCCGGGCTATCCGCGGCCAGGGGAAGCAAAAGAGCGTCAAGGGAAATTTTGATCAGTACGGTATAAAGTATCTCCTCGGCGGCATGTTCGTCGCTGATCTCACTAATACACCCGTCCGGATCTCTCCCGATCGCCGTATATTCGACGGAATCGTGTGCGATCCTCCTTACGGCGTGCGGGAAGGACTCAAGGTGCTCGGGTGCAGGGATCCTGAAAAGATGCCCTGGTCTATCGAGGCTGGTAAGGAGCGGTCACAGTAAGTCGAGTCCCCTTCCCCGACCGGGTAGGAGATGCTACCAGGATGCATGAGTGCCAGAACCAAACATATCAACTGCCCGTGTGCCATATTCAGGCGCGCTGACAGAACCCCGCAGCTTACCCGACTACATCCCGCCAAAGAAGCCTTACAGCTTCGTCGCTATGCTCGACGACATTCTCGCATTTTCCGCTGCCACCATCGTAGACAACGGCCGTCTTGCCTTTTGGATGCCCACCGCCAACGACGAGGCTGAGGAGATCAAGGTGCCGACTCACCCATGCCTCGAGGTAGTTGCCGTCAGCACGCAAGAGTTCAACAAATGTGAGTTCTAGGCGTTTCCCCTTCGATTAACGTCACCCCTTCCCCTTTCAAACTTCCAGCAATTTTCTGATAGCCAGGGATTCTTGACCAAACAGGGTCAAGAAAGCTCATCGCGTACCGACGGATTCCGGATGCCGAAGTTAGTCGGGACTCCCTCGAGGCCTACATGAACCGGCAAGTTCAAAGGGCGAGGGGACAACGGCCAACGAGCTGAATCCATTCCGCCGCATGTATTTTACGAGGTTCGAGTCGCAATGAAGGCAGGGGAACACCTATTCAAAACGACGACCGAAAGAAGCATGTCACAAACATCGCCTTGCAGAAACTGAAGGTGGAAGTGAAGGTCAACGTCTAAACAGGCAAGTTGAATCTCAAGGTCATTCAACCTCTTCCTCTGCGCGACCCGTTCACGACCCTTCTTGTCGAACTTTATCAGACTTCCTCTCGAATTTTCCCTCCCTTTCCTGTTTCTAAGATTAGACGAGGTCGCGGCCACAGAAAAGAAAGACTACGCTCAATGCTTTGAAGGAGAAAACAAAAAACTAAAGGGGCAGGCAAAAGGGACGGATGCAACGAGATAGCGGCGGTGGAGGTGCGAAACATATAAAGGTGCACAGTCTCACAACAAGAGTGGGGAAAAAGAGGCGAAATATTAAGCAAGGAGAAGAAGAAGGGAGGCGTGAGGTATGCTTTCCCCACGCGTCTCTTCATATGCAATTCGTTATCTTCAACGGTCGAGATGGTCGCTCCAAACCGCCCCGTCCGCCCGCTGCCCAAGGTCATTCGACATAGAAAGAACTCTGGGGATTTTGTTGGGGAAACATGGAAATAAGCGAGGGAACCAACAGCTAAACCAATAAAAAGTAACATAAAAAAATGAAAACCCCTCCCTCGAATGGACTTCGCTGTGGTTTCCCGTGTCGTGAGCGTCGTGCCGAACCTATGTTCCAAAAAACGAAAAAGTAAAAAGAGAAGAAAAGAGACGTAAGATAAAAAAGAGTCCGTCATGCCGGGTTTTAATATACCATTTCGGGTTCCGCTTCCAAGTTCGTGAGGGAGGCTTGGGCTCCGTCCCCCTTTCTGTCAGGACTCTTCAGGCTAATCGAGCGATTACTTTCTAGGCTCTTGCAAACAAAGGAAAATGACAGTAATAAAACTAAAATATTTCTCATCATGATGGATTCCCAAACTGAGAGGCAGGGGAAAAAGCGAGAATCCAGTGTCGGGGAAGATGGACATAGTGATGATGGTGGCATGAAGGTGCTTATATTGAAGGAGAGTCGGAGGTATGTCGGTGGAGGGGTATCATCGGAACTCGAGGGCACAAAAGCAGCCCTTGTCTTCTACATGTTTGAGCTCGAGCTGTTGGAATCTATCGTGGAAGAGTACGGTTAGTGACCTTCTTAAGATGACTAGGAAGAGTCGAGATCGGAGGCTGGAAGTTGGGAGATGGGAGACAGGGAACCTGCGTACTTTTCACTTTTGAGTGGAAATAGATGCCGCTCACTTCACCCTTGACTTGGTTGAAGCAGATGTAGTAAAACCCCTCAAAGCTAGCGCCGCGAATGGTCGTCACGCGATGGTCAGGCACTAGGAAATGCTCCTTCCACCTCATGAATATGTTTTCTTGTTGGGCGAGATCCCGGATGAAGACTGGGCCTTTGCGCGCCTGGCGCTGATATGGCCGGAACGCGCTAAATTTCGCCCAGTGGCTCAAGTCTACCTTTTCCGTCGCACCCCAGCTCTCGTGATTCGTAATGAAATTGTACTTGGATCCGATGATCTCGCCTTCGAAATATGTCGTCAAGGTCGGGTGGTCTTCGGTAAGATCTGTAATCAAAGTGGTTGTCGGGTTAGCAACTCGACCCACCGTGGTGGCTTGGATGAAGGGCGGTCATACCTTGAATGCGCAGGTAACCGCAGAGGAAGGATTCCCTAAGATCGACATGCTTGATTTCTACTGACACGTCGTATACTTGCCGCTCCGATTGTTGCGTTCCGTGGAACCTAGTGCCCGGCCGGAGGAAGGATGACGGGGATGTTGTAATGGCCTACGAGAAAAACAACAAAAGATGGTCAGCTTCGAGGCAACGCAGCGATAGACTCGCATCAGTATGAACGGGGATGGCTAAGCACCTACCCGCAAGTTTGGGTAGTCAGGGCCGAGAGATGTAGCCGAGTTCTCGTCGGCGCGGGTTTCCAGTTCCCTGAAATCGAGGCTCCGGTCGGATTCTGTCGTCAGCGAAGACCGGGCTTGGTCCGCACCCGAGGGCCGAGAGTCAAAGTCGAGATTCGCTCGGCGCGCGGAAGGCTCTTGCTCGCCGTCGGCGTACTTTGCTAGGTCCATCGCATTATCGACGCCCGAATGCGACGATGTAGGAGTGGAGGTCTCCTGGGCTAGTTGGGGTGAGGGGGACAGGGTGGCGGATCTCGAAGTAGCAGGGGTTGAGTCGTCGTCACGAGCGGTGGTTACCGCCACGACACTGGGGGAATAGGCGCGGATAAAGGAGGCACGTCGGCTGTGGATGGATGTTCATCGGTGTCGAGGTCGGCTTCATCTCGAGGTTCGCTACGAGGGTTTGTCGAGGCATGCGACGGCGAGCCGCGCCAAGACGGTGAGTTTGGTGGCCAGTCCGCGGCTGTCGTGGGCTCCTCTGGACATGTCGAGTGGCTCTGGGAGAGGGGAGGAGTCTGGGGTGCCGTGTTGGGCATGGTGGTTTTACAGCGGAAAGAGGGCTTGGGAAGAGGGAGGAGATGGCGATTGGGCTTCTTTTGATCGACAATCTCCCCTTGGGTGATTGTCGCGGGTTGAGGTTGAGCGAACCGAGCCGTCGGGCACTGTCGTCGTGAGGGAGCGAGCGAGCAAGTGGAGCGGAGCCGTGGAGATAGAGGGTGCAGGGGTAGCGGGGGGGACTGAATCTGGTGGCGGCTGGGGGTTTTACGGGGAAAAGGGAAAAAGCGGGTTTGGCTCGATTTTGGCTCGGAGGGGAGTCACCTCGGATGCAGAACGGCGAGGGAACGAGCGAAGAGTTAGACGAGGAAACCCATTCAAAAAATTCGCGATGATGATACTGGGAGTAAATGTGTCGGCAAAGAGGCGACAAAAGGTTGATCTAGGGTCCCCCTTTGGGCGAACGGGCTGGGCGAAAAGGCAAAAGCAGTATAATGACCCTGGCGCTTTTTTCCTGGGAAGCGGTTGGCGGTATAGGCGAATCAGCGGACTGGGTCGATGCAGGGCTGGACGAAGGGAGCACGAGACGCTTGGGGTGGGAGGAAACAGCAGAGGAACCGAAGGACTCGCGTGGGGAGCGCTGGTCTTGGAAGTGGCCCATCTTCACGGGCCTTCGAGGTACCAGCACCCGCTGTTCGCCCGCTGTGGGAGACTGCATGGGAACCTGATGTCAACGGTCAGGAACTTGAGTGCCAGTCTCGATTCCTGACACTGTCTTCCTCGGCATTGTGACGCAGAAAAACTCTGCTTCGGGTCGTTGTCGACACTGTGGCTCTGAGCTCTGTACTTGTTCGAATCCGGCAAGGGCTGGATGACATCAACGGGAGACGCGAATATTATGGGGAGTGCGCTACCACTAGAAACTTGAGGGAATTGCCCTTGATGGTGAACAAACCTCGCTCGAATTCTTGTTCTAGCGCTGAGAGCAGATTATTAGGCCTTCTTCATCATTTTCCGACCAAAGTGAGAAAGGCAAAAGGGAAACAAGTCTGTCCGTAGTTCCAACCGTCCGCGTTTGGGCAGCTTGACGCAATATTGTATCCACCGCCTATTTCAATGTTCTCTGCAAGCTCCACTACGGAGCGTCCAGAGGGCCCAACCTTACGTTTATAGCGGGGTGGCAAAAGTAGATTAGTTTTTTTTTTTTTTTCTCCTTCTTTCCCGCATGTTTTCGTCTTTTTACGGGGGACATTGGTTTGCAAGGCTTGGGCAAGGCAAGAACAGAATCGTCTTCAACATGGCACTGGACGGTGCCCTATGGAGCTGTTCCTGAGATCTTCGACGACGTAGATGCAGAGTATTGAAACATACAGCCCTGGAGGGATTGGCACCCTTTGAAGTGAGGAAAAGTAATGTGGACGCTGCTGTCATTGTCGACCAGCCACTGGTGCCGAGCAGATCGACTGGTTCGATACATAGGCTCTTGTCTCTCCCTGTGTCCCGCTGTGCAGTAGTCTACGAGCACAGGGAATTTGTGTGATTGAATTTGGGCCTCCACAGGAAGGATCTAGCTTTGCATGAGACCGCATGGGGACACAACCGATGGCGGTAGAACTGCATGAGCTTGCCATCGAGGAGATGCATTTTGGGGCTGGCCATGATCCTGCCTGACTAACTGTTTGGTGATAGGTTATCTAGTAGTATACTGTGAAAACGAAAAGAAGGATGAATGAAGTAGGAAACGAGGGGGAAAAAGAGAAAGAAAAAGGCCCGCTGGCAACTTGCAGACAACAGCCTGAGTTCACACGGCTCAAGCAACTGAGCGTCCACCGTATTATCTTGTTTTGAGCTCAGAGCAAAGGTCTCTTTTTGCCCCAAGGGTAATCGTGGTGACAAGATCTGGCACGTGCGCTGACGTAATGCTTCCCTGTTTGGGGCCTTTCGAGCAGGTCGAGGTAAAGTGACTGCAGGACTGAGCCACCAGCAGGCGTGCATCGGCAAACCGGGGGTGGGAGCTTCTACTATTCATCCGCGCCAGCGAAACGCGGCCTGCGACATCTCATCTTGGCCCATCTCGCAACCAGCCCATTCCCAAACGGAGGACCACGCAGCTATCTTTCGTGCACTTGAGCCATCGAGGAAGCTGCTTCTCAAACCCCTCGACCGTCTCCATAATACACGAATCCATATCCGCGATATATCGGGCCATCGAACGAAGAATAACGCCGAGACCCCCTCGAGAAGCCCCCGCTCCGCGCTGCGCGTCTGCCTTGTCGTAAGCTCCACCGGCGAGCTGTCGCCGCCATCCCCTTTCTCTCGAGCGGAATAAAGCGCCTCCCGGCCCCCGGCTTCCTCCCTCCCGACCCACCGATTCCGCAAGACTTTGCTTCCCGACAAGGGGACGCGAAAATCAATCATGGACTTCGCTCCATATCAATCGTCTCCCCGGAGACCGGCCGGCCCTCCTTCTCCCCGTAAGCGAGCAGCGCTCGCCCCGCGTCTCGACCGACTTCATCCGTCGCTCCCTCTCTCCTTTCCAGCGCCCTAGTCCCCCACCTCTTCAGCACCCTCAACCTCAGAGAAGCTGGCAGCCCACGATCCCAGGGTCCTACCCCTCCGCCGATGCATACAGGGAAGGCGTGAGCGAGTTCGACACGAGTCTGGGCATCCGTCTCGACTATGAAGCTGCTCTTGCGTATCTTGCGCTTCCACCTATTGGAGCTATAATACTGCTGATAATGGAAAGGAACAGCGATTACGTGAGGTATGTGGACTAGAGTCCGCTCATCAGAACGACCCTGAGTAATTGGTCTAATACCAGCCGATTGGCCTCAATTATTAACGCTCGTTTGCCTCTAGATTCCACGCTTGGCAGGCCGCCCTAATCTTTACGGCAATTCTCATCTTCCACATTGTCTTCTCCTGGTCGAGCTTCCTGAGCTGGGTCTTCTTCCTCGCCGATCTCGCGCTGATGGCATTCCTTGCTCTCCGAGCATATCAAGATGCGGACACGTTAGATAGGTATGCAATGCGGAATAGCTATTCCCGGGTGTCAACGCTCTATACTGACCCGGAATTTCTTCTTTCATTTAGGTACGAAGTACCATTCTTTGGTCAAATCGCTGGCAGATTCCTCGATGACGAATGATAGGGCTACGCCTGTTCCCTGCTCCCCATGCCCTTTGAGAAAATACACCCTTTTGCCATTTTCTTCTATATGTCACTTGAACTCAATGGTCACTTATCCCTCTGAGGTGCTATGTTTTCTTCTTCTTCTTCTTCTTCTTCTTCTTCTTCTTCTTCTTCTTCTTCTTCTTCTCTTTCTCTCTTTCTCTCTTTTCGTCTGTTAGTCCGGCGATGTACATGTACACATATTATAATAGTCCCCGTGGTAGGGTTGACGAAGTACGCCCCGGATAGGGTTGGTGGTTGGCCGGTTTTAGCATTGTCACATGAGTTCCTTTTACATATGTTGAAATATGTTGATATTCGTTCATAACGTACATGATTTTGCAATTTACAAAAAGACTGGAAGCCCAACTCTTGAAAAAACAGGTAAACAAAGAGGAATAAGAAACACAGAGACAGCTAGGAAAATCGTGAGTTTTATGTTCTCTTGTCGGTTTAGGCCCTTCAATTACGCAACACCCCTTCAACCTTCAATTGCCGCCTTTTGTGTTCTTACAGCTCCTGCCTTAGCTCTTCAGCGGCATCCCCAGCTGCCTGGGTGCCCTTGCTGATCTGCTTGGCAACCCAGTCCCAGGTGGTTCGGAAGCTCTCTCCTAGCTTGGCGAGGATGGTACCGCTGGGGCTGCTTGTGCCATAGCGGTAGTAGGTAAACTGTTTACGGGCCTCAGCACGAAGTTGGTCCAAGGTAGACCCTTGTGGGACAGGCTACCTCTGGAGTTAGCAATGGTCATCGTATGCTCAAGGGGGCTGGAAAATCAACTTACAATGCCGTAGCTCTCGAGGTAAGGCTTGAGATCGCTCTCGCTCCAGGTGTCGAAAGCGTTGGCCTTAGCAGTAGCGGTGGCCTGGGCAAGGTAGCTGGTGGCAGAGCTCCACTGGGCGCCGCCGGCAGCAGAAGCGGAGTCATAGGCGGACTGAGCAGCGGTCAGGAGCTCGTCTCGGGTGGAAGTAGCCTTTTCGGCGGTAGCCTTGGCGGCAGCGTCGCCGCTGGACAAAAGGTAGTTCCTGCAAGCGAGGTTAGTATTTGGAATTGTCCCCTAACCCTGGCGGGGGTTCCACTCACTTTAGGTTCTCGATGGACCAATCGTCAAAGGTCCATCCCCCGGCAGCGATATGAGCGTTCTTTCGGACAAGGGCACGAAGCTCGTCGACGTTGGAATTCTGGGGAACAGGGATGCCGCGGGCATCAAGGTACGACTTCAAACGGCTCTGGGACCATGTGCCGGTCGCCTTGTCGAAGGCGTCTTGGATCATCAAGGCGGCACTATCGGTCGCCTTGGCGAATTGGTTACCGGCGCTAGATGTGGCGGCACCGAACTTTCCGGCGGTATCTTCGCCGAGGACGCGAGCGCGATGCTTGCGGATGAGAGCACGGAGCTCATTAGCCTTGGTTCCTTGGGGAACTACATTCGAGAGTGTTAGTACGGAAGAATCTCGCTTCGGCTGATTTGTGGTGACGCACCTGTGATGGCGTTCTCATCGCAGAACTTCTTGAGCTGTGACTCGGACCATGTGTCGAGAACTTTGTCGGAGACGCTGGCGAAAGCGGACTGAATGGCCTCGGAGGCGGTGGAGGTGGCATCCTGCTCCTTGAGATACGCGATACGAGCATTTCGTCGGACAGCAGCGACGAGTTTGTCGCGCTAGAGTTATGTCAGACTTGAGTTTCATCCTTCCCATTTCGTGGTAAAAGGGTTCTTCTTACGTTCTTGGGCTGAGGCACGGAAACCCCACGCTCATCCAGCCACTTCTTCAGATCAGAGGCTATAGATATCGTTAGTTGTGTCGAACGTCGAAGCCTTTATGGGTTGAACCTACTGGACCAGGTGTTGTAGAGCCAGTCACCGGGATAAGCAGATGTTTCGCCAGCCTTCTGGGCAACGGTCTCGTAGTTGGAGCGAACTTTCTGGAGCATGACGTCATGCGTACGGGGTTGGGGCACAGGAATGTCGTGCTTATCGCAGAAAGCCTTGAGCTGGCTCTCGCTCCAGCTGTCGAAGATCCAGTCCTTGACATTGCTCCAGGCGTTCTGGGCATTGTCTTCGGTCTCGTACCACGTCGACTTGACGCGGTTCAGGAGCGTGTCCTTGTTAGCCTTGACATCACGCTCGATCTCCTGACCCTTGGACTGCAAAAACGTCTGGAGCCTTTCAGCATCCCAATCATTGTAGGGGTTACGACATGGTTATCCCAGTTCTTTTCCACAATGTTTTGGAGGTCCTTTCGGTCTGAGGCAGCGGGGTAGGGGATGTTGTGGTCGGATAGCCATCGCTCAAGCTCGGTCTGGTGCCACTTGTTATACGCTGTGAGGATCAAGAGTTAGCCACAAACTGAACATCCCATTCAAATCATATTCGTTTCCGCGTACCAGTATTGGAAACCCTAGCAGAGGCTTCTACAGCCAGTACGGCCAGAAGAATGGCGTTTGAAACCTTCATTGTACTATAGGGATGGGTTCTAGTGAGAATGAGTTCACTGGGGGACTGCGTGGTAGTTTCGAAATGGACGGGTTAAAAAGGACAATTAGATGTAGTCGAGTCCTACTATTGTGTTTGATTTTACAATATTACACACATAAAGGGAGACAGGAAGGAGAGCAGTAAGAAATTTGGGAATTTCCTTTTTAAAGAGAAGGGCTATGGGGATGGAACGACCAGTGCAATCATCACGTCACCGGAAGGTCACTGGAAGGTGCGACGGTGTGGCTAGCTTCATCTTTCAAATCTGGAGCATCTGTACCGGGCAACACGGCCTGGAGTGACGAAGCACGCACCTCCTAGGGAGACTCGGGAGGCTTAAAGGTGATCGTCAGTTGAATCAGGACAATAGTGTCGTCATTCTTCTGCGCTGGGCGATCTAGTGCATGACGAACCAGCCGCCACATAGGTATCCAACCACACCGGAAGCCCACTCGTGGCACATGTCGACCGCCATGTCTGATAGCAAGCTCCGCACACATATGAAAAGGAGAAGGGAGAAAAAAAATACCAGGTAGCTCCCTGCCCTAGAGAGAATTCATTGGGAACTCTAGTACTGTTTGAGTTGCTCGCTCCATTCCTTGGTTTTGATCCACCGTGTGTTTGGCTTTGACGAACTCACAACCCAAAATAACGTCACTGTCCACACCATTGGGTTAGTGTGGCATCGGTCTCTTCTTGTTCGTGTACAGGAGGTGTGGGACGAAACGAAACACGCTTAGTCAGTTGCTGCTCGCTCATTCACAAAGTTTTCTCTCGACCAGGGAATAATACAAGAGGTGGTTCAAGCAAGGCACAAGGCAAGCTAAATTTTAGTACTTGAGGAGTATTAACCTTGCTTTCACCTCAAATTAATTCGTCCCATCGGAGTTGGATCATGGAGAAGCGTGATTCTGCCAGTCTCGATGCCCTCACTAGGCAAACCAGTTCTTTTTGTCTTTTCTAGGTTGCAAGTCCCATTGTAGCTAGGGATAAATTCCCATCGCTCATTGCGGTTGACCTTGAAGGAATTGTTTCACAACTCTCGCAGCAGCAAGATTATCACAGCTAGCTAGCTCTATTCGACAGGACCATCTCCTGTGTCCTATCTCCCCACCCTTCATGTCTGATGACTGCTACCAATTGTCGCCAGGTAGCTTTTAAGGCAGATTTATGCTGACTCATTTTCGTAGTCCATTGTCTGACGAGAGATCAATGGATTGGATGTGACGGGTTTGAAGATAATGGACCAAATCTCTTAGCTCACTCGTGCCTTCGGCCGAGTTGGCGCTGGGGCAATTGGGAGAGATCAGCAGAAATGGGCCCGGACCGTCTGGCGGGAGTCAAACCCGAGCTCCAAACTAGAAGTCAGCACTTCATCAACGTTTTAGGGCTCGGATCCAGCCGCAGAAGCCTAACCGTTTCGAAACGGTTTAGCTGAAGGAGGGGCGGCAGAGAGCACGTCCCCGCCCACGGCTAAGGAAAATGAAAGCTCGCTGACAGGGGCCAGCCCCCACTACCCACTACGCCGCCGCAACTCCAAAGGCGCTAGTCCCTCTGGAAGCCCATCAAGGCTCCTACACAACCCCTAAAAAACAAGGGTCCTGTTCCAATATTGCAGCCGTGGACTTGAAGCGAAATTTCCTCCAAACACTCGATAAAGAGTGGACACTCCTTGGCGGGGTTTTGTCAAACTCCCGATGCCCCGTGGAGGCCTCCCTCCTTGCCTTCACCTGCTGGATCCGTCCAATGAAAGTTCAATGGATCCAGAGATGCGTCCCGTTAGGATAGCACCTCGGGAAGGCCCTTCCTTCCCCCATGAGGCCAGGATGGACCCGTCCGTTAGCCCTCTGCCTTGCCCCTCCTCTTATGGCCCCTTCCCCGCCTCCTTTGCCCTTTCTTTTTCTACTTCGTTTGAAGTTCCCCTCCTTCTTCCCTTGTTCGTCTTCACAACTCAAGAATTTACCTCTGCATCATAAACCGCTGACACTTTCCGTACCTTGCTCCCCCGATGTCCTTTTTCAAAAGCTCACCCAAGAGTTTGATACGCTCACCTCGTCCTTCGGGGATAAGAAGGACGAGACCCCGGCCCAGAGCCACGGGGGTGGCGGCCAACGGGACTACCGTAAGTTAAAAGTAACCCCCATCTTGAGGCTTGGGCTAGTCTTCATCGCTTGCTGGGAACGGTTGCCCTCCTTAGTTTTTGCCACCCCGATGTGGGGACTACCCAAGAGACAGAGAAACTGACATGCTTTCCGAGCAGCCCAGCCAGGCTATCATCAGCCTTACCAGGGAGGCGGATCGCCTTACCCTCCCCAACAGCAGCAGAGCTACCCACCACAAGGCTACCAAGGAGGAGGTCAGCCTCCTTACCAGCAGCAGCACGGCTACAGTTCGCCGCCTGAGCAACAACCTTATCAGGGTTATGGCGCTCCTCCTTCCCAGCAACATGGATATGGCGCTCCACCTCCTTCTGGTCCGCCAAGCGGCCCCCGATGCCGGAAAACCTGCCTCCTCTGCCTCAGGGCTGGGTAGCGCAGTGGGACTCCCAACAGAGCAGATATTACTATGCTGAGCAAGCAACCGGCCGCACCCAGTGGGAACGACCTCTGCCTCCAGGCTATTCGGCGAACCCCCATGGGCGGTAGTGACCATACTCGAGGGCACGGAGTTCCTTATGCAGGGGGCCATGGAGACTATTCTCATGGTGGACAGTACGGCGGTGGCCATGGTGGCCATGGCGGCTATGGCGGTCATCATGGTGACAGTCACTACGGTGATGGACATCATAAAGAAAAGAAGAGCGGAAAGAGTGGCATGCTCATGGGCGCAGCCGGAGGTCTCGCCGTCGGTGCTATTGGAGGCGCCTTGGTCGCCAACGCTCTCAGTATGGCATTCACTGTCCTGTTTCCGCTTGCTCTTCCGACTATTGGTAACTAACATTTGCTTTAGGTGATTCGGATGATGAACAACACCACCACCATTACTATGGCGCCCCAGCTCCGCAGGCGGGTTATGGTGGTTACCAAGATCCCAGCATGCCTCCCGCTGTACTCCCTCCTACTGATGTTGACGGCAGCAGTGTGTCCTCGAGTGACCGTGAGGAGGTTGAGGAGGCTCGGGCAGAGTATGAAGAGGCTCTCAGAAACGCCGCAGATTCAGATGCGAGCAGCAGCGACCTCGAGGAATTGGAAGAAGCCCGTGAGGAATACGAAGAAATTTACGAGGAGGTTTACGAAGATTAAGCATAGATAACGAACTTCTATTTTCTTATCCTTTTCCTGTTTGATGGCCTAGGATTTCCTTTGCATTCACCTGATATGCTAGGTATGCCCGCATATCTAGGCGTTGCGAGGAAAAGGAGGGTGGGGGAACCCATGAGAGAGAAGAACCAACATTAGGGACCGAAAGAACAAGTAAATAATAACGTTATAGTCCCCCATTCAGCATTTTCCATTCTTGCTTCAAGCGAATAAGACGGAAACTGCCATGATAAGAGCACCATCAATTCCCAATGTGTCGATTTCTTGCAGCACGACGCGCGTAAGACGTTGATGATTGGTAGTCGCATGAAAATAGCACATATGCTCTGTTGCGCCATTCCATTTCCCGAGCTGAGCAGCCCGTTCTCGTGCTTCTCGACACCAATCCTATTAGTATACCCGATGCGGGATTTCCCACACAGCTGGGCTGACGAGGGGTGATAAGTCCTGCCTTGGGCTGCAGCATTGCGAGAACACAGACGACCCCCTGGGCTGCCTCCCCAGGCTACCAGCCGTGCCGCCGGCTGCTACGGCAGCCAAACGGTTTGTCTCTGTCGATTCTGCCATTTTCTAACCCTCCAACGCCGCCAAAACACGACTGAAATCACTGTCTGGATTTTTGTTTTCTTCCCCCACCTCGTCACATTTTTGGCTTGGCGCTGAGGGGTCAGGGACCCCGAAATCAGCCCAATCGTGCCCCCTCCTTTTCCATCTCTCGATGGGCCACTGACACGAGTATGGTGTTCTGGGCTCCGTTCGCGTGCGCGCGCGCCGCCTTCCTCATTCATCAGCCTCCACATCCCCACACTACGTACCTCACACACGCCCCCGAATTTATTGGCGCCTCGGAACCCCTCCATCCCGCCGCTAAAGAAAACTCGAGCGGAATCCTCATTGCGACTTCTCCTCACCCCCAACCTCACATTCTTCTTCACCAGATTTTGGACTAGAGCTTATTTCGTAGTCTAGCCATCATGTCTTACTATCCGGGTCAGGGCCACGGGCACGACGGCGGCGGCGGTTACCCCGGCCAGGGGTACGGTGGTGGGTATGGGCATCCCCTCCTGGAGGCCAGCACTATCCCCCTCCGCAGGGACAGTATCCCCCGCCCCAGCAGTATCAGCAACACCAACAGCACCAGCCCCAGGGCCAATACTATCCCCCTCGAGACCCTCCCCCTCCCACCTCGATCGTTATGGGATGCCTAATCACCAAGGTGCGTCGCCGCTTGATTAACTCGAAGCCATCGATTTATCCTGCTGAAGATACTCGAAGCATGAGAATAAAAGTACCCAATTGCCAATTTACGCGCGCTAATATCTTTCTCTTTTTTGTTTTCTTCTTTTAGGCGGGGACACGGTTATCAAGGCGGCGGCACTCGCTCAGGAGGATCTGCTCCACCTCCCCCACCTCACGGAGCGCAACAGTTTGGCCACGGCGCCCCAGAGGGCTATGCGTTCCAGTATTCCGACTGCTCGGGAAAGAGGAAGGCTCTTTTGATCGGCATCAACTACTTTGGCCAGGATGGCGAACTTCGCGGATGCATCAACGACGTTAAGAACGTGTCGGCCTTTTTGACCGAGAAGGGATACCGGCGCGAGGACATGGTCATCCTGACGGACGACCAGCAAGATCCTAGGAGCCACCCCACCAAGGACAACATCCTTAGGGGATGCATTGGCTCGTGGCCAACGCCCAGCCCAACGATGCCCTGTTCCTTCACTACTCTGGTATGGGTTATCCGAGCTTTCCTTAACTTACTCACCGTTTCGCGCCAGGTGGTAGACGCTAACCTAAAGGCGCTCGCGCTTCTGATGTTTAGGTCATGGAGGCCAGACAGAGGATCTCGATGGCGACGAGGAAGATGGTTCGGACGAGGTCATCTATCCCGTCGACTTTAAGCAGGCCGGCCATATCGTGGATGACGAGATTCACCACATCGTTGTCAAGCCCTTGCAGCCTGGTGTTCGCCTCACTGCCATCTTCGACTCCTGCCACTCGGGCTCCGTCATGGACTTGCCCTACATCTACAGCACCAAGGGTGTACTCAAGGAACCTAACCTTGCCAAGGAGGCTGCTCAGGGCCTGTTCAGCGCATTCTCCGCCTATAGCCGCGGTGATGTTCTCGGTGCCGCCCAGAGCATCTTCGGCCTCGCCAAGTCCGCCGTCTCTGGGGATGGTGCCTATGAGAAGACCAAGGAGACTCGCACCTCGCCCGCCGATGTTGTTATGTGGTCCGGTAGCAAGGATAGCCAGACTTCGTAAGTAGTTCTATGCGCCTTGATTCCCTTTCACTCTATATTCCTTCTTTTTCTTTACTTTGAGGGGTGAGCTGGCTAACGCGAACGCTTCATCGACAGGGCCGACGCTACTATCAACTCTCAGGCTACCGGTGCCATGTCTTGGGCTTTCATGTCAGCCATGAAACAAAACCCTGAGCAGAGCTACGTCCAGCTCCTCAACAGTGTTCGAGATCTGCTCGAGGAAAAATACTCGCAGCTACCCCAACTCTCTGCTAGTCATCCTATTGGTAGGTTCACGCATGAATTTGACCGATCAGATCAAGCCATACTAACCCTGGAGTTTGTAGACACCAATCTGCGCTTCATCATGTAAATTTTGAATTTCGAGGAGCAGAGAAAGATGGCAGAACAGTCATTTGGGATTCGATGAGACATCTATTAGGGAGTGACCGGGTTAGAGAAAGTAAAATGAGAAGAAAAGAAAAGAAATTCACTTAGAGCCTTGAAGACCCTCACGTACACCGCCTTTGCCCTCTGTTCCAAGATCACCCTTAGATTTGTGTTGGGCGTGGCATCTCCGAGAGCAGGTTACAACCCGCGCTCGGTTTTTTATTCACCCTGATAGCTGCTTTTTTTCTTTTTGGGAAAGAAAAAGAAAAGACCACAACCCCTCTTTTTGGAGACGAGGCATCCTTAGCTAGGCCATGTACATGGCCATCCTCTTGATACTAGGTTCTCGCCCAAGTACGAGGCTATTCCTCCACATACCCAACTCTAAGACATCGGCAACAACTCGGATTCTTTCAGCCTCGCTTCACAAATTTTTGAAAATCGTTACGGTATGATGGGAAGGACCCTTGTTTCCAAAACGGCAGAGAATTCCCCTCCCGTACCTTTCCATGTGAGTTGATTGGGCGCCCTGGGCCTAGCTGGGTTTGCACTGCCTCATCAGCTCCGCGCCGGGCCATAGGGCGAAACAAGGTTCCGCGCCTCCGCATTCTGCGGACCCGGGTCCGAATCGGAATCGGGGCCTGGCGATCAGTAAATGGACAGCAAGAACGAGGGGAAGCCAGAAATTCGCCAAAAATAAAAGATGAACTGAATGGGGGTGGGCAAGCGACATGCCGATAGCGCAACAGAGTCGTATCTCGGCCACTTCCACCTTGGCCTATCGCCCCATCTGACGCTATCACGGGGCCTGACGACTGCGGGACAAGACTGGCGAGCGGGCCGGGATTATAGTGTGTGGCCAATGGTGTGGAAGGACGGCGCCACACCGTCAAAGAAATAATGATCTTTTGTGGCGCCCTTTGATTCCTCTTGAAACGATAGCGCCGGTGTGGCCCGTCCCAAGTTGCTCGAGCTGAGCTCCCCACCTGGAGCTTCGAAAATGAAAATTAGAGAGGGATAAAGGCAATAAAACCGAGAAAACTAACGGCTGATAGTAGGGTCACAAAGAGTTATTTGAGATGCAGTAGATTTGCCATCAGAAGGCTGGTTTCAATTCATCATAGCCGATTAGAACAAAGAAAAAAAAACCGGGTGAGGGACATTGCAAAAAAGATCCGTCAAACGAAACAGTGGCATGTAAAATAGAAAGGGAATCGCGTTTTTCCTATGAATTTGCACAACATGTGCCTCAGCTTTCCATCCTATTATCCAAGTCCATGACCGAGGTGAGTAGAAGTGGGTGTCTCGGAGATTAAGTTGGTATCGGTTCGTCTGGCAAGGATTCAATTCAAGGTGTTCTGCTCTCTAGAAGCAGCAGTCGAGACACTCGAGACAGCATTCGCAAGTTTCGCCGCAGAGCCAGCAGCAGCACATGGCGGCGATACTGAAAACGTATGTTAGCAAGAACGAAATGCGTTTGGGCTAGGTGCGATATGGGTTGGAAGGGTACATACCAGGTGTAAAGGCAGCCGTGGCTCTTCTCTTGAGGGGAGGGGCCTGCTGGTATTGCATCTAGAAAGAAATGTCGTCAGATTTTGGGGGCAACGAGGCGCCGGCGGGGGAACCATTTGTTTGCTTCCGCAGAGTGAAAACTTACGGGCTGGGGAGGAGGATAGCCTTGAGGGGGATAGCCACCCTGCTGGGGAGGGTAGCCTTGGGGAGGGTAGCCGCCCTGTTGGGGGGATAGTAACCACTGTGACGTGAGAAGGGCGTTAGCTCAGGGTCCTGTTTTCGAGAGTCGCGCCACTTTGGGGGCGATGCCGGTTGAGCAAGAGCCTCATGGAGGGGCTCTTGGCCCTAGCAGCCGGCGCAAGGGAGGGAAAACAACAAACCCTTGTTGAGACATGTTGAACTTTTGGAAGAGGAGGGGGAAGTTGACGGGTTGGGTGGTAAGGCTGTGGAAGAGAAGGGAACGTCCGAATAATAAGTCAAGAACAAGAAAGTTAAGCCTTGTCCAAAAGAGCGGGATGGGACGGGGCAAAGAGAAAAAGGGGGAAAAGATCAAGGGAAAGAGACAGATGAGAAAAATGGGAAAGTGGGTAATAAGGGTTTCAGAAGGGGGTAAAAAGAATGGGAAAATAACGGGGGACTTTTTTTTTTCTTCTCTTCTCTTGTGACTGAGCTTGAGCCAGCCGGGAAGGAAGGAAGGACCCAAGGGATCAGATGGGGGTGATTCTCGTCTGGCTCTGAATCCTCGTTTTCGGACACATCATTGCAACTGAGCCGAAGCGGAAGCAAGCCAAGACCATCCCTTCCCCAATTGCGTACCTCGAGACGCCAAGCACTGCTTCTCAACAAGGGCATCAACTTGCAACTCCACATGCTTTGGACGCGGACACCACAAACGCCACTGTCTTTGGGGCACTCGGGCCTGACATACTCCCCCTTGCACCCACCTTTTTTTTTTTTGCCTGGCCTTCTCGCCAAGGGCCGAGGGCGTCCGTAGACGAAGCGGGCCTGGGCTGGATGACAACAGCTCAGACTTTTGCTTTGAACTACTCTTTTCTTACTTTAATGCTGTCTTTCTACATCCACATGGGGAGGCAAGGGAGACGTCAGAAGGTTTTCGCTCGGGTTGCTAGCGCTAGGGGTTATTGAGGCAGCGTCAAAAATAGAATCGCGCTGGCGATAAGGAAGGAATGAAAACAAAGCCTCACTGCAGTCTAGCCCACACGAGCCGACCAGCCGACCGGATCGAGCGAACTTCTGCTTGGTGCTCCGCTGTGCATTGTTTATTAGGCTTGCTGGTTGGGTGGTTACGAGGATCGCCCCGTTGGCCCGTTGTGGCTGGTCCCGCAGTGCACCCCAGAGAACGTGGGTCGCCTCACCCCAATCGCAAGCTGGTTCCTCTCCTCCTCCCCCAAGGCCGTCGGACACCACAATCGCTCTTGACCCCCGAGAGAAACCAATTCATTTGGGATCTGCGCATGTGATGAACAATGATCCTTTCAGCGAATGGAAGCATTATCGCCAACCTGCCATCACCCCCGAGCCGTCCTCTAGCCGTCCTGTCGGCTTTGCTGTCAGCAATCCCTCACCTGCAACTATCGAGGGGCCCAAGTTTCACAGCTGCTGACTGTACAGGGATATCAGGGCCTTTTGAGATGCCGAGTCCACCAGGGTCGGTGTCATATCAGCCCCAGGGCTCGATCTGGATTCGTCAGGGCCTGGCAGTGGCACCCTGGGTTGGGTCCTTGGACGCGCGTCCCTCTCCACTGATTCGCTCACAGCCGTGACTACCGACGGATTAGGTTCAATTGTGGATGAGACGGTCAGGGTCCGATCTGCCCCGTAAGGCCACCACGATGCGCAGTGGCACCGCGCACCGCCTTCTCGAAGTGTGGCTCAGGGTGAGGGCTTTCTGAAATTGATGCATCGCCAGTAGCCCAACAAGAACTGCATTCACCACCAATATCTGTCGCTAGTTCCGTGGCGCATGGTCAAGCTAGCTGCGGCTGACCTGCCTTCCCCCTCCATTGAACCGAATTTTTAAGCCTCTGCGACCACCGTACTTGTAATAATCTTGGGGAGGACTGTACTGGAATGTTTACAACCATCATTGCTTGAAGGTGCCAAGGTAAAGCAGTCCTGTCAAATGAGGCCTGGAACGGGAATCTTCCATTTTCCTTCTTTTCCTGGCTTGTCAAATCTCGAGCACTTTTCGGTTGACAGCTCGCTCATAATATCAGGAGCGCTTGATTTATCGGCCGACTTCAGGAAGCCGCTCAATGTGGACTGCTCCCTGGCTTCCTTCGTTTCGCAACACCATCTCTTTTGCAGTGCTCGTGTTACGCATTTGTTTCCTTTGCCAAGCCTATAGTGACCCCGAAATACCATCTCTTCAACACCAGTCGGCAAACTCGAAATTTTTCGACTCCGAAGCGCATGACGTGGAATCTCGCGATGGGCAGAGTCGTGCCGACTGATCCGGTCAAATTGCTCAAGTGTTTCGAACGCGTCTGTCCCCTGAGGCTCGGCGGCTATTGCTTTTCCGTGATCTTCTTCTTTTCTTCTTCCTTGGCTGCACTTTCCCTCATGATTCGTAGCCCACCTTCAGCGGTGGCCCAGCCTTCTTGAGGCGTGCGAATTCCATCACTGGTGATCCCGTAAACAAATCGACAGCAGTTGTGGTTCCTGTCGTTCATCGTTTTGTTTGTGAGAAGTGCGGCGGCACAAACCGTCATCATGCGTCAAGACAGGCTGCCAGGTGTGTGGATTAGTCTCCGAAAGACGCACATTTGTCTTGCCTGGTGCAGTGCTCTCTCGCCCATTCCAAACCATGACCTCAAGCCAAGGCCAAATTGCCGTGCGCTGCAACGGTCGCTAATGCCGGAGGGGAAAAGAAAATAGTAACTTACCGAACCCAAGGAGATATGAAGGGGACGGGCTCAATCTTCGTCTCCATTAAAAGCAGCCATCCCCTTGCAGTTCTATGGATGGGCATTCCCAGATTCCCTCACTCCCCCTTCACTTCCTATCTCACTACCCCTAAACTTTTCGATTCCACTCCCCCTCTGCCTGGTTGGTGCCATTTTCTCCTCCTAGCCCACGGGCATCGGAGTGTTTTTTTAGGCGACCCAAACCCTGAAAGCCGCACGCTTGTTGATGTTCGCCGAAAGGTGCAGCTCTTGGCACACCGCGCTCGCCTCGATCCCGCTCTCGCCAATCTTCCTCGGTGTGGCCTGGCAAGGTGTGTGCCATCACGTGAAACAACCTCATGGGTTTTTAACTCCCATCTCAACCTCATCCATTATAATTGCCTGGCCAAGATGTAGGAACAAAAGATTCGCTTCTGTGGATGCCCTCTCGATACTCTCTTCATGGGCATCTCGAGTGATAAGGCAGCATTCACGAAGCCCTAGCGGTGCTTCTTGCGCGTGGCATGCCTGCTGCCTCAACGCCGCCCCTACTCTAGCTGAGTAGGCTTAGCAAATATGAATCAGACAGCCCAGTCTCGTACAAGAGCGCGGACTTTAGGGTCTTCCCATACGGGCTCGAACCTTGGGGGTATTCCTCTCCAAGCCCGTGGCCTGGGGGAGTCCCACTAATTGGGGGTTTGAAGAGCGAAAAATAAAACTAAGGTAATCACAAGTGGAGAATGAGAGGACGCGAAAAAGCTTTGTTCTTCATGAAAAGACGAACGGGGATCAACGTTCGCGAGCCGGCTGCGGCTCCTTGTATTTATGTAGATCGTTGCACGTGAAGCTATCTCAATATTTACAAGATAAGGTTGGGGAACATTTGAGAAGGGAAAAGAAAAAGGGATGCTTGATTGCACGCCAGGAGATGGTGTTGAAAGTAGGTCAGGTCATGGCTCCAGCCACCACAAACCCGCCAGGGATGAGGGCCACGGAGCGTAGAAAGGGAGAGCAGGAGAGAGACCTCGTCGACAGGAAGAAAGGGGTAGAGGAGGTTGAGGTCGTCTCTTGAGGGGGTATCGATCATTTAAGGGGAGTCTCGACGGTGATGCGCGAGCTACCGGCGCTCCTGTAAGCCTCGGTGGCGACAACCATGTAGTCGTGGGTGCCGAGGGGCATGCCGGCCTTGGTCCAGGCATCGAAGAAGACGCCGGTGTCAACGGTACCGCCGGTGCGCTTCTCGGTACGGATGGCCCAGTATTGGTTGAAGGTGGAGGTTCCCTCAATTGATGGCTGCTGCACGCGGGTGCTCTGGAAGAGGTTGTAGGTGCCGTCGGGGGTCTGGACGGTACCCTTGGGGTGGCCGAGCCGCCGGGGTTGTACTCTCCGTAGTTCTCGATGATGTAGTATTCGACCAAGGGGTTCTTGGTCCAGCCGTAGATGGTGAGGTACTAAGAAAAGGCACGGCAAAGTTAGAGGTCAAGTTCTATGTAGTCAAGTGCGCGCGAAGGCTGGTTACTTACAGCGTTGCCGTTGTTTACGGGAGTCCAGGTACCGGAGTAGGTAATGTTCCTATAGGGCGAGGGTGGGTTTGTTAGCTTTGCAGAGACGGGGCCATCAGTCAATATGATCTGACGTACTTGGCGCTGCCGGGGCTCCAGCCCTTGCCGCCGACGAGGTTACCGCCGGACTGCCAGTCGACGCTGTAAGAGCCGCCGGCAAGGTTGGTGTAAGTGACGGGTGAGGCACCATCAGACCACCAAGAGTAGTAGTAGCCGTCGTGGGTGCCGGCAGAGTTGGCGGTGATGCCCTGCCTCCTCATGAGGTCGAAGGGGAGGCAGCGGGGGAGGCAACCGCACCGGTGACGGCGAGGGCCACAGTGGCGAGGGTAGAGAAGAACATGTTGGCTCTTGTGTGTAAGAAGCAAGTTGGAGAAGAAGAAAAAGGCGATGCTGCGATACTACTGGTTATGGAGGGTGTGGGAGGTTGAAGAGGAGAGAGAATAGGATTGATTCCTTGAGGGTCGGATAGGAGGACTTATATAGTAGGATTTTCTTTTCCTGTTCTTGTTTTTTGTTCCTGTCCATCTTCTCATGGATTAATATGATATTGGGAGAGGCTAAAGGGGGTGCGAATAGATTCCATCCCACGGGGTAAAGTGAAGGACTGATGAGGAGGCAGGTGGTGGAGAAACGACAAAAGAAAGGTCTTGGTCACCATACGCTTCGGTCAGTCCTCAAGGCACGCCTCGTTTGGTTACATCGAGATCCGGCCGAGCCTCCGCGGGTTCACTTGACAGTTGAAGACAAAGGACATGGGCAGTCCCCCAACGAGCCATGCCCACCCCTCTCCTACTTTCCCCGCTCCCCGCTCATCATGGGGGAGGGGGGAGGACGGGTGATCGCGGGCGGTCGCTGCATTCATCTCTAGCCTTTCCGGAAACCCCACACCGATGGGCCTTCTATCCTGCCTTCTCGACGATGGGGCCCAAAGGACCAGTCATGGCTTACAAGATCTGAACAGTACAAGTGCACATACTCTCCCGGCCTGGCATGGCAGGGGGGCGCCACTTTCTGGGGTACGCTCCAACTACCACCTCCGCCCGCACGCTAACCACGCGGGAATGCTGAAACCGCCAGTCTCAATGACGACGTGTTGCGACCATTTGGGAGAGCACGCACACCTACAGGCCGCCCTGCAACTACGGGAGAGGGAAAATATTTCACGGGGAGCGGCATTTCTGTTCGGCTGATGAGAGGAGAAAAAAAGACACAAAGATGAAATATTAAACCATAGGGAAGAAAAGGAGAATTACACGACCCGGAACGCCAAGCAGGCAAAAGGCACGGAAGGGCGACAATTTCGAGCCAGACGGAGTAATAAGGCGCAGGTTCCACGGAGTCGACCACTGGGACTTTGAGCGCGTTCTCGGCTGCTCGTGAGATAAAGGGGCCAAGACCAGCGCCAAGCACTGCTGTGGAGAGAAAAAGCAGTAACACTACAAAACAATGGATCATTGATCTTTACACTCATTGAAGCGTGGAGTGGCCCGGTGCCCATCAATAGGTTCACCTCTGCTCCTACAGGGCTGTCGCTCCGTCTGCTGTATTTCATCTTATCTAGAATCAGGTAAAGCAAAAGGATTGAACCCTACATGAAGAGCAAGACGACGCCATATCCTGGAGCCGCCAGGCACTCGATGCGCACAATTCAAGGACCCGGTTAGGGGCGAGCAAATCTCATCAAGGTTGGCTAACAGAACATTATTGGAACATTCATGGGGTGAGGTCCAACGTGCTGCAGTGTCCCCCTCGCACGGCAGTCTCGCTGTTTTCCCACCCTCCACCCTCCACCCTCCAACATACACCCTGCACCCCTCCCCCAAAATCCCGACTCCAAGCATTTAAATTGCGACACGACTACCCATAGGTTCTCCAGAATGGGTGCGGGGAGCAGGACGAAGGGGTGCGGAGAATAAGCGTGAACCAGGTTTATAGATTGCATCGTCTCTTCGACTTTTGCCGGTCATTTCAGAGCCTATCGTCTTTTGGGGGTGTTCCACCTTCCAACATAGGGCCATGTCACGAAATTTTACGAGAGGCTTGGCTTGTTCTGTTCCTTTCTTCCATGCCTTCGTTTTCGAGTTTTTTTTTCTCTTTTCCTGCTTATATTTCTTTTCTCTTCTCACTATTGTTCCCCTGATCCAGCCATTCCAATATGTATCGCAAAGGGTGGAGAGGCGGAGGCTGAGGACATCATGGTTAACACTGAGCGATTATTATTCGTGGGAAAAGAGTCGAGGACAGAGACCCATCTAAAGTGGGAAGTAACGAGGCGAAGAAATGGCCATAAGGAAACTCTTTCAAGAGCAGCCCGGGGAAGTACCAAGATGAGCATTCGCCTCGGCAAGTGCGATCGACAAGGCTTCAAGGCCATCCAGGTTCACGTTACCCTTGCGGGCGACGGATGATGCGCTGCGGGCTGAAAGCGTCGATCATGGCCACATTTAGTGAGTGGGACAGTGGCCTGACAACCTTTTCTGTCTCTTTTTCTTGGTGGCTCTTTCTCTCTTTCTAAGAAAAGAATCAAATCTTATATGGAGCAAAAGAGGTAGAAAAAACCGCACCCAGTGATAGCCACTTTTTTGGTCTATAGACGGATGGGTCGATATGCACCAGTATTCCATTGTGCGGTGTAGAATCCTGATCTTTACCGGTTGCACTTACACCCACCCATTCAGCCATCGGATCCGTTGATCAATGCCAAGCCTGAGCAGGATGAAGCTCTATTGCAGCCTCTCCCGTTCGACATTGCTTCGCCCTGTGCCCTACTATCGCCCCTTGATTTTCGACACCCCGCTCTCTGGAGTGGAGCACAAGAGGGCGGCTTGACGAAGGTTTTCTCGGGTTCTCTCCAGCCCCTTGCCTGCTCGTGATGATGGCTGGACACGAACGTCGTCTGGTGTTACATGTATGTTATTGGGGTCAGATCCTATTACCTGTCAAAGTAAAGCCGCTTCTGAATTTATCCATGGTCCCATCTTTGTTGCATCAACACCCCGTCCCCACACCCCCTGCGCCCTTATGAAAGCTGCCTCTGGACCTACCCTCGTCGTCGTCTGCTCTTGCTTGTGTCGCGACTGATATTTTACATGTAGTGCCAAGGGGTGGGAGAGAAGGACAGGGCAAGGAGAAACATCGTCGTCATCAGTTTCCATACCTTCAGGTTCGTCCTCGTAGTCCATACCCCCACGTCAAAGCGTTGCATTGGCAGTCCTTGGTCTGCCCAAGCGAATATTGCAAATTCCATAGCTCCTCGAAATCTACATAAAAGTCTGTCTAGATTATTGGCCACTGCTGGCCATGTACACCTCTAGCTCGATATCATAAGAACGCATTTTGGCCAAGCCATGGTCTCATTAATACCGTCCACCCATCGCTGCGTCCCGCATCCACATTCAGACCCAACTTCATCTTTAGATCTGGGATATGATCATCTTACCTCATGACGAAGCCATCCCAACTACCCCGCACAAATTTGCTCTTCTCTCCCTCGCAAGGGAAGGGGGCGTGCCAGAGCGGGATAGGAGAAGGAGGTTGAGAAGGAAAAACGGGGTCGTAGTTTAATATCAGACGCTCACGAGATTTGCGCCCAAGGGGGCACAGGGATCTTAGTTTTGGAGGGGACCTCTCCAACGGAACATCAGTTGATGTGGATCAATCATGAAGCACCATCCCATGTCTGTATTTCCCCACAACTCAGCACGGAAGACCTTGATTGAATGCCTCTGCCTCTGCAAGACAACGTGCGTCAAGCATAAAGGACTCAATGGGATTCACCCATCCATCAGAAGCCACCTTCACTCCCCAGATTCTGGCGTTATTTAGCCTCTGACAGAGCGAGATGAGAGGATCGCTTCTGTTTCGCGGTTTGCTACAGGGATGCTTCGTCTGCCAGGTTCCCGTGCCCTCATTGTGGACTTAACGTACAACGGCTTTGATCCGGACCTTGAGCCCGCGTGAGGGAAAGGATCAGCGGACCCGCAAACCAAGTGCACCTGAAATTCCATGAAGATTCATGGTTTCTTCCATTCACCCAAGTCGAGCGAAGAAACCGTGAGTGAACAAAAGCCCATCAATGCAATTGCAGAGATGCGCCGATCAACGATCGGCGAGTGCAACCGAGGCGCTGCGCATTCCACCATCCATCCATACAGAATTCTTATCCATTTCCAACGGGAGGAAATTCCGGGACTGGGTTAAGCTTGTGATGGGATGGTTTTTATGTCCGGCCTAGAGTTAGGTCCATGGCTTGTTCCAAAGTCTTTTCATGCGTGCAAAACTTGCATCAATTATGGATGCATCTTGACGTCCTTGGTCACCGTCGGCGGGCACCAGGTTTGATCAGTTAGCTGAAGAGAAGAGATTCATATCTATAATATAGTACATGCCTGAAGAGTGGAATTGAAACCCTCCAAGGGCGCAAAGCATGAACGCTAGCACAATGCCTACCATAACCTACAATTTTATCGATCCGAACATGAACACAAACACAGGGGAAATCACTGGACGCAGTTGTCCGCTCCCGACTCTACTAGCAATTTGGCATACTGTCGGTGTAGCCAGCCGCCCACCCCTCCGAATGGGTCAGGGTCCGTCGACGCTCCTTCCACCCCGCTATAAGTGATGCTCTTGAGTGCGAGCTTGACCGTGCCAGCATCGTCATCAGCTCTACCGCCATCTCGCAAAGGTTGTCTACGTTTTGCGGAGCTGGCGGCGATTGTCGCGGCGCGAAACACCCGCGGAAGGTGATTGACCGGGGCGTTTTGGAGAGGATGAGGAAATGGTTGGTGAAGTAGGTTCCTTGATTGAGATCTTTGTTAGAACAAGGCGATGGGAAATTGAGTATGCTGGGCAGGAACGAGGCACGAGACGGTATGAGGAGAGCGTGGAGATGTATGTTGTGTCTAACTAGGAAGGAGCGAAGAAACAAAGTGGGAGGGAGCGGGTGGGGAAAGGGGAAAGGGTGTGTAGCCGGAAGGCTCGATTCCGTCATTACCTGGTTGAAAAGTGCTTCTCAGAAGCTCCTCCTTTTCCCAGAGGTCGTCTCGACAGGAGTCGTCCTTGGTCAAGAGCATAATCTTGCGCTGCACCGCGTAGCCTAGTATTCAGAGAAAAGATTTAACCGTTTAGCGACGTGCAGAAAAAGCCTCGATGCACACCCCCAATCCAACGAGCCAGACCAAGAAAAAGAAAATCTCTCTCGCATCGATTGGGTCCCAGAGAGGCGTTGGGCGTTGGTATATCGCTACTTGGGACGCAAAGGAGGAGGGGGAGAAACCGCAAACGTACCGTATCCACCCCACATGCCAGCTGCAAAGGCTTCAATTAGCTTGGTGCCTCCCTGTCGCGCGTCCTCGAGCAGCGCGGGCTGCACGGCGGAGTAATTGAGGGTCCTCGTGCAAGAGTCGTAGGTGTACGGTTTGTTGAGGGGTTGGTCAGCTTGAGGAGAGCGTGCTTGAACAGAGGATCGCTCTCAGGCCCAAAGGGCTCAAAGGAGCATTTTCTCGTCCACAGGCCCATGCCGGCCAATGTGGCACCGGCGCCGCCGACACCCACCGCGCCGAGAGTGAGGGTGGCCCGGCCGAGCCGGCGAAAGAGGGACATGGTTCAGAGAGAGAGAGAAGGAAAGAAAAAGCAAGTTGAGACTTGAGGAACCTAATGAGATCGAGCTTCTTGAGGAGTACAAGAGAAAACCAGTTGCCGCCCGCGACGCCGATCGTGAAACACGTCTTTTCAAGTTCGGCGAAGGATGGGGACGGACCGGAGACAAAAGTCGGATATAAGGGAGGGTTCGGAAGTACTTTTCACCGACGCGGCAGCTGAAGAGGCTTGGCATCGCGCTTTGTAGTTGTCCTCATTGGGCCCCCTCTGAAGATTACGCGCCAGCCATTTTCAGGGACCGGGGGTGAAGAGAACTTGATGTCGACGAAACGTGACAAGTCCATTTGGCCAAGGAAAGGACACAGGAAACAAAACTCGAGGACTCCGAAGCAAGCAATGAAGTCACGAACAAAACTGAGACCATAATCAAGATTTCGGGTCTGGCATCGCCATTGATGGTTTGGAAGCTCCACCTTCAACTGTTTCTCTGTCTCGATCGGCAGGTACGGTGGGATCCATGCCTTGGAGCCGCACGTCAGGTGCAGCTAGCGTGCTGATTCTTGATACAACGCTGCACTGGCTAATATCAGAATGCAACTGTTCTTTCCAGTGGCCCACGATGGTGACGATTTTGGAATGCGCAAGCAACCCATCGTCACTGATGAACCACTAGTCTCCGCGTGGGCCACTTTTATTCTTACATTTCGATTACATGTGTCGCCTTTCATGGCGGGCGACGTAAAGCTCGTCCCGATGCAACCGGGACAAGAGCATTGGCAAGCGCCCACAGGGGGCTTCGCACAAACGAGCTTTAGAGCTCCAGCCCTTGTTAAACCGCCTTGGAGCATTGCCAATATACTCGAAGTGGTCATGCAGACAAACTCGTGCATCAAGCAGCTGGCTTTCCCACCCATGGAGCTGTTGCAAGTGAAACGGATCCTTCCTGGATGATTTCTTTGCTGGTCGTCCCTTCATTTTGATGACGCAGAGCGAGGATGGGGTATCCTCGCTACAGCGCGTGAAGGCTATTGAGCCGGTGCATCATTTTGCAAGTATCGGGCGGACCTTCCGCCGTCAAAGAGTATGTGGGGACATCGGAGAACTTGAACTCCTTCATCAAGCTCGTGACCCGGGCAAGTGTTCCCATTCCCACTCAATCTATAAAGTGACAGCAGATGATAGGAGGCTCTGCGCCGGCTATGTTGGCTGATCCCATTCTGGTATTTGATCCGATTTTCTCAAAGTTAATAGCATGGGTCCACTTCGCTACAAGATGCGTCCTGGGTAAGCCAACAGCTCTTGAGAAAGTTCTGACGATGAAGACGGGCGGAGGTAAGAAGGAGGCGACACTCGACCCCAATATCGGCTCTGCTAGCCGATGCGCAAAGAGCGACGGCACCTGATCGCTCAGAGAATCTTGAAGGTGTGCTCACCTCGCTTCCACCCCACACTTGCCCGTTCCCCGCCCATTTCTCTTGTTTCCCAAACTTGACAGAAGCGAAACGACGGACTGCGAAAGACGAGGCCATTTTGCGAGGTAAGGTTGAATAGGTAGCTGAGTCATCTCTGGAAGGGTTTCAACTTGATCAAATTTTAATATATCTGCTAAATGAGGATCCCCCGAATCCCCGCACTCTTCGTACATAGCCGGGAGACTTATGCCTCCAATTGCCGGCCCACTCACATCCCATTTGCGCCCGCTGCCTCCCACGCACGTACGTGCACCGCACCTCCTTACGCACGATAGCTTTCCACCCGCAAACGGGAGCTCTTCTATCGAAACATACGCCCCTCCTTTCCACGCCCCTCTTTCAAGTCGTCCTCACGTGAACCCGCTCCCGCACCACGGCCTTGACCACCTCTCCGGGGTTCCTCGGCCACCTTGGTCTACAGACATTCTTGAGCCGTCGTCACCAGGGAAGGCGGACGCGAACAGGCACGCCTAATATGACGGCGTGTTGTGGGGGAGGGGAGGGGAAGTTACCACATTAAAAGCTATAGTCATCCGTCCCGGACTAGAAAGAGTGGTAAATAAGAGCTCAAGGACAGAGATAGAGAGAAAAAGCCTCGTTGGTGAGGTTGTTGGTGCGAGCTCGCCTGTGAGCAAGATACCCCTTCTGCGATTTCACCATCTCCGCGACGGACACAGCATACTCGTATGCGCAGAATCATATCTGCTTCATCTTAAACGGGGTCTTCAGTAGCTGAATTTAGCCAAACTCTAGCATATTAGTGCTTAAAGCTCTTCGTGGGTCTTCCCGGGTATGCGATACCTGCGGCCCTTGCATTCATCTTATGCTGTTATAGCCCTGATATGACCTAAAGCGGATCATGACCCTTTGATTGGGAAACCGGGGGCCCGGGAGGATCGGCCGATCATCAACCAGAGAGCTAGTCCCCTCCCCTTCCCTCCCATTCTTGGTGTTTTCATCGCGGTACTGGTCTAAACACTGAGAGGGCCTACATACGTGGCGTAAGCATGCTAGCTGGGGTTTGGCAATAACACGGGCTATATGGTTTATAAAGGAATGGGCCGGGATACGGCAAGAATAGATGGATATGGCTGTGCGATCTATCCTATGAGTGTTAGTGTAAGGAGGGGACGCTCATCCCCTCCTGAGCTACGTAGCGTGACTATGCGCTTGGAGAATGGCAATGGCTCAGTATCCTTCAAACAACGATGAAAGCGAACGGTAATGGCATTGAATACCGTCATACATTCGTCTAAAATCAACCTAAAGTGCAGTTATTTACATTGAAAAGAACCATAAACAACATGTATCTCCGTTACATTCCGCAAACAAAGAGTGCAGCAGCAGACTTTCAGAATGCGCCACACCCAGCCTATCAAGCCATTATACAGTTCGTTCCGAATCCAACGTACTAATACAGCCATTAAATCGGCTTGCCGAGAGTTTCCGGTTCTTAAGGGCAGCTGAATATTCATGAATCCAGGTCTACTCGGTCCCCCTGCGCAAGGCACGCTTGCGCTTGTAGTTTCGTAGCCGGTTGAGAACACCAAACTCGTACCGAGTAGCTTGGCGGATATAGAGAGCTGCTACAGTTCTAAGCCCCTTGGCGACGATGTCTGTTTTACGATGACATGGGCGACAACTGCTGCGTCGCTGCACCTATATCGTCAAACCAGCCCTGTAAACCCTGCGTCATCTCGGCCAAATCTTCCACGCTCAGCAGGTCCATGCCGCAGGAGGACCACGCGTCGTCTAGGCCAGCGTGTCCGCCTTCGTACAGGAGCCGCTTGCCAAGAGAGGCCTCGGAGAGACCGTCGGTGTGCTCACCTAAAGTAGGGTCAGCGGCCCGCGGCCCGCGGGGCCCCGCGCGGAATCCCAGCAGCTGTCGTTGAAGGGGTCGCCGATGCCGCTAAAGTACCGGTCGCGGTCAAGAGACACCGTGTAGCCAGCAAAGCCCTCCGAGGAAGAGCTCGGCTCGGCGGCGCTGCCGGAGCTGGCACCGCCGGCGGCACCGCTAGCGCCCGGTATGCGCGGCGCGACCTTCATGCGCGACAAGGTGCTGAGGACGTCCTGCTGGAGGTGGCGGGCCATGCCGTAGGTGGATTGTACGCGGTGCAGGAACCGGACGCAGGTGCCGATGCAGCGCCGGCTCGTCATGGAGATTTCTCTGTTCTTCGAGTTGACGCCAATCATGTGGACGGGGAGTGCGGAGATGACGGCGGTGAAACTGAGGTGGTTCATTAGCAAATCGTCCTGCCCCTGAAAAACGGTGGCGATGATGGAAATGGGGCTAGGAAGGGAAGGTAAAAAAAACAGAAAAGAAAAAAACACGTTTGAGCTAGGCTTACAACTGCGTCGGTATTGTCTCTCCCCACTCAGACTCAAAGGCTTCCGTTATGAGGACGACGGTGCGGATCGCTGCTCTTCTCATGCGCTCTCTATACTGCGGAATCTTGTAGGCCAACGCGCTATGGGGCTGACGGGACTCGAGTACCCTCGGCAAGTAGAGAGCGTTGATGGCCGTGTCGTGCATCAAGAGGGAGACGGTGAAGAAAGGACCGGTCTCGAATTTCGACCGGTAGGACCTATCCTTGACCCCGGGAAAGCCTGCAGGAACTCTGCCGACCAGCTGATCAACTCCTTCTCACAAGACTCGAAAATGGCGCTCTTGTTGTCCGAATTGCTCGGGATATCGGCAAAATCGGTGTGCAGGATCTGGGCGACGATAGTCACAAGCCTCGCCGTTAACGTGAGACACGACGCCGCCCTCATTCGCAGCAAGGGGTCGCCGCCGGATGTCTTGTCCCCGATGATGGTCGGGTCTTCCTGTAACGTGCTGAGAGGGATTTGCTTGTGCCAACGATATAGTCGCGGGGGCCTCCTGACGACGAGGGCGACGTGGGCTTCTCGGACGAGGCAGCACCACCATAGTACAGGCGACATGGCTGATGTCGAAGTCCAACCTATGTTGCGCCAGGGTTCCGTCTTCTCGACGAAAGATGTGAGGCAGTTGGCCCAATACCAGGCGTCTCTCCGAGGGTCCTCCCTCGCTCCATAGGGAAAGGAAGATCATGCACTGCGCGATGGAAGACACGTTGTCCACTACGTCGGTATCATAGAGTAGCTTAGTACGCCTGTATATGGAGGCTCGGGCCTCTGCATGGGAGGCGAATCCTAGACTTTGGCAGGCTGCCTTGTCCACAAACTGTTATACTCTCATTAGCCCTATCTTCATGATAGTGCGATCGTGATGGCAGGGTAAAAGTTGGGGTTAAAACATACAGGTATAGCAGCGAGGAGCATTGCCTGGAAAGTTAATATGGTAAAACTCGTCCGTAGCCCATCAATCGGGCCCTCAGATGCCAGCGCCTCCAGGTCTCCGAGATCGAACATGGGATAGAGGGGGTAGACGAATCGGATGAAGCCCTGATTAGAGAGGCTCTCGTGGAATCGTTCACTGGAAAGGCGAATGCCTCGTTGGCGGCGAGATAATCTGCCGTCGCGCGAGGCACGGGGGTGGTGATGGGCACAATGAAGCTGGGGAGTTTGTTCCAGGGATACATTCTCCATCCCGTTCGTGCAGCTGGCTGCTCCTTCTCGGCTTCGTCGATAACCATGCGATTCAAGTCGTCGCTGGCGGCCGGTGGACTAGTCTCGGATGACTCTTGAAGCAGCTGCGTTACGCGCGAGATGTGCTGGCCGGGAATGCGATCTTGTCCAATCAATTGGCTGATGGACAAGCCCGAACTGACGGTGGATTCTGTGCTCGGCGTAGGTCGCGGGAGCAGCGGCGCCGAGCTTGCTGATGCCGAGGGCGTTGCCAACGGCGGCGGGGTGACGGTGATGGAGTCTAATTCTCCGGGGCAATTCGTCGTGGTGGCTGCTGTGAAGCTGTGCTTTCTAAATAATGCGCCACCAGGAGATGAGTATTCGCGTGGTTAAATGTAGAAAAGAAAGATACAGGGAGATAACAACAAAAGCAAAAGGAATCGGCGCATTGTGAATTAATTCTCATGGATTCACCTACCGTGGACGCTTTTCCTGCGGAATCGTGCACTTGATGCCATCAAGACGACAGTTGGTGCAGGGCGGGCCATCGGCAGCCACATTGCACCTCACTTTTCGGGCCCGGCACACGCTGCATGCGATAGAGGCCCTGACCTTTCTCGTGTGACGCCGGGGTGGTCTCTTGGCCCCCTGAGACTCTCCTGACTCCGCGGGCTTCATGTTAGTGGTGGCCGTCATCGCACGTTGAACGATTTCAAGGCCTCGCTCTCTGTTCTCCCTTTTTTTTTTTCGTCGCAGTTCAAAATGGGAGGGGCATTGGAAGTGGGAAAGACGTGCGGAACAAGCCAAGCCGGTGGGTTCGGGGATAACTTACTCCTATGTCATACCACGAACCGGGGCACGACTCTCTCCTCTCTCCCCTCTTCCCCCAAAGCCTAGCTACGACCCACCTTTCTTCATCAAATCAAATCAAGAACGGGGCTGGTTTCGTGGGCACACTCTTCTCGCTTCCAATCCGTCCCTTTCAACCGTTGCTCCATCTGGAGCTAGCTCTATTTGGAGTAAATAGTTGGAGCAACTTCGTACTCGATGGATAGCCCTTTGCCATGGTTGCATGTGCTAAATTGCGGGGAAGGGGCGATGGGATGGCACCACGGCACTCCGTGAGTGGCTCAAGTGGTATCGGGTGGGCCGCGGGCGTGGGAACGAGCCTCGGCTTCCAGCTTCCCCACCCTGACCAGCATGGAATCCATGAAATTGGTGCCGACCGTGAAGGGAACGGTGAAAACTGCATGGGGAGGGACTTCGAGGACACCTGGCCCGGGCAATCACTGCCATGAAGGGCGACTGAGTGTCTTGTGCGTAAAGAGTACTCTTGGACGTGTGCGATCTAGGGTCCTCTGCAATACAGTCGAAGCCAAAGGGTCTGATTCTGCATTTCCAAGCTTTTCACCCAGACCAAGCCAAGTCATCCCTATCCCTGTCTTATATCACGTACAAATGCCGAGGTATGCTGCATCCATGTATCTGGCATCCACTGTGGCGTGGAAGGATTGGGGGCGAGAGGCCAGAGCACGGTCTTCATCTTGCTGTTAACTGTAACCCTAATTTGAGCACTCGCCGCCCTGCTGCCATCAGAAGCAGTTGTGCCCTGCTGCCTGTGGCCCGCTTATCCTTGGAGTTGCCAATCCGTCACGTCGATGTCAAAAGCAAGGTGAATTATAATTTCCTGTGCATTGGCGATGACTCGCGGCCTTTGGACCTCAACGAGGTGGTCTCGAGAATGCGCTTCGCCGATGTATACTCCAGCTTAGGGCCCCCTTTCTCGACTGTGAGAGTGATGGATGTATTCGCCGTGCTAGATGCATGGGACGGGATACTCTTGGTTGATTCTGAGATCCACCTGGCCACAGGGGGATCGAGATTCCTACGGTAGACATTCAGGACTACACTTTTACACTTCACGACATTTCATTAACTAGGAGGGTGATAAGTCATCCATTGACTAACATTCCCGTCTATATACCACCTAATCATGACCGCTCATTCGGCCATTCCTTCGCTTTACGGTTTTAGTATAGGTGTGGTTATGGCATCCGGAGAACCCAGCCAGTTTCCGCGGCGGCGTCATGGAGCATCGTGATCAGATCGAAGAGGCATGGTGGGACTTTATGAGCTACCTACTTCACTCGCGAGATTACGGTCCTTGCCTGCTTCCATTAGCGGACTGTGGAACTGGTGGGCATTCAAGATTGGAATGGCTGGCATGAAGACGAGAAATGGATGATAGTATTAAGCTTCTATGCATGAACTAGTGGGTAGGCATCAACGTGAGCGGATGAGTGTGCGGATCGCCGAGGTGAGGATACCCGCCTCGCTGAACCTCGCTCCTTTACTCCGTGGATAGAGCCTCCCTCCTTCTTCGGAATCGGGCACCAAGACTTCGCACATGACGACTCCGTCACTGATTTTGGCCCCTTGCTCTACATGCATGCGTACGACTCCGGGGGCCTCCGCATTAATCCGTATCTCTGTCTTCATACTTTCCACAACAAGGAGGCCGTCGCCTCTGTTGACAGCAGTGCCGTCCTTGGCTAGCACTTGGAGGATGTGGCAGGGCATGGGTGATAGATATTTTCGTTGCGCATCTAGCGGGGGTTTTGTTAGCCGTCGGCTACCGCATGTAAAGAATGGTCTTGACTAGTAGGGTAAATGGCACGGAGTTTCTCATTTTTCTTTTCGCAGCTTACCTGATGAGCCGCCACCTTGCTTCCCTTGCTCAAACATGCCCGCCCAGCTCAGCGCGTCAGAAACGAAGTACCCGGCGCTGAAACCGAGGTGTGGTGAGTAGACGGAGATTTCCCGCTTGAAGTCATCCACACTCAGAACGGAGGCGTAGAAGTTGTGACGCTCATTTCCCAACTGCAGGTTTAGCTCGGCCGCAACGGAAGAGGGGGCTTCCTTTTCCCTTGCCGGCACCAACTTTGCCTCGAAGCGAGCCGAGGGCTCGGACGCTGTGGCGTGATAAAAACGTCTCGTGAGGGCGCCGCCCTGCTTGTTGAACAAGACACGCTTTTGAGCGGCCGTGAGCGCAAAGTCGGACTGAACGGGTGTAATTTGGAATTCGTCGGATCCGACACGGGTGACCATGAGCTCGCGGGCCGCGTCATGCCCCAAGATCTGCAGTTGGCAGGCGACAAACTCTCTCGCTCCTGTCCTGCCGTCCTTGGGTTGGTTTCGAAACCGGCGGATACGCCGCGGAAGATCTTGGGGCCGAGTGCGTTGGTGGCGTTTCCTAGGCGGCGGTTGTACAGGATGGCCGCCATCGCCATCGGGCCAGTGGCGTAGTCTACGTCTACGGGTTGCAGAAGAGCGGTTTCGTAGGTGGGGATGAAGGCCGTCGTGTAGCCCGGGCTCTGGAATTCGGGGTGGGCTAGGATACGCTGGAGGAAGAGCTGGTTCGTGGTGAGGCCGAGGCAGACGGTATTCTTGAGGACGTGGTGGAGCTTTTGGATCGCGGAGACCCTGTCGGGGCCCAGACGATGATTTTGCAAATCATGGAGTCGAAGTGCACCGAGACACTCGAGCCAGCCGCCACACCTACTTCATAACGCACGTGGGGAATCTCCACCCCCAAAACTTCAGTCGCGGTCTTGAAGGCCGCGACCGTCCCCGTGCACGGGAGGAAGTTGTTGAACGGGTTCTCGGCGCAGAGGCGAACCTCGATGGAGTGCCCGCGCTGGCGGACCTGAGCGAGTTCGTTTAGGTCGCGAGCTTACCGCCCGCGGCGACGAACAGCTGCAGGGCGACGATGTCGACGCCGACAACCTCTTCGGTGATGGGATGCTCGACCTGGATGCGGGTATTGACCTCGAGGAAGTAAAACGCCTTCTGCCGGGTGTCGACGATGAACTCGACGGTGCCGGCGGAGACGTACTTGAGCAGCGCGGCGATCTCGACGGCGGCGTCGGACATGGCGCGCCGCAGGGCGGGCGAGAGCCAGGGGCTGGGTGACTCCTCGACGACTTTTGGTGGCGGCGCTGCACGGAGCACTCGCGGTCGAGCAGGCTGATGAATTTCTCGCCGTCGCCCATGACTTGATCTCCACGTGCTTGCCGCTCTCGATGTACTTTTCGATGAGGCAGTGGCTTGAGCCGAAGGAACGCTCTGCTTCGGAGGAGCAGCGGAGGAAGGCTTCTTGGAATCTGTTGGCGGAGAGGGGTTAGGAGACGAGAGAGAAGAAGGCTAAGTATAGACGTAGGGGGTTACTTACTCGGATTTTTCGTGAACGACACGCATGCCCTTTCCACCGCCGCCCGCACTGGCCTTGATGAGGACCGGGTAGCCTATCCTATCGGCCTCGGCTTCGAGATGGGTGGGATCCTGATCGATGCCGCCATAGCCTGGGATGAGCGGCACGGAAGAGTGCTTGGCAAGGTATTCTTTTGCCACTCTCTTGGACACAATCAGCATCGAGATATACGAAGCGCGGGAGAGGTGGGAAAAAGATGAAGCAAAGGGTAACTCCGGGTTGGGTACAAGACGATACCTTGTCTCCGAGCCTCAGGATGGAATCTGGGGTAGGGCCGATAAAGATGATGCCTGCGTCGGCCACAGCACGCGCAAAGTCGGCATTTTCGGAAAGATAGCCGTAGCCTATAGAGATGCAAGCCATCCATGTCAGTTGCCAAGGGGTTCGTTACTCTTGCCGGCGGGCGAAGCTTACCGGGGTGGATGGCGTCAATCTTTGCGGACTTGGCCACCTCGACAAGGCGCTGGATATTCTGATATGGTTGACGGTCGGCTGGGCCAAGACACAGGGCCTCGTCAGCCAGCTTGACATGCACCGAGTTTTCATCTCTAGAGAGCTTCAGTAAAGGACACTACAATTCTTCCACCTCCATCCAGTTCCTTCTCTCTCCTCTCTTTCCCTCTATATCTCTCTTTTTCGTATAAACCACACGAAGGGGAGGGACGCAACGCACTCGTCAGCAAAGACAGCGACGGTGGTCATCATCTGCTGCTTGCAGGTTCGGATGACCCTACACGCGATCTCGCCGCGGTTGGCGATCAATACGCGCTTGATGACAAGCGACCCGTCATTGTTGAAGACTGGGGGCGCCTGGAATAGTGGCGGCCGAGTTTGGGTGGTGGTCGACATGTCCGCGGTGCGGCCTGGGCGGAGCTTGGCTGGCGATGGACAGGCCGGTGCCGAAGGACAGGTAACGGCGCGCGGAAGGTGGCAGGGGGAGCAAGCGAGCGAAGTCAGGAATGGACAATGGATGAAGAAAAAGAGAATCCTTTGACAGGGTAAATATTGGAAATCAGTGCACACGTCAGATTATACTAGAACGGTAAAGGGAGGTTGAGATTGAAACACGGTGAGTAAAGTATTTTATACATATGCACGGGGATTTCAGAGCGTCAGCACGAAGAGAGGATGCCACTGCAATTTGATCCCAAGACCAACCAGCCCATGAATTGGAGTGCCTTCTGAGCCGCGGGCCCAGCTGCGCACTGTCTTACTGTGCTCGGTGGTGTCTCGTTTAGTCTGTCCAATGAATGCATCTGCCGAGGTGGCGGGGAGAACAGGACGGACAAGGGACAGACAAGGGAGTGCAACCGGGTTAACACTGCGTGCAGCCAACCGCAACCCTAATTCTACTCCCCTAACCACCGAGGTGCGGAAAGTGGAGGATGATGGGGGAGAGTAGGAAAAGGGGAGCATAGCATGCAACGTTGGATAGGCGTGCCTCGCCACACTTGCCAAAGGATTCTTGGGGAGGATTTGCCCACAAACCCATTCTACGCTTGATCTGTTCAATTCTTTTAGAGGAAAAAATGTGAAGGAAAGTAAACGCCAGGGAAGACGACGCGAAGCATATAAAGATTGTATTGGAGTTATTTTGGTTTGAATTAAGGCATATAGGACAATACTACAACATTCTTCCTTCACATCCAAATTCCCCTAAAGCTAGGCCTGTCGTACGATGCAGTGCTTTGTCTTGCACGCCTTTCAAATCTTGGATGGACCCTGACGCATAACGTTATCCGGGTATCGCACCGAGTGCATCTGCCCATTGATATGATAATACCCGCCATCAACTGGAATTACAGCACCGGAGATGTAGTTGGCAGCCGGGCTAAAGAGGAAGATTGTCGCGTCTGCGATCTCAGACACAAGCCCGAACCTTTGGAGCGGAATGTTGCGAACTCCCTCGTTGAGGCCCTCCTGGTTGGAGAGGCGGCTGAGACCTTCCGTGGCCGCAGTAGCGCCGGGGCGATGACCTATTTCCAGAGCACGTACTTAGCAACTTGCCTTCGAAGTCGAGCCCTCCCGCTCTTCTTGCGGAGTTCTTGCCCCCGAGGAGACTATAGAGATGTGAGGCAGCGCTCAACTTACGTTCGAGTTAACTCCCCACGGCCCGTACTCGATGCACATCTGTGAGCTGAGTGTGTCTACGCCTGCCTTGGCCGATGCAGCGTGTGTCTGCAGAGGCGTGCCGATATAGTGAAGCGTGGCGGACACGTAGATGATCCTTCCCTTGTTCTTCTTCAGCTGGTCTGCGCAAGCCTTGGTGGCGTTGAAGCTCCCTAGCAGGTCAATGTCGATTACTGTTTTGAAGGCATTGGCTGAAAGATCGTCAAAGGACGACAGGAAATTTCCAGCAGCACCGCAGCTGGGCAGAGAATATGATTGTTAGACATCAACCGTGGCTAGTCCATGGGTCGGGTATCGAAGCCAGGAACTGCAGGTCGCCCCGGGATCTAGCTCACTTACATCAAGAAATCAATCTTGCCCAACTGTCTAACCGTCTCGTCCGCGGCCGCCTTCATGCTCTCCACGCTGCGCACGTCTCCCTGCAGGCCGAGAACCTTGCTTCCCGGACGGAGCGCGGCGATCTCGCTGGCCTTGGCAACCGCAACGTCGGCCTTGCGGCTGATGATGGCGGCATCGGCGCCGAGCTTGACGAGGGCCTTGACCTGGCCGCTGCAAATGGTTCCGGCGCCGCCGGTGCAGAAGACGACCTTGCCGGCTGTGGGTTGGATCGTACGGGAAGCGGTCAGTACTGATGGGACGGCAAGAGGATGGATTGTGGGAGGGGGATTTCTGTCCTTACCAAAGATATTGGGTGCCCAGGTTCTGTGGGAGAAAACCTCTGCGTCCGTCATGATGCGACAAGGATGGTTGATGCTTGTCAGTTAGAAAAACGAGAAAAGCTGTGACAGTTTCACTAATATCGGTCTCTCTAGGTCTCCTTTTTTTCCTTTCTTTATATCTATAATACACGATCTTTCAAGCTTGAATCACGAGTCGCTTCTACGTTGCGCTTTGGATGGGTTCGCGTGTGGTTATGTTCGGGCGTGGCATGGTTTCTCGGCTTTGCCTCCCTCGGTATAGTCGTGCTGTATTAGATAAAAGGGAGGGGCTCCTTGCCGAGGGCCCTTCCCCTCCTCCTAGGCCAGCCACCACCCCCAATATGAACTAGGCAACGTGCATGAGATCGAACTAGGAGGGGTTCCGCTGGCATCAGGGATTTGTTAGAAGAAATCCAATTTATTAGATATAGGAACATAGAGGTTTTATTGTGCGGAGGCACTCTATATGAACAGACAAGAAAGAGAGGGTGAGCGATTGTAACAACTCATGCAAAAATACCATTAAGGCATCTTTGAAAAGAGAATCTTTCATTCCTTTGATGAGGATCTATAATGTAGGAGAAACCTTCTCAATATGACATATGGATATTACGGTAGGCGAGACATGGGAGCCATCACAAAACACTCATGGACCGCACGACGTGCGTGAAGAAAATAAACGAAAAAAGTAAACTGCTTAAATTCTAGAAACGCCTCTCATCCCAGCGTTGCCCTCTCCGGGGCGGTTCCGGATAATCTCCAAGCACATGCCGAGCACGTCACGCGTATCGCGGGGTCGATGACGCCGTCGTCGAGCACCCAGCCCGAGGTCGAGTAGGCGTCGCTCTCGCGCTCCACCTGATTCTTCAGCCCCTCCGTTCTAGCCGAGATCTGCGCCTCGTTGACGGCGCGGCCGGCCTTGGAGGCGGCCTCGCGGGCAATCATCTCCATGACGCCGGCGAGCTGCTCGGGCCCCATGACGGAACACTTGCTATTGGGCCAGGAGAAGAGGAAGCGCGGGGAGTAGGCGCGGCCGCACATGGCGTAGTTGCCCGCTCCGTAGGACGCTCCGCACAGGATGGAGATGTGGGGGACGGTGGAGCGGGAGACGGCGTCGATAAAGGTGGAGCCGGCGCGGATGATGCCGTTTTGCTCCGACTTGGTGCCGACCATGAAGCCGGTGACGTTGTGCAAGAAGATGATGGGGTCGAGGCCTCGTTGCACAGGCGGATAAAGTGCGTCGCCTTTTGCGCTTCGGGGATCATGATGACGGGGGACTGGTTGCCGACGATGCCGACGAGGTGGCCGTGGATGCGGGCCCAGCCGCACAGCATGCCGGTGCCAAAGGTGGCCTTGACGTTTTCGAACCGGCTGTCGTCGACGACGCGGGCCACGACCTCGCGCATATCCATGGGCTGGCGGATATTCACGGGCACGACCTGCAAGATGTCGCGGGGTCGTACTTGGGCGCGAGGATGGGTGCCGCCGGCTCCGGACCGCCGCCGGTCGGGGCTTGCGGCAGGCTGAGGACCCAGTTGCGGGCCAGGGCGCAGGCCTCGAACTCGTCACCGGCAAACGCGTCGCCCACGCCGCTGACCGAGGTGTGCATCTCGGCGCCGCCGAGCTCCTCGGCCGTGGTGACTTCGCCGGTAGCCATGTACACGAGCGGGGGCCCGCCCAGAAACACCTGGGCCTGGTCCTTGACGAAGATGCTGTACGAGGACATGCCGGGCTGGTAGGCGCCGCCGGCGGTGCTGCTGCCGAAGACGATGGTGCAGGTGGGGAGCCGGCGGCGGAGCGCAAGGTGATGTCCTTGAAGCCGACGCCGCCGGCGTGGAACACGCGGAACTGCTGGGGGAGGTTGGCGCCGGCGGATTGGTTGAGGTAGATCATGGGAGGCCGTTCTCGAGGGCGATTTCGCTGGCGCGCTTGCCCTTTTGACGGAGATTTCGTTGGAGGCGCCGCTGTCGAGGGTGGGGATGTTGCCGGCGATCATGACGAGCCGGCCGCTGAATGAGGGGTCCGTCTGTGTTAATCGGGGGCGGGCAAACGGACGCGGATGAGGAAAAAGGTGAACGGGGAGGGGATGGACGTACTGTACGAGGCCGACGCCGCATAGGACGCTGGCGTTGGGACTGGAGTGCTTGATGTTGCAGCCGGCTGTGGGCATGAGTTCTAGGAAGGGGACTCTGGGTCTAGGATTAAGGCCATGCGGTCTCGGGCTGTGCGTACATTGCCGCCGCTGTTAGCACGCGGGTGCATCTCATGTGAGGTTCAGCTTGATGAGTGTGCTTACCTGAGAGCATTCCGCGCTCATGATGTCTCCTATATTGATTCATTAGCCCAGAGCTCCCACGACGAACAAAAGGGGATAAAGAAAGATGAGGCGTACTCTACGTGTTTGCTGGGCCCCTCGCCCGCCGCCCACTGCATCACATCCTCCCATTTTTCCAGCACAGGTTGCCACGCCGCCGCATTGTCTTGGCAGACCTTATCGGACGGCGCGAGCTTGGTGGTGTATTGGCGAAACATGCCGAAGACGAAATGCGAACGGCTTGTTCACGCCGGCGGTGAGAATCCCGGGGTAGGCTGAGGAAGAAGAGAGGGTTGAAAGAAATTAGGGAAATGTGAATAAAGACGGAAAATTGCCGCCTGCGTCTTGCTAGAGATGTCGATGATGGGATGAATCGAGGAGTGCGATTCAATCAATCACTCGGAAGCTGGCGGGCGCGAATGGATGCGACGACGGTGGTTGTCCGATTCCAAGGAGCACGGTAAGCTAATAAAGAAAAGCGCTGTTGGCGGTCGTGCCTTGAATGTACCGATACAACTCGCCCCAAATCCTTTGTCCGATGGTGGGCGTGTGTGGCTCAACCAGTTGCCTTTTTCAAAGTCTCACTGTCTCACCGTCGTATTACGCTTGGGCGCTTCACGGGCTCATTCGTCTCTGACGTCTTGCTACACTGGGAAAGACACCAATGAAAGTAACGTCCCACCCTCCCGAAGGACACTCCAAAACCCGCTGGCCCCAAATAACCACAAGTACGTGCCATACCCTGACCGAGGTGCGTGACCTCGGGTTCCCTTGCCTCGGGGCGCACCGTCACGACAACCACCACCGCCCAGGACTTCGGCCCCTAGACAATAGCCAGCTTTTTCGTTAGGTCTCGGTCCCGGTCTCCAATTCCATAGTGGATTAAATGTATATGAGAGCGCTCAATAGGACCCGATTCACGGATCTAGTTTTGACAGGGATTGCTCGTCCCCGACACTCGAACCAGAACATAGAGCTTTGTGCTCAACCAACAACGATACGACGAGATCGCTTAGCTAGGCGAGCGACTAGATCAAACCATGAAACGACAGGTTAGGATAGGATGCTACAGGTTTGTTCTTCTATAATTAATCTTTCCCGGCGCAGATTGTTTCTCCTCTCGCTAACCATCGCCGCAGCGCCTTCTGGGGTGACACCCCGGCGCCAGCCGCCAGCTTGTCGAGGCCGAGGATGCTCAGCTCGACTACCTTGTGGCGGATTACCTAGCAGGTGTGTCTCGAGAGAAACTGAATCATCATGATGAATGGGGAAGCACGAGAAGAGATTCCTACACGCTCCCACCTTTCTCAATAAATATCGAGAAAAGCTCGCTAATCGTTCTCCTCGTTCCCAGAGGTGACCATGGGCCTCCTCGCCCGCGCCTCCAACGCCCCTCCCCGGCCGGGCTCCACCAAAAGGCCCCCGGCTACATCAAAGAGTTCGCCACCTTTGTCCTGGAGCCCCTCCTCCCCCAGATCCTCCAAAAGAAGATCAAGGTCGTCACCAACGCCGGCGGCCTCGATCCCGTAGGGCTCAAGAACCTGATCGAGGACATGGCCGCGAAAAGGGCTTCGCCGATCAGGTCCGCGTGGCCGCCGTGTACGGCGATAACATCGTCGCCCGCAAGGACGAGCTCCTGCGCGAGGGCGCCTTTTCCGCCTTTAACCCTCTCAACGCCGGCGCCGGCGACGAAGAGATGCTCGGCGCCGCAGGGGAGCACGCCATCCTCAGCCTAAACGCCTACACCGGCGCCGAACCCGTGACCAAGGCCCTGCAGGCGGGCGCCAACATCGTCGTCACCGGCCGCTGCGTCGACAGCGCCCTCGTCCTGGGACCCCTGGCCCACGAGTACGGGTGGGACTACGCGCGGCTCGGCGACCAGGCCACCCTCGACCGCCTCGCCGCCGCCTCGCTGGCCGGCCACATCGTCGAGTGCGGCGCCCAAGCCACGGGCGGCAACTTTACCGACTGGGAGCTCTCGGCCGGCAGCCCGCACGGCGGCTGGGCCAACATGGGCTACCCCATCGTCGCGTTCGAAGAGGACGGCAAGTTCACCGTCACCAAGCCGCGGGCCACAGGCGGCCTGGTGACGCGGCACACGGTGGGCGAGCAGATGCTCTACGAGGTGCTCGACCCGGAAAACTACATCCTGCCCGACGTCGTCGTCGACCTCGCCCGCGTCACGCTCGAACAGGTCGCCGAAGACGTGGTCCGCGTCGCCGGCGTGCGCGGAAAACCCCCACCGACTGGCTCAAGTGCACCGCCGTCCGGCAAAAGGGGTTCCGCGTTAACGCCGACATGATGCTCTTTGGCGCCCGCGCCGCCGACAAGGGCAAGGTGCTCGGCGAGGCCATTCTCCAGCGCGCCCGCGCCGTCGCCGAGGCCGAACTCCGCGCCGCCGGTAAGACGGAGGATTTCGTCGGCTTCGAGTCCAAGGTCATCGTCGTCGGCGCCGAGCACTCGCTGTCCCCTGCTGCAGCGACCGACGCCGCCGCGCGCTCGCGGGAAGTCGTGGTCCGCATCGTGGCCAAGCACGTCCGCCGACACGTGCTCGACGTGTTGGCGCGCGAGGTCGCTTCGTTCGGCACGAGCAGCGCGCCCGGCATCGGCATGTTTAGCAGCGGGCGGCCGAAAATCTCGCCCAACTTCCTCGCCTCGAGCGTGCTGATTCGCCGCGGCTTCGTGCATCCGCAAGTCGTTGTCGGCAACTCGCCCCCGTGGCCGTGCCACTGGAGACGCGCGGCTGCCGAGCCGTGGTGCCGGCGGCCTCGGCGCGAGGCTTGGCTTCGTCGCCCGAGGTGCGGCGCAAGACCGTACTCACCGGCCACGGAACGAGGTGTAGCCTGCTGGACCTGGCCGTGGGGCGCTCGGGAGACAAGGGCGACACGTCCAACGTGGCCTTCATCTCCCGGAACCCGGCGTTTTACCCGTATATACTGGACCAGGTCACGCCCGAGGTGGTGGCCTCCACCCTCGGTGAGCTGCTTCAGCCCGATAGCGCCGTCACGCGGTACGAGGTGCCGGGTGTGAACGCGGTCAATTTTGTGCTTACGAGGTCCCTCGGCGGAGGTGGACTTGATAGCATGGCGCTGGATAGGTATGGACGTTTACCCACCCACTCTCACTCATTTCGTCTACTTTGTTTGGTTTACTTTACACTTTACTGACAACCGTGTTTTTCTTAGGCAAGGAAAGGGATACGCGCAGCTTTGCCTGGCGTCGATTGAGCTGGATATCCCGCTCGAGGTTCTTAATCAAGCTAGGCTTTAGGCGTGGAGGGTGAGATGCGTAGCTATACTGTGGGCGGTTGTACTATGAGATACTCTATGTGTAGAGATAGGAGGTATTTAGTTCATCGTAGTGGAATATGTTTGAGGAAGAATCTTGAATTCAAGTGTTATATTTTTCCATCCAGAAAAGATCCCGTCATTCCCCTCTGGGTACGTCGTAATTTTCCATGATGATGATACATCACCCTCCATGAACCTAATAGCGTACTACTATCTTGCGTTCCTTCTCATCTGGTTTTCAATTCACAAATTTTAGTTCATTTCTGATCCTGAGAAGCTACACGCAGGTCATGGATTCACTGCTGGTCGTCTCGCGCATGGCAGGTCTGACTATAGGAAAACCACTAAAGGAAACCGGAATTGCGTGAAGTATCTATAAGTTGTATGCAATCCTGCTGTTTACGGTGCCGAGAAATATAGCCACGGATCTAATACTGGATAGATTGATCCATTGGGATGTACCTGCCGTGCGCATTCTCTCAAGGATCAGAGCAGGCTTGAATCAGCAGCCAATTGGGGCTGACACCTCGGCTTGACCCACACCCCTAGCTTCAACCAACGTCAACCTGCGACCGTTCCCAGCTCTCATCCGAGTATGGGCCAATATTAGTATCTATCGCTCGCGTCCTCGCGACCTTCATTCACCGGACTCAGAAAATAGCCTGCGTCAATCATTTTTCTTGGCCGCAAGAGAATGCCAAATACAGCCACTCCCCGACACTCTTAGCCCCATGATCAGGAAACCTCTCCCACCTCTCGTCGCAAACATGGCACCCTCCACCCCTGCCAAACCAGTCGCCTGGCTTCCCGACACCAAGCTCCAGCCCACCCCGTCCAAAGAATACGCCGTGTACCGGCACAGAGCCTCCATCAAGATCGAGCTCACGCGCCCCAACAACCGCAACGCCCTCACCGCCCCCATGGTCGACGAGCTGCAGGCCCTGTACGAACGCCTCGCCCAGGACGCCTCCGTCTTCCGCATCTACCTGACGGGCCAGGGCAAAGTGTTTTGCGCCGGCATGGACCTAGGCGCCTCCGGCTCCGCCACCTCGGCGGACGAGAAGCAGCACACCGCCGGCCTACGCAAGTTCCAGAGCCTCCTCCGCGCCATCGAGGGGGCGCCCCAGGTCACCGTCGCCCTCATCAACGGGCCCTGCTACGGGGCGGCAACGGGCTCGCCTTTGCCAACGATATACGCCTCTCCACGCGCGGGGCTACGTTTAACCTGACGGAAGCCCGGCTGGGCATTTCCCCTGCGCCATCTCCCCGTCGTGGCCCGGGAATGGGGAGTACCGCTCTTCCGCTCCGCCACCCTCACGGCCGCTCCTCTCCCCGCCAGTCGTCTGCATGCCTCGGGCGCCATTTATGCGCTGGCTGCCGATAATGCGGAGTTGCAGGGCGCTCTGTGTGCCGAGCTCGAGACGACGCTGTCGGCTTGCGCCCCGGGTGCGTCGGCAGTGTGCAAGGAGCTGGCGGCGGTGGCGTGGAGGAGCCCCGGGGGCGAAGAGCAGGATGAGACGGTGACGAGGCGGTACATGGAGATGATGGCGCCGTCGAAGGAGGCCAAGTTTGGCATTGAGCAGTTTAGGAAAGGGGTTAGGACTGTGGACTGGACTAAACTGGGAGAAGGGAATGGCTCTAAGTTGTAGCTTGAGAGTGCGCCGAGGAAAGTTTGTTACAATAGAGAGAGGTTTCTCTGTTGCTTATACAATGTCCCTGCTAATCGGGAATGAATAATATATGAGAATACAACGAAATCTATGCTTAGTTGCTTTAACGTGACTGCCTTATATCTTGATGGATCCATCGAGTTTAAATAGTTCTTGGCCTTGGTGTATTGGTCGACTGAAACGTGGCTGAGATGACCAACCACTGATGATGGCTAGAGAAACAACCGACCCCATGAGCGGCGGGAGATTTTCATCGTGTAACAATGAATGATCAAGACCTTAATTTACGGGTGACTGCCTATATAAAATCAACCTCCTCAATGCGCCATCCCCATCCAATATCGGTATACTTGTCTAGATACGCGACGGGCCACGCCGGCTCTTCTTCGACTTCTTCTGCTTCTGCTCCTCCGCAAAGCCCAACAGCGCCTCGCTGCACTCCGAGTGCGCGATCCGCTCCACGAGACACTCGCACTCCCTCTCGTTCGCCGCCAGCAACTCCGCCTGCCGGTTCCCCTCCATGAGCTTCTTGGACGCGGCCAGCGCGATGGGAGGGTACGTGGCTATCCTCTCGGCCACCTCGAGCACCTGGCCCATGAACGCGGCGTTGGAGTGCGCGGGGATGATCTTGGTGACGAGCCCGGCGGTCCAGAGCTCCGTCGCCGACATGCGCTGCCCCGCGAGGAGCAGGGCCGCGGCCTTTGGTGGCCCATGATGGCGCTGAACGTGACGCTCGAGCAGCCCTCGGGGCACAGCGCCCACTTGCTAAAGGGCGTGAAGAAGTAGGCGTCCTGCACCGCGTACACGAGGTCGTAGAGCGCGAGCGAGGTGGTGCCGTAGCCGGCGGCCGGACCGTTGACCGCGGCGATGAGGACCTTGGGACAGGTGATGAGGATCTCGTTGAGCTCTTTGAAGTTGTTGAGGACTTCTTGCGGGTCGAATTCGCCGCCGTCTCCGCCCATGTCTCTCCCTGGAAAGATTGGGAGTTAGTTCATGTGCTTTGCGTTTGCGTGTATAAGATTGAGCTTACCTGTCGTGAAGAACTTGCCGATTCCGGTTTGTACAATCACCTTGACCTCGGGATTGGCGACGGCCCATTTCATCGAATCCAAGTAAGACTGCCCCCGGGAAAGTTAGTAGATGCCCGTGGATATTTCGGTGGTAGGAATGATTCTCGGGCCCTTTCAAACTCATACCTTTAGTACCGTGGGGTGTAGCGAATTTCCACTTTCCGGTCGGTTGTAGGCCAGGATGGCCACGCCGTTCTTGAAGCTAGCCGAGAAGCCATTGAGTTTGGGGATAGGATACGACATGATGGTGCGACGGCTAGGTGTCGGATTGGCTAACTCGTCGTAAGGGCGAGTTTGCGGTTTTCCCGTTGGCAAGGGGGAAAAGCAACAAAGAAAGAAGCAAAGATTAAAAAAATTAATCAAGCCACAGGATAATATAGAGTGGGGAAAGAAAACAATCCTCATAGCCCTTGCGCGCAAGGTCGTGACACGGGCATGGTAACGTTAAAAGAACGAGATCCTTCCTCTGGGTCGCACCTCGTGCGAGCTGGCTCGTTCGGGTGGCGGTGACCTCGGGTTTGAAGATGAACGACGGTAAAGGGGGTTTCGGTCGAGAAGTGGGACCTTTGTGCCAGGTCAGCAGCTCCTTCCCAGCACCCAGGATTCGTAACGAGGTCTTCCCTCGTTGGGTCTTACCTTCCCCATGCTCTTGCTGTCGTCACTGGAGAAGGGACCGAGGGGCGGAAGTTCACCAATGGGAATCGTTCGGTTTACGGGTGACAGTGCTGGGAGGTACCCCACAGGCCAAGGCAATTTGGGGCTGGCCCCCTTACGGAAACCCCGCATCAGCGTTCAAGTTCCTCCACTGTAAGCTTATTCTCCGCTTTCGTACTGGGCTCTGGGGTAGCTTACAGGGTCATTATTGGCCAGGCGATCCAATCATACCCCTTACCGAGGTCCTGAACAGCTGCTATTATGGAGTCGCTAGGGCGAGTGTTCCCCACCTGTCACGTCAAACGTACCGCGAAGCCAGTCATTTCTCAGCAAACACCTTGTTGCTGGACGAACCTGGTCCAGAGTTACCCGGGAGAGAGCTGGCCCTGGCACAGCGAGGGAACTCTCGACAGCAGCCATTCCTGTTCCTAGTCCCGACTACCGAGACAATCCCTACCCAGGCTCGACATCAATCATGACACCCCCACCGGCGAATGGCGGGCAGCTAGAAACGGGTGGCACCGCCGCCCCTATTTCAAGTTTGATACGAGGCTCGACTATTACATGCAACTGGCCGAGGAGTCCGGTTTGGCAGATGATGCTTCCAGTGAAGACGAGCATGGCCCCGGCGTAGATGCAGATGGGCCGCAGGACGCCGACATGGGCGACTCGGGAGTCCGGGGTCCTGGTCCGGCGGTTCCGGCTCCTGCCGCGACCCTCGGTGATACCGTTGCAGCGGTCGGCGCACCTCACCACGGCATGTCTCCGGACTTTCCTATTCACAGTCCCCAAAGTACCCCTGGGTCGGCGTACCCGGATGTTTCCCGGCTTTCGAACTCGGCGAGCAGCTCCGGCGCGTTCCAAGTGACGCCGGATGGGCGGAGAAGTTATTTCGGGCCGACGAGCTACGTGCATCTCGCGCGTAGTTCGTCCACCCTGTGGAATCGCCATGCGAAGCAACAGGGTAGCTCCCCGGCTCCAGGCGCTAGCAGGTTACTCGTGCCGCAGGAGAAGCAGGAGTTGGAGAACAACCTCGTCGACTGCTTCTTTACGTGGGATAATATATTTCTTGACGCGTTCGACGAGGGCATCTACCGCCGCGACAAGGCCCGTTACGAGGCTGGTCAGGAGTGCTTCCTCTACTCACCGACCCTCGGTTACGCCATGTAAGTCGTTTTACAGTTGTACCAGAGCCGCGTGGCCATCCGCTCACCGCTCGTGTATAGACTTGCTGTGGGTCAATTGTATGCCTCCGACTCGGATTGGATGGCGGATGATCTATCACAAAATTTCGGCTCTCGGGCGAGAGGCTTGGTGACGGCGGAGCTCGACGCGCCTTCCGTCAGCACGGTGATGGCGCTCATCATTCTGTGTTCTCTGAGTGCCGCGGAAGCGCTTGATGATCAAGGTAGGCACACACAGTCCACAAGATTCGGTCTCGAAATTTGACAAGTTCTTACTAACATGTTGGGAACAGGGTGGTTCTATTCAGGTACGAAAAAAGTTACCTCATTTCCAGATATGCACGTGGCGAGGATTTGCTAACTCGCATCGTTAGGCACCGCTCTCCGCCTGATAACAGCTCTGGGGCTCGACCAACAAGGCTCCCTATTCCATCCAGCGGAAGACCTAGCAACGCTACAACTTTTGCAGAGAAGCATCGTTGTAGGCGCGACGTGTCTTGACACGTATGTTTGACCCCGGCCCCGTCCTCTACGCTGGAGCATGGTGCTAACGTCGTTTTCCTAAAGAGCTTGGCGCGGTTGGTGTGGAAGGGTAGCCGACTTGACGTCAAATTCTCCGATCCCAGCGACCATGCTTCAAGGTATGGAAACCGCACGCTTTGAGGATCCTCGGCGTGAAGAGGAGTCGCGCTTCTTAATCTTAGGACTGATACACCGCAGTCTCCTGACGCAACTGTACGTCCAATCCCGCACATGAGCGCAGCAGGTTTAGTATGCTCACATTATATCTAGATCCGGTGGGAGCGGTGACCTAGACGGGATCCTTGCGGCGCTCCAACGGTGGCACGCCTCATCTTTAGAAAACAGCAACCAAACAGATATGCGAACAATGTCACTGAGGATACAATCACTGTACGCGCCACTTCTCGCTGCTAAAAAAGAAATACAAAAACTAACCGCGCCCCAGGATGTATTATCACGGCATCGTCATCCAGCTCCACCGGCTCCGCACGAACGGCAGCCCAGCCTCCGAGCTCTCCCACCCCACCTTTTTCCCCAAGCGTGCATCGAGTCCGCAAACGAGATCTCGCGGCTGCAGCACGTTTTCCGACAAACGTACGGCCTGGGCCGGCTCCACCCGTTATCCACGCATCCCATGTTGGCGGCCAGCTTGGTGAGCGTGCAGAGCTTCGCGGACGCGCCGGCGCAGTCTCGGGAAGCGAGGCAGGCGAGGCAGAATGTCTTACGGTCGATCCAGGTATTTGGCGAGGTCGCGGAGACGCTGAATGTGGGGGCACGAGCGCTGGATATCGTCATGGCTGCGCAGCGTGGGTAAGGAGGAGCAGGAGGGAAGTAGGCGTAGGCTCGTGTAACAACATGCGTAGGGTTTTGGTGGTGTTTTTAGGGTATAAAAGAGTCTGTTGATGTGCACATATAACGTGGTTTAGCTTGAAAACTATGTCACACAGGGCTGAAGAGACCGTCTTTAGTGTAACACTTTGATTTATATGGAAGATGAATTCCGTTACACTAGACTTGAGGGCTGCTGTCGGATCCACGCGTCTTCGTTTTACCGGTGGGTAGTGCGGACGGATTTCTTCCCTACTGAGACCGCCTCAATTGTGCTATCAAGCGGCAAAGCGGGTACCAGCTAAAATGGGCGCAGGCAGCTGTAGGACGGCGCAGGTGATGCGAATACTTGTTGGCTTCTTATTCTGGTTTCTACTCCATCCCTGAAAGGAGCAATAAACGACCTGCAAATAGCAATAGGCGTTGCATCAACCTCACAAGTGCTACTTTCCCTGTCCATTGTTTCCCGGAGGTGTCGAACGTTTTGCGCATCCTGCCCCAACCTCGTCTCGTTGAGTTGGGTGGCGTGGAGGTCAGGCGCATCATGGACCGATTATGAGAGGGACCCCTACTTGTGAAGGAGAGCGTCAGGGGAGATGGTATTCGGTTTGGTCGATGCCATTTAGAGGCGCATCAGACGGGATAACTGCGAAGGATTGTTTGGCTCTGCTTTTTCGGCCAGCGTAGCCAGCTCGTGAATCTCTCATCCACCAACTTTACCACTGTCGTAATGATATGATCCATCCACCCTTCCATATACCAGCATTTGCTCATAGTCCCAAATAGTAGGGCATAATATGCAAGAATGATTAGTGGTATTGGCTCTCGCCGACGCACACAGTGGATAAACTTGTTATCTAGCCGGTAAAGCCAGCCAAAGACGAGGCCGTTCTCCGAGGGACCGTCATACACGCCGTCACCTCTCCCGTATACGGCTTCGTAGATAACGATGAGCTGATCAAGTGCCCGTAAAAGGACCGGCGCGTTTGGGCCCTGGTCGTCGTGGACCAAACTCCGCAGCTTCTCCAGCGGTTCTTCCCAATCAAGGCGAGGGAATCCTTGGCGGACGAAAACCGGCCCCGATTCTTCGTTTGCCGGTGCGTCGGACGGGCCCAAGGGCGCCATCAACCCGGAGAAGAGTACGGACTCATCCACGGCGGCGCGGATCAATTTCAGCCCTCGAATCATGGGCAGCCACCGCGCAGGCTCTGCGTCGTCGTCGTCGCCGCCGTCTATATTGCATACAAGTAGGTCGCCCGGCGTCGTAGGCCCGGCAGCAAAGGAGCAGTAGCATACGAGGACTGCACCAATGTAGAGGGCCCCGCAGTTGTTGGGTCCGATGTTGGCCAGCTCTTTCACCATGTCCGAGACGCCCGCGGAGAAGTGCTGGTCTGCTACGGATGCCAAACGGGGTTGCCGCGTCTTGTCAGTCTCGAGAGACGCCATGTGGCGTCCCGTAACGGCAAAAATGAGACGGAGGACGAAGGGGTGGGCGAATCCGATGCGCGGCGCATTGCTCTTCCAGAACTGGACCATGCGGTCCTCCTTGGCCTTTTCATCGTCGTCTGTGGCAAAGGTCTGCGCTGTGCGAGTGAGGAAGTGGAAGAGTAGTTCTGCGTCGGCGACGTTGATAGCGGACACGAGGCTGTCGGGCTCCGTGGACGATGCCGGGGTCAGGACGGTGGGTGAAGAGGTCGCATCAGAGGCCGCTGGGCCATCGTCGAGCGGTGTCCAATCCTTGCGTGGGCGTCCTCGACGGCGCCGTGGAGGTTGTTGTGGTGGACTTGTCTCCTCTGGCTTCTTGATGGGTTCGGGAGACATGCGATGCCGCCGGCTGAGTAGTGTCATCCAGTGAGCAGGTGATGTTGAATCGAACACAGTTGTAACAAGTTGGCCTTGCCTCATCGCACTATGCCCGAAAGAGAGTTCAGTCAAATGGCCGTTAGTCGAAGCTGAAAGGGCCAGCGAAGTTTGGGATACCAACGAACCTTGACTTTTCGCCTCTTGCAATTCGCACATCCCGCCCTCGACTTGCGATGCGATCTCCTAGCCCGCGCGAGGTGAGTCGGTAGAGATGTCATGGTCCATAGAGCAACTCGTGGTCCCCGTCAACCTTTGTCGTCCATGACATCGAGTTTCAGATGCGCCTGGTCGGGATTGATAACGAGAGCGAACGCAAGCCCAGGGAATGGATAGAAAGTTGTTGCGAAAATTCAATGTTCGCACATGTACCGAAGAAAAGGAGAAATCTCCGAAGCAAGCCATGCCTTTTCTGGCATAACCACTTCCTCAAACTTGGCCGTGCTTCGTGGACTGCGGTGCGTGGGACCTGTGGGGCGGATTGTTCCATGACGCGTCCACTGCCAGGGGAACCCGCCGCAAGTTATTTGTGGAATTTAAGCACCTGCGGAGGTGGCGGGATTGGCTGATTATTCGTATTTCGAATGCGAAAAACCAGGGCGAATTTTCGCATTCACGATGCGAAAAATGCATCCACTTACACATCATGCTTCATTCGCTCCCCGTTCCATCACGAATGGCAAAGGAGGCGGGGCATCGAGAGTAGCCGCGACAGTAGATCATTCAATGGTCTTTTTTGACGTATTCGATTGTATAAAAGACAGACTCATTCCCGGCATCCAAGATGTAAACACATCAGCTGTAAAGTCCCCCTGGCACAAACCGCCCTATCTATCTACTCCTTGCCACTTCTCATCTTCTTGAGTCTTTACCATCTTAGCCCTTTGCATTGCAAATTGCAAGTCAGGATGAATGTCGATCCACCATTTGGCCCCGTTGTCAATGGCACCCAGATCGTAGTCTTCTACTATTATAGGCCGAACCAGCCAGCGGCCTATACCTTTGTCGCTTTGTTCGGCCTTGCGACGTTGGGCCATCTCATCTACCTAATCCGCTTACGTTCCTGGTTCTTCATTCCCTTCATTCTCGGTGGGATTGGTATGTAGTCGAGGCCATCGCAGGGTTAGAGATCTTTTACTAACGCAATGCGTCTCCCGTGTCTTGTAGCCGAAACCTTTGGCTACTTTGGCCGCGCCCAGTCGTCGAACAACCCTATCAAAGCCGGACCTTGGATCCTCCAAAACTTCCTCCTCCTCTCCTCTCCGCCATTACTTGCCGCCACGATATACATGGCTCTCGGCCGCATCATCAGGGCCCTCGACGCATCCGACCATTCCATGATCTCACCACGTTGGCTCACGAAGCTCTACATCCTCGTCGATATCGGCTGCCTCGGTACACAGGTCGCCGGCTCCGTCCTGCCAGCGTCGGGCGACCCAGATGTCGTCGAGATGAGCAAAAGATTATCCTCATAGGCCTCATCGTGCAACTTGTCGCCTTGTCGATTTTCGTCCTCCTGGCTTGGCAGGTGCATCGGCGCACGAAGCGGAGCCCGACTAGCGTCATGGTGAAGGATCCGTCTATGAACTGGGAGAACCACTTTCGGTGTGTGCAGCTAATCACGGTGGCTATTATTGTGAGAAGTATAGTGCGGATGGTGGAGTATATCCAGGGTGACGGCGGCTTCGTCATGTCACACGAAGTATTCATCTACCTCTTTGATGCAGCGCTCATGTTCTCCGTCATGCTCACGTATCTGATTCTGCATCCTGGGAGATTAGTGAGGGATGCAAGGCGACTCAGGAAATCTCACTGGGGACTTGATGGGACTCCTCTAGTTAAGGTCTAGCAGAACGCCCATGTTTATGTATCAGCTTGGTTATTGCGAGACGGCAGAAGGGACCAACACATCAAGGTTTAAAAGTATGAGTTTGCATCCTCTCCTCTATAGATCGAAAGCACCAAAAAAAAAAAAACAATCGATAAGAAGTTACCAACGTTACATACCATCGTAGAGCCAAAAAGTCGCTAATATTCTCATAACAAATAGCCCCTTATGCCTTTCAGCTGCTACGAGGACTGGAATATGGCGCCAGCTAGAATCAGTCACCTTAGATTACCACCAGGGCGATGACGCACTTAGTAACAAATCGAGTTATTTCTGCCATGATGGCAAAGGCATCTGCTCGCCGGACCAACGCACCGCAAACTAGACACGAGAAATGTACAAGAAGTGAAGACTAGGAACTCGCAACGTCTCACGTTGCACAGCAGGCTGCACCGCTGCTTAAAGAGCGATTAGCATACTAGGACCGCGTGTCCCAGACTCGCAAGGCGTGGAATAATTTTGGGAAAATTCCAAGGCGCGTGTTAGTTTCAAATAAGCAGGCTCCTGTGCAATATTATACCCGAACTTGCTCTAGAGATGAACGGACGCCAAGAAGAAAGGAAAAGCTGGAAGCGGAGGATCAAATGATGCTCCATCAAGTCACAATAGATCTTTGTGTGGAGGAATGGGTAGAACGGGGAAATGGTCATAGGCGGATCCGTGATGAGGGATGGTGATAGGGAGGAAAGGGTTCCCAGAAGGGAAGCCGTTCCAAACTATGTAGCCAGGTGTGAGAGCTCGGGTCGAGCTGATCCGTGGTACTACGAACAGTAGTGCTCCAACCAACACATTGTCCCCGCATGAAGCTCGGCGCAATCAAAGGTACTCCTTACTCCGTTGTCGCCCGCATGCGTGGGGGAGGGTGTCAAAACATGACCCGCTGCGACACTGCAAGGTCATCACCACAACCAACAGCTTCTCGACATATCTGGGCTAGCCACCTGACGCCTCAAAAGACCCCGCGCTCGTTATTGTGCCGTTTTCTAAACTGCCCCAAAGTCTTGCGTCTACCTACCCTTCCTTTTCGGCCCTCTTTTTATCCCTTGATCGCTCCCTCGTTAACTTTTCACCTTGAAGCCCGACCACTCTGGTGTACATGTAGACTCTAACGGGACCTAAAACAATGGATAACCCTCCACCCGACTTTCCCGACCACTACCAAGTCTTGCAAGTAGGATTCGGCGCAGATGAGGCAGCCATCAGAGCCAGCTTCAAGATGTTGGCCAGGATTCGACATCCAGACAAAGATCAGAAGAATCCCAACGCCACAGCAGCGTTTCAGCAGGTGGGACCCCGATCAGTCCCCTCACCCCACTCTTACTTCTCTCGTGGAGAGGTAGTCCTGCTCCTCGATAGCCCCTCTCACATCTCGTACTCAGCGTGCACGATGCGCCTGGGCCTGGGGATGCAAGAGGTGGGGGTTGTGGGCAATCGGGAAGTTGGGTGATCTTGTGCCTAACAATATATACCGCATTGTAGTTAGAAGCGGCCTACTCGGTGCTGATCGACCCCGCTCAACGTCGCGACTACGACTCCCAGAGAAGGGCGAACCCAACCAAAACAAGACACAACCCCGAACCTCAACCTTCCGCCCCGGAACGCAACGAAGCCAGGAAAATCCGCCGCCGCCTGTGCATTTTCAGTGTCAATTGTGCCATAGATATTTTACGACTGGAGACGATCTGGCGGCCCACCGCGCCATATGGAAGGATAGAGGATACAGGTGCCATGTTTGCGACATAGACTTCAAGTGCAGCGACGTGAGCCAGAAGAAGCACGTCACTACGTTTCACTACCGCTGCGCCGTATGTCCCGCCTATTTTGGCTGTGATGCGGAGAGGCTACTGCACGCCGTGAATCACCAATTCCAGTGCCACGACTGTGACTCGTGGTTTACGACGCTGTCCGAGGGGACCCGCCACCCAGCCCGGTGTCAGGATTGCACCAAACTCTTCCGCTTAAAGCTGGAGCTTTATAGATACTTACAAAATCTCGACGGGTACACTTGCCAGTGGTGCTCTAAGAGATTTTCGACAAGCCGGGAGCGAGATACCCACGTATATGAGCACCACGGGAACACTTGGTGGTAGTGCTACGAGAACTCTTGGACAAGACAGGATCGGGATGATCACGTTTCGCGGAGCCACTCTTGTCCCTGCAGAGTATGCTTTTGTAGCGAGAAGTCGGAGGGCGAAGAGGAGAGGATGTGGTGCATTGAACCCGAACATGCGTTTCCGCACTATGACCTTGATAGGACGGATGAGTTGCCTCTCACGGGCGAGGAGCCGTACCCTTGTCCCGTGTATACCTGTTGAAAGGGATCTTATGGACCTATTATAGTGGGTATACAGCGCGGCAGAGGCATCTCTATGTCCCGAATAAGCGGTAGTCTCAGTCTGTATCGAGCAAGCTGCTCAGCCTGCGTCACCGGGCGTCTTACCTCGACTATCGCCTGGGAACCACAGTCTCATCTCAGCGCCTGCATCAGGCAGGGCTGAAAATCTACAGTCAACGAGGACGGACGAGTTTCCCGGCAAACTCTGGTTCGGCAAGGCGCTTGTATACCAGCTTTTTGCACGTCGTCTCGCGTCTGAAATGTTCAAAGCGGCTTACAGTAGGGCAAAGGTTAGGCTCGGCATACAGAAGACAGGGGGCTTCTATCCTAACTGTGTCGGCAGTGACTTCGCTGCGTGCACTTTATTTCGCGTGAGTAGCATCATAAGGCGAGGTGTTTCAACGCATTCGCAGGGGCTAGGATATGAGACCCGTGCATTCGAAGAGATGGGTATAGGCAATGTCATTGTTGAGTTTGGATAGAGTAAAGCTGTGAATTGGGAATAGTCAGTAATACATCGAATTAGGCCGTATGGGTGAATAACCGATAACATGTCATACATCTAGTCATGTATCCGCGTATACCCTTAGTTTTCATTCAAAAGTGGTGGTACCTGTGTGGGACCAATCAAGTCGGTAGGCATAAAAAGAAAAGCAGATAGGATCGCCAATTCCACTCTACTAGAGCTCCTACGTCGGGTTCAAGGAAGTAGCGCAACTAGTACATGTAGGGCATGTAGCTGAAGTGAGTGGTTTGACATGTTTCCTCCCGTAGTCATGCACCATTCAACATAAACAAAAGTCGATACTCGGCAGTGGAACAGGAAGCTGTATTGACGCCGTCACGCTCATAATTTCCTCCTTGATGATACTGCAGTTGAGAACTATATACAGAGATCTACCCACATCTCTGGCTCCACAAAGGCCTAGAGGAAAAACAGGGATACACCTCACCCGTTAAAGCTTCTGGCTCCTGGCCTCCTTGAGTTTCACCGGCAACAATCGCCTCAAAATCTTGCCCGTTGGGTTCTTGGGCAAGACTTGCAAGTGGAAAACACCACCCCTCAGCTTCTTGTAGCCAGAGACACGGGAATCGGCCCATGCGCGGATCTCATTTAGTAGGGCGTCCTTCTCGCGCGGCGGGAGCTCCGCGTCCTTGGGGCTCAGGCTCACGTAGGCCAAGGGCACCTCGGTTGCCTCGGCGTCGTCGTAGGTAGAGCAGACGGCGGCGTCGAATACCCGGGGGTGTTGCAGCAGGAGATCTTCCAGCTCGGATGGGGCAACTTGGAATCTGCGGTGGAGTTAGCAAATTCCTATTCTATTAGAACATGGGGTTCACAATGAAGTGCTGGAGGTACTTGCCCCTTGTACTTGATCATCTAGAAGAGCAGGTTAGTATTAACTCGAGAATCTTCATCGTTTACTGGTAAGAAGGAAGGCTTACCTCCTTGAATCGATCGGTGATCCATAGGGTTCCCTTTAGCATTTTTCCAATGTCACCCGTCCGCAACCATTCACCGGAAAACGTCTGCTTTGTCGCTTCCTCGTCGTTGATATAACCCCTAACACTAATGTTAGATATCCGGCATGTCAGATTAAACTTCTTGGACCTACATCATGACCTGCGGGCCACGAATCCACAGCTCGCCTTCTTCGCCTCGTGGCACATCCTTAAGCGTTTCAGGATGCACAAGCCTCAATTCTCTGCGGGATCAAGATTAGTAGATGCCTCGGTTTCGTGCATGCAGGCTACAGAAAAGCAGTAGAAACTCACGTTCCCGGAAGAATCTTTCCAACTGTTCCAATCTGGTCCTCGTCTTGTTCGAACTGGTGCGAGACGGAAGGGGAGCATTCGGAAAGCCCATAGCCTGTGAGTCGCGGGTTAGTCAAGGCTCTAGGACCTCATTCCTATGGAGTGAAGACCGAAGTGAACATACCCTGACAAACGGAAGCTTTGGGGAGCCTCTGCTTCAATTTCTTTTGTAGTTCAGCCTACGAGACGAAGTCGTTTGTTAGACATGTTGCTGAAAGAGAAGGCAATTCGACAACGCTGTGAGTATGTTCTTCTAACCTTGAGAGGAGCTGCCGCTACAACGATACGGCTAACTGAAGTCAAGTCGTATTTCTGAGTGGCGGGCGAGGATGCGAGAAGAAGTGCGACGGGAGGGACGATGTGCATGTCGGTAGCTTTGATCTCGGCCGACTTTTCGCAAAACCTCTCAAGAGCAAATTCTTTGAGGCCGTGGATGCGGCCGCCGACCCACATTCCGGTCAAGACAACGGCAAAAAGGCCGTAAATGTGACAGTCTACATGATCGCTCGTATTAGCGCAAGGCCCAAGGAAGTTGGAAACGCGGATGCGTGCAAAAGGCTACACAGGGGGACGTACAGGGCGGGAACCAAACTTCGCGAATGTCGGACGACTGGCGGTTCGGCAGGGCAAGACGGATCTGGAGTACATTGGCGATGAGGTTGAAGTGGGAGAGCTTCACGCCCTTCATGCGTCCGGTAGTTCCGGAGGAGAAGCAGATGGTGCTAAGAACATCTTTGGCAGCTTTGCCGCCGAGATCGTAGGGAGGGAGGCTTTCCGCATCCGATGCGCCGATGATGTCAACGGGAAACTGAAAATGGGAACATACGCAGTCAGTACACGGCAGTATCAAGGCAGACTCCAGGGAGAAAAAGAAAAACGAGGTTGAAATATAGTGCGCCAACTCACCTGTGGGGTGCTACCGGATCGCCCGTGAAGAGTAAAGACCTTGGGCTTGACGGCCGACTTGCTGATGGCAGCATGGACGACGTCAAGCTTGCCGATGGCCATGGACACGGCTACATGGGTTGGCCGAACGAGGTTGAGGACGTGTTCGATATCTGATTGGGTTGCGGCCGTATTCAGACCTCTGCGATATGTTAGTACCACCTTTTCCATGGTTCCACAGCCATGGCTCACCATAGGCAAGGCAAGGTTGTGTACCGACTGCACGGGTCAGGGCTACTTACGCAAAGGCGGCACCTGCCCACCAGATACCGTGGCACAACAGTACAAAGTCATTCTTGCAGAATAGACAGCATTAGCCATGAAAAGCCCTGACAACTCCATTCAGACAAGGACTTGGGTGGGGATCGATACCGAATTCGGCACCAGAGCGAGGACGATGTCTCCCTCCCGCACACCGAGCTTGTTCTGCAAGCCCCAAGCGATACGCGCTGCGTCGCGCCTCAAGCTTCCGTACGTGATGACTTGGTCTGAAAAGTCATCGGAGTGGACGACCTTGTCTGCCAGGACGGCGTCGGGGTTATACTGGGACATCCATTGCGGGATGGAGAGGTTCTCAAACTCGTTAAAAGGAGACACGTCGGATCTGTAGATGATGGCCATGGCTGCCGCTGGAAATAAAAAGACGTATGAAGCGAAATGGCAAGAATGGGCAAGAAGAGCTCTAGAGTGCGTCACGGCGTGGGAGTGTTTACGGAAAGATTCGGCGAGATCATCTACAAGACACCCCTTTGAGTCTGCGGTGGTTGGCCCGCAGCCCCGCAGCGTGAGCCTACCGAGGGAGTGGTCGGACGTTTTTGGCTGGCCCTACTATCTTCTGCGAAGTCGTAATACTTCATTACTTTGCTCATCTCTCCCCTCTCCCCTCGTCCGTTTAGCGAGGAGCGACAGTGTTGATGGCGTGGTGTGTAGGGAGTGGACGGATCCATCGGTGGCGGATGCTACCTCGGGCAAGCTCCCGAGAGAGAAAAACGCGGGGAAGTGCGACATCCCGAATGTGGAGGATGGCGCTAACTGCCCCAAAGCAGAAGGACAGACAAGCAACTAATTTTGCGGGGTTCGCTGGGGCACCTCGAGCTCGCGCCCGCCAGCCATCGATTGTCAATTGCAGAGATTCGGTTCTCATCCACCAATGCCACATCCTCCATGATAGGTAGCGATACCTCGGTAGTGATTATGGAGCATGGAGAGCCCTTCCCTCGGGAAGCATTTGGTCGCAAGTTGGCTTGTTGGGGCCCATTTCGCATCCAACGTCAGCGCTTGCCGGGCTTACGTGAGGATACTGCAACCACAAGGGGCCTGGCCGAGGTGAAGCGATTGGAGCTAGAACGATACATATACGACAAAGGGTGGTATCAGCTCTGTCGCACCTTTAACCACCCAACGTCAGTGCCATACATGGTCAATTAAGCCTTTGATTATTAGAGCCTCCTATTTCCTGTCCCTCCGTGCTTTGTACCACTTTATTTTCTTCCCCGTTCATTCGCTAGTTGATAACCCGCCCTTGAAGATGGCGCCCGACCCCAAACTCGACCTGAATGAAAAGATTCCATGGGCGGAACCGGCTTGGTACCGGACTGGTAAGTCCGTCTACTTCAACGACACACACGCCAGTTGCGCGACAACATCCGCAATTATGTCGACAAGCACCTACTCCCATACGCGCTAGACTGGGAGGAAAAAGGCGAGGCCCCCGAGGAGGCGGCGCTGCATTATTGCAGGAGCGGCATCGCTTTCGAGGACGTGCCCGAAAAGTACCGCCCGCGCGACGTGCCCCGCCTGTCGGGCCTCCCCACGGAAAAGCTAGACGCGCTGCACCTGCTGGTAGCCACCGACGAGATCTCCCGCGTGGAAGGCGGCGTGACCATCGCGCTGGGCAGCGCGGCCGTCATCGGCGCCCCGCCCGTCATCAACTACGGCACGGAGGAGCAAAAGGCCAAGTGGCTCCCCGGCCTCTTTACGAGAAAGACCAACTTTTGCCTCGGCGTGACGGAGCCCGGCGGCGGCTCCGACGTGGCCAACATCCAGACAACGGCGGAAAAGACCCCCGACGGCCGCTTCTACGTGGTCAACGGCGCGAAGAAGTGGATCACGGGCGCGCCGTGGGCGACGCACATGACCACCGCCGTACGGACGGGCGGCGGACCGGGCATGCGGGGCATCTCGGTGCTCGTGATTCCGCTCGACAGCCCCGGCGTGGAGGTGCGCAAGATTTACAACAGCGGCCAAAACGCGGGCGGGTCGAGCTTCGTGGACCTGGACAACGTGCGCGTGCCCGTGGAGAACCGCATCGGGGCGGAGAACAAGGGCTTCGCCATCATCATGCGCAACTTTAACAAGGAGCGCTACGTCATGGCCGCGCAGTGCAACCGCAAGAGCCGGACGTGCCTGGCCCTGGCCTTTGCCTACGCGCTCGACCGCACCACGTTCGGGAAACCCTCATGGACAACCAGGTGATTCGCCGCAAGTTTGCCGAGCTGGCGTACCGCGTCGAGTCCCACTGGGCGTTCTTGGAGCAGATTGCTTTCCAGGTCAACTCGTCCGCGCTGGGGTGGCAGGCGCCCGACATCGCGAGCCAGATCGCGCTGGCCAAGGTGCAGGGCGGCCAGATGCTCGAGTTGGCGGCCCGCGAGGCGCAGCAGGTGTTTGGCGGCGCGGGGTACCAAAAGGGCGGACGGGGTGCTACCGTGGAGCAGATCAGCCGAGACCTGCGAATGATGGTAGGTGCCTGTGCTTTTTCTTCATCGTCGACGCGATGATTCCATTCTTTGGTTCCCGTCTCTTGATCCGAATCTCGGATACTGCTTGTCTTCCGCCTTTTTCCTACTGGGATTCCCCTTTTCTTCCATGGCCAGCTTTTGGTCTTATTGGATGATTGGTAACACGAACTAATTATGGTGTGAAACTTGTAGGTCGTTGGAGGAGGCAGCGAAGAGATTCTCTGTGATCTTGCCGTACGGCAAGAGCTGTCCGCGTTCCAAGCCAATAACTCGAAGCTATAATATGTACATGAAGCAAAAGGACGAGTGGTGTTAAGTGCAGCTAGCAACGGTGGTGAAGGGGGCGGCCGGATGGAGGAGACCTGGCCTCCGACTGCGGCACAGGAACGAGTGTGGCCGGACAGGGGAAAGTGGATCGGTTCAATCATCCCTTATCTCATTGTATTCTTTCAACGTGGGGGCCGAGATTTCTTATTCTAACCTATCAATACCCACGGAGTCCTCGATCCACCGTCATCAGGACACTCTGACTTGTTGATGCGTAGGGCTGAACATAGGTGGCTTCTGTGGTTCGTTGTGATACGTGCGAGCCTGTGGCGGTGGGAGAAAGCCACGCGATCGGGGCATTACTCCATCTGGACAACCCGCCGGTGCTTCGCCCCACTGCCCCGACCGGATTTCATTCCACGACGGCGAAGTTTTCAAAGAGGACCCATGATTTGCCAAGAGAAGGAGCGAATCGATGAAGGAAAAAGAAGGTATTACTGATCAATCCACCCATTTACCTCGGCAGGAGCGATTCGAGGTCGAGTCGAAGGATCCATGTTCAACAAAACCTTACCCTTCAGCTTTTGTTGGGGGCGTAGCACCAATTTCTCTAATACTTTGCACTTTTTTTTCATCCTTTTTTTCTCGCTTCTTTTTAGCGCAGCGCGGAAGACCCATTTCGCTTCTGTCCGCGTTCTAGCTCTCGATTTTGACAAGCATTAGTCCCCAAGTCCCCTATGCAACCCTTGAATGCATGTGCATGGATCTGTCACATGCTAATTCTTAATCATCTTCACCCCTGAATTCCTTCTCCAATTGCTGGTGACCCGAGGCTTCAGAGCCGCAAACAGAAATTAATTCTACGCGAGACGTTTGGGCGAAATCTCTTGCCGTGATCTTGAGATTCGACTCCCGAAGGATCCGAATAGAAACAAGGGCATTGTTACACTGGACCAAGACCTCATCGGCCCGCGACAAACCTTCCTTTGTCGACCGCCAGTTTCCCTTGCTAAACTGTTGGAGAGACGGCTTGGCCTGGCTTGTCCTATTCGCTCATTTGAAGGCCTCCTATTTTCAAACACTCTTGCTTCATTCCCGAGCTACCGGCCGAGTGCCTTTTTCTTTTTCTTTTTCAGCGGTGGAATATTGACCCGCACACCCAAAATAAAGTGGATCACCGACTCGACCCGTTCTTCCGTCGGAGGGATTCTTGATCGAGGGTTCTTGTTGGGACAAACTTATCTGAAGGGTGGATCTTTCTCGTCGTCCGTCACCGCACAAACCACCGCCCTCCACTGCTCAACAACACGCGGCCTGTTACCAATCGCTTCCTTCGAAGGAATCGACATACGCCTTGTGCTTTAACTTGCATCACTATATATAACCGCATCCCACCTGGTCCCACCGCCACCCCACCTGCCGTCAAGATGATGCAAGGAGAGTTATACGCCCTACATCGGGAACTTTACGCCATGGCCCTCGCCGAGAAAGAAAACAAGAAGCCCTACTTCCCGGGCTTTACTGCTCTATCCGACCAGATCTATGTTCGCCCGGGCGAGGAGATCGTCGACAAGGACGCGCCGGTCCACGGGCCCAGGGTCGTGATCCTCTTTGGCTGGGGCGATTGCATCCCCAAGCACGTGGCCAAGTACACCGATGGCTTCCGTGAACTCTTTCCCCATGCCAAGCAGATTGTCGTGTTTGCCCCCATCATGCGGGCTATGCGACTCGATGTTGAGCAGCGAACCAAGAACATGATACCCGTCGTCAAGGAAGCCTTCCCCGAAGGCATTGATGCCGAGGTCGACGAAGACCAGGTCCTCTTCCACGTCATGTCCAACACCGGGGGCATCAACTACTCCGCCACCCTCAACGCCTACAAGCAGATTCACGGCCGCGCCCTTCCCCACCGTCTGGCCGTCTACGACTCCACCCCCGGCAGTGTCATCTTCACCTGGGAAAACTTGAAGCGCTGGTCCTACGCCATGGCCATCGGCACCGCGGGCTGGTTCCCCTGGCCCTTTGGCCTGACCCAGGGCATCTGGGGCGCCTTCCTGTGCGCCAACCACTTTGTCGACTACACCTCGGGCCGCGAAACCCTCCTGTGTTCAGCCTCCGCATCCTTGCCGAGGAAGAGTTCAAGACCAAGGCTGCCAGATCGCTGTACCTGTACAGCAAGGAGGATGACCTCATTCTTTGGGAAGATATTGAGGGGCATATTGCCAACTACAGGGAGGCGGGATATCACGGCGACGCCGTAATGTTTGAAGGAAGCGGGCATGTCGGCCACATGAGGCAGCACCCTGAATTGTACTGGAAATCGATTCGGGAGGCTTGGGCGAATACAGCGGTCACTGCGGAAGTGGCTGCTTAAGTAAGAAAGAGAAAAAGGAAGGAATTTTCTCGGAGTTAATGGTAGGAGGCATTGTCCTTTGTATTGCATAAACTGTATGATATGATGATTTAGAAGCAATCCATCCAGCTAGTCGGTGGATAACTGCTCTCAGACTGGAAAGAGAGGAATGGAGTGGAAGAAGGAGCAGAGCAGAGGAACCATCTCTAGTTCTGGTAATGAAAGAGATACAAATACAGAACCGATCCTTGTAAAAACGCCTTAGTCAATGACCATCCCATGGGTACTATTTATTTTTCTTTTTCCTCGACGGAGCCTCACCAGAGGCTCAGAACTTGTAGATTTCGCTCTTGGAATATCCCAGTTCTTGTAATACGCCCGACTTTCCCCACAGCAAGCCCTTTGTCCCCACAAGCGACTGCTCCATCGCCGGCGGCCCGCAAACGAAAACCTTGCCCGGCCGCGCCAACTCCGCCTCGAGAAGCTCTTTTGTGATACGGCCCTTGTGGGTATCCGAGCTCTCGGCGGTGGCGGGATCCGAGACAGTGTACACGGCGTGGAAGCGGTCCGGAAACTTCTTCTCGAGCGCCGTGAGTTCATCTCGGAGGACGAGCTCGGCTTCCGTGTTGGCGCCGTAGATGAGCTTGATCTTGGTCGTCTCGTCCGCGTTGCCGAGGATACCCTGGATGAGCTGGTACATGGGCGTGATGCCCGCGCCGCCGGCGACGAGGTTCACGTGAGGCTGCTCGTTGGGTTTCCAGGCGTAGCCGGGAATGGGGCCGGCTACGGAGAGGGTATCGCCGGGCTGGAGGGAGTGGAGGTGGGTGCTGGCTTTGCCGTTGGGGTATTGTTTGACGAGGAGGTCGATGAAGCCTTTGTCGTCTTTTGGTTTTATGGAATCCTCGCGGTTAGTCTTTTGGTCTTTTGTGCTGCTGTGGCTGCCTGAGCCAGGGGGAAGTTTGCTCCGCTGTGGGACTTACCTGGGCGGGTGATGGGCGTGTAGGGCCGGATGACGGGGAAGAAGCTGCCATTTGGCCGACTAAATGTGAGGATGGCGGCTAGTTTGCGGCGGCGTTAGATGGCGTGCTGGCGATGTAGGGAGCGTTTGTGGTGGGCGACTTACACGTTAGTGGGAGCATGGCCAACGAACTCCCCTCGGGCAACTGGAACCGCAACTTCTTGAAAACGGGGCCGACGGATTCCACGCTCTCCAGTTTGAGGGTTGTGAAACCCCAGCCTTTGCGGCTCATGCCTGCCGTGCGGGTTTGTTCTTGTTGGTTCTTTTGAAGGGGGCAGAGCGCGCGGGGACTCGGCGTGGGCTTCGCCGACTAGAGATCGGCGGAAGGCGTAGATGCCGATGCCGCCGGCGAAGGCAGCTAGGAGGAAGGGTGTTGGCGCGGTGCGCGCGTTTCTGAAGATGGATCGGGGGAATGACATGTGTGCGCGGGCTTTGATGATGGTTGTGCTAGGATAGTCAATGTGTGATAGGTGTCAAGGTGATCACTATTGGAGGGAGAAGCAAATATTATAGAATTTTCAGGGGATAGTGACTGATTCTTATTCGAAAGAGTATATATAGAAGAAAATGAACAGGAACCAAGGCCAGGCAGACGAGCTGAATTATATATCCCTGCCCTTGCCTTGCGCTGCTTGATCATATATCACCAACACGCCGTTTGAGGTGTGTCGCGGCGGCCGCCATCAGACGATTGTGATCGGGTTTTGTCGGGTTTTGTCGCATCGGATTTTGGCTCCTGCGCGACACAGTGGTCGGTCGGCGTTTGCGCAGGCCACGCAATACGAACATAAAACCCGTTTACGCGCGGCTCCTGACTTGAATCATAGATTGAATTGATACAAAATTCTCCGACTTCTCCGATGATCTATAGAAGATCGGTTACCGATGCAGTCCGATGGGCGTGACGGACAAAGGGAGATAGCCAAAGCCGTTGAGTCAGTCTACGGGCGACGACAAGACGAAGCTACCTCTCCCTTCTTTCTTTCCAAGGCGCGCGCGATGAAAACGGCCCTTGCTTGTCGGTGTTTGGAATTCCTTCAAATGCTCTCCAGAATCACCCCCTTTGGTCGTTGATTTCCCGCCAAGGTTGGTAGAAGTGTGAGAGCTCGTCGCTAGGCGGCCTGACTCCAATGAGGCCCGGCCAGGTATGAGGATTCCTCCATCTTTACGACTTGGCTATATGCACTAACGCGTCAAGCTCACAGTCCATCGATTATGCCGGACCAGGACGATGGACCGAGCGATGGAGAACCCCTCCGAGGCTCATGAGCGCGGTGGAAGTTCGGATCAGGGTTATGCTATGTTGTTCGGGGTGGCTGGCAACCCTCAAACCACCGCCTTTGACTCCTAGAGCCTCCTCACTCGTTGTTGTCTGTTCCTATCTTTGTGCTGTCTGCCCAGCGACATGGCACTGATCATGCCTTTCGAGACTATGCGATGGGGCATTATTTAACCACAATTTGGTTTAGTGGGAAAAAAGGGGGCTTAGGACTATCAATCCAATTTGAGCTTCCTGATTGGCTGCGCAGATGGGGGAAAAGGGAATTCGCGCTACTGCGAGCACCAGAATCGTAAGACACTGCAACTTCTCCAACCTCGATCAAAGGCCATGCGAGCGTGGGCCAAACGCGGAGACACCGGCTTGCGAAGCGCCCTCCCCCTCGTTTGACAACAGGCCATCGACGTACGGCTCCGAGCGATCCTGGACGGCGTCCCGTCCACAGAGACCGAGCTCGTCCCGCCGTATGCCTACCCTCGCTAGTAGGGCGGCGGAGAAGCGAAGCCAAGGATTAGCTCGGGCCTGGAAAAAGGCGTCCCAGGGAGAATTATAGCCATATCAGCACTGCAAAGCGCAGAGGAAACGAAATCCCCCCTTACCCATATGGACGCCGCGGGCTTGGCATCCGGCTCGCAGCCACCGCCGCCTGCGCCGTGCGGAGGTGGTGGTGCAGGCCGTCCCCCAAGTCTACCAAAATAGTCGCCCGGCTCACCTGCGAGATGTGTCGCCAGCGCAAGACCAAGTGCGACAAGTTGAACCCCTGCACGAGTTGCCAGAGGTTAGGCATAGCGTGCGTTGCTGTCGAACGGCCCAGGCTCCCTCGAGGTCGGCATAGGGGTGCACAGGCGTCCGCACCCGCGCCCACCGCCGCACAGGCCGATGCCGGCGCCTCCTCGACAGTGGCGGGGGCGTCGCTCGTCCTACCCCTCCGCCCGTCGCGGACCGACAGCATATCGCCGGCCGCGACGAGTTTCACCGATAGTCTCGTGTTTACCGCGGAACCGGAGCTGCAAACACCGTCGCCCGACCCTCTGGAGGGTAGAGACTGGGCCAAGGTGCAGCTCGTGCAAATATTTTTGGACCGGATCGATCCCGTTTTCAAGGTTCTTCACCGTCCGTCCGTCAGCCTCCATCTTATACAAGGTAAGTCGTACCTGGATTACGAGCCTGGCCACCCGACCGTTGTCGCCCTCGACAGGGCCATATTTTATGCTGCGGCGTGCGCCATGGACGAGAGTGAGTGTGTGCCGGTGTTTGATATGGGGAAAAGGGCGGCCGTGGCTGGCCTTCGGGTAGCGATAGAGGCGGCCTTGGCTCGGGCTGGGCTTTTGTCTACGGAAGATATCACCGTCTTGCAAGCCTTTGTCTTGTATCTGGTAGGGGACACCTTGACTAACGAATGATGCCGGCAGCAGAGCTTGCGAGGTTAGCTAATTTCTCAAAATAGGTGGCGACGCGGACCTACGACCGTACGAGACAGGTCTGGACACTGATGAGTCTCGCCTATCGAATAGCCCAGGCGCTCGGCCTCCAGATCGACCCGCCTCCGGGCCCCATGAAGCCCTTCGATATCGAGATGCGACGGCGCCTGCGCTACGCCATTGGGCTGCTCGACATGCAGACGTCCTTTGACAGACTCACGCCCACCATTGTGCCCTTGCATTGATGCAAACCCCGTATCCGGCCAACGCCAACGACGCCAGCTTTAATCTTGACTCCCAAGGCAAACTACTGGACGAAACGGGGCGCAGCTTCACCGACATGACCTTTGCCACCCTCGTGGCGAGGGCGCAGACCGTCGTGCGGCAGATCAACATGACCACGCAGGATGGCGGCGCCTACGGGGGCCTCTTCCAGCTCCACAGGGGCTACGTGCGCGACTTCCGCGACGCCGCCATCATCCTCCTCCGGCACTGCCGCCCGGACGACGACCCGTTCCACTGGTACGTCGTACAAGTGACCGAGTGGATCATTGCCCAGTTCCACGTCGCCGTCGAGCGGCCCCTGCGCCGGCTCCCCAACTACGACCCGCCGCGGCCCGATTTTAGCCTGCTGCAAGTCTGCGCCGAGATACTGCAGCGGTCGCAGAACATCATTGGGGATTCCAACGTCCGCTTCTGGAACTGGTCCGAATCCGTCTTCAACCCTTGGCACGCGCTCGCCGTGGCGCTCGCGGAGCTCTGCACGTGCCCCGATCCCGTCATCGTGGAGAGCTACTGGGATCTGGTGGAGAGAGCGTACGCGCACTCGGCGGACCTGATGGAGAGGTCGCGCAGCGAGGTGTCCTGGGGCCCGATGGAGAAGCTGATGAAGAAAGCGCGGGCGCATCGAAATAGCCTCTTGCAAGCTCACGGGGTTTAGCCGGGCCGGTAGGAGCGCCGCTGTCTTCCACATCGGCGCATCCTCCTTCTGTGGGACCGAAGATGTCTCATGCCCTACACGAGCACCTGGAAGACCAGAGAAAGGAACTTGAGGATGCGTCCCGTGCCGGCATACTGCCCGCCTTATCCTTCCTTCGGGACCTGACGGCGGAGGAGACGGCGCCGTCGATTACTGTCACTACGCACTCGCCGCTCTTGACTTTTCAACATACCTTGGGGCCGGAGACGTATGGGCTGGGAGGTGGTGTTTCGGACGTAGCGAGTGGCGTGGGTGGCGTAAGCGGTGTGGGAGTCTCCGGCGCGGATGTTAGCGTGGAGTGGGCAACCTGGGATAGTTTCTTGAATGATCTACATGTCCATGAGCAGACTTGGCCTTCTAATTGGACATAGCTTGGGGGCGAGGGAATGTTTGGTCTTTGTATTTTGAGCGTGCTCTAGGGGTTTGCGTCGACGGACTTGTCGATTAATCTAAGCTGGGTTATACACCTTGCTTCTTTTCTCAACACTCTCCTCTCTCGCCTAGATCATGCTCCAGTTCCTACGAGGGCGGGCCCGCGCTTCTCCTGTTGTGTGACCACTCTGTTATTTTCTCCTTACATCCCGTTCCCACTGTTCCCCCTCGGTTTCATCGACCTTGGGCTCTAGGGAAGAATAGGCTCATCGGGAACCAAGCCAGTGGGTATAGGCGATGGTGCTATCGAGGTAGGGGTACAACGACGGTGATCGTGATAAAGGATGCTGGCGGTGGTTCGGCGGGCTGGGCTCCTCCATCCGATTCCGCCATACTGTTGGGTCGGCATAGTGCCCAGTCCGGGCCAGCCCATGGTGCGCTATCATCCCGGGGTGTTAACTCGTATCAGCAATGGTTTATGCCGCAAGGTTTGGACAAGCCGTCACTTACAAGCTGATATTCCAGCAATGAGAATCCTCAGGACACGCCTGCCCGGTGTTCCATGGGCCATCACCTATTCATCAAGGTTATTATGTTGCTTCGCACGCATTCTTCTAGAGGAGAGACGTACAAGGGATGAAATAGGGAAGATCAAAGGGGTACTGGGCATGAACAAAGGTCACCATGACGCTGATGGCGACAAGCCTAGAGTATATCTTGTTATACATGATGGAATATCGGTGGCAAGTTTGTGGTGCTTGTGTGTAGCTTGGAAGTTGGAAGTCTCCAAGGAATGGTTCTCGTCAGGGCGATTGCAGATTATAAGGTCTAGCTAGGGAAATTCTAGACGAGAAGAGGCGCTTCCACTGCAACAGGGGAATTGGTCCTAGGCATTCTCTTATACGCTGATCCCGCCATTCCAAGGCGGCCACAGGTCTGGAGCCATTGATCCAAGTATAGAGCTATAATGAAACTGTCGTTGTGAGATATAAGCGAATCACTCCCTCGCCTTTGCATGCTCGCCATACCTACAAGCACAACATTTGACACACCGACAACCGTCGGATCGCCATTGGCGGAGAAGCTTGATACTCTTCAACTCTGAACGCGGCGTGTCGAGAAACGGATGTCGCTCTCGGCCACTCGGAGGCTGCCCTCGGGATGAGCGCGCCTCATGGTGTTGGGCTGTTAATATGGAATAACCCGTCGGCGAATTGTTTGAGCGGGCTGGGATCAAAACACCCGAAGACCCGGAGCCGTGGGCCAGCGCCTTTTTCAAAATGGGTGGCACGGTTCCAAACAGCCCACTTCACCAATCACTCTCGCTACCGATAAAGTTGGTCGGCCTCGAGTGTCAATCGCCGCTTGAATGACGGCCGGGATAGGGACAGGATCGCAACAGGGCTACGGTGTTGGTGGAGGTGCCCGGTAGATTTGCGCACGTCGGATCTTGAGGCAGGGGTGTCCTTGTCTTGTGAGGGATTTGGGAAGCTATTTTTGATCTTTTTGCGATGACTTGCGATAATCTTCGTGAGGCTCAAAACTCTTATATCGAAAGGCTCAAATATACATGGGGTGTGAGGGCTTAAATACAGGAGGCTAGGCTTCTCAGAATGAGGAAGTCTCAAGCCATCCCTTTTCACTCAAGTTTATCGAGTATTATCGTTATCGAGATATCCGGCCGGACAGGGCATGTCAACCTACTGCTGAAACCAATATGCAGTTGAAATAACCGAAAATCTTGCTTCGGCGTGAAATCATGGCTCGCCCTCCTCGCCGAGTCCTGTTTCTCGATCTAGGAGCTAGGAAAGCAGGATAATGATATCCAAGTAGAAAGGATTGCTCGAATGGACTGAACAGAATTCCGAATTATCACAATCGCGAGCGGGACCAGTCCGCACAGCGCGGCCTGTGGCGTGGTGGCCATGATAGCCTAAACTCGGCCGCGATGTCGAGCACACCACTAAGCCGCCGAGGAACCAGTCACCACGGCTGGCTAACCGGAAACTGGTGCTAAAAATTGCATACGTCAACGGCAGTTGGATACATGAGCTCAGCGGTTCGCCATTCCAGATATGCCGGGACTGTGTTTGGTAACGGTGATGAACGCCGAGCGTCCGGTGGACCGGTGCAGCTCACCGACGGTGTTATGATGGTAAACAGGGTCTGACCTCGCTACATAGACGACGATGGATGGGAAATAGATTTAGGTATAGCTCATATAGGGAAGGGCCAAGTCACTTTGAGAGTTATCTAGGGACTTCTATTCCATCTACTAAGACACGTCTAGGAAGCAGAATGGAGACGATACTCAATGAACATGGATCAATTGGGCTTCTCGAGGCTTGTTGCCCAATCAACAACAGAGTATTTTAGAGTGTAATATAAGCCAGTTCTTATATAACTGTTGACGGTCTTTTCCATCCTTCCTAACAACACGTGTATTGTACTGGAAAGTAACATCCATCGGTTATCAGGGAACCGGTCTACCCCAGCTACGAGGTCGTATACCCTTTAGTAAAGCATAGACTAGTGGAAGAGAGATCGTTAGATGCCATGACCTAGGCATATGACAGTATATTCAAACCTATTTGAAACCATTGGACGGATCCGAGGTGCTGTGCTTTGTCCCGTGTCAGATAAGTTTTGGGGCGGAGTTCCACGATACTTGGACTCGGACCAGCACCGATCCTCTGCCGGCGCGAGTTTCCCGTGGCTGACTTTACAAGGTTTCAACTTTCATGCCTGACTCGTGTATCCCTTATAGCCGTGATACCTTATCAAAAGACGAATCAGACGATCCCTCTTAACGAGGCGAGGACTCGCTCTACACGGACCTTCTCGCCGTTGTTGCTGCTGATAATATCTGGCTCTAGCCGCAGTCTACCTATTCACGACGATGGGTAGAGGTCATGTATCATCGGCGGACTGTGCGCAAGTTGCATTTAAAGTCAATGAAGGAGACGAATCCTACCCTATCTCCGTTTCTTTCGTGCGAACCCGACCAAGCAGTGACCAGTGTGATGGCACGCCAGGGTCGACTTTGGGGTCGGAAACCATGGCACCGAAGCCCTGATTTGAGTTAGTAGGCATTGACAGCTCTTAGCGGGAAGTGCGGATGCCGTCACAGTTAGCCGACGAGAAACGAGATTTTACTGTCAAGCGGCATGGATCCAGCTCTCGAATGACACTTTGAGAGGGGCTTCCCCGAACTACCGCCATTCGCAGTGGAGCCTCAACGTTGGCGAGCGACTCGCGGGTCCTCGCCTGACGGTCTCTTCAGCTCACCCAATCCAGTGCTCCACTCACTTCTCTCGCGGCAAGCTGCACAAAGGGCAGTGCATGATCGTTGGTGGAATGTAGAACGTCCGGTGTCCGGGAGCCTCTTTATAGTGGATGTGGCAGGGCGGTAGCATGGGCAGCGGCGCATTCGCGTAAGGCTCCATGCGCGGCACCGTCCACATAAACTACGTTTAATTCAGTTGACCTGCAGACAGGTAGGGATCTACGCTAGACGAAGAAAGGGAAAGAGAGAAAAGAGGGAAAGAAAAAAACTCACCCAGTTTTGTTCATGCATGCGATGAAATGTCACGCTGCTACACATTTGGGAGGGCGTGCACGGCAAAAGGAAAGCCATGTGCTGGACGTCCCGCGTCGACATGGCGGCTTGCAGATGAGGAATCTGAAACTCTCTTCTTGCTCTGGGTCGAACTTGGGGAAGTATGCAGAGACTGGACGGGGATGAATTTCCCCTATCACATCGTGGGGCGAAGACTGGAAATTCTCCGATGAGGCGCGCTTTGGTTGGGGTCGGGGTGCCTTGGCGAGAACTCGGCCGAGGCACGCTTAAAGTTTGTCTTGGGATCAAGCGATCCATACAAAGGATGCATCTTCACGAAAAATATTGAGGGGTGACTACATGTAATTTTGGACATTGATACAAAAGTGACGTCTAGGCTTTGGATTTTCTGGGGTTTGCATGCAGCAAAACAGGCACAGGCACGAAGGAGCGCAGCTGGGTGTTGCCGAAAGGAGTAACCCTTGCTTGCCCAAGGAAACAGGAACAGGGAGACCAGCTAGATATCAACGCCACACACCTCGTATTAAGAAACCCCGCTACAGGGTGTCTTGTCCTATCATCCGCGGGGAAGCGGGGACTGGGGCCAAGAAGAAGAAGACTAAATACATAAAAAGTTTTTATGGGTGAAAAGATATACAAAAAGAATTCGTGCGTTTAGAGAGCACTTTGCCACGCCCCGATGCTCGCAAGCTTTGACAAAAGCTGCGCAACCTGCGAGTCAATGAGGGCACCAAGAGCGGCGCCAAGGGAGTGGCACGCAGGACATCCATCTCATGGAAGATAGAATTAACCAGAGCAGACACCAGCCTTCTTGGGCTCGCAGCCACCGGCGCATCCAGTGTACATCTGGCAGCGAGTCTTGGCGTCGGTGCAGACGTTCTTGAGGGTAGCAGTGTCGCCGTAGTTGGAGTTGATGCCGACGAGCTCGCCGCCGTTCTTGGTGGTGGTGCCCTCGACGTAGACGTTGCGCTTGCACTGCTTGCTGCACTGTTATGAGGGGGATGGTTAGCAAACCGGAAACCTGGATAGGTATTTTCAGGGGACGTGCGTGGAAGACTTACGTTTCCGCACGAGCGGTAGAGCTTGCCGTAGTCCTCGGCGTAGAAGTTGATAATCTGTGAGAGGGTAGACACGGTTAGTCGAAAGAATAAGAGGATTGTAGCGACTTGTGTATCCACAAGGTAGAACTCACGTTGACGGTACCGCAACCGTTGTGCTGGACGACCTTGTCCGAGGCGTGGTAAGCACCACCGCCAATGATCCAGGTGTGGTCGCCGGCGGCATCGTTCTTCACGGTGATGGCATCCTCGCAGACATCCTCGAACCAGACGAACTCGAGCGTGCAGGCACCATCGCAGTGGACACCCTCGGCCTGGTTCTTGCCAATGATGACGTTCTTGAGGGTGGCGCCCTTGCGGAGGAGGAAGACGGCATCAGCGTCGCCGCCCTCGGCCTGCTCGTTGCAAGCGCCGGAGCCGCGGTCGTAGCGGGCCCAGGCACCGTCAAAGGTCTGGCCGGCCTTGACCTCGATGACCTTGCTATTGGTGATGGTCTTGGTCGCCTTGGGGACGCCGCCGGTGTAGCCGAGGCAGGCGAGGGTGGTGGGCAGCGTGATGAGAGCTGCGCGAGGCAGACCTTGAGCATGGAAGTGCGCATGATGACGGGCGGGGGAAGTTTTGCGTTGGGCAGGAAGGAGATCAAGTAGGTGGGCTTGAAGAAGGTCAAAGAGGGGCAACAGAACAAGTTGATGTACGTTGGAAGACTGTTGGTGAGAGGAAGGGATAGGGGACCACCAACGACCGCGATTGTCCCTTTATATATATTTTTCGTTTGATGATATTGATGGTTTCTATGATCTTCGAAGAATACACCCTTCTCCGTCATGCTTGGAAGGTTGAACCCTGTCAAGAGACATCATTGGTGGACAATCATACGAACACAGTCCATTATCAGATGGACGGGGTTGATCGAAGGGGGCCCCGTCCAGACCCGAGGAGAAGGGTGGTCAATCTGGGTCTTGGAGTCCCGGGCAGTGCACGACCGGGTTCATGTAGGGAGGACAAGGGGGTGGGAGGGGAGAGCGCTGAAGTGGAGCCCTACGGGAGTGCTAGGGTCCGCTTTCAACAGGCGTATCCGCATCCCGTTTAGACTCTTGCCTGTCGCCAGAGTAGAGGTGTTGGCCGGTCGAGGTATTAGCGGCGACCTGTCACGGCAGTGGCCTCTTTGGTTCAGCTAGCTGGCTGGGCCCCTTGGGAGAAGGGCTCGTACAGGATGCCGGGGCCGTGGTCGCCGCTTTCACGATCACTAAACCGAACGGAGAAAGAGGGCCGACACTCAGACGGCGGGCCTGGAAACTTGCGCTCATTTGGAGCCTTGAGATGAAAAGGTGGAAAGAAAATGGTTTGCTATCTTTACACTATTATCAATGGAAGTAGTGCCCGTTCATCCCGTCTGCTAGGAGAGTGAAGTGGAGGTAAGACCTAGAGGTGGGCCTTTGAGACGATTAAGGTCAGTTCATCAAGCAGTTATGAGTGGATGTTTTCTTTTTCTTTTTCTTTTTTCCCGCCAGCTCCGTATTTCTTGAGGCTTATCTATTTCCTTTCCTTTCTTTTTCTTTTTTTCCTCCTTTGGCGGATAGAAGCGTCTTGAGTGAAACGGCTCCAGGTCGAAACAGCGTGAGCTGTAAAATTCAAGGGTGCTGAAGGATCACCTGAGGGGCATGGATCCGTGGGTTCTATTCGTTCGGTGTGCCTTCCCGCCGCCGGGATTCGAGCTAGAATGCTAGTGAATGCTTGCTTGCTCCCCTTCGTTCGATCGCTCGATCGAGTCCCGGAGGGGCGTCGGAGGGGCGGAGCGAGGTGGCAGGCTTCAAAATCTTTCCTATCCTCCGTATCCTCCGGATGCCCCGGTTTGCAGCAGGTGGATCATGTATACGTGAGGCCCTCATTTTTCATCCGCAAAGAAGTTAGGAGATGAGGGTGCGAAAGCCAAGCAAGCGAAGCTGGGGTGCATACGAGGTGCGATAGAGCTAACAAGCGGCTGCTTCTCACTCGTGGGTTGTTGGGAGCTGCAGCCGAGTAGCTTCCTCTCTCCGAGGTCCCACTCTCGGTGCCTCGTTCTGGTTTGACGGATTCGGATTTTACGTATGAAGTAGCTGCTGCCTTCCGTAGGGCATCGCATGGTTGAAGCATGGTATGCGTGCCTGACTCCGTATCGAATAAAGCAAGACTACTGGGATGAGTCGTGCACATGCTTCTTCATTCCATTGCCACATTTTTCCTCTTTGTCTTGATTAACACTTGAGTGATGAGAGGGGAGAGCAGTCCCCGCAACCGCCCCATGCTTTCGGCATAGCTCGCAATTCTATGTGCTCATGTCCGGCCGGTGGACCTCTATTGGAACGCATACCACGGGGTGGGGACGGAGGAAGGTCTCTCAGTGGGTTTGGGAGGAGATGAAAGAGGAGGTGCTGCCGTTACATTGTGCTACCCTACGCGGACTAGTTCTGCTGGCCATGGCTGGCGCGCCGGGCGGATTTTCCACCTTTGTCCAGGAGTGGCCCATGCCCGTCAAGCAAGTCGACGAGCGGTGATGTCAACAAGACACTGGTGTGTCCAGTGCCCACTTTTCGCACGAGGGGGACAGGGACAGGGGGAGGACATGAGAAGGACATGAGGTGAGGAGGGCCAGAACAGAAGGTGTAGTGGTGTATTTTACACTAACGCAAGGGGGCGAAGCCACGAAGGGGGTTCAAGTTTCACCAAAATCTGGGCGCATTGTGCTTGTGGAGCCTACTTGATTCTTTTTTCTTTTCTTATTTTTTTCTTCTTTACTTCCAGTCCCTTTTCCGCGCGCTTTTTTTTCTTTCTGTTGCTGGGCACTGCGCTACAGTTGCTTTGCCTCTTCGGGCCTTTCGCCTGCTTCGGGTGGACCGATGCGAGGGTGGCCAGCCATACTGGAGATGGCGGCACATGGATGATCGGTCAGGGCGACTCGGATTCGGGCCTTCACTCCGCTTGATGGTATGCCTCCGCGTCTCGTGATGCGCCAGATGTGCGATTGGAGATGTCATCGAGAAAAAGAAATGGAAGGGGTAGACGCAGATTGAGGCTAGCGCAGGACAGGATATGTTTTGCAGTGCGGGGAGAGAGAACAAGTAAAGTCTATTGGCATCACCTATTCCAAATTCACGAAATAAATCGATAGACGAGAGAACAACATACAAGATTAGAGTGAAAGGGTTTACAAGATGGCAAAATAAAACTGAGCGCATGAATTGGCGTTTTTGGTGCATTTTCACCAGCACAGCGTACACCCCGCAACCGCCATGGCAACTTTCGCTACGACGTAGGGCGTGCGGGGGGAGAGCTGACGGCCAAGTCAAAATACCGGGACCGGATTATCCAATGCTCCCCTAGGCAGCCTTTCGGTAGCATCCAGGTTGACTTGACAGGATCTGGGGAAGCAAGCCACCGCAACAAACGAACTGTCACGGCTAGAGAGCCGAGGCGGGCTGCTCTCCAAGTCCCGGCGGAGAGTCCGAGACGTGCTGGGGAAAGGGGAAGAAAATCATCACGGAGAGGGCAAAGATGGCGCCCTTGCGCAGACTGGGCGACGCGGCCTCGAAGCTTATTGGATTTGTGAGAATATGGGGTTCGGCATTACTGTGGGATAGTGAGCGTGGAATAAGGCCGAGCGCCGGTTCCTATGTCGCGACTGCAACGTGCTTAGAGGCATTTCTGGAAGGATTCCAAGCTTTTGTGCTCGGGCAGATGCCAGCGCTGCCGACATAGGACCCTGGCTCATCCGGGGAGGGGGAGCGGTCGATCTGAGCTAAAAAGGAAATTCGAGATTATGGCGAGTTCGCCTTTTTGGCTCGTGATTCTAGGCGTTTTGATTTGAGGCCTTTGCTTTTGTGGTTTGGGTATAAGGCGGTGCGTGTGTGTGGCGACTTTTGATACCCAAGGATATAAGACTCGACCACCCCGGAAACATCCCCGGTGAAGAGAAACGAAATAAAGCAGAAGAGGACAACGGACAATTGCCATCGAACCCGACCAGACGCGCACCGCATCATGCTCCGACACACCTTCCTCGCCCTCTGGCTGTGGGTTACCGGGGTCTTGGCCCTCAACGCGTCCGAATGGGCCAAGCAGTCCATCTACCAAGTTCTCACGGATAGGTTCGCGCGGACAGATGGCTCGACTAGCGCTTCGTGCACGCGGAGCGAATACTGTGGTGGAACTTGGCGGGGCTTGATCAATAACCTCGACTATATCAAGGAGATGGGATTTACCGCTGTGCGTTTGTTTCTTAGGGTTTCGACTCTTGTTTGCTTTTGGTTGATATCGCGGGTCGTGGAGTTGGGAATGCTAACTATGGGGGCGTGTAGGTTTGGATCTCTCCCATCGTGGCGCAAATAGATGCTCCAGGAAATCAAGACGGGTATGTATAAATCTTTGCCGTGGTCCATAGCCCTGCCAAACATATCGCGTGTATAGGTTGGCTCACATGGTCATGGACGCTAACCAGACTCGACTTGCAGTGACAGCTATCACGGCTTCTGGGCCCGAGACTTCAACTCCTCAACAGCCGCTTCGGCACGGCGGCCGACCTCAAGGATCTCTCGGTCGCACTCCACAGTCGAGGCATGGTGAGTAACCTTCAGAGTCCTTGCCTGTAACATGAGGAAAGATCGATACGTAGGCTTGACGTCCCTAACCCCTTCCCACACATCACAGTACCTCATGGTCGACATCGTCGCCAACCACATGGCTTACGCCGGCTGCAGGACCTGCGTCAACTACGGCACCCTCAGCCCCTTCAACTCCCAATCCTACTACCACAGCCCCTGCGCCATCGACTACTCGAGCCAGACCTCGGTCGAGCAGTGCTGGCAAGGCAGCAACAACGTCGCCCTCGCCGACCTGCGCACCGAGGACGCCGGCGTCCGCTCCTTCTTCAACCAGTGGGTCTCGGACGTGGTGTCCACCTACGGCATCGACGGCCTGCGCGTCGACAGCGCCAAGCACCAGGAGTCGTCCTTTTGGCCCGACTTCGAGACCAGCGCCGGCGTCTTCATGCTCGGCGAGGTGTACGAGGGCGACCCGGCCAAGTTCCTCCCGTACATGAGCTCGTTCCCGGGCCTGCTCAACTACCCCGTCTGGTACTGGGTGCAGCGCGTGTTCCAAAGCACGAGCGCCACCGTCGCCGAGCTCGTGGCCGGCATCAACACCATGAAGAGCGGCACGAGCCGCACAAACTACCTCGGCTCCTTTCTCGAGAACCACGACCAGCCCCGCATGCCCGCGTGGACTTCGCAGTCGAGCGACGCCGCCCTAATCAAGAATGCGCTGGCCTTCACCGTGCTGGCGGACGGGATCCCCGTCATCTACCAGGGTCAGGAGCAGAAGCTCGCCGGCGGCAACATCCCCAACAATCGGGAAGCTCTGTGGCTGACGGGGTTTAATCGGCAGGCCGAGTTGTACACGTACATTGCGGCCCTCAACCGGTTCCGCGCCGCCGTGATTGCGCGGGACGCGCGGCACACGACCTACCAGGCCGTGCCGTGGCAGGTCGACTCCACACCCTCGGCCTCCGCAAGGGCTTTGACGGATCTCAGGTCGTCAGCGTCTTTAATAATATCGGCTCCTCTGGCGGTTCCTACTCCGTTTCGCTGGCCACTAGCTCTACGGGCTTCGCGGCTAATCTGGGGCTGGTGGATGTGATTGCCTGCGAGGCTCACACCACGAGCTCGAGCGGCGGGCTGAGCTTTACCATGGGCTCGCTACCCAAGGTGTTTTATAGTCGGGCGGCGCTGGCCGGGACGGGTATCTGCCCCGCGCTGACGGGGAGTCGGCGACGACTAGTACCGCGTCCTCCACGGTAACATCAGCTTCCAGTGCCTCGAGCACGACATCTGCTGGTTGCACCGTTCCGACGAGTGTGGCCGTTACGTTTACCGCCAGGGTGACGACGCAGTACGGCCAAACAATCAAAGTGTAAGCTCTCCCTCCCCCACCTTGCCCTATACCCATGGTCACCCCAAACTCTGCGAGGGGCAAGCAAAACGAATGAAAAGAGAAAAGCAAAAACACCCCAAAAGTCGAGGCTCTAACCGTTCTATATAGTGTGGGGAACCACAGCAGCCTCGGAAGCTGGGATACCAGCCGCGCGATTACGCTGAGCGCGTCCCAGTACACGAGTAGCAACCCCATCTGGACGGGCACGGTCAACATCCCGGCCGGGACTGCGATCCAGTACAAGTTCATCAACGTGGCGAGCGGCGGGGGTCACTTGGGAGGCCGACCCCAACCGGGCGTTCGCGGTCCCCGCAACTTGCGGGACAACGACGGCCGCGGTTCAGGGCTCGTGGCAGTGAACGAAAGCGGAGTTGCGGCTGAGGTCGGCACTTGCCAGGAGGGAGCTTCTTCGACGAGCTCCCCAGAAATGTTAGAAATCACATCGAGGCAGAGCTAGATGAACATTGTAGGCCAAAAGAAGAAAAATCACTTGATAGGAAGACAGAGACTTCGCGCCTCAGAATTTCTTTTCTCCCCACCCCATCGTATCTCCTTCGAAAGAACAAAGAGAACAAAGACAGTGCCACGATTGGTTCGACCAGTCTTAAAAATGGGCGGGCGCTCTGCGAAGCTCGTTTCTCACCATATTTGAAGCTGTTGCGAGTACCGACGGGGAGACCGGTCTTGGCGCTTGGCCAAGGATGAATTCCCAGCCAGGCAAAGGCTTCCCCATTGTTCAATCCCTGAGAAAAGCTTCGCGGCCCTCATAAACAAAGGGGGCATTTGGCATTTTTCGCAGCGTAAATACCGACTGGGGGAGCAATAAGCCGGACGTCTCCACTCTCCCATCTGGCTAATAGCGGAGGCGGACCAACCGGCAAATACTACTGGATTAAACGCCCCGGGCGGCGCGTTGTTTAAAGGCCAATATGGCTGGGGATTTGCTCTTTGTCCATGAAGGTTCCGTCCCATTTAAATTTTTAGTTTCTCTTGGAATTGCCTGCGGTGGGTGAGGGAAGGGGGTGAAGAAGCGCGGCCAAATTTTGTAAGGATGGTGCGAGTATGCCTGCCTCTTTCTCCTCACTCCCGTTACCAACGAAGGTTATACGCGGTAGTAAGATGGGCAAGATGTGGAAGTGAAGATTATCGGGTGAGTGTAAGAAAAAGAAAAAGAAAAAGAAAAGGAACTTCTAGACGATGTGATTTGCCATATCTTGACGGCTTCAACAGATTCTTGTAGATGCGATCAACAGCATGAGATAGGGTATACGCCGCATTAATGCCACTCTGACCAGTTAATATACCGTAGAGGTGCCCCAGAAGACCAGAATTTGGGCGTGGCTCTTCCTCCTCGTTTGTTCCAGAGGCCGAACCAAACTTTGGACGAGAAGGTGCCTCATCTACCCCATCTCCTCCCCCGAGATCTCCGCATGCCGAATGCGGAAGGCGGCCGGCCCGCTGTCATGAGGATCGCTGCTGGCCTACCGTCGTTCTTTTTCCTTCTGTTTCCCCTGTTTATTCTTCGTCTGGTTTACCCTTTTGTCACCCGCAAAAATCTAGCAGGCCACTTTAGACATTAGCCGGCGCGTGTTATTCGCCCACCTGTTATAACTTATATAGCCCCCATGTACAAAGTCCGCAAAACCGAGGGGAGGGCTTCGCTTCCATAGTTCGCAGTTGATTTAATCAAGGAATCTACTCTATGCTTCTTCGACTTCTTCCCGCCCTGCGTGCGGGGAAGAATATAGATCCTAAATTTGACAGCACGGAATATGGTGCCAGGGGATTAACACACGCAGCATTGGAGTGGGAAAACAGAAAGAAAAGAAAGAAAGGGGGAAAAGACGGGCTTCTTACTTTCTGGCTTGTACCAAGAAGCAAGGCCCAGCATAGCACGTCCGGGGAATTTAACTCTCCTCAGACCCCAAGGTCCACCGAGCTCCTGCCAACAAAACCCTCCCGTCTCCCACTCCCCCAACGACCAGAAAAGCTGTTTCCGTGATACCCCCGTTCTCTCTCACTTTGTCTTGCTTCCTTTTTGGTCTGATCTTCCTGTAGTAGTCTCTTTTCTCATCCGGTTCCTCCTCTCCCGACACCAACGCCGAATCCCCCGAAACTCCCACCGACAAAATGGTGAGCATCCGAACCATCCTCGGGGCCGTGCCCTACATCGTCAGCGTGTCCGCCGCGTCCATCGCCGCGCGCCAGGGCGCCGCCGCCACGCAGGTCGTCAACCTCGCCTCGCTAGAGAACATCGCGGTACGCCCCAACGGCCAGATCCTCGTCACCAACATGAACAGCCCCAACCTCTACGCCGTCGACCCGGCCGCCAAGTCCTCGTCCACCGCCGTCGTCGTGACGGGCGCCAGCGGCCTCAGCGGCGTCCGCGAGGTCACCCCGACGTGTTCGCCGTCATCGGCGGCAAGAGCATCTACAAGGTCGACTTCACCGGCGACGCCCCGCCGTCACCCTCGTCAAGGCCATCGCCGAGGCCAGCAACCTCAACGGCCTCGCCTCCTTCGATGACGACTCCGTGCTCGTGGCTGATGCCGGCAAGGGCAACGTGTACCGCTTCAGCATGTCCACGGGCGACTACTCGGTCGTCCTCGAGGACCCCACCATGGCCCCCTCGGGCGCCATCCCCTTCGGCATCGACGGCATCCTCCACGTCAACGGCACCGTCTGGTACACCAACATCTTCAAGAACAGCTTCCATAAGATCGACGTCGACGAGACCGGCAAGGCCACCGGCGCCGTCACCACCCTCTGGTCCAACCTCATGGGTGACGATCTCTGCGTCGGCCCTGACGGCAAGATCTACGTCGCCACCAACAGCCCCAACACCGTCGTGTCCGTTGACGCTACCGCTGGTGCCGGCGCCTCTCCGGCCACCGTTGGCCAGGTCCGTGGTTCGACCGCTTGCGCTTTTGGCCGCGGAGAGAGCGATGCCAACACTGTCTACGTCACCGGCGCGCAGGGCGTCTTCTCCATCAACATCGGCGCGTAAAGGCGAAGAATAAAAGAGTATGGGAGTTGTGAGATATGGGAAGCCATGCGCTGAAGAGAACCGCTTGCCGAATTTTTGAGGGGAAGATATGATGCAAACGACCTGTTTCCTTTTTCCTTCTTTTTACCCCGTCTGTTTTTTGTAGAGGTGAATACTTTGTGTAGTACATATTGACAAGCCTCAACTGCATGGCTAAGTTATATAACAATGGTAGAGAAATCAATCAAGACACCTCATACCCGTCGTCTTCGCAAGCTTCGTTCCTTACCTCCCCGCGTTCATCACATGCCTCCCATTAGAGGTTTCGGACATCATTCCCCGCAAAGATAAGCAAAACAAATGTGACGCGCACGCCCGCGAGAGCCTTGAGTTTTTGGAAGCCGGTGGAGGGGCTGGTCAATAATAGACCAGGCACGATCGAGATGGGCGGTTGCGAATTGGAATGGGTGTTGTACAAAAGTTCTCGCCGCTCGATAATGATGGGTTGCGCAGGCCATTCTCGCCGGCGGCAAGCGGCGTCAAAACTAGCCCATTTTACGTCGTACTGACGCGGGCAAGTCTCTCCAAGGGCGTGCGTCCTACAAGCATGCCACGCCGGCTTGCCGTGAACAAGGGACACGCAGCATTGCTGCCTCGTAGTAGAGGACGGCGGTCCCTCGTTCACGAAATGCAACGAACAACGTGGCGGAGGGGACAACTTATTTACTTTTCGAGAATTGTTGAATTTCCCTGTTCCCCTCTTCGGGTCCCTGCAGATCCAGCGTCGTTTCTCGTCTGGCGACGTCAAATGGGGATGCCTAACCTTGAATGGGCCGAAGGAGCCAATGTCGGCTTCCATCGCCCCAAAACCCCGCAATGCTTACTTGCAACGCACCCCGGCAGAGGGTATGCATGACGTCTAGCACTCGAGTGCCTTCCGACATAAAAATGGCATCGAGATCCGTTCTCGATTTCGGTCTCAAGCTAGATCAAGTCAAGACTTGTCAACTTGAGAGGAAGAATCTAACCACTCCACACGAAAATCGCCCTCACATTCCCCTTCCTAGGTCCTATCCCTAAATCACAATGTCGAGCGATACCACCGAATTGGTGGCTCAATGCCTCTGCAAGACGCACACCTTCAAGTCCTCCGTGCCGTCTTCGTCCCTCCCCCTCAGCGCCACCTGCTGCCACTGCGACTCATGCCGCCACGTCACCGGCGCCATGTTCCTCGTCGACGTCGAATGGCCTAACCAGGACGAGGATCTCTCGGCCCTCCACGCCTACGACTTCTCCCCCAACCTCCGCGAGTTCTCGTGCCAGTCGTGCGGGACCCGGCTCTTCTGCAAGGGCAGCAAGCCCGGGTCCACGCTCGGCGTCATCACCGGCACACTACAAAACGAGGTCAACCTCGTCCGCTACGACAAGCACATCTACGTCGGCGACACCCGCGACGGCGGCGCCAGCATGTTTATGCGCAAGAGCCACCCCGACGCCACGCCCAGCAAGCGCTTCGTCGAGGGCTCCAACTCGAAAGAGCTCCCCGCGGACTGGCCGTCCAACTTCGACCTGCCGGACCCCGAGGCCCAAGTCACGCCCGAGTTCACGCCCCTCTACTGCCACTGCCGCGGCGTGAACCTTCTCCTCAAAAACGCCACCGACCTCAAGGACCGAGCGCCCGACAAGCTGCCCTTCTACGTGGAGCCGAAAAGTTTTAAGTACCTCGCCAGCGCCGACGCGTGCGACTCGTGCCGCATCTCCTTTGGCTCCGACTTCTCCATCTGGGCCTTTGCCGCCCTCGACCACATCGGGTTCCCGCCACGCAGCACCCGGGCACCACCGCCGAGACCTTTGAGCACCTCCCCGCCTCCACCTTCGACCTCAAGGCCGCCGTTGCCTCCGAGAACAAGGACCCGCGCCTCGGCACCCTCGAATTCTACCAGAGCTCGCCCGACGTGGAGCGCTACTTTTGCTCCAAATGCGCCGCCGTCGTCTTCTTCGCCGTGCACGACCGGCCCAACATGGTCGATGTCGCGCCGGGCCTGCTGGACCACCCTAGCGGCGCGAGGGCCGAGGGCCTGCTGCACTGGAACTTTGGCACCATGGGCCGGCTGGAGGATGTGGAGGGCGGGTGGAGGGAGAAGCTCGGCAAGGGCGTGAGGGAGGAGGCGGAGCAGTGGAGGATCGAAAGGGGGTATCCCAAGACGGCGGGGAGGGTGCGACGAGAGGCTGGTAACACCAAGATGCAACTGTAATGGTCTAAATCACACCACAGACGGGCAGGTTTGGTAGGGAAATGGTGGAGTTTTCCTGTGCGTTTTCATGTTGGCGAACAAAGGCGAGTTGTCGGGATGAGGAGTTTCAATGGATGTCTAGGCTGGCGAATATGGAGGTCGGAGATGGGAACTAGGAGAAAAGAAGGTTTTAGGATGCCCTCTAGTGCTTTAGTTTATTTGTGTCGTTTTAAGTCCTGGGGTCCATCTTTTTCGCTGCCGAGAGTCTTCTTGAGTTATATATCATCCGGGCCCTTATACAGAAGACTTCTCCCTTGCGGGAAAGAGTCTTCCAGTCAACCCATTCCTTGACTCAGGCATGAGTTGGGGTGAACTCGAAGTATGACCAAAGCGAGGCGAGCTTTTGTAGTCCGCTCTCATCCGTAGAAGGGTGACGTGTTATTTTCGTCGCCATCGTGAAGCTAGCGCCTCGTGGAGCGGTTTACTCAGTGGCCGCGGCCTGTTAAGAATCCTTATCGAGAATCGTTAGCTAGCAGAAGTACATGAAGAGCCGATAGCGGTAGATTAGTAGCATGATCGCCTTTATACCATCCACGGCATTCGTCTCATCAACGAGATGACATGTTGGTACTGAAACTGGACCGCAAATCATGCAATCGGTGTAGCCCATGTACTGCTATCATGATGGCATCTGACAGTTCAAATGTTCTTTCTATACGTCTCTCCATAGGTTCGCTTACGGATACGAAGCTCGCGAACTCCCAAGCTTAATGCCAAGGAGATGACCGCACAGATCTTGATGTGTTGCCCCAAGGCGCGAGAGCGAAGAGGTGGGTAGGCAAAGTTATCCTAGACAAGTACGAATCCCTTGAGAAGCGGGTAGATGCGTTAGCAATCCGAGAAGCAGGGCGAGAAAGGTGCCGGTTAGGCTTGTTTAGACTCACTATCAACATACTATCAAGTACACGATGGGGAAAAGACGATTTGAAAGCAGTGACCCGTGCTTTGAAATTTGACATTTGCTTTTACGTGTGTTCTTCTCATGCCTTGTGTACGCCTCCTGGATGCATATCGTTCATGAGGGCAATCTAGTAGCAAGTTAGGACAAGATGATGTTTCGGTCCTTCCGGTCCACCCAGAAAGGCTTTTTCCTGTCAACAATTTGACTTGTCCACAGAACATTCGGGTTGACAAGTTTTCCTGTTGAAGACTCCCGGGAAAGACATGCAACTCAAAAGCAACCTGCGGTTAAGTTTGAGAAGGATAATAGTCAGAGAGAAAGAAGACGGCAACGCCCATGCCTCACGACATGTCAGAAGGACCTAGATATTGCACATTGTGCAGCGAACCCAACCACCACAGGATGGGTCTAGTTGTAAGCGCTGAGGTAAACGATGGACTTCTCGGTACTGATTTTACTTGACATTTACAGCCTTGACCCCGCCTAACCAAAATATCATTTCCGAGCGCCAACATGGACCCGTTCCTAAAGTTCTACACTAGCGTCTTGACAAGGAAAAGAACTTTTGGAGGGGTTGAAAGAGACAGCGATAGTGTCCACAAAATCCTACGTAAACGGGCGCGGAAATCATAAAGGGCCCATTCTGCACGATACGGGTAGCGCATCCTTGCTCCAACCTACGCTAGGAATGCGTAATGCAGCCTGGCCTGGCCTGGCGAGCGCTTGCTCTGACAGAGAAACCGGTGATGCCACGCTAAAGACAGGAATCCTTCGGTTCTCGTTGCCCCCCTTTTTTTCTTCCTGCGAGTCCCCTTCTTCCTCGTTCTCGTCATCTCCCGTTATTGATCTTGGAGTGGATGTTGGGCCCAGCCAATTTCGGAGAATTTTTGGTTGCAGCCTGTGTGTAGCGGTGAGGCTGATTGCTCGAAGACTAGCAAAACAAGAAAGAAGTACACATGAAGACGAGGAACATGAGGGATCACGGCAAAGCGAAAGGGTGAAAAGGACGTATCATCCAGTGTGGAATCCGGCTTACCGTTAGCGACTAACAAGCACATTATAGAATCCAAGATCAGAGATACAACTCAGGATCGCGGTACTATACGCGTAACATCATTCAAAGGTTCTAGAAGGCGTCCAGAGAGACACAGCGCCGAGCCCACATCCCTGACCATATGCGAACACATTGCGAACGATGAGCCCAATGGCGACGTGGGACCACAGCAATAATACCTCGACCTCCTCCTTGAACTGGGCCCATCTGTGTCCCCAAGGCCAGGAACGATGGATGCAACACTAGCCCACGCACGGCCGATCAAGTGAGATGTGATAGTTGGGGGTGCAATCATAATACAAGTGGGCGAACGAGATGACAACGTGCCAACTCGACTGGGTTCATGATCTTGGACAGGGTCCCCGGCGGTAGGCACCCGGGAAACTAATACTGGGTGCCCATTCGATGTTGCCAATCGAAGCAGAAAGAGAAAAAAGCTCGGACTCTTAGATTATCAAAGAGCGATCCGAGCAGCACTTCGTAGCCCACAATCCTCCTTGGCTGCCCTAGCTTCGAAGAAATGTCAAGATCGCGACGGGGAGGCCAAGTTGCCCGAGATGAAGTGGAAATCTGTGCCGACAGGGCGCGCTAACTATCTCCAGCCTTGGATTAGCGCCTGGTTTTGACAGGACGCCAGGGAGAGAGAGATTGAATTCTCGCCTTGGGGGATGCCGTCGGTGGATGGCCTCATGGACACGAGAAAGTGAGCTCAGGACCCGACCCCACGGTTCCTGCATCGCTCGAGAGGGGCCGCAATATAAGTTGTGGGGCAAGGGTGGTGGCTAGCTTGTTTCGGGCCAAGGTGTTGCCCTGGCCATATTGGCAAGGGCGGGATGACACCATGGGCGTTGCCTTTTTCTTTCTTTGTCTTTTGTTCTTGAGAATCTTCTGCTGTTTTCCTTGGCTGTCACTTCACATATGGAGTTGAGGGGAGGAGTGAAGGAGATGGATCCCACCACTCGTAAATCGCAGAGCCTCTTCTTGTCATTATGCATCGTTGTCTCGAGATAATTCCCTTGTCCCTTCGCGCATTACTGCTATTTCCCCATCTTGAGCATTTATGCTTGTCCGACCTAGATTTGGCAGGTTGGTTGACCTTTTCACGAATGAGCTAGCGTCCGACATCGTGTAAAAGTGAGGGGCGAAAAGGTCCGCCACATTTGCTCTTGACTTCACTTTAAGACGTCTCGAGCACTGCGATTGGCGGAAAAAGTTAAGAATGTGGCTCCCAGACTAGAAAGAAATTCGAACAAGTGGCTCCCTCTTCCCCCGCCTGTTGGTTTTGAAGGAGATGATGCAGGGAAGCCCAGCCAGAAAAAAAGAAAAAGAAAAAGAGGCCCAGGGGTTGCAAGGGGGAGGGGCCGGGCTTGGAGTTTCAGACATCCCAGAAGGGACTAATGAAGTTGCACCGACGCCCTGGTCCACACCATCCGCTTCACGGCGGCAAACCCAAGCGAGAGGATCTGGGTTTCTTCGCAACCTTTTCTAGTGGACGAAAGTGAGGCTCAATTCACTGGCGCTGGCTGTTTTCGTGATCTATCCATGCGATTGAGCGAGATGTCTGCTTGCCAAGGTTCCCTAGGAGGCCCCCTCTTTGGCCATCTCGCTCGTCACCATTTTGCCCCCTCGGGCGCCAACGAGACAGTGTCTAATCATGTCACACGAGTCTTGTTCTTTGGCTCTCGTCTTTCCTGCTTGCTTTCTTTCGCATAAGCATGCAACACAAAGCCCAAAAGCAAAAGCCAAAGGCATTGCAGACCAGAGCCAGTGGTTCCTCGCCCTTTTTCCCTTTTGCCTATGCTGTATGTTCCCTCCGAGTAAAACCCCTGGAATCCGCGAGGATCCTTGATGCCTTCCCCTCGTGTCCCCTTGCTTCGATCACCAACGAGATGAGATGATTTCCTGGATCGCCGGCTCGCCATACCGAAGATGCTGGATCCCAGGTCCACAGGCCAAGAAGGAAAAAGAGGGGAAAGGTGCCAAGCGGTTCTCTTTCCCCCCTTACTTTGCCCGCCCCTTGACCCCGTTGGGGCCCCCTTGAAGATACGATCCACCCCGGTTCCTGGCTCGTTCACACGTTGATGTGAGCAGAGGCGTAGCCACCACACGGACTCTCCCACCCAAACTCTGCCCACTGCTGGCTCCAGAGCGTGCGGCGCAGACCAGGCGGGATTCAATGCTGGCGTGCGCAGCCCGTCATGCACTATGCGTCTCCTCTCATCAATTGATGCCCCCTTCCCTTCACCTGACCCCTGCCTGGCCTTGTCCCTTTGGATGAGAGATCTCTCTCTCTCGTCAGCCCAATGCGTGTTGCTCGCCGACCGTTCAGCCCCGGTCCAGTCGTGTGGTCGAGGCGGCTCTTTCGGTACGGCCTGTCCAGAACCACCCTTGCCAGGCCCTGTGGGGATTGCTCCTTAATCAAATGAAAATCTCGCCCAGCGTTTTGCTTGCTTTCTCTGCTTTTGCGAGATGGGCAGTGAGAGTGGGGGAAGGAAGAGAGCAACCACAACGGTGAGCTTTGTGAATCGAAGCTCCCCCCTCTCCCCTGGCCCACCCACGAGCTACCCCCTGCTCGTTTAGTCGCCCATCTTCGCGTTCACGATGCAGGTCCTCTCCCTTGTCCCCATGAGAATGGAATCCGAGATATAAGAAGCCCGAGTCCGCCGCTCGACACCTTCTTCCCTTTTGTTCTTAGCTCACCACCTCTCCAATCGTGCTTCACTGTCGTCCCTCACTTTCGAAGGTTCGCCTGTCCAGTCTTTCTTGTTTTTTTCCAACTTTTTTACATTCTTTTTTGGCTGTGCCATATCATCACTCTTTGATTCACCGAAGGCCGAATCCACAAGCAATTCGCCTCCATCCACTCCTTGATCCAACTAGCGATCCCCACCCACCAAAACAGTGAAAGACACTTTTGTTTTCTAGAGACCAATTTTCTCCCTCCCATACGTAAAGATGCGTTACTCCATCGCTTCCGCCCTGGCCTTTGCCAGCAGCGTTTCCGCGCACACCCTCATGTACGGCGCCTGGGTCAACGGCGAGGACCAGGGTGACGGCCGCAACGTCTACATCCGAACCCCCACCAACAACAGCCCCGTCAAGGACCTCACCAGCCGCGACCTCGTCTGCAACGTCAACGGCGCCAAGGCCGCCCCCAAGTTCATCTCCGCCGCCGCCGGCGATACCCTCACCTTCGAGTGGTACCACGACAACCGCGGCGACGACATCGTCGACCTCTCCCATCTCGGCCCCATCATCACCTGGATCGCCGAGTACACCGAGGTGCCGGCACCGGCGCCATCTGGACCAAGATCGCCGAGGACGGCTACGACGGCTCCAAGTGGGCCGTCCAGAAGCTCGTCGCCAACAAGGGTCTCTGGGACTTTGACCTCCCTTCCAACCTCGCTCCCGGCCAGTACCTGATCCGCCAGGAGATCATTGCCCACCACGAGTCCGACGCCGCCTTCAACGTCAACCCCGCCCGCGGTGCCCAGTTCTACCCTTCTTGCGTCCAGGTCGAGGTCTCCGGCTCCGGCTCCGCCGTTCCCGACCAGGCCTTTGACTTCAACGTGGACTACACCTACGCCGACCCCGGCATCGTCTTCAACCTCTATGGCGGCTACAAGACCTACCAGATTCCCGGACCCGCCGTCTGGGATGCCGCCAGCGCTTCCCCCGGTGCCGGTTCCGGCTCGGGCGGCAACGGTGATGATGATGTCGCCACTCCTCCCGCTACCACTCCCGCTCCTACTCCTACCCAGCCTGCCGCTGATCCCGTTGACGAGCCCGAGGAGCAGGCCACCCCCAGCCCCATCTTCACCACCCTCGTCCCCGACCCGGCCCCCACCCAGCCTGCTGCTGAGGAGCCCGTCGCCGAGGAGCCCACCGCTACCCAGGAGCCTGCCCGCCCTGCCCCCACTCGTGTCTCCCCTTGCAAGAGGAGGAGGCGAAGCATGAAGAAGCGCGCTTCCGTCGCTTACTAAAGAAGCATCATGCTAGCGAGAAGGTACAAGGGCTTTCCTGAACACTTCTCTTCTTCTGTTCCCCCATCTACGCAATGCGTGTGGGAGAACCCCCTTTTGTGTGCGTCTGAGACAATACACACACGCAAACAACGCATCCTCTAGAAGGATAGTCGCTACGCCCTACTTTTGAGGTGACGACAGACATGTGGTTGACCACGAAGCACGAGCTGAAACAAAAAAGAGTTCTTCAAAGAACTAAACAAAAAAGCCAAAAGACAACATCCTTTTGTCATTCTCTGTGTACATAATTGTAAATTTACTCGGCCCCTCGGGATCTTGTTCACCGAGGGAGCCTGTGTTAAAACTTGTCTATACAAACAAAGTTCTGCCTTTGACTCGTCTTTTGCATTTTTCTTTTGATATACCATTTCCGTGAAGTGAATTAAGTGACCTGTGCTCTCATCAAGGCCTTGGCTGCGCCTGAAAATACCCCGTAATCTTGTTTTCCTGTGTATCCCCATCCAAAGGAACGATCGGATCACCGTTGCTATCCTCTTCAAGCTCCCAAGGTTCCAAGCCGCCCTCTACTTCCTCTTCAGCTTCATTCGCCTTCTCTTCCTGGTCTATCCCCCAACACTTCTTCCACGCTCTCACCAGATCCCCCACCATGGAAGCACACTTTACCTTGATCCCCAACGGCCCCAGTTCATCCCGGAGCTGATCAATATACTCCCACGACTTGATCATGTCTCCAAGCTCCTCCGGGCGCATACCCTGATCGTCGGGGTAAAAGTCCAGAAAAATCTCCTCGAGCGGCACCTTGCGTTCCAGCGCCAGCAGCGCCAACCCCGCAGCCAAGCAATCTCCTTGGGCCCGCAGTCCGACGGGTAGCACCCCATCCCTCTGATCCCCCTCGGTGTTGAAGCAGAGCGTAAACTTGCGGAGCCCCGGCGCCAAGAGCCTCTCCTGCAAGCCTTGCTCCGGGATAACCGACGTCACCGACACGTTGAGCTCCTCGAGCTTGTCGAAATCCCGCACGTCAAAGGTCTGGAGGCCGGTCATCCTCTTGGTGCTGCCGAGGGCGAGCTTGCGGAGGGTGCGCTTCTGGGGGCCGAGGAGACGCATGAACTGCGCTATGCCGGGCCGCTCGGCCGATCCGTAGCCATCGGGGTCCGTTTCCAACGCGAGCTCGACGAGGTTCTCGGGCCAGGCGATGAGGGTCTTGGCGCGCTCGACTCCGGTGCGGTTGGTGGTGATGGTGAGCTGCTCGATCGTGGGGTGACGCATCTAGAATGGCGTGGAAGTTTACTGTTACTACTACTCTCTTTTTTCTTTTCTACGTACGCTGCTCCTGTAGCATGTGGAACCGTGCTTCCAGCCCCCCTCCTCCAACGCACTCGCTCAAGATAGAGATTGCAAGGGTCGGAGAATGAGTGTCAGGGCCGAAGACCCAGCGCATCGTAAAGCATGAATGAGGGAAAAAGGGGGATGAAGATTTCTCTTACATTGGCGATTTTATCTAACGGAGAGTCGTGATCCGCAATCTTGTCGACCACCAGGTGTTTGAGGCTAGTAGACAGCGCAGTGCACTTGAGGAGAGGTCCCGTGCATTCCGGCACAGGTTGGGACCAATGGTTGAGGTTCAACTCATATAGCTTTGGCATCCTGGCCGTGGCCGTGGCAATAATGTCCCATACCCCTACGTGTTGGTAATGGTGGAAACCGCCCGTCACGTACAAATCTTCCACGCCGGTGAGCAACCCCACCAGATCCTTGGTGAGCTGTATCCCCTCTAAAACATCGGGGTCCACGACAAGGTCCGTGAGGTGGATATCCTCCCATGGCTCGCCCTCGGGAATCCGGGGATGCTCTAGCTGCAACCAGATCTTCTTGCAGTACGAGCCCAGGCTCGGGTTCTCCCGGAGAGATCGCCCGAGGAGCTTGAGCGCTTTCAAGGGCATGGGAACGCATTGTGTGATGATGAAGTGGCCCACTGATAAGCTGAATCTATGGTACATCAAGGGAAGGACGATTTGGTAAAAGCGCCGGCAGGTCTTTGCGATATCGAGAAAGTCCATGTAATGGTATGTGTGGCTAACATGGCTGTTCCGTATGAATCCCGGCGTTGCCATGTCAAAAATTTCCAGCAAAAGCTCGTCAGGCAGCAACATGAAGGACCCATTCGCCCGAGAAGATGGACGCTCGGCGGGTTTGTGCCCTCGGCTGGGCAACTGGGTGAGGATGGTGTGTTGTCCTGCCTCCTCGCCCTTGTCTGTTGTTTGCTCGTTCCCCGTCCCCATGATTATCGTGGTTTTGGAACGCTACCTGGAGACAAACCTCAGATGGCTGCAATCCTTCTTGAGAGGAGGTTGGGATGCTGCTCGAATGCGAATGAGAATGAGACGGTGATGCAAAACAGGGAGAGGCGGCACACAGCGAAGTGTGATGAGCCAAGTTGAATATGGATGAAGACGCTGTTCGGGATGGAAAGGAGGCTTGCGGGCTCTTTACACCGCCACATTATCGATGCAGTCTTATGAAACTTCCCCGCGGCGCACATGTGTCCCCCTGTCGAAATCCCTTTTGTGCAAATGAGGGTGGGTGGGATTCGTTCAACGCCGCACTCAGAAACGAATGCCTAGTCCATGCATATGGAGCTTCTGTCCCGCGATCTGCAAAGATACCAACCACAAAACTAACCGCCTCCATTGGATTCATTCACGACAAGAGGGAGGGAGGGGTTTTTCCTTTTCCACCTTGCGTCCCCGCGCATCCTCCTGGAGGATTGAGGAGTGGGGCCATGGGGAATCAGAAGAGGAAATGATTTGTTGCTGCGAAGGGAACAGCTTCCGTGAGTCAAAAGTGATAGCTTAAAGTGGGCGCGAATCAAAAACGAAACGAAATACGGCCGTGGATTTGATCCTATTTAAGCGAGGCCAAAATGTCAAGAGAAAAAGATTCCAAGGCGAGTCGGGAAACCTCGTCTTCGTCTTCCCTTAAAGCAGCCGTGACTTTTGGGCGATGTTGCAGCATAATTAATCAAGTTTAGTTGCCCTAGATTTTTCTATCTCCTTTACATATCTAGACCTAGATTCTTCTGCCATCATTCCGTTTCCAGGAAAAGCTCCGTCATGGACCTGCCCTATTAAAATGTCGATGCTCGATTGATACCCTGAATCTCCTGCAGGATTGCGGATCCGGCATCCGGAATCTCCTCCTCGCCCAGCGACACCTCGTCGCCGTACTTTCTGTTGAGTGCCATCCTCCGCGCCCGGCGGTAGTCGGTGTTCATGTAGGACCAATCGAGAATCTCGCTCAAATCTTCCGTCCGGCGGCGCTGCAGCAGTCTCTCGCGGTGGGACTTGAGGCAGAGCTCAAACATCTGGTCCACCATCTCATTCACGCAATCGTCAAACCCCTTGCCCCAGCGATCGGCAATGTAGATGCCATACGTAGGCCCGTGCTCCTTCAAAACGTCCTTCATGTGGTAGCCGAACCCCGACAGGTTCGTCGTGATGCTCGGGATACCCATAACGGCGCACTCGGCCGGCGTGTAGCCCCACGGCTCGTACGTCGACGGGAACACGCCGAGGTCCGTCCCTCGGACAAACTCGTCGTAGTTGACGGGCAGCAAGGGGTTGTACGGACGGAGGAACTCGGGGTGGAAAACAACCTTGACCTTGTCCTCGGGGTCGTTGGCGAGATTGACCTCCTTGAGGCGGTTGAGGATGGGGTCATCTTGGCTGTTGACCAGTTCGTGAGTGACCACCTCGGATTTCTCGGGCTGCTCGAGGTTGTAGAGTCGCATTCGGAGGTTGTTCTCCTCTGCTTCGGGTACCAGGTCGTCCAAGTTCTGCGTCGGGAGCGGGTCGCCCTGCTTCCAGCGAATCGCTCTCTCAAAGAGCTGGTCCCCAATGTCCCTCTCCCAGGATTTCATCGCGCCCCGCAGCGACTTCACGATGGCGTGGCTCTCGAGGCAATTCGGCAGGATCGCCACCTTGTCCGCGGGCATGATGATGAAGGCCACCACCGACACCGTCTCCTTTCCGTTGCCCTGGACCTCCTTCAACCGGTCGTTGAGCCGTGCGAGCGCCTCAATGTACATGTCGGCCCCCTTATTGGTGAACTCGTAGCGCCCCGCGGCAAAAAGTACAGCGTGTTCTTGAGATCAAAGTCGAGCTGGCCGTAGAAATGGCCGCGCACAAAGTCGTCAATCTTGCCCCGGGTATCGTAGCGGCAAAACTCGTCCACGTCAGAGATCTCCGACACGTTGAGGCCGTTGAGGAGCACGGCGTCGGGCTTGCGGCCGAGCAGGTGCTCGCACTCGCGCGCCGTGATGGGCGACACCGTCGTGAGCACGTCGCATGAGTGCGCGACGGCCCGCTCCACGGGGTGGCGGTGGTAGAAGTCGGTGCCGTCGGCGATGCTGTCGTCGCAGCGGGTTTGCAGGGACTCGATGTACTTGTCCACCGATTTCGTGCAAATCTGCCGCCCGAGGCTGGTGGCGTGCGTCGTGAACAGGGTGGCCATGTTGAGCTTCTTTTCCCTGGCGAGGATCAGCGCGATGCTGCCTGGCCACTCGTGTCCGTGCCAGATGATGGGGCTCTCTTGTTCGTTTTTACTCAGCTGCCGGGTATTATTAGTCTTTCGCATCGCAGTATATTGGACAAAGGCTTTTGTGTGTTTTTATCGCGTACCTCTTCCATGAATGTGATTAGGAAGTATGCAAAGAGGACGCCTTTGGTGATGAGCTCATCGTCGGTCGGCAGCTCATAGTTGACTTTTTGCTTAGATCCTTGACCCACTCCTCGAGGTGCTCCTCGCCCGATTTGGTGTCAATGAGGAGGACGCGAGGTGCCTTTGGGATCATCCAACGGCCATAGATTATCTTGACGCCTCGGGCTTTCATGGCATCCATGGCCTTGGCAATAGAAGTTGTAGACGGTTCACATTCTCGAACCTCGACTGCCGCCTACATCTCGCGGTAGTTAGAGTTGTGTTACTTCCTTTACCCTTTGGGGCGTTCTTGGACGGGACGAACCGATTGCCGAACCAGCGGACCAACTAGTGTGTAGCGAGTTCCGAATTCTTGCACCGTCTCCTGGGCCTTTGACCTCAGCACGGTATGAATGCCACCGACTGCCCAATTCACGAGGTTTATTAGTACACATGCTGTATGTTCCCTATGACTGAAGGGGCTAGCCGATGGAGGCACGATTGGGAGAACACGTACTCCGCGAGCCAACTTCTATCGATGTTTCAAACAAAGAGCCTGACGGCTCCTCGGCTCGTGCCCTTGCTTCTTCATCTTTTTCGCGATTTCAAGCCAATATAAGAATCAATTGCGGGGTTTCGGGGAGAAAAGGGTAAGGATGTGTGCGCCTGATAGAGGCTGGGCTTAGAATGTTACGAGGTGGACTGAGAGACTCTAGTCTGGAGTAATATATAAAAGGGATTACGGGGTAGAGTTGGCACAAATTCATGAAGCTAGATATGGAATGCAAGCTGTTGTTGTGCACGGCAGATATCCCAGTCTTTTGAAGGAGTCCGGGCACCGCGCGTCGCTGCTACACGAAAGGCGATCCCCAGTGTGAGTGATGTGGCCCTTTCCACCGCAGGATTTAAGGGATGGAGGCCTTGGCGTATAATTCAAGGTTATACCCGCAGACTCTGGGCCATTTCTCAACCTGCATTCGCACGCTTTCGGTCATGCTGTGGAGACGGGCTGCCTTACCGGTCCAACCTTGGAGCCAAGGCTGGGTAAGCTTCCCGGGCGTAGTGCCTTGGATGTAGCAGATACGGCCGGAAACCAAAGGCGGGTTGCCGGCTGGGCGCGAAAATAAGACAGGAATAGTCCCGTTTACGGGATGCGGGACCCTCAAGCCAGGCACGTCACTGTGATCCCAAGCGGGTACCCGGCGTGTTGGTATTGGTGTGCAGTCTGAGCAAGGTCGCCCCTGGCAGAGCCCAATATCTAGGGCCAGCTTGCCAGCTCAGAGACGGCATTCTCCCAGGCGAATCGGAAAGAGAAAACAAAGAAATTGATAGAGGAGAGAGAGTAGATGGTGGCGTTCATGTCGGTCTAGGCCCTCCCGGCTCGGGGAGTCCCATTGAACCAAGTTGAAACGTGCGGTGCGCCAAGGATAGCCACCCTTCGGACCTATGCTCCGGCGAGATATATTTTTGGGCTCTCTGCCTTACGCCTACCAAGCCTGCAAGCTTGAGGAGCATGAAATGGGATCATTGAAGAAAGCAGACCTGCATTGTGATACGACTTGCAAAGTACATGGACAGTCCTGGAACAATGGAAAAGATAGATGGAATTACAGGAAAAGCAGGCGTATCGCCAAAGTCTTGCTAGTGATATGATATCATTCCGTCGTACCGAGTGGATTTTCAAAGGAAAAGTTAAATTGCCGATCTTTCGTTTGTCGATTTTCTGAAATCCTTCGATGACGTCAACGACTGCTTTAGCATCGTTGGTTTGATTGGCTAGTCATTAAGCGAGGGAGGACACCGTCGCTGACGGCAAAGGCCGAGCAGTTGTCCGCCAGTTGGATCAAGCTGCCGAACTAGAACTTAGAGGAGCTGAGGAATACACGCAAGGTGAGCTGGTAATCATCATCAGGAGAAATGAGTGTAAACTTGATGGCGAAAATGAAGTAGAGACGTGAGAATGAGGTTCTACATTGCTAGAAATATCACGGTTTAGCGTATAGGGTCGTATGAGCTAGTAGAGGTCTTATGATCTGGTGGCTCAGAAGTCCGAGGACGATATTCGCTGGCTGGCTAATTTGACGAATCGACGAGATATAGTGACTATACCTTCGGCATCAGCTTACATCCAGACTGAAGCGGTATTTTCAACCACGTATACTCTAAGATGACCTCAAATTATGATCAGGGCAATATCACAGACACCTCTTATGGACCTTACTAACGTCCATCCTGCAAGCATTTTCAAAGTTTACCGACATCGGTTATGGCCGCTCCAAAACGATTCTTTCACCAGCTGCAAGCATCATCAACCACACCTCGCCCATCCTTATACTGCTTCGTCACCCATGCTTTGAATAATATGCCCTGCGCGAAGCATGGGTGACACCTAGAATCCCCTAGCATTTTGAGACCGTGGTAGGTCAAGATTGCCCTGTTCGCAACGAACTTACTTAAAGGCAACAAGGTTCGCGATCCAAGTTCAAGAGCAACATTTAGGTATTGGTTATGATCAACTCGTTAAGTCATTACTAAAACTAAAGCTCGCTCCTAGGGGTTGGGTAATGTATGCAACGTAGGTGGTATCAAAGGAAATTGCCTTACTCAAAACTGCAAATGCCCGTTAACTGAGCGACATTAAGACCAATAGCTATCTAAAGAATGCCCCGTATCAAAATCATGCGCCAGCAGCGGTTGGAATCTCTCAGCTCCATGCTGTTGGAGGCGCGTATGTCTGACCAAGCGGCGCCTGTGGCTGGCCATAAGCTTGCGCCTGGGGAGCTGGGTTGGAGGGCGCGTAAGCCTGGTATTGACCCTCCTGCTGCGGCGGAGGCTGGGGCTGGGCCTGGGCAGGAGCAGGAGGCTGGTAGGCTTGGTGTTGTACTGGCTGTGCTTGGTATTCCTGCTGTTGTACTGGCGCTTGGTATGCCTCTTGTTGTACTGGCACTTGATATGCCTGTTGTTGTACCGGGGCTTGATACGCCATTTGCTGCGCTGGAACTTGATAAGTCGGCTGCTGCGCGGGAATATGGTTCTGATATGGTTGTTGCTGGACGTAGGCGCCCTGTTCTGGATACGTTGTTTGGTGTTGGGGAACAGATGGCCCGGCTGCCTCCTGAGCTGGTTGATAAGCCTGGAAGGGCGCATTCTCCGGTTGGAAGGGCTGGGCTTGTTGCGGGTACTGGGGATACTGAGGCGCCGACGTGGCTGGAATTGCAGGGCGATAGTGGTACTCCTGACGAGCGGGCTGGGGCTGCCCATACCCGGCGGCTGGTGCAGCACCGGGCGCCACCGCCGGGTTGCCGTAGCCTCCGACCGGGTCAGCCTGGGCCGGAGGAAGGTTATTGGTTGGCACCGCGGCGTAATCTTGCGGGTTGTAGCTCTGGTATCCCTGATAGGGCGTCGCGCAGGCCGAAACTGAAGATTGGAGCGGGGTGTCGGGGTACGAGTAGGTGGTCATGGGCGTGGGGCACTCGGTGGCATAGGTCGAGGCCGAGGTGTGCGAGGCGGTGGACGATGTCGTTTGCGTCGAGTAGCCCGAGGCTCCGGTGCTTTCGTAGGCGAGATGGGCCGTGGGCTGCGGATCAAAGTAGGAGGTCTGCGGCTCGGGCACCGCTGGGTGGATCGGTTGAGTAGGCTCGGCGGCGGGCTGTGCGGGGGAGGAATCGTCTCCGCGGGGGCGCCATCTGCGCGGGATGGTGTGCTGGCTCAGATGCCACGACCTGTGCGCCTTGGCCCGGTTGGTCGCTCGTTGGGGCCGGGCCACGGGTAGCAGACTCGCCGGGGAGTTCGTAGTGGTCGAACGATTGGAAGGAAAAGGACGAGTACATGACCGCGTTCCCGTTCTCTACGGTGGGTTGCGCCGCGGGTTGAGCCGGCGGGACGGCAGAAGAGTTGGTGTTGTCGTGCGTAACGATATGCTGGTGGGGCTCTGATGCTGCGACGGCGGCGCCGGATAGTTCCTTGGGCTGGGCTTCCGCGGCGGAGGTGGCTTGCGGGTGTGGCTCCTGGTTCGCTTGGTACGGCGCTGCTGGGTCGAAGTACGCGGAGTGCGTGTGCGTCGTGCTCGCTGACGGCAGAGCGTCGGCCAGTGGCTTCATGTCGTACGTGGAGGTACCCGCCGCATACGCCTGCGTGGTTCCGTTGCATGTCGGGATCTGGGCTGAGGTGTTTTGGCCCACCTCCCTCGACGTCGAATCTCCTACAGTCGGGGCGGGAGGGATGGTTTGAGCGGCATATTGTTCGGGAGGTACACCGTAGGCCGGGTAGGTCACTGGTTGCGCGTTGGGGTCTTGAGGGACTGCGGCAGCCGCGGTGTAAGCGCCGGGAGCGGGTTGCGCTTGTTGGTACGCGGGCTGGGCCGGGCCGTAATGGTATACGGCGGGTTGCTGTGCTGCCGCGGCGGGGTCGGGCGTGTAAGGGTACGGGTAGTTGACTTGCTCCGGACCAGCAGGTGCCTTTGCGTCCGAGACGAAGCCCACGGGTGGTGGGTTCAAGCTCGCGTCATAGCTGGGGGCGGTTGAACCCAGGTCTGGTCGGGATACGTCGGCTGCGCTTGGGTTCCGCTGGGCCCAGCGACGGCAGTGGGGCCATATGTATATGCGTACGGAGCCAGATTACCACCAGGTCCATACGCGAACTGCTGTTGCTGCTGGGGTCCGTACCCCGCCTCGGCGGCCTTGGCATCGGCGACGGCTTGGAAGACGCCGGCGCTTTGGAACGCCTTGACGGCCTCCTTCTTCTTGGTATGGCTCGTATGCATGTGCTCGATGCCGATGGCGGCACCGTCCATGGCGGCGTGCGTCACTACCTTGACGGCCAACTCGTTTTGGGCGATAGCCGTGATGCCGTGCTCCGCGCCGTTGGCGACGATGGCATCGGCGCCCAGGGTCCCGACACCGAGAGTGACCACGCCAATGGTGCCGCTAAAGGCGACGCTGCCAATGACATCGCGCTTCCGGGTGTTGTGGGTGGTGCCGTGCTTGTTGAGGTGCTTCTCGATGATCTCGCGCTTCTTGCGCGCGTTGTGGATGGCGGGGGCGGCGAGGCCGACACCGATGGCGGACACGCCGCACGTCAGGGGTAGGGCGAGGCCGGACACCGCGGTGGAGGTGGAGGCTCCCGAGATGAGGCGGGTGTAGTGCTGCCACTCGCGCTGGAGCTCCTCGGGGGTGAGGGCGTTGCATTTCGCGTCGTAGGCCTTGAAGTCGAAGGGCATCTTGCGGGGGACTTTGCGCGGCGGTAATGCCACGCGGGGAAAGGGGGATGTATGAAAGGAACCCCTCCCTTTCTACCTGACTGGGTGCGCCTGAGAGAAAGGAGCTATCTTTTTTCTTTCAATTCTTTTGTCCGTTCTTTGAAGCTAGGTGGAATCGCAATAGGGATCGATGTACCTTTGCTCTTGACCGCCAAGAGGCTACAGCGGGACCGATGGAACAGACAGCGGTAAAGGCGTTTTCGGGAATGGTATTACGATCAAAAGGAAACGAGAGAGAAGCGGAAGGGAAATAACAGGGTGGGAGGACCAACATAACTACGAGAGCGGGGGAAGAAGAGAACGACGGCGCGGTTAGACGGCTGCAGGGTAGCAGAGCATACAAGTATATCTCAAGCGGGCCTAGACCGCGGGAATTTTTCTTAGGCGATCCAGATCGTTTTGGTCAAAAATTGATCGTGGACTTATACAGCCTGGCAGTGGGGTTCCTGTTTCGCCCCCTTTCCCTCCCTTCATCGTTTTGGACGCTTGGTGCGGCAGTGCAGGATCGGAGCTTGCAGTTCAGCCGCACCCCTGAAGTCCTACTTGGGCCCTATTGGGCTCGTACCAAGCAATTATTGATTCATTATCCATGACTGTCTTTTAGCGCCAGTCAAACAGGATCCAAGAAAAACAATTGAAGAAGTCCTGGGTTGGAATCCGGAGAGCGGTTAGTTTTGTTGAAAATCGATGGTTGAAGATACATGTACTCTTATGGCAACTATGTTCGCGGCTTTCCAGAATCGATGCCGTTCAGAATTCAGATGGATGCCCCCTTCCCCTTCGACCTTTTTAGCCGACACCTTGACAAGAGTACAGAAACTCACGTTCTTCCATTTTGGGACTCCAGAGCGACTGGCTGTGGCGCGATGCTTCCTCGTGGTCGCGATGTGCAGACGGGTTGGATCCACCCTGGATGAAACGCACACCTGCGGGAGAGGACGGCGTTTGGCATGAACGAGCAGAGCAGGCTCCCGCAGTGAATGTGTTTGTGTGTGTGCTCGAGCTGGAGCGGCGCAGGATTGAAACTAATAATAATATTAGGAATCCACGCTTAAAAGGGCGGGCCATTTGGGGCTGAGCTCACAACCGCCTCGTTGGGACAAAGCCTGCAGGCTGTCCCTTTCATTTATTCTTCTCCTCTTTGTCTCCGCTTCCCTTTTTCTTTCTTCTTTTTATGTTTTTCTTTTCTCTGCTGTTCCAAGTCGATCAAAGTTGAGATGGGGCCTCCGATTTAGGACTTCTTGACACTGCACGCCCTACACTACACACGATCGGGATGAAACAGAGAAGCAACCGCGCTGATTGATTGTGGACCCAGGCAGAGCAGACGCCACCTTGCAAGGCAGACGACAATGCCTGGCTCCAGACAACGAAGCTGGCATGGTTGACGGACAGCAAAAGACTCGCGCAGAGCTATAAGTCATGGGTTAAATGGTCGGCCTGGCCCGGCCTAGGTTTTCTGCTCGTGGGGAGCCCGCTGGCCTGTCTCGTACGACTGGGTAGCCCGGCAAGGAAACTAGCAGGCCGGGAAAATCTCGCGCCCAGGAACATGCATGCGTTATCGAATCGTTATTTTCAGATCGAACTCTATTGGCGGTGCTCGTGGCGTCGATGAGATCATCAGCACCTGTCTTCCAACGCTCCCAACGTGCGCCTTGGCTTTTAGAGTTCGCGCAAGTCGGCGTCGGCAAAGACCCCGTTGGTGGAAATCTCTCTACTCTGTAGAAAAAGACGCTGCTTTCTCAGGTCGATCAGTCTATTTACCCTTGATTAGTTTTTGATCGTGGCGGTGCGGAAGCTCGGGAACCCTAAATGCAAAAATCTCACGTCCGACAGCACAATGTTCATGATTCATCAGCAACTTGTGTGACATCCCGTTCACTTCTTTTTAAGGGCTCATGTCCATGGTTGTGTGGGCTCTTTCCATTGTGCTTCTTCTAGACTTCTTCTCTGACTTGTTCTATTTGTAAACATACCACACCTACTCTCTACACGAACGAGCCAAACATCTCTCTTCCTCTGTCAAATTCAACGACTCGTGTCGCCGACTCTTCACGTACTACTAAACAGTAAGCGCGCGCTCGTTCCTGCATTGGCCGCGCAGTTGTAACTCGACAAAACGTCAAGATAAGATCCGCCAGGGGACAAACAAAAAGATCCAAGGAAACGCCAAGCCCCGGTGCCAAGAGTTTTCCCCGTCAGCCCTACGAGCTGTCGAAGCCCACCCACCATGTTTACCCACATCAGCTGGCCCCGGCAATACCTCCCCGGCACGACCGACAACTTCGTGTCCAACGAGGTCTACGTCCGCGGCATCACCGCCGAGCAGGTGTGGAAATACCTGACCGACGTCTCCCACTGGGAGTCCTACTACAACAACGTCGCCCAAATCACCCCGCCCCCACCGGCACCAGACTACACAAATGGGACAAATTCCGCTTCTCGACCTTTGGCTTCCCGCCCTTAAACGCCGAGGTGTGGGACTGCGTCGAACCCACAGACATAACCCCGGGTCACATCGCTTGGCGCGCGTGGCAGGAGGGTGATGACAGCAGCGCCCTTGATGTCTACCACGCCTGGGTCGTCGAAAACGTCGACTGGGGCGTCGTGAGGATCTGCACGCAGGAATCTCAAAACGGACAGCCTGCCGCGAAGCTCGCTCAGCAGAAGCCTAACCCCATGTTGAATGGACATCAGGATTGGCTCAACGGCCTGGTTGCCTACACCAAGTCCAAGGCCAAGTCGAGCGCATGACGATGAGGTTTCATCTTAGGTGGAAGGAAAGAGATGAAGGAAATGAAATGGACATAACCAACATTTAAATTAATGTAAACCTTGAAAAGTAATTGTGGCCTCTGATAAGGTAGAGGGAAGTGAGAGTACCCATACAAACACTGGAGTAGGAGAAACGGTACTTGATTTCCTCGAAGGAAGCCTTACTCTTCCGAACTGCTGATTTAGACTCTCTTGGGTACAGCAACTATAGAAAAACTATGGAAATGAGTTTAATTAAGTCTACACTTATTTTTCTGAAGCCTGCCATCATATTTACCACGATACGTGGTCACAAAGAATAAAGAATCACTTAGAAATGTGTGGTATTTCAAAATAATATCTGGTAAGAAAATGATCTGGTACGAAGAAGAGTAAATAAGAGCGTTGGAGTATCATCCCTGCCGAAGCTCAACTCGGCCCCATCCCGCACGCGTCGCCCGCATCACGGTCGTTACGTTGCGCGTGGCATTAAACAAAGAAACCCACAAAAAGAAACTACCTTTTCCGGAATTGCTCTCTTTCTCTCTCTGTAAGTTCTTTAGAGGTGAAGGTTGAACCCCTTCTTTCCGCTCTTCTCCTCATCGTTCTCCGCGACGCGCTCGACAGTCGCCTCGATCTTGTCCGTCATGAGCTCCTCGACACCGCGCATGAACCAGATGCACACAATGGCGATGACCACGAAGGGGATGATGCTAGCCCACGCCAACCGGTACGCGGCAGCGTACTGGTTCGCGCTCTCCTTGGCCGCGGCGGCCCAGACATTGTCGGTGGCGCCCTCGACGCCCTCGCGGACGCCGGACGCCATGGCCGTGAGCAGGTCGGCGATGCTGGACTCGGGAGACCGGCAGCGACGGCGGCGGCGGACACGGCGGGGGCATAGTGGTTGGCGAGGCGGTTGTTGGAGATGGTGTCGAGGACGGCGGAGCCATGGCGCCGCCAATGGCACGGGCGGAGAAGGCGAGACCGGTGGCGGTGGAGAGGAAGGCGTGGGGCGCGGTGTACTGGATGGCGGCGGGGAGGAGGGTGAGGGGACCGGCTTGACCGATACCGGCGAAGACGTTGATGGCGATCTGGGCCTTGTCCATGTCGGGCCTGATGCAGGCGTAGAAGATGGTACTGCGAGGACGTTGCATTAGTTTACATGATCTTCTTTTCAGTCGAGAGGGAAAGAAAGGGACCAAAAGAGGGACTTACACAGCCAAGAAGATGATGAAGGTGACGAGCAGAGGGTTCTTGAGATCCTTGAAGTAACTGGCGTAGGCGGACAGGAGCAGGGGAAGAAGAAGATGGTGCACTGGAAGGACAGCTGGCGGACGGAAATGTCCCAGGCGGTGTGCTCGAAGCCGAGGTTGAGGACGATCTGGGGCACGAACGAGTTGACGGCGCTGTAGAAAATCCAACCCTCTATGGCGAAAGCAAACGTGGTATAGAAGAAGTTGGCGTTGTGCTGGAAAAAGACGTGGGCGACGAGACCGTCATCGCGACCCTTCCACTCGTAGATGCCGAAACCGAGAAGCATGACGAGACCAATGGTCAAAGGGGCGATGACGTGCACGTCGCTCCAGCCGTAGACGCCGCTGGACCAGTTGAGGCCGAGGATGGTGAGGGTGGAACCAGTGATGAAGAGGAAGGAGCCGATGGGGTCGCAGGTCCAGATGTACTCCTTGAGCGTCATCTTGGGGTACTCCCTGTTCTTGGGGGCCAGTAGAAGACGAGGAAGCCGATGGCGGTGAGGCCGTGGAAGATGGCCTGGATCCAGAAGATCCACCTCCAGCCGTCCGAGCTGACGTTGGTGACGGCACCAGCACCGAGGGAGCCGATACTGTGAAAGGGGAGAAAAAGACAAAGTTAGAATCAAAGAGTGTCCCGAAAAGTGCGTATAAAGCTTGAAAGACTTACAGTCCACCAATGGTACCAGCCATACCGCAGAAACCCTGGGCGATGGGCCTGTACTTGAGGGCAGAATCTCCGAGGGGATAGCCTGCACGATGGAGATGGTGGAGAGGGTGGTGCCGATGAGGATACCGCCGCCGACCAGCATGTTCATGGAGGTGGCCTTGGCGGAGATGACGGCGCCGACAAAGGCGATCAAGGGCGGCACGCCGGCGAGGTATTTACGCTCCAGGACATCGGACAGACGACCAAAGAGGGGAGAAAGCACGGCTTGCATGAGAAGGGGGCCTGGATGATCCAGCCGGCGAGACCGGCCTGGCCGACATCGCGGATGATGAAGGCGATGACGGAACCGGCGGCGACGACGACGAAAACTTGGGAAACGACACTGTATAAGGGAAGAGCGGTTAGTCAAGAACTCGGGATAGAGGGCTCGTTATTTCTTGCCACCCCTCTCCTAGGCATAAGCACACTTGAGGGGGGATGGGAATGGGCATGCGAGCTTTTGTGATGGAGAAGGAGGATATTCCAAAACAACTTACGCGAAGCAAGTAACAGCAACCACGAGCCACGACCTCCAGCTCAGCTTAATGTGAGCATCCTCTCCTTCGTGGGCCTCGGCCACGATGGTGTCCTCCACGCGGGGCTTCTCCGACGTTTGCGGCCTGGGTTCAACGTTCTCGACCTCGTTCTGCACGGGGTCGCTCTTGGTGGAGTCGGCCGCCATTGTGAATTATTCTTTCCGTGCGTGTGCGCGCGCGGTCAGGTGAGGGTTAATACGGTGAGGTTGAGTAATATGGGGAAAAGAGCTGCGGAGCCTGGTGTAGCCGCAAGAATACTTGGAAAAGATTGCGGAGTTCCGAGGATCGGGGCAATGCTCTGTCGACAGACGAGCGGAAAGACGAATACAAGGGGGAAGGGGGAGGATCTCCTGGACGAATCGCACAAGGATACGGAGGGAAGAGAGACGGAGGAGAAAAGAAAAAAAAGACAAGACACAGAACACGTCGACGCGAAGCAAGAGACTTCTTAAAAGAAAAAAAAGTGACGGCTTAGGATTTTCTGTTCTTATTTTGCGACAAGCTGGAGAGAAGATTATTTGCCATGCGCCCATCCCCACACCTCTCCCAAACCCCAGAGCAATTGCCGTTGATCTGGTAGGGGCTCGGACTACGAGTGGTAGCTTCCGACTTGACCACTTTCGTTAGTGCACCCCGGACGACGTGGTTTCTCGCCTCTCTTTCTCTCTCCTTGTGTGTGTCTGCTTGACACACACACTCCACACACATTCTCTTCGCCGCCTGACAAAAACGAAAGACTTCAAACCCAGGTGGGTATCTAGTCCAAGGGGGTGTGGGCGCGCGGCGCCCAAGGAGACACCGGGCGCCCCTTAGCGGACTCGCCAACCCGCCTAAACGGAGAGCCTCGATGTGGAGCGCGGTTCCAGGAAAGGAAGACCAAGAGAAAAAGGCTGGCAGGGGGACCCCAAAACGGACTCCACTTGGAGCTGGCTGAGCGGACCAAGGATGTGGGGCAGGACATTACGGGGTACATATTTCGCTTGAGGGCTGCGATACCCCGGTCGCCCCGGGAGGGTCACTGTGGATTCGGAAGAGGACATCATCGTGCGGGGCGGGCAGACTGAGGAGGAGCAAGAACGAGATGGGAGGGGAACAGCTAGTTAGCTAGCTAGCTCTGTTCCTGCTCTGCTTCTTGCGTGAATCAGTCAATGGCGGTGTCTTGTCATCCATGGATCGCTCGATCCGGGCCCCGCTGAGCACAAGGCCAGCCGTCATGGGCGGCGTGGACGGCGTGGAACGGCGTGGAAAACATGGTCTGACGGCAAGCGCGATAGGCTCTGCCGTGACGTTAAAGAAAGCCGAGAAAACAAAATAAGAATAAAAAAAAAAGAAAGCTACCAAACTCTACTGAGACGATGGCGCCTTGGTGTGGAGTCAGCTGATAACTAGAGGTCGCGATGCGATGCGGAGGTGATGTGTGGGGTTTGCGGGGGAAGGATCGGGAGATGGCGAGGGCGCTGGACGGGGTCAACGGCATGTTCTGCCTACGGGCTGGGCCCATTCCCCGTCTGCACTCTCACCACCACCTTTTGCACCTCAATCAGAGTGTCGACTCGCCACGCCATCCACGACGAGTCTACCCTTGACTTGAGCTTGAGACCATACGCCAGGCCTGAGCTGTGCATCAATCTTTTCAAGGGACGCACACCAAGGATATCCCGGTTTCCGACTGGAGAAGAGAAAGGGGCCAATCGAAGGAAAATTTTACCACGAGCGAGCTATAATAGCCCATGAACGATGTGAATGGACAGGATTCGATGCAGCGGTTCCTCCGTCATCTTATTGTGGTCTAGGGGAGATCACTCCCTCAATTGGGCTAATTGCACCTCGGGAATGGCTACGCCAGGTTTAGGCGTGGAACCGCCAAAACTTATGTGGTCGGATGATCGGCTGATCGGGGCTAGTCTGCTTGCCCCCTCGCCTCTACCTCAGACTATTGGGGTACGAGGGGTCGGCATTCCCATCCTTTGTTGCGCTGGGAGAAAGGTTTGCACTGCCGGGAGCTACGAAAATCGGGGTCGTGCGAAACGCTTGGGAAATGCCACTCCCTCAAGATTGGGGAGCATGACACCCATCATCTCCAAAAACTTCTGGAACTCGACTGGCGTGGTGTCAGTCCCTTTTTCAATATTTTGCCTCCCCTAGGCGCATAATTCGTCCAGATGAAGTCGAATGAAATTGATCCTGATGTCTTGCCAGAGCGTTGCGACATGGCCAGTGCCCCACGCCTACGCCCATATACGCCGGCTCCTTGTACGCTTCCGGAAGACAACCGTATTTTGTCTTGCGAGCCAAGACCGGTAGCAGTAGTTGGATGATGGGGGACGCTGATGTTACTTGCTGGCCCCACAGATTTTGAACAAGGACGAGGAGGAGGAAAAAAGTGGAATCTCGGTTCGGATTCTTTTTGTCTCCAGTTTCAGTGGGACTCGGAATAGTTTCGAGCCTTGGTGGCTGCCTTTGCAGCATCCATGTTGAACGAAATAACCTCAATTGGTCATTGGTGGGGCTCGGCGGGAGGGGAGAAGAGGAGAGAGCACTTGAGGGCTCCATCTTGGCCCCATTTCCCCAGCAATTCCCCAGCAATTCCCCAGTATTCCCCAGCATTTTTAGGAGGACCAGAAATTAGCGGAGGCCCGCGCCCTGGAGACGCGGCCAAGACGACTCGACGACACCACGGGGCACCCAGCCTTAAAGCGCCAGGTTATTAGCATGAAGACGGGAGATGGAATATCACGGCAAGGAACATTAACGACTCGGCCGGGGCGCTCTAGTCTGCCCTGTCTCGCCGCTGGATCGCGCACGGAAAGAAGAGATCTATCGAGGGAAGAGCGGATATATGGATATATCGTGTTTGACAGGACAGCGTCTAAACTAGATCTGGACGTAGTGAACACTCGCCGTGGTTCAAGGAGGGCACGGCAGTTGCCTGTGTGGTTGTGTTGTGCCAGGGTGCAAATGGGACACAACAGGGGAGGGAAAGGGGGGGGAGGGTGCCACGATGATGGAGGGACCCTGCTGGTGGTAACGGAGGGACCCCCAAGATCAAGATCGAGACACCAGTGGCGTCGAGGAAATACGGCTTTACAGCGTAGAGGGTGGCATTCGAGAAAGGAAGGAAGCTCTCAAGTGCACCATGTGAAAAAGAGGCGGCCATTGGGAAAAGGGGGAGGAAGGGCCGCCTAGACAAGATGAGGAGGAATTGCGAACGCAAGCTTGGCTGTGGTTCAGCAGAAGCAGACCAAAAATGGAGGAGCTAAGCAGCAAAGGCAACACGATCCAAGGGAAGGAACGTGCGAAGTGGAGAGATGTGGGGTTCCAGAAGTGGGACAGGATTGAAATTCCCCAGTTGGACCCACTTCTTGTTCTCGTCCCCAAAAAGTGACATACACACAATCGCCAATCCCGCGCTCCTGTTTGGCCAGCCAAAAGTGAGCTCCATTCTCTAGAAACCCGAGGGCCAGGGTAAGAAGAATTGAGAGTTTTTTTCTTTCTTTTCTTTCCTTCTTTTTCTTTCCGAATAAGAGATTTATTTTAGCTTCTGACAACGCCCCCTCGTGGACCCTCGTGGAGGGTTGCGGCTCTGACTCGCCAAAGCTAAAAGTTGCAAGTGCCCCCAGAGAGAGAAAACTCAATGCCGACCGGCGTGCTTGGGGGCAAGTGCGGTGGATTGCAGCTGCCGACCATTGTGATTGATAATGTCGATTGGAAGGATTGGACGGGGGTGAACCCAAGACTTGAGAAGAAGGCGCGGACTGGACTTCTTGGGAGAGCTAGATTCGACACTACCAAGTAGATGCACCCGGATGCACGGTAATAATTTGTGTCTTTGCTGAATGATAAATGCCAACCGAGTGCACCGAGCTCTCTTCCCAAAATCTTTGGGAAAGCTACCCCTGTTCTGTCCCTCTTCACCTCTCACTGGCCTCTCGCCGTCCCGCCTTTGGACCTCCCCACCTGCCAACCTGCCTCACCCTCCATCACTCCTCCTCCTCCTCCTCCTCCCCTCCATACCTTGAACTTTTTTCTTTTTCCTTCCCTTCATCTTCTTCCTCTTCTCGGATTGAACACGAAAAGGTCAAATCACCAAATAGTGATTTTGGGTGCCCTTTTTGGTTGTTTCTTCTTCTTGCGTTTTTCTTCACCCTCGTTGCCCAACATGTTGACCAATCTCGATCTCCTCCTTACCCATCCCTATGTGTTGGCCATCCAGGAGAAGCTGGCCGATCTCGGTGCCGTCAACATTGTCCTCGCTACCGTGGCCGCCGGCGCGGCTATCGTGGCCGTCGACTATGCCCGGATGCTGCGCCTGAGATCAAAGATGCCTCCTGGTCCTTTCCCGCTTCCCATCGTCGGTAACACGCTTTCGCTGCCCAAGAACAAGCCTTGGTTGCTCTTCGAAGAGCTGTCCAAGAAATATGATGCGCCAGTAATCACTTTCTGGATTGGCCGGTAAGCTTAGCCCCCCTTCCGACCTTGCCCCGCCCTTTGGAAGCGATGAGAATCTGGAAAGACGGCATGGGAGATCCTGCGGGGCTGACACACGTACCTATCTTCCCCTCCTACCAGAAACCCGACAGTGTGGATCAACGATGCCTGGAGCGCCCAAGAAATCTTTGAGAAGAAGGCGCAAATATACTCGTCCCGCCCTCACATGGTCGTCTTTGGCGAGCTTGGCGACGGCCAGTTCAGTCTCGTCACCATGAAGACGCGCAATGCCGAGGAGCGCGATCGCTGGCGAGGCCACCGCAAGCTCATGCACATGGCCGTGGGCGTCCAGACCGTGCGCAAGTACCGCCAGATCCAGAATAACGAGAGCAAGATCATTGCCCTCGATTATATTCGCGAGCCCAAGGAATACGTCAAGCATCTCGAGCGTTATGCCACGAGCGTCGTCTCCGCTATCGGCTTTGGTCGTCGCGTTGCTAGCTACAATGACCCCATCATCACGGAAGTCATTGCCTTGATGCAGCTTGCTGCTGACCTGAATGTCCCTGGCAAGAGCTTCCCTATGCTCATGGAGACCTTCCCTAGTATGTGTGCACCCTTGCCCTCCTTTCGCGTCTTGGCTTAGCCGAGCTTCGTATATAATTCTGGCCGGCGGGCTGGCTCTCGTGCACACAAAAGCTAACGCCAGTATCAGTCCTCGCCAAGTTCCCTCGCTGGGCTCCTTGGATGAAGGGCCTCGGTTCTCGTGGCCGCGGCGATGGCGACTACTTCTACTACACCCTCAACGAAGAAGCCGTCCAGCAGCACGCGGCCAGGTCCCCGGCTTCGCAGGCCACCATGTCTACCCCTTTTGCCCAGACCCTGTTTGACGAGAAGGAGAAGTACAACTTGAGCAAACGCGAGATTTCCAGTTTGACTGCCAACCTGTTTGGTGCGGGTGCCGACACCTCGTCCAGCACCCTGGTGACCTTTATGCTTGCCTGCTGCTGCTTCCGCGACGCTATGCTCAAGGCCCAGGCTGAGATTGATGCCGTCATCGGACCCTCTCGCTCGCCCCACTGGGATGATTCACCCAACCTGCCCTACGTCAACGCCTTCGTCAAGGAGGTCTTCCGCTGGCGTAGCGTCGCCATCATCGGTGGCCAACCCCACGCACCCACTCAAGACGACACCTACAAGGGCTGGCTCATCCCCGCTGGAACTTGGGTGCAGGGCAATGTCTGGGCTATCCACCACAATGAGCGCGACTTCCCTGACCCCGACGTCTTCATGCCCGAGCGCTTTATCCAAGGCGACGAGCACAAGAGGCCCTTCCCCAACGACAAGGGCTACATGACGTTTGGTTGGGGCCGACGTGTCTGCAGCGGCCAGGCCCTCGCCGAACAAGGAACTTGGGTCAGCGTCGCTCGTCTCCTCTGGGCGTTTGACATCCGGAAAAAGGTCGACCCCGTCACGGGCCGTGAAGTTGATCTCGACATCTTTGCTTTTACCAATGGTCTCAACATGCGGCCCCAACCTTTTGAGTGCGATATCATCCCCGCAGCGAGGAGATTAGGGAGTCTGCCATTCGGGAGGGTGAGGAGGCGCTTCGGGAGCTGGCCCCCTTGGACGGAGAGAGCCAGTACAGGCTCAGCACCTACTACCAGGCCATGAAGGCCAAGGGTGGTACTGAACCCGTCGTTGACGAGAAGTCGGGCGAGCTGAAGATGGTCAAGGTTCAGGGCTAGGGCTCGACATTGGCGAGGTCTAGTTTTTGGATGTGGAAGATAGAATGCACTATACCACCGGTTTTATTTTGTTGGCTTTAACGACCTCTTATACTTTGTACATAGGATGAGACGAGGGAAAAGATTTGAATAGTCATGTCAGTCAGGGAGCTTGCAATGGTCTTTCGTAATGTTTTACCCCGGCTCCATGGCCTAGTTTAAAAGTGAAGATTTGTGAGATGAGCCAGTTTGAAATGTACGAGCATCTCGCTCTAGTAGTGAATGGCAGGCAAGGCAGGTTTACATTTTGGAGCACACTTAGATATAGTTGGAGAGGCATGTAGCTGACTTTTTATGATTCAACTATCTCAGACCCCTCAAGAGCGCTCTTGGCGCGGCACTTCTACGACTATCAGGCCAATCCTGAATGAAACGAGCCTTGAATTGTGATCCGTATTCCACCTCTCGAAATGGTATTCCGGGACACGAGCTAGGTCGTAGCCAACCTGCGCCAATACCGGGAGGCCAAGGCTTCTTAGGGTGGGCTTAGTCTTTTAGTCAATCTGCAACATTCGGTAGTCCTTCCCTTCGTGATCATGGTCATTCACTCATTTCCTTTCCTAATCGCTTCACCACCGCAAAATGTAACCCGATGCTAAAGATCGCCGTCAACATGATACCGAAGCCCGAAAAGAGCTGAACGCCTAGGTAGCTGCCCGACGCGTCCAGAATCGCACCCGATATTGGCGGCCCAATGAGCGAACCTATTCCCTTTAGGACGGAGACCATGCCGAGCCGGGTGCCCAACCGGCTCATGTCGGTCGTCACGGTGGTGAGGACGACAGCGCCCAAGGCCACGACCCCACCCGACGTAAAGCCGTAGAGGACGGCAAAAGCAACGTTGCCAGCTGTGTTGGTGACGCTGATCCAGTAGAAAACGCTGGCGCTGCTCAGGGCGCAAACGACGACAAAGGTCTGCACAACGCCAAACCGGTCGGCGGCGAAGGACGGGACTACACGCCCGGGGAGGGAAGAGGCGTTCATGATGGCGAGGAGGTAGTGGGCGAGTTTGGCGCCGGCCATGCCGTGCGTGCGGGCGTAGCTCTGGATGTAGTACGGGGCTGGAAGAAGGACAAGTTGTTGAAGAAGATGCCGACGCTGAAGAGGAGGAAGGCGCGGTCGCGGAAAGCCGAGGTGTCAATGAAGAGGCGGAGGGAGAAGCCCATGTCGCGCAGCTTGGCGGATTTCTTGGGGTCGATGCGGGGCTTGAGAAAGGCGAGGGCGAAGAGGCACATGGCGAGGCAGACGAAGCCCATGGCGCGGACGGCCCAGCCGAAGCCGACCTTGGGGACGAGGCTCTCGAACATGAGGGGGTACAGGGTGGAGCCGAGGCCGCTGCCGACGGTGGCGATGGACATGGCGCGGGCGCGGCGGCGCTTAAAGTACATGGGGACGACGGCGATGGAGGGGATGGAGAGGCAGCAGGTGCCGAGACCGATGCAGAAGCCCTGGGCGAGCAGGAGGTGCCAGTACTCTGTGGCGACGCTGGTGGTCATGAAGCCGGCGGTGACGAGGACGGTGCCGGCGACGATGAGGGCGCGGCAGAAGCCGGCGTCGTAGAGGGGCCGATGATGACGCCGATGGCCATGAGGCAGAAGACTTGGACGGAGCCGATCCAGGAGATGGTGGAGGGGAGGCGGTGGGGAGGAGGGTGGTTTCGTAGTAGGCTTGGAAGACGCCGTAGCTATTGAGGAGACCTCTGCGTGGGGGATGGTAAGAGTTAGTTGTCTTGTTGGTGCACTCGCTGTGACCTCTCTGTGTTTTTTTTTTTTTTTTTTTTTCATCTTTTCGTTAGGTTTTGAGAGGTCGTGGATCTGTGAGGAGCCGGGGCCACTTACAGGTGATTAAAGTAGAGCGCGAAAGAGGATGCCACTTGTAGCCAAGCATTCCATCCGCCCTCGGGGAACTCGTCCTCCGCCGCCGTCGTGGCTGGGGTCGGCGCTGGCGCGTCCTGCACGGCCAGCTGCTCACCTTTTTCCTTGTCCATCATTGACGGCGGGTACGGTGCTGAGACGAGCAGAGGCTTCCTCCCATAGATTGTTTACTCAATAAAGGGAGCGACGAGCATTCAAAAATAGCAGGCGACCGAGAGCAAGAAGAGAGTGGGAAAAATTATGCTGCCTCTTTGTCGATGCTCGGCGCGCACAAAGGCTCAATCCGACGTCGGCAAGATTTAACGTTGGGGCTATAATTATCAACCATAAGCCGGGTGCGGCCCCAACGCCAGAATATAGCGGGGTACATGCAATGTCGTATTCATCCCGGTTCTTGGTAGCGGCATGTCAAGAAAAATATTAAAGACAGGCCGTTGGCTTGGGTTTAACGGGCGGGTGCTGCGGATCGGCATCTTTATGCCGGTGGGGAGATGGATGTCAAGGGGTCGAATCGCTATCTATTGGTTGATGGACCAACGGTCTCTTTGGGGGTTAGCTATGGTTTACCATACCGCAGACTCCCATGTTGAGATATTGCCTCGGTAGAGTTTCGCAGATTCATACAGGATGATTAAGAACGTTTTGGTTTTATTTTATGAAATTACTTGGGTCCAGACTTCAATTTAGAGAACAATGAGCGTCTTACCAAACGGGCAATCGACTTGTGCGCACCATCTCCATCTTGCCATGTTGTCGCCAGTCCACTTCAGGACCCGCCACTAGAGAGCTTGCTGACAAGCGCGGTGGAATCGGTTTGGGGAGAAGATACGATCCAGCGCACACGTGAAACTGTCCCGGCGGCCATGCCGCCCTCGGACGCGGCACTCAGGGCCCAGCCAATCGCAGCCACCATGCCCACAATCCACCAAACGGTAGCCCGAGAGGCTTGCCTTCCCCGGCTCGGGCCCTGCCAAGGGTCAGTGAAAGTTCAGCTCCAGAGGAGAGGGGTGTCAATGATAAGAAACGTGACAACTCACACTATACTCCCAGTCTTTCCACACTGGAAATAGGCACCTGTACCAGAAATGGGCTTGCGACCAAGGGTAGGTCATGGCGTTCCAGACCTTTCTCCCGGGCGTCACACGGAGATACCAGCTGGAGCATCCCGTATACCATACCGTCTTCTGGAGGGCGCCCTGGAGGCTTTGCACGTAACGCTTCTCCGCCTCCGGCTTCACGTCGGCGGCGCTCGCTCGCCCGTCGAGGATCGGCTTGATGACCCGTAGCGCATAATTCACCGCATTCTCCGACGCCATAATTGTGGATGTATGTCCGGTCGCGCTGTTTGGTCCTAAATAGAAACACAACCATGTCAGAAGAATGGAAGAGAAAAAAGGCGGGTGGACGCGTAACTGGACCCAATGCTTTCACTTACCGAGGCAGATGAAAAAGTTGGGGAAACCACTCATGACTGAGCAGTTATACGCCTCTGGTCCTCCGAATTCATCCCAGTGTTCAGCGAGGCTAACTCCATTTCTTCCTCTAACCTCGATATTCTCCAGCGGCTTATTGGTCACGAAGCCGTTGGCAAGTACGATGACGTCCGCCTCGATCACGCCAGTCTCAGTCTTGACACCCCCGGGACAATCTCCACCGCTTTCGCGTCGGTCAAGGTCAGGTTTTCCGCGTACAAGCTCGCGAGGTAGCCGGCGTCGTAGATCCGCCTCTTACACCCGAGCAAGAAGTTGGGAATCAGCAGGTCGTGGTACTTTTCGGGCGCCGTCTCGCGCATGTACTGCTCGGCCAACTTCTGCCGCTTCGCGCGATACTTGGACGCCCTCTTCGTCATGGAGAAGGAGGTAGAATCCTTCTCGGCGGCAACGAAGACGGCGAAGCGGAACAGCCGCGTGAGGCCCGGCACGTGAGCGAGGAGGAACTGATGCAGGGCTCCGACCTCCTTGTCCATGGAGGGCAGGAACCAGTGCTTCGTTCGGACGATTTGCGTGAGGTGGGCGGTGCGCTCCACGATGGCGGGGATCAACTGCGACGCGGTGCAGCCGTTGCCGAACAGCACCACTTTTTTGCCCGTGAGGTCAACGTCCTCTCGCCAGTGGGCGGAGTGCATCACGGGACCCTCGAAGGATTCGATGCCGGGAACGTCGAGCTCGCGGGGGTGATGAGCTGGCCGGCGGCGGCAAAGAGGAACTGGGACTCGTGGTGGAAGGTTTTGTCAGAGCCCATGCGGTGATATGAAATCCTCCATCGCGAAGTCTCCTCGATCCACACGGCCTTTTCCACGGTGGCTTCAAAGGTCATGCGAGACACCAAGTCGTATTTGTTGGCCACCTTGTCGAGGTATCCCCATATCTCCTCCCGAGAGGGTAGCAGCCCACTCCATCCGGGATTTGGCTCGAACGAGAAACTATACAGTGTGGTGGGAACGTCACACGCGCAACCTAATAACCAGCAGATGGAGGATTAATATCAATCAAGTATGCACTAGACGTATCCGTTCTTTTTCTTTTCTTGTGAGAAGGAGAAAGGAAAAGAGTAGACTAACCGGGATACGTATTGGCGTGCCAAGTACCGCCGAGCTTGTCGTGCCGCTCGAAGAATCGGACATCGTCAATGCCGTACCATCGCTTCAGCGTCGCGCCGAGGGCGATGGCGGAAACGCCGGCCCCGATACAGGCGAACTGGCTGTAGCTGATGACGGGGGATCGCTTTTTCGGCCATAGTGGAACCACGGGCAGGAAAGGCGGGCGTTTGCTATGTGTGGTAATATCCCCAGATAGAATAAGGTTAGGGGTTAGCTTGCTTGCTGTCTCGTCACCGCCAGTTGCTGTCTCGTCCTACGTCCGGTCCTTTGTTGCACTGGGATGTCTAAGGATGGGAGACACGCCAATTGATGCCACTTGCCCAACGAGATCAAGAATTGCTTCTTGTCGATCGACCGAGACAAGCGAGATGACGGGGACCGTAAAAGGCTCGTGCCAGCAGACGGATTTATAGCAACTGGTTCACCGTGGCCGGCGGTGATGGGTGGGCTGGCGAGTGGAAACGAGTATTAGTGGTAGTGATGAGTATGTGATAGCTCATCCGGAGTCTGAAGCCCGTCACAGAGCCTCACCTCGAGGAAGAGAACGTTACAATTTGCGACGGCCATCATCGGTCCTCGTTGTGGATTCCGTAGAATGAGAGGGGAAAAAACAAGCATAAATCACACTTTGTAACGGCGCGGTGATCCCCTTTGATGTGATTCCTCTCAAGCTTCAAATCCTAACAGGCGAGTTGAGGCCTCGGCGAACGCGAATCTCCCGGCTTAAACAGCGGCCTCTCTCGAGATTGAGGGTGTTGGTCGAAGGATGAGCAACCAAGAGCGGGATCGCTTTCGGCCAGAGTTGTCGGACCGAAGAGAGATGCGGTGTCTGATACGAAGTGAAAATCTGTGATTGCGGAGAATATGATATCTTAACAGCGACTATCTGATCACTCAACTATCAATGTGTGCCTCGCATTATAATCTCAAGACATTGCACGAATTTTACAGTGCATCGTGGAAGCACCACTTGGGCGACTTAGGGTGACCAAAGCCTAGACCTATCTGTCACCTTCCCAACCGATGCGTATGATTTAACGGTGCAGGTAGTATCTAATCAGTAAACGCGTATCAAAAGAATGAGTCCGGTCTCCGGCTTCATCGGCGTATCTGCATATTCTCCTGGTTTCCCCAACGATGAGAAGTCAACGGCCTGGCGCCACGTATAACCCCTCAGGCCGTGAGAGCGGCATGCAGAGCGCGACTTCAACGTCACGACACAGCTTACAATTTCCGCCCGTCAAACTTCCAAGAAATCAAAGAGCGCACCCTCTCCGCTCACCTCCACCAGCGAGCTATCATCCTGTCCCACGGCCATGCTGCGCTGCTCGTTGTTATGTCTCATGAGCAGCTCGTAACCCCCGCTAGGGTGGTGCAACGGGGTAAAGTACTCGTGCGGGCGGTGGTGGCGCACGGCGGCTATGAATCTCTTGCGCTCGTTGTGGCCCAGGTACGTGCCGGACACGCAGTTTCGGAAGCCGAACCACCCGCGGTGCGGACGCAATGCCAGTGGTAACCGCCGCGCAGATCCGCGGGGTCGGCCAGGCGCAGGTCCCCGTCGACGAGGGCAATCACTTTGCCCGTGTCCCGGTGGCGGATGGTAAAGGTGACGTTCGGTGCGGGGACGGATGTCTGGGTGGGCCGGGGGTAGTTCGGGCTCCGCGATGGTGTCGGTGGGCGTCGGGGGCCCGTCGACGGTGGAGCAGGCTGTGGAGGAAGCGGTATCGACGAGAATGCAGTATTCGCTCATCTTGGAGGTGGAGTCGGGCGAAGCCATTACGCGGGGATTTCTGGGAATCGAGGTTGGCGTTGGCGGGGCGTGAAGGGGATCACTTGAGGAGTTGGCCGACCTTGACGACCAGCAAAGCGGATTGAGGTTTAGGCACCCATTTTTAAGCCTGGGTTGTGACTTCCAATCGTTTTTGTTCGCACTGCCACCATTTGATCTTCAACCCATTAAACTCGCACTGCGGAGTGTGGCGACTTGGTTCCCACCACTGTGCACATTCCCTACACTCTGTATTTCTTGTTTCCGTGACCCGAGCGATGGTGATAAAAACCCCGGATCCCGAGAGTGAATTTGGGGTGATGGTTCGGCGTACCCGTCGATCGTTGAATCATACCTCGAGTTGGCTCCGAGTCCTACTCTGGCGGGTGCTGCTTGAAGGACAACGGCTTTTAGAGCTGGGTGAGTTGATCCAGGTTACTTCTGTCTGTTGAATCGCAAACCTTTAAGATCGATAGCCGATTCGAGCAAATATCTCTTGTCCGCCATCTCGTGATCCTGGACGCAAACTCAGGGGCCATGACCTGGCTCAAACTATATCCGTCCTGCGAGGCTCGAACCAATATATGATCCAGAGTCAGAGTTGGTAATGTAAAGAAGAGCCACTTCCGTAAAACATCAGTGCTTGTGGGTGCATTTATAGAGCTGTGGCGGATGAATATTCTATACACCTAGTGGAATCCCAAATATAGAGTCACCGATGCCTCAAACCCGCCATTGTTGCACTGGAAGCCGTCAGCGTCGCCGACACGCCAATTAGAGTGAGAAAGCGTTGGAATCCTTCGCGCACCTTGCTTCCCAATCAGGTTTAGCCCCAGCCATGGTTCTCTTGGCGTTTAAGTGCGATAACCCTTGGCTACTCTCCTCACTGACACGTAGGAAAGCCAAGGAGAATGAATAGTCATGGACACGCTCCCAGTCGAGTGCCCATGCAGCCGCCCTCGGCTTCTGCATTTTCTTCTCAAACGGCATCAATATGCGCCTAATGCATTTCAACTCCAGCTAACGCTTTAACCTTCTTCGTATTCGTCCAACTTCTCCAAACACGAAGCTGAAAAGCAAGGCAGTGATGGTCGGGATACCGGGAAAATCAAAGGGTTGCAACACTTGCCGACGCCGCAAGAAAGGGGTAAGTCTCAGGAGGCATATTTGATTCCACATGTATCGCCTGCGGGAGAGCGAATGCTGGTGTGAAGATATGGGTGTGGGAAATGGAAACCACGGATGGACATACTTGTCGAACCATCGGGTCCCGATATATGGTGGCGAACTCTTGCTAACGTCAAGTGCAAACACCTCGCACATCCCCCACGTACTAGTGCGACCTTCAGCGCCCCTCGTGCGGACAATGCCAAAAAGCCATGTTGCCCTGCGGGGCTACGAGCGCCCAACCATCTGGGTCAACCTGACACCCGAGACGGGGCTGGCCCGGAGCCAGGCCTACAAAGACCCGCCCAACGTCGCCTTGCGGGATAGTTTAGCCCGCTCCGCCTATCACGAGCAGTACCTGGGACAGTTTTGGAAGCTGTACCTCCCCGCCGGCAGAGCGTTCCCGGCACGGTCCCCGTCTTCACGGCTGGTTCGTGGCTGAACGACCTGCCCCGCCGCTTTCGCACGGAGGAGTCGCAGGCCCTGAAGCAAATTCTGCTTGCTGTTGCCTTGACGAGCGTGGGGAAGCGTGATAATGAACGGTGGCTTGTCGAAAAGGGGTAGCCTACTATGGAAGTTCTTTGGTCGCCCTTTCTCGACAGCTAGAGGCGGAACCTGGTCACATCAGCGATAGCGGCCTCGCCACATCGAATTTACTCTCGCTCTTTGAGGTACGACTTTACCGTTTTTCTTTCTATCTTTAATCTTACTCTTGAACTTAACAAAACACATCTCGCTTGTTAAATTTGACAAATGTCATACTTACCGTATATCCCACCAGGTACTACATGGGCACGACGACGACGATCGTATCAGCCAGGCTAGGAAATGGCACGTCCACCTGCAAGGAGCCATGGGATTCATCATCTCCCGCGGCCCCGAAAGCTACATCACCGGCTTCGCCCACCAGCTTTTCGTCAACAGCAGGATGACCCAGGTATACAGGCCCGATTACTAACACCTTGTGTAAAGGCTAACGTACTCGCAGATCACCATGGCCATGGCGAGTGGTACTCCCTCCGTACTAAATCAGCCGGAATGGAAGTCCGTTCCATGGAGGAAAACCAAAAAGGGAGCCCTGGACATCCTGGGAGACATCCTCGCCGAAATCCCCGGGCTCCTCGTTGAGCTCGACGGGCTCAGGACTTGCAACGAAATCGCTACCTGGGAGCTGGCGAGGTGTAAAGTCGTCATGAAATGCCAACAGCTGGAGAAGGAATGGGTGGAATGGGGCGCGACCAGGGCGCCCACCAAGTCTCCCGTCATCCTCGACACCGTCCAGCCTGCGCAGGTGATGGAGCATTTCGTCGCTGCCCAGGTCATGGCCGGGTACTGGGCCATGGGGATATTCCTCTACGCCATCCTCTACCTTGCCTCGGGCGTGGACCTCCAACTGCCCATCACGGGTCGGATAGATCCCCGAGAATACTGCGGCGTGATTTCCAGCATCATTCCTACCTTTTTGAGCCCTGAGGTGGGAGAGTACGGCATCCACGGGCCCATTTTCCCGTCTCTCGTCGCCTTGACTTATCTCGAGGAGGTGGATGGCCACCTCGCGTCCGTTGAGGCTTGCGAGCTTTATGCGATCCTGGGGCAGAGCAAGAGAGGTGGGCATGTGCGGAATTTTGTCGACAACATGATGAGGCAGCTTAAATTCCGGGGTACGAGATTCTTCGCTCCTGTGGTGTCCCCCTTGGAGAGGTTTATATGAGAGTAGAGTTGGCTCATATTGGCTGGATATACAGCAGGGAAGAAGAAGAAGGAGAATCTCCAAAAGTGATAGGTGAACAGTGCAGAAGAGGCTCAGTTCGACCCGTTAAGTAGTGGTAGACAGTCTCGGCGTTTAGACCCTAGTCCCCATGCATTATAGATTGAGAATAAGCATCAAGATATATGTAAATATCTAGATTCTGGGATAATCACGCCCTAGCCCTCTATTGAGTTGCGAATGTTCTCTATCCAGTTCTCTTGCTCTGAGCGCTTAGTAATCCCACGACCTGCCTCCGGATTTCCTCTTTTCTTGCGCATTTTCGTCCTCGCATAAAAAGCATGTTTGGACACCTAATCTCTCTCGATCAACATGACGAACCCAAAAGAGTAGCAGAGCTCATGCTCTCTTGGCTAGACCTCGAAATCACCCATTTCACCAAGCTACAAACCCTCTGGGCAGGCTACGGCCACGTCTGCGCCATCACAGCCCGCGCAATAAACGAGGAAGCGGGGCAACGGGCCCGGCTCGCCTGCGGCCAGTCCGGCGTCGAACCCGACGACGACAGCACGTTCCGCCTCATCCTCAAGCTCGTCGCCCCACCGGCGGCGCACGCATCCCACGATGAGGGCCACCTGCGCAAGATGCTGAGCTACGAGGTCGAGCAGTATTTCTACGACCAGGTGGCCCCGCACCTAACGGATGACGTTGCCGTGGCGCGGTGCTTGGCGTCCACTAGGGACGCGGAGGGCCGCGAGGGCGCGCGGGAGCTGGCCGGCATGTCTGCCGTGATCTTGACGGATCTGAGGACCAAGTTTTCCGTTATGGGGAAAGCCGAGGGGTTCTGTCGACAGGGCAGGTTCACGCCGCGTTGGGTTGGCTTGCTCGGTTTCACCGCAGCTCCTGGGCGTACCTACCGAGCCAGGACCTCGAACGCTTCGTTCTACCCCGCTCGAGGAAGCCGCTCGGAGAAAGAAAGGCTCCTACTCCTCCTCCTCCTCCTCCTCCTCCTCCTCCTCCTCGCACGGGGACAAGCTATGGCTAAACGGAGGATACACCTACCTCGCCACCCGACGAACCGAGTACGACTCCCTCCGGAAAGACCCCTACTCCGACTGGCGCGAACCCTTCTGCGCCACCAACGAACCCTCGTCCCGCTCCATCGCCGAAAAGGCCGCCGCGTTCCTCACCCCCAGCGGACGGCCGTACGAATCCTACATCCACGGCGACGTCAAGTCCGAGAACCTGTGCACCACCGACTCGGGCGACCAAGTTGCCTTTTTCGATTTTCAATACGTCGGCCTCGGGCTCGGCGTGTGCGACCTGGCCAAGCTCTTCACCTGCTCCGTGCCGATGGATTTGCTCGTGGGCTCCGGCCGGGGATTCCCGATGAACTTGCTATGGGCGATGGGGAGAAGCGGCTGCTGGAGGTGTACCGGGAGGAGTTGTTACGTAGTTCCCCGGAGGAATGGCCGTGCTTACGACTGGATAGAGTTTACGCGGCACTGGGAGACTGCCTTGGTGGATTGGTGCAGGTTTCAGGCGTCGTGGGGTTTCTGGGGCAATACGGAGTGGCTCGAGGCCCGAGTCAGATCCATATTGAAGGATGAGGAATGGCTCAAATGGCTCGACGATGAGCTTCGACAGCATTGACTGGCGCGCGCTATCGAGTTGTGAGGGACCCGTCTCACATCCTCTACCTCCTCCGCTCCGTTCGGAAGCAATGTTTAGCATCTAGCAGGCTCTGAAAGGCGGGGGAAGTAAAAGGAATCATGACTTTTACGAAATTAGAAAAGGTATATACAAAAGATAAGTTCGAGTGCTCGCTGAGCGGACACCCCATCCGTCATAACGCATGAGGCTCTACAGTAGGTCCCAAAAGCGTCATATATATATACATATTGGGCCAAATGCATCGAAGCGCCGTGTCCATTATTGCACAAGCAATACAACGCCGCAGAAAATATTACGGTTCTTGGAATGGTATCGACCTGAGTCTTGACTGTAGTTCGTAAGACGGTGGCTTTCCTTCCATGTCAGGGTAGGCGCGGAGGGCCGCTCTCCTCATCAGCCGCCGAGGCGACCTACGACCTGTGAACAGCTCGAACTGGGCAAAGCCCTGCTCGGGCAGAAGGTCGAGGCCAAACAATGTGACCCAACCCTTGTCGGCCTGCGCTCTCGACTGCTCGAGTAGTGGGGTGCTCATCGTCTTGTAGCCGAGCTCGACGACGACGCCACCCGTCGGGCTGGCGAACCAGTTTTGCGGAACGGTGAATTCCGGGGACGGGACATGGCCCATCCCATGGGTAGGGATGCACGAGATGATCATGGTCGGCAGAGTAAAGGTCTCGGGCCACGGTGAATGCTTTTCGTCGAGGACGTGAAATCGCACGGCCCGATCTCCATTCGGCACCGAGCCCAAGCTCGGTAGGCCGATTTCGTTGGCCAGCTTGGTGAAATGGGCGACCATGTCTTGAGCCGTGCGCTTTGTGCGGTTATAGATGATGATGTTCTTGACGCCTAGCTGCAGTAGCGCGTACACGGCTGCTCGGGCCATACCGCCCGCCCCGACGACTACGGCAGTGGCGGTGGGCCTCACGGCGTTGGCGGGCGACAGCCCCTCCGGACGCACGCGCGGATGCCGATCCAATCCGTGTTCTCGCCGAACAAAGCCTTGACGGGGCCGGTTCTGTTGGAATCGCGGAGCATGGCGCTGAGTTCGGGGACGCTGCCGTCCGAATTGAGGCGCCGAATGGGGATGAGGGTGTTGACGGCGCCAATGGCCTTGGCGTGGGGGCTCAGGGAATCGGTGAGCCGGATGATGCTGACCTTGAAGGGTAGGCCGACTGAGGCGCCGGCAAAGGTGGGGTCCCGAATGAGAGGGTGAGCTGCTCAAGGGAGTCGGCGGAGAATGGCGAGTAATGGTGAGGGATACCGCACGCCTCGAGCGCGGTGTTGTGCATGGCGGGGAGAGACTGTAGTCCACGTTGGCGCCAAAGACGTAGAGCTTCATCGGATCGTAGACAAAGGAGGAGTAGAGCGCATTTGTCGCCTCTCTAGATGTGATGAGGGGCGGTGAATAGGCGGACGCGGCGCCCGTGTTCCTGTTCGTCGCCTCTGTTGACGGCGGTGGGTTTCGGGGAGCGACGGGGGTGAGGACGGGGTTGAAGCAGGCCGAGTACCTGCCCAGGGCACCCGAATTATAGGCGACGAGGGGCACGGGGATATCGCCTAGCTTCTTCACCGCGAAGCGCAGGCGGCTGACGGCGAGATTATCCTCCATGCTGGCGGCGGGGCGGACGAAGCGTACGAGGTCGCAGCCGATGCTCTTGGCGCGTTGGTACCGGGATACCCAGATGGGCGACTCCCACGAGTCCTCGCCGACGGTGGACTCGAAATTGGCAATGATCTTGCTCTGGCGCTTGCCCGAGACGAAGCGCGCCAAGTCAGGGTCGCCGAGCCGCAGGTCTAGGGTGACGAATTCGGCCGCCATGCGCAAACCGTGGTCGACAACATCGAGGTAGAGGTGCTGCCAGTCGGCGGGCGGGGGTGGCTGGCTGCTCTGCTGGGGCGCGAGCACGTGGAAGATGACGGGTAGGACGGTGTTGCGCCGGATGTTTCCTAGGATGCAGGCGATGTCGCGCACCCTCTCGAAGCCGAGGCCGCCTCCCGGCGCGGCCGGCGGGAAGAGGGGTGAGGGCGAGGCCTCGGGCGGGGTGATGCGGCCGTCTGGGCTCGGTAACCAAAGATTATCGACCACGATCTCGATGGCGTCGGCGGCGGTCTCAATCTCCTCAACGTCGATGCCGTCCCTGAGGAGAACGGACAAGGGGATGGACACGGCGTAAGTAAACTCCCTGGTCTCGGTCGGGGTGTTGGTAAGGGGAACGCCGTCTCGATGAAGGGAATAGTGCCGGGCGGCATGATGAGCGAGAGGAACTTTAGGAAATGCCGTTCGGCGCGTTTGAGCGTGAGGTAGTGAGCGGGAGATTTTCGGGCAATGGGGTCGCTGCGGGCCGTCTCTTCATCGGATTCCGGCGTAGAGAATCGCGTGGGGTACTCTGTAATGTTGAAGAAGTGGAAGTTGGTGCAGGTGTGGAAGATGGCGCCGCTGGCATTGAGCAAGCTCGTCATCTTGGCCCGGTCAGGAATCTTGAGGTGCTCCTGGATCGCGTCGGCGTCTCGGCTTATGAGAATGACGGGGTTCGTGGCGCACAAGTCGCGGAGAATGGCCTGTATACCGCGCTCCAGCCAGGAGCACACGATGACGGCGTGGTTGGCGTGGCTGGCGAGCACGGAATTGAGCACCTCGACCTGCTTGGCGTGGCACTTGGACGCGCCCGCGACCCTCCGGAACTCGGCGCTCGTCGAGCCCACGGTCTGCTGAAAAGCCTTTTCCAGATCCACCATGACTCTCTGCATCGCAGCGCAGGCAATGATGCCCAGCGTGGACTTGCCGGAGCCGCGGATCCCGACCAGGACAATGGAGGCGTCCGGGGCGAAGCGCTTCGACGCGACGGGCGGGGGCGACGCCGAGAGGAGGTGCGCGGCATGGCTAGGGCCGTGAGAGGAGTTGCTGCTGTTCGTCCTGGGGATGATATCGCCCGCCGCGGAAGGCGTGGCGGGGCGGGAGGACCAGCCGTTGGATCGCGGGCCCTCCGCCATCGGGTGGTCAGTGACCGGGTCGACTTGGCTCGGCATCGCGCGCGCGCGTACACACGAGGTCCCTGGTCCCAGATAGCTACGATTTTCTCCCCGATTGCCTGTTTTTTGTTTCTTATTCTCTTTGCCTGTCCTGCTAGGGGGTAATAAAGCGTCACGTCGGCCCCGGATTGTCGGCCGGAGCATTCGTCTCTCGTGCGTTTCGGCGAGGGGTGAAGCGGGGAGAAGGAGCGAGTGATTGCCAAGACAAGAATTATTCTGTCGATTGTCGTGGGGAAAGAGCAGACGAGCTCTTGTCTAGGAAGTAACAAAAGGAGAAAAGAGAAGAAGAAAAAAGGGCGGGGAATTGGAAGGCGAGAAGGATTCAATCGAGAGCACTTAAGGGGAAAAGGAAGGCCAGATGAATTGGCGGCAGTCAATGAGTCGAGAAGGAGCGAAAAAGGTTGCCGAGCTCGTGGGAAGGTGCATGTTCACGCTTGGGTGTCAAGCTCTGTGAGCCATCGTCCCTCCAATGAATTGATGGAAATTTTTTTTTTTCTTCCCCGGTGGAATACAGCGATAGCTTTTGGGGAGGAAGGAGGGCCCGGCACATGCTGCTCCCAGCTTCGATGTTTCCCAGTCATGTCAAACCCCGCTAGGGGCAAGGCAGAGGCAAACGGGCCGGACGAACCTTCCAAGCGCGGACTTTGCGTGGCCCATCATTTCTTCAAGTTCCTTCTAAAGAAAAGGAAAAGAAAATGGAAAGGCCCTAATAGAAGTTCGCTCCGCTTCACTTCTAGGCCTGGCAGCGCCGGGCGGCTCCACCTCTGCCTGCTTGTCCTCTCTTGATGTCGGGTGATGCTCTCCAACTTTTTACCGTTGCAGTGCATTTGTCCTCGGCAGGATGGGATGGACGAGGGGAAGGGGGCACACCAGCGCGACGCCACCCACGACCACAACCCGGAGTACCCTCGGCACATCCTCCTCCAAAGCCCCTAGCGGTCTCCCCGAAGAGAGGAAGACCACAGCCCAGGCCAATTGATTACTGTGCTATAAGCACCGCTTCAGCCCATTCCCTCATTCTTCACCACAGCAGGACAGTGCCAAGACAGCACCTTCAGGGCCTATCCAAGGAAAACCCCACACCACCCCCAGACACTGGAAAAGGGGCCTGATTTTATCCCTCTTGCTCAAGCCACTTCATTCTCGAAACATAGACGAGAAGAAGATGAGCGGCGTGAGGAGAGTGAGGGTAATTTTAGAAAAGAAAAGGAAAGGAACAAGAAAAAGATCAATGGTCCTAGGCCACGCGACATTCATCCGCGGAAGCAAGGCAACCAGAGGTCAGGGAAGGCACAAACCACGACTAGGGCAGCACACCCAAGCAGGAAGGGGGAACAACATGGTGTAATCACCATTGTGCTCGATCCACTCCCCCGCTCACTTTTCTCGTTGTGGTGAAATGCCGCTAGCAAGTTTTCGGCGAATAGCGCAAGACCGGTATCCAGTTCGGCCCACGACCCACCCCACACGGCGCAAGCTCTCGCTCCTTCCTTCGAAGGGACGCCCCCCAAAGCTCTTTCTTCTGAAGCAAATTTCAAACCGAGCATCTCCATGGGCTCAGTCCACCAAAAGTCACCACAGCGTCACCTAAATCGCAGTCTTCCCTCCCGTCGCGAAGAATCACGGATGACCACGACGGAGCGGCATAGCTGCAAGAACGAATCAAGAACTCCACCTCATCTCTCTGTCTCTCTCTCGCAATACCATGCTTGGCCCGTCGTGAATTGACTTTGGGGCCGTGGTGATTTGGGTTTGTTAACTCCCCGAGAAGGGGGAAAAAGAAAAGGACAAAAATATCCTCCCACCCCGACGATCCACCTTGAACGACGACCAAATTCAGCACCAACGAGTCAACCGAACCCAATTTCCTCTCTCCCGTTTCTCTTCTTCCAGAAACCCGGGCGGTAAGGGAAACCCACACAGCCTATACGCCCGGAACTCGCTTTCCCGGGAAAAATCATGTCTTCCACCACGGCGAAACGGCCCGCTCCCGCTTCCAACACCAGCGATGCCGGCGACGCCGCGGCCCAGGCCAAAAGGCGAAGAGTGTCGAGAGCCTGCGACACCTGCCGGAGCGCCAAGGACAAGTGCGACGGCGTGAAGCCGCGATGCCAGCGATGCGTGTCGATGCAGCGGCAGTGCACGTACCTGAACCCGGAGAAGCGAAGGGGGATTCGGACGGGCTACCTCCGCGCCATCGAGGTCGCCCTCGCCCTCCTCCTCGACTACATACCCGCCTGCGAGCGTGCTCCTCATGGCGCTGGCCGAGCAGGAAGACGGCGGCGGCAGGGACGGCTTCCTCGACAAGGACTCGCCCGCGTCCGAGGCGCTGCTGAAGCGGTGGCACCAGAGCGAAGTGTACCAGGGCATCGACCGCCTCATCTCGCGGGACGAGTCGACGCCGCGCAGCGACGGCGCCGACGGCGACAACCGGCCGAGCTCCGCACCCCGACTCCTCGATTCCAACGGTAGGAGGGCGACCGATTTCGGGAGCGACCTCGCCAAGTGGAGATCAAGCTCCCTCCAGCTCGCGTCCCCCGTCGCGCAGCGCGGCGGCTTCGGTGATATTCAGCACCTCGAACTTCCAGCCAAGTCGAAGCAGTACCTCGATGACTACTTCACCTGGGCGCACTGCTGGTTCCCCATCGTCGAGCGTGAACCCCTCGCGCAGGTCGCGGCATCGTACCCCGCCACCGGATTCCGCATCAATCCGAGAGATCGGTCGTATTCCCGCCACGCGGAATTATGGAGCGCCATGGCGGTCGGCGCCGCCCTCGAGTCTCGCCGGGGCAAGTCCTCGCCCACCAACGCAAATGCAAACGCGGCCACGACGGGAGCGGCCGACCTCGCGCTGCGGGAGGCCGCATGCAAATGCCGGGCGAGACGCCTTCCCACCTAACCATTTATTCTACGGCACGAAGACTGGTACCGACCGAGGATGGGATCTTGGACGAATGCCACGTACGGTCGCTTCTCATACTATCGCTTGCTAAGCTTGCATCTTCGGAAACAAACGCGTCATGGATGCTCATCGGCCAGGCCGTCCGACTCTTCCTCCAGCTTCCCCAGCACCAACCGGGCCAAAAGAACCCCTTCACCAACGACGACCTAATCGTATGGATGGCGTGCTTCGTTCTCGACACCCTCGTCTCCCTCCGCCTCGGAAAGCCCTCCCAAATGCGATCGCTCGATCTCCCCGAGGCCCTCCACCCTCTCGATGCCCGATTCCGCGAGCTTTCCGATCCCCAGAGCCACTCCAACAGCCCCGGCATGACGCCCTCGCCCGTCGCCGCTCTCTTCCAGCAATACAAATTCGCCAGGATCCTTAGCCACGCGCTCTCTGCCCGGACTGGCGGCGGGAGCCGTGATCCCTCTACGGTCGGATCTGGACCTGCCGACTTGGTGCAATCGCTGGACCCGCCGTTCCATTTCTGCAACGCCCTCGTGCACGGCGGCCTCGCGACCAAGGCGCCTGCAGCCTTCCTCGTGCACGCGGGGTTCCTGACGGCATCGATGCTCCTCGCTCCGGCATCAATGCCCCGGCTAATCGACAGTCTCATTGACGTGGTGGGCCAGTGTGTGTCTGCCGTGGGCGCTGAAACCTCGCCTCTACTACTAAGCCTCTACCTCGAGCTCGCGGTCGGGGAAGGCCGGCTCGACTGCCTCAAGCAGGACGAGAGGGCCCGCACCGTCGACCTGCTGCAGGTTCTCAAGGGCCGCTCGGAAGCGCCTCCCGTCGGCATAGGCGCCCTCGGCCTCACTCCTCAGTCCGCGATGGAAGGAATGACGCCCGAGAACCAGTCGTCGTCCGCCCACATGTTCCCAGTCGATCCCGCGGGGATGACGGGCGGTAGCATGCACGCGGGCAGCTCGCTGGACGGGAGCGTCGGCTTCGGGAGCGCGCGGACGCCTACGATGCTGCACCCGGCCAACTCGTGCCCGACGCCCGCCAGCTCTGTGCCGCCGCCGATGAACGCCCTCATAGGCGGCGGCATGGCGGACGGGAGCCACCACCACCACCCTCACCCTCACCACCAGGACATGATGAACCTGGGGAGGATGGCGGGATATCCCCTCGATTACGATGCGATGCTGGACGAGCTTTCCTCGCTGGACTACGTGGATAATATCGAGCCGGACCCGCAGTTCATGGCCAACCTCGGTTTCGCGCCGGGCAGCGAGCTTAACGAGATGTTTACGGGCCATTATGGCACCATGTGAACAGAAAAACTAACAGCACAACGAGGAGAATGAAACCTAACACCTCCCGACTCCACACATACACGTATACACCACACGCACATAAACACCAACCCATCTTATTCACATACGACAATCCAATTCCAGGACAACGACCAGAGAGCCACGGCAGAGAGGCTCGGCTTCTAAGTCGGAAGCGGGAGAGGGATTCCCCGGAATCTTCCTCGCGAAAGGGGACTTATTCAACCGCATCTCTCCGCACTACAAGCGATGACGGACCTGGACCCCTGGATGCTTGGCAGCGCCCCATCGAGGTTGCCTGCCATGTGTCTTTTGCCCGGTCTTGTCTGTATTTGCATTTCTTCTTTTACTGCACGGCACCCTATTTTCCACTCTATTCCACACTATAGATGCATTTGATCATCATACCTCGGGGCCTAATACCATGTTTGTGCGGCTGGCGTCGCGGCTTACGACGGGGAGGCGCGGAAGGAGGCGGAAGGATGATTACTTTGCCTTAATTGTACGTAGCGGCTTTTCCGGAAGCATAGGTGTGTAGTAGTCCTCACCCTACTTTGAACTAGGGAGGGAAATAGAGTGTACAATGATACCACGATCATGACGAAGCGTCCTTTTTTTCTTTTCTTTCCTTCTCTCACCCCCCACCCCCTTCCATTGCACTTCATTTCCGAGAACACGTCGTATTTTGATGCGACCATGAGATCATGGACAGGACATCGGATAAGCAATCTACCCCAGGATTGTTTCTTTCCCTTTCTTCTTCCCCCATCCGGGGCTCCCACACGGCAAGGCGTCCCCCACAATCAACACGGTGCTTTTTCGTGTTTGTATTCTTTCGTCCGCTTTCTTCTTTTATTCTAGGCTCTGGTGGTCTTCCATTCTCGACCCTCATTTGGACTGGCCAGAACTTTCAGCCCCGATCCTTTCTCGTGTCTGTCTGTTTCTCGGTGCCCTGAAACATGCCTCATCGCTGACGTTTTAATCTTATGAAGCGCATGGTTTTGCTCAAAACATGGCCTCAGCTTCCTTCCTTTAGGAAATTGAAGCGATGCATTGATTGATTCGTCTCGTCGCCATCATGCCACGCGCAGAGGCCAGCTGAGCTCCGCCTCGACTGTACTGTAATTTTGGGGGAAAGTGGATTTGTCCGCATTTCCCCATAACCCGGGTTCTTCTTCCAAACTTGAAGGTCTTGATAACGCGGGGTTTTACCTTTACTGAACGCCATCATGGGGATATGTCACCGATGGTTGACCAGGTCCTGGCAAGCATCCGCGAGCGGAGAATTAAACAAACTTGGACCGGACCCAAACCTTTCTATCTAGGGAGATAAATATCGCAGCTTGTCAATAAAAGTGGCAATAGAACGCCTCGATGGGTTGTGTCGCAGGCCGGGGCGGCTACAAAAATATCCACGACAGGTTGGCCATGTGGCGCTGTCTCGGCCCCCTAGTGCAGAAGAGCGCCAGCGTCCGCTGGGTTTCCTAACGAACCCCCTCGATCACCCTGGGGTACGGGGTAATTGTCAGTGATCTGGGGCGCAACGCCCCTAAAGCAAAACCCCGAGCAAAAGCCGGGGCCCCAGGAAAGAAACGTTGTGACAACCTAGAGAAGCAGCAGCAGAATCGACGCACCGCGGCATCATTGTTGAGGGGAATTGAAGACGGCTCGCCCACAGCGTCGGATAAGGGCCTGGGGGTGTGGGAATACTTCGCCAGTGCCGTGGCGAAAGCTTTAGCCGTAGCCAACATTGGACGGGGCAGATCTTGAGCTGTACTTGTATCGTTATGAAGTTCCAGCGCCTCTGTTCCCTGAGACCTGGTACTTCGAGACAGACGAGGGCAAAGGGAAACCACCAGCCGTATCCGCTCTAGTCGATCCACTCCGTCTCCGCTGATTGACCAGTTGGTGAGGCCCGGGCATGCCCCTTCCCCTCTGAAGAATGGATCCAATGAGCGGGTCCCTTATTCAAGGAGATTGCCAAATCACCTCGACGAGCCAAGGCGCGCACCTGAACTGCCAGCGACCGGACCGGTGCTAGCCATGCGCTAAACCCCCATCGAGAGGCTTCCCGAACGCACTTGCCGGAGCCAGCGCTACAGCGTGATGTCCACGGCTCCACTGGCACGAGTTTCCTCTGTTCCTTCTCCCTTCTTCACCCTTTTTGCCCTTGGCCCTTTCCCTACCCTTAGCAAAGTGGCCTTGGTTTGTGGCGCCCCCTCCACTGTGCAGCGCCCTCTGGCTCCTCTCAACCCACTTCTGCCCTTCCTGTCCATGTAGTCACTGTCGCTCCCTTCCTGTCTCGCTGCTGTTGCTCCTGCCGTCAGTGCATTAGGCTGGGGAAATACCCGACACCCTTTCCCCAAGTTGTTCTCTATTTTGCTTCGTTCGGTTGGCCGGTTTTCCGTGGCGCACCCACCAGTACTGTCAGACAGAGAGCCCAACACAACCATTCTCAGATCGTCGGCCTCTTCCCCCTTGCACTCTTACGTCTTGGCGCACCTTTCCCGGGAAAAGCTTTACCCAACCCTTGGAATCTTCCCCAGCTTTTGGTAGGCTTTTGCCTCGCACAGACTTGGTGTTCTGCCCACACCCTCCCCGGCCGGGGGCGTTCCCTGTCGAGATTATCCCCGCACGATTGCCGATTCGGGGAAAAGGGTGGACAAGAAGAGCCTGGTTTTTGTTCGGGGAAAACTATGGCACACACACACACACACCGCACACACACACATACACAAACTAGGACATAGTTACAAGCATAACACTCGCGCATCCACGTTTATCCCCCAGGTCCCCTCTAGTGAAGTGCTAAACTCGGCGGAAACACGTGCTGGGTGGCGGAAAGAAGTGACGGCTTTTCTGGGGGAGCGGAGGGCGGTGGAATCCAGGGATTGGGCCCATTGCTGGCTTCAGCGCGCATGCTCGTTTCTCCGCGCTGTTCTCCACCCACATCTGTTTTTTTCTCTCTTCGGTTGGAGAGACTAGGCAAACTGGGGCGGCCCTTGGAGCGGCGCGATAAAATTTTCCCCCTCCGCGAGGTATACGGATGACAATGGAGAATGGGTCAATGGCTGAACGGGCGTGTTGTCTCCTAGTTGGGTCCATTTCCCTTTGGACCACTTCCCCAAACCGCCCCTCCCCACCCAAAAAGATTGATCCCCATTTTCATTTCTATAAAGTCATGGTGTCGTGATACCAACTCCAGGTTTTTTTTTCGCCTCCCTCTCTCATCTTCTTCATCTCACAGCCCCGGGACACCAAGTAAGGAGGGAATCTCGAAAACACGAGATCTTGTGTTGTCTAGACAAAAAGATCAAGCAACGGGCCTTTGCTTCTTCTGTTCTGTTGTTATACAAGTCATCCCCCATCCAGAAGGATTCGTTTTTCTCCATTCCCCAATTTTTTTCTTTCTCCAATTCCATAACCGCAACCCACCCTCTCTCTCCCACCACCGCACAAACTCCCTGTCACCATGGGTCTTCTTACCCTCAAGGAAGACAGGCCGACGCCCAAGGAGGTGTACAACTGGCGCGTCTACGCGTGCGCCGCCGTCGCCTCCTTCGCTTCGTGCCTGATCGGTTACGAGTCCGCCTTCTTCGGCACCACCCTCGCCCTTCCCTCCTTCACCTCCGAGTTCAAGTTCAGCACCTATGAGCCCAATGATCTCGCCCTCCTCAAGCAAAACATCGTCTCCGTCTACCAGGCCGGTGCCTTCTTCGGCTCCCTCGCCGCCTTCGTCTCCTCGTACTATCTCGGTCGCCGCTACTCTCTGGTCCTGTTCAACGCCATCTTCGCTGTCGGATGCATCATGCAGCTTGCCTGCACTGGTGACAAGGGTCTCGGCCTCATCATTGGCGGCCGCGTCCTCGGTGGCTTCGGTGTCGGCGGCTGCTCCAACATGACCCCCATCTACATCTCCGAGCTCTCCCCGCCTGCCGTCCGTGGCCGCCTCGTCGGTTTCTACGAGCTCGGCTGGCAGATTGGTGGCCTCGTCGGCTTCTGGATCAACTACGGCATCAACACCACCATGGCCCCCAGCCACTCGCAGTGGCTCATTCCCTTCGGTGTCCAGCTCATCCCCTCCGGTCTCCTCTTCATCGGCTGCTTCTTCATCCCCGAGTCCCCCGCTGGCTCCTGTCCAAGGGTCGTCGCGAGCAGGCTCTCAAGATTCTCACCTGGATGAGGCAGATCCCCGTGGACCACCCTTACATGCAGGAGGAGCTTGCCCTCATCGACGACGACCTCGAGCGCTACCACCGCGAAGTCGGCGCCGGTTTCTGGAAGCCCTTCAAGGCCCTCAAGGACCGTGCCGTCCAGTGGCGCTTCCTCCTCGGTGGCCTCCTCTTCGTCTTCCAGAACGGTTCCGGCATCAACGCCATCAACTACTACAGCCCCACCGTCTTCCGCAGCATCGGTATCCAGGGCACCAACACCTCCTTCCTCACCACCGGCATCTTTGGCGTCGTCAAGACCGTCCTCACCTTTGTCTGGCTCCTCTTCCTCATCGACCACGCCGGCCGCCGCATCATGCTCATCGTCGGTTCCATCGGTGGCTCCCTCTGCATGTGGTTCATCGGCGGTTACATCAAGCTCTCCAACCCCAGCGCCAACCAGGCCAACGACAAGCTCTCCAGCGGCGGCATCGCCGCCATCTTCTTCTTCTACCTCTGGACCGCCTTCTACACCCCCTCGTGGAACGGCACCCCTGGGTCGTCAACTCGGAGATGTTCAACCAAAACACCCGCTCCCTCGGCCAGGCCAACGCCGCCGCCAACAACTGGTTCTGGAACTTCATCATCGCCCGCTTCACCGAGCAAATGTTCAACGCTTGGGGCTACGGCGTCTACTTCTTCTTCGCCTCCCTCATGATCCTCTCCTCCATCTTCGTCTTCTTCTTCATCCCCGAGACCAAGTCCATCCCCCTCGAGCGCATGGACCGCCTCTTTGCCATCAAGCCCACCTGGCGCGCCCACGGCGTCCTCATGCAGGAGCTCTCCCAGGAGGAAATCCGCGCCGACAGCCACAGCCAGAGCGACAAGGCCGACGTTGTCGAGGAGGAGAAGCAAAAGGCCGCTACCACCACCCAGGTCTAAACCGGAAGCGCCAGTTGGGGGGGGAATATACCCCAATGCTTTTTTCTTGACTTATCATCTATATAGGGTTCATGTCTTGTCCAAAAGCTGGCCTTTCTTTTTCGGGGCCGGTCTAGTCTTTGGATGTTTTGAAAGTTTTTGGAGTCTTTTTGGGGTTTCTTTTGTTTATATCTTATGAAAAATACCAATGTAGTCTAACAGCGGAAATACCACAATGCACACAAGAGTGTCATCTTCAATCTTCTCGATACCTCTACTTGGTGATGTAATGTCTGGATCTGCAGATGTGCAAGGCTTTTATCTCGTCGAAAATCGGAAGTCGGGGACAACCTCCAACTGCAGGACAACCAAGCCAAGCAACCGTAGCAGGTAACCTTGAGCCAAATCGTAAATCAAGATTATACACATGCTTTCCAGGTTTTTCCATATATCAATGGATACTTGCAAGGTTCCGTGTCTTGAAGGGAAGAAGACGTATGCTCTCGTTTGAAATCCACAAATTATACTCAGAGGGGATCTCAACGTGTCTTGTTATTTCACACACACGTCTAGCACTAAAGTCACCATGAAGACGTTGAGCATTCTTGCCACCCTCCAAGTCCCGAATCGGAATCGACGTGTACACACATATCCCTTCAACTTGCTCAAAAATGAGTTTGTACGGACGCCGAAGCTCACATCACCTAGTGGGAATAAAACACAGAGACGACCTGCGAGTGTGCCAGATAATTTATGAATTTTGAAATGCCTAGAAACCCCCATAAACTCTTTGCTATCAAATGTAGGATGCCATCATACAATCATGTCTATCGAAAAAAAGAGGAAAAGATGTACAAGAAAACCCGCCACCAAAACAGGACGAAAATAGAGGACGAAAGGGAAAGAAAAGACCGCTCTTCTCAAAAGCGGATTTACAGGCTGGGCCTGCGCACCCTGTTCATCACCACGTCGCCAATGGCGCGCTGCACCTTGGCAACAGGCAGCTCACTAATGTCCCTGCCGGTCCAGTAACGGTCCTAACCAAAGGAGTTAGCGTAAGTCTCATGCATCGCGGTAGGATATGAGGATAAAATAGTAAAAACAGAGTAGACCATACCTGCTCAAGACCCTGCCACACCATCGCCTCGGTGCCCAAGATGACCTTCCAGCCCTGCTCCTCAGCAATCCCCCAAGCGCAGTAAAAGGCGAAGGGTTATAGCACATCTCCAGCATGGCACCCTTCCTCTCCTTGCCGAGAATCGTCTCAATCACAGCGCGCGTGCGCAGCTCCGCCTCCGTCTTGGGCGGGAAATCAGGCACGCACGCGACGATGGCGCCGGGGGCCTCGGCGGCGCGCGCCTCCTCGATGGTCTCGAGGCGCACGAGCCCCGCGCCGTAGCCCTTGGCCTCGCACTCGGCAAACACGGCGTCGACCTCGGCGCGGTCGCGGTTGACGATGTAGATGTCGCCGACGTCCATCCACGTGCGCAGGGCGTAGATAGCGCTGCGGGCGGCGCCGCCGCCGCCGATGACCATGGCGGGACGGCCGGCGAAGAGGGACTTGTCGACGTTGCGGAAAAAGGACTCGCGGATGCCGACGGTGTCGGTGTTGGCGCCGCAGAAGAGGCGCCGGCCGTCGGGCGCGGTGCGTAGGAAAATGGTGTTGCAGGCGCCGACGTCGCGGCACTCGGGGGTCAGCTCGTCCAGGTGGGGGATGATGGCGACCTTGTTGGGCATGGTCACGGAGGCGCCTAATGCACGGGTTTGTTTTTAGCGGGGTTTCTCGATCGGCACGGTTTTGCCGCGAGGGGTGACATCTGCTGCGGTGTTTTTTTTTTTTTTGGTTCTACTTACCATAAAACTGAGGGTCCTTGATAAGCTCAAGGAAAGCCGGGATGTCATCCGAGTCCAGCCTGGTCTGGGCCCATTGGAGGCCGAGATCCTGGTAGATGACGCTGTGGAGGTAGGGGATAGAGACTTTGTGATCTTCTTGCCAAAAGGTAGCCGTGACGGTCGAGGCCGGAGACTGCGTTGTCTTTGTCGGCGGGGGCCAAGCTAGGGAACGCGGTGAGCTCTGTAGCCGAAGCCATTGTGTTGGTGTAGGTGGCGGGCGGGAAGAATGTGAAAAAAGAAGCGTGAGAGGATGGGGAAGAGGAAATGAAGAGAAGGGAAGAGAGGTAGAGAGGGGTGCTTTTGTGTGGTGTTGCAGCTCCTTGGGATGTTGGAAAGAAAGCTGTGTTTATACGACAATTTTGAACTGAGCTTGTTCTTCCTATTTCAAGATCGTGCACTCTTTCTTTCTCGGGATTGGTGACGCGACTGGCAGCCGAGTTATATCATCAGTCAAGCACGCGATAAAGGCTTCGGTATACCGGGTTCGACGGAGCAGAATCCCCACAAGATGCGAAACAAGGCAACGAGAAGCAAAAAAGAGGGTATTGTATGGCGGTTATACGTATTAGAGGGCAGATATGGGGTCCCCAGATTGCCTGCAAGCCAAGCAAAACTATGGGGGAAGGATTCGGACGGGGTTCTTCGGAAAGGCATTCAACCCCTCAGAGATCCACTGCAACGCGGCAGTCCGTTTCTACTGTTTTTTTATTGTCCCTCCCCGATGCTTTTGCGGCTTGGGTCTCGGTTTCTTAGCGGGAAAGCCTTTCTGCCTCGAATAGTATGGAGCCCCGTTGCCACACAAGGAACACGGCGATGGGAATCCCACGCAGGGCTCCTCTCCTCTCGGCTTCTTGGAGTGGGAATTGGCAGTTGCCAGCAATGGCAGAACAAGTCTCCCAGCGCGGATAATGCCATAGCCGCAGGGGTCCAGTTTTTGGGTGTGGTGCGGCGAAGAACAGACAAGGAGACGCCGAAGGCGGGGCTCCACTCAGCCCTTCAATATTTCCGGCGGCCCCGCACCGAGTGCCACAGCAGACAAGGGGCCAGTTTCCCAGCGCAAGCAAAGGCAAAATCTCGGCAGGACGGACAGAAAAAGTCCTCTGCTATTTTCATGTTTTGCCTGGCCGGATGAACCATTATCCCAAAGACCCGCTTTTCCTTCTCCAATTCTTCTCCAACTTTTCTTCTCTCTTTTGCCCTTATCAGCTCCCATCAATTCCATAGCCATGAGGTCAGCTGCGCCAGTCCCCGTCCGTAAACGGCTGGCGCCCCCGTTGTCCCGGGATCACGAACACCCGGGCAGCCCACACGCAAAGGAAGGAACGACTGAGATGGAAAATGGGAGACCCAGAAGAGGGCAATCAGGGAGAGGACTGGTCCTGTTATTTACGTAGGAGGAGCGGAACCAGCACGTTCGTTTTCGGCGGCTACTATCGGTCGCTGGCCCCCACTCTTCCCGGGGGCCAAGAAGTGAGGCCATCAAAGTTGAGTGCCCACCACCGTCCACGAAAGGTAGGTAGTACGCGGGTATCGATAACTGCCCAGACACACCTTTTTCTTCGCACGTAGAGACCGGTATTAGACACCACGGCGGATTTATAATGGGGCAAAGGATCAAGATGACGAACGGGGCAGATGGTCCAGAGCCAGCCTAACCAAGGCCGTGTATCCAGGATGGCACCGCACGCACGCACGTAGTCAAGTCTGAAGGGGAAATGGCATAAGTACTCGACCGGCTGCCTATTATTCCCTTCTACGGCGGGATTCCCTCTTATCAGTAGTAGTGCATGTTAATACCCAATACCCTCTCCTACTATTTCCCATCATATCAAAGTCAAGATCTCGCCTGCATCTAGACATATCTCTGTTACGCCTTCTCGCCGCCACTCTTCAGGCTTCTTCACCCTTATTCCCCAGTCCGGTATAATCCCCCAAACCTAAACCACCCGCATCTTCCCATCATGGCCTTCAAACTAGGCATCTGCACCCTCTCCCTCGGCCAGGCATCCGCCGGCCACACCCTCTCCGACAAGCTACGAGCCGCCCGCGCCCACGGCATCCAGGGCGTCGAAATCTTCGACGAGGACCTCTACCACCTCGCCGACAGCTTCCCCGGCGGCCGCACGCAAGAGTGCAACCGCATGGCCGCCGCCGTCGTGATCCGCCACCTCTGCGCCACCGAGGGTCTCGAGATCATCTGCCTGCAACCCTTCCGCCACTACGAGGGCATCCTCGACCGCGCCCGCCACGCCGAGCGCTTCGCCGAGCTCCAGCACTACATGACCCTCGCCCACCTCCTCGGCACGAACCTCATCCTCATCCCCAGCTCCTTCTTGCCATCCTCCGAACTCTCCGCCTCGGACGACGACGCCGTGGCCGACCTCGTCAAGGCCGCCGACTACGCCGCTCAGCTCCAGCCCCCATCCGGATAGCGTACGAGGCCCTGTGCTGGGGCACCCGCTGCGACGTGTGGGAGCGCAGCTGGGAAATGGTCACCCGCGTGGACAGGCCCAACTTTGGCATGTGCATCGACACCTTTAACCTCACCGGCCGCGTCTACGCCGACCCGGCCTCGCCTACGGGCAAGACCCCCAACGCGGACCGCGACATGGCCGAGTCCATGCAGAGGCTCGTCGAGCGCGTTGACGCTGACAAGATCTTCTTCGTTCAAATGGGCGACGCGGCCCGTCTCGCGGAGCCTATTCGCCCCGGCCATGAGCTCTACGATGCCGCTCAGCCTGCCCGTATGAGCTGGTCCCGCCAGCACAGGCTATTTTACGGCGAGCAGCACCTCGGCGGCTACCTCCCCGTCAAGGACGTCATGGTGGCGGTTCTCCGCGGTGTCGGCTACCGGGGCTGGGTGAGCTACGAAATCTTCAACCACAGGCTTTTTAACACCGATGCTTCTATCCCTGATGAGATGGCCCGCAGGGCCGCCGTCGGTTTCGACAAGATGGTCAAGGACGTATTTGGCCCCGTGGCGAGACCCATGGAGAGGCCTGCCGACGTGTCGAGGAGTAACTCGACGGTCTGGGAACAGCAGGTTAGCTACCTGTGAAGTGGCTCAACTACCGCAGCTTAGGAGGGTTTTTCCTTCTTCTTTTTCTTTCCTTCTTCTCATTCTGTGGATCTGTTTCACAGTTGCATATCAAGTATTAGCATAGCCTAGGGATCATGGGTGGTTTCTGTTGTATTCTTATTTAGCTTTGTACTTTCATGACGATGACTTCACAATATCATGACATATACTATATTTCCTCCTTCCTCTTTGCACTTTGCTCCCAAATTGTGTCATCTGGTGAGAGTACAATTGTGACAAGGGACAGGAACGAATTTTGAGAGAGGCTAAAGCAATGAGGGAACAAAACTTGGTTTATAATGTATTATTTTATTTATCTGTCATGTATGAGATACTCTATAGTATGCATGCTCAAGATCAAGACAGAAATAATGATTGAAATTGCATCGTAAATGATTCAACGCCCGCCAATGAAGTGACTAGTACATGGTTTATCTAATTTTACAACTTGGATTCGGCCTCCTTAGTCTTCTTAACATGCCTAATGGCAAACTCGACCGCCGCCGTGTAGCCGTACTCTCCCAGACCGCAAATGACACCGACGGCCTTGTCGCTAAAGTAGCTGTGGTGCCTCCAGGGCTCGCGGGCGTGCACGTTGGACAAGTGTAGCTCGAGGAAGGGGATGCTGACGCCGAGGAGGGCGTCGCGGATGGCCACGCTGGTGTGGGTGTAAGCCGCGGGGTTGATGACGATGAAGTCAACCTTGTCCTCGCGAGCCTGGTGGATCCTCTCGATGATGGCACCCTCGATATTGGCCTGGAAGGTTTCTAGCTGGACGTCGCGGTCGGCCACCAGGGCTTTGACACCGTCGAGGATGTTGGCAAGGGTAGAGGAGCCGTAGATGGTGGGCTCGCGGGTACCCAAAAGGTTGAGGTTGGGACCGTTGAGAATGAGGAGGCGGCACGACGACATTGTGTGAGAGGGAGAGGAGAGAGAGAGAGAGAGTGTGTGTGTATGTGATGTAGTATGGGTGGTCTCTTTGGTGAGGTTCGGAAGGATAGTAGAAGGCAGTATATGATGCGGAATTGGTTCAAACGTATGTCTAAATAGATTGAGACGGCTCTATTGCTTTTATTATATTTGCCTCGAACAAAACCAACGATACTAACAAACCGCTACACGTATTGACTCATTCTCTGCATCATATCTGATATCTCAGCTCAACCTTCATGTCCGTCTCTTCAACACCCTCGGCCCGGCACCAAATCGCTAAAACCCACTCGCTTGCCGTGTTTCCCCAAACTCCTGTGCTGCCGGTGCCAGGGTGCCACAAGTGGATGGACCGGACTCGCACTCCCCGCTTTCCCCGGCAAAGGCTTCTTCCCTGCATCGATTGACGGGGCTCCTGATTCGCCCCACGAACTACCTAGAGTTAGCCAAGCGTGGTCCCCCTCTTTTTCTTGCAAGAACTTCTTCCTGGACAAGAAACGGTCTTGGCCCCCACCCCTATCCCTCTTTTCGCATACAGGCCTGGAACCCCCTCCTCCTCGCTTTAGCAGGTTCTGGTCCTAGTTCCTTGGTTCGCCGCAGCTCCCGAGCTCGAATACATAATTGATAAGCCGCCCTGTGCCTGTATTTCCGATTTCCGCTTTCCGTCCTAGGTCATGCTAGGGATTCAATCCACCCCACGGCACACAGTGAAAAGATCACGTTCCCTTGCGAAAAAGCCTTGGAAGTGGAACCGTTGCCCAGTTGGTCGACTTTTGTAGCCGGCAACAGCGCCAGTTTGAGAGCACCACTACCAGCGCCGCTTTGTGGCGGCTTTCAGCGGCCTTCCCACGCTGTTTTTTGGCCATTTGGGAGCACTGTTTGCCCTGTAATGTGGGGACGCTTACCGTCAATCGCCTTTTTCAGGCCCCTCTGCGTAGTCATCATAGCTTCTTGTTCCGATCGAGTGGTGACGCATTCGCTCCTGCCTCTGTGGATGGAATTGTCTAGTGTCGCTGATTTTTCTTCTTGTCTTTTCTCCATGAGCTTTCAATCGCATATCGTGTCTTATCTAGCAGAGGATCGAACCTTTCCCATACGCGTCATATTCTAGAAATTCCGCGTCTCGTGCCGTGCATCTCCAAAAGCTAGCTTATCCCCCGCCGAGCTTCGCAGCCGCGAAATTCTCCCCGCCAAAGATGGCCACCAGCCAACCTTCCAACGGCGCAGCCGCCGCCATTGGCGAGCAAGAGCTCGCCGAGATTTACGCCTTTGCCGTGCAGGTTGCCAAGGACGCCGGAGCGCTCCTCATGAAGGCCGTGAACAAGCGCATGGCTCCCACGAGGCCGGGGAGGGCGCCCCCACCATTCAGCAGAAGGAGAGCTCCGTCGATATCGTCACAGAAACGGATATGAGTCAGTTATACCGCCGCAGCCGTGCGCTCCGGAGAGGCAGTTGGGGAGGCGGGCGTGATGGTTGTGAACCACAATATCTAATGAGTGTACTCTGCAATAGACATAGAAGCTTTCATACACCAATCCATTACTGCGAGATACCCTACCCATAAGTACGCCCTTGCCCCCAATTCCCGTCCCAAACGGCGCAAGTCTAACCTTTCCCCGCCGCCCGCAGGTTCATCGGAGAGGAATCGTATTCCCAAGGCTCCGACAAGCGTTACCTCGTCGACGATGCCCCGACCTGGATCGTCGACCCCCTCGACGGAACCGTCAACTTCGCCCACCTCTTTCCCATGGTATGCATATCCATCGGCTTCACCATCAACGGCCACCCCGTCGTCGGCGTCATAAACGCGCCTATCCTCAACCAAATGGTCTCCGCTTGCCGCGGCCGCGGCGCCTGGCTCAACGAGACCCAGCGCTTGCCCCTCGTGCACGATCCCATCCCCCGCTCCCCGAAAACGCGCCCCGGGGCTGCATCCTCTCGTGCGAGTGGGGCAAGGACCGACGCGATATGCCCGGCAGCAACTTATATAACAAGGCCGAGACGTTTCTAAACATGGCTGCAGAGCTGGGCGGAAGGGGCGGGAAAGGTGGTATGGCTCACGGAGTGCGGAGTCTTGGAAGGTAAGTTTGCGTATCCCTTCCCTCTACGTTCTGCTTGTGCTTACTTGGGGGCTGCGCAACTAACATGGATGTTTTGGTTTTCAGCGCTGCCATGGGACTGGCGTATGCTGCCATGGGCTCAGTCGATATATGGATGGAGGGCGGTTGCTGGGAGTGGGATGTCGCCGGCGGCATCGCCATTCTCGAGGAGGCAGGTGGCTTTGTGACCACGGCAAACCCTCCCGGCGACCCGGAAACCTGCGAGATACCAAAGGTTCGCCTTGGGGGAAGGTTGTATCTCGGAATTCGGTAAGATTCCCGCCCTTCTAGATCTTCCCATTTCTTCTCGTTCTTAGAAACAGAAACTCCATTCCCATGGGTAATAGCCTTAGCAAGTTCTCCGCTAACTGTTGCATAGACCGGCTGGTGCGTCTGAAAAGGAAACTGCATTGGAGGCGCAGCAGAGGGTAGTGAGGGAGGTATGGAAGAGGGTGCAACCGCTTGACTACGTAAGGAAAGTTTAGACGGGGCAGGCAGTCTACTTAATAACGTATATATATCCGTATCTTCTAGCCATATATTTGAAGAAATGAAGCGAAATGTGCTTGGCCATCTACGTGACGGGGGCTGGTAGATGGATTTTCCATCAGTATTGCATTAATGAATAGAGGACCCAAATCTCTCCGCCTCCTTCTGTGGATTGCTGACAAGCTTTGTGTCGATTTGTGAGACCATGGGCTGACCAAGTCTAGGCATACGAGTGGAACGCATTATCCTGACTGTCGTAAACTTAGGCGTTTTCTGAAGTACCGCAATCCTACATGGCGCTTTCGACCTAAATCTTTCGAAATCTAAAGGCCATAAGGACAGGAATTTGGTTATGATCCGTATGCCGGCTACTCTTCCCTCTCGCCGCCTCTTCCTCTTGAAAAGTTGGCTCCTCGAGGGCATCCATCACCAGTCCCTGCCTAAAGAAGATGCCAAAGAGCTCATGAAGTGGTCGGTGGAAATACAACTAATTTCCGATACTCAAAGTCAGGACACGCACACGCACACGCACAGGATATGGACCGGGACACAATGTAACCGTAAGACCTACCTGCCACTTGGGCTGGTCGTTCAGTGCCACGCCCCTCCAGGGAGGAACGTGCAGATAATTCTCGATGGAGCGCGTTCGAACGACTTGGTATTCTCCAGTATCGGGGTCCGAGATCTGGCTAGTATTGAATGCGGGATTCGCCGTGAAGAAGACGGGATGCAGCATGGTAGCAACGAATCTATCGAGGACAAGGCAGAGCAAATCAACAAAAATGAACCCCATTGTGAGGTTACGCTAATGGCGCCTTACATTCCTCCCCTCTTGAGCAGCTTAGGCAGAGCCTCTGCTAAGGGGTCGAGGGTTTCAATGTCCATGATGGCCATGTTAATGAGCACAACATCGAACCCGCCAACCTTGTCTCGTGTTAGTGACGGCCCTCACCTCCCCTTCAAGAACAATCGCCCCTCCTGCTCCGTCAACGTTTCAGCGTCCACGCACGCGGGGAGAAAAGAGGGAGAAAAAGAAAACCACCTACAACGACGGGGTCGTCAAGCAGTGCCTCAAAAGCGGTGGCTTTGGTTACGTCTAGGAGCCGATACTCGATCCTGTCCGCCATGTCCTGCGGGGTCCGTTGAGCGGCAAGTTTCAGCATGCTCTCGCTGCCGTCCGTCGCGAGGACGAGGGCCCCCTGAGACGCGAGCAGCTTCGCTCCCAGGCCGTTGCCCGTGGCTAACTCGAGGACCCTGGTGCCAGAGTTGACGGGGATCATCCTCTTGAGGCATGGGACTTGGAGGAGCTGCCAGTACTTGTTGCCTTCGGCGCCTATTGTCTCGTCCCAAAACGCAGCGTTGGCTTCCCATGCGTCGAGCGTGCCGCAGTTCTCGGCCGGCTCCATCTTTACTTTTGTTGTTGCGGGGTTGATGAGACGTGTTTGATGAATCCCCGTGAGACTTGAAAGCTTTTGTTTTGCTTGTGAAATGGCATACACAGAGTTCCCTTGACGATGCCGTGTGGCAGGCGATAACCTAGATATCGGTCTTCCCCAAACGTGTTTTTCTGTTGGGATATCTGCCTGGGTTGCTCGAGGGGCTTCCTTCTTTTCTCATGCACGGGGATCTGAAAAGATTTGAAGGTTGATGCACATTGTCTCTCCTCACCCGGATAATATGCACACTTACGTGATGCAAAGGGCGCTCACAGTCAGCCGCGGGCAAATCCTTCCCGATTTCTACGACTCTGAACCTTACGTTCATAGCCATGATCGCATACATCCACCAAATTTGGCGGATTAGTAGATGCGCGAAAAGCACCACAGCCAAGCAAGCCAACAGGTCCCGTTAGGAAGTTGGATATGATCATAGGAGAGGGAAAGAAGCAGACCAAAACGTGAAAGAGAGTCACGAGCTTCATTGCGGGATTCCAAATGCTGGGCACAAGAGTCCAACGTCTGTACGTGGCTTAGACGGGGAATTTACAGTGGTGGACGAATAGCCAGGATTGTAGTGACAAATATCGCCAGCGTCTCATGGTCCGGCGGGCTTACATTTGGAAGAAAAGGGCATGAAGACTAGCACAGCCGTGCTTTGGAATTTACAGCAAAAAGAGAGGCGAGAGTGGCTATTATACAAGATGCCGCTTGCTGAGATGCGACGAAGGTGATACACAAAAGACCTAGTTCAAAAGGCGATAGGGCAAGTGACCCATCGGTTTTTAACCGTGAATCGGAGGACGGGCGCAAGTAGCACGCTAGGCTCCGGGTTCTCTCTCCAGGGAGCAGCTCAAGGCCTAAGGCCGCGGATGAACCTGGGATTCTTGGTGGCAGCCAACGCTACCCATCCGCCGATCAAGCAGAGACCACCGAGGGGGTGACGGGACCCAAGGGCCTAAAGGTCTCGGGGTCAAGGGTAAGAGCGTAGAGGCTGCCGCTGAACATGACGATGCCGGCGGTCAACAGCGAGCTGGCGACCGGGTTGCCGCTCGCTAGAAGGAGGACGCCAGAATGCAAAAGCTGTAAAAGGTGCCGCCCGATCCGGTTCACACGGCGAATCAGCCTCGTGAAGAAAAAAGAGGCGAGGTACAGGCACGGGATAGGAAAAAGGAACGGAAGAGGGCGGGTGCGGCTCATCTTACCTGATACTGGGCAGCGGTCGACCAGTTGGAGAGCCTCTTGGGGTCAGAGATGTGCGACTTGAGCCCGTGGGCGCCGAATGCGCCGAGGGCGACACCAGTCGCGCCGAGGGCGGCTCCGATCCTCCAGAAGATGGGGGTGGTCATGGCGTCCTGCGTCTCAGGGTCGGCGTCGGCGGAGGGAGCGAGGGGGTATCGACCTGGGGGAGGAGGGGCTCGACTCGTCGTGGGTGGGCATATGGGAAAATCGACTGTGGCTCAGAGTCTCGGGGGCAAGGTTTTTCTTTCGTTCTGGTGCCGGTTGTGGTGGTCGATAGTTTGTTCGGTGGAGAAAGGCTCAATTGAGTGACGAGACGGCAGCTCCGGCTATCGGCGCGCGCGCCTGGGAACATCAGACCACTCAATGGCTGAAACACTGACTTGAGGACAGGGGCCGCACGTGTTCACGTGACTTGTTCCAGCTGTCAGCAACTCGCAGCAGAAGAGGTGAGCTCGCCCAGCTTGGGCGTCTGAGAATAATTGTCGATCAATGGCGCTGTCCGATCTCCGTCAATGCCGTTCATCGTCCCCTCGAGCGCGATGTTCTCTCCATATATGATGCACAGACTATACTTGTGCCAAGACATGTCGCCGATCATCTCCTTGGCACAAGAAAACGCCCGCTCTTCGAACCTTTTGCCTGGGAATTGGTTTGATCTTGGCACTTACCAACATGCGTGAGGCACTTGCTCGCGAGAAGGGTGTGCAAACCCAGTGTCTGGCGGCAGAGGCGGAGCAGGACCCGGTGATTCCCCAACACGGGGTATCTTCGCTACCAGTTGCTTGTATATGCTAGGTCTTTACATTTTCTCGGCTTGTTCGCGAAGTGTCTTGAATCTAGTCTGATGCTTGTCTTTACACTTGCTAGGCATGTCCATGAAGTGCCTTGAGAATGCGAGAGGTAGACAAAACAAAAGAAAAGAGGAAGAGAAGCGAATGTGGTAATCATCATCATTTTATCGCCGCGCCAATTTGCCAAAACGCAAGCGTACTATATACAGGAGTGATTGTACAGAATCTCTAGAAACTTAAGGCAGAGGGACGTCGCTAGTTCTCGTCGGTCCATACCACAGCTTTGGACATGGCCCATCCCCTAATCTTTTCAAAGTTGCGGCACGTGTGCGTGGTCGCGTAGTCGGGCCAGTAGCCATCCACACCCTCAAAATGCCTGAAGCTGAACACGCCAATATCGCTCTGGCACATGAGCGTCATGCGAAGGGCCTCGATGCAGTGATCTGTGTTTTTCTCGGTATTAGCGTAGGATCTCACTTGTGACGCGTTTCGTTGCAAAAGATCAAAGAGAGAGGGTGGCATAAGAGTTGGGAAAACGTACCAACATGGCCTCTGAGGTCATCGGCATCAGTATCGACATCACCGCCAGTGTGGGAGTAATGATCCTTAAAGGTGGCTTGACGGAGCAAGTTTAGGCAGTGAAGTTGGTGAAAGACTTCTATGCCAACGCGGAAGCCCCTCTCGCCCGTGGCTGGGTCCTCGATGACGAGCGAGTCGGGAGCGAGGCCCAACCGAAGTCCATCCTCTTGAGAGATAATGGAATCACCGACTAGACAAAGGAGAAACAAGGTTAGTGACTGGTAGACCAGCTATAGCTAGAGACTTGGCGTTGTGTCACCGTTTGGGCAGCCTTACCATCACCAGTGACCGCTTCCCAGGCGGCGTCAACTTCGGGCCCCTTACCGACATAAATCGAGGGATTGTCCATCATGGGTGGCAGATCAAAGTCGATGCTTTCATACTCGACCTCTTGAAGAGCAGGCGCTGCAACGCAGGGAAAAGAAAAGATATGTTAGCGAGCGCACAATCTAGCACACCTCCCACCTCACACGGCCTCACGGGAGACGACAAATATCTTACACCAAGCTGAGAATTCTCTCGTGAATGACGTGGCGTTGAGCTGCGCGCGAGCAACGTAGTATGCGAGCAGGAAGAAGAGCAGTGAAGTTCCGAGCAACGCCGCGTGGATAACCCAAACCCATTGCTTGATGAAGCGAGAGACTTTTTGTCTGGCGGTTTCTGTGTTATAGCGCAGTCTCAGGCCCGAGAGGTGGGATTTCTCGGAGGAGGGTAGGATAGATTGGTGTTCCTCGTCGAGAGGCACCGAGGTATAGACTTGCGCCATGGCTGGTAGAGACGAATAAGGGATGCGGAAAGGAGAGGACGAGTAACAGAACTGAAATATCGGACGATGGGTCTACCAGCGACGATACAAAGCAGAACAAGAAGAAGAAAAACAACAAGAAAAAGACCGAATGGGGGAGGCGATAATACTCTGGGAAAGAGGCCGTCCAAACGATGGAAGTGAAATGAACAGACCAGCTGAGGTTAAAGACAAGCTTCTCTACTTTGCTTGCTTATTCTCCCAGATTCAAGAAGAAGGTAAAAGATCAAACAAGCACCAGGCTGGGACGAAAGAACGAAGGGGGAAGCGAGGCGAAAACAGAGGGGGATATTCACATCCAAGAGAGATAAGTGCATCTACGATGGGAGAGATCAACTTCTCATGCGGTGGTGGGCCAATGGAACAAAAGAGCCATTCGACATTGACACTTGACAACCCCTGGTTTCATTCAAGACGAGACGTCACGATGGCCAAAATGGGAACAGACTTAATACTAGTAAGGCGGAAGAAACGGCCATGGAATGGAGAGTGGAGCGTGCCCTGCTTGTGGCGAACGACATGTAAACGCGAGGCTTGTCCCCCTGGCAAAGCCCGCGCGCATGGCTAGCCAACAATAGACAGGTAGACGAGCATGATGAAACCTAGCGGCCTCAACCCAGAACCCCCGTCCACCACCAAAAGGGGAAGAAGACAAAGAAGAGACAAAAGGCCCCGTGAAAAGATGTATGCCGTCTATTCGAAGCGGATTGGACTTGGGCCTATTGTGCACACCCTCGAATCGTCATGGCATTTTCCGCACTTCCACGATCCTCTTTCTACATGTTTTACTTTTTTCGTCTTTTCTTCTTCTTGTCCCTTTTTGATCTCCATTCAAGAAAATTGAAGGGATCAGCGATCACTAAGATCATAAGGGCATCTCCTTGGAGGTCATATTGGGGAAATCCGATCCGTCTTTCCCGGGCGTAAAAGATCTATGTGGGTGCTTTGGGGCAGCAAAGGGAAAAAGGGGCAAGGGAGCGCCTGATGACACAGGGGGTAGGTGGCATCGAAGCAAGTGTAGCCGTCAAGTCAAGGACAGTAGCGAGTGGGAAGCAAGTGAGCAGCGAACAGGCCGGGGACGAGGGTCAATGAATTACGTGGTGAAAATGGCAATTTGGCCCGAGTTGCACTGACTGCGATGTATGCTCGCCAGCGATCAGAGCCCGGGGAGGCAGGACTAGGAGCAGGATGGCAAAGGGATTTCTCGCGTTGAGGGGTGGGCCAGGCGATCTCTCGAGGGCGGACAGGGGGACAATGGGGTTGGAATTGGGTAAACGGGCATTGGCTGGGCTGAGAGGAAGGGTTTGGTCCGTCGATGGATTCAATGGGATTCAGTTGGGAATCGAGACAAGACGCGATAATAATAGCAGTGTTATTACTTTTGTCGTGAAGGGGAGGAAAACCAGGTGCGTGAGCGTGAGTGTCTGTTCGTGTCACGGCTCGACTTGCACATTTCCAACGTCCATCTCCTCTCCACTTTTGATCTGTGCGAACCCCCAAACCCTTGCAATGCATCGTCCATCATTCGCCAGGCTAGTCCCCAAAGACACCGCTGCGACGGCGCTTGCGGGGTTCGCGGCAATCCTTGGACAGACACACGCAAGTTTTGCCGCACAAATGTCCTGTCCCTTTCCTTTGTTTTCTGGAAGCGTGATTTGCAGCGGGAGCACCATTCGCGCATCAAATCCCCAGCTTTAGCGGCCAGCTCGCCCCAACATGGGGTGAAACCCAAGACAGCCCCTGAGTGAAACCCCGTCCACCACCCCAACGTCCCTTGCCCGTCAACGCTGGCGAGGAGCGCACCGTCCACCAAGCACCGACTGGCCCTCCGCCGCCAAGGGCAATTGCACGCGGCCGATTAGCCGTCGCCCTGGTCCGTGTCGCTATGGATCGCCGCCCGCCCCTTGAAGCTCTTTTTCCTCCTTTTGGTCGAGGGAGCCTCCAAAAAGCTTGTGTGCCTGCCTGTGAATCCAATACGACCCAAGCTCGCCCCGCGGCAGCACCAAGTCGGGCGTTAACCTGCGATCCAATTCCCCGATTTTTCCACCCCCTTACGCTAGGCTGTTAAGGGGATCCGCGGGGCGGGTCTGGCTGCAGCAGCGTGCTCGTTGAACTTCGCGCAAGGCGGTCTTTTCTCTCAACCTATTGGGGACGAGGTGGACGACGACTGGAAAGGATTAGGCCCAGGCCCACGGGTCACGGAGCCCTCGCATCGCATCCACCACCACGATGGGTAATCGGCTCCGCTTGAAACCTCGAGTGACCATCGTGAGATGTGCCCTCGACTCGTCAAGGAGCCCTTCAGGGGCCCAACGCTGTTTTATTCCTGGCTCCCCCTTTTCCTTCCCTCCTACCTTTCGCTAGCTCGCTTTCATCCCCCAAAGTAGAACTCTTGCCATCCATGTCGTGATAGAATAGCCGTTGTGTTTTGTTCTACCGTCCCCACACACACAAGCATCTTTTTCCCTTTGCTCTCTTTCAAACAAGGCCGGGCTGTCACCCCAAGCGTTGGGTCATGCCCATGCGCGCCCCCGTCCCCGATGCCGTCATGGCGGCTTCCAAGGGCTGCATCCCATGGCTATAGTCTGTCAAACATGTCAAGCCGAGTTTGGGGATTTCTCGAGACACGGTCAAAACTTGACGGCCAAGGGGGAGGAGGGCAGGAGGGATGGATGGATGAACGAAAGACGCCCGCCCTATCCCAGCAAGCCTCCATCTACCAGGGTATGGGAAAAGAACCAAAGAAATATCGGCCAAAGATTGCCGACCTAACCACTCGTGTCGTTCCTCTGCACACACCTAGACCCCTGGCCCTCCGTCTCGTCTCCACATCGTCTTTGCTTACCCGCGATATGCTTGATGCTTGACACTAAAACTTTGTCGAGGCCGAGGCCCTAGCCCGATGGGATATAAGATGTCAACCTCTCCCCCGCCGCCTTAGTCTGTAGTTTATTCCCTTCTCTCCATCATCGTGGTCCCACCCTTCAGCCTTTCAACATCTCCAGTCCTGGCCCTTCTTTTCTTTCCCGGCGCTGGTAGCCATTGTTCAATTTCATCTTGTTGATTGCTCAACCAGACCGTCTGTGATAGTCTTTCACTTCTTCAATACTCTTACATTTTTTTCTTCACCCCTTTGACTTTGCCCTTTTCCCATCTGAGCCTACCAAGGAAAACAGCACTCCTCACCTTTCAATATGCGTTCTCAAGCTCTTTTGATGATGCTGGCCGCGGCCGGCTCCGTCGTCTCGGCCCTCACCGTCCCTCCCCAGGGCGCCGAGTTGGCTCAGCGATCTGGCGTAAGTTTTTGGATGTTTTTACTACCCAAAGTGTCATTACGTCGTGCTAACAAAATTCTCCGTCTTGAATATAGGCTGCTGACTCTATGAGCGGAGTCCAAACTCTTGACACCCGCGAGCCCCACCACCGCGGCGCCAAGAACCAGGGCAACCGCAACAACAAGCGCCACCATCGCGGTGCCAAGAACCAGGGTAACGGTAACAACAGGCGCGAGGAGGCTGCCGTCGAGGCCCGCGATCCCCATCACCGCGGAGCCAAGAACCAAGGCAATGGAAACAACAGGCGCGACGAGTCCCTCGTCGAGGCCCGTGACCCCATCATCGCGGCGCCAAGAACCAGGGCAACCGCAACAACAGGCGCCAGGCTGAGGAAGAGGAGGAGGAGGAGGAGGATGACTGCACTGATGAGGAGGACGACGCCGTCGTTGAGAAGCGTGACCCCCACCACCGCGGTGCCAAGAACCAGGGCAACGGGAACAACAGGCGCGAGGTCGAGTCCGCCGTGGAGGCCCGTGACCCCCACCACCGCGGTGCCAAGAACCAGGGCAACGGGAACAACAGGCGCGAGGTCGAGTCCGCCGTGGAGGCCCGTGACCCCCATCACCGCGGCGCCAAGAACCAGGGGAACCGCAACAACAAGCGCGACGTAGAGGATGAGGAGGTCGACGATGAGGAAGAGGAGGAAGACGAGGATAAGGAGGAAGACGACTTCGAGGACCAGGCTCTCGAAGCCCGCGCTCCCCATCACCGCGGCGCCAAGAACCAGGGCAACGGCAATAACAGGCGCGAGGTCGAGGCTCGCCACCACCGCGGTGCCAAGAACCAAGGAAACGGAAACTAAGAGGGACCTATCTCGGGGTCGGAAATGGGAAATGTGTAGGGCGTGTGTGGGTGACGTGAACCCGGGACCGGTGCGGTCTTGGGGAAGCAAGCCGGATTTCTTTTCTATGTACAACACCATAAACTTTTTATCCTGTGCATGAAAGACTACAATCAGTCGTAGCTATTCGACCTGACCAGAACCCGGCTGCTATTCTTTTTATGATTTCTCCTGGATAAATAGGTGGTGGCCTAGATATGACTTGAGTAACGTGCAATGAACATAACCTCTTTTTTGTTTCTTACGGTTCTTTTTTTTTTCGTATGTGGGAAACCAGTCTGTATGGACATTTTCCCCTTCTTCATGATAATTTCTGTAAGTCGTCGTTACTGTATGGTGATCTTCCATTTTGCCAAGCATCTCCTACTTGCCGCGACCCCGGACAACCTTGCCAAGTGACAGTTTCGAAAAAAGTGCACCAGGGACCCCGGAACAGTTAACCGCCAGGACAAGGCTGTTTCCTGGCCCCTGCCCTGCCTCACCCTCTCGTCATGTCAAGTGTCTCACAACGTAGGAGTCACCACCGTCAATGCTCATGCACAAGACTAAGCGTGAGACACGACCCCGCATTCGCATCGCGTGCCTTGTCCGCACCCGGCATTCGGCCGAGCTTCCTCTTCTTCCCCGGGAGACAGGGAGATGAGCCGTATCGAAGAGCTGAGGCCAAGGCTTTTAGCATTTGCATCAAGGGAACTCGTATTCTGGTGGCAGAGGCTACAGCATCCTACTTGAGTCACAACATAAAGGTTTCGGTAATGTTTCCCTATTCCGTGCTTCTTCCGGCTGCGAGAGAGCACATGTAAGCACACTTTGTTACTTCCTCCCTCTGGTCTTGGGTAAAGCACTCAGTCGTCGACCTAACATGCGAAGCCGTCAACCCCAACCGCGTTGGGGGAGGTGGAGCAAGAAGGAACGAAAAGGTTAGAAAGAGTCTGGACATTTAAGAGACTCAGCCGTGAGTTGTCGTTACTATCCCCTCTTATTTCAGGCTGTACTATTGGCTTTGGCTTTCTTCTGCTTACACTCCCGCTAGCGGTGTAGACGCTCCTCTTTAAGATCATGTCGCTGCCGCAAAGATGGCTCGGTATAGTCTGTAAGCTGGCACTAAAGGTTGCTTGTATAAATATGGTAGCTATTGAGTAACTAGGCCTAATTCCTCAAATCCTATCTTTGGAGGTGCGTCAGAGGCATTCAGGACTAGGATTACGCTGGCGAGCCAATAATAGGCTAGCTCGTATGACCAACCTGAAGAGATATGCCGATTGAGTCACGAGAAACGCATACCTTGAGGCAACAAGCCACTACTGCTACTTAGGGTAATACGAAAGTAAAGAGGAAGGCAGAAGGGAAAACATGCGCAGGGAAAAAGGATGATAAAATTCAACAATATTTAAATGTTTTCACAAACTCACAGCCCTAATTCATCACAGTTCGCTATAATCAGACTACTTCGATATCTCCTCTGCTAATTTTGTATATTAATAAAACTGCCAGGGTGAAGGTCACCATCGATGAACTTTAAAAGATCAGCTTCCGCGATGTGCGGGCCGAACTCGACCTCGGCGTGCCCGTCAAGTTCAACAGCTCTTTCCACACCGAAGCCCAGGCGCCCGACCTACCCATCCCGACAAACCTGCCCTATGACTTCCAACGCTGGCTCCCCTGATTCTGCGGACGCGAGACATCCCCACGGATGACCTTCAGACGGCGCGCCTCACCCCGTCCATGGCGCGGCTCCTCGCCAACGTGTCCGCCGCCTCGATCAACACCCGCACCATCAACAGAGCCTACGCAGAGGATCTAGAAGACGAAATCGGCCCCGCTCTCGCCTCCTCCAGTACCCGCCCGAAGGGCTGTTCATGCGCTTCGGCGCCTGCTCGGCCAAGGACGGGGTGTGGAGCGCCCGCGGGACCGTCTCCGTCCACAGCTACGAGGACATCATCCTGCAACTCACAACCTCGACGCGCGTGGATCACCGTGACGAATTATCTGAACAAGAACCCGCAAAGCCCCTTACCCCTGTTTTTCCTCCCCTTTGACAGTCGCATCAAGACGGAGATGGAATACCGCGTCTTCTGCGCGCCCGAGAGCCTCCGGGTCTGTGCCGTCTCTCAGTACGAATGGCATAAACCCTGGCGCTTCTCCACGAGATCCGAGACCGGGATGCAAACCGCTGCTGGTACAATTTTAGAAGGAATCGACCAGATCCGCGCTCAGATCGTAGCAGAGCTAAAGGCGCCCGGAACGGACGAGGCCGATGATCTACTGCGGCGACAGGGTATGACGTTTGATGTCTGGTACGACGATGAAGCGGGGAAAGTCAAGTTGGTTGAGCTTAACACGTACGGTGTGAGGAGCGCGTGTGGTTCCTGCTTGTTTCACTGGGTAAACGACCGCGAGACTATGTATGATGCAAGTGAGGTTGAATTTCGCGTGGTCGTGGACCAGGATCATTCGCCCGTTCAGTCTCAGAATTGGGAATAGCTATGAGCGCCTACAGTACAATTTAAAGGCTATGTCGGCTCCAACTCGTCCTAAGAGACTCCTAACAGACTCAGAAAGGCGCCAATCGAGGATAAGCCAGTCAATAATCTCCCAACAGAAGCCAACTCTGTCATGCTCGCCCTTGCCCACCCATCTATCAGTCAAGCGTGTTTCAAGCTTGGACTGTTGAGCCAATGGGTCCAAATCGGATGTTAGACCAGACAACCTCGCTGCAAAACGGTCAGTGTTAGGGATTCAGCTGCCATCGGAAAAGAAAGAGAATGATGTAAGCTATAGGAGATACTTACGCCCGTCCCCCAGTAGCATGGACCACGGAGGGATCCCCGTCATTCATATTGCACTCGCCCCGGTTTGCACCTGGCATACCCTCTCTTTCCGGTGGGTAGACTGAGTCGAGCCACAGATTATGGGCCCAGTGCTAATGTGTGAGTTTATAAGTTAGATTACCCATCTAAGAGGCGAAGCGCAGGCCTGCGGACTATGATTGGCGCAACTCACATCATCTGAAATGGACACGGCGAGAACCATGGGCTGAGTCAAGATCTCGTTTACTCTTGAGAACCCCCGAGCTCCGAGTAGTAGTCGTCGTCGCCGAATACCTTGAACAAGCTTTCGCAGTACTCTGAATCGAGGTCGCTCCGTCCTGGGAAGCCCTCGAATGCGGGCACTGGGGGTAGATGGTCTTGTTATCCTGGACGAAAAACTGTGATATGTAATCCTTCTGAAACCGGGTTACAACTCTACATGTGGTCAAAGGTATTTTGTGTTAGTTGTGGTGGTTTAGAAGTGCATCCCGGGAATGAGCGAGTCACTCACGTAAATTTCCTCGTCGTATCCACCAGCTTTTCTTTCCCATAAAAGTCGGGGACACCAAGCCGATGTGGGTTATAGTCGCATCCCCAACGATCGCAATGTGCCCGCTTGAGCCTAAGCTCCGTCTCAAGATATACTCCGTTGCAGTCATCAGCTCCTTCGCAGACGTAGTACTCGTCCTCCCGGCAAACATGAGCGGATGTCGAGTACGAGTTGGCATTGGAGTTCCTGCGAATCCAATCGTTAGCAGAAGAACTAAATGTTACTTTGCAGAGAACTGAAAAGTAGGAAGTCTTACCAAACGCCAATTTGGGAACAGCAAGCGCCCAAAAGACCTTCACCGTTGACTTCATCTGTTGCCGAGGGGCCCAACCCTCGATGTTTGCCTAGAAAAGCAGCATAGCAATCAATACCATGTCCCCTTGCATTCTGTATCCTTGGATTAGAACCAAATGTGCTTACCCTACCCCCACGAACCTAGCACTTCGGGAGCACGTTGCATCACAGTACCCGGTCCCGTACTCCGCGCCAGCCCTATTGCTAGGGTACTTGGCCGTGCCCCATCAGGGTCCATCGCGACAAAGTGAAGCGCGCTATTCAGGCCGCAGTCCACCGTCGACAGATCCACGTCGAAAGCGAGCTCGTTGTCCAAGAGCGTGAACATTTGGTACTTGTGCCTGGACTCGAGAAGAAAGAGCCTAGAGTTGTAGTTGGTCGAAAAGTCGATGTTTGTCCTATACTTTTGCGACAATGTGTTATTCTTTGTGGCGACGCCATACGAGCGCTCGTAGTCCGCGCCTTCTATCGCGCACTCCTCGGCATACGTCAGGCCGGGGTTCGGGTCGTCGACGTCGTACATGTCGTCTGTCCATTGATTCCACTCGATGCAGCTCACGAAACCCGCCGTTCGGTGCACCCATCGCCAGTTGGAGTCCACGGTAATCTCTCCGGTGACGGTTTCGCACGTGTTGTCGGCCTGGCACCGCTTCCACTCGAGGACCGGGTGGGTCTCGGCCTGCTCTCTCCCGACGTGCTGGGCCGCGGCGAACCCGAGCGGGAGTAACACCAAGATTTGATACATCATGAGAGGGAGCACACCTAAAGATGACAAAAACCTAGATATCGTGCTTGGATATTGCTGGAGATTAGATAATCTTTCGAGATCAAACACACCCCGCGCTTATCTTCCCGCCCACCTGGTCAAGATGCGGAGTGGATGTGATGGTTCTTATACTATAGTTCCATCCCATCATACCCCCATCGCTAACAATGAACCAAGTCCATGTTATTTTTGCACCCTGGGCTTGGTCAGCTTAGAAAGCTGTTCCGCGCGCGGGGTTTCATTCAAGACTCTTGATCATGTTGCCTGTCAGCCACAATCGCTTTCTGCAAGGGCCCCGCGTGGAGATGGTATAAATCATATTGCAGGATCCGGCTAAACTGCATCAACCTCGAACCCAATGGTTCTGTCTTGCTGACGACTTTCGCTTAGATCAATGTCGTTTATCGTTTTGCACCCGTCTTTATTTTCTTCTTGGAACATCACCATTCTCTGGAGCTGGGAGTATTCGGGGGCGGCCACCACTTTAAACTATTCCGCTTGTGCATGTAGTTTCCCGGTCTATACAGCAAGTCTCCAAGAAATTGGTCGAGTTGCGGGGAGTATCATAAATGAACCCTGATTTGAGCTCAACGAGCCGCAGAAACTCTTTAAGGCGCCGCGCTTCGTGTCAAAACGCCCAGAAAATGGTATACACTACTCACATACCGCCTAGATATCTATGGATCCTTAGGTTTCTACCGCCAGTCCGATGCATCCTCCTGCGCTACACACGGCCCATAGTACATTATGATGTGCGGAGAACGTGCAGGTCGCGATCGGGCCACCGATTAAAGATCACATGTTCGGCTTACTCTATGGATGATAGGACATCGTCAACGACGGCACGAAGGTATCTCTGGTGGGACCCCTCATTCCTCTGCTAGGCGTACTGTTTCCGGTGTGAACGGGCCTTTCCCGCCTCCAACTTCCGTGTCATAACCTGGTCCGTGTTCCATATTTCATGACGGCGGGGCGTTTGACACATTGCATCTCGGTCTTCTTTGCTCCTGCAGCATGATAGGAATGTCATGGTTTGGAGGAACACCCATCGTCATGGCAATTCAGCGCGGGGATGACATGACGCGACATGTTTGTTTGTCTAACGCGATTTCCAATGGCCATTCAATTTGATTTTGAGGTCCAACTGCCTCGAGCTATAGTCTGTAATACCTACATTCATAGATCATTGCGCATATAGATGCTGAGCATCGTAGGTAGAAGAATAGATTGATCAAAAGCATACCAACGCGAACGATCAGTCCGTTTGAAAGATTCTTGAGCTTGTTGACGGGTCTAAAACGTGTTAAACCAATGAAAACATAATGTTGGGCATTACTGAGATTACTGATGTCCGGGCTGGATACTGGATTTGGCCTGCTCGTGTTCTCCCTCAATGATACCATCCACGAGTAGGATCCGATTTTGGTATCTACCCAGTAGCACTAGATACTCAGCCGCATCGTATCGGAGTTGAGCACTCGATTGGTCCCAGCTTGCGATATTCCATCATGGTTCCCCTCTCAAACAGCTCCCCCATAACATCTTGCTTGACTCACCACCCCTCGGTGGGGCAAGCCGATCGGATTCATCCCACAACGCTCGCGGCTCTCCCCACTACCTCTAGAATTCGTCCCCTTCCCATTCTCATCAAAATTTGCAGGACACAGTTCCAGTCTCTTTATAATGTCGGCACTCGTTCAGATTCGTCCCGCTAGTAAGGATGATATTGAGGGGTTGCAACGCTTTTTGGGTACTTCACTCTAAACACGGTCAGTCGCGAAAACACCTGAGAGCTAATCAGATGTGAACCCTGCTGAACAAGCGAACCTAGTCGCTCACATTCCACGACCAACCGAGACCCATCGCCGAATTCCTAGAGCTGTATACCGCAACCGAGACGATGGGGCTTCCCTTTCTAGTAGCGACCGATTCGAGCTCGGGTGCGGTCGTTGGCTTCGCGAACCTGCACGAGTTCCGCCCCCACGTAGCGTATAACCATACCGCGGAACTAAGTCTGTTCTGCCACCCCGATTATCAAGGCAAAGGAGTTGGTTCATTACTACTCTCCCGAACACTGGAACTAGCCAAGTCGCCAAATCTTATCGCGGAGAGTGCCAAAAACGAACCAACAGATGCGAGGGTGATAAAGAGAGTTTTGGCCATCATGGCTGTCGACGAAGAGGGCCCTGAGAAAGGGATGGCCCTTAAAGGGTTTTATGAGAGATTTGGCTTCGTCCAGGTGAGTGAAGTAGAACGAACTAGTACTGCATGTCCCGTGCTTACCCTTGCCCAACTCAGAGAGGACATCTCCTAGAGGTTGGCTATAAATTTGGACGCTGGTAAGATTGTTCCTTGTCTACTACATGTATTCTCCACTGATATCTCTTCTCCCTCTGTACTAAATAACGAATAAGGATCGATGTTCTCGTGATGCAACTTAGTATTTGAAGGTAGTCGACTACGGATTGTCAAAGGATGGAAGAAAGCCGCATGACTCGGGGTCATCTCTTCAGAGAAGATCATGTAATTAGATTGATAATCTAGCATTGACTAGTTGAGAGATAAGCCGTTTGGCAGAGATATTTGACTGCGATCTAGCTTAGATACAGTATCCTAGGCCACTTCCTCATGCCGAGGAGGCGGGGCCTGCTGCATCGTCTGAGGCACGTATTCGTGACTCCCAACTCTGCTCCCATTCAAGGACAGATTAGCGCAAGTCTATCTTAGACCGCAAGTCATGGATGCTCAGAACTTACCCTGTGCTATTATGGCTGGTATGGCTGGTCAGGGTGGCCTTTGAGCGGCCTGTTTGGTTGTCCCACGGACACGTCGCATAGAGGCCCAATGCGGCATTCATCAGCCAGACGAGGCTGCTGATGAAGGTGAAGGCGAGTAGGGCGCGCCAGGTTCCGCAGCCAGCAGACCATCGCCATGATAGAGTCCACATCGAAAAGTACCAATCACCTTCGCATTGCGTAGACAGCTGCCCGATCCTCACGTTAATCATCGGTCGGGTCGAAACAAAGCAACAACTCGTAGTGTCAAGAAGGACTTACATTGGCAAGCAATCCGAACGCGACCATCCACATGACGAACATGATGCCGTCCATCGGGAAGGCCCAGAATGAGTATCGGAGCGGTGGCATAAGGACTAGTGAAAACACAATAGCGATGACGGAGAGGGCGAGGACGTAGTCGATTCGGCTACCGTGGCCGATGCCCCACTGATCCAAGCGGTGCACGTAACTTCCCGAGATTCCGCAAACGATCACCGCGCTGGCGAACGCCAGGATGCGGCCTGCAACGGAAAGCACCTTTGTTGCTGTGCCCATGGTGCTGATTCTTGTTAATAGACTGGTAGAAGATGGTGATTTGAGGATGTTGGGTCTGACGAGCTTGCCCGATGCTGAAGTTTTGATGGAGGGGAGCCGGGGAACAACTGCATTAAAAGCCCTGAATATAACCTATTGACTGATCTGCGAAATACATATCAGCCATGCCCCTCTCCCTCACGTTGCTTCGTCAGCTAGCTCCGACCACGAAGCTACTGAACTCGAGTCTCCCTTGTCTCGCGTGGGTAGTCAAGGGTTAAGTCGGGGGTGACGAAATTTAAAGTTCGATGTTGCTGGATCGATTCCGGTTTAGGATTAATCGCATTTCTCTCGGGGCGACGGCGTCGCTGCGCTCTCACGCACATTGGTCCCACGAGGACGCTGGTCGAATCTTAAAATTGATGTTCGAATGTCAGATTCCGCGTGTAAGCTTTTCGCTTGTCAGATCACCAAAAGCCCGTGGATGCGCAAACGTCCGTGAACAGGCGATTTTCGTGATAGTTTCGATAGTCTAGCTTGGTGGGCAATCATTCGTTTTCATGATTGTCACGGTCCCTGCTAGACAATGCGTTGTTTCCATATGTAACCATGCACCAGTTACCTCTAAGCGAATACACCCCTTGTGCGGGATCATGTATGTTCCCTGGGGGTGCATGTGGTATATTGAATGACAGATCTGCCTTATCGTTCGCGCATCGCGCATCACTCTAGTCTCAAGCCCATCTATTCTCGTTTTGCAATGGATTGAAATAAGGTTGTAGCAGTAGAGAGCGTGTGGGATCTTTTTTTCTCCATAAAAAAGCGCAGAGACAAAAATGCAGCCTACTCCATGGAGATTGATACACGGACAAAAAGATGTGATAAGAGTGAGATTCGAACTCACGCCCAGTTACCTGGACCAGGATTTCAACGTTAAGCTAACCTTAACCTGGCGCCTTAGACCGCTCGGCCATCTTACCAGATGCGATATTGACTGGGCGCCCCACAAGCATAAAAGAGTCGAACTGCAAGGCCGTTACTAGCGGAGTAGACAATGTGTTAGCAGTCTGATGGTTCGATTGCGGTGGTCACCTCCACTTGAAGGGCCGCCGAATACCCTGTCTATCCTTGAGACAAGACCTGGGGCGTTACTGTAGCGCGATGAGTGGGGGTTATCCTCCATGCCACTTGGACCTAGACCATCGTTCGTCCATGTCGTCATTGCACGTGCGGTTCCGAATCTTCCGTGAATATAGTCGCCCAAATCGCGAGAGACAGGGGATATTAGTACAACGCAAGCTATTTGTTCGAGCGCGCCACCACGCCCTGCATACAAAGCGAACTAGATCCGACGACTGATCACCCTTGTGCGCTATCACGGAAAAATCCGCTTCTAACCTATCTGGCTAGCAAACCAAGAACCTCAAGGAACTATTAAAGCCATGGCTGAAACCGGAACTGTATGGTCACTCCTCACCAGTTATCTGAGCTCTCCCCCGGTCAACTAGTCCCACTAATCGTTTCCCTCTTGGCAGTCTTATCAACAAAATGGGCGATTTGTACGACCAGACAGCACATTCCGCGATCATATATCCCACGATCCAAACTCCAAGTTCCCTGCCGAAGCAGGGCGATATGTCCTATACCTGTCGCCCACGTGTCCATGGGTAAGGATTTACCTCACCAGCGCGCACTGATCGCACACACCGAAGTATTTTAGCTCATTCTCCTCTGTTAGGCTCATCGTACGCTCGTTGTGCGCGTGCTAAAGGGCCTCGAGTCCATTATTGACGTCTATCACGTTGACCCGTACATGGGAACCAATGGCTGGTATTTCAGCGGTGACCACGGATCCTTGCCGGCGGATCCGCTCCATGGCTTCAAACCCTCCGGGAGTTATACCACCATGCTGATCCAGAGTTCAGCGGCCGCTTCACGGTTCCGGTATTATGGGACAAGAAGCTGGACACCATCGTGAACAACGAGTCTTCGGAAATCATCCGCATGCTCTACTCCGAGTTTGACCATCTCCTTCCACCCGAACTACGGGAGGAGAACAGACCAGGCGGCGGCCTGTATCCCTCGCAGCTCCGGAGTCAGATCGATGACATCAACGATTGGGTATATCACACCGTGAATAATGGCGTCTATAAGACAGGGTTCGCCACCACCCAGGAATCTTACGAAGAGAATCTCTTTCCCTTGTTCAAATCCCTCGATCGTTTAGAGGATATTCTCGGCCACGGGAAGAAGTACCTGCTCGGGGACCACATCACGGAAGCCGACGTACGCCTATACACCACTCTCGTTCGCTTCGATGTGGCGTACCACCCAGTCTTCCTGTGTAACTTGAAGTCAGTCCGGCACGACTATCCGCGGCTGAACCTTTGGCTGCGGAGGCTATACTGGGATGAAGGCGATGAGACCAGGGGCGCCTTTACAAGACCACGGAGCCTTATATACGATACTACGGTCCCGGGTACGCTCGGGCTCGACACGGGATTGTGCACAAGGGGAGGGCCCGCTCATTGTCCCGGCAGGCCCTACAGTACCCGTTGAGCCACTCCCAGGCACCGATCAGGCCTGACAAGATATAGTACAAGGCCGAGGGCCGGCGATTGCTATCAATCTACCGTCCAACTAAACCTAACTGGGGGTTCTAATTCCATCTATTTTTATCTCGGCTGAACAGAAATGAGTTGCGAATGCCAATGCTTCATAATGTTAATGTACAATGTTTTACAAACTTGCCAGGCTTGAATCCGCCTTGGCAATTCTTCTTTTCTCCAAGTTGTGTGCCTCATCACCAGCCAAAGCGGCCATCACCTCGATTCCTCCAACCACCTTACAATCTCCGACACTCCTTCCCTAAAGAGCAGCTGAGCGTACGCCATGTGGAACGTGTACATGATCTCTGGCTTCAACGGTTCCGTCGAGATGGGGTTACAGCACGCGCTCTCTTGGCGGATCTGCACTATCCGTTTACCATCGGACTCCTCCTGCTCGGCAGGATGAACAATCGAGAACCGGTGAACGCCCGCGAACCTTGCCGTATCGCTTCCGAAGCTGAAATCGACGTAGCTGTGCATGGCCTGACCGTCTTTACCGGGGTGCTTTACATCGAGAGAGCGGTCAGTGACCTGAAAGACGCCAAAGAGTGCCGTGTGAAGCCGAGGAAGGCCCATTTCTGGAATCTCTTTCGCAGACCATATCTGCTTCTGCGCGTGCCCGGTTTCTAAACCCTCCCAGGTTAGCTTTATGAGTTCCTCTCCGGACACAGACGAGACAACGTCCACTCTCGAGGTGGGCCCTCATGTTCTTACTCGTAAAGTGCACCAAATTCATGCGCGCAGTTTGCAGCACAAGCCTCTCCGGCCCAATGACGAGTCCGCCAAAGAACCCGTTCACAAACCTAGCAAGGAGGACCTCGTCCGACACGTCACGATGCTCCGGGGGATCTCGAGGGTGATGAACCGCGTATCGGCCCTATACGGGTGGTGGCGAGGATTCGTCACGTCCTTGACGGACCACGATTGGCGAAAGTGCTCGGGTATCGTCTCGGCCACCGAGATCTTTTTCGTTTCGATATTTTTGATTTTCTGGTAGACGAGGAAGCTGTACACGCTGCCCGCGGCGATGGCCGTACAGACCGAGACGCCGAGAATTCTGCTGGGTAGACGTCGGGCGGCCATTAGGGGTCTTTTTTTCTTTCTTTGTCCAGCACGATTGTATACGCTTGAGCTGCAATGATTTGAGCTGCAATGATCTAAAAGTACATGCACGCGTGAAGCCCGGTCCAAGGGCGTTTTGAAACCCCAGCGCCAAGGCAAGTTCTTGGCCTTGGTGGTCACGATGACTCGTTCTTGCGGGCAATCAAATTCGCCCACCTTCCGGGTTTACCCGCCCCTCTTCAGCTTTCACCTGAGCCTTTTGGGCCAATGGCGGTAGGGAAGCCAGCGCCCTTCCGGGTCACCCGCGCCGTGAGCCAACACGAACTACGAAGGCACTAGGTCCCTAAAATTCTCCACTTGGGCGGTGGTTGGTGGTCTAATTCAGCCGCTCCGAAAGGTCACGCCAGGCGGACAGCCAGAGCGCAGTTCATGTTTTGGTGCGAACAGATCAACTTTGGACCTAAATGGTAGGAGCACGAGAGTGCGGCATACGATGGCAAGGGTGGGCGCGCCCATCATATTCACCAAAGTCGAAAACCAGCTTCTCTACATGTCCGTTGTTGCGACTTTACACATCAGATGGGTCACAGAGTCAAGGCAAAGGTGAACAAAATAAAGGCAGTGTTATTATTTAGTTAGACAATGAGGTGAACCCCTCAAGAACACAAAGGGAACGAACAGGAATGATAACGCCTCCAACACCAAAGCCCTTTTTGCGGGCATCCCTAAAAACCGGTTTATGCGCCTAATGCAAACCCATTTCATTATTTTCGGCCATGTAATTCTGGCAGTCGACCAGAATCTTGACCTGGTCGCTAATGTCACCCAAGCGGCCCAACACCTTCTTGTTGCCGTCCATGAACTTGAGGATGGCGTAGGGGATCTCGGTCTCGTCGCAAAACTCCCTGACGAGCTTCTGGAGACGGCGGAGGTTGTGGCGGGGCACGCGGGGAAGAGGTGGTGGATGGCCTGGAACTGCAGGCCGCCGTGGATGAAGTCGAGCCAGGCGGGGCAGTCGACGTCCATGGTGGTGCGGAGCTGGCGCTGGGGGAAGGACTCGGACTCGCCGAGGTCGGAGTGGGACATGCCCCAGTGGGAGAGGTTGATCTGGATGTGGAGGGGCATGGGGACGATGTGGGAGACGAGGACGAAGGCGACGCGGATGGTCCAGGTGGGGAGGGCGCGCCAGAGGAGGAGGTAGCCGAACAGGAACCAGTAGATGGCCATGAAGGAGATCTCGGTCGGGCGGATCCACCAGGCCCGGGACTTGCCGAGGGCGGTGGACCGGTCGGAGAGGACGTGGCCCCAGGAGAGGATGTAGAGGTTGAACCGGGCGATGGCGAGGACGGGGTAGTAGGTGTATTGCTGGAGGGGCACGAGGAAGTTGGCGGCGGCGTCCCAGAGGAAGACGAAGTCGTAGTAGCTGGAGCGGAGGGATCCGAAGAAGGCGGGCGAGGTGGCGAAGAGAGGCACGTTTTGGATATCGGGATCATGTTCCTGCGCGTATAAGAGATTAGTCGCGAGGTTCCCAGAGATGAGGAAAAAAAGATGCAACTTACAGGATGGTTGGTGAGAAGATGGTGGACGTTGTGACTGCTCTTCCACCAGCCGATGGACAAACCGCAGCAAAAGTCGGCGATGAACATGCCAATCAAGGTGTCGGCGACGAAGTTTTGAGTAATGGCGAGATGGCCGGCATCGTGGGCCGTGAACATGATTTGATGCTACGCGCGACTGCATGTTAGCGGGGTTCGATCCTGAGACGTCCAAAAAGACTTGGGCGAGTGTGGGGAAATAAGGCCAAGACCCCCAGAAAAAAAAAAAAAAAAGAAATCGGAGATAAAATCGCAAACATACCCAAAAGAGACCAAGGAAGGTGGCCGATGTCATGTACCACTTGAAATAAAGGGCGACGAGGAAGGCACCGAACAAGGTGCTGTAGCGAGCCATCTCCTTGCCATACTCAATGTACCTGCACTCGTAGTGGCCCTCCTCGTGAACGCGCTGGTGCAGGGCCTGGTACTTGGTGATAATCTTTTGCTGCACGGCGGGGTCGACGGAGGGGTAGATGGCGCTATCCTTGTCAATCTCCTGACGAACCGCCCAAGCCGTGTAACCGTCCGCGGTGAAACGGGGTTGCGAGTAGGCGTGCTTGCCGGTGCCTTCCGGCGCTTCCGAGCCATCCGACGCCAGCGTGGGCACCACCGCCTCGACGCCCTCGACGCTGCGAATCTTCTCCCCTACACCATCAACCACACCATCACCGTTCGATTTGGGCGCTGTTCGCTTGCGCGCGACGCCGCCGGTGGGAGGCGCCAAACCCGTAGCCTTGACGCGTACGTGCTCCTCGGCATCGCTGCCCTCGGAGCTCAGCGAGGTGGCCGAGCTCAGCTCCGGGTCGGCGTCGGACCCGATCTGGCTGTAGGCGCTACCGCTCTCGTCGGCGGACACGCTGCCGACTTCTGCGTCCGACGAGAGGCCGGAATCCGAGGCGGCGATGGAGCCTGCGCGCTTGACAAACACACCGCCCCGGATGGGAGGGGTCCTGTTGAGCCAGACGCCTGGGGGCTTCCGGCCAATCCGGAGGGCCTTCATGGTTTTTAAGGTTGCGAGCGAGTGATACCTGCATTATCGACCCCACACAGGAGATATATTAGCTTCTTTTTCTTCTTCTTTTTTTTTTTCCTTGGTCTTGCTTCGATCCTTCGAGCAACAAATGCACCACACCTCCAACCCCCAGACGAATAAAAAAGAAACAAAAAGCTTTTTTTGGTTTCCCCGCGGAGAAAAAAATTGGCCCAAACAGGGAACTGCATGTCTTGGATAAAAGGTAGGATCCACGCCGCACCCGCCAGCCCCGGAAACGTCAACCCTTCAACGTCCTTTGATTGCTTTGGAATCCCCTCAATATCTCAAGCATATTGGCGAGCCGAAATATCGACATACCGACGCCTGATGGCGACAGCGTCGCCTTTCGAGACGCGGGGCAGCATGGATTGGCAATGAAACAACATATCCAGAGGACGGACACATGGCATCTATCACGGCGACCAATACGTTGGGGGAAGAGCAACGCAAAGGCCAAAGACGACCAAAAAACCGACAAAAAAGGAAAGTAGGGTGGAATTTACGCATGAATCTCGTCCGTCGCATCTTTTCCAACCATGTGCAGAATTACCAGACGACCACCAGGGTGCCTATCGAGCCATCCATCCAGCTTCAGGACGTACTCGTCCATAATGACGATTTTTTGTCCATCGGCGATCAGGTCGTCGATGGCGCCCGGCGAAAGGACCTTGTCGCGGTTCATCGTTCGGGGAAGGGCGGGCGGACGGGCGAATGGGGCGGCCAACGAGCAGCAAAATCGACGATCGGAGCGGCGGCAGGAATGGGTTGCTTGTGCTGGCGTATCGCTGACAAATGGGCCTGGCCCACGTCTTACTTTTTTCGGTGCTGGATCGAGGTAGAGGGGGGAAGAGAAGCAAGGTAACCGGATGCGCCGGATGGCAAAGTCGGGGACCAGCCTGTGCCCTCGACTATATAAGGATGTGGAAATCCTGCTTTTGGACCTCAACCCACCAAAGGGGTTGACCTGGGTGTAGAGGGGCGCGCGGGCCTGGAACGCTAATCCCCCTTTTCACTTGGCACGCTACCCCAGAGGGCGCTCGACCGACTAGCCCATCGCTCTCTCCTCTTTTGTTTTTCCCTGGCCCGGGAAACGACAAAGAACATGCAAGGACGGAAAATCTCTCAAAAGGTTGGGGACCCTCCCTATTGCCCCGGGGGCAAGAGGAGAAAGGGGGCGCAGCAGGCACATCTCGGGCGCTCCAACCTTGGCGGGTCAAATAACCGAAATGCTGGCACTTTGAGGGCCTGCAACGCTTCCCAGATACGGACCCGGGCTCATTGGCAGACCGTCGCCAGACACGGTGCGACGACCCTCGACTTGAACAGGGGGTTTCGCAATATTAGGCCGCGTGTCGGGGAGGATGCGACGGTCCACCGATCGGCCACCGCGGTACATGCGTGGACGGGACGGGCCCAACAAGTTTTTCTGTGTCTGCTTTCTTTCCGTGTTCTTTACGTTTGTCCTCCCCCTTCCCTTCTTTTGACCTTGTTTGTTCTTTTCAAAACCGTGATACGCGGAGCGAAGCTCCCGCGTGTGCAAGGGAGGCGGAGGCGGAGGCGTTATGCCCCAGGGGAAAGTGGATGACAGGTCCTGCCCCATCGAAAGAAAGAGGGGCGGGGGCGAAAGAACACCAAAAGCCTACCAGCCAGGGGAGGTGGGGAGAGAGGGGAGAAGATGGAAGACAAAAGGAGATTAGATCGAAAAAGGAGCCAGAAACGGGGTTTGCGAAAAAGGGTGGGGGCATCAAAAGGAAGCGAGCGTAATGCGAGCGCGCCATCAAGCTCGAAAGCGAAACTCCACGGTTGGGCGAAATCTATCGGGGCGAATTTACGCGGAAAAGGAAGAAGAAACACGAGCGGGAGCGAGAATATACAAACGGAACGATGGCAAACGGAGAAAAAGGATGCGGGAAAGCGAAATGCGAAATGCGAAGAAGAAGAAAAAAATAAGCTGAAGGATCCGAAAAAAGGACTACAAACGAATAACCCACGATTCTTCACGTCGCCGGGAACGGGGAACGGGGAACGGGGGACGGGGAAATGGGATGGAGAGGCAGGCTTACGGCTAACACTCCCACGACATTGGCAATAACATTTGCCAAGGCAGGGGCAGGAGCAAAGGAAGACGAGAAACTGATGAAAAAGGAAATTGGCAAGAAAACGGGAATAGTTGGTGGGTTTGTTCCCTCACTTTGCGGACGACACCTGCCCCGTTTAGCCACGCCTCCGAATTTAACCTTTCATTGATCCTTCCTCAGCTGCTTCGATCGATAAATCGCTTCGAGTCTAGCGGCTTCTTCTTCTTCTTTTGCTTCAACGCCACCCACGGGCAAACGTTACAAGTATCGAATTTCTTTGTTCTATTCAGTGCGCAAACGTACACGACCACGGGAGGGTGGCGAGCCGTGTGCCAGATACGCGGATCCTCATAGGCGGTATTTTATTTTGCTCTCTTCGCTGTGTCCTCTCCACGTTTTGCTCTTTCTGGTCCAGCGCCAACCACCAATTTCGTTGGTATTACGATCACAAACAAGAGCTGTATTACTGGACTGGGCCAATTCGAACCGCAACTAGCGCTGGTTTGGGCCTGTTGGGAAATGGAGCGCTGTTGCGACCCTCGAGCGCAATCTTGCTCACACCCTTGCCAACACGACCTCATTCGCGTTCAAACAACCCCCAAAAAGAAGTTTTTCTTTTCGGGACTCCCTCAATTTTTTTGACTTTTTTCCCTCGAACGACACGTCTCCAGAGATGGCCTCATTGTGCAGGGCCCTAGCTCTTCTTTTTGGACGGCCCTGCCCTGTCAAATCGCAAGACTGACATTTCTTTTGTTGCCATTCAAGCCAGGAATGAGAGCATGCGAACCATGGATTCTCTACCCTGGACCCCTGGCTTCCCGTTTCGGTGGCGCTCAACAAAGTTGGACAAAACATGAAGTCACCTTCCCTTGCTTCCCTCCCCCTTCCTTGGTTTTTGTTCCCTTTTTTGGGTGGTGCCTGCCAATCCGTCCCGAATGAACGCACCAAAGGCAGGGAATGCATGTCGGGTATACCCCGGCAGATTGATGACAGCGATGATGATTGGCAGGGAACGCAGAACACGTCCCCCTTTTCTCGAAACACAAGTGGCGATTGGAGCGCAATACAAGTAAAAAAGCAGACTGAGTTCAGTGGGCTGTATTCCTCAAACTGTCACCGGGGATTGAGGGTGGTTGATCCAGTAAACTCTGCTCCCCGTCCACTCCCTGTCCACCGTACTGTCCCTTTCCGTTTCCGACACGAAGAATCAATACCTTGAATACCCAGGATCGGCAGCATTGTCGGGGGACGGGAACCCGTTAATCAAGTGTCAAAAAAGTGCAGATGCGGAGCCTGTTGACCGATCCCAATTTTTCTCTCTCTCTCTCTTGGCTCATCATTGCGCGAATGTTGTGTTGCTTTGCTTGTGCATGCTGCAATACCACGCGATGCCCCCGACTCGACAGTACTTGCATCAAACGCGCGCAACGCTGCTGTAAAGGGAACGCTTGTGGAGACAAACAGGAGTGAAAATTAAGCAAAAGAGAGAGCGAGAGCCTCAAAAGAAGGAGGGAATGGGCCAAGACCCTATCGATGTGACATTCATCGATGCACAGGTCCTGTTGGTTTAATACCTTTGCTTTCCCTCTTCTAGGCACTCTCCACTCTGTCCTCCCCCAGGTCCCCCTCTCTTTTAGGGTCAAACCCCGATCTAGCGTTCGCTAGGGGTCACTAAACGCCGACAAAAGTGGACGCGCCACTCTGCTGTGGAGACCACCCGAGAGATTGGCAAAGTCGTCGCACTTTTCCACGCAATGGTTCGCTCATAAGCCCACGACGACCGTCTCAGCCACCCGCTCCACCTCAAAAGCTCAAGGCAGCAGAATTACCAGCGATCCAATTCATTTCCATCCGCGTATTTGCATTTGCAGCTGGTACGATCAAACCGAACAGGGTGGAGCTTTTGCTGCACAGCACGCACCAGAACGAAACTTGACCCCCTTCCTTTTTCTTGCTTTCCCACAGAGCTTTGCCCCTAAACAGGGGGTTTTCAATGTTGTTCTGTCTTCCCACAGGCTGAGTTGTCGTATTGACGTGAGCGAGTGCCGAGGCAGAGTCGCGCGAGCGGGCCTGCACGGCGCTGATTAACCTGCCGTAAACGCACCAGTCAGGGTAACACCAACAACTTCCCCCGGGGATACGGGTGTAATCACGAGTTGAATGAACGTTGCAGGCATTGCCTTCCTCCCGAAACAACGTCTTCACATGCAACCTCCAATATCTCCCCGACCAAGAGACAGAAATATCATTTCCTTTTTTGTCTGTGTAATCCTCATGCGAAATCTTCGGGTAGGGCAGGGCGCGCACTCATCTTCTTTGCTTCTTTTTCCTTTTTTTCTTCCAGCTTCGGCCACCTCCTGCCTCTACGAGCCGCCACGCGCGACGGGAAAGAAAAACGCACAAGCTGCAGTGAAGAAAACAATAGGAAGGAAGGCAACGACGATAGCATGGCCTTCCTCACCAAACTTCGACCAATGACCTAGGGCCGGTCCCATTCCGACCTTGCCACGCGCCTCGTGGCCTCGCCTGGGCTTCGAGATGCGTCGTCGTTCAACGCGCCCGCGACGAGTCAGCACACTAAAGCCGGAGCTACCTCTCCCTCCCCCGAACATCTTCGCGACCTAGAGCATGTACTCTGTCACCACGCCGTGGCGCGGGTGTCGATACCGCTATTGAGACCACGCAGCTGAGAAAGTATTCAGTACGGAAAAGAAAGGCAGAAGCGGGGGGCGGGGGCGCGCGTCGGTGTCAGACGAGACACAGTGACATTCTTTGCGTGGCAGGTCGAGTCATTGAGCTTTCCAAAACCACGGGCAAGGTGTCAGTGGCGGCATTGCGTATTTGCGCATCATTGCTATTGGAGTTGCGTGTCTGTTTGTGTGCGTGTGTTCCACGAATGGCGAACGCATCTTGGACATGCTCCCAGCTTCACGCCAAACACCACCCCACACGGTCTCCTGCGCTCTTGGCGACTGCCTTTTCTCGAGGTTGGCGCGTAGGCCAGCCCCATTCCCCTTTCAAGCCCTTGTTTCTAGAAACGATGTGGAACTTGTCGTGACAGCCGCCTCGCGTGCAGCTCGGCGCACGCCAAATCGTAGGCCCTTCCGTAGTTTGTAGTGAGGCATCCGTCTCTTCAAGTCGCACGCGGCGACAGTCGAAATGTGGGCCGTTTTTGCACCACTCACGCTGATTCTGGTGTTACTCGGAGAAGTCTACGCAACGTAGTGGAGGACTTGGTTCCCTGTGCGAGAGTATATTCATCGACCATGGGCAAGAATCTTGGGAAACCAGTGGCAAGTGCGCCGAATTATCTTATGTCGAGCTCCAAGGCCCGGTTCATACGTCTGTGTTCTATTTCCTCGTGAAGACAAGCAGCAAGGAGTGCTCTCGCGCTTCCAGCAGTGGGATAGAATAACCCTGGGAAGCAAACAAGCATCAAACCCAATTCGGAGAAGACCCAGTTTGTCGGAGCGTCCCGCGGCCTAGCCCCGCTCGGGGAAAGGTCACGGCCGGGCCAAAGACGTGACTGAGGTCAATCCTGTATAAACGCCGGTAATCTCTCACTTTATCAGGGCTCTTCCACATAATGAAGGACTCTTCTTATAAAGTATCCGCGCACAAGCGCTATTATACAAGGGCCGGTAGTACAAAGATCTATCAAATGATAGCTAAGGAAAGCACAATGAACAAGCTAGATGCTGACTCGCTTCTCCTGGTCCATCCAAGTAGAAGTTATGTAGTACATTGTCATGATTAAATGGTATCTGAGGTTGATCTTGGTCTCGTAGACATTAGGGGAATTAAGTACGACAGGAAAACAACATCTATCAACCAGTACGCTTAGAACACACATCACCGGTTACCTCCCCGTTCTCTCGCCATCACCTTCTCTACCACTCACTCCTCCACACACGTCTACTCGAGTCTTGCATCAGGGACTTCTTAGACCCTGGCGCCACGGTGGTGGGTGGTGCCATGGACACGCTCGCCACGGTAGCCGAGGTGCCAGCTGTAGAGGACGTTGAAGAAGAGAGCGAAGCTGCAACAGAAGAAACTGGTTAGACTATTTGTTCAAGATGCCGTGGACATTGGTTTAACAACCAGTGGGTAGACACTTACAAGGCGATGAAGCTAAAGGCCTCGACGGTATGGGCAAGAGCGTTTCGGCTGTGGGTGAACATGGTGGCGGTGAAGACGACAGCGACGAGCCAGAGGTACGAGAAGATGAGGTTGAAGAGGTGGAGGAAGTGGAGGAAAGCACCCAGGAAGTAAGCACCGAGGAAGAAGACAGTGGTCAGGACGGACTATGCAAAGAGAGTTGCGTTAGTGAGGGGTTTCACGACTAGTGCAAGCCCACGCCCTGTCGGTTCGTGCCGAGGGATAGGGAGGTGTGGGAGAGGCGCTAGGAAACTTACAATGACTTCGATGTAGATGATGGAGTCGGGCTGGTGCATATTGGTGGAGAACCAATAAGACACGATGCCCATGACAATCACGGACGAGATCCAAATGAGGGCATTGGTGGCCAGGAAGAGGGGAGAGAGCCCACGAGTGCTGAGAGGCATGTTGGCGGTTGGTTGTTGGTTTTTTTCCTTAGGGGAAGGTTGGTGGTTCAGTGTGATTGGGTTGGATGCTTCCTTGGAGTGAGAAGAGGCGAGAGAGGCTGTTGAATTGTGAGTGAAGAGGAGATAGATGCAACCAGAAGAATCGGGGACATCATGGCTCCTTTATTTAGTCGTCGGAATTGGGTTGGCAAACCTGCTTCTTAGGCGATCAACGCCGTGCAGAAAAAAAGGCTGAACGATCGAAAAATTGGCATCGAGGGTTGGACGACGCCGGGGGAGGGAGGTTGAGGCTCACGTTGACGTCATGCGTGATGTGAGCGAGCGCGAGAGCGAATCGCGGTCGTCGGTGCCTGTGTTGGAGTTGGCATTGGGCGCGGACACGTCATGATTTCTCCAAAACCAATTTTCAACTGCCCCTTGACACACACACCCTTGCCAGCAGCTTTAGCGACCACTGGGATCTCTCGCTGGCTCACCCGATCCGGGGGAAAACCCAATGGGTTGAAGACAGAGCGGTGGCGCATCACCGCGTGCGGATAGACGAGGAAGAAAGGAAAAGAAAAGGCGATCAATGCGTTTGGCCTGATGTCACCACACACCGCGATGGGCCAAGGAGCCGGCACCCATGACCCATTGCGAGACAGGCGTAATTCCGCTCCCCCTTCGCTCTAGCCAAATAAATGAAGATGGCGAGAGTGGTAACCGGCGTCTTACAATGGCGAATAATGGTTACAGCGGTCGTGGTGTTGTTCAGCCGCTCGCACACGTACATGCACATTGCCGGAGAACACGGGGCACACTTAATGGAGCAATTATGATATCAAACCTCCTTGGCTGTTCCCTATCGATGAACGCACACTTCTTTTACACCGTTCTGTGCGCGATTCCTTCCCTTTTACTCTAATTTTCGTTGCCGGGACTCGTAGTCCCTGCTGCGGGAAGTGATACCAGTGCGGAACGTAACCTGAACCTTATCCCCGACCGCCATCCAAGTCTTTAAGCAATGGATGGATGAATGCTTGGTTTCATCCCCATGCAGGACACCCGGCACTTGTTGTCCGGTGACGTGGGACCCCCAATTCTCGGGAGGATGAAGCGGACAGAGAGGAAGATGAGGACACAAAGTAGGAAAATTAAAATCATATCGTTCATTGCCCACATACTACCGATAAACTACTATGTTACACTGCTTGACGTCGCACAAGTACTTCGTACTCCAGAGAAAGAGGGTTTTCCTTCCTTTTTCCCTTATTTTCTTTTTCGGTTTTTCGATTCCTGTCTTTGATGGCCTTTTCCAAGCTTCTTGCTGAGTGGTCAATGCTTCTTGCACAACACACACCGAAAGATGAGCTGGGCCAAGCATCCATTTACCCCAGTCTGAGCGCAATAGTGGCGTCACCGAGCTTGTCGCGTGCTCCAGCCCCAGCCCAGGCCCCCAGACCACACCGGGTTCCCCACCGCTTCTTCACCCCAGCAGAGAGAGAGAGAGGCAAGGGAAGAGACAAGAAAAATAAAAAAGTAAATAGCTGATTTAGTTCCCGTCCCGGATAGCAAAAGATCCCACATCACAATTCGTAAGGCGTGACCTGGACCGTGCTGTTATCCTTGAGCGCCTCCTTGATCGCCTGGCACACGTAGAGCGCGCCGAGGCCCGCCTTGGCGCTACAGCTCACCTCCTCCTCGCCGCGAATCACCCGAACAAAGTGCCGGAGCTGCAGCTCAAACGGCACGCCGGGCTCCACCGACACCGTGTCGCGCGTGAGCTCGGCGTTCCAGGACTTGGTCGTGCCGGGCGCGTAGGACCACACGGACATGTCGGGCACACTGAGGGATGCCTCGGTGCCGAAGACGCGGTAAAAGTCCTGTCCGGCCTTGGGGATGAGGGGTTTTCGCCCGTGCCGGACTCGAAGTTGTACGGCGAGGGCACGTTGTCGGCGACGAGGAAGCTGCCGACGGCGCCGGACCGGAAGCGCAGCGTGAGGGCCGCGCCTTCTTCCGCCTCGAAGCCGCGCTGGGAGGCGACTTTTTCGGCGTGCACGCTGGTGATGGGGCCGAAGAGGTAGTGCAGGAGGTCGACCTCGTGGATCATGTTGATGAGGATCACGCCGCCGCTCTGGGTGCGGCGCCACTCGGTGGGGGCGTCGTAGTAGGGCGCGGGCTTGTAGAGGGTCCATAGGCCGTTGACGGCCACGATGCCGCCGAGACGGCCCGAGGCCACGACCTCCTTGGCGGCGATCATGTACGGGTTGAAGCGCCGGTGGTGGCCGACGAGGACCTTGACGCCCGTGCCGGCGAGGTGGGCCACGAGGGCCTCGCCGCCGGCCACGTTGTCGCTGATGGGCTTCTCGACGAGCACGTGCACGCCCGCGGACGCGAGCTCCATGGAGATGGCGGCGTGCGTGTGGTTGGGCGTGCAGATGATGGCGGCGTCGGGGCGGTCCGCCGACGCCACGAGGGCCGCGACGCTGGTGTAGTGCGCGGCGCCCATCTCCGCGGCCAGCGCGGCGGACGTGGGTGCCGGGTCGACGATGGCGACGAGCTGCGTGTCTGGGTTCTGGACGACTGTGGCGGCGTGGCGGGGGCCGATGAGGCCGACGCCGATGACGGCGAATTTGACTTGAGCGGACATGGTGGGTAAGTGTTTTAGAGGGAGGTGAGGATTAGATTAGGGAGTTTGGGGCACGACCGGGGTAAGAAACGAGAAAAGAAAGTGATCGTGGAGGCGGCGGGAAGGATTCTGGAGGATGGGGAGGGAGAGGGGCCTTTCTTGTTTGTTTTTGCGCGGGGAGAGGACCTGGGGAATCGGTATGGGGAAGGAGAAATCCGGGGAAGGACAGTCTCGAGTCATGGCCGTCCAGCAGCGGTATCTCGAGGCGGGTCCCCGAGAAAAAAGCGCGATGTGGTTTGGTTTTTGGTGCTGGACCCTCGGCGCAGCGTAGGCCCCACATCGCGCTCGACGATACCGACTTACGGACGCACGACGGTTAAAACTTTTGCCACTAGGCCGAACGTCGGGCGCCCCCAAGTTCCCACGCTCTACCCAACCAGCTCCCAGCAGAGGCGAGGCGAGGGGCACCCCATTTTTTTAGTTTTTTCTTCCCCTCTGTCAAGGGTGCATGCGGTCCGGAATTAGCTTTTGCCCACCGCCGCGGCATTGTGCGTTTGTTTGGACAGGAGGTCTCCACCGGCTGCCGATGATTTTCAAGCGCATTGCCGCGATTCCGGCCGTAGCCGGATGCGCCGGTGAGGACCCCCAGGCCCTTTTTTATTGGAAGAAGGCGGGTTCCCTGAACTGGCTCCCCGCTACGTGTTCTCCAGATTTGACAGAGCTAAGGATGCGGAACGCAACGGATTCTCGGGACCTGAATCGTTGACGGGGTCCGCTTGTGAGAGGATCGACAAGGGGATGCCCGTTTTTATCTTTTGTTTTCTCGTGTACGATAAACCGGAAGAACATAATATTGACATCCGTCAAGACTATTCATCATAGGTGTTGTTGGTTCAGATCGGGATCCTTGCTCCTGTGATTGACACCTGCGAGGTCATTTCCCCTCATACTATTGTCGTGATGAGAAGATTGGAGCTCTTGATCCTTTGACTGTAGCATCAATGTACGGACACTCGCTTCTCTGGATGGAGTGGTTGCCTTTATGAAGCTTTTCCCAAATCTATATTTCTTTTCCACGACAAGCCAGACCTTGGTACTACTTGGCTCGGTGATATAGTGGTTGGTGATAAAGCTATCCGCGCTATTCAAGAGCTCTATGTGCAGGGAGGCTATTATGCGATGGCGAGTGGTCGAGGTCCCTACACCCACAAGATTCTTAATGATCCCTCCCCAATGTGCAGCCTTCAAAGTCGATAGCTGGCAGGAGAAATGGCGCGGGAGCTAGTCTAGTCAGTGGGGAGCTTCAGGGACGCGAGTCGTCTTGTCACCGTGGGTGTGGTGTGGGGTGCGGATGATTTTGATAAACGATAGGTTCCTCTCGAGCCCCGGAAAGAGTCGGACACTACTCTTAAACGCCTAGCCGCGATGGGGCTCGAACGGGTAACACGGAATAGAGGGCCACAGAGGGTTCTTGATGAGTGTGCGAGTCCTGGTAGATTATATGCGCTCGAAATCGCATGGGGTGCTTGAGACTATACGAGGCGAAGTCTTCAGTATTTCCTTTCTTTCTTGCTGATCATGGACGTCAAGATATGACGCACCCGTTCCCCCTCTCAAGTTGTGGTGCCATCCTTCCACTCTTGCTTTTGATCAGTCTACCAGAGAGGAGACGCAAGACGATGGTGAATGGAGATAATGGTTGGAAAGTGCCAAACGACATGTCGAGGATTGGTGTATACCTGCTTCCCCTGATTAGTATGGTTTACTGCAGCACCAAGCATCCAATCTTATCGAGAATGGTGGATATCAATGGCTTACAACCGGGTGGGTGGGATCTGTCGGTCGAGATGGGCGATGCTTAGCATGTCTGTCGTGGCATCATCACTACACCATATAATCATCAAGATGGGTATGCATATCTCTTTATTTCGTTAGCATAAGCAAAAACTATTCACGTCGCAATGGTATAGGTATATTTGTCCAACAAGAAGTCAAAGGTAGAATTTTTCTTTTTTACAGCATGCCTCCACACTGCAGGCACCTCCTCACCCACCCCATCCTCTTTCTCTGCCTCCGTTAGAAATAGCCCAGACCCATGGCCGTCGCCATCAGCACGGCGAAGCTCACGGCGTAGCTAGGCTTCATGGAAACAGCGGCGCCACGCTGGCTGTTGGGTGTCCTCTCGGCGAGGAGCGAGACGTATTTGTTCCACTCCGCGGGACAGCCGAGGCGGAAGTTCCACTCCGGAAGGGCAAAGGTGGTAGGGCACTCGGTGAACAGGGCCATGCCGGCGGCCATGGCCGTGGGGTCGATGAGCCAGTTAAGGGTTTCCTGGAGATACTGGGATAGTAGGGGATCGAGCGTCTTGGGGATCTCGGTGACCCAGGCGCACTCCATCATGCCGGGGAACGCGGCGATGCGCGTCGCCGTCTCGTAGTACTCGGAGGAGAAGGAGTAGACCTCGGAGGCCGGGTGCGGGGCGCTATCGCCAAAGGCGAGGTACTTGGAGACGCAGACGGTGTCGACGCTCATCGTGGGGATGGGCACGAGCGTGGAGAGGTTGGGATCGAGCGAGGTGACGCTGGCGTCCTGGCCGGGGATTCCGGCGGGGTCCGTCGGGGCGCCCGGTACGGGAGTCGTGTTGGTGCCGGCGCCAGCGGGATCTGGGATCTCGGTCTGTCGGGGAGGACCTGCTGGCCGCCCAAGCCGTCGTACATGCTGGCGGCGGCGGGGAGGGCGTACACGCCCAACAAGGCGCAGACGGTGTAGAGCTTCATAGTTGGGAACGGCGCTGAGCGAAAGCTTGAGGTGTCTTGGTGAAAAGAGAGAGAGAACGGTGTGGTGTTCGCAACGTCGAGAAGCAAGAAACACGGAAAACGAGTGCGGGCGGGTTCGAGTGGGTCTGGGTCACTGAATCCGAAGAAGAAGGATCAGAGCGGCCAGACGAGTTGAAAGGGGGAAGCGAGGCGAGCTGCAGGAATAATATATGGAATCCAGATTCCCGATCGGTTGGCAACCGGATGGCACGGTTCACCAGGATTTCCGTCTGGGTTTATGGCTTTCTCACTTTTTTCTTTTCTTTTGGTAAAATCTGGGGCTGCGCCGGGTGCTTCTACGCCGGGGGTACCTGTCCGCCCACCCATTGAAACTGGAGGGGAAGGGGAGTATTAGGGATATGTGATCAAATGAGGGACGCCTCCCATTTGCTTGGGTGCATGTCCTCGCCTATCAGTCAGCCATGTAATATCTTGGGATGGCTTTGTTTTGTCATGGATCCGGGGTGGGAAGGGAGGGGCGAGAGAGAGAGAGAGGGCGGCGCAGAATCCGTCGTTTCCTCTTCCTTTTTAGCGAGCTGCCAACCCCAGTCCCTAATCCTAACCTGGTCCCCCTGCCGTCGACCTGGAACGCTTGGAACTCAGCCTGTTGTTCAGTTTTGCGGCAGGCATTGCACACACACAAACCACACACATGCACTCCATGGGGGAACCGCAGCAAGAAGAAAGAAAGACAAGCCAAGGGGGAAGAAGGGATAAAATTGTTCAAGGGATGATCCCTGCTAGGTCCGAGCACACCCTTCGGCGAACTAGACAGACCGGACGACTGCTTCCGGGCGCGATGGTTGTAACCCTAAACCTTAAAGCTGGGCAAATGGCAGCAAAAGGTTTCATGGGCTGGAAGGGGCCCGAGCGACGAATTTTCCATCCCACCTCATTGCTCCTCCCCGCAGGTTTGAGGAGTGGCTTGTCCTATCCAGAGGCGGCGATCGACGGACAAAGCCAGGTCGAGAAGGGGAGGGGAGGGATGAAGACGAAAGGGCAACATTGCGTTGTCAAACTATTGAATCGTCGACTTCTTTTTCCTTGCCTATAAAGAACAAATACTTTGGAAGGAGATAGTGTGCCTCTTTAGGGGCGAAGCAAAAGGGACTATACTATCAAGACATGGAGGATGTGTGGACGGGTACTTGGTCACACATGCTTTTCTTCTCTTTCTTGGTCTTCCTGGTGTCTGTGTGTGTCAGGTCAGGCCTTGGTATCTCCACGGCATTCGGTGCGGACAAATTTCCATTCTTTGGTTCGACAATGCGTTTCTGCAGCCGACTTTGCTGCAGGAGGGGCCAACTCTCCGTGGTCGCAAATCGAACCGAACCGTCCCTTGACCCGTCATCAGGATTCTGTGGTTGTCCCAAAGAGAAGGGGAGGCCCTGGCCTGAGGAAAAAGAGTCTAGTGAAGAACTGGGCGAGGGCGACGGGGAACGACGGGTAGAGAGCATGGACTCAATTCTTTTTTTTTTTTCTTTTCCTTTTGTATCCTTGCCTTGTTCGTTTTATTTTCGTCAGGGCATCTGGCAGTTGCCCGCAATCAATCTTTGCAGCCACTAGCCTGGGCGTTTTTGTCGAAGAAAATGGAAGACGCACCCGAGACCTTGAGATGCCTCCAGCTGCAACGTTGAACCCTGACACTGACATGCAGCAATATCGTTTAGCGGCTCGGCAGGATGATACGAAGTACACATTGGGGTGCGAACAGGGTGCTGCTACATGTTGGCGATGGATGGCGATGACATCCAACTGGGATGCTAGCTTCCTTCCCTCCTTCCCCTTCCCCTCTCGAACAATACATACACTATCTCAAGTGTCGCAGAATATTATGTGCATCTGATTCGGTTCAATTTCCCCGGGCGGCGTTTCTGCACTACACCAGATGAGGGGTCAGGAACAACTGATTGTGTTGCCCAGGATCAAAGGATCAAGGGCATCCTCCTCTAGCCACCTCCCTATCCTCGACGTACAAGCAAGTATTTGTCGCGTACCAAAAACAGCTTTGACACCTGGGAACCGAGACCCTCGACTTGGCTTCAGCCACTGACTGTCAGCGTCGGCCTGGTTTTCAAGTCGTGATCAGTGCCTCGAAAACGCCTCATTCTTGGGGTGTGCAGCCAGTACCTCAATCTCTGAAGAAAAGAAGAAAGAAGGGACCCGAGCAAGATCCATAATCCCCATCTACCAATGCATTATTTTTCTTCGTTTCTCGACCTCATTTCCATGTTCTGATAGCATGCTTCGACCTCGGTATCATCGGGCGAGGGAGAATGGCATGCAGCAAGCTAAGAACAAAGTGGCTTGGAGGCGTACGGATTACCAGCGGATCAAATGATGAGGGTATTTTGATGAAATTACGGATGCAACGACGTCCCAACCGGTGCGTGCCATGTTACATGTACTCCCGTCCCGCGGAACCGAATCAAATTAGACCAAACCCTTTCGACCCTCGACCAACGCATACAGCGATTATGGGTCCTCACGATTTGAGTTGGTCTCGTCTGCAAGTGACACAGCAATGGTCGAGATTTTAAAGAGGGGCAGCCACAACCCTCTACGGGGAACTTCCAGGCTGGGTTAGACGACTGCACTTCCAAGTTTGTTCGAGGTGCTGGTGTGAAACTGATAAGTGGGTTTTATTCGCGCGATTACACGATTTCGGGATCCATCCGCCGAGAATAACTCGCCGTGAGAACCACTTTCATCACTGGACAGTCGTCCCGCACCTGCTTGTTTTGGAGTGCAAGAGTGTTCCCGTCATGATCTCTTGTACCTTTTGGCAGCGCGTCGGCCATTTTCCTTTGAGCGCCTCTCTCATGCACCCCACGACGTGCCCCTGGCGCCTCGCAGAAGAACGAGAGAAGCGGTCGGGAGCCCAGAAAAGACGGACCTGCCTTGGATTGCCAATCCCAGCCCATCCCTGCACCCGCAACCGTGGAGGAGTGATCCTTCTTCCTTGGGTTCGTGAAGGGAATGTGGCTCGCCTGCCGTGATGATTCCAACTTCCTAATCTGGAGTCGCCGGCGGACCAACTGCAAAAAAGCCTAAGTGTACGATATCCCAAATCCCTTTGCGCTGGTAACCTTACAGAAGGGCAGGGGTGAAAGGGTCGTGAACTGAGAAGGAAGAAGCCACTCTCTTGGCCTTCTCCGTTGGCGTCAAATCATATTATGGCTGAGCCTGGAGAGGGAGTGATCGACCTGAGGTAAACACAAAGAAGGTCAGAGCTAGAGGCAGATACGGAATAGAGGAATAGACTGGGGTACCGAGGTACAAGGAACATGTATCATTGCTACCGATGACAGCAATTCTTCACCAAGACCTTGCTTGATGGCCTGGGGTTTTCCCATTCATCTACCCACGAGCAAGGATGAATTTTCAGTCGGACGATGGTGCTCGGGAATAAGAGTAACGTCTGTAAGAAGGTCGACAGGGTTTGGAATGACCCCTGACAAATTTCATCCGTATCGAGAGAATGCACAAGTGATCAGCTCACTCCTCGCAGCCGCCCCAGGAGAATGACACAATCAAAGGATATTCAGAGCGCTGGGCCGCAAGCTTGACAATAATATCAGACATCGGTGCTAGGACCCTACACTAGATCAAGTCCTGCCGCAGCCGTAGCCCTACATCAATAAATAAAAAAGTTTATCACTGCTGGGAAGAACCGTTGGTTCGAGGTCAGACCTGACGCTAGGCCAAGAACCCGTCAGGCCCGTCGCAACTAGCGCCAACTTGGCTTTGGGCTGAGGGCGAGAACTGCGCCAAGAAGAAACAAAACTTGGCCACTATCCCTTGCCTGCCCTGGGAGCTAACGGTGGTCTGGCTCTACTCCCGCTGCCAACATTCAGGGGCTCATCATCCATGCATTGGCCAGCCCAGGTGTGTCGTGCCTGTCTTCGATAGGGGAGGTGCGCTATGGGATGTGAATTCCTTGGCCGCCCTATACTATCCTGCCTGCCTTGCATGGCGGATTATCGTAATATTCGACTTGGTGAGGGGATGTAGAAGGCGAACCTCCACCAAGCCACGGGCTTGGACTATTTTACTGGGAGGAACGATGTCTCCGGCACCAACGCCAGCGCGGAATTCGACATCTCCTCGGTGATGCAGGTACCACCTACCCTCTGGCAGGTGATCCTTGGGAAGACATTTTCGGAGAATCTAGCCGCCTCGAATGATCTCTTGCCTGGCCCGCACGCCCAAATACCTTGCCAGTGCTCAAGCCCTCGCCTGGTTTCTATGCATTGTGCGTCAATGCGAAGCCACGCCTGTGGTAGTGTTATGCCCTAAGAACGCCGTGAAAGGTAGGAAAGTTGGCTTTCTTGAGGATCACTCGTATTTGACTTCTCTCATTCAATGCCGGTTGTGCTGTGCTACAGTGACGCGCGCAACCGCCCTCCGTCGCGCTTTGAGCAGTGGAAGAACGAGCGGCCGCCCGTCTGGTCCGCGAACTTGGCCACGAAGGCACCCTAGGTAAGTAAGGTTCGGAAGAGACTGTTCGATATTCAAGTGTGTTGTTGGTAACAATATCAAGTTCAGCATGAGACCTTTCTGTAAAAGGCCGTGTTGGATGTAAGGTTAAGTCGGCGAATCCGTTTGCTCCTTGTAATATACCCGTGTGTCGTGACGACGTGCGCCGAGGCCGGCCCCCTGAGGCGGGGGCGGTATCGGTGGCTACCGACGAAAACGGGGAACTAGTCGATGCTAGAACTGGTCGATGCTAGAACTGGTCGGGAGCTGTCCAAGGTGCGACTCGGAAAATATCTCGTCTTCTTTTCGATTTCAAAGCCGGTTTTGCGAAAAATATGTCAGCATTCCCCGCAAGTCGAGGGTGGTTAGTGCTGATGCAAACCACGCTGCAGATTGCGAATCCGCTCTACTGGGCCCGGTGCCCGCATCGCGATTCGGCCAGGAGCCATTGAGAGGCGACGCCGAGGTCATGGATGTCAACGCGAAGCTGGGACGCCTCTCTAGAAGAAGAAATAATCCTGGGGAATGTGCGATATTACTCCCAATTCGAATTCATTGGCCTTCCAGTCCTCATATCCATTCTCTCCCCCACTCCACGAATGTAGCGCAAGCGGAGTCTCCGAAAAACGGTCCCGACGTACAGCGTCGAAACGTGGGCAGATGCGCCAGTTGGAAACCGGGGAAAAAGCGTGGATCGCGCAATCGAGCGGAGGGCAAACACCTTTTGCGTGCTGCGTGGGGGTTGGGAGGGCAAGAGAAAACTATTCGCGATGAAGCGCGGAAAGCCGAGTCGTTCGCGGACAGGTATATAGAACGCGGGCCCTCTCTTACGGAACTTCGATCATGTGCCTGGTCAGCTCCCTACGTCTAGATATCGTATCGTAGTTACTTCTAAAGAAGAAAAATGGCGCATCTGGAATCTAGAAAACACGTGTCGCCGGACTCCGGCTTCCCCGTCACCCTTCACCCACACTTCAACCCCAAGATCAAGGATTACGCGCCCCCGAAGCCGTCCGCAAACCCATCACCCCCGGACAGGACCGCGCGACCTTTGCCGACCCGGAAAAGAAGGCCCTCTTGTCCGCCGCGAAACGGCACGACCTGACCGAATCCGTCGGCACCGTGCTCGAGGGCATCCAGCTGTCTCAGCTCACGCCGCAGCAGCTGGACGAGCTCGCCCTACTCGTCACGGAACGCGGCGTTGTCTTCTTCCGTGAGCAGGACCTCACCACGGAGGGCCAGGTGGAGCTGTTCCAGCACTATGGAATCCTGGACCGGCACCCGGCGCAAAAGGACGTGAAGCACGTCATCATCCGCGGGAGCCGCGAGGACCACCGCGAGATACTCAACTACACGCCTTGGCCCTCGGGTGATTTCCACGCCGACACCTCCTTCGAGGTGAACCCCCTTCGTACTCCCTCCTTCGCATGGAGGAGCATCCCGAAGTGGGCGGGGACACGGCCTGGGTCTCGCAGTACGGGCTCTACGACGCGCTCAGCGACGCCATGAAGGGCTTCGTCGACGGCCTCCACGCGGTGCACACCTCCCGGCTGCAGTACGATACCATCATCGACCTGTGGGGCGTGGGACCCAACCGTCCGCCCATCGATACCCACCACCCGGCCGTACGGACGCACCCCGTCACGGGGCTCAAGGCTCTGAACGTGAACCCGGGTTTCGTCACGGGCTTTGCGGAGCTTAAAAATACGAGTCGGATAAGTTGCTGGACTTTTTCTCGTACCACATCCACTCCGCGGACGACCATTACGTGCGATGGAAATGGGCCGTGGGCAGCGTGGCCATGTGGGATAACCGGTGAGTTGTTTTTTGTTATCCAAGTTGGGAGCTTGCCACACAACAGAATTTGCTAATCCTGGTATAGATGCACGGTACATCGAGTCATTCCCGGCACGTACGAAGGCCCGCGTCGAGGTATCCGCACCACCGTCTTTGGAGAGAAGCGTAAGTCGAACAGGATGCGTACATGTTGAGAGATACGGTGCTAATGTGAAGCCAGCTTACTATGACCCAGCAAGCGAGGGCCGGGCCCAGCGACAAAGGCGAAGGCGAGCAGAGGAAGTAGCGGAAAACGGCGCGAACGGGTCTAATGGTATCCATACGAATGGAGCTCATGCTGTTAACGGTACAGATGGTTCCTCTACCTCTAACGGTACAAATGGAGCCCCTGCGTCTAACGGGGCCAACGGCGTACAAGTCTCCGATGGAGCCAACGGGACACAAGCCTCGAATGGAACCCGGGAGGCAAATGAGACTTCGAATGCGAATGGTACGGAAAATGTCCAAAATGGTGGGGAATCCAGCACGTTAGAGAGCGAGGGAGCGGGCTCCAACTGAATCGTCGTTCCAGAAGTTAGTACATAGAGAAGAAAGTACCGAACATGAGAATTTGAACCTACCAGGTAATGCTCTGTAGGCCGTGACGCTCCTCAATTTCTTTGGTGTTTTTTATGTTGTTCGGGATTATATCCATTGATGTGTGTTCACAAGCGGATATCAGATTTGATAGACCATGGCACTGATGTGGCCACCCGGTTCATTATCACAAAAATGTAATGTAGGCAAGTTATTTGAATAGTCATATAATGATATCAATAGCTGAGAAGCTATATACGCTGGGGCCTTTCTGGCTTTCGTTACCAGCACCTCGTCGAGTGAAGTTCAACCTCATCGAAGAAGAAGAAAAAAAAAAGTCTATCCGTCCTCCGAAGCCGGTCCGCAGAGAATACACGACGGAGACGGGTATATCCCGAAAGAATGTATGTATAAGTGTATGATGTTCATCCCAAAAATTTATCCCATAACCGTAGCCGTCTTGCTCGCACTCCTCATTGCCGCCAGCTTACGCCTTGAACTCCTGGCCTTCTTGGCAGCACCGGTGCCAGTGAAGACGGGAGGTCCGGGAATCTTGTAAGTCTGAGCAACGGTGCGGTCATTGATGGGAACCTAGAAAGAGCAAAAGCATTAGTCTTTTCCGCCTCGTTCGGCTCTTTTATAGCACCCCGCTCTGGTGGTGTTATCGTATAGTGTGATGGAGACTTACAGTGATGTTGGGGTCAGACTGAGCGCAGTATCCGGGAATGGCAGCCTTGTACGAAGCATCGGGAGTCGCGGTACCGGAGCCGGTAACGATGATCTGGGCGCACTCGGGGTAGAACTGAGGAGCGTTGGCCTGGTGCAGGGCGATGAGCTCGTGGCGGACGAGGTAGTTACCGGGCGCGAGGCCGGCGGGGATCTTGCTGGTGTGGGCCTTGTTGCCGCCGACGAGCTTGGCAATCTCCCAGCCCGAGGGGGTCTCGCTGTCGAGGAAGACGCTGGTGCCGTCGCCGGTGAAGCCGGCCTCGTCAATCTTGAACCACTCGGCGCCGGAGCCGTCGCAGCCAGCGAAGTCGCCGGCGCACTTGTACATCCACACGAGGATGGGGCCCTGGCTGTGGGTCCACTGGCCCCAGACGGCGGAGATCTCGTCGCCGGGGGCGGCGGTGGCGGACTCGGTGGCCGAGCGGCCGCCGTTGCAGCGCATCTTGGGGTCGCTGGCGGCGGTGATGGGGTTGTAGTCGGACCACTGCCACTGGATCGTGTTGGGGAGTTGGCGGGGAGAATCCCTGGTATCTGTGGGACGGGGAAAGAAACGCGTGTTAGTCTTGTAAACATTGCATCTTGCGTGCATTCGTTTTCTTGTTGCTGTCTGGGGAGGAGCTGTCACGATGGGAAGGACAAACTTACCCAGGGTAGTCCTTGCCGGCCACGACGTAGGAGGTGACGGCACCGTGGGCAGAGGCGCCCGCGGCGAGAAGAGCGACAGTGGTGAGGATGGAGGACAGCATTGTGACGCGAGGTGAGGGTGTGTGCGTGAGTGAGGCAGACAGAAGAACTCGGAAGACGCTGGTGAGGATGGGACAGGATGAGGATGATCGAGCAGACTTGCAGAAGAAAAAATCAACAAGAGGGCGAGCGATAATGGCTCATTATATCCAATTCGCGGCTTTGCCCTCCCTCTGCCCTTGACCTCCCTTGACCTCCCTCAACCTCGCTCCCCCGGTTCCCCAGTCTGCACGTCTTGGGTGTGTGAACCAAAGTTCCTCCCACATTTCCCCAGGTTCTCCAATCTACCGCCCATCCCACCAAGGTCGCCGGTTAAATATCCCCAGTATCTGGGGGTGGTCGGTGGTTCCCACCCGCACATGATGGCTTTCCTGGCCCAGGATTGGCAGGATCGCCTGTCCGGCACGGGAGCATATTTAATCTATAGTATGCCCATCCTCACATAGACTGCCGACTCCACAACGGCGGCAACCAACCCCGACCTTCAATCACGCGAGGATCACTGGCGGGTGGCCAACCCGGGTGGCCCCAAATTACAATGTCTAGTACAACGAGAGGAAAATTTCAGCATCACGATCTTGGAGGAGAACTTAGAAAATTAGAGAAAGGAGAAAATAATTACCCAAGAGCAGATGGAAACAGTAGGGACGAAGCCAGGTAAGACGTCGATCACGTTTGTGGTGGTTTTTGGAAGGTGAGCGTGTTGCTGACAAGAAATTCGCGCCCAACTCCCACTAATGACGCATTAGCCATACAACCGGGAGGCACTGGCCGACCGCGGACGATCATATACCGATGCGCATATTATCGATAAATGAAGTAGTGCACTACCACAATCTAAGACTTGAAGGAAGGACTAGAGATGCATAACTGCATAGAAATCCCGTACAGTCCCATGCTCCCATTCTCTCCTATATTGCCCAAGTGGACCTCGTCATAGATGGAGGCGGACGGGCCAAGGGGGTGCGCGTGAGCGCATTGTTCTTGTAAGTCGTAATTAACCTCTCCACTGGGGAAGCAACTCGAAGCTTACCTTTCCTAATCCAGAGCCTTGTATCACACTTTCTTGCGTTGCAATGAATGCGTGATTGCAGACTCGTTAACCTGGAAATCGGACGGAGAGCGATCCGATGCAGCCGGGCCTGGGTAGATGCGGCAAGCAGGGAGCCGATGATGGGAGTTGCGAGTGTCTGCTGTCTGCTGTCTGTCTCTGACGACGCTGCTAGAGAGAGTGGGGGATGAAGGCGGTAATGCCGAGATGAAGCCCGAGGAAGCCTTGAGATGCTTTTGCCAAGGCCTAGGGTGATCAACTTATGTGCTTGGGAACAGGGAAAGTCTAGGCATGCGTGAATTTGTCGTCAGTGGAGAGGATGTGAGCCATTACTTGGAGTTTTGCAGTAGCGAAACTAGATGTAGTCATTTCTATTCAACGTGCCTGGTTCCCTGGTGGGCAGCAAAGGTGGCACAAGGCAGACTATGGCTACGACTTGCGGCTCAAGCCCGCTTGGTTTGCGGTTCACTAGTCCGTTGAGCAGCAGAATCTGGTGTGAGCAGAAAGCCAAAGTGGTTGGTGGGATGCCAGGGGGTTGTTTGAGAGTTCTCTTCTACGATAGAGTGCTAGGCTAGGTTGATTAGATCCGTAGCAGCTCATGTATAGTATTAATGCGTCGACCCTGGTAAGGAGAGAACCTTTACACCGTGGAAAAGGTAGGAGAATATGGTTACCGACCCTGAGGGGTGTATAATATCGAGATCGATGGCCTTCTCTTACGGACAGGCTTGCAGCCAGAGCCGGCTTCCCATCCGGATCCGAACCTGGATTTCACGAGATTGCTGGTCAGACAACTGATAGACTTATACACACTTGTAAAGGGTAGATTTAGAACTCGCTGGATCCCTTCTGCGGAAAAGGCCTCTTCTTTGGAAGCATTTGATGCCTCTCTACATCTTGATTGCCGGTCACAATCCGATACGCTGCACAGCTAGTCACCATGCGTCCTTCTTTTCATTCGGACCTCTTGATTCGAAGCCAAGCCTGAGCCCGATCGTGCCTGCATTGGAACTCCTCACTCAATTCTGGAGTCCACTCAAACTTGAGAGCTCCTAGCATCAGCGTTTCCATGACAAGGTAATATCTTGCCATGGTGGACGCTTGGTGCCCCGAGAGTGCGGTATCGCTGCCCCATGGCTTGGCCAATAAAAAGACAATTTGCGGAGGATATGGAAAGTCTAGAACCGCCGAGCGGGAGGACGGTGGTGTTTCATATTGACAATGTTATTGGGGCCCCAGGCATGATTATCCAATTACGCGCGGTGATAATACCCGGCCACCACGATTGCGCGCCCGTGCCGAAGCTCGCTCACATGGCGGCGATCTTTTGGAATACTTGCTCTTGGAAGACGGACGGCTTGGAATGTTTATATCCCCACAGCATCGCCACCGACAATGCTGGACGTTTATGCGCTTTGTTGTGCGTTTATTTTTCGGGCCCCGCGCACCCTCATGCTCGCTCTCGTGTTACCAGACTTGGATACCGTAGTCTATCATACCATGCCAGCTGAACGGGATTGCTGTTCAGAAGAAAAATAAAGGTGGAGGATCTTGCCGATCCCAGACGGGGGAATCCCAAAGTGGAGCAGTAGAGAGGTGGCCCCATCAATGAGCGTTGAGGTCGCTGCCGAATCTGGAGATCTGCCCCTGCATGCTACGCTGGGTTGCCCTAACTTGCCCAACTAATCTAAGCTCTGGGGTTTGCACGGCTAGCTCGGTCAACTTCTCACTTATGCAGTAGTCAAGTGGGTGAGTGATCGTGGGAAGGTTGAATGGGGAGAATGATGGGAATTCAAGAGATATCGGTGATATTTAGCCATGCTCTCAACCACAAAATAATGCCTTTCGCCAGCGACTTGTTGGAGAGGATATAGGTTCGTGGGGGCACACAATGATTGATCTGCTCTAGTGTTGTTCGTGGTGGTAGAACTCGCTACAGTTCTGCCGCATGTGGGGAAGAGCGAAGAGAAGGCAGACCTCGCCAGAGTTCGACTTGAGGGAAGAAGCTTATGGAAGAAATGGTGACCCCGCTTTCGAACATTCCGGAAGAATTCAAAGTCGACGAGAAGCGAGCGGAAAGGTTCACCTGCGCGCAGTTGACGAGTCTTGTCTCTCGTGTCCAGCGCTTTGCTTTTTTGATGGATCTTGAGGGGTCAACTGGAGAACTCAATTCCAGCTTGAGCCCCTTGAGCCCTCAACAACTAAGAAGTCAGGGGTCAAGCGTCCCAAAGTTCTCTTTGGGCTCAAGCCCTAGCTGGAGAATAATGAGGGAATCGGGGTTTAACGCCCCCAAAAGTCCCAACGCGATCTGATGGACTTGCAAGTACCCGTCCATATCCTGAGATAGAGGTCCTAGCGGAGGGCACCGCGGGTCTGCTAACAGAGTGTGGACCAAAGGGGCATGGCGATACTTGGGCTGCACCGTTTTTTTTCCCTCTTTGCAGCACATGCAGCGACAGGAGCGGCGGACCAGTCAACACATGGCAAAAATGACCCAAGAGGCGAGGTTGACGTCACTCTTCTGTAACATCCCCCACTTGGCTTCACTTGGATCGTGCTCATTTCCACAATTCACCGGAGGAAAACGAGCGGCTGGGCAAGTGGCGGTGGACCACGGCAGAAGGCCCCCCTGAGTTTGAGTCGCTCGCTTGGCTTGTCACCCACACACCGATCTAGGCGGCAACTGCGAGATCTCGATGGCCTTAGTAGGGGAACGGGGTAAAAAAAAATCCAAAAAAGATCGCATCTGCTGGCCTGCCCCACGCCCAATCCCTGGCGCGCCGCATTCCGTGACTCGGCCCAAGAGCGTCTTTAAAAATAATAATCGCTTCACTGCTTATCGGAGTTCTATCAGCGAGGCACCCGTCCCTCTCTTTCTCTCGCGCGCCCCCTCCCGTGTCCCCTCCTCCCTTCTGGGCCACCGCGCCCGGGGTGCCCCCAGCCATGACCCGCGAAACGACCCCGCTCCGGATCTGATGGACGAAGACGTCCCCGCCGAGCTGCGCGAGCTCGAAGCCGACCGGCTCAACTCCCTCGCCGAGTTCAGCTCGCTGAGCATCGTCGAAGTCCTGGACCAGGACTCCCGCCCGACCTTTGTCATCGATCTCGACCCGGACGAGGGCATCACCGTCGGGTCCCGGCGCATCCAGCCCGTCTTTTGCAACGCCGCGCTGCGACTCCACGAGAAGCTCTTCGACACCGTGACGGGAAAAGCGCCCGACGACGCCCTGCACGACGCCGATAAACCCTCGTACGAAGACTTTAGCAGCTGGGCGACGGGCGTGACGAGGTTCGACAGCTCGCGGGATGTGTTTCCCCAATCCTTCATCTTTCGCGACATGCTCTGGACGGGCTCCACGGTTCGGCAGCGGTGGCGCCTCGTCAGCGGCAGTCTCCTGGCCGCGTTTGCTCCGCAGAGGGAGAAATCATCCGCCGCCGCCGCCGCTGCAACGACGCGGAGTCAGGCCACGCAATCTCAGCCGCCGGTGGCGCACGACCTGGCGCATTCCGCCAGCGCGACCGACGCGAGCGACAGCACGGCGCGCAACACCATCTTCTCCAGCAACACCCAGGGCCAGTCGTCCCAGTCCTCGCGGCACCCCTCCAACCCCAACCCCAACACCTCGAGCTCCGGGAGCACGGGCGGGTCGTCGCAGAGCGCCCGCATCACCTTGGCCACCCCGGAAAGGCCGTGGCCGACTGGACCGTCGCCAAGCCCAAGGGCATCTTGTCCGCGCACGTCGCCTTTGCCAGGACCGTCAACTGGGCCAACACCCCGCTGGGTCCCATGGAAAAGTGGTCCCCCGAGTTCCGCCAGATGGCCAACCTCGTCATGGGGAACCCCACCCCGCCGCCCTGTTTTGGGGCAGCGACCTGACCATGTTCTACAACGAGGCCTACGCCAACGAGGTGGCCGGAAACAAGCACCCTTCGCTCATGGGCACCGGGTTTTCCGGCCCCTTCTCCGAGCTCTGGGATGCCGTGAGCGGCATCTTCGCCGAGTGCGCGCGCACCGGTATTAGCATCCGCAAGGAAGATGATTACCTGCCCATCGAGCGGCGGGGCTTCGTGGAGGAGACTTTCTACTCGTGGTCGTGGACGCCCCTGTACGGCGGCACCAAGCGGATCCTCGGCTTCTACAACGCCCCCTTCGAAACCACCCAGTCCGTCCTGAACCAGCGCAGGATGAAGACCATTAGCCAGGTCGCCGAAAACGTCTCGCTGGCCAAGTCTATCAAACAGTTTTGGGGCCACCTCATCGACGGCCTGCAGGATAACCACTTCGACGTCCCCTTTGCGCTCCTCTACTCGGTAGGCGACGGCGAAGAAAACGACTCGTCCTCCGTCTCGTCGGGGAGCACAATGTCGCTGAAATCATGCCACCTCGAGGGCTCCATCGGTATCCCCGACGGCCACGTCGCCGCCCCGAAGCAGCTCGACCTAAAACGGAGCCGCGAAGGATTCATCCCCGCGTTCCGAGAAGCGATGCGCACGAGGGAACCGTCCCTCCTCCACACGAGAGACGGCACGCTGCCCGAGGGCTTGCTAGAGGGCATCAACTGGCGGGGGTTCGGCGACCCGTGCAAGGAAGCCATCATCTTCCCCGTGCGCCCAACCAACGGCGACAACGTGCTCGCGTTCCTGCTCATCGGCGTCAACCCGCGCCGCGTATACGACGACGGATACAAGGCGTTTACGCGCATGCTCAACCGGCAACTCGCCACCTCCCTCGCCTCCTTCATGCTCTACGAGGAAGAGGTCAAGCGCAGCCGGGACCTAGCCGAGGCCGCAGCCCTCGAGCAGGAGCAGCTGACGCAGGAGCTGGCGATGCAGACGAGCCGGCTGCGGCGCATGACGGAGATGTCGCCGCTGGGCATGTACCTCGTCAGCCCCGAGGGCATCCTGCGCGAGGCCAACGACCGCTACTTCGAGATGACGGCGCACCCGCGCGACGACTTTACGAAATGTCGTGGATGGAGGTCATCGAGGAGAGCAGCCGGGACACGATGCGGGACGGGTGGCGTCGCCTGGTGGAGGAGCAACAGGGGTGGACGGGCCAGCTGCAGCTCAAGCCGTCGCCCTACTACCGGCCCGCGAACCTCGACGAGCCCATCGACTACTGGGTCCTGGCCACCGCGCAGCCCGAGCACGCGCAGGACGGCAGCGTGCGGTCCATCATGGGCTCCATCACCGACATCTCCCACCTCAAGTGGGCCGAGGGCCTGCAGAACCGCCGCCTGCAGGAGGCCGAGGAGACGCGCCGCCAGCAAAACGAGTTCATCGACATCACCTCCCACGAGATGCGTAACCCTCTCTCGGCCATCCTGCAGTGCGCCGACGACATCATCTCCACGCTCGAGGAGCGCCGCGGCACCGAGGCGAGCCCGACCCCGAGGACGTCGAGGGCTGCCTCGACGCCGCGCAGACGATTTCGCTGTGCGTCCAGCACCAAAGTCCATCGTGGACGACATCCTCACCGTGTCCAAGCTCGACTCCAACCTCCTCGTCATCACCCCCGTGCCCAGCCAGCCCGTGGAAATCATCCGCCGCGCCGTGAAAATGTTCGACCCGGAGCTGCAGGCCAAGGGCATCGTCATGATCCGCGAGGTGCACCCGTCCCTCGAGCAGATGCGCATCGACTGGGTCATGCTCGACCCCAGCCGCGTGCTGCAGATCCTCATCAACCTCATCACCAACGCCATCAAGTTCACCGCCGGCGTCCCCAAGCGCGCCATCACCGTCGCCGTCAGCGTCTGCAGCGACCCCCATGAAGATGAACATACCCGGTTTTCAGTACATCCCCACCAAGGCCACCAACCAGGCCGCCAGCCTCACCCTCAACGACGACTGGGGCGACGGCGAGATCGTCTACATCCGCTTCCAGGTCAGCGACACCGGCGTCGGCCTCACCCCGAGCAGATGCAGGTCCTCTTCGAGCGCTTCTCCCAGGCCTCGCCCCGCACCCACGCCCAGTACGGCGGTAGCGGCCTCGGCCTCTTCATCTGCCGCCAGCTCGCCGAGCTGCACGGGGCCAGATCGGCGTCTCCTCCCAGGCCGCCTCCGGCAGCACTTTTGGCTTCTTCATCACCGCCCGCCGCGCCGAGCGCCCGGACTGCGACGTGCAGATGACGGAGCAGCAGATCCGCCTCGAGCGCGACCTCGCCGACGCCGCCAGCCTCAACCACCCCATCGCCCCGCGCCGCCAGGATATCTCCTCCCCGGGCCCCGCCTCGGCCGATTTCGCGCCGCCCTCCGCGGAGGTCGTCCCCACCCCCGTCTTCGACCCCAAGGACCTGCGCATCCTCGTCGTCGAGGATAACCTCGTCAACCAAAACGTGCTGGTCAAGCAGCTCAAAAGGTCGGCTGCGAGGTCAAGGTCGCCAACGACGGCCTCGAGGCCCTCGCCTTTTGCGCGAATCCCACTTTTGCAAGCCCGACGGCGGCTGGCGCCTTTCCGTCATCCTCATGGACCTCGAGATGCCCAACATGGATGGCCTGACGTGCGTGCGCGAGATACGGAAGATGCAGGCTGCCGGTGCCATTGCCATTCACGTGCCCGTGATCGCGGTGACGGCCAACGTGCGCGACGAGCAGATTGCCACCGCGAGGATGGCGGGCATGGACGACGTCGTCTCCAAGCCATTCCAGATACCGAGCTTGCTTAAGAAAATCGAGGCGTTATTGATGGATAGTGCAACTTCTTATTTCGGCTAGCGTTTTCTCTTTTCTTTATGGTTTATGCTCTTGGTTTTTTACTTGTTCGTTTTCCAAATCTGCCCTTTCTGTGTTTGCTTATTCCATCCGTCTACCCTACTCGTGAGGTTTTCTTACGTCCCCGTCTTCATTCTTCTTCTTTTCTTTGTCTAGTACTAGCAATCCCTTTGAACGACTTAGCATACCCATGGAATATGTAAGCGATGCCAACTGTCAGGCGTTTTCAGTCATACTATACAGCTGGGGACACACAAAAAAGGTAACAAGGAGTATCGGAAAGAATAAACACCCATCGCTTCTCGATACCTCGTATCAAAGAAAAAAAAGTCCATCTTTGCCAATCAAATTGTCGTGCATTGCTTTCCTCCCCTAGCACCCGAACCATCGCACACGAGGACGCTCTGGTTCTTTTCCTGCGAAGACACCGCTACGTCCAGCGCCGGATTAAAGGCGAAGAAGTTGGCGGGCTTGAGACTCACAGTCAGCCGCTCGGCCGGCATCACGGGCCAGTCCTCGATGCGGGGTTATGCGTAGACCCAAACGTAAGCCAGACAACGATATCGGCGTTGCGTACCACCGAGGCATCGCCTTCTTCGCCCTGCCTACGAGCAATGGCCGACGCTATCCCGCCACCGCCGGTCGACTGCAGGGTATAGCGGCCCGCGGCGAACCTCTCCTCGTCGGAATAGCGCGTGACCCAGACGGCGTGGGCGCCGAATTCCGACCGCTTCGCGTGGAAGGAGGTGGGATGGGCCATGATCATCTGGCTGTAGTGGGGGTGGATCTTGTAGCCAATGGGTGTGCCGGTGGTCGGGTTGATGACGTTCTCGTTGATAATCTTGAACGTGCGGTTGGTGGCGAAGCTCAAGTCCAGCCCCGCCTCGCGTTCCACGACGGTCGAGGTAGTCGTATACCCGGTGCCCAGCGGGTTGTGGACGGCCGGGTCGTCCAGAGGCATGGGGTGGGACTCCTCCACCAGGAGCGAGTTGGCGTGCCCGTCGAGGCTAGGGTCGATGCGTAGGCAAAACAGGTGCTGGTGGAACGGCGCGACGACGCCCGGCGCGATAATGGTCCCGTACGGCACCGTTGCGCCCACGTCGATGGGACAGGTGGAGAGGATGCCCGTGGCGCGGACCTCGTAGCTCATGGCCGCGTCCTGGCCAAAGTGGAAGGCGAACACGTACTCGTAGTTGCCGACGGTGATGATGGTTTGCAGGACGAGCAGCCGCGAGCGCGTCACCACGGCGTTGCCGGTGCGGAAGTTGGTGTGCTTCCACAGGATGCCGTCGTCCTGCTCGTGGCAGCACACGACGTTGGGGAGCTTGAGGGGCTCCCGGTGCTCGTGTTGTGCCAGGCGTCGAAGTACTTGATGTGGCCGAGGCAATCGCACCCCAGCTGCAGGTTGTTGGCGTTGATGCCCGCGCCGTCGTCGCCGAGATCGAAGGCGGCCTTGCGGGTGTACGGGGATCGCGGGTCGCCGTACGGCACGAACATCTCCGCCAGGGACAGGCGGTAAAATAGGCTACGGCCGTCGTAGCGGACGTTGTGGAGGGTGAGGCCCTCGCGGTAGTTGAAGCCCACGTGCATTTCCCACTTTTCCCACTGGAGAAGGTTGCCGACGACGCGGAACGAGGGCCCCTCCGGCTGGCTGACGTGGTAGGGTTTGGTGCTCGTGCGGGGGCAGGCTGAGGTCCGGGTGGTATTCCATGGAGCCCGCCGGGTGGTCGATCTTGCGGCGGTCAAACGGGCGCGGCTCGTTGTGTATTCTCTGGTGCTCGGACGAGGGGATGTAGTAAATCTTGGTCACCTCGAGGGCTTCGGATACCTCGGCGCAGAGATCAAGGGGTACGCAAAGCAGTTCGAGTCAAGGTGCTCCGATAGGCGCATGTAAAACCAGCACTAAGATCCCATCAACCATTTTGTTAGCGAAGGCGTTATTTTTCCTGTCCCACTCGCATGTTTGCTGCCATTCTTGTGGAGGGAGGGCGGGGTTGGACTTGTCAAACCATGGTGATGCGTTGGGCCATGTCCTCCATCCCGTCGGTCGCGTATGACCATGGCTCGACGCAGACCGTCGCTCCCTCGGGCAACTCGAGTTTCCGAATCTCGGCTTGAATGCGCGCGTCGGCCAAGCACACGGCCTCTACCTGTTGCATGAAGTCTGGGTCGATAAACGTGTGTTTTCCTTCCTGAACCTCTTCAGAGAGGACGGTGCCTTTGTCAAGATTGACGATGAGGTCAACCAAAATTCTCCGGGGGCCATCCTCCTGCTTGCTCTTCAGAAGCTGGACAGAGGCACATCGGGGCGGAAGGGATGCTCCGGAGACACCGGCTTTTTCCTGTTCAAGAAAGACGAGCGCTTCATGCTTGGGCGGCTCTCTCAGGGTGATGGCACGGAAGTTCAAGTCACATCCGGGTAGATGCTGTCGGACAATCTCCGCCGCCTATACAGATCAAAGTCAGTTTTGAATGCGTACCTTGGGCTCCGAGATACTCTCAATCACGTACCTCGGTGATCTCCCTCGGTTGCAAAGGGTCAAAAGGATGGATGCTTCGCGTCATGGTTCTTGCTCTCGTGCTGGTTCTGTAATTCTTGTTTGCTCAACTTCTTCCTCGAGAGGGGAGAACCACCCCCAGTTATATATGCGCGTCTGTGCTTGTGTGTGTCTGCTCCTTCAACGCCATAGGCATGGATCCGGCAGGCGACCGGTCACGCGCTCCTGCCGAAGCACCAGGCTGCGCGGGCAACCCCGGTACGGTACGACCATGACAGCATGGCATATAGTGTGGAATACAATCCAGCACTGAGACTACCTTGTCCATCCCCGTATTACGGAGAGCAGCACAAATTCGCGAGAGGGAAAGAGGAATTATCGGGGAGTCTTACCTATGCCGAGTTATGGGAGATTCCTAGTCACCTTGTTTTTTTCTTCTATCTTCCTCACCATCACCTACTCTTCGCTTTCCCTTGTAAGCTTAGGCGTACGTGGGGGACTGTAGGTCTGTCTGACTGAGGGGACTGTGTTGGTCGAGAGACTTCGATGATCGATTAGTCATTGTGCGGAGAATCAGTTCCAACCCCTCTGAGAAACGTCGGCCGTCTTCCGTCTAATTAGATATTCTTTTATTCCTAATCCTCAAGCCTTCTTCTTCCTGGGAGGATCTTCTACTTGCTCGCCCTAGTTTGATCCAGTACTTTATGAGCCGAGGGTACTGTCTTCCATGGCAGATATTTCCTGCACTTTGGGTAATCCTCGTGAAAGGTATCCGTCAATAATTCTACCAAAAGAGGTCTCGTGTAATTCAATATCCAACTTACTTATTAATGCAAGAGGACTACGTGGAGCCTCAGTAAGCTACGGCAGTAGGCCCTCATGCTAGTTGTTAGTAGGTATCGCAAGATTCCTATGGAAACCGTAGGAACGCCGTGCCTTTGCCGGGCAATTAGTAGCAAGAATGATCATCATTGGTTACGTCAGGTATCGTAGCATGTGAAGAAACCTCATTCATGCCGGAAATCTACGCTGCAGCAGACATCCCCGAGTTGCCTGCCGGCCGGAGGGGATGCACCGGCTGCCACGCGGAGGCAGAGTGGGGGCCCGGCCCGCGTCATGCGCGATCCGGTTGGCACAAAGGGACCGCCAAGGGCAACACTGACTCGACTCGATCTAGGGAACAGAAGAAAAAACACAATCGACTCGAGCGGTTTCTTAACGCCATCAGCTCACGCCTAAACAGGTGGCGATTTGTCTTAGCGAGACAGTCATTCAATTTTAGACGAATCGGATGGGGGTTTCTGCAACTGGAGGCCGCTTCCCGTGGCTAGCTACGATTTCTCCTCAGTTCCTCCAAACATGAAGGCAGGCTCACGCGGAGGAAGACGCGGCACTTGGGCCTCAGCCGCCGGGAATGGATCTCCTCGCGAAACGCCCGCTCAACAAAATCCCCTGCCGCTCTACGGGAAGACCGTCGTGAGCACCTTGCCGTAATCGGCGTAGGACAGCCCCATCTTCTCGATGTCGTAATCGTTCCAGTACCCGCCTCCGCCAAGCGGAGATCTTTGATGCCATCCGGCAAACCTGCTCTGGGCTTGCGAAGCAGTCACTCCGTAGACCGGCTTCGAGTCGTTCACGACCCAGAGGAGGGGCACCACCTTGATCCCTAATCCCGATTGCCAATTGCCCGGGTCGTTGTTCGCCCCGCCGTCGTAGCACTGGAGGTACACCCGATCCACGAGGAAGTCCGCCTCCTGGAGGCCCGAGTTAAGCTGCGAGGTGACCGAGACCCAGAAGTTGCCGTTCGTGTACGGCGCAATCGTGTACTTGTATCCCATCTCCCCAACATCCTTCCAAAGGCCACCGTGGCAGGTACTTGATAGAGGGACTCATCATCGTTGTTGACCGCGTCGAGCGACCACGCCTCCTTGAGAGCGGCAAAGTTGCGATACAGAGGGGTATCAGCCCCGGACCCGGACTCGTCATCAGGTCTTGCACGTGCTGGGAGTTCATCGAGATTTCGAGCCTGTCGACGCCCGTTTCGCCTTCTTTAAACGATCGGACCTTTTCTGCCAGCGCATCGCCGCCTACGTATTCGCCCCCAGAGGCGATCACCACATCCTCGCTACCGGGGGTATTGGAGTAGTACTTGATGTCCCCGTTGTCGAGGATGCCGACGCCGAACATGATGAGCGTGTTGAACCCCGATGTCTTGAGCGCCGTGGTGTTGGATTTCATCACGTCCTTGAATAGGAAAATGCTCCGGATGCTTTGAGCGCAGGCATACTGGATATAGAGCTCTAGGAAGAGTACTCGTGCTATGAGGCGAGGCAGCATCGCGTGTGGCTTTGCGTGCTTGGTTCTCCTGGGTCGCGGTTTCAGGCGCAATGGGGCGAAGGGGAAGTTCTTGCGCCTCGCCTCCGCGAGGGGATAGGCGCTGGGCTTGAGTAGTTATAATAGCCCTCCAAACGACATGGTGCGTGTACTGGCTCAATTCTGGTTCCGTGGCTCCGCACTACATATATATTTCTCTTCCATAAAGGTGGGGTAGCGAATGGTTTCTACTGCTGCGCTTTCGGGTAATAAACGAGAAAGTGATGAGAGGATATGGATTGGTGGTATATTAGAATACGACTTTGGATTCCAAACCAAGGTAGATTGCTCGGCCAGGCTAATCTCGCCGTCCCGTTTTCATTGTGGATGGCAGACGTCTGGGGCTTTGGTGGATATTGCAGAACGCATCATACAAATGGCTCGTATGCGCATCAAGAAAAAGGAAGAGAATGTTCGTATATTCGATGTATTTTTTTATTTTTTAAAAAGAAAAAAAAAAGGCCAAGAAAAAGGGGATTTGTTGGTTTCCTGTCAACCCAGAATTGCCTTGTCTTTCTTCAGCACTGAGCACGTCCGTCCTGCCAAGCGAGGGGTGAAGGAGGGCGGCCACTGTGTTTGTCTCTGTCGGTCCAAGAGTGGCAAGTGGGTGACAAAAAGGAGGCACCGCAAAACAGCTGCAACCCACTATGGTCGAGGGTACAGGGGGCATTGGGTGGGAACTGGGCAAGCTTAGGTGGCAAGACACCCGTTCTGGTGGTCAAGGGTATTTTGCGGTGCCTCTTTTTTTGTCACCCACTTGAGTGGGTTAGTCAGATTTTTGGAACTCGCTGCCGTCATTCGAGGGACCGTGTGGGTCTCGATTCCCAATCAGCCGATTACCTAATATGCCGTCGTCATTTTTATACCGAAACTAGCCGTTTGCAAAGGGCATCAGGCCTCAAAATGTCAAGCCACGGTATCGGGCCTGGGAGATGTTAAGTAGCCTGTATGAAGGCAAGCGTCGATTAATTCATCACTATTTGAAGAGCTGTATGAAGGAGAAATTGATGCTTAGAAGGGTGGGTATTGTCTTAGAAATGATGGATGTGGAATGATGGTGGATCCACGCGATCGTTGTGGTCGAGGCAACACAGTCCTGTGAGTTGGACCCTTCCCCAGGCCGCAGGCCGGAAGAGTAAAATTCCCCATTTTGCGAAGTTTTTTTTTTTTTTTTTCAGCTTCAAGGTACTTCAGAATAACATAAAATTCCTCTTCCCTACAAACCCTTTATCCCCTACATCATTTCTCGTATGTGCCCGTGCGGATGACCTCTTCGTCGGTGCCCGGAGAAAATGGCGGGCCGCCAGTATGGAAAGCACCGGTTATGCTTCGGTCAAACACAGCTTGACCTCCACGGTCCTTCTTATTGAAGCAACACAGTCAAGACGGCGGCAGACTCCTGGTCGGGCTCTTTGGATCGACAAAGTGGAATGGTTTATGGAGAAATGGGCGGAATGAGGGAAATGGATGATGGAGATGTGATTATTGATGAGAACAATGTTCCCAGAAGGACAACCGTTCCAAACGAAACGAGCGTTATCGAACTGATACCATCAACAGGGTGCTACAGTCAGCCCGACCAGCAACACTTTTCATCAATGCTCCTTCCAATAGACTTAGCCTAGTGTAAATGAGAGTTCTTGGAGAGGAAGTATCCCCCTCCCGAACCTTCCCCGAACCTTCCCCGAGCCGAGAGACGACATGGCGTGCTGCCTGCTAGCAAGTAAGTGATGGAGCACCCAAGCATCCATGGGTCCTTCCCTTGATTATCCGTGACGAGCGGGGTGGATGGATGGTGGATGTTTGCAGTGTTTACCTCGACATCTCAACCTCTCCAATTCACATACCTTTCCGAACCCCGCAACAGCAGCATCGATTCTATCAACAAACACCATTAATTTCATCAATAACCATCGATTCCATCAACAACTAGCAACCCCTGTTCATATTCTATCTGTCATCATGCCTCTCCAACAGCCTAATTTTCAGCGGATTTCCGAAGATCTGGTTGCAGCCGGCCGAGGGCTGGAACTCTGTGCAAATATGCCGGCTATGCAGCAGGGCCAGGCCATCATTGACGCCATCAACGCGCTGGGCCGGGAGATTAAGGAGCTCCGCCACGAGACGAGGGACCAATTTCGAGTTATACACGAGCGCCTAGACAAATTGACAATCGAAATGCGAGCAAGGTATGTATGACGAGGGGTATCCGTAGTGTCGACATCTCAGTCTCATTCTAATTCGTATCTACTTCTCCATAGGGACGCAAACTGGCATGTCCGGCTAGCAAACAGTAGACTCGTAACTGAACGAGACCGAACTCTTGAGCCTCTCCACTCAATCACTACAGGGGATCTGATCCCCGATTTTCCCCTGACGTGCGATGATATTCGAAGGTTGACTCGTAAGTATAACCGCCTTGGCTAGAACGATTTCATTACCTGGCTCTAATTGATGAATTGGTAGGTGATGAAGCCGACGGAATCCTGCTCCATCTCGGTCACAACATGAACGGAGCCACAGTCGCCGCCAAACGAGGCCGGATCGAGAATTTATGCGGCCTTTACCCAAGGTTCTAGAGGTGAAGAGTGGATACCAGTGTCGATCAACTGTTTTTGCCCCGACGAACACTATGGTTTACAGGTCTTAGTCTAGCGCATCATACAGCCACGAGGCGAGGTTGACTTGTGGGTTGGATTGTTTTGGGCCGTGAGCGTGCTGCAGCGAAAGCGTCACCGCGCCGGGCACAACCTGGCAGCGACGTCACGATAATTCTCCGCCACTAGTATGGCCAACGCTTCTCACCGTGGTTCGACCTGTAATGTCAGGTCGCGAAACCGGATCCCAGTTAGTTAGTCTCTCAAGGTAAGGGTATCCCGTTTTGCTTTTCATCTTCGTGGTAGGTTCATTCTGATTCTCGGTAGCAGTAACTTAGCCTAGTCACTCTAATAATAAAGCGCGTTTATCACTTCTTTCACATAGCTATCATGCTTGGTGTTCCGAACTTGGGCTCCTCCACTATACGCGAGATGGTCCTGGGGTCATTATGTTCTATTACGCCAGAACGCCAGCTGCCCCCCTTCCTTACCATTTTCAACCGACCTTCCCACCTTTCGCCCCGCCCTTTCAAGATCTCTTTGTGGCCTGTTAGCTACCGCCGTGGTTCGAGGCCGTGACCTCTTACTTTGACTTGCTTCTCAGGCTGGTCGCCCTAGCTTTATCCTACACTTCCTCACTTGCCCCACCCTTGCCCAACGGCTTAGCCCTCGATTTCTAGTGATACTTTTAAAGTTCTGCTGGTGGGCGACGGAGTGCCGTTGTAATGCCGTCCAACTTCTAGGAAGGACCTCTTTGTGAAATGAGGGTCCACGCTGGGGTCGATTAGCCCGAAGCTGAGCTGAGCGTGACCTCGTGAACCAGCATTCAATTGAAGCTGAGGGATGGCACGTGAGAATGAGATGCCTTGTCAAGAATGAGGAGGCATTCCAACTCTATCTCGGTCCCAAGCACCGCGCCATTTAAAGCACGATACCCTTGGTCTGCTTCTTCTTGCTTACGTCCAAGTTACTGATCATGAACATCCAGCCAAAGCAGAGAGTAAAGACGGCAACACCCGCCGCAAGCATGCGGGCCTGGCCATATCCATAGGCTTCCTGGATCGCCAGACGCTCGGGGCTGCCGACAGGGTAGGCGAGCTGGGCGGGCAGGCTGGAGTAGATGGTGGTGATGTTGGGAAGGGCGGACTCGGGCAGGTTGCGCTGGAGGGCGGGGAGGAAGGTGTTGGTCCAAATGGCGCCGGAGATGGTGTTGCCGACGGCACCACCGAGAGTTCCCGACACGTAGAGGAAGGCCAGAACGGCGGCGACGTGCTGGTGGTCGACGGCGGCGAGGACGGCGAGCTGAACGAGGAGGATGAAGACGCTGCCGCCAATGGAGATGAAGATTTCGCACATGATGATGTAGCCAATGTGCACGTTGGGGCGGCGGAAGTAAATCATGAGGCCGAGACCAAAGGTGTAGATGGGCACGGTGACGTAGAAGAGCCACTTGAAGCGACCGGTGCGGCGGATGAGGTAGCCGACGATGAAGAGGAGGACGCCGGACACGACCTGGAAGGTGCTGTTGACGTAGCCGGCCTCGGCGATGTCGAGGTTGCAGACGACCTGGAGGAACGAGGTAAAGTAGCTGTTCCAGCAGTAGTAGGATACCTGGTAGGTGGCGTCGATGAGGCACGCGCCGATGACGGTGCGGTCGGTGAGGAACTCGTGCTTGAGGAAGGGCGAGGGGGCGAGGTAGATTTCGTAGAGGCAGAAGGCGACGAGGAGGAAGAAGCCGACGACGATCATGGCGATGATGTAGTCGGTCTTCCAGCCGTTGGGCGCGGATCGAGCGAGGGTGAAGGGGAGGAGGAAGATGGTGAGGCCGCCTGCGAAGAGGATGACGCCGGGAGCTATGATGATGGAGAACGTTAGCAGGTGGGGCTTGGCTTGGTGCGCGCCATGGAATTTCTTTCTTTTCTTTTTCTTTGTTTCGGCTGGAGAAAAGACTTACCATCGAATTGGATGATGCCGTGCTTGATGCTCTGCATCCACGTGCGACCGCTCTTCTCCTTGATGTAGAGGCCCTTTTGCTCCGCTTTGCGCAGGTTGAGCTTGAGGATGAAGAAGAGGGGCAGGGTCACGGCGGGGATGATGATGGCGAAGCTGCCGAAGCCCCAGCGCCAGCTGACGTTGTAGTAGAAGCCCTCGGCGGCCTTGGAGCCGGCAAAGGCGGTGATCATGTAGGGGACGAGGTGAAGGCGAAGGCCAGGCCTCGGTTCTTGAGGGAGGTGGCGTCGGCGGCGAGGACGCAGACGACGTAGATGATGCCGGCGAAACCGATCGAGTAGAAGACCTGCGGCGTGGTGAAATTCTTTTGTTAGCATGGACTAGACTTCTTTCTTTTCTTTTTTTTTTTTCTTTCTTGTGCTGTCTCGGAATTTGGTCTTACCTCGGCGGCACAGAACATGGCGAGGTTGTTGGAGCTGGCCATCAAGATGATTCCCAGGGTCGCAGAGCCGACCATGAGGAGGAAGCCTTCGGCACGACCCCACATGTCCAGAAGCTTGGCCATGGGGATGTAGACGGCGGACGTCATGGCCCTGGAGACGATGCCGATGACGGTCAGGAGGGAGTGGGATTGGAAATCACTGGTGACGAAGGGCACCAGGCTGTAGAGGACGGAGATCCTCAGGCCGTTGGTCAGGAAGATGATCCAGATGCTGCATGCGCGCGCGGGCGCCCGTCGTTAGCAAAAAAAAGAAAAGAAAAAAGGGACTGGGTCGAATATCACTCTCGAATGTGTGTGCTGCTGCTGGAAGGAACCTTACTTGATCAACAGGGCAATGAGCCACTTCTTGTCCCAGGCCAAGGTCATGGCCTCGATCTTTGGACACCGAGTTGGGCGTTGTGGGCGGGGGCCGCCTCCTTCTCGAGCTCGATGTCGATGGGGCCGTCGTCGTCGGCGGGCCGGATGGCGTCGTCGCGCGCGGCGGGCACGGCCTTCTCCGTGGCGGAGGGGGACTGGGGGCCGGCCGGGTCGGACGGCACCACGGTCGCCTCGACGGTTTTGGGGGCCGCGGCCCCGATGGCGGTCTTGAGAGTGTTTAGGATCGCCATGGTGCGCTTACTCACTCGAAACCCGGGGAAGATTGGGTCGGGGCGGAAGAGGAGAGAGGGGAGAAATGCACGAGGATGGGCGAGATGGGGTCAAGTCGGACACTCGGAATCTATGAAGGGAAGGAGAGAGGACCCGGGGGATCGGTAAGAGGTTTTTATACATGCTAGCGAGCGCCGACCTGCCCTCCGATGTCTGTCCTCCCTGCAAACGGATCATCGATTCGGGAAAGGATGATCAGATGTTTTTTTTTTTTTTTGCTTCGTTTCCCCAGTCCATAACCCACCATGCCTTTGTCCCACGCGCGTGCGCGAGACCCTTTTCTCCCCGGGGAACAGTTTCCCGAATAGGATTCTTACCGGGTGGGAAGACGTGCCATCGAGGTGGGAACATGGGATTGAACCGGTAGTTCCCACATTCCTTCCTTCTTGTTTGGCGGCCCCCACATCCTCATCCGCTTCAATGCATGTGTCTGGTCTGGATATTCGACATGGACGACAAGGACAAGGGGTGCATTGCGCGAGATTTTCTCACCTTTCGCACGGACGAAGTTGATGGGAACAAAAGAGAGAGAGAGAGAGAGAGAGAGAGATACAAAAACGGGGTTCCCAAGAGGTTGACGAATGCTCAATCAAGACATCGTGGTGTCGATCCTTTGACGGGGTTTGCACGCTGTCGGACATGGGGTCGACGTACTCACCGGACAAAATCGGGGCCCTGGCTTACGGTCGAGAGGGGCCGGAGGTCGCAATGGCTCCCCGCAGCTTGGGAAAACCCCAATGAGAGGTTGGGAAACAAAGGATAAAAGGGAACATGTCCATAGTAAAAAGAAAAAAATCTTCAAATATTGGAACCTCTGTCGTGGTGGCGGCGACTGGATTCTTGGCAGAGTACCAGTAGATTGGATCGGGATCATGAAGCATTACAGCGACAAGAACATCAATGGTCACCTCAAGTGCTTGGTCAACCGCAAGAGATCAATTGATCGACTCTCTCCTGGATCACGGCGAACAAGTCTATTGGCGGTCCCACCGCCGGGCTGCCCGCTATTTTCGCCGTTGGGGCCCCATTCCTGGGCACTAGACGGCGCCAGGATCCATCGTTGATATTGGCCCTGAAGGAAGAATCCAAGGGTGCGTTTTAGGCCCTGAGGATGAACCCATCTTATCAATCGGTGAACCTATCATTCCCCATCTTATCTGATGCCATTTGCGGCACCATTTGAACCCTCCACTCTCCCACTTCTTCCCTCCACTCTGGCGCCTTGGCCCTCCCCCACCACTCCCGCTCGAGGGAAAATTTTTCCTCTTCTATTTCTCTTGGCCTTGCGATGCTCATCTCATCTTTTCCTTCAACTTGGCTAGCCTCTTCCCAGATATTCTTGCACAGATATTGCCGTTTGGAATATTCTTCGCAGCTCTCCAGGCAGTCGCTTCTCATCTTCACCGAGAGGAGAGGAGCAAAGGCTCTAATGCGCTGCGTCGTTTATCTCGCCATGCGCGGCCATGAATGACAGCGCTCGATGCAAGGTTTTTCCCCATTTCAATCTCTCGTGATCCTTTTGATCAAGATTGGTGGGGGTAGTTAATTCGAGAGGTCGCAACCATGCCCTCCATTCTGTGGCCAAGGTTACACGCAAGGATGAGGAGAGGGGACGCCTTGCGAGTGGGGTTTCCCAGTCCACAATCATCTCCCTTGTCACGACGAGCCAAGAGGTACTGGAAACATCCCACCGCTACAGTTTGAGCACCAAGGCCGGAGAATCTTCTCCATGCCTTCCATTCCCTCATTGGCTTTTTTTTTTGGCCTTTTTCAATTTTTTTTCTTCTCTCTATTCGGCTATTCGAGCTAGCCAAGACTATTCTTCCTGAAATGCGTCGCGACATTGCCGACTTGGCTAGCGGACAAAACGATAGCGCCAACGAACGGCGCGCTGGTTCTTACAAAAGCGTGATAGAGAGTACATGTAGACCCTTGATGCGCAGGGTGGTTCCCTCGAATGCAAATACCATCCCAACGCGGCATATGCATACGAGAGAGAAAAACCCAGAAAAAAACGGAAAAGAGAAGCTCAAAGAATATCCTTCTCCCGGACAATGATTGGCAATTTAACTTGCCCAAGTAGTGGCGGCAGTGGGTGCCAAGGTGTGTAGTGTCGTGTGGCGGCCGGGACCGAAGGAGCTCGCCACCCACACCACTTCAAGGTTCCCTGTGCGGCATCGTCGTAGTATTCCCCGGCATGTAGAAATGACCACGACACTGCTCGGTCTTGGCGCTTTGAAGCGTCCGACATCGTTAGCCGCGGGATTCAACGTCGGCTGACACTCCGTCTTGGGATTAACGTTACTCATTGTTTCCCAAAATCAATTTTCTATGCAGACCGGTGGACAGGGTGCGAGGTTCTCTAGCACCACCTCTTCGTCTCTTCCATTTACCGAACACGCGTACTTTGGCTACCCCTGGTCGTCTTTAATTCTTCCAGTGTCCAATGATCGTTCCACTTGGAAGCCTATAGACAGAAGAGGATGCGTGCCGCGAACCATTTTCTTGTTCTATATACAAGAGTTCATGCAGGGTTGTTCGCCTTGGTGCAAGAGTCCACTTTCTGTCAAGATCGCAACGCCGAACCTCGGGGATCCTCAAGAGTGTATCGGGAAGGATTTCTCTAGATGATCAGTCGTCACGGTCGTACGCGGTGGTGCCTCGGACAGCCCGGGCTCCCTGATGATACCGAGTAAGTGTCCGCTAGCTCAACTTCCCTAGGTCGACCGTAGATGATGAACCTTTGATGAAGACAATTGAAGGCTCTCAGTGCGCAGGAAATGGCGCACCTACATCCTTCTTATTTACACTCTGCGAGGCAGATGCCCACCGCACTTATTCTTCATCTCCTAAGAAACATTGAATTCATTGTTGCTTTAGTCTCGCTATCAAGAAAAACAAAGAAAAGTCTTTCATGTCCGAAAGGAAAGAGTAAAAGAAAAAGACAATATTATTTATACAAGCGCGCCAATGTCCCATCCTTTAATCCAATCACGCCTCCTGTTTCCTCGCCATATCCCTCGCCCACTCCCTATCCTCGCGCTTCAGCTCCCTCTGCACGTACAGCGTCGTGACGAGCGCCCACACGCCCGCCCACACAAACGGCACCGTCCACCCAATAGTGTACGCGTAGTCCACGCTGAGCGTAAAGATCAAGATGGTGCAGAGCACCGCCATGGCCTCGGCGCCCACCGCCCAGAACACGCCGAGGCGCCGCAGCATCGCGCGGAAGATGTGGCTCGCCTCGTACCGCGTGTCCAGCGCCTCGCGGTACGCGGTGCCGCCCCCGCCGTCGACGGCGCAGATGTCCTCGACGAGGCTGTAGATGCAGGGCCGTAGCTGCGCGCCCTGGGGATGGAGGATATGCGGATCGGGGCGGGGCAGCGGAACACGCGGAGGATGTCGACGATGAGGAGCTCCGTGCCGAAGACGAAGAGCATGGTGGTGGGGGACATGGCGATGAGGCGGATGTATGGGTTCTTTTGAACGCTCCCACTAAAAGTCAAGAGTTGGTCAGTTGGCGGTGAAAAAAAAAAAGAAAAGGGGAAAAAGGAAGAAAAAAAAAGGAGTGATGGCCAAACTGGCTGTGGGGTATGAAGTCGTTGATATCCTGGGCGCGTCACTTACATGATAAGCTCAACCATGACAATCAACCAGGCCAGCGTGAAATTCCAATGGAAAAAGTCCAGATGCCACCTCCCCCGCGCCAATCACACGACAGTCGCTATCCTTCTTCCACAAGTTCCACATGCGTAAAAAGTATTCCAGGATACTCGCACCGCCAATCGCCGCCGTGACGATGCTAAAGACGGCATTCGCCGACAACTTCTGCCTCTCCGGCGGCGCTGCCGGACCCACGCCGTACCACAAGCCAAAGTACAGCGCGATCGGCATCACCACGGAGTCGAAGATGATCACGGACCACCACAGAAAGATGGACATCTTGCGCGTCCGGAGCGTGTAATTCAGCCGCGGCGGTTCCGCCATAAACACGGCATCGGGCCCGGGGACGGCTCCCCACCCGCCCCATCATCCACGCTCAACACGCCGTCGGTATGGGCTTGCTCTCCCACCGCCTGCGCCGTAGACACCCTCCTCTGGTCTTGCGAGCGCCGGCTCACGAGCGGCAACGAGTTGGGGGAAGTTTCCGAATCGGTCGGTGGAACGGGCCGTCGTAGCGCCGGTCGAACTCTTCGCTGGTTCGTCGGCCCCGCGCGTTCGGGATGTGCGTCGTGGATTTGCGGCGCGGCGTGCCCTGGGAGGAGCCGTCCGGTAGGTTAAACGCGACGGCGCTGTTGGGCTCTTGCATCGAGGCCCTGGGTGGGCGCGCCGCCGCCGGCGGAGGGTGGACCGGGCGTGGTCGTCGCCGAGGCCGGGCCGCGGTGGCGATTCGCGCGGAGTCGGATTCGTAACGTCCGGCATGGGGGTTATTGGTGCTGCGTGTTCGGGTGCATCGTGGAAGATGGGACTGGCGATCGATGAACGCCGACTGTCGATATCTTCAGTGAATTTCGTTGTTCCGACCGTCATGATTCATGTGGGTTTTGGGGGTGCGGAAGGTGGAAGAAGGTGGGAAGAAAAAAATACACAAGTAGCGATCAGCAGATATTTCCTTCTGCTCTCGCTCGGGAGGGAGGCGTAGTGCGCATATTTAGAACACGACACGGACCCGGCCGTGAAAATTGTGGAATGGGTGGGTGACGGAGTTGGATGGGTCTGGACAACATCTCGACGTCACGTTAGGATCGCCAGGAGTCTCCTCCCGGAGAAAAGAAACTATGTCATCCCCTCTTGGGCAAGGTTTGGCATCATTGCCGACCCAGGGGCTCACCTTCATTGGTCCAGGCGGGTTTACTTTTTCGCCTCATTATATAATAATTGTCTATGCTAAGCCAATGCAACTGCCACTGTGCTATGTTTCCTTCGACAACATTTGAAGACGATGACGCCCTGCCAAGAGGGGAGCAACGGTCTCAGAAACCATGGCACCTACCCTCTTCTTCTCTCCCATTCATAGAAGCTTCCGTGTTCATTGTACTTGCGTATTCTAACGGCTATATATCCTTGCACGGGTGAATTGAAATCCATAATTGAAAAGTTGAGACTGCCCCCGAACTTGTCTCCTTCGTCGCTCATCTCACAAATTCGTGGCAAGTGGGTTTGGCTCTCGAGCTCCGTCCATGACGTCATTGTGCCGTGATCCCCAGCTTCCTCCACCGTTCCACCGCCCTGCCCCTTTCTTGGACCGTCCGCTTGTCTCTCGACCCCTGGTTGCCTGTTTCCTTTGGTTTCGGTTGCTTTTCTTTTTCTTTCTAAAAAGGTATGGTGCGAAATTCCGCCTAGGTAGAACTCTCACGACGAACGCTTCAACTCTAGAGCTGTCAGAACTCGACCTAATGATCCGTGGCACAGGGCAATTGCTCAGAGCCGCATTCTTTGGAGCCAATTAACTACTTTAAGCTATCATAGCTCGTAAGCACGGAAATGTGGATTTCTTTCACAGACGTCTTGTGTTGTGGTGACTGAATGCTACGCCTACATGTACGCTCTAAACCCGCTTCATTGCTCCTCTTCCACATTCACTTACGAGCATTCGAAGCTTCAGCAAGCTCCCCGCATCTATTAGCCATGCCAGATGAGCCCGACACCCCTGCCCATTCCAAATCGTCAATCTCTTAGTCAACTGCCTATTTTGGTGCATATTCATTCTGGCTGTACCAGCGGCACCTATGCGGGGGCCCTGTTTCTGAAGGCTAGGTGGCCGGAATTTTGTAGTTCTTAGGCAAATTTCCGTCCTTCCTGGTGCATTGCAGCCCATAGTATGCACATCGGAGAATCCTCCGAACCCTCCGCGGCGCAATGTCGAGCATCCAACCAAAGTCCAGAAACCGCGATGCCTCCTCACTCTGCGGCCACTGTGGGTCTTCGGCGCTACTCGGGCGCCGAAGCAAGACACCGCCGGAACGGATGGCGGTCTAGAAATTCGAAGGATGATGATACCTACCGAGCAACATCGATATTTGACGGTTTGCCCAAATAAAAGAACCAGAAAAAATTAAGATTCAGAGAGCGAATTCATATGGTTTTAAGAGCATCCGACGGCATTTCTGCACGAGGTAGTGGTTTTGCTCTTGTCGCGTGCGTGTGTGTGTGTATGCAGTTGGTCGTGTGCGTGGCCAAGACCCTGCGCCGACATCGGCATAGCGCCGCATGCGATGAGACGATGACAGCTCATGGCTATATGCGGGCTTGGGCGTGTAAGGCATGATCGCAGTAAATTACGAGGGAGCCCAAATACGTGCTGAACCTCCCTTCTGACTCCTCGAGTCAACTCAACATCTCTCCTCTCCCCTCCCCGATCAAACTTGCCACGCCGTGCACTGGACAAGGACAACTTTCAAACTGCAAACTGCCACCTTTAGACACAGGAGAGTTGATCCATACCCTTGCTTCCTCCAACGCCCCGTAACCGCCCTTCCAAACCCTTCAAACTTGTTCCCCACCGCAATTTTGCCACAATGAAGCACTGGGACGATTCAGGCGCCTTTGACTTTGACGATGACTACAGGGGAGGGAGCCCCGGCAACGGAGACCTGGACTACGATGACTCTTACATGGATGATGTCTTTGCCAAACCCCGTGGCATAGTGAACAAGGCGACGAAGAAGCAGGAACCCAAGCCGAAGCCGAAGCCCAAGGCCAAGAACGCAAAGGTCATCGCCGGCGCCGCCCCCACCGCTGCCACAGCCCCTGGCCCTGACGCTACTGCCGCCGGCCCCGTGGTATCCCCCAAGCCGAAGCCGAGCCCACAGAGCTCCCGACCCAAGAAGCAAAAGAAGAATGCCAAAAAGGTCGTGTACAAGATCTCCGAGCGGGAGCCTGATCTCTTCGACGACCCCGTCCTATGGGAGACCAGGGAGCGGAAGAAGATCATGGAGGCCAAGGCCGCCGCGGAGGCTGCTGGCGCGGGCCCTGTCCCGGAAGAGGCCGTAGAGGAGCAAAAGGACGAGCTGGCCAAGGAGGAGGAGGACAAGCAGGAGGACGACAGCGAGATGACGGAGGGCGCCCGGCGCCTGGCTGACTTTATGTAAGGCCTCTCTCGAGGCTGGACGGCACCCATCAAACGAGACGCATGCGACGAAACGCCCACGACCAAGTGGCCCCCGGTAAGTGTAACGAGTAGATCTCTTCCGACGGTGTGATGGGGTTTATGCTAACTATACTCGACCAGTTTCCCCCTTTCCCAACCCTTCACAAAGGATGAACTAGGTCCCTGTTACTGCAAAGAGCTCTCCATCTAGGTACCTCTTAGGTCATGTTATTCACACGGTTCAACATTCCACGAGGGTTTGGAGGGGAAAATACAAGATTGATCTCTAGAATAGTTGATGTGGGCTGATGCAAAGGATCTGTGTATTAGATTCGGTTGTCCCCTCTTACTCCTTCAAGTAGAAGAGGGTCTCACAGACTAGTTAGCACGTATATGACATGTTAAGTCAGTCCTTACGCACTTGTAGCTGTCACACCAACTCGCTTTGTAGATGTTGCTCCCCACTTTCCAGCCGATCCTTAGGCCTTGGCTGGCTTCGGACCACGACTTATTGATCAAAGCCACCGGCTAGGATATACCAAAAGTTTCACAAGCCACTGATGACAGGTTGGAAGCTGGTTACTGGCTGTTAGACCACCAAGATCACGCATGAACGTCACTATATACAAGAGAAAGTATGCAAGTTGATTGAAGTGTATTAAAGATTATCAAAGAATGTGGTATCTTGAACCAAGACTCGCTACCCCCTCGTACAGTTACCCCTGTACACTGATTTCCATCTCCGGCAGGGACGCAAATGCGTTGACTTGATTTGCTGCGCTTTAGGGACGACGATTATGGTTCGGTTCGCCAGTAAGTTGTAAGGTTGAATGCCCGGTTTAGCCGCTAGTTACGCGTGGTAACTCGTTTAAATGGGAAGTCCTCCCGTGACTTCGCCGGCGCCGGGAACCTTGACGGGGATCTCGAGGGGAATATTGACGGGGACGACGGCATTGGGTATGTTGAGAAGCTTGTTGGGGTCGAGAGCGTTGTCAAGACCGAGGGCGCGGCGTACGATGCCGCTGCCGGCGCCGCCCACAGATCCGGCGACGGGGCCGATGACGGAAGTGACAGTGTCGAGCAGGCCGAGGGCGCAGCGGCGGCGACGGTTGCCAAGAGGAGGGTGGTGACGGAGAACTTCATCGTGGTGATGGGTACGGGTTGGTGCTGCGAAGGCGGGAGGGAGTAGATAGGAAGCGAAAGCGAAGAGCTTGAGTAAAACGAGAGTTGAGCACGGTTGTTGTACAAAAAGATGAAGACGGGCTGGATTAAATGGTGCTTGGAGTTGGATATCTGATGAGGGGACGTTTTTGAGCGGGGAGAGACATCTTTTTATATACGCCACAGACTCTCAGGATAGCAGGACCGTCACCGCATAGTTTGGCTGCGTTGGTCTTCGTGGAGAGCTGGCGAGCCTTTGATTACGATCATCGTCGACGCCATCACTCCCATCCGCAACGCGGACACATCGACAACTTCGAGTGAGATGGGGAGGGCGTTGAGGGCGCCGGTTTCAATGGCGTCTTTGCAACATTTCATTGCGTTGCTTTTGTCCGGGCGCCGATCCTCAAACCTGCGCGGTGCCCTTGGTCTTGTTTCCCGTTTTGTTTTTCGAACATATACATACAAACCTTTGCACTCGCCGGGGCGCCGATGGCTTGCCCCTCAAAAAGCGCCTCGAGCTGGCGTTCCGGTTTAGGGAATGAGCGCACAAACCCACTTCGGCGGCTCGGCCGTTCTCCTCCCATCGCCGACGCAAGGACGGCCAGGGGTTTGAGTGACCTTGAGACGGCGTGCGCGATGCGGCAACGCAGGTCGTTCGCGCGCTCTTGCGCTGGGGTAGGCAGTGTCACCCGGACTCATGGCGCAAGGATCGACGGAGGCAACGTCGGGATAATACTTCAGCTCAAATAGGTACGGATGTAACGTGCTGGATACCCTGCCAAGGGGGATAAACCAACTCACTCAAGCCTGCCAACACATCTCTTGACATAGATAGGTATGAGGACAGCTACGGGATTGGGTGTAGAGAATGACCACCTCGCGGTCATTTAAGGTAGAGGCGAAAGGGCAAGGGCCACAAAGGAGATGTCTTACTCCCATCTCCTCCATTTTTCATTTCTTTTTCATCGCCTTTCAAAAGCCTCAACGCCAACTTGGCCAGTGACAAGACAAGAACCCGAGATCAACTGGCTTGATAACACCGGTTTCAGCCTTAATCTGGCGTCTTGGACTCATGGAATGTGGGGGTTTGGTGATCGGCAAGACACCAATTCCCAGCTCAGAGGTTAGCCTCAGGGGTCCCCACGCCCTTTCGCATGGCGCCATACGCCCCTGCCATGATGCATGCCACTTACAAGTGAAACACCCACGCTGAACATTGAAGTTCCTGAACGGGTTGACAGCGCGCTGGGTAAGCGCACTTAAGAAATTTAGAACGCGGGGCTTTTTTGCCAGGTGGCCGTCACGGACGAACAAGTCTGCGACCACATCTGGAAAGCTATCGGAGATTAGTGGCGGGCGATCGACAGATGCACATCGCTCTGCCCTTTGGACCCAAACTATCGAGCGGATGGAGAGGGAGTTCTGGGAGGAAATAGGGACGCTACGCTACCAAGATTTTTGTCTACGTGGGGTAATAAACGTCCGAGTAGAAAACCGGGTGAAGATGACGGGCGAGGAGGGCAAAGGGAAAAGAAAAAGAAATTCGAGGGAAGGGAAAAATACAAAGGCAAAAGATAATGAAATTCTCCCGAACCTGAATCGAACAGGTGACCCTCTGATTGAACTGTTGCCATTACAGTCAGATGTCATGAACCAACTAGACCATCGGGAGTTTGTTCCATTGGATGATGTGTTGTCGAGTGGATATCGTCCTTTACATTCGATCCAGAATGCGGGATTTTTCGTCATTGGTGAAGTATTTCTCAACGAGGCCCTAAATATCGGTCGGGGAAGCTCACTGGCATCATTGTGTAGTCTTGTCATGCGCAGTGCAACAGAGTCCAGGTCGTTTCTATCTCTGTAAAATCTAGTAAACCCACGTGTGCGCAATCTCCACACAACATAAAATTCTGGTGCTTTTCAAGTCTCAATCAATTACTACATTATATCGGAGGGTTATATTGTCTTCATGTGCTACTCTGCGCATGTTCGAACCAATGGCCTCTCTAGCATGTTTAGCTGTGTCCAGAACGTTGTTCCTCCAGATGCTATTAGATAGTTTGCCCGGCCATGACGCCGACAAACCAAGCCCTCAAAAATGAGGTTACGCGGAGAGTCAAGTTGCACGATGAGGACATGGAGTTTGCGGATTGGCGGATGTCGGCGAATTGCTACGACAGCGCCACTTGCCACAAGGCGCCGAAAGCTCCTCTCATGACGGGACTTGTAGTGGCCAAGCCCTCGGAGGCTTCAAGACATCAACTCATGTGCCCCGGGCCTAGTCTATCGGCAATAGCCCCGGAGCCAATCTTGCAAGCAGAAATAGCAAGGGTCCGGAAGTACCAAGTGCCACTCTCCAGCATATGAACCCCACCCCTCGTGTTGCTTGACAGCCTCTGCCGACTTCCGTGCCAGCCACCTTGGTCCTCTAATTATCGAGCTCAATAAGAATCTTGCCTTTCAAGCCTCCTAATGGCACTTCGAAAATGATGGAGCGAGAACTGCGCTCCTCTGCGCATGAGTCGCCCCCTTTCTAGGTTCCAAAGCCATTGAATGCTTGTAGACTCTTAAAGACAAGCTTGACCCCATCTCAAGGCTGGTAAAGACTGTTGAGCAGACTTTCTTTCTACCCATCTTGGGATTTTAAGGCCTACTGACTCTCTTTATCTCTCTCTGCCTTGGCATTGCTCTCATCTTTTCGCACTGGTTGATAAAACGAGCATGCAGAATGTAGATCACCTAAACCAAGGTCCCTCTCCACATTTACGCACGTTCAATGACCAAAATAAGAAGAAAACAAGAAGGGAAACAATTGTACGGCGTTGAAAAGCGATCAATTAACCCATTTGGTCGATTCTCCCTGAAAGAGATAAGCGGCATCGGCAGTGCAGGACCCTCTCCGACGAGCCAGGCATGAAGAAAATCCCCTGGAGCGAGAAGCTGCGCCGTTTCAGCCGATATTCTACGTCGATTTTCGCCACGATTACGCGCCTGAGCCACTGCCAAGCTTGGTCGCGCGGAGGAAGGAATGTCGCATCGCGGATCCTTGTGGGCCTGTCGTGGGCCTGACATTTGCCTTGGATCGCCCCAAATCTGGCGGTAAATTTCCGGGCGATGACGGGGTCAGGCGGAGACGTAGGGGACGTGCAGGTTCAATGTTTGTAAAAAAGGTTCAATGACGAAGGTCGACAGCTCTTTCTTTTTCTCCCTGATAATAATTCTTGCTATCAACATCGTGAATCACAAAAATCACCACCTCCTCTAATTTTGTAGTCAACTTCTATTTTGCCCTTCTCACAACCGAGCCTACTTCAACATGATCACTAAACACGCCCGCGCTCTCGGCGCCGCCCTGCTCGCCGCCCTCGCCCACGTGGTAGTTGCCGAGCAGACAACCCTGGTACGCCTTGGCAGCCAGCCATCATTCCCAGGATGGGGATTCCCTCTTCCAGACCCTACTCCATTGTAAACTATAGCTTTTCTTACTAACGATATCCCAAAGAACGTATGGGTCCCCTTGGTCCCCGAAGACAATGCAGGGCCGTATTACTCTGCTGTGGTGGCGGTAGTCAAGACAGTCGTAAGAGAGAGCCCCTCCCTATCCTTTAGGAAACCAGACTCTAGATAGAAGATATCAAACGTCCCCATCTGGTTGAAGTAGAGCCGCGGACTGCTAACCGTCCTTCCCGACCCACAGACGAACCAGCAGACTGTCATCGCCCTCGGCTGCAAGACAGAGGACTTCAACTCAAGGGAGTGTCCCCGTGGACGGTCACCCTCGGACACGACAGTAAGCAGCAGACCCTTCCCCGGAATCCGACGTGGAGGAATTTGAACTGACAAGGGTGTGCCATAGCCTTCCGCTTCTCCATGGATAATGAAGCGCAGTCAACGCTCGACTTGTAAGTCCAGCCTCCAGCTCTGAACCCCACCCGCGTAAAGGAAAATGGCTAACTCTTCGTGCAAGGCCCCAACTTGTGGAGTGCACCATGACCGGCTGCCCAAGCGCCACAGTTGCGACATGCACATCGGTATACGCGGACACTGCGTCGGGAACTGGTCTCGTGACATCCACCTCGACGCTGGGGAGCGAAGATATCAACTATCACTCCGTCACCCTCGGTACGCCCATCCCCGATGAGACGACGACGATATTGTGCGGAACCAGGACTCCAGGTGAAACAGAGACTTCCTCTGCGGATGAGCCAAGCAATACCGGAACCGACGGCGATGATTCCGACAATGCTGCCTCTAGGGCTGGCGGCTCTTGGGTGGCGCTGGCTGGTGCGGTGGTTGGCCTGTTGATTTGAATGCTCAGTGTTGATGAATCGCGTGTCTACGGGAAGAACTAGCTAGTTTAACGTCTTTCGTTTCAAATACCAGAATTATACATTCAAGATCATGGCGTCTATAGCGAGCAGCTCCTACTCAAAGACTTGAATCCCTACTAAATCCGGGCCCCATGTTTCCCCGGCACCGTCCCAAACACCACACTATTCCCGCTGCCCGCCTCAAAGCCATCCAGCTCAACCATGACCCTTCCAGCCTCGAACCAGTCATTCCCCGCCAACGGCAAAGCCCACCGCTTCTGCTTCCCTCCGTTGACGCCGATGGTCACGTTCCTCGTGTTGGTGTCCCACCCCCAGGCCCCGGCGAACGCGTAGTCGTAGTTGATAAAGTCCAGCCCGACAAACTTCTTCCCGCCGCTCGCGGCCGTGACTCCTCGAACTTGACCGTCACGCCCGCGCCGAAATTGCGGATAACGGATCCGGCGGGGGCGCATGCTCCTTCAGCGCATTTTTCTAGCCTCCCGCTCCCGGAAATCGAGACGTGCTCGCCTTCTGCTACGGAATAGTAGTCGGTCGGCTGCAAGCCCGGGGCTTCCTCGATATTGTTTAGTATCCAAATCTTCAACTGATGGCCCGCGAGCTCAAACTCCTGAGCTCCTAAGGCACCGTAGTCCACCGTTCCAAGATCTTGCCCTGCCCAGATATCCCGGGCGGTTGCCGTATTGATCCCGAGGATGCGGCCAAGGTCTAGCGTTACCGCTTGCGTTGCATTTCGCCAGTTGGCAAGACCGACGACCCTGCGTCCCTGCGAAAGATCCCCGCCCATAGGTCCCATTCTTCTTCGGTGTTTCGAAGCACGAGCTCGGCGGCCTTGCCGAGGGGGTCTTGGTTGATGGCGATGATTTCCTTGTTGGCTAGAATCTCGATGGACTCGGTTGGCGTCACGTCGTCGGCGAGGTCCGCCCCGATGAGTAGAGGCGACTTGAGCAGCGCCCAGAGGCCAAAGTGGAAACGCTCCTCCTCGTGGGAGAGGCCACCGAGGCCGACACTAGGCACGGAATTAGACTGGTCCGTTTCTTTGTCGGGGCTCTGGCAGCCGCCACCCATGACGGTGAAATGAAACACACTAGAAGAGGGACTCACAGGAGCATGTCAAGATCCGCAAACGCGCCTGGGCGCGAGTAGCGGGCGTGGGGGATAGCCTGGTTGACGATGCGCCAGATACTCCGCCAGCTATCGTAAATGTCGTTGCTCATCCTCCACGTCTGCCCGATCGGAGCTGCCCTGTTGTAGCCACGAGTTTGGTCATTACGCTGCCTCAGTTCACGGCGAACTCCGAGAAAGACTTACCACTGCGGGACGTTCTTCCCGATGCCCCATTGACAAATCCAGTATGCGATGTCGCGCCCCGTGTTTTTAAGCATGGCTGCCATCTTCTCGAATCGGTGAGAACTCTGCGACTCTTCCGAATCCGAGTCCACCATGGTAGTCGAGGATGTAGAGTAGCAGTTGTCATACCTAGTCCAAGTCAGCGGGCTTAGTATTATAGGGCATAAGGATTTGGGCATTCACTCATCCGTACTTTAGTGAATCACCGCCCCAGTCCGCAAAGGACTGCGCATCAATCTCTTCATAGCCTAGACAAACAGAGCATAATTTAGCAGCCGGTCAATGCATCTCGCCTTAACTCTATCCCTATTCCAGTGCCAGAACATACCTAGAGATGCTGGAAGGTCGGTCGATCCGCATTGAAGATAACCAGCCCCAGAGTAAAGACCAAACTTGAGACCGAGACCATGAATGAACTCTCCAAGCGCGACAGGTCCCGACGGGAACAAGGTCGGATTCCACTGCAGCCTCCCCTGGGCGTCGCGGTTTTTAGCAGGCCACCCGCAGTCCACCGTTACCGAGGAGTAGCCCAAGTCGGCGAGACCCAGATCCACGAGAGCCTGGGCGTTGGTCCTGATGACGCTCTCGCGGGGTTGCAGCCGTAGGTGTTGTAGCTGTTCCATCCCATCGGCGGCGTAGATCCCGCAACGCCTTGGCCGTGGACGCCAAGGGCCAGGCTGGACGCGAATGCGAGAAAAAGATTCAAAGACATTATAGCAGAGACTTGAAGCAAGAGATCTGTAGGGAAACGGGCTTGACGGTTGGGCAGTTGAGGTTGCGTACACAAAGAAAGAAGAAATGAAGCCGGCTAAATATATCAAAGCCTCCCCTCGCCCGCGCAACCAGGCCAATTAGTAACTCGAACAGCATATGGGGATATTATTGTGAAAGGCCTTTTTGTTTCCCATCCCGTATAAATTCGGGGTCCCTTTGAACAAGCGCGGGCGTTTCTACTGGCGCGCATCCCGCCGGCTCCCCGCATGCCGACCTTGGATGACGCCTGGCATACCATCGCCGAATGCCACCTTACCCGATCTACATATCCACGGGACATCTGACGGATTGACCGCCCAAAACGCTGAAAGCAATTGAAAGCAAAATGAATTGGAGTATGGGCAACAGTTCCGTGCACATGCACGCACGAGTAGCTATGCGTGCCCTGCGTGCCTGTTTTTCATCTCTTACGTACTACATCTAATCAAATACAATGGCGGCCTTGATGCAAGTCTTGTTACGTATAGCATCCAGAGCATCTGCATATTCCTCCAGTCTAAACGTCTTGTCCACGATTCCCTTGACGTCAACGACACCGCTTTCGAGGTAGTCGACGCTTCGTTGCATGCACCACGTTTGCGAAAAGGATCTATGAGGGAGTTTGAATGTCAGCAATGATGAGATCGACAGTGTTTAACTACCCCGAAGCCTTACCCCATGATTGTGATTTCGTCACGGAATACTTTGGACGGAGAGAGGTTGATCACCGCATCTCGCTCATACACCCCATAGTATAATAGTTTCCCGCCTCTAGTGCAATACTCGATAGCCATCTGCACCATCTCCAAAGACCCAGACGCTTCGACTACAACATCGAAACCATACGGATACCGCTCCTTCAGGCTCTTCCACTGGGGCCCCGGGTCACGACGATCGAGCTCCAGATATTCATCCGCGCAGTTGAGGCGCTTGGCCAAGTCCATCTTGGGCCCCGCATTCGACGCGAGAACGAGCCGCTGGCCTCCGTTGGCGCGAAGCAGCTGCGCGAGACACAGACCGGTGGCGCCGGAGCCGATGACGAGGATTTTGGATCCGACGTCGGGGCGGATGCGGTCGAGGCCGTGGACGGCGCAGGAGGCGGCTTCGAAGACGGCGGCCTCTTCCCAGGACAGGTTGTTGAAATGGAAAAGTTTGTCGGCTGGGTACACGCAGTACTCGGCGAAACCTCCATCCACTATAAGACAGGACGGGGTGCGTTGGTAGCTAGCTTACACCAAGGGTAGACGGGGGTGCAACACCTACATTGTATGCCGTGCGCTGCGAAGCTCTCGCAATACAACTGCTTCCCCTTCCTGCAAAAGTGGCAGCTCCCGCACGTCTCGGCATTATCCGCCGTGACCTTGTCACCGAGCTTGAACCCCGTGACGGCGGAACCCATCTTAACGACGATGCCGCTCGTCTCATGGCCGGTGATGACGGGCATCCGCGATGCAAAGTCGCCGTTGTGGATGTGGAGGTCGGTACCGCAAACACCGCATGACTTGACTTGGGGATGATAAGCTTCACCTTCTTTTTGTCCTCTCTCCCGTGTAGGGAAATCTTGTGTTGGGTTTGCTGGGCTGGGTGGGTCATACCTTTGACGAGAATTTCGTGAGCTCGGGGCTCGGGCACTGGTATTCTTACAAGGGAAAAGTCCTTGACTTTGTTATACCGTATCGCCTTCATCTCCTCTGGGATGGTAAATGTGGTAGCCATTTGTGGTGCCGGTTATTCGGGTGGCGTCCAACCGCAGGTATGGACAAAGAGCTGTAAGTTGAACGAGCCCGGTCTCTCCGTGTACTGTATCCAAGATTCTCTTTCGCCCCGATCCAACCAAAACGATACTATAGACGTGAGATTCTAAACTGCAATCATGTGTATTGCAGAGACCCCTATTTCATAACATTTGGGCAGATATTTTCCCCATTTCCTTCATCAAGAGCCTTGTGAAGGGTTCGACGTCTGCTAAGCGCACCAGTCAACGGCCAGAAGATATTGTCAACTGTCGTCGGCCAATGCTGAACGAAGGCGGGCCGCCAGAGACTGACAGCGTTGGGAAAGCACCAGAACCCATCATGAATCTGGACTTCGATTCCCGCCCACTGATAAGTACAAGACACTGCTAAGGTTGGATTTCAATATTCCTCGCTCACTTAATCAAATCAAGGGTCTAGCTTGCTTGAACCAGGCAGATGGTCCGCTAGATACAAGTTGGGATATGGTAAGACGGACGAGTAGTGATCTAGCGCGAGGCACCCTTTCCAGGTTTTCGTCTCGAATTCTACTAAAGACTACCTGCACAATAAAAACCAGCTGTTCAGCTTCCGCTTTTTGACTTCAAAACAATTTCAACGAGCTGGGACTAGTTTTAGGGCTACTCATTCGGAATAATCCAATGCTAATGCCTCTAGACCCCAGGGCTCCCGCATCTCCCGCCTCGTTCAGTTTCCCGTCCTCTCGCGTCTCTTGATCTTGATAGTCGCTAAGGCGCGCATTCAATCCATTGATATGGCCCCCTTGCTCGAACTTTGGGCTAGCGTAAAATATCCTAGAAGGCAATGAGGCATGTAGCCCGGCGACTATATGCTTGATTTACAGCGTATTTTGGGCAGTATATATCATTCTAATGGTCTACGCACCAACTAGACTGAAGGGTCAACTTGCGGATATCTGCATATGCTCGCATGCGTAGGCGATTGGGCATTTTTGCATGCTGCATCACCCCGCTCTTGTGTAACTTACGAGAGCCTGGTCTCCTCCATGTAGAAAAAGCCATCTGCCGGTGCTAACACTATAGACTACCTTCTCACCTTTTTCCCCTTCTCTCCCCTTTTCTCCCCTTTTTATTTCAGTCCCTATAAACAGTATATCTATCCTTGGTTTCCCGCGAACTATGTCAAATCCCCTGCAGTATACAGTCGGCTGGATCTCGGCCCTCCCGACCGAGTCTGTCGCTGCACAACAGTTCCTCGACGAGCGACATGAGGGCCCTGAAAGCGTTGCCCAGAATGACAATAACGTATACACCCTGGGCAGGGTCGGACGACACAACGTCGTGATGGCTGTCCTGCCTAAGGGTGAGTACGGAACGACAACCGCGGCCACGGTAGCGAGGGACATGCTACATAGCTTTCCCAACGTGCGTATCGGCCTTATGGTTGGTATTGGTGGCGGTGCGCCAAGTTGGAGGCATGATATACGCCTCGGCGATATTGTGGTTAGTACTCCTCAAGGAAGTATAGGTGGGGGTTTCCAGTACGACTATGGGAAGACCATTCAAGACCAGGCTTTCCACTATACAGGATTTCTAGATAAGCCACCAACAGTGCTTAGAGCATTAGCCGGATTAAGGGCGAAGTACGCACTTGAAGGCCACCAGCTTGGAGAACAGGTGGCTCAGATTTTAGAAAAGAAGCCGCGACTCCGAAAGAATTACTCACGGCCACAGGCGATGAGCGACAGACTATACCTATCCCACATTGTGCATCCTTCGGACTCATCAAAGAGCTGCACTGAGGTGTGTGATGACAATCCGGAATATCTAGTAGACCGACCAGAGCGACGTGAAGAGGAGGATGATCCCGCAATCCATTACGGATTGATTGCGAGTGGAAACCAACTAATGAAGGACGCGCGTATTCGGGATAAGCTAGCCGCGGAAAATGATGTCCTATGCTTCGAAATGGAGGCTGCAGGGCTGATGAACCACTTCCCTTGCCTTATCATCCGCGGTATCTGCGACTATTCGGACTCCCATAAGAATAAGGAATGGCAAGGCTTTGCTGCGATGATGGCGGCAGCATATGCAACGGATCTTCTACGTCAAATAGCTCCAGGTAGAGTCGAAGGTGAAAGGAAGATCGGCGATATTCTCTCCGGTAATTCTAGGGTCTTATAATTATCCTATCAATATATACTAATCTGATTTTAGGCCGCTACGAAATTGCAGAAAATCACGGGGATATTGCAATGGAGCACCGGGACATAGCTGAGGTGCAGCTCCAAGGCCAGAAAGATCAAGCCAAGGACAAGCTACCTGAAAAAGAGGTTGTAGCTGGCTCTATTGGTACGCAGAACAGAGTCACTCCACAGCTGTCGCGGGATGTCTTAGATTGCCTCATGTCGCTGGCCTTTCCAGGAATGAATGAGGGCTATTATGATGTTGCCGATGCCGTCACAGGGACATGTGAGTGGCTGCTTCAACACAATAGCTATATGCAATGGACCCTTCACGATCACGGCCTCCTCTGGATCAAGGGGGCGCCGGGCTCTGGGAAGTCAACATTACTGAGATATATTGTCGATAACTATGAAGTTGGACATGGTGACCTGGTTCTGTCATTCTTCTTCCAAGGTCATCGCGATAGATTAGCAAGGACTCCTCTTGGCCTCTTCCGATCTCTCCTTTCTCAGGTCCTTGGGCGTGCCCCCGACACACTGCCAGAGCTCGTCGACATTTTCAAAAAAGGTGTCTGGAGATTGGCGAGGCTGGTGAAAAATGGCAATGGCATCAAAAAGAACTATGGGGTTTCCTCGAGTTATGTCTTCCGAGGGTCCTCAAAGCCCACTCAGTCTGGTTATTCATCGACGGACTTGACGAATGCGGCGAAGACAATGCGGTCGAACTAGCGGAGAACTTCGAATCTCTTTCTAAAAGTCTTTCCAAAAGTCTGAAGTCATTTAATACGAAGTTCCATATCTGCTTTACTTCTCGACACTATCCGAATCTAGATTTTTCCTGCCGGTTCGAAATTTGGCTTGAACGTGAAAACAAGGTGGCTATTTCCACTTACGTGGCTAGCCAGCTTTCTGAGTTCCGTTTACGGACATCATCCGAGATTTCAGATTTAATCACGGATCGTGCCCGAGGCGTTTTTATGGGCGCATCTCGCGGTAAGAAACGTCCTAGAACTTGAGCGTCAGGGTGTCGGATCAAAGGAAATCGAAGCAGCAGTCTATTCTAGCCCTCGAGGCCTTGATGAACTTCTGCTTGCTACTAGTGAGGCCGAGGTTGATTCAAAGAATAACTATCGGACGCTGCCCTCGCTCAATGACACGGACGTTCAGTCGGAAATCTCAGATATAAGTGGTGCCAGCACAGTCAACACAGCCCTTACTGCCCTTACTGCATATACCGCAGTCTCCACAGCGGGCAACGATCCACTCCAGGCGGCTGCCACAAAACTTGCCGACTTCCTATTTCAAGATCCTGATCTCCAACCTCTGTACTCGCAAGTGATTCGAGAATTTGGGGACCTTCGATTTTCCTCGAATCATAATAAATTGCTGCGGATATTCATAGAAGACTTGCGGAGATCTGCAAATAGTCCAATGCTAGAGCAGGCTATGGACTTTTAGGACAAAAGCGATTACGGGCACAAGTTACGGCTAGAATACGTCGACTAAATGCTTTAGAGTCGAGCCATTTGGTGGAAAACCAGAACTTCAGTAGAATTCTGGACCAGAAAGAGGATCGCGACTATACTCTCAATCGCCTCCTCTCTCAGCAGCGAGTGACCAGCGGAACTACAGAACATCCCAAGCATCATGACGAAGACAAAACTATGAAAACGGACTATGAGCGGGCTGCAGAATCCGAAATTAGCGACGAAGATGGAGAGCAGGATGATAGTCGAGACGACGAAGTGGGTGAATTCCCCCTGCTAGACAGCATATTCAAGTTTCTCGCAGCTGGACCTCCCCTTCAAACTCTAAAATCCAATCTCGATTGCTTCGTTAATCCTCCTACAACCATATCAGAAGCATTAGATAAGAGAAACATCCGAGCTCTCAGACGCCTGCTTCGGAAACAGTTCGACAGTATTGCCCAGGATAACTATTCCTGGCTTCGAGAACTGGAAGATCTCGGCCATACGCGAGATGAGATTGCGCAGTTGTTGCTTGAAGAGGCTAGTGATTCTCCGTGGATTTATTTAACTCTAGTTTCGGAATCGACTCTTGTAGCTGAGGTTCAGCCCTTACACCACATACCCGGATGTGTCCATAAGCTATCCTCGATTTCTGATTGGGTTCGAGATGCGACTAGTTTTCCAATTGCTGCTGACGTAGGAGATTCATCTCCTCCCTTGGCAGAAATTCAGCTCCTCTGTGGCTTAGGAGGTATTATCCCCTCTACCCGCGATCAAGAGAAGTGGAACGGATCCGTCACCTTTAAAGAAGAGAATACCATTGCCCTCATCTCATTCGCACACCCGGATCCTTACCAAGTGATTTCCCGAATTATCAATGCTCTTGAAAATTTTCACATGGCACTAGGACTGGCTCAGTCTGCTGGTCTTTGCTGCGAGTCATTCACCATTCTACGACCCAATAGAGTTCCGAGAGAGGACAGCTCTGCTGATTCACAAGTGGAAGTATACCGTGTTTATTTCTGGCTAGTCGTTGAGATGCTAAAAGAAATTAGACTTTCTAATAATCCAGACGCCCAAGATATCAAGGTCCCTGCTGTCACACAGCTACTCGAGGATCTCTTTCCAGGAATCAGGAGACGATGTTTCCCCTAGAGACCGGAACTACTACGAATCTCCACCTATGTTGTTTATCTGTTCAGCTTTTGTGTCTAGGATTTCAGTCTTACCTTGTAGCCCATGTTGGCCCACTTCGGCTGCCTTTCCTGGACACGCCAATCAAGAAAATCCAGCTCCTCGGGTCTCAAACGACTCCTGGTCCGTACCCAATCGTCGAGGCTAACCTAAAGGCGTTAACATGCATTGGGGATATGCTTCAGGGCCCTGTGCTTGTTTTCAGTCCCTTTCAGTTGGAAGGACACGCTTCCGAAGTTCTAGGGAACCCGGCGCTGGCACAATTCGACTTGCTAGCGAGTCCCGAGGACTTAATTGATACGTGGGGTCCCGGCCAGTTTGTTGTTCCTATCACACAAAGCAAGCTACCATCTGCCATCAGGATTTGTGGCGGGTTTATTTACGAATCTGATCGAGACCGCAGGATATTCCACTGGTGCCGTTATGCGACTCCTGGCCAGTTCTGCCAAGGCGAGCTAGACCCTCGGGTTAAAATTCGAATTGGAGCGCATGTTACGGTGAATGACAACTGTAGACTCGACGAAGGACAGCACCGTGGTCATTGCTCCAATCTACTTCACTCCTTAGACACACATCCACCAGGTTGGATCCTTGCAGAAAAACAGTTTGGCTTTCAAGGCGGCGGCGACTTCGCGTTACTCCATGTTACTGCCGGCTACCACCGGTATCCCGGCCGGACTTTGAAGCAATCGTATCTTGACAGGCCGGATGAGGAACTTGTAACGCTTTTAGAGGATTACTGGGGCGTCCAAGTGAGCTTGTGCACTGGAATTGCGCGACGCGTGTCGCTACGCGCGATGGTGGCAGACCTTCTCCCCATATTCGCTGCCAGCCTCACCCGCAGCGAGGACTGCGTATCATGGGAGAGCCTAGAAAGGGATCACAGTATTCACGAAGCCTTCCGACGTGACAACCTCAAGCTTTGGCTCCGAAATTTGAACATGCAGCTCTATGGTCTAGTCTTACGCGGTATTCGTGGTATCCTTGACGCGCTGCGCAAGACTGGACTTGACCAGGAGCGTAAATCGCTCCTCGTATCGTGGCCGTACTCTAACGACATGCTTCGCTGCTTCAGGATCGACCTCGGGCAGCGCGAAAGTTCCTGGGCACGACTCATCGCTGATTCGGAGGACTGCGCGACATTTGCGTATGTTTCGCCCAAATGCCTTGAGACCCCTGAGAGACGATGTCGGGGTCCCGATGGTTTGTGGTGCAATTCCATCCCACTGCTCGAGACGGCCGTCATGACTTGCTCGGCGCCCAGCCCAGCGCAGACGGCAACAATAGCTTCACGCACGTTGCTCGACGGGCAAAGATACTACTTTGGGAAACTGGGTAGAACCGTGGTTGTCAAGGCAGTGAAGTCGAATGCCATGGTAGCGAGACTTGAGTCGAGCGAAATTCCAGATAGGTTTATGTACCGGATGCATTCTCTGAAAGGACGCTTGCCGATGCTCCGGGAGCGGAGAATTCTTCAAGAACATGCAGAGATTGTCACAATGCTCGCGTCAAATCGGTAGCTTAGGTCGCTTTTTCTAAAAGAGATTCCAACACTAGGACTATAAGGGTGTCGTCACCTGGAGTGGAGGGGTACAGCATACGCGGACAGGTAGGGAGGTCTTAGAGGATAGGCCTAGTCGATAGTAGGAAGGTATTTCTTTCTTAACTAATCGCTACTCCCCCTCCTTCTATTCCTTCTTTCTTTATTCTTTTTATACTTATTCTCTATAGGTCTACTATCTATCCACTCTATATTTCCCCTCCTCTATTTTTACCTCTTTTATAGGTTTCCCTCTTTTAGCTTTTACTTTTCTATTGCCCGCTTTTTCTCTACTAGGGGTTTCTACTAGTTTGCTCTTAGGTATATCATAAGCGACCTAGAAGAAGGCCTGTTATAACTTTGCTGGCGTCGCCAGCTGTCGTCAGTGAACAAGGGTTCGCTATAGGTGGAAACGTTCGCAGCCTGTCTGCAAAACAACGTCGTCGACTGGTTACCATTAGTTCCCAGTCGATGCAGCCGGTTACCGTTGGCTCCCGTGGCTACTCGATGATTGACGTGTAGACTGTCTAGTTCACTTATTCCTGATGTTGATTGACGAGCGGGAATACTTGCTGATTATAAGTAGTCAGGATTCACCTTGAATAAGGTCTTTATTATATGACCTCTTTATATAATATACCTCTTTATATATATAATTAAAAGCTAGTTCAGCTTTTATATTTTAAACTTGAAGTTATTTCTAGACTAAGTCACTATGGGGCCTAAGGATAGTGTAGTGTTATTCTATTAAGGTACCTATCCTTTAGGGTTAGAGGACTATATTATAACCAGCTGAAGGAGGGGGCCGCTGAGGGCGGACATAAGGGACAGAAAGGGATCAACCTCGGAAAAGCAGCCCTCGAGTAGAAAAAGTCTCACGACTGGGTCCTTAGGAGTAGGCTGCCTGGGGTGGATGTGACGTTTCAACACTGGGATAGGTGGGAGTGGCTGTAAGTGTTAGAGTGTAAGGAGGATCGGGCCTGTATGTGGCGCAGTGAGGCAATCAAACAGTACTAAGATATCACGATATGTAATACGTATTCAAGTGTCGATGTCGGGTGACTTGAATTGACTACTAGAAATGACATCGAGCTGCCTTTCTTCTAAGGTTTACCTCCTTATATAGACCTTCTTTCCTCAATCGATCCTCTAGTTTTTCTCGCCAGCCATCCTTCTTCTGTCCAATCAGCAGGCGCCTCTGTTCGGGCGGGGTTGGTTTGGACAAGATTTAGCAGGCACTCACTAATTACTTTGAGAAAAAGACGAAGGAGCACGCACAGCAAAGGAGCAGCTTGGACCCATTGGGAAGAGATGAGAAGATATTAATAAAAGAACCACCGAAAAGAAGAATGAAACCATCGAGTCGCCATTTTGGTTTGGGATAATTTCTTCTTCATCCCCTTCGTAAGGCTTATCGATAAAAAATGCCGTTCCCACAATTGAGTCTCCATTTTTTTCTCCCAAGAGAGAGTGAATAATAATACCGCCTTCGATACCGACCCTCGCTACCGAGCCGCGGATCGAGGACCCTGTCTCAGGCCCCACAACACAAGTCCCAATTAGGCCCAGGGCGTGGACCGGGCCCGCGAATCAAAACCCACGGAATTAGCGGCCCAAAGCCGTGTTATCTCCCCGGCACACCGGACCGGGGCGAGGTCCAAGTCTGGCTGGTCGGCAACTTCACTCCTTCCCCCTCAACGCTAAGCAGACAGGCTGGGGTAATCCAAAACCAATCGCGCACGGGTATCGAAATCTGCCCCATGGGGCTGGCTGGTTGGCGAATGTCTATATATCTATTCCCCGCGACACCGATGCCCCGGACTCATGTTCCCACTTCCATGCTCGACCTGACCACTTTTCGTCATCGTCGTCTCATTCCTTCATTTTCATTCTTTCCTTCTCAAACCACCTCTCCCCCTTGTCCCCTCCAGTCGTGAACCTCGCAAAGAGAGTGAGATTTAGCCCGCAATGCCGGCCCGCATTCACAAGTCCCCCTTCCGGGACCTCAACCTCGTCCAAGACGACCTCCTCTCCTTCCTCCTCTCCAACTCGCGCAACCACCCCGCGGACAAGCCCCTCTTCGTGGACGCCATCTCCGGAGAAAGCTACACCTACGCCGAGACGATACGGCGCACCAAGTCTCTCGCCCATGGCCTACGCCAGCTCGGCGTGAAGCCCGGCGACATCGTCGGCGTCTTCAGCCCCAACAGCATCGACTACCCCATCATCTGCTACGCCATCCTCGGCTGCGGCGCCATCATCTCCCCATGAACGCCGCCCTCACCGTCACCGAGGTCCTCCACCAACTCACCGTCAGCGGCGCCCAGTACATCATCGCGCACGAAACCCTCATCGACACCGCCCGGACCGCGGCCGCCAAGGGCACCAAGTTGCGCCACATCCTGCGGGATCGCGTCCGGTCCGCCCCCGCGCCGGCGACGAGATCGTGGCCCACGAGCTCGCCACCACGTGTCCCTCCACGGAACCTCTCGTCTCCGTACCCAAGGAGCGTCTGGCCACCCAGCCGGCCTTCATCTGCTTCTCGTCCGGCACGACAGGCGCGGCCAAGGGCGTCGAAATCTCCCACAACAACGTCACGGCCAACATCCAGCAATGGCAGGAGCTCTACTACTCCGAGGTCGCCCCCAGCCCCACGGCCGTCGCCTTCCTCCCCTTTAGCCACATCTACGCCATCAACGCCATCATCTGCGGCGGCCTCTACCGCGGCACCACCATGGTCGTGCTGCCCCGCTTCGACCTCGACGTCTACCTCCGCAGCATCCAAAACTACAAGCCCGACGAGCTGCACCTCGTGCCCCCATCGCCCTGATGCTGTGGAAGGACCCCCGCTTCGCCAAGTACGACCTCAGCAGCGTGCGCCGCATCATGTCGGCTGCGGCGCCCTGAGCGCCGAGCTCGGCGACGCCGTGGAGAAGCGCTTCAAGGACGCCTACGGCACCACGGTGCACTGCCACCAGGGCTGGGGCCTGACGGAGACGAGCCCCGCCGTCACCGGTATCCACACCAGCCACTGGCACATGCGGAGGACCGTCGGCTGCGTCGGCCCCAACATGGAGATCCGCCTCGTCGACAACGACACGGGCGAGGACGTCACGGACTGGGCGCAGCAGGGCGAGGTGTGGGTGCGGGGCCCTAACGTCGTCATCGGCTACTACGGCAACGAGGAAGCCACTAAGGAGTCGTTCCACGTCGACGAGGAGGGCAGGCGGTGGTTCAAGACGGGCGACATCGCCACCATTGACGCCGACGGCTTCGTCGTCATCCGCGACCGCATCAAGGAGATGATCAAGTACAAGGGTCTGCAGGTTATCCCCAGCGAGCTCGAGGGCAAGCTCCTGCAGCACCCCACGTCGAGGACTGCGGCGTCACCTCGCTGTGGGACGAGAGCCAAGCCACCGAGCTGCCCGTCGGCTTCGTCGTCCTCAAGGCCAGCGCCCTGGGAGCGGACGCTACTCCCAAGTCCGTCGTGGACGGCATCCACGCTTGGCTTAACGAGCGCGTGGCCAACCACAAGAAGCTCCGCGGTGGCATCCGCGTCGTGGACGCCATCCCCAAGAGCCCTAGCGGCAAGATCTTGAGGAGGGTGCTCAAGGACTCGCTCAAGGCCAAGCCCACGGCCTCCAAGTTGTAGTCGTGTCGCGTGTAAGAAAACAAATCGAGACCAGGAGGGATTTTATCTCGGCTTCTCTTCGTTTAGCATCATCTGGGTCCAGGCGTTCGGGGGTATCTAGAAAATCATCATCATAGCATCGTACAATATCGAAGACTTGTTACAAAAAGAAATCTCTGCCAAAGTGTGGTGTTTAGTGAAGTCTGATTACCAATAACCCTGTGAGGGCGTTGGTTAGTGAACAGAATGGAGGCTGAGGTCGTGTGAGGGAGGAGAGATGACATGGCCATGTCAGTTGGTCTTGGTCCAATGGGAATCAAATTTGCAAGCGTGGGGTGGTTTGGCTCGATGTCCCAAGTATCAGCTGGCTTTTCAGAAATCTCGAACATCCATGCAAGGTGCGAAGAGAAAAGAAATTGTTGTCATTTATCTGTCATTCTATGTACACTATCCTACCTTGGGGCATCACCTCGATCACTGCCTCCATGAGCAGCTACATAATATCGAGGAAGACCAAGAAGCCAGTCCACGTCATCGCGATGGATGGCCCCGGGCCTTTACATGATGAATCATCCCCATACCCCCTTTACTTTATTACCACTTCCCATCCCCCACATTCATCAAGTATGTTTACGAAAATTTGCGACCGAAAAGCACATATCTCCTCCGCGCCCCACCGTTCGGCGTCTCGCCACCTCCATGCACGCCCGCCGCAAACTTGCGAACCTCGCGACTGCTCATCTCCCCGCCCTAGCCAGCAGCGGCGCCGCCTCGGGCGTCTCGGACACCTGAGCAATCGTCAACCAAGAGTTGTGCAGGACGCTGTACTTTGTGCGAGAAAACATGAGCCACACCAGCAAGTAGATGACGAGCTGGGCGGCGATGAGGCCCATGACGATGATGTAGCCCGTGCGGCTTACGGGCGCGGAGGCGGCCTGGATAAGGGCGAGCTCGGACACGGAGGGCTGGGTAAAAGCGTTGGCGAAGCTGTGGTAGATTTGCCGCATGAGGATGGTGTTGACGGCCTGCAGGGCCATGGCGGGGAGCCCGTGTCGGCGATGATGTCGCGCACGAGGCCGTGCAGAAAAATGCTGGACAGCAGGACGTCGTCGGTCTGCGGGCAGCCGGAGCAGTAGAGCACGCTGATGGAGAGGGGCACGCGAAGCGCGGATTCCATGTAGGTGGTCGTGTCATTACCAAAACCCTCGGTGTTGTTGAGGCTCATCTTCTTGACCTTTTCGAGGTTGTCGTAGAAGCTGTCCTTGTCCATGGCGAGGATGCCGCGGTCGTCCAGGCTCACGCTGTCCTTTGTCGCGCCGAGCTGCCTCTGTACGTCTTCGTGCCTGTACATGGCGGCGCCCGAGTCCCATTGCAGGGCGCCCGGCTCCATCTTGCGGTTCTGCGGAGGGCCGGAGGCGGAGATGTTGAGGTGTCTGACCAGGGGTTTCTGGGTGCTACGCGTGTGCCGACGCTTGTTAGTATGATTCAGGGGACGCGGCGCGTATACGCTGGGCTTTGGTCCACGGAGATACAAAAGGTATGTGGATAAAGCAAGGGTGAAAATGGAAACAACTCACTAGACTGGGTGCGTGCAAAACGTCATGACGCCGATAAAGTCCCTCAACGACGACGCAGGCCTGGTGGTCTTGCCACCGGTACCACCGGTACCGTCCTCGGTGACCTTGAAGGGGATCCACACTCCGGAATCGGTAGGCGGCGTCGTCGACTCCGAGTAGAATTCGCTTTCGGTGGCCTTGCTCAAGGTATCGCGCATGCCGATGAAGACGTAGCCGGGCGCATACTTCAAGGCGTCTTCGCCGGTGGCCTCGTGGTAGTACCTGGGATCCAAACTCGAGTACCTGGGCTGGGCCCCGGTCGGCGAGCACACGCCGTAGGAGAGAGTCGAACCCATCTCGTCGGCGAGGATGGAGCAGCGGAACTGGAAGTTCTTGGGGCCGGGAAAGGGAAGAGGCAAGACGTCGTCGATGGTACCATTACCGCAAAACTCAATCGTCGAATCGGTCATGATGGGTTTGCACTCCTTGATGTCGGTGATCTTGGGGCGCACGCACGTGGTCCGGAAGTCGTTGACGTAGCCCAATCCCTCGTACTCGCCGATGGACTGACGCACGTCCGGGTCGGAGATGGGCAGGAAAGCGCGCCACAAGGGGCCGGTATCGTCGACGGTGTCGGACACGAGGCGGTTCTCGGGCTCGGCGTACTCGGCAAACGTCTCAAAGGTGTTGGGCATGATCATGCGGTAGGGGATGCTATTGGCCCGCACGGGATCCTGCAGGGAAAGGCCGCTAAAGGTGTAGTTCATGGGCGTGGGGGTGAGAAACCCCATGACGCCGTCGATGCGCACGTCGGAGAGGAGGATAGTGGACGTGAACTGCGAGGCAATGGTGCACGCGGCGAGCAGCGCGATGAGGACGGTGGCGGGCAGCGTAAACGTGCGACCGCCCGCGGCGGACTTGAGAAGCGCCTGCGGTCCGCTGTTGGTGAACCGCGCGATGGAGAGGACGGCGATCTTGTCCAGCGGCACGCCGGCCCTCTCGATGGCCACGGCCGCGAGCATGGCGGTGACGACGGAGCTCAGGGACGACAGGGCGAAGCGGATGAAGACGGCGACGGTGGTGATGATGCGGATGGCGTAAGGGCCGAGGAAGAGCTTGCGCCAGGCCTCGTTCTCGCGCGAGCACAGCCAGATCCACGATAGAAGCCCGACGGCGACGACGAGGAGGACGATGGAGACGAGCTGGAGCAGCATCAGGTAGCTGCCGAACCTAGCGAATATGTTCTTCCGCCTGGCGCTCGGCGGCGGCTCCTGCGGCTTCATCGGCATGCCGCCGCCGCCCATGTACGCATTTGGCTCTGGGTTGTAGGGTCCGGCGGGGGTAGTAGTAGGGGAGGGCGCGCCTTGGTTGACCGCCGCCATGCCGTCGTTTTGCGGCGGGTAGCTGTTGGCTAGAGTATATCCCGACGCCATGAGTGCCTATCCCTTTGGTGTATTCCTCTAGGCAGGGGACTGGGCGAGTATTACCGAGGGGAAGTGAAGGACCAAAAAAAAAGAAAGAAAAAGAGACAACTAAAAAAGAAATCTACAAAAGAGAACGAGGAAACAGACGGTATTAAAACGAGAGATTCACGATCACCGGCTTGGCACGGAAGCTAGCCCTAAGATGAGGTGACGAGGGAAAAGAAAGAAAAAAACCACGCCAAAAAACGAAAAGGGATGGATGGGATCTTTGTATATCCATCGCAAACCCCCATTTGCAGGCATAGAGCTGAGTTCGTGGGCCTGCACCCGCTTGCTTGGCGCGCCCTCCTCCCTGTCCGTATAGGCGCCCTCCAATCCAGCGCCTTTCCTCTTCCGGGGGCCAGGCCTAGCCCCCAACGATCCAAAGTCGATTTAAGCATACATGGGGGAAGAGTTCACCAAACAATGGCGGCCTCCCCTTAAAAATCTTTGCCTGTGAATTGTCGCTGTTGGTCGCGAGGCTTCACGTCAAGGGGTAAACCTGGCGGAACCCAGCGTTTAGGATCAGCCACTGCCTCCACGATCCAATCTCATCTGGCACCAAGCGCTTCCCGTCCACTCGTTGCCGCACTAGCTCGACTTTTCCCATCTCGTGTCAGTCACTCGTTGTTTCACCCACGATCCGCTCAGGGGGCTGCGTCAATTTTTTTCCCAATTGTCTTCTGCTTCTTCCTCTTTTTTGCGTCTTTCCTCCTTTTGCGGCTGGAGAAGGATCCAGGCTTGGGCTAATCCAAAAGGGCCGCATGGGGCCAGGCCAGTTGGGAAGTCGTCGGCCCCCTCCACAAAGGACCCCTCAAATACTAGGCGAGAACAGGCAGAACCCTGGGACATGCTCCCATTTTTTCTCCCTCTCGTCCCTCGGGCTCGATCTGGTGCTGTACTCCGTGACTGTTCGGGAATGGCCAATCTGTCGGTGCAATTTCCCAGATCCGATCCTGCCTCCCCTCGTCCGTTGTCGGATAGGGTTTGCCCAATCGCCGCCACGTAGGGAATGGAGACCAACCACATCACCACATCAAACGCCCCACCCGCATCGTGTCTGTGCCCAGACGGCGGAAATTCGACACATGTCGTGGCCACTGCGCAGGCACCGCCGCTCTTGGCATCTGTGGCTTGTTGGCAGCGGTGCAGGGTGGCGCAGGCTCGTTGCAGAGCTGCTTAAGGGGGACGATGAGAGATTAGACTGAATGGATGTTTCAAATTCTTTGCTTCGGCTTTCACGGCTTTCATTTCCCTCTGCAAGTTAGTTCATAATTCTTAGCGCTTCTTGCAGCGCACCAGATCTGCCCGTGGATGGGAGTTGTTTCAATCGTCTCTTTTTTCTTGTCTTTTTATTCCTTTTTATTTTTATTTTTTTAAGTTGCAAGGGTGGTTCCCTTTCCCCATCTCGACAACAATTCAGATCAGTAAGTAAAAAGCGACTCGTCATGACGAGAAATCGGATATTCATCGAGTCCGTACGTTTCGTTGAGAGAAACTTTCGTCACCACTTCCCCATCCTCCATCCTCACCCAAGTCTCGACACCCATGTTGCGGTTCCCTCTAGCCGGAACCGAGAGCTGGAGGATCCGCGCACCTCGATCCCACGACCCGTACCCCCGTAGCCCGTATGCTTGGCGAAGCATAGAAAAGGAGCGGAAGATGCCCTGTCCTCGCCGGGCCAGGTGCTACACCACGAGTCGCCGTGATCATGTCCAACGTGCACGCTATGCAACGCCGGAGCCGAAAGTAGAGCGGCGACAAAGGCATCGTCCTCGGATCCCCGGCCTTGGATGTCGACGGGAACGTCTTCGTTTAACCCGGGATATCTCGATGGATCGAGGCCGACCTCTTGGGCAGAGCGAAAGACCTGTGGCGGGATATGTACAAAGGCTACACCGGGGATGTCCTCGCCGTACTCTCTACGAAGCTGCGATTGGGCGTTGGAAAACCACGAAGCCACCTCGGGTGCGACCCAGTTAGGGATATCATCAACATCAGGCGGCGAGCCCTGATATGATGCCCCACCGCGACTGTCGAAGAACCACAGGATCAGGGCGGGAGATTTGCTCTCAGCCGTCCAGACAGGGAGGTAATAGTTGGTAATTCCGGGCAAGGAATGATCGCCACTCTCCGTATAGCAAAGCTCGTAGCGTGACTCTGCCTGATAAATAGATGCCCGAGATAGATTAAACTTAGAGTCGTGGTTCCCGTACGTAGACGCCCACGGTGTCCTCGTACGCAATAGCGGCTGGACGATCTGGTCAACGTAGGCCGAGCTGTTCTCACGAAACGTGTTTTCGCCAGTAATGAGATCTCCGTTCAAGACTACAAAGTCGGGTTTCTCAGCCTGCAGGACGTTGTCCATGACTCGCGTCGAGTTGACGTCCTGCTCGATGCCCCACCCATGTTCCTCCTCGCCAAAATGCAAGTCGGCAAAGATGGCAATCGTGAACGTATTGGAGCGGGTGAGCGTGAGTGGAGGCCGTGAACTTGGGCGAGGCGAGCCCGAGACGAATGAGCGGACCCGAGCATGAGGGAACGCGGCAAGCAAGCCCGCGATCGACAGGGCACTCGCACACGCACACAAGAGTGCCAGGCGGGACCAAGGTGAAGCGGCACCACGCATCCTGCGAGATGCGGGATGCGCCAGTGTTGGAGGTGCTCCTTTTTCCACTTTCATCCCTGCGGGTCTTTTGATCGCAGGCCCCCATGTCAAGAATGGGTGGGCTTGGCTTGATAAGGCTTCAGGTGGTGGGCGGGCGGGAAAGAGACAAGCAAGACAACAAGACAAGCCCTGGGGCCAATGGGCATGTTGTGGGCTAGCAGGCAGGGCCTGGCCAATCAGAACTATTTATAATGTCACATGGATGGATCGCACCCCACTCCACCAGCTAAAGGGAAGGGACGACACGATGCGATGAAGGCCAAGATCATCGGTGGAAGGAAGTACTGAGGTATTTTTTAAGAATAATGGGTCCATGGATGCATCGACGGATAAACGACGTCCTTTCCTTAATAGTTGAGGAACCACTTCCGACGAACCGGCTACCAAATACCCGCCATCGAAGGACTTGAACATTGCTGATCCGCATCAAGCACCCCTTGCTGATACCCGAAACTTCATCTTATCGTTTATATCATCATTTCAATAGTAGACGTATCGCACATCCGACACCAAGTCCACCGCCGCCTGCCGTCCCTGCGCCTGCAGCTGATGCTGCACCGTCACCGCGTTCAACCGGCTCTGCGCCGCGCTCCGGCACCGCGCGGAGCTCTCGTCGATCCGCCTCTGCAGCTCCGGGGTACGCGCTGCAGGGAACAGATACCGTGGCACGGGGCCCTTGGCCGCCGATGGCACGTTGTAGAAGCGCAAGGCCGCGTTGAGAAACGCCAGGCAGAGGTCCGGGTCGCCCGCGTACTCGAGGCCCATGTAGTCGATAAAGCCGGCCCGCGTCAGCAGCGGCATCCCCCGTACGGGAGCTGGCGCCGCCCCGGCGCGCGCGTGACGACGGTGTGTTCGAAGCGGAAACCTTCGAGGGCGGCTTTGAACTCGTAGTCGGCCATGTCTTCGGCAGCGAACATGGGGTTCACCTTGTAGTTGTTTTTCCCTTTTATTTATTTCCGGGCGAGGACCCGTCCACCATCGTTAGCTTGGACCATTCATTGTGGCTGGCATGGGGACCGTGACGGTCAGGGAAAGGCCTGCACTCACAAATGTTGTGCTCTGTCGCGAACTGCGACGCGTCCAGGAAGCCGGAGAATGCCTCTGGAGTGATTGATCCCTTGCGCTGGGGGTCGAGCAGCACGAAAAACTCCCCATCAGGGACTCAAACGCCGGTGTGGGGTTGCCATTTGCGTAGAAGAGATGCTCGGTCCAGAGCGATGGCGGCGGCGCGGGCTGTTGCGGCGGCGGCGGGAACCCCGCGGGCGCGCCGTAATGTTGCTGCTGCTGCTGCTGCGGCTGCTGCTGTTGTGGTGGTGGCGAGAATCCCGACGGTGATCCGTGATATTGCTGCTGACTTGGTTGCGGTGGCTGTTGCCACGACGGGGCCTGTTGATACTGATGCTGCTGCGGTGGCGGTTGGTAGTACTGCTGCTGTTGCTGCGGTGGAGGCTGGTAGTACTGCTGCTGTTGCTGCCGCGGGGTGGGGGTGGAGGATAGTACTGTTGCTGCTGCTGCTGCTGCTGTCTCGGCGGAAGGGCGGGGACGCCTGAGGAGCCCCAATCTCAAAGCCGGGAGGCCGCGGGGGAATAGGAGGCGGGCCGTCCATGACCCGAGATTCACAATTGACCAACTCTACCGGCGCGGACACAATATCACGGTTTGAAAATCTACGCTGAGGCCAAAAATATGCGTTGCCAAGTCCTCCTCTTTCCAACTATCTCGTGGAAGGAGGGGTATACGGTTAGGGGATTGTTCCCATCGGATCCGGATTTCTCCCATCTCCGAATTCACAAGGGGGCTCGTGACGGGTGGGGCGGTAGATTTTTGGTTGGCTGCAAGTCGGGAAACTATTGCTCTCGTGCGTGGGTAGGATTGCAAAGAGGGACAAGGCCCAGCCCGAAAGGGGAAAAGCCTACCATTGCGGCTTGTGGCTGCAACCCTGCATTCGCCGACCAGGTTGCGGTTTGCGCTCGAATCGAAGAAAGGGAACGAGGGAAAATGTGTGTCCCCTTTTGCCCCCCTGCGGTTCGAGGAGTTGCGACTTGGCAATGCAATCCAACGTTGCAGAATCAATGCTAGAAATCTATGTGACTTTTCTTCGTTGAAGCTAACATCTCAAGTGACATTGGCAATCACTCCTTGTGTTCACATGCAGGGCCACCTGGGAGGGACCGATTCGTGGAACGCTAAATGGAAGAGGAAGAAAATTGGGGTTAATACAATCCTTCTGTGCCTAGCTAGGCCAGCAGTGCGAGTGAACCCGTAGTATCGAGCCATCGAGCACAACTACAAGTACCAACGAGCGGAACTCTCCCTACACATACTGTTGTTGAATCAAGGCCAAAATCCTGTCATGTTGCAGGGACCTGAGTGGGTATTCGGCGAGTTCAAGAAATACGTATTCTGGCTTCCAGCGCTGGGCACTGAAATGTTCCGAGATTGTGGCTCCCTTGGTGCAAATCCTTTGCATATCCAGCTGTCATGAAAGGAAAAAAGCTAATGCTATTACAACCGGCATATGATTTCAGACCGTGCCATGTCGGATATAATCGATATGGGCCTGTGATATCAAAAGACCAGCGTAGGGACTAGCTCTGGCGTTCCCAGAAGCTTTCCCTTGACCTAGACTTTCGACATTGCCATAATTGTAGCGTTTTCTACAAACACAAACCGGAGTCCGATCCTACATGTCCAAGTACTAGTTGGTATTGGCCGGGCACTAAAACAACACAGCCGGCACCAATATTAGAGACGAGGGCTTGGCCATATCAGCTAGGTGTAGTAGATAACGAGGGTTTTTGATACCTCAGGCCCTCTTCCGGATCACGATATGTTCCTGTTTCTCCTCCTTAGTATCCCAACTTGCTTCTATGACCGGCATTTAGTCACGAGTAGAGAGGTAGAAGTAGTTCTTCGAACGACCCTACGGCCACGGTAGCCGCGGTCGATGTGTTCAGAGCCTCAATGTTTGCCAACGCTAATCTATGCTCCAGTCTAATAGTGCTAAAGTTGCAAACCCGTGTAGCCATCCTCCATAGACAAACGCTATCCCATTCCAAACCCGGAGGCATCCCTCTCCAATCCCAACACATATCGTGCTATAATTCGAACTCACCTTGCTTCGGGCCGTTGTCCCCAGCCATCTACCCCGATACCCGCATGCATCTCTGTCAAACTCTCAACACGATCTTGGGGCCCAAGAGAACCGTGACTCTGGCCCAAGGTGCTCGCATCTTGCCTCTCCTTGGCTGAAGCAAGTAGCAATCCGGGAAACGCTCTAACCATCAAAGCCTTCACCGACATACCTCGACCATCGATACCGGGTATAGACGATCCATGTGTGTGTCATGGATAGGGTAGTCGATTCCAACACGTAGAGTGGCCTGGGGAAGGCATTCGTAGACAACCTGCTCCTAGAGCGTTCGATATTGGTAACGGTCGCGGTTAGGATGTTCACCTCTATCGTCTTGCACCTTTCGGATCGAAGGTTGAGGCGGCCCGATCCAAACTCCAGAGTACCGCATCATAACTTATGACAAGTGTCATAGCCATAACTCCTCAGAGGATACTCGTGCTGACAGACTGAGCCATGGATCTTCAACGCATATACTCGTGATCTCGCATACAAGGGGATACTACAGGATTACAAAGGTAGTGCAGACACCGTCTCTGCCTGTGTACGCCATGATATCCATGCTCTCTTTCATCGTTTGGCAGCCTTGACTCCTTTCATGATATCACCCGGCCATGCATGGTCTTTGATTTGGGGATGAAACTCTCCTCAATAAGGCCACAGACCCTATCCTCGATCAAATACGCCCGCACTGGAAGCCGGCCACAGCCCAAGTATTTCATTGCAGATACTCTTTTTCATAAGGATAACGTTCTCGCGTTCTCATATTGGGTTACTCTATCTCGGGGCCGTGAAGATGACCAGGTTTGGGGCATATTACAAAGTGTACAAGTCGTAAGAATGTGTTCTAGGGTCATTAGGTTCCAGGCTCTTCGGCCCCCTTGTTTCATCAAAAAGAATAAGAAAAGAAAAACACCGCATTCCATGACAAAGGACCTATTTTTCCCCCTCCCACCTCGTTGCCTACCATGAATATACTACCTCCGGGCGACGAATGCCATGAGGCCAGTTCTTCCCAGGAACCACAAGAATCCGATAAAGCGGACAAGGGATAGCGCAGCAGTGGAATACAGGAGAACCCTAAAGTAGATTGGGGTTCGGCCCTTGGATGCAGCCTGTGTTACCTCGTTAGCATACCATACCGAAAGGCTGGAAATGGAATAAGTGCCAAGAAAGAAGAGAACAAGAAAACTTACCGGCACACCCAGAGACTCAAAGTCATTGCTCGTCACGGCGGTGATGATGACCAAGTTGGTCAGAAGCCAAAAGATAACCAAACCCGTTCGGAAGGAACGGTACGAATCTTCAGGATCCTTCTTCTCGTCTTCGGGGCGCTCTTCGTAAGGGGCGAGGGCGCGGTACACCGTCTTCTTGAACTGAGAGTCGATGTCCTCCTGCTCCCTCTCCGGCTCTTCGACCATGACACCGCTGTCGGCATCCTTCCCGATCAGCACCTTGGCAGAGGGCAGGGTATCGGCCTTGTCGGAGCCCTTGGTGCCCCAGGAAACGTCGTGCCAGTTGTTGAAGGCGTAGACCATGAGGATGTTGACGTAGGTGGACATGAGAATCATGTACTGGGGAAGGAATGGAACATGTGCCAGGGATCCATGTACAAGAACGAGGCGACGTAGTTGAGGCCGTAGATGGTGATGACGGCGAGCAAGATGACGCCCGTGACGCCGCTGCCGAAGAAGCTCTGGAAGAAGGCGGCGCCGGAGCTGGTGTCGATGTCGCCGGCGGAGCTGCTGAGGGCACGGTATACCAAGTAAAAGGACAAGATAATAATGTACAGCTGGATGATGCCGAACACGGCAAAGGACGCGACGTAGGTGTACTGCGAGCCCTTGGGTCGATTTCCTAGGGCGAGAATAAACTGGATGAGGATGAAGATGATGTAGAACCAGCGGATAATGACGTTGATGATGGGTGTAGCGGTGTTGCCAAACGGCCAGGCGCGGTAGCCGGTCTCCGGATCCGGCGTACCCACGAGCTGCATGATGATGGTGGTGGTGAGGAAGTAGGAGGCGAGGGACACCCAGCTAAAGAAGACGTTGAGCACGTTGTAGATGAGCTGAATATGCAAAAGTATGAGTCGCACGATGCCGTGGCTAGATTGGTAGATGCGACCAAAGTGCATCAACGAGTAGAGGGACGCGGCAAAGGAGCCGTTGAGCCAGCGCCGGCGCTGGCTCAGGAATTCGGCGGCGCCCTCGGGGACGTCAGTCTCGCCCTTGGCGGCCTTGATGTAGCTCAGGTGCCAGCGCTGGCCGGCCTTGGCCACGAGCTCGAAGCAGAGGATGCGGTCCTCGGCGAGGAACATGTTCTTCTTGAAGATGTTCATGCCGTCCACGCCCTTTTTCCCGAGAATCTTGGACAGCGTGTGGTCGCCGTGGAAGTACTGCTCCAACGGCCGTCCCATGATGGCGCGGAAGCGGTAGGCGGAAAAGGCGCCCGGTAGGACGGTGACGTAGCCGAAACAGCTTTCCAGGGGTTTATCGAGGATGTTGGAAATCTTGTACTCGAAATTCTGGACGGCGACGAGGGGTTCAGCAACTTCTTACCCCCGGGCCCAGCATAGCGTGGATCTCGCCGCAGGCGCCGCCGAGGTTGCGGTCGTTGTAGAAGGCCTCCCAGATGGAGAGCAGGGAGCGCGGGCCCGGTTTTGTACCGGCGTCGATGAGGACGGTGACCTCGGGGTTGAGGATGCGGCCAAAGGCGTTGAAGAGCCAGCGGTGGGAGTTGATCTTTTTGCTATTCTTCTGCTTGAGGCAAAAGATGAACTGAGCGGGTGGTAGCGTGCGGGACTCTTTTTCGCCGGTGCTGGGACGCACGAGCTGGTGGTCCGGGGTGACGGAGAGCTGGCTGGTGTACTCGAAGATGTGGGCCACGGTTTCCTTCCCGTTGACGTCCTTTTGATGACGCCGTCCTGGTACACGCCAATGGTGGCGAGCACGTCGAAGACGTTCTTGTCGACCTTGTCGATGCCGTCAAAGATGATGCACACGACGATCTTGTGCCACGCGGGCCCGCCGGCGTTCCAGAACTTGGACTTCTTCAAGTTGACGATGTCGCGAATGTTCTGCATCACGCCGTGCAGCGTGCGGGCGAGCAGGACCTTGTTCTCGTTGTAGTAGGTGATGGCGACGAGCAGCTCCGTGTGGCGGTTATACAAGCGCGGGCGGAGGTTGTAGCCGTTGCTGAGCGTGAAATCGTTGGGGTCGCACGTGGCCGCCGTGTAGCGCAGGTTGAGGAACTCCTCGGGCACGCCCTCGACGTCGCGGTACTTGGGCTGCACCGAGTTCTTGACGGCGCTGGGCACGGGGTAGTCGACGCTGAGCACGGAACCCTGCACCAGCTTGATCTTGCGCGTGTTGGCCCGGCGCAGCCCGCCCGCGTTGTTGCCGTTGCCGTTGCCGTTGGCCTGCCCGTTGGCGTGGCCGTTGCCGTAGTGCTCCCCTGCTGATAGTGCTGGTGGTCGGTGGGATCCTGCTGGCGCGCTGCCCAGCTTTCCTCCGGGTCGCCGGCGAAGGAGTCCGGGCGCTCCGGGGTAAAGCTGAAGCGGTCCTCCTCGCCGCCGTATGGAGCGTATGGCGGGGCCATGTCTAGGCCGGGTAGGCTATCGACGGGCGGGCCCAATAAAGGGTGGGCATAGCTGCCGGAGTGGGTGGGTTCGAGGGTGCGGAGGGAGGGGAGGGAGGGGACGGGCGTGCCCTGGGGGTTACCTTCGGTGAGGTAAGGGTCGGATTCGGCGCTGAGGGAGTATGGGCGGCTGACGGGTCGGGGTTGGGTGTAGCCGGGGTTGAGGTGGTCCTGGAGAGACGAGCGGAACGGGTGAGACGGGGAACAAGCTATGGAAAGGGGATGAAAGGGGGAGGGGGATGGCTCGAGATGCTGGCAACTTACGTGGGACTCGGCGGAGACCTCGTCCATGGGGATTCCGCCCGAGTAGGCGTAGTCACGGTTTGGATAGCTCATGGTGAAGAGAAGAGAAGCCTCATCCACGGGGTTTTGAGTGTGGATCCGTGATCCTAGGTTAAGTCATAAGGGGTCCTCCCTCTCGAGATGTCAAGAAGTGAAGCCACTGTCTCAGGGCTTGGGAGAGGTTTCGCTGTCGGAGTAGAGGAGGAAAGCTCACCACCCACTCGAAAGCGGACGTGAGATGGGATGGGTGGGAGAAGGGAAGAGAAAAACGAGCGACGGGGTTCGAAGGATAGAGCGAGAGTGGAGAGTAAGAGGAAGAAGAAAAAAATTATGAAACGAAGGACTGAGTCGGACTTGCTGTAAACTCTATCTAGAGGAACAGGAAAGGAAATCCCAAGCTTGGAGGATGTTGGCTGTGGGTATGACGAGGGGGAATGTCTCGAGCTTAATCACACAAGAGGTGTATTGGAGGAGAAGGAAGAGAGATGTTTGGGAATCACGAAAGGCGAAGGGGAGAATTGAAGGGAAAAGACGCGGCCGTATTGGTACGGGAGGAAGGAAAATAAGCTTTTTCTTGTTTTCGCTTGCTTGTCTCACCATTTCAAAGAAAGGGCATCTCTAGCATTCACTGTTCTTTGTTGCTTGGGTCGAGACTCGAAGAATACAAGTGACATCTGGAATCCACATATTCAATGGACAAAGCACAAAGGACAAAGGACAAAGACAACAAAAAAGTATCAACAGTGTTTGCAAAACTTCTCGCACACGTCGATGGATGTAGCTCCCAAACATCCACATACAAAACAACACGAGGAATGGAAGGAAAGCTCAGCCATTTTGGCGTGCGTCAGCGATCTCCGGCTTCCAAGGAACCAAGGCCCCGCTTCGAACCGGGTCCGTCGACGCTTGCTCAAGGGGGCGTCGGGAATCGGGGAAGCCTCGCCACCCGCAGCAGGCCTTTCGTATTGGTTCGAGGACCCACGCGATCGGCTCTCACAGGCGCAGAGGTGCAAAAGGGGTGCAAGGAGAGAGGCGGGCAAGCGGTGGACAAAATAAACGGGACTGCAAAATGATTTTGTCCACCAGAGCAAGCACCTCGCCACCCAATCACCTCTGTATTGCCCCCTGTACCCCCAGTAATAGTGAGCTTGACGTTTTTGCAGTCCCGATATTTTTGTCCACCGCTTGGCGGGCAAGGCGGGGGGACCACCCATTTAGTGCGACGCCGGGACACGAGTGAGGGTGGCCGGACTGGACGTGGTGTGGACCTTGGCGTTTGGGATTTTCGTGGAATGACGTGGTGCCTGCACACCAGAGCCAGTCCTATTAATATCCGCGGCCTTGGACTGGAGCACGTTATCCTCTTTTTATTGTGGAAATTCTTACGTAGTGCGGCCAGAGACTTCCGCTTTCAGTGTCTCCAGGTCTCCCACTGGTGAGAGGAGGCGAGTGATCAGCGACTTCAACACCCATTCATTTCGAGCAAGTGTTTCTGCGTTTCTTCTTTTCTTCTTTTTTTCTATTTCTTTTTGCTGCTTAATACATGTTTGTTTTTATCGTATTGAGTATTTCGAACGATTTCGTTTATTCAGGCCCAAGTCTGCCGAACAATACGTGTCAGCTTTCCCCGTCGCACCTGTAATCAATGAATGGGCGGTTGGCAGTGAAGAAATTCGATCGCTCGTGTGGTCAGTCTTCAATGTTCTTCACTGTCGGCCGAACGGGAGGCCAGGGCACAATCAATGTGAATGTACAATCTCTGTCCCTAGAGCCAGCTCAAAGACAGTACATGTAGGAATGAAGAAAACGAAGCGGATAGGTACAGTACATTACTTCTCTGGCTCCACTTGTACCTGCCGCGCCACGTTGGCGATGCTGTGGACAAAGCCAACGGAAGAAGATTGAACGATGCTAGTGCTAGACGCCACTAGTCGTCAGGCCACAAGCTCGGTTCCTCGCAGCGGCCAGGCCAGGCCATTCCATGTGCCTGCCCATCAGATCGACTGTACAAATCAACTTGGAGCTAATAAACATTGGGCTCTCGTAACGACGGTCCCGAACATGTTCGGCCACCTTTGCCACGCGCAGATATACGCACACGCACACACAAGTTAAGTAGCGGATGGCCTCGTATGGAGATGGCCAAGCCTGCATGTTTTTCCCCTTTCTCTTCGTTTCCTGCGATGATTTCCCACTGCCGATATCGAATATCAAATAAGGGGAAGTAGAGAAGAAAAATGAGAGACAAAGCCATGTGAAAATCCAACGAGCTGCCACTTTGGGGCTCATTTGAGATCACTCGGCCATTTGTCATACCACCATAACGCACCTCCGAGGAGGGAGCATTCGACAACCATCATCCATCGATCACTGACCCAATTTACTCGAGTTTTGTCAGTCACCTGGTAGCCGATTGACTCAGATCTCTATTTCTTAGTGGCCTGTCCGATAGCTTCCAGCGAGGTTGGACTTTGTTTGATTTTTAACGTAGCATTCCTCTGTGCCGTAGATTCTCGCTTGGCCTTCTGCAGGTTGCCACGATGGACTCCAAAGTGCGTCAATCTTTTGAACCTTGATTGCCCGGGCCCTGATTTTCTACCGAAAACCCCCACCTCAAGACAGCAACCTCCTTGTCGATCATAAAAGCGCGTCTTAAGACGACTTCAAAGCGCGACCGGGCAGCATATCACGAAGAAACAAAGCGATTGCGTCATACTACGACCTGAGCAACCCTCCCTGAAAATGTTGAAAGATTTTTCCAGTGGTAGCGAGTCTGTGAAGGCGTGTTCCAATATGCACAATTGAGTCCCGAGCACATTTTTTTATGTTGCTTTTATTTTCATTTTTTATTACTTTGGCGGCTTTTTGGAACAAGCCAGAATGAATGACGCCAACCCCTGGTCCCTTGATTCGCGAGCCAATCGTCATCGCCTGCCTTCATGCCGAAGAAGCCCTTCTGCAAGCCACCCGCTCGCCATCCGCTCTACCGCTGCGAACGGACGAGTGACATTAAAAACATATTGAACACTATATGCGTCGTGAGGTGTGTTTACGTGCAACAGGAACAAGATGTGGGCATGTGAAGAGCGTCTCTCCTCAATACAGAGATGTAAGAAATAATGAAGAGCAAATGCGGAGATTCTTGAACTTTGCTCATATTCGTATGGAGACGAGTACGGATTTTACAATGGTATTTTTGAAACAGAACAACGCTAAAGAGGCCAGGACTCGTAGTACGAAAGGGAAAGCAAGACGGTTGGTGAACTCGTGAATCGAACAAAGAACCTCGAGAGGGCATGCAAGAACGGCCGTCCTGCGTATACTCGAGGACAGTAGTTATACATGTGCCTTCTGCTTCCGATATCCGCGAATAGACTACATCTATAGCCAGTGCTATAAATCTACGGATAAACTCCCCTAAGCGCTCGAGAGAGCCATCACCACATCCCAGTAAAACGCAGTAAGCCCCTCCGCCCCATCCTCCGCCTGACGCCCCCTCCTCCCCCGCCCGCAGACACGCCAGCGTCACGTCGCGGTACGCCTCGCCCACCCAAAACGCCAACTCCTTCCCGCACCGCGCCAGCACCGCCTCCTTGAGCGCCGCCGGCCCCATCGTCTCCGCCTTCGTCTTCTCCGTCACCGCCCCTCCGCGAGGCGCGACACCGGTTTCCAGAACCCCACTTCGGCGAGGAGCAGGCCCAGCGCGTAGATGTCGTAGATGCGCTGGAACCGGGCTGCGGGCTCGGTGCTGTCGGAGGAGGCGGAGCGGGATGCGAGGCGTGTTCGGATCGCTGGGTGGAGATATAGGAGTTCGAGGGGCGAGGGTTGGCAGGACATGGATAGCTCGGTGGGCGAGTCGGGGCGTGAGACGGCGAAGCCACCGATGATGGGCTCTGTAAAGTCGAGAGCTGCTGAGGTTAGCTGCGGCGACGACGGGGAACTCGTGCGGGCGGTCTTGTCGACTAGGAACGCGACGTGCAGCGAGCTGAGGCGCTCGTGATGCCACCGCGTGAGCAAAAACGAGTAGAAATTAGTAACTAGCGTAACTGCTAGCTGCTTCCGCTGCTCGAGCGAAGGCAGAGGATACGGCAGCGACGACGACGTCTGAGCCAGCGAGGGCTTAGCACCAGGGCCCGTCCTCGCCTGCTTGTAGGATAGAATCTGGTGTAGCGTAACAGCCTCGACGGTCGACTTGGCCACAGGCGCAGGCAGCTCAAACACCAAGCCAAACGAAGCGGCGTCGGCGTACTCGACGAACCCGACGCACGCCAGCGGGTGGATACTGCTGAGCCCGCGCGTCTGCTGCAGCGAATACGAGAGGCGGGCCATGCGCACCGCCGCCAGCTCCTGGAGCTTGAAATCCCCGCCCTTGGGGAACGGGATCCACTCCACCAGCGCACGACACGCGCGCCACCCTTTGTCCTCCTCGCCATCGGCGGAGGAGGAATAGTCGAGCACGGAGTAGTGCGCTCCGCCCGCCACCGCCGCCTCGCCAAGACGAAGCCCGTGCAGCGAGCTGAGCGGCTTCTTCACCTGGCGCACAATCTCGTCGACGGCGAAGAAGCGCTGCATCCGCACCTCGAGATCGAACTGGGCCCGCACGGCCAAGATCTTGGCGCTGCGGCGGAGCAGCCCATCCCTTTCGCCCCCGAGACGCGCTACGTCGGCCCCTTGCTGCGCGTCGTCGAAGACGTAGCCGGCGATGCCGAGCTGGAGCACGCTGTCGCGTAGGGCCTGGGGCAGGATGCTGTACAGAGCATCGTTCCAGTAGACGATGGAGCTGAGCAGCGCCTCGAGCTCTTCCCGGTCCGTTTTTCTTTCCAGGGCTTGGTGTCGTGCGTGAGGCGCGTATACCACGACGTGTGCCGCATGAGTTCCTTGCGGAATGTTCTTAGTCGAGCCTTGGATTGCGCTGTGCCGGATGAGAGGTCTAGCGTGTCCGGGGTGGTGGGTACCGGGCTCGACTGGTTGAGCTGCTGCTTCACGGCGAGCATGCCGTTTCTTTCTAGTATTATCCGCGCCTTCTCGAGGAGTTTGAGCACGCTTGTCGCGGCGTCTGTGACTTGCTCGCCGAACTGCTTCTGGATCGCCGTCTGCAGCGCGCACGATGAAATAGGGAGCGATAGCACTCGCCGGGGCTGTCGCGCCGCCCGCGCGCCGCTAGCGACGGACAGGCGCTCGAGCGCCGTCCACCACGTCTGGAACCGAAAGAATTCCATCTCCAGCTTGCACATCCAGTCGGCGACATCATCACCGAACGATCGAGCTTGTTGTATCGCGTGCCACACCTCGAAGCTCTTTTCGAAGACGGCGATCAAGCCGCTGAGGCCGATGATGAGGCCAGGAAGTTCTAGGCCAGACATGGTTGTTCTGTTGTTAAGTATGTGTCTAAAGGGGGAAAAACCCCAAAAGAAAAACGAGAAAAGAGTCGAGCGAAAAAGAAAAAAAGAAATCTGGCGATATTTTCAAATCCAAGCTTGGGTTCCTGGATTGACGAGTCTCACTCTCGCTAAATATCTCTAATACCCCGCCCGGCGCAGCTCGCCACAGGGGACGGAGTCGTCGCCCGCAACCAATGAACGCTCACAAGTTACATCTTTCATGCAGGATCTCGATCGACGCGCAACACCAGTGAAACGAATGCCGGAAGCCTGGTCAAAGGCCGTCTTGAACACAGATAACGATAATAACCCCCTCCCCTCGCTTCGGATCGGGCGGAACTATGCTTATCGAAAAAGGCAACACGACCAAAGTGTGAAGAGGATCAACAATACTAAAGCGTGAAGAGGAAGGCAAGTGTGAAGAAGAGGTAGAGCTGGTGCTCCAGCTTCACAATCATGTCCGATCTCCTCTCACTTACCTACTATTCCGAAGCCGACGACGAGTCGGAGCTGGTAAACCGGCCCGACAAGTCCTACGCCGTCCACGGCCAAGCCGGCTTCCTCGCCATCGCCGTCGCGCTCGAGATCCCCGTCCTCAGCGCCCAAAACAACGTCCTCGCCAACATGAACCCCCTCGTCGCCGGCGCAGGCGCCTCCTTTCCGTCCGCGCCTCCCTCTCCGAAATGTCCCTCGACCCGCAGATCGACTTCGTCAACACCTCCGCCACCATGGTCGCCTGGGTCAAGCAAAACAAGGAGGCCGGGAGATTTAGGAGGCACGTGTCGAAGCACATCGTCACGTCGGCGGACCCTCGCACCGACGACGCCCGTCACCTGGCGGCCATCATCAACGAGATCCGGGTCTTGTCCGCCGAGGTGATTCGCGAGAGCGACGTCGTCGTCGCCATGCTCGGCTTGTCGTGGCAGGAGATGCCTAGCAAAGGGCGATTCTGGCCGCAAATCATCCTCGAGGCCGCCGACGAGGGCACCCTGACCGAATACCTCCAGACAAGCAAGGTGAACTTCGACAACAAGCTCGCCATCGCCATTAGCGTCTCCCGCGGGCTCGAATTCCTTCATTCCCACGGCATCGTCCACTGCGATTTGAAACCGAGCAATATCCTCATCTTCACCACCGGCCTCACCGAGGAGGAGCTCGAACTATGTCGGAGCGCGGGCAAGGACCCGATCCGCACAAAGCTCTGCGATTTCGGGTTTGCTGTCATCACCGAAGACTATCCCGCGGAGAAAATGTTTCAGGCGCGTGTGGGCAGTTATCCCTGGATTGCCCCCGAACTCGACGCGGAGCTGGCCATCCCTATGGATCAGCTGCACAAAGCTGACATTTACTGCCTTGGGCTAGTCATGGCTGCGGCTTTCATGGACGGTGTCCGCCCGTTTGATGGAATATCGGACGAAGATCTCCTGAAAAGCAAGCTTCTGGACCCGACGGAACCTGGATCGGCTGCTAGCATGCTTCTTGCCGAAATCGAGAACAAGGTACAAATCGACGCTTATCAGCGAGAGTACATTGAGGCTTTGCTCCACGGAACTTGCACACCTCTAGCCGACAACCGCGTTAGTCTACCAGCACTCCAAAATTACCTATTTCTCGGAATAATGCAGTGTCTGGGCGAGGGGGCGCCGGCTCTTCGAACCGACTACTTCCCGGACCTACGGGACGCCGGCGATGGCTACAAGTAAGGGCATAACATCAACCCCCTTCAAGCAACACGAGGATGTCAGATAGCCGAGGCTAACTTTTGCAGGAATGTCTTGCTCGCTTTCCAAAAGAAACATGCGCCCGAACCGAATAGTGTAGGTGACGGAATGTTGCCCCCGGCCCCACAATTGCCGTCGTTTCTCTCGAGCTAATCTCATCTTCAAGGCTCTTCCGCGCTCTGAAGCAGATGTACGCGGACTAGATATCCTCAGTAACCTACGCAGCCGTCGCGATGAACTATACTCCACGATTATCGGAAACGCAGAATTAGAAGAGACCCTAGCAAACTCCTTTGGAGACACCACCCTCCCTCCGTCTCAGGTTCGGCGGTTCGCGGCGACCAAGACAACGGAAGAAGGCGTAGAATTGGCTGAGCAACTTGAAGAAATTTGGGACAAGGCCATGGTCAAAGTTCCGGATGTAAGATGAAGTAGTGTGCCCCATCGTTGGGGGTTTGTAGTCCCGACCGGCTAACGCGTGGCTCTACTCGGCCTCTAGTTTGCCTACGAGCAGGACATCATACCTTCGCTTCTGCCCCGAGTTTCTCGCAAAGAGCTCGTGAATGACCTTGAGAATCAGGCCTCCCAGGATGTGGTGGCGGATCCGCTTGCACTCTTTCACCTTGCCGGTGCCTACTTCAACGGCCAGCTGTGCAACCCGGATCGGGAGCGAGGCCTGGCATACCTAGTACAGGCCGCGAGCCTGAAATGCCCCGAGGCCATCTCAACGATTATCAACGTATCCGAGGCAGCTGAAACCAATCTTCGACTGATGGGACACGAAGAGATTCTACCGGCCGTTAAAGAGTACGGGACGCGAGTTTTCTCCGGTGCACAGGGAACTTTATTTGACCTTGCGATACCACGTCGAGTTGAGAATAATGTGATTCTTGCCAAGACCTGGGCGAGGGAGTGGCCCGAGGAGTATGAACAGTATCTAAAAGAAACTAGAAGGATGATCAACACCGGTATATCAATCATCAATAACCCCTTATTCCTCCGGGCCAAGCCAAAGACCGGTGTCGCTGTTTTCGACTACGATACCCTTACCTCACTTCCCGAACATCTGTATGACCGCTTCGACCTGACAAAAAAGACGGCTTTCATAGAAGAGGTCCGAGCCAAAGGCTGCCTAGAAATGTGCGACTCGACAGGCTTCACCATGCTTCAGCGAGCAGCAATCAATGACGACATCGCCCTCGCAGAAATCCTCGTCGTGGACCTCGGCGCCGCCGTCGACGGATGTGGCAACACTCACGGGTGGACACCTCTTCTTTTGAGCAGCCACTGCGGCTACTTTGAGCTCGCCAAGTGGTTCGCCGCCCATGGCGCCAACGTGAGCCAGCGCGAGGAGCTCCACGGCGCGAGCATCCTGCACTCTCTCAACCGTTATACCGAGAGGGCCCACTGCGAGGGAATCCTAGACCTCGCTCTCGAAGCTGACCTCGATATCAACTGCGCGATGGACAACGGATTGACCCCGCTGCATGCGACCTTTACCGGGTGGGACTATTCCGCGGGCGTGGCGGCGGAGTTGTTGGTGGAGTACGGAGGAGACCCGACGCGTGCCGCCCCTTCTTATAAACAGGGCTCGGGTGTCGTCACTCCAATTAGCCTAGCCGCAGAAGCCCTCAACGTCCCGTTACTCGAAAGAATGATTGCCGCGGTCGAGGCGACTGCTGCCTGGGCAGGCCAGTCCGCTGCCCGGCACCTTGTTCGGGCAAAGTCGGACGCGGTTCGTGATGTATTCGCCCACCCTGACTTCTACTACATGGCCAGCGTGGGAAAGGATTACAAGTCTAAACTTGTAGATGTCTTGAGGGTGATTGTGGACGTAGATGTGCAGCGTACGTTGGCGAACCAGTCGATTAGGGGCGGCGACGCCTCTGTAAATGCGTGTTTGGTTCTCGCTTGCCAGACAGGCCGCGGCTACATTACCGAAGCTCTGTTCAGCGCATTCCCCCAAACGCCAGCGATGATGGAAACCGGAACGCAAGCGCCAAGACAGTACATACACATCGCTCTGGAGCGCCGTGGAATTGAAGCGGTTCGCAGTCTCATCCGGCACGGCGCTGATCTCCTGGCAAAGGGCCACCGCGGCCAGAATGCGCTTTCATCGCCGCCCACTATTTCCCAGAAGCTCTTGAAGAGCTCGTTGAAGTTATAGGGCAGCTGGATACAGAAAAACGGGGGACAAGTCCGTCAAGGAAATATTAGAGGAGCCCGATGACACAGGTATGACAGTCTTTGGGAAACTTCTCGAGGAAGGCTATACCGAGGAGAGACATCTCGCAGAGAAGCTAAGAGCAAAATACGACTTGGCGTATGATTTCAACATTCGGTCCGCAGATGGCGACTGGATGAGCCTCCCAGCTCATCTCATTGTGCTGGCAGCCCATGGCGGGCTCATCCCGATAGACCATATAAAGTACCTTTGGAACTCAAGCCTGCTCCGCGCTTCGTGTGTGGTTCCGATGGCCAGACTTTGTTGTGCCTTGCCATCCAGAGCCTCATGGGGGTACGTTGTCATTCCCTTAATGTTCCGTGACGCACAATTGTGTCTCTCCCTGCTAACAGCGACGTGCCTCTCGAATCACAGCCCACTATAGCCACGGCATGCCCTGTCACCAACTCACGGCCTTCATCCTCGAACAGTATCCCGACTACAAAAACCTACTCTTAGGACCTGATAGCCGCAACCCCTGGCACGTAGCAGCGTATTGGGCCAACAACACCGCCATCCAAATGATGCGCTCGCATATCCGGCGCAAGTACCCGCGTGAAAAGGAGCCCATCAACGAGCGAGCGACCGGCAACACGCCCCTGGATTATGCTACGATGGGAGTGCGCAAGAACGAGATTGCAGGTGAACGATCCGAAGGCATGGCACTCGACAAGTCCCTCGCCCGACAAGTACGCGCCTCTGCGGTGGAATGTTACAAGAGCCTCAGGGAGGCTGGGGCGTTACACAACTGGGAGCTTCTTGGGAATACAATCACGTCAGTCTCTCACGTTGGGCTAGTTCCTTGAGGCGTCTTCTACTGGACAGTACTGACGACTGAAAATGTTGTAGAGCGAGGATCTTGTGCTGGAACCCCGACTTACAAAAGGCGGCAGTATTCATCCGCCTCTTCACGGAAACACTCGGGCTTGCGCCAGCGGAAGTTGATTTTGATAGTATGGATTTCCCCTTGAGGCCGGTGTACTCACTTCCCAGTTGTGGAAATGAACGGGTCTTCTAACTTAATGTAGACATTGTCGAGATGGCAACCAGTGCGGCCCCTGGCGCGAGGCTTATTCGGGTCCCAGTCATCGAGCTCGTGTGGCGGTACGATAATTTTATGATTCGCTTTTATAGGGGCCGACTTTCCTCGCTCAGCACGGAGTGTATCGACCAATTTGGCACATACATCAGAGATAAGTGTAACGACAAAGACTTTAGATACTTTGAATCCGTTCATCTTGATGTCGGCTGCTGTGAGTCTCTATCTTGGTAGAAATATGGAGTTTTAACTAGCTACTAATGCATCGTACTGCAGTCCCATACATGACATTAACGTATAAACACCCAATACCAGACACGGGCGAGATGGTAGAATGGAAAAGGGGTGGTAGAACTTGGACAAGAGCAGAGGTTGACGCTCTAAGATCGCGATTTGCCACAACTTGGGACCACTTCTTTGGACAGGATGAAGAGGCCATGTTCGCCGCCCTAGCTGGAACCGCGGGAGGTTGAAATTTCCGACGATGGTAGTAACTCTTCCCAGCTCTAAGTGTTAGATTCCGACTACCTTCCCATCACCCTGTATCTGTATCATGGTATAAGGGGATTCGCGCGGGCTACGGGTTTTCGTCCGCGGACCTATGGAGGATGCCAACGTAAAGGTGACACATTATAAAAATCTTCTCGACGAATTCCCATCTTGTGCCGAATTCAAGCAGAACCTGAGCGGGGTGAGCCTGAAGAGAATCATCACTTGGTATTTAGCGAGGGGGATGGACAATAGTTACCATCACGTACTTGCTGTTTACGAAGCAAATGCCACTCCTCCGCCTGCGGCTATGCGCGAATACCTTGGGGAATGCTAACTTATAGTTGCTTCAATCTCATATCTGAGTCTTGCCGATGGAGCGGCCCGCGGTCACATGGCGGACCGGAACCCTTCCGAATGTCGTATGCCGCTAGAAAGTATTTGCCCAGCACAGAGCCTAGTGATCCTTTCCGCAGGTTGCGTACCGGCGGCCCCACATCCAGCGTGGTAGTTTTGCCGCTCTCCACGCAACTCAGCCTCCATTGACATCCAACCACCGACCCTCGGCCGTGCCTCTACCAATACACGAATGGTGGGCGACGAGAACCCATACAGAATTGGTCTCAAGGACCTCCTCTTCAGCCCCCACGTGATCTATGCAAATCCCCTCATCTTGAGCGCCTTTTATTGGTCTGCTACCCTCAACCCAACCATTCCTTCACTTGAGGCTTCAATCGTCAAGGCCCGACACCCTCCCACTTCCCCACCCTCTTCTCCACTCTCCATTTTGTCTCGGTTGTCTCCGCCGCCCGTGCCCGATACAAGACTAGCAACAGATCGATAAAGGTGGCATCATGTCAGCGATCAACCGAATTGGGTTCACACAGCTAGAAGCAGGGGACGGGCCCTACCAGTTAAAGTACGCACTTCCTCTCCGATGACGGGTTTGTTACTAACGATTTAGTATCGTGTTCGTGCATGGCTTGGAGGGCCATCCGCAGGAAACATGGGGCTACGACCCAGAGCCAGACAAACCAACTCGCTTCAAGCGTGTTAGGCGCCACCTCGGGCTTACGAGGACGACCGCCGAACCGAGCGAAACCAAAGCACCGTCCTCCCCGCGAGGGTCGTTCTGGCCGGAGAAATTTCTGACCAAGGACATTCCCGACGCGAGAATATGGACTTATGGGTATAATGCCGATGTCATGAAGATTTTTCAGGCTGGGAATCAAAATAGTATCTCGGCACACGCACGTGATCTTGCTACACAATTCGAGCGGGACCTAGAAAACGAAGTGTGTGGCGTCTAATGATTCTTCTGCTAGACTCATACGTGCTAATATCTACAGGATCCAGTTGTGTTTATAGCACATAGTCTTGGTGGCATCGTTGTCAAGGATGTATGTGCCCTTTTTCCCATTGACACTCCGGATTCTTACTTCTAATAGGCGATGAAAAGGTCAAAATTGTGTCGGGAGCGGACAAAGCTGATCATTTTCCTCGGAACTCCACACCGTGGAAGCGCCATGGCGGGTTGGGGGAAGTCGCGTCTAACTTGGCCCAATATGCCCTACAAGACTCGAACAAAGATATCCTGCGGAGTCTCCAGGTCAACAGTGAGATTCTTGACAACATCCAGGATGAGTTCGTCGGCATCGCACACGAACGGTCATTCAAGATACACTCCTTTCAAGAAGCCAAAGGATTATCAGGAGTGAAGGGCTTCCATCGCAAGGTATATTGCATTCGACCTCTCTAATGTCCTGCGATGCATGCACTAATGTAAGTGCTACATAGGTCGTTGAAGATTTCTCCTCCAAAGTCGGCCTCCCACCAACACTCGAAACTATCGAGACCTTGGATGCCGATCACAGACAAATGGTGCGCTGCATAACGAAGTCGGATGCGCAGTACCGTGCAATGCTTGGAGTTATACAGAAGTTTATACGCCATAATCTACAGTCATCATCCGTAAATCTAGTGTCGGTACCAGAGATGCCAACAGCTACACCTCATATCGCCGGGCACGAATCCCCAGACCGTTAGTATATGGCTACATGCCAATTCCTATCGGAGAACTAAATGTTTATAGATGGACCATACTTCTACGTTCCATTTCCAAAGAATCACCGCTTCACTGGACGCGATCAGCTGCTAGAGGAGCTTATTACCAAACTCTTTGCGCCCGATAGCTTCCAAAAAGCGGCACTTTTCGGACTAGGTGGCGCCGGAAAAACACAAGTCGCACTCCAGGTGGCATATTGGACCAAGGAAAAGAAGCTAGGCTATTCAGTCTTTTGGGTTCCAGCTCTAAGCGTTGCCACATTTGAACAAGCCTATACGGACATCCTTAAAACAGTTGGAATTCAGTGCGTTGACGGCGAGGATGTGAAGCAAACTGTACAGACATTTCTCAACTCAAAGGCCGCGGGAAAGTGGTTACTCATCATTGACAACGCCGATGATATTGACATCCTTTTCGAATTCTCAGGGCACGAAAGAAACATTTACAACTACCTGCCAACTACTGATGATGGTCGGATATTATTCACTACTCGGACTCGAGAAGTCGCTACGTGGGTGGCTGGAAGCAATTCGATGGAGACGCCACAAATGACTGAAGACGATGCAACGGACTTCTTGAGGAAGTCACTGCATCAGAACCTCTATCCCGGCAACCAGGACATAGCCCTTGTACGCCGCCTCCTCCGAGAGCTCACTTATCTTCCGTTAGCCATCACACAAGCAGCAGCATACATGAACGAGAATCAGGTTGATATTGCTGAATACGTCCAGCTATTCAAAAACATAGACCAAGATATGGTTGAATTGATGACTAGCGAGTTTCAAGACGGCACTCGGTATCAACATGCACAGAATCCCGTGGCCACAACTTGGCATATCTCATTCAACCGGATTCAAAAGTCCAAACCAAATGCTCTGAAATTGCTATTATTCATCATGTTTATCGAGCCAAAAGCCATCCCTCGGTCGATACTACCAAGCGTGGGCTCAGACCAGCAGCTGACCCAAGCAATTGGTACGCTTTGCGGCTATAGTTTTCTAAACAAACGCGAGAATGGCAAGGCGTTCGACATGCATAGCCTCGTCCATATGGCGACTCGGTTATGGGGTGAAAAGCAAGACACTTTGCAAGAAGCGAAGCAAGACGCCATTCTACATATGGACCGTATATTTCCATCTGATGACTGGGATAACCGTGAGACTTGGAGAGAATATCTACCCCACGGACTTAAGGTCTTGCAAATTGGTGAAAATATCGGAGGCAAGGAATTGTGCAATTTAGGGCATCAGGTGGGGTCCTGCTTGGGGGTAGATGGCCGAGTTAGGGAGCAAGTGGGGATCCTCGAGACAATCTCCACAGTTCAAGCAGACATTTTCGCTGAGGATCACCCTAATCGGCTTAAACTTCAACAGGACCTTGCCTTAGCCTATGAAGCAGATGGCCAGGTATCAAAGGCTATTAAGCTTCTTGAGAAATTAGTATCAATTCAAGCAAACACCCTAGCTGAGGATCACCATAGCCGGCTTACTTCCCAAAACAACCTTGCTCTGGCCTATAGACAAGATGGCCAGGTATCCAAGGCTATTGAGCTTCTTGAGAAAGTAGTATCAATTCGAGCAACCACTCTAGCTGAGGATCACCCTGACCGACTTGCTTCCCAAAATAACCTTGCCTCAGCCTATAGACAAGATGGCCAGGTATCCAAGGCTATTGAGCTTCTTGAGAAAGTAGTATCAATAGAAGCAACCACTCTAGCTGAGGATCACCCTGACCGACTTGCTTCCCAAAATAACCTTGCCTTAGCCTATGAAGCAGATGGCCAGGTATCAAAGGCTATTAAGCTTCTTAAGAAAGTGGTATCAATCCAAGCAAATACCCTAGCTGAGGATCACCATAGCCGGCTTACTTCCCAAAATAACCTTGCCTTAGCCTATGCATCAGATGGCCAGCTATCAAAGGCTATCAGGCTTCTTGAGAAAGTGGTATCAATAGAAGCAACCACTCTAGCTGAGGATCACCCTGATCGACTTGCTTCCCAAAATAACCTTGCTCGTATAAATCGCAAATTGATGAAGTATACTTTCTAGACAGCTAGACAGCTAAGCTAAAATAGTGGTAATATAGCCCGCCAACTGAGACTATTTGTCATATCATGTAGGAGCGACCGAAGCAAGACCAAGTTTATATCTAGACCACATAGAAAAAGGAGTAGAAAAAGAGAAACGAAAATTGACTCTCCCTCGGGGAATCGAACCCCGGCCACCTGCGACTCGTCCATTGACAAGCAGGTATCCTGACCACTAGACCAAGGAAGACGGTTATCACCGATGTGAAGATTGTTCGTCAAGCACTAAGAAATGAACGGCCTTCTCTTACCAGGCTCCAAACAAAGAGATTCAATCGAATTTTCCCCCATCTTACCAAGGCTGGGTCTCTTCAAGTTTCTTGACTGAAGTTGAACGCAAGAGCCCGTAAAAGTTGAATGCACTCGACTTGCATCCTTGACTGCATTCGCATGCAGGATCTAATACCCTTATGATCTGAGGTTCTAGTCGAGTACTCGCGCTCTCAGCGTTTCTCGCTTACCCGACAAGTCGTTAGCAGCCGCAAAGCCGGAACTTTCCTTGGAGCTTTGCTTGGGTAATGGGCAAACATGGCATGCTCTACCTCATATTTCCTGCCCCCTACCCCCTTTCTAGATGCGATCACTCATGTGTAGTGTCTCTTCAACTCATAGTTTATCGCTCCTGGTTCCCTCATAGCCAGACAAAAACATATTTTTCTCGTCCCCTGTTTGATACTCTAGTAGCTCGCGATGAAGGCTGATTTATCAAGCGGCTTGGATATCTCTAAGTGGCAAACGGCTCAGTGGTTCATCGCTTGATGCACTGAGCACCCCAACGAGGCATAGGATTTGTGAGTAGTACCAGATATCTATCAATTGATGGATCAAAGCATACTCTTTTTGTGAGATTTGATTTTATTCGACTAAGCATTAAACCAATCGCAGCAAACACCGAGCGAGTAATTAGAAGATCGGTTGAATAGGGAGTATGGCCCCGTGACTATGGAGACATGTGCTTTTCATCCGGCAGCGCCTCAAGGAAGGCTTGGTAGCTGAAGCCGAGATTTACAACCGAAATTACAACCGAGCGAGCATCTACGTCAAAATGCCACAAAGCAGATGCTTCAGCATCGCAACTGTGTTCATGGATAGCCAAGAGGTCTAGCTTACTCTGGGCACTATCACACCCATCCCGAGGGCGAGACCAACTGCGTGTCAAACTATGTTGGCGCGGAGTTAAAGGGTATGCAGGTTGCCAAGGGGCGAGCTATACTTCCGCAGGCGCTGGCACGCATTATTACCCATAATCTTGTACAATGACAATCTAGGGGGCTCGCAGTCTATGACTAGATAAGGAATATATTCATGTAGGAATGTTTTAAATACTCTTAGAATACACATAATTTACATATACCACATGCTAACTAGTCCGCCCAAGACCCATCTAGTGGGTGTACTGCCATTCTGCCGCCGTCGACTGCGCCGAATCTATCAGTTATGCGAGTGCATAAGTCTTGTGTGACGCTGGTCGCGAGCCATAGGTTTCACATCTCTCGCTTGAACGCCCGCGACGACACCAAAAATCATCTGAATCTCAACCGAGATATGCGAGGTCCTGCCACGTGTTGGAGATATATCTGAAGCAGTGGCTACTTGCTCCGTCTCATGGAACCCCTTCATCAGTTAAATTGCAGAGCCATGCATAGCTAATTCCAAATTGACAGGTTGAGATTCACCTCAGGACCTGTCGTGCTCGGGCTGTCGATGATTTAGAATTGTAGCCCTTTGTGATCTCATTGGGGGTGCTGACGTCGTCTGTGGGGTCATCATTAAAGCCCTCTTCCCTCTTCGCGTGTTCAATGTTCAATGGTGGATATGGAGCCCAATTACTGAGGCGTTAAAATTGCTTTTTATTCTACTCAATAGGGGTTTCCTACGGAAACTATCCCACGGAAATGGACGTCACCGCTCATTATGATGACGATCGATATGCACCAGGCAAGGCTTTCGAAATTTACGTGGAAATTTGTTAACGAAGTATCGTAAACTACCGAGGTAATTGGCCTAGTATTTCGTGTCCTTCTGTGTATGAAGGCAGTGATTTGGACACCTTTCCCCGACAGGGTCGTGAGCCAGCAGCCGATCTAACCAAGCGGCGACGGTCTCGTTCGTAATACCGTCGGCAAGCTTCAACCAATGCTGATTACGAACAGCCGAGTCGTGGACCCATTCGTTCGATCCCGTTTCGAGCATACGATTGTAGCCGACGTCATTTGCATAGTCGAAGAGCGGTCCGGGATCGCCCTCTGGGACGCCGTGGAGGCCCAGGATACCGTACAGCGTTGTTACCGGGTCCCATGACTCTCGCGCCGTCTTACATCTCCCCACGTACCACTCATAAGCGGCCAGTATAGGTGAATCCGACGGGGCGTCCTCCATCAGGCGTGTACCGGAGAAGATGTCCTTGCTAAGTTCGAAACCGGAATAGGTCACCGGAATATCACGTGGCCACTCGTTCACGACCTGGAGAGCCGACGCGACATCGCCACCTCCCAGGTTGAATTCCCAGCCCTCCGGATACTTTCCGCCCATTACCACAAGTTCTTTGACCTTGCTGAGGATTAGCTCGAGCCCTGTGAGGGGGATATCTCGTCGGCAGGGCTTGTCATGAGAGAGGCGAGGTTGGTAAGGAAGCCCAGTGATATTATGGTGACGGTGTTGTTTTCCGCCGCCGACAAGATCTTGCGGTATAGCTCCACGGGTGTTGGAGTGTCATTGGCATCCTGCAGTTGACGAGGGAAGTTGTGGGCTACGCGAGCCGCGTATTCACCTCGACTGACATGTCGCGAAAGAGTAACGACCGTTCATCAGCACATATATCTTGAAAGCCAGAGCAAAGGGAGGGGGAAAAAAGACTCCTTGAGGTTGGCCTCTGGAGTACATACAGAAAGTTCCACGTATCCACAAATGTTTCCTGGGTTAATGGTCGGAGGGCAGCAATGGGGATATCGCCGTTCCCATAATACGTGTTGGCGGCACTGGCAGCAAGGGCGCCATACTCCGAGTTGGTATTGACGACGACACCTCGCAAATCGACCAGCCCTCGATTATGGAGAACGTTAGCGATGGCCAGGGATCCGATATCGTCGACGTCGGAGAGTATATCGGTATCGATGAGGATTGGCTTTCTGTGTCCCTCTTGCAAAGATTGCGCCTGTGCACAAACGGGGCAGCTGTGATGCGCAATCAGCAGAAGGAGGATGGAGAGATATTTCATGGCCAGGGAGAGAAGGAGAGAAGCCTTGAAGCCAGGGGGAATGTCGTTGGTCTCAAGATTGAAACGTATCGAGGGGTGGCTACAAGGTATATGTAGAGAGCCAGGGATACCTGAAAGCGTCGAGTCCGGGCATAGCTCATTTTAATGGTATACGAGGGCAAGACTGGGGTGGTTCGCACTGGTATAGTCTTAGATGAATGAGTCTCCGTTTCTTTTATTGAGTCTCAATTCATTCTTCCCGTGTCACTCTCTCCGGCTTGCGTGCCTGCCACCCACAGCCTGACTTGTCCATTTCACACCTGTCGGAGCCAGCGCACAATCCTCGAACTTTCTATGTAATAGCATTAGGCCAGTTTGCATAATTGTACCAAGGTAAGGGGTTGATAAGATTTGAAATCCTACAACACCCTTGTCCTATCACGACGGTATTGGCATGCAAAAACCGGTCGCAAGGCTGAGTCTTGAACCCCTGTCTCATGACTCACAGTTGATTGTAAAACATTAGAGAGCAGCTCCCTCTACCAAGGTAGATTGCGTTGAATTCGACGGGCCTAAGGTGAGAGGCAAGTTCTGTATCAGAAAAGAAACGAAAAAGGAAAAAAGAGAGAACGGAATTAATTTGGCGGGAACTTGCATAATGTCAGCATTAAGATGTGAGATTTCACAAGCTTGACTAATCCAAACCAATACTAACAGATGAGGTCAGGGGTGTCATCAAGGGATCAATCCTTGCAAGCCGGCTGACGTATAGCTGACACTTCTACCTCAGTCCCAGTCACCGCCGAGTTACCCGATCTAGCGATCTACAGCCTAGAACGTGCCAGCAGCGAGCGTCATGTCTCCCATGTCGAAGTCTATTTGAACATGGAGAAAGAAAAACCAACTTCAGTTACATATCTAACACATCGTCCTTGTGGTTGGTGAAAATGTGCCAGACTGTGACACAAAAATAGCCCTACAAACCCACAGGATTTTACTCCAGAACTGATGCTGTGTAATTGCAAGATCAATCTCGACCCAATTACGCCCAATCAACTTACGTGTACTCGCCCTTACACTGTATAAGAAACCATTTATGAAATCACCGTTGCCCGCTTCCATGGATCCCTATGCTCCTTGATAATGGCCCCGCTCCATAGATGATTTCGAAGCAAGCCGATGGATAGTATGCAACCATTTTTAACCCCAGTTTGCGCAAAGGCGGGCGTTCACGTAAACGATTCAATTTACCTCAAAGATGGCACTCTCACCCCGGTGCTAATACCCCTTGGTTATACAGAGCAACGTGTTGCTTCCGAACCGGCAACAAGCCAATGATCTTGGCTGCGAGAAACTCCACCAGCTACCTTCCTGTCTGCAGGCAGAGTAGCACGAAGATTCGGGATGCAGATATGCAGTATCCGGCGAGGTCGAGACTCTTGCTGCGCGCTACCATTCTGGGATATCGCACTGGTAACGATGGGAAAAGACTAAAATCATGGCGAGAGCAAGTATGTTGATCGGTATGTTGATCCTAGGGGCGTCAAAAGGAGTACTGTCGATCCGTCTCCACATTAGCACCACCTAGAAAGTGAGGCTGTAACAATGATATCTGGCCCTGTAATCGCCATCGCCAAGGGGCTGCATCGGAACAGACCCATACGTTCCGCCGGGGAAATTCAACTATCGACCCGACAACAAAAGAAAGGGGGCGCAAAGCCCTATGAAGATAGGTTTCTTGATGGACGTAGCAATAGTTACATGGACTGTATGTGCATCCGCTGCCGACTGCCCAACTTATAAAAGCGGTGCGCGCGAGTGCCTAGCCATAAAAGGATGCAGCCAGCCAGGAACAGCCTAGTGAAGAGCCGTAGAATGACGGCTAGAAAACAAACGGATGCCACATTCCCGGCCAGGGGCATGAATGTCTAGGTGGCCGGCGGGCCGGCGTAAACGAGGCGGAGCAAGCATAGGCCAAGGGGACTGGGAACCCATCTCAGATCGTCATATGGGAAAGAAGGAACTGAGGCGAGAAAAGAAAAGAACAAGGGAAATGCCCGTAGCCCTCAGGAGAGATGTATCAGGTGACATCATGGGGACTCCAAGGCATACACCCATGTATCCCAAAAGTGACGGGGAGAAGTTTGTACGGATGGAGTTTGGAATTTTATCCCGAGAGAGATCCCCTTCTTGCAGACCCTCACCAGGAGCTAAAGCTGGTAGAGAAGGAGGTGCGGATCGGTCCGCTTGTCGCCGACGCTAATAGGTAACTTCGTGGCCAAGGTGACTGGTACTAGCCCCCAAGAGGCCAGTCGTGCATCATGCAAGTAATAGAAAGGGCACGTTTCAAATGCTGGTGGACTCGGGCTGCTGCTGCATGGCGTGAAAGATTGTGGCACAGTCACCCTGTGTAGTGAGCCGACAGCAGCAGCCCCAGTCCATAATTCGAGGCCACGCAGACCCTTAAAACCCTGGGCTGTTCGCTGCACGTGAACAAACCCAGAATTTCAGCCCAGGGGGAGGTTAAAATGTCGTTGGCCATGAATCAGCATGCCTGTTGCGAAAAGATAGTCTCGGCCAGCTCAACATTTCTGAGTACTCCCCTTATGCTTGCACTTCACGTATGACTGAGGTAACAAAAGGGTTTTAGGGCAAGGGTTTAGAAGTAACGGGTTGAGGTGTCATCTAATCATTATTTATATGCTCTATGTTACGCAAGAGCGGCGCGGCCCCGAGCTCGGCGGCTGGGGCTCGCCTAGTCTATATGGCAAATCATATTCGTGTAATCATCTAGTAACTCGTATCCTTTCCACGTCGCACAAAAAACTTTTCCTCATGCATGGTCCCTCGAGCGCCGCGGAGTCAAGGCCAACTCCTCTTCGTCCTCCCCTCGCCCAAGTTCTCCCTCTCCTGATCATTCGACTCGTGCACGTGAAGCTTCATATTAACAAACATGGCCCACAGACCAACGTCGTACACGAGGCGCAGGGCACCGCCGACGACAAAGGCGATCCAGAACCTCTCGTTTCCGGCGAGGGCGCCGGTGAACAAGGGCCCCACCGTCATGGCGAGGGTGCGGATGGTGCTCGTGATGCCCATGACGGCCGTGCGCTCGTCGGGCTTGACGATGGCGGCGATGAAGGCGGCGCGCGGGGCCTGGTCCATGTTATTCAAGCCCATGCGGATGTATAGCAGGATGATGGTCATGACGAGTCCGTTGGGGACCGGGAAGAATAGCACGGCGGCGGAGGAGGGGATGTGGGTGAAGACCATGGTGTTGAGGAGGCCGAGATAGTTGCACAGCGGGCCGGCGAAGACGGTCGACACGGTGGCGAGGATCATGGCGACCGACATGATGTGGCCGAGGGCGGCCTTGGTCAGGTGGAATTTGCGATCCAGGAAGTAGTTGGTGAGGGTCTGGTTGACCATGCCGTCGGCTAGGGAATCCACCGCCAGCAGGAACCAGAGCTTATACATGGCCGAGCGCGTGGAGGACGAGATTTGCGAGAATCGCGCCTTGGGCTTCTGTGCGGGTTCGCGCTGCACGGAAATCGAGTTCTGTCGGCTCGTCGTCGTCGCGTGGTTCTCGTCGTCGTCTAGGTCGCTTTCGTCGAGTAGTCCCTGCGCAGACTCGTCCGGGGTCTCGGTTCGCTCGGGTTCCTTTGGCTCGATTTCGCATTTCTTGCTCATGAGCAGGGCCAACACCACGTTGAGCCCGCCCATGGCGATGTAGATGAGAAACGTGGCGTGGTAAGCGCGCAGGATATCCCAACCCTCGCGCTCCTTGAGCACGTCGACGAACCGGCCGGTCAGCTCGGTGCCGACGGCGGACCCGAGGCTGGAGCAGGTAATGTACCACGAGAGCACGTTGGCGCGGGTCTTGGGGGTAGTGATGTGCGACAGCATGGACTCCTCGATGGCGCGAAAGGGGCCGAAATCGGCACCGCTCGCGCTCACGACGCCGACGACGGCGGCCCCGAGGAGGATCCAGAAATTTTCAAAATGTAGAAGACGCCGCCGGACACGGCCATCAGGAAACCCCGGCAAACATGACGCGGCGACGTCCCAAGCCGTCGGCCATGAGGGTGATGGCCAAGCCGAGGACGACGTCGCCGAGCAGCGTCAGGCTCATGAATAAACCAATCTGGACGTCGGAAAACCCGAGCTCCGCGAAAAAAGCGCAATGGTGAGGGAGACGGCGCCAAAGGCAAACATGCGACAGGTGCGGGACAGGATGACGAGGCAGGCGTCGCGGCCCGTGTCGTAGACGGAGGCGATGCCGGATTCATTGTACAGCCACACGGCGGGCTTCGCCAGCGACGCTGACCGGGAGCGGGACGTCGGCGGGTTGGGCGTGGCCATGGCGAGGCGGCGCGCGGCGGAGAGGAGGGCGGGAGCGGGCCACGGGCTGGGCATTTATTTCTGGGGCTCGGGCGGCGAGTTGGAAATTTGCCAGACTTCGGGTGGGCAGACGAATAATTCGGGGCGGGTGCAACAGCGGCAGCCGGCGGGCGATGCGGGGAAAAACGAAGTTTTGGTTTTGGGTTGGAAATTTTTTTGGCGTTGCTTCTTCAAAATTTCCGCTCTTGACCTCGACTTTCCTCTCTTCTCCTCACTAGGCTTCCATCCGCTTCGCTCCGAAGAGCGGAGACCTGCGCGAAATGGGGAAGGCCGTCGAGTGGCGGTGGATCGGATCTGTCGGCAGCTAACTCGGCTGAACGTGATCGGAGCGGAGTATTCCGACCTTGGTTGACGGGTTCCAACGCCAGGGTTGTTCTTGAAGAAATTCCAAGTTGCCGGGACTCTTTCTCGCAATAATAGATCCTGTCTACATTGTATTGATTAGTTTTCCGATCTATTCGGGCGAGTGTCTAGCGAGGAGCCTGATCGTGATGTTCTTGGCTGCCGAGACGCAGAGGTCGCTGTGACCCCCGCGCTCGTGGCCGGGGATTTTCAAGTCCCATCAATTGGCCCCGCGCGGTCCCGTCCCCTCAGTACTCCAAAGCTCAGCAAGACCAGTTTGATGACGCCTTCAGAGCTGGTAGTGACGCTGCGAGTGGAGACTTGGAGCCAATTGAAGGGCCCGAAAAGTCAGCAAAATCTCCAATGGCTTGGGCTTCTTGTCCCACTTGACAGAAGCTCGTCAATTGCCTCCATTGCCACCAAAGAAAAACCATTCTCGGTCAGCGACATCGGTGGCTACCCCAGCTCGCAGCTCCACTTCCTTCAGGTTTCCCAGCCACTGGGAGTCGAAGAATAGATCAGCGGACTTCAATCAACGAGTAACGCCAAATCGAGCTGCTGCTAAGTTGGTAGTGGAAACCGTCTTGAACGGGAATCGGAAATAGCGGGCGGAATAACTGGGGACTGGGCTGCTAATGACTGAACGAAGCTTGCTTAAAAGAAGGGGCACGGCTTTATCAATTGGCAATTTCTCAGCGGATGTCTGGCTATCCACCGCGCGATTGGTTTTCCGACGGAGCTAGAAAGCCAAACAACCCGCAAAGAGCCTTTGATAGCCGACTAACCATTTCTCTCCTCTCCCCTCCCTTTTTCCGTTCTAGGAACGCGTGGAGCTGGCCATGTGTGTCAGCCGCCGACATGTAGGCAAATTGCCCGACGTCAAAATCGTATTAGAGAGCCGCGGGAGATTCTCCGAGCTTAGTGCTGTTCTTAGTAAGGGCCCAAAAGACCCGAGGACCCAGGGCCCGAAAACAGCGAGCTGGTAAGTTTCAAAGTCAAACCTCGGGGACACCCCCATTGACTGTCCCCATGACGAAAGTGGCCGGAACGTAAACCAGAGCTGAGTGTGGCTGGAAATTTCTCGGGTCGGGTCCCAGCCAGGAATCAAACCATATTCCCACCCATCTCTTATGCACTCCTAGGCGAAAGGGAGAGAAGGAACGGAATAAGAGAAAAAGAAGAAACGGAATTACCTATGCATGGTTCCGAAAAGTGATGTTTGTGCATTCTTCCGCTTCCGAGAGCTCCAGAATCGATGCTGGTCTTTCCGTTCCCTCCCTTTGTCCATCCAGGTTCCTGTTCAGGTCCCTGGCGCTAGGAAGCACATCTCCCTTCGACCAAAGACGAAGCAAGGGTGGATTGTATATGGGCTACCCATCCTCTCCTACCACCACGAAGCTCAACAAAACTCTGATGCGAGGACAGAAGAAAATGGGCTTGGTCAATACATCTAACCGTTGTGTACCGAGGGATGGCCCTCGTCGTACCTCGGTTTGCCTAGTCTTCACAAAGTATCCTCCTAACCTGATTTTATATCTCTCACATTCCTGCCCCTCCAAATCTTGGTGACGGCCGCCATCCAAACCCGACGAGTGTGCGACGATCCACGGTCGCCTCGTCGACGCAAAGAGCACAGGAAGGGGATTGTGCTAGCGCGCTTTTCGCCAAGTTCCACTCTTCCACAATGGAACTTTAGGCTTCTGGGGTAGATCCATCGAATAGTACAATCCCATTCATTTGGGGGAGAAGTGGGTATACGGGGAAGGGATGTATGAAGAGTCCGCCCGCCCAGACGTCAATGCTCCCCCTTCCTCCCCGCAAAACACCAGTCAAAGTGGTGGACGCGCCCCCCTTTGATCGCGATGGCGATCAGTGATCCCCTCCCTAGCTTGCCACTAGTTGCGCAACTGGCTGACAGCGAGCGTTGCGGCTCAGCCCCGCATCCTGGGGAAAAGAATGCGGGGTAATCGTTGGAATGCTGGGGGATGACAACCCACTCTCCCTGCGGAGATTGCTTCACGATGGCGATGAACAAAGGAATGATGCTTCTCTCAAAGGGAGTAAGCAGACCTCCCTTTGTCAGTAGGCAGGTATTGTGCCCTATTATAAAGTAACGAGCGTGTTTTCTCGAGCAGCAAACAACAAGCTGAAAAGGCAAAAAGCGCAGCAACGCCCCCTTGCTTGTGAGTCGTGGTTCGAGCTCTGTGGAAACAGGTGCGACGTCTCGTCTCCCCAAGAGCTTTCGCATTCCTCTTCCAAGGTGCCACGACCGTTTCGAGCAAATGGCTCCATCGTCCCACGCCACGCAAGCCGGTGCACAGGGACCGCGACGAGCGAGCGAGCGAGCGAGCGGGGTTCCGCTGACAACCTGGGGCGAGCAGTGACAATTTTGCGGGGAGGGATGGGATGCGAGAACCTGGTGCCCCAGAGGGGAATGGTCGATCGGGAATTACACCTCGACCTCTCCCCAATCCAAGCTAGCGCGTGTGGGGCGAGTCGGGCGGCCGGATATGCACATTGATGTCCCCCAGGGGGATTCTCAAAAGGCAACAAGAAGAAGACTTAAAAAAGCAAAAGCTGGGGAAGAAAGGGATGTCGTTCGAGGGAGAGCTCGTAGTATATAATCTAGGGGTTATGCTCGCGATCTAGTTCCCTTGTTTCTTTTCGATTCCCTTCGAATAAGACAAATCCCTCTTCTTCCCTCTCTACCGTCCACCTCTTTTTTACTTCTTTGCCCTTTGTCATCGGACGCCACCATGTTGTACACAAAGCTTGCCTCGGACATCAATGAGGTCGATGTCATCGTGGCTGGAGGTATGTACCATAGCCCGCCCCTCTCCCTCAAAGTGGCGACTTTTCTGCTTTCGGCTCCAAGCATCACTGACATCATCTCCCGTGATAATAGGCGGCACGGCCGGGTGCATCGTGGCCGGACGGCTCGCGGAAGCGGACCCGACGCTCTCCGTCCTCGTGATCGAGGGTGGCGCCAATAACCACAACGTCCCCAGCGTCGTGTACCCCGCCTTCTTCCTCCAAAATCTCCAGCCCAGCACCAAAACCGCCATCTTTTATCAGGAAACAAGGCGTCCCAGCTGGCGGACCGCGAGCCCATCGTGCCCTCGGGCGGCACTTTGGGTGGTGGTTCGTCCATCAACTTCATGATGTATACCCGTGGCCAGCGCGAAGACTTTGACGCTTGGAACACGGAAGGCTGGTCCTCTGACGAACTGAAGCCCTACCTAAACAAGGTACGACTTTGAATAGAGCATCCCGCGCCCTTGGGGGAAAGAAAAATAAGAGCCAAAAGGCAGTGATGCGTCCAAGCTAACGCCCTTTTCTTGTCATCAGTTTGAAAACTACCACGGCCCCGGCAAAAGCGAAGACCACGGCCGCAGCGGTCCCATCAACGTCTCCCGCGGCACATACCGCGCCCAAGTCTCCGAAGACGACTTCATCCAAGCCGCCAACCAGGTCGGCTTCCCCGAGATCGAGGACCTCCAGAGCCTCGACACCAACAACGGCATCCAGCGCTGGCAGCGCTACATCTGCCCCGAGGGCAAGCGCCAGGACACCGCCCACCGCTACATCCACCCCAAGCTCGAAAAGGCCGACCAGTACCCCAACCTCCACGTCATCGTCGAATCCAAGGTCGTGCGCGTCCTGCTCGACGACAACAAGCGCGCTGTCGGCGTCGAGTACATCACCAACCCGGAGTTCCAGCCCCAGGGCAGCGCCGCCAACTTCCAGCCGTCCAAGCAGACGGTCCGCGCGAGGAAATTGGTCGTCGTGTCGTGCGGCGCGTGCGGTACCCCGGCGTCCTCGAGCGGTCCGGTATCGGAAACCCCGAGGTGCTCGAGAAGGCGGGTGTCCCTGTTGTCGTCGACCTCCCTGGTGTTGGTCATGACTATCAGGATCACAATTTGGTCCTCCCCCTATAGGACTAACCTGGCCCCGGACCAAACGATCGATGGCCTCCTCGGCGGCCGCGTGGATGCGGCGGAGCTGATCAAGAACAAGGACAAGCTACTTGGCTGGAACGCCATCGACATCTCATCCAAACTTCGGCCAACCGATGCGGAAGTCGAAGCCCTGGGTCCCGAGTTCAAGGCGACGTGGGACCGTGACTTCAAGGATGCACCCAACAGGCCACTCATGTTGATGGGTCTCGTTTCTTGGTGAGTAAAACCCCAAAAGTAGTATCCTCTAGACTATACACATCGTACTAACCTAAACCCCCTTCCCCCGAAACAGCTTCCTCGGTGATCCCACAGCCGTCCCAACCGGCCAATACGTCAGCGTCGGAAACTACACCGCGTACCCCTACTCCCGCGGCCACATCCACATCACCGGCGCCGACGTCAGCGACCCGCTCGATTTCGACGTCGGCTTCTTCACCGACAAGGACGACATCGACCTGAAGAAGCAGATCTGGGCGTACAAGAAGTCCCGCGAAATCATGCGCCGCACCAAGATGTACCGCGGCGAGGTCGCCCTCGGCCACCCCAAGTTCCCCGCCGGATCTCCGGCCGCCTGCGTCGAGCTGGACGCCGAGCTGTCCGACGTGAAAGACATCGAGTACTCCGCCGAGGACGACAAGGCCATCGAGCAGTGGCTCCGCGAGAACATTGGCACGACGTGGCACTCTCTCGGGACCGCCAAGATGGCGCCCCGGGACAAGAGGGGCGTCGTGGCGTCCAACCTCGACGTGCACGGCGTCCAGGGTCTGAAGCTCGCCGACCTGAGCGTGCCGCCCGAGAACCTCGGCGCGAATGTGAACAACACGGCGCTTCTCATTGGCGAGAAGGCGGCTGATATCATAATTAAGGAATTGGGCCTGGCGGCCTAGAAGGGTAGCTCTTTTATATCTAGTGTACGAGGGTAGTTTATGCGTGGCGTAATGGCAGGGTAAATTCCTACATGACTTCTTGACGTCTTTTTCTCCACTCTGCCGCTTAAAGAAGGCCGTGCCCTCGTGCCCCCGTGTCCACCATGCTCCAACGCTTTATGTTGTAATTCATGAGGCGTTGTTTGTCAAGCAAACTTAAACTAGCGTCGAAACTTTCTCAAGATCGTCTTCGCTATTGGCTCGTGCATGTGTACGTCGTAGCTATAAATCACTTCCCTCTTCGCACTTCTCGACTAAGTTGCTGTTATAGTTGCTTTTCTGCAGCATACATGCCCAACTAAGGCAGATTCATCATACACCCTTTTCTTTTCAAAGCCCAACTTTCAACCACCTCACCTTGTCGACAACATTGCCAAATACAATCGGAGCCGGCCGTACTCGGCCAGCGCGGTTCCTGCTTCCGGGCATGGACGAAAAGATTGACAAGTTCCGGCATATTACTCCACACCTGCAAACAGCGAGCAGTCCTCTAGAGTTCTGTATCAGAGGTGTATAGGAAAAAGCGGCGTAACAATGGCGAGATGACGAATAAATCCCGCGGCATCGTACTCCTCTGTATGCGTGGGTACCGGATGTCTCAAAAGACCCCTACTCGGATGAGTATTGGCACGGGTGGCACGAATGGCTCTTCCTGTAACAAAGTGAATGGCTGGCACGAGGCGTTTGCACTTTTATGCAGACTCATCTTCTTCAGGCTTTCACCTTCTTGTTATACTTGCCCTGTGTAGCACGATGGCGGTTCCTGGAGTCTACCCCACTATGTGCCGGGGATACGAGAAAATTTCGCATACCAGAGCTTTCCACTGTCAACTAGTTGGCCTCAATGTTATCCGTAAGGAGCGGGTCTGCCACCACTTGACTCGACTCCGTGGACAAAATCCCAAGGGTCCACAGGCGCAAGCGAGCGAGCGGGGTTTTGGCGGGCGACTCCGTCCGATGCAGAACTAGATAAACCGTTTGAGCCAATGGAGATGGTACAAAACCAGCCCAACAGAGTGGAGTTTTTGGTAATACATTTTACGAGCCGAGCTCCGATGAGTGAAAATTCTCTTATCGCCCGCCCGCTCTGCATGATTACTAGTTGATAGACTCGATTTTCTGTCACGTGCGGGGATTAGAGCACAATTCCCTCCACACTTTTTTTTGCAGTTGAGCTGGTTTTCGGGGTGGTACGAAATGAATGGATGAATTCCCAAGTCTTCTCTCTTGGCTGGAAAAGAGTTATCGACGGTGGATCGTCTTGGGCGCCGATTTGAGAGAAAGATAGAATCCAGTCGCCGTTCTGACCCAGCAATCCCACAGGGCCAAGACTGCCAAGCCTTATAAGGCGGTCGTCAAGCTGTCAAAGAGCTGTCAAAGATGGCTTGTGCGGGGCGCCCTCGCAAATCATGTTGGAGACGAAAAATCCAGTCCCTTCACAGGCGGATTCCCGGCCTGAACAAGATACCCTTGGAGTCACTTGCCATCATAGGTCTCTTGATCCTCGTGAATGCCGTTGTATGGGTCGCCGTAGCTATTGTCCTTGTGAGTGTCACTTCCCATCTAACAAAGAAAGAAAAACCAAGAGGGAAAAAGCACCCTATCGCTAACTCAAACTCCCACCGCGCAGCGATTCTATCCGTAAGCCATGCTCCCGCCACATCCATGGATTTGGAAAGTCTCTTGGCTCATCGACTTGACTAACACACAATTCTAGCTCTTTAGCTCCCAATGCGATCCTGGCCTGGTCCCTCGGCCTGCGCCATGCGTTTGATGCAGACCATATTTCAGTAAGTCGTGCGGCAGAGGCATAGCAAAGTCAATGTTGCGTAGTCCACACTAGCGAAATGCTGTCTGTATCTTAGTCCCGATACTAACCTACCTCTAGGCCATTGACTTGATGACAAGGCGCTTGCTCGCGACTGGTCAAAAAGCTGTGACCGTTGGAACTTTTTTCTCACTTGGCCATTCTACGTAAGCCTCTTCACTGCTTAACTTTGCCTACACCTATCTAACCCGCGAGTAGGATCGTTATAATCACTTCGATCGTTGTGGCGGCTACTGCCGCGGCTATTTCTACGCGTTTCGACAATTTCAGCACCGTTGGTGGCATCATTGGAACCTCGGTCAGCGCGGCGTTTCTCATCCTGCTTGGTCTCATGAACGCGTACATCCTCTATAAACTCATCAAGCAGCTTATCAAAGTCCTCCGACTACCCGAAGGACAAGAGGATGAAATCTGGAAGATTGAAGGCGGCGGTATCCTCTTCAATATCCTGAAGAAGATGTTTAAGCTCATTGACAGGTGAGACATACCTCCACATCTCGACAGAGAAGGCAGCCTGCTGACCAATTTACTCCTGTTTAGGCCCTGGAAAATGTATCCCCTGGGGTTCTCTTTGGCCTAGGCTTCGATACATCATCCGAGATCGCCCTTCTCGGCATTTCTTCAATCGAGGCAGCCAAGGGAACCGACATCTGGGTTATTCTCATATTCCCCATCCTGTTTACCGGTGCGTCATGACCAATCATAACCGTTTCATATCTTGGTCGTCAAAACATGGCTAACATGAGAAAATAGCGGGTATGTGCTTGCTTGACACTACCGACGGCGCGCTGATGCTAGCGCTGTACATCCAACCGGCCACGAATTTCCTGCCTCCCAAACCCGGCGATGAACCGCTGATAGATGGGGACGAGGAGATGCAGGAACCGACCCCACATAGTAACCACCGCGACCCCATTGCATTCCTCTATTACTCCATTGTCCTCACCTGCTTGACCGTCATGGTGGCAATCGTCATAGGGGTCATCCAGGTCCTCTCTCTCGTTCTCAATGTTGCGAGTCCCACTGGAAAGTTCTGGGATGGCGTGGAAACGGCCGGTGAATATTACGACGTTATTGGAGGCGGTATTGCCGGCTGCTTCGTGCTCGTTGCCATTCTTAGCGTTTTTGCCTACAAGCCGTGGAAAAGGTGGATTACTCGACGATACGGCAAGGGTATTGTTTTGCAAGACGCACAGTCCCCGGAACCAGGCGCGGCGATGGTCTCACCAGATGACACTGCTATTTCCAGCAAGGAAAAGGGGGTGCTGACCTCGACTAAAACTACGGATCAGAATGCGACTTCTGTCGGACGTGGGGCCTAAACCGGTCCTTTGGCTTTGGGCTAGCCGAGAGATATCAATGGCCAGTCTGTATCACGGAATGCGGAAGTGAATGGATCATTGATCTGCGTTTTTTGAAAGACCATTCGCAGTCCAGGCATGCTAGGCTATAGCCAAGTGGATTAACCACGTAATGTCCCTATATCTACTAGTGGAAGAACATAGGTTTTCCATTGATATAGTTCCCCAAATACTATCATAGCTTTTATTACTCCTACATGCTAAACTACCTTCCGTTATCATGAGCCACGTCGTGGTCTACGCTTTCTTCTTCACAATCAACATCACAGCGGCGGCAGTTCCCGAGAGCAGCTCCTTGCCCTCCTCCACCCCAGCATCATGCATAGCTTTCTCAATCTCTCGTCTCATCGTACGCGTAATGTCCTCTTCGGTGTTCGCCGCGTCAGGGTGCGCTTCACGCCATCGAGCAACGGGGCTCGTGGTGGCCATGACCTTTTCCAGGTCAGAGACTCTCATCTGAGGTTGCGGAAGCAGGTAGTATTCGTTGCCGGGCAGCGACCCGGGGTATCGGTGCCCCACTCCTTGCGCACAAAGGACTCCTTGTCGAACTCTGTAACGGGATCGGGCACGGTCCAAGGGAGCTGCATGTTGACGTAGAGTTCGCGATTGTGCCGGTTTCCGGGCTCCATGTAGTCGTCGAGGCGCTGCTCGAAGCGATCTAGAGCCGCCTGACCTCTTGCGAGTTGGGCACAGCGGGGCTAACGATGATCGATCCGTTCGTCCAGAGGGCAACTGTGCCGCCAGGCTTGAGAACCTGCGCGGCCCTCGCCCAAAACAGGGGCATGTTGAACCAGTGAGCCGCGGTCGAAACCACGAGAAGGTCCACGCTTCCGTCGGCTATGGGGGCGAGAGCTCGGATCCGAGTGTCTCGGCGGAGCTGACCTCGAAACGAATAGGTTCGGAGCTGGCAGATTCCCCGCCAAGCTCGATGGCCGAGTTGAGCATTCCCTCGGAAGGGTCGATTCCTATGACATGGCGGAAATGCGGAGCAAGAGCTCGCGCGGCGAGGCCGGGCCCGCAACCGACGTCGAGCAAAGTGTCGAATTGGCCGCCGGTCGAGGTGTGGTGATCGACGAGAGTTTGGTAGAGCTTGGGGTGGTAATCTCGGCGGTGCTGTGCGTATTCGGCTCCTTGCTGGTGGCTGAACTTGCGAAATGTCTTTTCTTGGGGAGGCGCGACTGGTTCAGACATCGTGATGGATCGCGGGGTTGAGTTAAGTTGATGTGATGGATTCGTAATTTCGGTTTAGATGAGTGGAATTGGCAAAAGTTGGTTGATGGTAATCTAGAAGACTTGGGCCTTGATGATTTTCCTCGTGGTTCAGGGCAAAGAAAAGAAAGGGAAAAATAGTCCGCGGGCGTGTTGATAAACCACATCGATGTGGACGTCCAAGATCAGGATTTAGGCAACGCTTTAACATGCTAGTTGCAAACCGCCAAAGGGGCAGGATCTAGGTGGCCCCGCCCGGCGCGGTCCACAAGTCGGTAAACACGGCAACGTTTTCTCCGTGTGCAGCGAGGGAACGACAAGCCGATCTAGGGTTGGGCCGTAGAATGGATGTGGACATAAAACAGCGGGATCGGGGAAAAATGGCCGCGTTGAATTTAAAGTTGCGGCTTGAATTGTCGATGGCAACGCTCGTTACGCATGCCAGGACACAGTACGTAGCTGGGGCGGCACTTACAATGCGAAACGCCACGGCAGTTCGTATTTCGCATCTCGGTTTCATTCCGCGCAATCCACGTCACCCAGCGTTCCGCGCCGTATCACAGCACTTCAACGTTATTTGCATCAAGAACTTGACATATAAAAAGAACAGAAAAAGATTACCCAGGAAGCAATGAAATAAAAATGATCCTCTTATCCATTTACACTCATTCAACCAGCCAGTCCTGCGGGCAGACTCGATAAATCAACATCTACTTTTCACGCCCTCCTCCAACACCCCAAACCAACCTCGAAACCATGGCGAGCCACCACTTCCTCGAAGGCAAGAAAATCATCGTCGCCGGCGCCGGCATGGCAGGCCTCGCCTTCGCCACCGCCCTCCGCAAGCACTGGAACCCCGCCCTCCCCTTCCCCTGCCTCCGCATCTACGAGCGCGACACCAAAGTCACCGCCGTCGGCCGCGAGGGCTTCTCCCTCTCCCTCGCCGGCCAGGACGAGACCGGCGGCCTGTACGCCCTCATGCAGCTCGGCCTCCTGGACAAGATTCTCCCGCACGTCATCCTGGGCCTCGACGGGCCCGGCTGCTTCCGCGTGTGGGACGCCAACTTCGCCACCACGCTGCGCATCAAGTTGAATCCCGCCAAGGGTCTCCCGTCGGCGGGTATACGCATCGCGCGCAAGGACCTCCGCGGCGTGCTGATCGAAGCCGGCGAAAACGACGTTGTGTGGGATGCCGTCTGCCTCGGGGCAAAGAAGCAGGAAAACGGCAAGATGCTCGTCACCATCCGAAAAGGGGCCGCGGCCGGCGCCGAGGAGATCGTCGAGGAAGAGTGCGACTTGCTGCTCTGCGCCGATGGCGCCAACAGTAAGCTACGCGCTTCGCTACGTCCCGACGACAAACTCCAGTACTGCGGGGCGGTCCAGCTCGGCGGGCTCGCCCGGTTCGAAGACGGACTGCCCGAACCCGTGGGCGAGAACTGGGGAATGACGACGTCCGGCACTGGCGTCGCCTGCTTCTTCTCCCCGTCGACAAGCACTCGCTCGTGTGGGCCCTGAGCCACCTCGAAGAACAGCGCGCGCCCATCACCGATCGATCCTCCGAGGAAGAGCGCCGTGCCGTCGTGGAGGAAGGCGCCAAGCTCGGCTCCATGTTTTCCGAGCCCTTCCCATCCATCATGAGAGCTACGGACGTGGATACCGTATTTGCTATGCCGGCCCGAGACAAACAACCGTTTCCTCACGACCTCAAGGGCGGGCCGGTGGTTTTCCTCGGCGACGCAAACCACGCCGTGAGCCCGTTCGCCGGGTATGGCGCGAGCCTCGCGCTCAAGGATGGTTGGGACCTTGCCGAGCAGATATGCAAGGCCTCCACGCTCGCGCAGGCGCTTCAGCACTATGACAAGATTAGCATCCCGAGAGCGCAAAAGAGCCTCGATACTGCGCATGGCAGGATTCGGGACTTTCACAGTACCGGCATCCGGTTTTACTTTGTCAAGTTTATGATGACTCTTGCCGGCTTCATGTTTCGTTTGACTGGTAGAGGCTAGCCCTGGATGGCTTATTTTGACCCTTCAGCCTCTTCTTTTACGATACCCTTCCCCGCTCAGCCTTCTTTCCTTCTTGCTCTTGCCGTTAGGTTATCTAGTCTCTTTTATCTTGTCTTCGTTGGAATATCGCGGGGACAGTAAAGCCTATGGAGGTAAACATACGTGGCGAAACATGGCACTATCATTAATTATATTGTGTAATTATACTCTTTATCCTTTTTCTTCTCTATTTCAAAGCCCCGTGCGTTGAACGGTCATTAATTCCCATGCTTTATATTCGGCCCCTATGACCTTCGCTTAAAGACGAGCTGGCATCCATCCTGCAAAAGTTGTTAGCATCGTTATCCCAAAATAAAATCGAATTCGAATCTAGTAGTGACTTACCATAGGGAACAGAGTAGCAAAGACCCTGATCCTTTCCGAGTCGTCCGTCGCATGATGCTCCCAATCTAGCTCTAACGCCGCCTTCCCAATCATACCCGCCATTGACAAAGGCACATACCGCCTCGCAAGGCAATCATGCGCTCGGAGCCAAAGACAAGCCAGTTCTTAGTTTGCGCCTCCGCGTCCCCGGTGATCCACCTATCCGGGTCGAAATGGTCTGGGTTGGGGTAGGCCTTGGGGTCGTGCAGCGCCGGGTAGCAGGACGGGATAACCATGGAGCCCTTGGGAACGGTGTAGTCGGGGGTGATGGGGAAGCTCTTGGTGGCGAGATAGGGAACGAAGATGACGGGCGGTCGGTGGCGCAGGAGCTCCTTGATGACGGCCTTGGTGTATGTGAGGGAGTCAAGCATGGGCAGGTCAAACGGCTTCGTCTTATCTCCGCCGCGCGCGGCAAGGTTCTCCTCTCGCAGGCGCTCGAGGACATCGGGTCGCTGGGCGAGGACCTGGAATAGCCAGTTCGTGGCACTGCTCGACGCGTCCTGCGAGGCGAACAAGAACGTGAACAGAGTCTGGCCAATCTCCTCGTTGGTGAACTCTCGAATCAGGTTGGACGGCTTGACGGCATCCACATCTCCCGCCGCGACTTTTTCGCGATACTCGTTCGACTTCCTCATGTGTGACACCCACTGGTCCACGATGCAGGTAGGTTCCGCCCCGGTCGCCATGTTGGCCTTGCACGCGCCCGCGCACCTGGCAAACTCGGCATTCACAGCGTCCGCCGTGCGCTTGCCCAGCCACGTCTTGGTAAAGGGGATGTACATGGACAACGGCACGTTGACGAGCTCGAGCGCGGCCGTGACGAGGTAAAGTCGTCGGCGATCTTCTTGACCGCGTCCGGGGAGATGTAGTCGCCGAAAAAGGTCCTGAGCGATAGGGCGCAGTTGATCTCCCGAAAGAGGGCCATGAAGGCCGTGGGCCGGCCCTTGTTCGCCTCGCTGGCGGCGACGAACTTGTCAAAGTAGTCGGCGAGGACCCTCTCCTGCACGGGGAGGTAGGACGAGATGGCTTGGTTCGTGAAAAGCGGCATCAGGCCTCGGCGGTACTCGGCGTGGGCTTTTCCCTGGAGGAAGACCCAGGCCTTGTGCCCGATTACGTCTTTCGCGATGGGGACCAGGCATGGCTCGGTGTAGGTGGGTGACCGGAACACCTTGTGGGCGAGATCGGGGTCGGATGTTAGAACGACGAACCTAGGCTTTTGTCAGCTTGCTGGATCCTAAAAACCAGGAACGAGCGGCATTCTTGGGGCCTCTTGATCCTGAGGAACACTAACTTGTGGAAGACGGAAACGCAACTCAAAGGGCCGCTAGCCCATTGCGCAATATAACTCTCAAACTTTGGATGAAGAGCCTGAATGAAGGGACCGGTAATCGGAATCTTGAATGCAGGCCCAGCGATCGAGCCCTTCTTCAAAATGTACAGGACTGTCAAGATGTAAGTATTTATTAGCGCCCGTCAGCAACACGCCCGCGGGCCAAGATATGGGCAGGGCGGGTCAGCCTTACCTTGATCGTATACGACAAGCCCCAGAATAAAGGTCACGGCATATTTCCAAATCGGCCAACTCGAGAGAAATTCCGGGAATGCAATGGCCTCTTGCAGCTTGGAGGTGGTGGATAGGAACGAAGGCTGCGATAGATCCGGCCACGCAACCGACGTGTTGATGAAGTTGAGCGCCATCTTTGGGGTGGCTTTTTTCGGGCTCGTCACTGACTGTCTTCTCGAAAGCTAGAATCCAAAGGGGACTCGCGCACGCCAAGAACGGGAGGGAGAGAATGCGTGTCGTCTTTATATCCGCAGGGTTCGAATTTCTCCATCGCGCCACACTGGATCTTGGTGGGTTCCAATTCCCTTCCCTCCCCAAAACCCTTTTTTCAACGCAACGCCAGCCTAGGCACGGTACCCGCAAGTCCGTCGCTTCGTAATCGTTTTCGCTACTCTAACCCACCATCAACTCTCTGTCCCGCTTTCCACCTCTTGTGTTATCGGGGGCACCAACTCGACGGGTCGACCCACGATCCCGAGATTCCCGAACACGTCCAGTCGCTGCTCGTCCTCGAGTGCAACCCAAACACACAAAGTCGATTACCGGATTAGGACTAGTCTCCGCATGTTCTACAGCCGCCAAGCCGGAACGTGCAGACTGCGGAGTCTAGTCCTAATCCGGCCATCGATGCTCCGCCCAGACTTTGAGGTCATTTCACCTTCTTTTTCCTCGGAAATCGTTCGACTGCATCCCCACAAACGACCTTCTCCCCTTCCATTTTCCTACACCAATCTTTCCCCCACCCCTTTTTTTCTTCCCATTGCCCAAGCCAGACGGACCATGGGTCATCCGAGCACCCCTCAGTCGGAACAAGATTCGAAAAGAACGCTTGATACCTATTTTTCCTGATTTCAACAAGGGGCATCATAAAGAAGAAAAATAGGAACAATGCGCCAAACCCTTCGCCGCTCTTGCGCTGCATGTGCTAAATCCAAACATAGCTGCGACCTTCGCACGCCGCGCTGCTCTCGCTGTACTAAGCGCAAGGTGCTCTGCGTGTACGCCAACGAGCCCCTGACAGCTGCCCCGCCACCACCCCGGCAGCGCCGGCGCGGGAGATTAACGAGTCTGTCGCCGCCCAGCTGGGTAGCCTGACCAACTATAGGTTTGGGTCCCTGGATCCCTTTGAGTCTTACCCGCCGACGAGACTTCCGCGAGAGCACGTTCAGCGCCTCATTCATAGCTGTAGGTGAACCTCGTCGCCTAGAATCAGGCGATTTCTTTTCCCTCTCCCCTCCCCAGAACTTGTTAGGCGGGTTTCGAGATTAACCCGGCCCCCGTGCAGTCCTACACAAAATCGCGTTTCAATACTATCCACTTGACCTCAATGCCACTTCCAATCCTTTCCTCGTGTCCTGGTGGCCTCTCGCCCTTGGCGACCCTGCCTTATTCCATGTTTCTCTACAAACGGCATGTCTGGACGAAGAGATGCTAGCGCGCAAGGGCTTCCAGAGTTCGGAAATCCTCATGGCCGACTCCGTTGCCCTCCTCCGCCGCAAAGTGTTCGAGCCGTCTTTGGCCATACAAGACGGTACAATGAACTCGGTCATCACCCTAGCAGCTATAGAGGTAATCCAACCCGATCGTCTCGATTCTTCTTGTCTCCGTGTCTTGACTCCTTCCCATGTGACGGGTGTTCCTCCTCGATATCGTTGGTGTTTAAGAATGCTGACGCGATCATGCTCGTGGCGTAGTTTGGAAAGGGGAATACAAAGGTTAGCGAAATGCACGTAGACGGCGCCAAGAAACTTGTCAAGATGCGGGGAGGAATCAACTCGATCAGGCAGACCAGTCCCCTCACAGCGAGGATGGTTAGTTGGTAAGTCGACTCAAGGGTTGAGGGCAATTCATTGTCCTTCTCTTTCACGGCAACATTACTGACGAGGCTTACCTCAAGGGTCTCTATGCTCATCACAGGCCAGCCACAGTTCGAAACCCAAGACGATATCGGCTCCGGCGACGGTATACCCCCATCCCTGAATGGCAGGCAGGTCCAGCATCCGCCCCGGAAGACGACTTTGCTCTCGGAAACGACATCGCGCTCGACGTCTGCAACGTGTTCACCCGTCTTCGAAACGTATTCCTACGGGCTCGACACGTCCCCCTGGAACCTGCGCGACTCCATGATCTCACGTGCTTCGTAGTCCACCGCCTTCTCTTCCCCGTTTCCGACGCAACGAGTAGCCCCGAGTCGCACGTTTCCAGCTGTGTTCGCTACGCCATCGTGCTGTACATGTTTATCCTACAGGGACCGACCTACTTCTCGCATGCCGTCCTGTTCAACCAAATCGTCGACCGGTTCGCCGAGAGCCTCCGACAAACCGCGCCCACTAACGATCACCTCGATATATGGCTTCTTGCCATCGCACTCGTATCCTCCAACGGCACGGCCCACTACCTGTGGGTGACGGAAAAGGCCCAGCGCACAGCTTATCATTTCGGGATCAGGGGCCGGTTCGAAGCTCTTGCGAGGATTCAACGCGTTCTGTGGTTGGACAATTCGTGGGGCGAGGACATATTCGGTCCCTATTGGGATTTTGACCAGCACGGAGGGGTCGAGTTTGGGTCTATTGTCTCCTCGAGCAGCGTTGGGCCGGGAGTCCTGCCAGATGCGCCTCCGATATGATAGTGGCCGGCTTTCTGGGACCAAGTCCCCTGAGGTACGCCCCCGGTACCAAAGCGAATACCGGATATTCTTTCGGTAAGTCTCGAGCGCTAGGTCTCATGGTCTCATGATATGCCACCGAGGCAGGCGTCAGCTATGGAGCCGAACTGGAACCGATCCCTGCGTCATCGCCGAGCTGAGCTAGGGACTGGAAACCAACGTCCCAGATTCGCTCCAGCCGCCTGATCTCGCGCAAGCATTGACTCAAAGTTGGATGCAGATATTCCCTCACTCGATGCTCACGGTCCGAAATTCCATCAGTCGCCGAACGCGGTCACGTATATGACCAACTTTTCCGCTCGTCTTGGGCCGAAACTAACCGTGCGCTATCCGCAAAATCTGCGATTCAAGCAAATGCGGTCATCTGAAGTGCTTTGAACTCCTGTCCGTTTCTCCTCCAGCATTAGAACTTGAGGAGTCCAGCTTATCGAGTATTCAATACAGAGCATCAGAGGCATCCGGTCGAGCCGGTGGGGACGTGATGTGGCAGGGATGTGGGGATGGATTCTGTGGAAATGGCTATTCCACATTTGTTCAAATGGGCAGGGATTGACGGGACCAGCGACGCGACATGGTCGCGCGCCCCAGCCCAACGCGCTGGAACCGAACCACCCCCAATCAATTGATCTGACAAGATGCACAATTGAAAGATTGATTCATTACGCCTCGAATTTCGCATCAGAACCTCAATTCCTTTTCGTCATATTCTTTCACCAAAAAGATCACCTCTACGCCACCATGACTCCTCCTTCTGACGTTGACGAGGTGACCCTCGCGCCAGAGGCCATCCTGCGAGCCGTGATGCTCTCGCTCTGCGACGACTACCCCACCCTCATCAGAGCGCTCAAGGCCACGCGGGCACTGACCAAGCTCTCTCAATCTCGCGCCGCCGCCGCCGAAGGCGACGACTCTGGAAAACGCAAGGCCGAAGGTGAAATTTTCGTCTGTCTCCAGTGCAAGGAAGTCTTTTCCACAGACGATAATCCCGAAGACTGCTGCTCTTATCATCCAGGTTGGTCTCGTCCTAGATTTTTTTTTTTTTTTTTTCAAATCAGATCATAGGAGAGCCGGGCATGTTTGAGGAACCATATTGGTACGGTTACCCAACCTTCCACCTACGGTTCCAGCATGTTGGAACGCTGGAACGGTATCTTAAGTGGAACGGTTCCATTTTCCTGATCGGTAACAAGGGTTCCAAGGTTCCATATCCCAATAAGAAAGATCCCTTATATAGGAAATACCGCCTTCATTCAGTGTGATAGCTATCATGCCGTAGAGGTAAATCTGTAAAACCTGTAGATATGTAAAATGAAGCCCCGTAGTTCAATCCAGAGGAAAACTAGTAATTTTTCTATTTTCGTAGATATCGTAGGCTGTAGAAGGCGATGAAGTTGAAAATATCGAGCGTAAAGCTCGATGACCTGAGTGAAAGTCACTCGGGTGTCACTTTTAAAAGTTCTAGTAGGTGGAACCGTTCCTTCTCATGGAACCGTTCCTCGCTTTGGAACTGGGTTTCGACCCAACAATGCTGGTCCCTTACACTTGGAACCTTTCGAAAAAGGAACCGTTGCAGAACCGTTCCCTAGAGGTTCCTCAAACCCCCAGGCTCTACCATAGATCCCAAAGATGCACCATCCTGACTCCGAGTCTCTATAAATTATAGGCAACTTGGAACCTGACTATGAAGGCGACTTTTGTGCCGACCATGACGAGGGCCACGCTGAGATTGATACTGAAGATATGAAACGGGAGTGTCCTGAAGGATTCATCTATGATTGCTGTGACGAAAACGGCGAGTCTAAGGGCTGCGCGAAGTCGCGCCATCAAGAGCAGCCCAGCAAATCGTTGAGAGGTGGTTATGGGCTCGATTGACCATCTAAACCTCCGCCCGACGAGGATAGCCTCAGAGGCAGAATGAGGGTGCCAACAGCACTCAGCACAAGTCCACGCCTCGGGAAAGAGATGGTCCATCCCTCCCATCTCACTGTACATGTAAACTAGAGTCACCACCGTTCAATGTTTTGATACGGCCTCGCTTACTCACTAGTGGACTTTTCCACGGACGAATAAGTTTCACAAGCCAATATGCATCTGACCTTAAATGCTGTAATGATGTGAGGTGCGAACGTAGGCTTGGCGCGTCATTTTTGGGATCGTTGAGTCGTGAGAACTGCTGGCCACGTTTGCGCACGAAACCAAGCAAACGATGAAGCTGCATAATAAAATTCTTTTCCTCCTCAAATCTCACCAAGATATGCAAACTAGGATGAAGAAAAAAAGAGCAAAAAAAAAAAAAAAGAAAAAGATGAACCCAGAGCGATTTGAACGCTCAACCTTCTGGAAACTCCGTTGGAGATGGTACACTCCGGCTGGTGCTGGAATCAGACGCGCTACCGTTGCGCCATGGGTCCTTCGTTTTGATGTTGATTGCGGGGAAGAAATTTGTATTCATAAATAGCTGCACACTCACTCACCCGAAAAGTGGTTCGAATTACGTGAGCGGAATTCACTAGCGCTTAAAGGCATCTAAGTATTCACGACAAAACCTTAGGGAAGGAGCACTTGAGGGGTTGGCCTTTTTCTTCTTTCTTTAGTGATTATGGATACACTGAAATAGCATAGAATCAAACTTGACCAAGTATGCATTATATTACGCCTATAATCCCAATCGGGAAAGGCTAGAATTTCAACAGAGACAACACATCTAAACCCATCACCGAGACCATCGCCGACTCCAACCGTGAGGCGTCGCCACTTCCCCAGGCTTCCTCTGCACTTCATCAAACAACCTCGCGGTCAAGAACTTGTAGATGTACCTATCCGCACCATTATAGCTAATCCCGTGATCGCTGTCCGTAAAGGCAAACATCTTCATCTTGTCCGGCGAGACCCCGCCCGCCACGAGCAAGTCGATCAGCGCCGCCGTGTGCTGGTAGTGCACGTTGTCGTCGCCGGTCCCGTGCAGCACGCTGAACCCCCGCGACGTTCTTGAACCCTCGACGTGGCGCACCGCCGACGCGAGGTAGCCGTCCCGGTTCTCGCCCAGGGTTTTCATGTACCGCTCCGTGTACATGGAGTCGTAGAATCGCCAGTCCGACACCGGCGCCGTGATGAGGCCCAGGCTAAAGACCCCGGAGTCGAGCTCCAAGGTCTTGGCCGTTAGGTACCCGCCGTACGACCAGCCCCACATTCCAATTTTCGCGGGGTCGACGTAGTCGAACTTCTCTGCGAGCTGCTCCGCCGCCCAAGTCTGATCACGGGCTTCGAGCTCTCCTAGGCGGGAGGTCACGGCTGAGCGGTAGTCGCGGCCCCGGTGCGCGGTACCTCGGTTGTCCACGGTATAGACGATGTACTCCAGTTCCGGGTCTGACGAAATGTACGTATCCCAGGTATATGTTTGAAACCTCTTGGCGACGGATTGGGAATTGGGACCACCATACGGCGTGAAGAGGACCGGGTAGGACCGGGATGGGTCGAAGTTGGCGGGGAGTTGCTGCATGACGTTGAGTTGGTAGCCGTCCGGGTGGCTGAGCTCAAAGTACGAGATGTTGGGAAGCCTGTAGTCGGCAATGGTCGCGTAAAAGGGTTTGTTGTCTTGGAGGGTGCGCAGGGGCTTGGAGCTCGAGTTTGACGAGTAGAGCTCCTGGTACGGGACATCGGGGCCGAGGTAGCTCAGAATGTAGAACCCCCGCCCGAGGAGAAAGAGGCGGACCAGTATGCGGGGATGGTATCGTCCACCAAGGCCGTGACATCCTTGGTCTCCCACGACACCTTGTAGATGTGTCTCTCGGTTGAATGAGCGGTAGAGGCCTGATAGTAGACTAAACGTTTGGCCGTGTCCACGTGAAGGATTGCCGAAACTTCCCATTCTCCTGATGTAAGCTGGATAGGGGAACCATCATTCACGGGATGGAGGTAAATATGCGCCCAGCCGTCTTCGTCCGAGATATCCAAGTAATAGCCGTCATCGCTTGAGTTTCCCAGCCGGCCAACGTAAGCGATGGCCCCTGTGTTCTCCAACCACCCGTCGCTGCCGTCCCGGCTACGAGTTTTGTGCTGTTCCAACGTTTCCGGGTCCACCACCACATGGGCGTCATGGTCTTGGACCCGATTGAACGCGCGGTAGAGCAGCGCATCGTGGCCTTCCGTCACCCACGCCACTTCTCCGATAATCAGCTCTTGCGGCTCGAAGACCGTAATATCGACGGTGTCAAACTGAGTCGACGACGTTGATAACAAGTGCAGCGCAACCGTGGGGTTCGTGGACCCCACCTTGGGATACCGCAACTCCAGCTCCTTGGGATACGTCGGAGCAAGATCTTGGCCATCCATATAGTACGGCACGGAAAAGGTACCGACTCCCGTCTCGTTGAAGCTGAGGAACGCCACGTATTCGGCATCCGGCGAGAACCACAACGTCGACCGAGCGCTGAAAATCTCTTCCTCGTACACCCAGTCCGGAACACCGTAAAGAGATCCGGCCCACCGTCGTGGGTGATCTGCCGCACCGACCCGTCCCCGTGGTCCCTGAGGAACAAATTGTTGCCTCGAACAAAGGCAATGGTGTCGCCCTTTGGCGCGATCTCGGCATACTGGATGTCTCCGGCTTGATCATCGACCAGCGGCGTGGTCGTGCCAGAGTCCACGTCCAAAATCAAGTAATCCGCCAAGTACGAGTGCCTGTACACTTGGGTCGAGTTGACGGCAATCAGGATGCGGTCGAACCCATCGCTGATCCAGTACTCCCGGATATTCTTAGGCAGATTCCCCGCCGAAACAAATGTCGAATTCGTGCCCGTTTCGATATCGACGAAAATCAAATCGCCTGCTGCGCTCGAGGTGATGTACTTTCCGTCGCTCCCGCCTTCCGACTTGACCCACCGTACGCTACTGGATCGTGGGCGGATCGTAGCCGACGGTGTCGTTTCGTTAAATGTTAGAAGCCGGTTGCCGCCGCCTACGGGTTGATGTGTCCCTCTGGGCGGCTCAATAGCACCAATCCCAGACGCGAGGCACAAGAGCGCGCCAAAAGCGCACCGGGTCAACATTTTCAAGAGTTTTGGTCGCCAAGACCCTTGATAGATTTTCCGGAAAGGACTCTAGAGAATGAAGGGTCAAGCTATTCGATCTCAAGGTTGGCAGTATGATCTCAATATCATCTCCAGCTTCCTTCAAACCCAAGGGCAAGCACGGAAGGCAGTCTATACACTCTTTTTAACATCGCCGGTCTTGGGAGGGGGATTCCATCATTAATTAATACAAAGTGCTGTGCCACCGCTCGACTACCGCCTACCCTCTGCGGCAGGTGGATTGATACCGGCCGTTGCTCGACGATACTCCTGCCCGCGGTGACCTGCCCGTTCCGGGTGGTTAATCTATGGGGTCGTCTCCATAGGTCCACTTTGATTCGCCAAGCCTGTGTAGCCGGGACATTTTGTACCTCTTCCTCTCGGTGTCAATTAGGCCCTGTATGCTATAGATGGCGCAATAATGCTACAAGACAGGTTGAGGGATGGAAAAGTGCCATACAAAAGGGCCATGGCCAAGAAGTGATGGGCATGGACTATCCCCTTGCCTGCGGAGCCACTCTGTAGGCACGGTAGCATCGGTATTCGCAGCGGCCGGCGTGCGTCAACCAGTACCGGAACCATCGGTCATATTTTAACAACAGGTTTTCGCGCACAGTTCAATCACGATCTCAAAGCGACAGAGACCATTATTTCGTTCATGGAACTGGAAGTATTGCTGTGGTTAGTATGAGATAGTAGAGCATTTTTGGTCTGTTGGCGGTTGGCTATTCAAGCAACAAAGGTGTAGAAATCCGCTGTAAGAGGACCTTGATACGATCTGCAGGAACCACTCCTTTTTCTTCGTTGTAGCAATGCTTTTTGCGACCAATGGAAGTACATCAACTCTGCGTGCAGCTCCGGTTCTTGCTGGCCGTGCTTGTCCATTTTCATCCTTAACTAACCCCGACCATACTTTGATCTACGTCTTTTTTTTTTTTTTTTTTTTCGCGTTTTGTTAGAGAAGCAGGAGGTGTCAACCCGCGCACTACTCTAGCTCACGTAGTCGCGTGAAAGAGTCCAACGGTCAAAAGAGGTTGCATATGGAAAAAGAAAGGAAAAAAACCCCACCGAAAAAAGAAAAAAAAAAGAGAAAACAACAAGCTCCTTTGCTCTCTGCTCTATGTTTAGCTTCTCGAATCAAGGATATTACGTTGTCCCGCCAGCTTGGGCGAATACTGAATGCGACCTGCCATTCAAACGCGACAGGCAGCCGACCTTGACGCATGCTTGAAGAAACCCTGTGATGCACAGTATTTCCTAAACTACGTATTGGCAGATGCGGGATCAAGCCACCGACGATAGCCTCCTCACCAAGACTGAAGCGGTCCATTTATATGGGCAGAGTGTAGTAGAGCTTCTCCGCCGGCTATCCTGGACACCGGAACACCACAGCGGCAGTGAAAAAGCCGCATATCATTGATCTGAACCCTCCACTGGAGTGGGGCGTACACCACCCACCAGTTCGCGGGCGGGGTCCTAGTCTCGGGGGCGGTGGTGGAAATGCGAAGGGTGTCCTGAGCTCTTTCGCCGAGTTTTCTACGGGTAGCGAGTAGGAAATTGGGGAGAGCCGTTGGACAATGTACTAGTGCTGTGTTGATTAGTGTACTCGGAGAAGTGCGCACTGTTTACGGAGGATTCCAAGAGCGTGTTTAACGTCCGTTGAATTTGAGCAAAGCAATTGAAGGCAGTTTTATTTCGGGGGCGTTCCAACGGGTGTGGCTGCGGGGCACCTTTACCTCTTCCCCTCCATCCGGATGTGCGTCGACCTCACCACCGGCCCAGAGCCTTCTCGCAGCCCCCGGAACAAAGATCGCAGGCAAACCCACTGCTTCCCACCGCACAATACGAAGTAGCCGGCTCGGCGGTGAAGCAGCTAGTGGCTAAAGTCGCTCCCAAGGATCCATTCCCATTTTCCATCTTGCACGAAACAACCCCGGCACCGGCCCCTCGAAAACACAGTCACGTGGAGCACACCATGTGAGTCTTCCGGCGCTAGCCTGGAATTTGTCGGGGATTAGGTGAGCCGAAAAGACCCCGCATCATTGCCCCTCCATCAATTCGAACCAAAGGAAAGGGGAAGGAGGGTTTTGAGGAACGGGGAAAAAAAAATTCTCGATCGCGACCGCTCCGTGATGCTTGCCACCGCTTCTCCCGTCGCCGTTCCCGCATCGCTCTCTACGCTGAATTCAACATCGCATTCTTCGTCGCACGACGAATCCCGCTCGAGTCCTACCCCGTCCACGACGTCTTCTTTCCGACACATTCCACTTCAATCAGGATAATAGTTGAGCCAAGATGTGCGGTATCGCAGCTGTACTGGTGCGTATTTTGTGCCTCTCCCTCCCCGCCCTCCCGCCCCATTCCTACCGCGCGCCCGCCTCGACGCAATTCGACTAATCCGATCGCGATTCTTATCTAGTTGGGCGACCCGAACGCCGCCACCGCCGCCGTCGATCTATACGAGAGTCTTTTCTACCTGCAACACCGAGGCCAGGATGCTGCGGGAATATCCGTCTGCCACGGCGGCCGCGTCTACCAGTGCAAGGACAACGGCATGGCGCAAAAGGTGTTTGGCAAATTCCCCGACGGCAACTCCTCGTCAAGAACCTCCCCGGCTGGTGCGGCATCGCGCACCTCCGCTATCCCACGGCCGGGAGCGCATCTGCGTAAGAATATCGGTGCTTTTTTGGCCAAAATTCCTCGCCCCCGTTTTTCCCCGCGCTAACCGCTGGACTCGCAATGCGTTAGGTCCGAGGCGCAACCTTTTACATCAACAGTCCCTATGGCGTATCCATGTCCGTGAACGGAAACCTCATCAACTCCGACTACCTCCGCGAGTTTCTCGATACCGAGGCCCGCCGCCACGTCAACTCTGAATCCGATTCGGAGCTCCTGTAAGCCTTTTCCGACACCCCGGATTTTTACTAGAGGCAGCTATTAAACCCTTCATCTAGGTTGAACATCTTTGCCAATGCCCTCCATGAGCTCGGGAAGCGCAGGGTAAACAAGGATGACATCTTTATTGCCCTTCGCGACGTATACGCCAAGTGTATCGGCGCCTTTGCCTGCACTGCCATGGTCACCGGCTTCGGAATCCTCGGTTTCCGGTACGTGAACTGTTCCCTCTTTTCCCAAAACAAAAGTAAGCTGCGAGGTGTAGGCTAACGAACCGGCATAGTGACGCCAACGGTATTCGACCCCTTTGCCTCGGATCGCGACCATCCCAAACGCTAGAGGGAGCCAAGGACTACTTCCTTGCCTCCGAGTCCATCGCCCTAAGACAGCTGGGCTTCACCGATATCTACCACCTCCTTCCCGGAGAGGCCGTCTTCATCGAAAAGGGCGGCGCCGTCCACTTCCACCAGGTCGTCGAGAGGAAAACCTACACCCCTGATGCCTTTGAATACGTTTATTTCAGCCGTCCCGATTCCATCGTAGATGGCATTTCCGTACACCGTAGTCGTCAGAACATGGGAGTCAAGCTTGCGAACAAGCTCAAGGCGACCCTTGGAGAGCAGGGCATCAAGGATATCGATGTTGGTAAGTGATAGCCAACATGTCAACCAAGCTTGGATCTTTGAACAGGGTGACTGACATTGGCGACCCCTAGTCGTTCCCGTTCCCGAGACATCAAATACGGCCGCGGCTGCTCTTGCGAGCGCCCTCGGCATCGAGTTTTCGTCGGCGTTCGTCAAGAACCGATATGGTAAGTAACTGGGTTTACCCTTCCCTAGTATAGGGATACAAATGCTAACCCCTCTCAGTCTACCGCACCTTCATTCTCCCCGGCCAAGACGCGCGAAAGAAGGGCATCCGTAGGAAGCTTTCCCCCATCGAGTCTGAATTCAAGGGGAAGAGCGTCTGCATTGTAGATGACTCCATCGTGCGTGGAAACACGTCACGAGAAATCGTATGTCGCACCGCACTTTTCACTTTACCGCTCGGATAGAAGATCCCCTGCTAACATTCCCGCTTAGGTCCAAATGGCCAGGGAGGCTGGAGCTGTCCGCGTCATCGTGGCTTCCTGCTCTCCAGCCATTATCAACCCCCACATCGTAAGCAGACCACGGCCACCCTCGCTCATTCTCATAAATTCTCACTAACGCATTCGTTTCAAGTACGGCATTGACCTTGCCGACCCTAAGGGTATGTAGATACTTTTCCTTCCTTACCAACCTTTAACGATACTAATGCTCGCATGTAGAACTTGTCGCGTACGGAAGGACCACGGAAGAGATCGCCCAGCACATCAACGCCGACGCCGTCATCTTCCAAGACCTCGACGATCTGACGGCGGCATGCATCGAAGCCGCCGAAGGTGAGAGCGAAATCAAGGACTTCGAGGTTGGCGTTTTCTCCGGGAAATACGTCACCGAAGTGCCCGAGGGCTACTTTGAACACCTCAGCAACCTACGAGGAAAGAAGGACAAGGGGATGCTGGTTGCGAACGCGGCGCCCGTGGCCCAACCGGCAGCGCCGGAGTACGCTGAAGATATCAAGTAAGTTTCCCTTTTGGAACATGTGGTGGCATCCTTCCGTGGGATAAGGACTAACCGGCCTCCGCCTTTGCCAGCATTCACAACCTTGCTAGCACCGATAATTAGGAAAGAAAAATAGAGGGACTGGGTGGAAACTAAGGGGTTTTATCGCATCGAGCATGGCGTTGTAGTTTTGTGTTTCTTCGTTTCAAAAAGAAAAACCCCACGAGTTATCAATAGACTTAATCTAAAAATTTGCTATGACTGACTTGCTCAACTTTGTCGTGCACATCTGGTTACACTTCAAAATCCATATCCAACTCAAAACTCCAACCCAAAAAGATTGTTCAAATTCAATGGTCATTGCTACATAATAGAATACAAACGGACAGTTATTCGGCATACTCAGACCCGCTCTCCAACTCCATGACTCGGAACGTCGGCTGGGCCGAAAACCACCCGGCCAATTCGCTCCCCACGGCTTTATACGTGTACGCCGCATCCTCGTCCGCAATCTTGAGAGTCTGGCCTCCGCGGCCCGCAGCCGCCGCGTCGGCCATCAGCTGGACCCTACAGCACGTCTCGAGGCTCATGAACCAAAACGCGATGCGGAGGCCCTCTTCCTCCCCGAGAACAATGCCCCCAAACGAGCTGTAGAGGGCTAGGTCGTTGTAGAAGGCGCACGAGTCTTGGGTGATGATGTCTAGGGGCCGGTCGAGAGCGGCGAAGGCTCGGCCGTGGATGGAGTGGGAATGGGCGACGCAGTTGACCTCGGGGCGTGCTGTGTGAACAGCGTGGTGGATCATGTATGCTGAGGCGAGAATGGGTTAGAAGTGAATTCTCAAAGGAGCTTTATCGCGATTTGTGATGATCAGAGACTCAACACATACCGGCATTGTTGAGAAGCCTGACGGGGCCGCCTTCAACAACCTTGCCCTCAGCGTTCACTCGAATCAAGTCTGACGCCTTTAATAGGGGCCAGGCTACGCCAAATGGGTTCACCCAGAAACTCGTTGGCTCGATGGGATCCTGTGCTACGAGTTAGACGAGGGACTGCCAAGGTAAATACAGCTTGGTGAACTAACCCTGACGGTGATGTGGCCCGCGACGCTGTAAAAGAAATATTAAAACCTAGATCTGGGGCGTGGGCTGCTGCGATTCTAGCTTACCCCTCATCGAACCCAAGCTTTGCAAAGATGCGGAATGCCAGGGCTAGTCTCCCCTTCAAATATTGTTGCTCTTCTTTGGGGTCTTTGAAAGTTGGTGGGCCGATGCTGGCAAGGCCAGAGGCGACGACGCTCACGCCCTCATCTCCTTCAATTGTATGCTCGGGGGTTTCCGCAGCGGGTGCCATATTGGAGTGGGATTTGGTGATGATCTAGAAAGTGTTGGGATTTCAAAAGACCTGGAGCGTTGACTTGGAACTGTCCGCTCTTCAGCTGGTGGTTCCTCTAGATAAGGCAGATAGTTCGTATTAACGTTTCGGAACGCCGTTAGAATGCCTCGGCACCTATGCGGGGAGGGGAAGGGGACTTTTGGTGGCTGATGACAGCCTTAAAAGTGCTCCACATCATTACGATTCCCGCTGGCTTGTGCTCGCGAATGCGACCGAGGTTCGACCCAAAAACATGGGGAAAAGGGGGCGAGAAAGGTCGATAGCTGCTCCACGACAAGAAAAGTATCGGGGCGTACGGGGGTGGTGGTGGGCAAGTGGGCAAGTGGGGTGGGGATGAGGCCAGTCGATGGAGCTCGCGCGTCTTCCCGCAACGTCCGTCCTCCTTCATTGGTCGCAGTGCCTCCACAGTCTGCTCATGGAGCTGCTAAACCCGGGAACCTGGATCCTGCGTCGAATCATGCTGCGCGGGATTCAAATCACGAAATGGCTTGATGGATAAGCTTACGCTCGCCGCGACTGCATTCCAACGACAGGTGAGCCGGCTTTGCCAGGTGTTGCAACGTGGGGGACGCGACCCTCGTTGATGAACAGAGAGGCGTACGCCCCTGCGACGAAGGTACCTACCTACGCGAGAGATTACTACCATGGCGAGGTTCATCTAATTCGGATAGCTTCCGGCTGTACTATACCGCAACGCAGTGATCAAGCCAAGCTCGACGAGCATCGACCTGAACTATTATTGGCTACTTTTCCCACCAGCAAAAAAACAAAGCACATCCATCTTATCTTGCTATTCTGCATGCACCAAAATCGGTTATGAAATGCATCTAAAAAATAAATCAAACTATTCTATGCCTGACGAGTTGTTCTATGAGTACATGTAGCCTTTATTAGCCCTCCTTCTTGATTCGAGCTCGCTTGCTCACTGGAAGGGACTCTTCCTCGCTCTCAGATCCCTCTTGGCCCGCAACTGGATCTGCCACAGACGCTTCTTTCGCTGCCCCGTTTTTCTTCATGGGCTTCAGCCATTCCTCCATGCCGGGAGGCCAGTAAACGCGACCTTGGGGCCCTCCCATCCCGACCTCTTCATCGGGAATGACGACAGGCTGTATCTCAGAGTGGTCTGCTTGCTTGCCGTCTTCCGCCGTTGACCCCTTCTTCTTCGCCTTCTTCTTGGGGGCTATCGGTCGCTTATTCTCGTCGTTCCTTTGATGAGGGATCAAGTTGGAGAAGGTATCAAAGCCCGGAAGCTTAAATGTTCTCATCAATTCAAATACGGCTTGCTCCTTGTCCTTGGCCTCAATCATGAGGTCCATCGTTGGCGAACAAGGAGGCAGCGTCATGACACGCGGAGAGTGCTTCCGCCTCTGGGACGGGGTCAAGGCTGACGAGGTTGGCTCCGAGTAGTGCATCTTTTGCGTGATTCCCTTCCTTTGCCACGTCTTGCTAATATTTTCGTACACCCCCATGATATCCAAGGTGCCCTCCCTGATCTTCTCCTGATCAAATACGATATTATTATGGTGATAGTCCAGCACCAAAGGGATATTCAACTCCTGACATATCGGGAGCAAATCGTGCACGCTCCAGCCCATGTCATCGTTCTCGAGCACCAGTCGATTCTTGACGCCCTGCGAAAGCCCCGCATAATTCTTGCGGAACCGGTCGAGCGTGGCGGCCTTATCGCCAAACACGCCGCCCATGTGGAGTATCATCACGGCGTCCTTGTTCTGCTGCTCAGGGAGTTTTAGCAGCGAAAGCATTTCATCGTGGTACTCCAAGTCGCGGATGGCGTTGTCGACAACCACCTTGCGCGGGCTCCCGAGCTGCGTAAACTGACCCGGGTGGGTCGTGACCCTGTGTCCCAGCTCCGCAATCACCTTTCCCGCCTCAGCCAACACCTCGGAGGCAAATGGCGCCAGCGAGTAGCCGTATTCTTCGTGAGAAGCAAAGGGAACATTTCGGAGCTGAGCCGCATGAAGCGAATGCCATACTTGTCATTCCAGCGTACCATCTTTTGATGTCGCGTGCGTTGGCCAAGCCAATAGATTCCACATACTTCTGGCCCCTTTCTACCGACGCTGGTTTATTCTTGTCCGGTCGATTCTTCGTCGCATGCTCCGGCTGCGTGGGATCAGAGAGCGGGTGCCGATGTTCGAGAATGGATGCTATTCGGCAGGTTCGCGAGGAAAAGACGGGAGGGTTTGACGTGCGCAAATACGTATTTAGACAGGCCTACGCGATGACAAACATGTTAGCCGCCTTTGTACGTATATACCCTGCCAAGCTGGTCGATTGAGAAAGGGAAGGGCGAAACTCAACGTAGCCTAAGCGGCCCTTCCAAGGCAACGGTAGGTAATCGCTGTTGACGGGTGGTGGCCTCGCCGCCGCCTCGCCCACGTGTTCGCTGATAGTCGCATCATCATCCACAGGCGCATCTCCAACCCCATTGTTCTTCGCGTCGGCAAGCTGCGCTCTTTCCGCTCTTACAGCTTTCTGACTCTTAACTACCGGAGCTACATCCCGTGGTTCGTTCAGTGCGCTAGACCGAACGGTTGTAACCGTTGAGATGCGGGCCGCGACTCTCGATGATGTTCGGCGTGTCTCCCGTTGAGTGACGCTCAAAGTGGTAAGGCCTGGTTGGCCCTGCGGTGATAGAAGTGACATTCCACAGGCCGAAGAAATGCCTTTCTGTTCTCTAATTAGGTGGCGAAAGGGGATCGGTTTAGAATTGAGAACGCCGACAACTCGACTATAGGTTGTTTCCTTGAAAAGCATTCAATTCTGGAAGAAAGAATGACTCCTGGGGAAGAAGAAGGGAATAGTCCACCAAAACAAAAACGGAAAAAAAAATTAGTAGTATGAATGGGAACGTGGGTAGGAATTAGGTGTGTGTAGAAAAGGCTATAAAAAAGGAAAGTGAATCACGATCGATGACGTTGATGCGCCGATGGCGAGTGTAAGCGTACTGTGTTGACATCGGCGGATCTATGCGTCCAGATCGGGACGTGAAAGGGACCAGCTAGCAATTAAACTTTTTTTTCCTTAGCTGGCCGGCGCTATTGTGGCGTAACTGATGAGAAGCGACTTCTGCTCCGAACTCTTTGCCAATCCGAAAGAAAATGTAGGGGAATGGCATCATGGCAACCGTCAAGAATGCGAGGAGAGACGTCGCCCACTGAAACCCGAGCCGGTCATACATTTGGTTTCCAAACAACGGGAAAATCGCTAGAAACAATATTCACCCGTTAGCTCACTTTCACGATCGATGCAGGAAATACGGGGCGGTCCTTTTCTCACCTGCAAACAAGCAGCGCATAAACGTATTCGCAGCCAAGGCGCTCGCTGCAAACGCAGGATAAGCGTCCACCTGTATCTATTGTCAGTGTACTTTCGCTTTGCATCCAAGATCGGTGGGGACGTACTAAGAACGTGAAGATCCCGGTAAACACGAGGATTTGACTGGCATGGCATCAGCACTAGAATCGTGAACGACCTCAAGCTACTCCCAAAAAAGGTTGACTTACCCAAGTCCAAACACAGACGCTCCGAGGACGGGCACGATCCAAGGAACCGACGAATACGTCGTCCATGCAAACCAAAATAGACCAATTGGCACGACCAGCGCGCCGAATATGGCTGGGGGTAACTGAAACTCCGCCTCGCCCATCCCTTTGACCTCGGCGCGATCGGTGAGGCGGATGTGATAGCGGTGCCAGAACGGGGTGGTGGCGGCGCCAACCACCATTCCTATGCCGATCCCTAGGAAAGTGAGGCCGACCTGCCACTGATTGAAGCCGTACAGGCTTTTGAAAACGAGGGGAAGGCTTCGAAAAAGAGATAGAGAATCCCGAGAATGATTGCGGAAAAGATGCAGAGATTGAGGCACATGGGTTCGAAGACAAGCAGTTGAATAGGCCGAAGAAGGGAATGGCCAATCGTTCGTAGAACTCCCTTTCCTTCTTTTAACTCTGACGCTGCGCACCAGCGATTATCGCCCGTGGCTTTGCGCTTAGCTTGGGCTTTCCTCTTCAAGATGATAGGATCTTGGAATCACGAACGAGTTAGCGTTGACGTTTATTACCAATGCACCAGGCGTCACTCACGGTAGGTTTCAGGGACAAAGAAGGCAATGGCTGCCAGCATAGCCCCGCTCCAGATCAACAGCACATAGTACGTCCACCGCCAACCCGTGTAGTAGTTGATGAAGCCGCCGATGACCGGACCAAGGGACGGCCCCAGGAAAGGTGCAGCCGAGAATATGGCCATGGCGGCCTGAATCTGATCTCGACTAAAGAGGTCTCCCGCAGTTCCTCCGGTCACGGCGAGGAAAGCGCTTCCAGAGAAGCCGCTGAGGAAACGCGCGACGAGCATCGTTTGGATATTTTGTGAGACGGCGGAAGGGATGAACCAGATGCAAAACATGGACCATGCTGAGAGGTAGATGGCTCGGCGGCCATAAAACTCGCTGAGGGGTCCAAAGAGCATTGGCCCAAACGATAAGCCCAGAACGAACATGGATAGCCCCACGATGGACACCATTCTCGAGTTTCCGAACGCTTCCTCCATCTGTGTATAAGTGGACGTGTATATGGAACTCGCGGTGGCCCTTTCCGGCGGGTGATTGGTTAGCAAGGGAAGCGCGTGCAGGCCCATCTTAATATCGGCCGAAACTCACACGCAAAAGCCGCAAAACGCCACGATCAAAACAATTAACCACTTTCGAACAGTAGAGAAGGACCGGGGACAGAGCGGGTCATCATCGGAGTCCCAGCCAACTTCGAATGCGCATTTCTCCGTCTCTTCGTCGTCTATTTCGTTGGTCCCGTCGCATACGCCGAATCCGTTATGGGAGCGGATGCGCACCATTCCGTTCGAAACGGTGGAGTACGCCCGCGTTCGCCGTTGCGAGAGGACGGTTCCGCGGGTTTCTTCCAACCTGACGAGCCTTTGAGGGGCATCGTCGGATTGAGTGTCGCTCATGGTGCTCTTGGTTTCGGGATTAGAGCTCATACTAGATAATGGGTATACGGAGTTAAGAGATGAATGTATTCGAACAGAAGCGGAAACAAAGAATTGTATCCAAAGAGATGCCTGATAATATATCTCCAATAGGAAGCGTAAAAATAGCAACAAAAACTTTATTATTAACTTTACGAAACTAGTGCTATTTCCTGACGAGCACTCCCCCAACTAGCCTTGTCATTGCGCCAATGGAAATATTCGATGAGACAGGAGCAGTTCCGTTGCGGCGCGATCTTTGTTCCTGACTCTGCTAAAGCCCAAGACCCGGGCGGTGTGTCTCGCCTGTTGGGCTGTCATTAACCACTAGAAGAAATCAACCCCGAACCATTCGATCGGAGAAAAGCGGGTGGTCCCATAGCTGTTCTTAGTGTCTTTCATGTCATAGTTGTTCTTAGTGTCTTCTGTCATACAGAATCTCCTGACGCCACCCCGTCGCCACTCGTATGCTTTATACAGCAAGTGGGCGCACTATTGAAAAGAAAAATTGAAACGAAAAGAAAAAAGGCCCTCGGCGATCGGTGAGAGCGAAAAGTTGGCTTTGCTTTCCTATAGCTATACCTTCTCGTTCTCTTCATCGTCACGTCGCCCTACATAAGTCGACGACGGTAGCGCGTTGAGCGCATCCTCGTCCTTGTCCAGTTTTCGGAAACTGAACCATACCCCGAACCCGCCCAGCGCCGATATGATGGCCACGGTGGTGTACAACCAGACCAGGAGAGGGTCGGTGGCCAACCCCGTGAACGCTTGAGCGATGGCGGCCGAAAAGGCGTGGACGAACCAGAATACGCCCGTTACCAGGCCACGCATGTTGGCGGGTGCTTTGGTAAACGCATATTCGAGTCCGGTGATCGAGGCCATGACCTCTCCGAGAGCTACAAGCACGTACGCGGGTGTCTGGATCCAGACGGACATGTCCGGAGGGCCCAGCTCGTCGTAGCAGTCCCGGTCATTGGAATTATAGCCGCACGGAGCCTTTTCGTAAATAAAGTGCTGGATGATGGCGGCGACGGCCATGGCCACCGCGGACGAGAAGAAGCCGATGGTGATTTTCTTGATCGGTGTGAACCGGAAGCCTGCCTTGGCCAGCGCCGGATACAAAAGCTTGTCGCATATGGGGATGAGGATGAGCAACGCGAACGGGTTCAAGTTGGTGACGATGTCGTTGGGGACTCCGTTCAGACGCATGGACGCTGCCTGGTTGATCATGTTGCTGTTCATCTGGTTGTAGGCAAGCCAAAAGACCGGAAACCACATGAAGACGGCGCATGCTTTGAGCCCGCGGCGGACTTCGTCGACCCAGGCATCGTCAAACGTCATGAACGCGGGCTTGTCGGACACCGCGCTCGGGCGGATGCTGTGCCAGAACTCGTCCTTTGTAATTTTTCGGATCCCGTTCTTGCGGATACCAAAGGACACGAGGGCAACGGATTTCCCGAGCACGGAGCCGGTCGGTGGCCGCTTCGCGTACCGATTTCGGCAGGCGAGCATCACGAGGGGACAGGCGAGGAAGAGTATGGTCGGAAGGAGGAAAGAGAGCCAGAATCCCACGTACTTCTCCGCATACACCATCGAGATCTGCCCGACCAGAGCACCCGTGTTGATGAGGAAGTAATAGCGCATATAGATGCGAGATATCGTCATGACGGGGTCGATGATGACGCGTTCTCCCGAGGGCAGCGTCTCAACGGTCGGTCGCGGGTGTACGAGCTCGTATTGCTCCGCTACCAGTGGTGAAATGTTTGCTTTAAACCAGCCCACGCCGGTGCCGAAGAACAGCAGCCCCACCATGAAGCATCCGAGGGCGCCTCTCGGGTTCTCAATCACCTGTGGGATCGCGGCAATGATGATGATGATGTGACCAAACGTTGCGATGACGATGGCGTATTGAATGGTCAGGTATCGGCCCCAATAGGTATCCGCGAGGTAGCCGCCCACCAGGGGCATGACATAGGACCAAAAGGTGTTGAACATGGTGACAGGGAAGGAAACTTGCTGTCCCAGACCAAGCGCACCAGCTTGGCCGTGAGTTCCAGACGCCCCTGTCCTAGACCCATCGGGGAGCGGCATTGCGATGAAGTTTACGACTAGAAAAAGATAGCCACATCAATTTCCAAACTATCACGCGAATTCTCGATCATGCGAGCTTCTCCAATCGCTAAAACAGAGAGGAAGAATTCCCCCTTGACCATGACTTACAAACAGCTGTCGTGCCATAGTAGGCAAATCTCTCCACCATTTCCACAAGGCCGATAGAGTAGATCAGCCAGTTGATTTTTCCGTGAACATGCCGCAGCGTTCCCAACTCTTCAGTCGTGGGATACACTTCCCCGTTGGGACCCGTCGTTAGAGTCACGACCAGGTCGTGATCGGACAGATTTCCGGAATTGACAGGAGTTCGAGCTCCCCAGCGTCTTCCACGCCATTGCGCGAGTCTTCAGCAGTTTTCTTATCCATTGCGACGATACGATAAACGATTCAAGCTTTAGCAGGCGGACTCGACAATTCGACTCCAAGATCCGGCCGTGGGTTGCGGCATTGGCAAAAGATTAGGTTTGTGAAACTGAGGAAACGAATTGTATATAAATCGCAGCCAGGCCGAGCGGGCGACTTCCAGCGCGCACAAAGACGACCATCATATTAGCGACTTAATCTCATATAGATTGGCGATAACATCTTATTGCAGAAGATACTGCCAGATAGAAACGGTGGTGGAGGGGAGTACAACAGCTTGGCGACCGAGGAAGGAAGCTGCGAGGGCCTTTCATATCCTTGGCGGGACATGAGGGGATCATTGGGGATGATGATCATGGGGCGTAGTCGCGTAACACAGCTCTTTCGTGAGGGTTCTTGCTGAGGTATACCCCGCTATTGTGGTATCTTGGAATGGCCAAGCCGTGGTATTGTCAAACCACCGAGCGTCGGGCGGGGTGATGATCTTGAACAAACCAGCCCTCATGGCAGCCTAACCCATTCCCTCAGCCACAATCCTATTTCTCGGCGCATCATGTTTGGGTCCTATCTGGGTTATGTTCCTCCGTCCTCGCCTTGATCAGTGCTGCCAAGGCCGTCATTGCATACAGCATAGGATATGGCCAAGGGCATCACCATCGTCGTGGCCATGCCATGGCCAATGGGAAAATAAATAGATTAAGTCACGGTACTTGCTGGCCAAGCAGTTCGGCACTTGTTTATGTGAACATGGGTTCAAAAATCATTTTTGTCTGCAATGATATTCAGACTCTGCGGACCCGATTGGTACGCGCACGTCTATTAATTACCTGCAACGTGGTATGGCAGAAAATGCCACCTCGATATTAGAAAACAACCTTCCCTTCTCGGACTGTTCCACACCACAGTCATCCCAAAGTCTGGGCTACACAACCATCATTTGACTCGGCCCAGCAAAGGAAGGCGGAAAGTGGAGACAAATAACCGTTGCAGGACAGTAAATGGAATCATCTCTCAGGCTCTCAGCTTAGCTCACCACGATAAGTTCATGAAAAGTGCAAAAGGGTGGATTAATCGAATGGTATTCAGACTCGACGCTACATTAAAATGAATGATTACGGGGATATCCTTTAGGCAACGCTGGGTATATATAAATTCAATGCTTCATCGAATTGAAAAGCAAGCGCTCGCTTACGCGGGAACAGAAAGGCGGAGAAGTGTCTGCTCACGCCAGCGCCAAAGAAGTGCCCAAGTTGCACTAGGGCCAACGAGAACCTGGCCCAGAGCGACCTTAAGGGTCGTTTTAATTGCGCTCGACGTGCTTGTGTATCCAAGGCGACGCAAGTCCCAGATAGTATAAAGGTTGGATGTTGCAATGACAGCAGCGGACCAGACTCCGTCACGGTTGAATAGGTTAGAAAGTGTTGATGCGACACCAGACCAGCTAGAAATGTTTGAAGCAAGAATTTGAGGAAGGCTTGAAAAGTCCGTAAAAGCCACAGCATTCCCGCGGCGCATGTAGGCATACATGGCGACGGCATGCGCAATGGCTTGTAACACGAACACATAATCATAGGCAAACTTGAGAGCTGGCGCGTCTGCATCACTGTACCGTCCACCGAGAGGTTCCTGAGGTTTTTGACTCTGAGAGCGGGAAGACGACTTGCCCTTCCTGCGTTTTCCTGCGTGAAAGGAAGTTGCCAGGCGTATGCAGAGCGGGAGGAGAATAGGAGGCAATAGCCACAATATCTTTTCCCAGCGACCCAGATACAGGTCTGCCCCCGCGAGAATCAAAGAAGTTGGCAGCAAGTATGCGAGCGATATTGCCGGCACGAGCGACTCGGCAACTTCGGGTCGAATGTTGCGGCCGACGGGCCTCTGGAACCCAAACAAGCTCGTGAACAGGGCATGGATTCCAACAACCCGAGGAGCCCCCACGCCTGCAACGCCCACGTGTAAACGGCGGGAACTGCGAGAGGAGTCATCCTGTTACCGGCCCGATATCCCTCAACGGTCAAAATCAGAGCCGGGGACAGGAGTTGGGACAGCTGGTAAATGGCCGTCGACCGGATGCTTATTCCATCACTGGCCTGGTCGGGAGCATTGAGGATGGACGGAAACAGGGTTGATGTTAGAATGCGAGGAAGCGATTGCACGGTGGTGGCCAACTTGCTAAGATCGCCGAGGTGCGTGGTCGTGACCGTCTTAGGTAGGTAGAAGAGAGCCACACCAGCGGCCAAAAGCAAGACTTGTGGCAGGCGTGACGCAAAAGACTTCCAGGGTCGGGCTGGAAGTTCATGGTCGTATGGTATACGGCGCGGTCTATTGGGAATCGGAACATACCTCAGGCGCGAGGCGCCCACGATTCGATCCACCATCAACTCGAGGGCGAGCTCTTCCCCAGTCAGAGGGGTAATGCCATACCAGACCAAGTTCGAGAGCATGGGGTTCTCGAACGCGAAAAGAGCCTGCATGTCGTGCGATATAGCGTTGATAAATTTGGCTCGCTCATGCCGACAGTCCTGGACTTGCTTCCCAATAGCAGCCAGGTCTTGGGTGGTTAGTGTTTCCAAGGCACTCGTCCGACGTCGATCGATGAGTGCATTGACAAACTCCGCTGCAGATTCGATGGCACCGTTACCACCCATGCCGCCAATTGGATTCGGCTTGTGCACGGCATCGCCGATGACGAGGATCCGTTCGAAATACCATTTCTGGTATACGACCTCGTGGAGCGGGGTAAGGGCAGAGGAAATACGTTTGGAGAAGAGCTCTCCAAATGTGAGCTTCTCTGTGATGGGCACATCCCGGTGTTCGTCCACGAATGCGGCCTCGTCTTGCTTTGTGTAGGATGGTATGTCCTGCCCATGCCTTGTCTGGGGTAGTTTGGAGAAGAAGAACCAATACACGCGCTTCATGGGGCCAGAGGCGACGAGAAAGGACTTTTCGCGCCCTAGAGTAAAACATTGGTCTCCGTCCGGCCAGCTTTCGACTTCCTGGGCAATTCCAAAGCTGCACTGGTAGTAGCACGGCACACGGTCTTCCTCCCCGACTGGGAAATACCCGGGAGCCCTCTCGTGGGCGAGCCGGACCATCTCCTTCCTCGTTGCGCTGTGGACACCGTCAGCGCCCACCACGACGGAACCGCGGTAGCTCACGCCGGTGGTTGTCCTAACTTCCACCCCATCGTTGGCGGTGATAATGTCCCGAACCTTTTGTCCTACAAGAATGCGATCCTTGTTTTGGACATGGTCGTAGAGTAGTTTCAGTAGCCACTCCCGATCAAAGAACAGCATAGGATATCCATGCCTGCGGTCAAGTCATTGTTAGGGTGCATTTCATCCAACAATTTCAGCTAGAAAACAGGCGACTCACCGTATCTCAAGATGCTCAAGGATGTCGGGAGTGCAGGAGAGCACGCTTCCATCGACGTCTCGAGTGTACGCAGTTTTTATCGCATCACCTTGGCAGATGCTCCTAATATCCTCGTAGCAACCGAGCTGGTCGAGAATCAGGAGACCATTCGGCATCATAGCGATGCTTGCGCCAAGAGGTGGCGCGATGTCATCATGCGCTTCGAGAAGAACATAGTCTATGCTAAATTTCTCGAGCATAATGGCCAGCGACAGGCCGGCGATGCCTCCGCCGACAATAACCACCTTGAAGCTCTTATCGGCAGACATGGTGGCGGCTCGCTCCTTCAGCGCGGACGGGTGGGGGCGGGCGGACGGGGAGAGCAAATGGGAGGGAAAATAAAAGGGGTGGGAAGGGAGGCAGGAAGCCTAGCGCGGTTTTGACCAAAATTTGCGCTTCACCAGAGCCTGCACTCTGGATGAAGGTTATTCGGGCGAGCTAGATCGAAGCTCGCGCGGTGTGGTCTGGAATCCTGGGGGTCTTGCACCCGACAGACTGGTTTGTCGTCCAGTTCTTGTCTTACCCGAGATGCATAGCACGGGCGGGGACGGGCTGGTTGGAGAATTCTCGAACCGCGGATGAGGGTGGCGTCGTTCTTGGAGAATTTTATTCAGCAGCGCCAGAGCGTCGGTCCCCCACGCGAATTTGAACGGGCAATAATGGGGGCGGAGGAGGAGGGAGATTACGAGTTCCCACTGGCCCGGGGAGCCGGGATGGAGGGCTTATCCCAAACTGTCCAAAGCTGAAATTGGATCCCGATGGGGTTCGCTCAAGGTAAACGAAATTGGGTACAAAGACCGAGCATTCCCTTTCTGGCTTGGCTTTCTCAGAGACATAGAAGCTCTGCTCTGTTAGAAAATGATCAATCAAGCCTGTGTCGTGTGCTTTTATTGCATTGATTAGAACAGGACTGAAGCCCCTGGGTGTGTGATGGACACGACCAAAAATCTCAGCAAATCAAGCGAACCATCCGTCAATAATACCTCGGGGTTAAGTCTGCTTTCGGCCTCAATATCCAGCACAATACAAAGAAGAAGCGACTTGGTATGAGGACCTCGGATGACCGCCCAGGGATCATGGAACGATGGCCCCACCCATATATATTACGAATCTCTGTCAAACGATCAAATGATTGTCCTAGGATGTAGGGTTCGTTGGTCACGACCGGCCATCAGCGCGAAGGGGCCTCCAGTTTAACATGTTGGCAGACGTCATGCGCAACCACCCCAGTGTTTATTCACGTAATGGGAATCGAAACTAATAACTCTCTGTTTGGATTTCCGGGTTCTGTATAATAGGACGGGAGAAAAAAAGAAAAAGGCCCATCAATGGAAAGCTCAATCTGAGATCACTCACTACGCAACGCGCAACAGCGCAGTGGCAGCGGTCTACAAGGCGTGGATAGCAAAATTGTTCACAGAGCCGTTGAAAGAAAAATAAATAAACGGACATATTATAAAAGAATTATGAATATTCAGGATTTGCTAAAGAGTGTAAACAGATACAAAGTCTGTACGATATTGTACAATACGGCCAGCAGGACAGAGCGCTGGCGAGAATACTACGATGCTAAGCGGTAGCATCAGATCCCATTATGATTATAGCTTCTTAATCAATAATATCCAGGGGAGAATGGAGACGTAGTCAAGCGCGGCAGGTTCCTCGCCGTCGGGGTTGCCGACAATACGAAGCGTGCTACCCGACTCAACCTGCACCTCGTGGAAGGTGATACGGGCGGCGGTATGACCGTCAATGTAGGAGACGGTGCGCGCCCAAGCTCGTACTCGAGATCTCCATTCCATTGGCCCACCAAGTCGTCATCCAGGTAGAGCGACCAGGTAGAGTTACCGATGGCCTGGTCATAGTAGTTGACGGCGACGTTGTACGTTCCCGTCTCCACGGTAAGGACGGTGGAGGCGATACCCTGGGTAGAGTTGTCCGACGTGACGATGCAGTGGCCACCGCTTCCAGCCTCGTACGGGCCGACAATGTAAGAGCGGTATCCCTCAAGTTCCATATCCTCGGCCTCGATGCGGTACTCGTAGTTGCCCACACGACCGGCCTCATCGGGGATACCCGACTTGTTGAAGTAGAAGTTATTGACCGAGTCGCGCCAGACGAGGGAGTGTCCGGCCTGGTAGACGAGGCGGAAGAGGACGTGCTCGTAGCGCTCCTTGTCGATCTTGTCCTTGAGGCTTTCCCAGCGGGGCACAAAGGTCTGCGCGGTGGCGCTTCCTTCGTAGTGGGCATCGTAAAAGTGCTGGATGACCGTCTTGCCGCTCTTGAGAACGTGGGTGTAAGGGACGTGGTGGAACCAGAGCAAGAGGTTGTCGGGAGTCGTCTCGATGTCCTCGTACATTTGGTAAATCTCCTCGGGGTACTGGCCGGCAAATCCGGTTCCGTTCCACACGGTACGGTCCATACCAAGGGTGTCCGCGTCGGCACGCGTCCACTGGCCCCAGGGGTTGCCGTCCTGGGAGCCGGGGTTAGGGCCGTAGTGGCCGAGCAGGATGTCAGTCAGGGTCTGGATACCCAGGTTACCCGAGTAGTTCTCGTAGGCGGGCCACGACTCCATGGACAGCGCGGAGATGACATCGATGACTTCCTGGTCGTGGCTAAAGGTCATTTTGATCCACTCCTCGAGCATCTCTTCGGAACCGGCGGACGGGTCCCAGGCAAGCCTGCCGTAGGCGTACAGGTTGGACATGGCCAAGTGGCTGCCGAGCCAAGTCGTGTTGTGGCCGACGTTGACGACACCGGCGTAACCACCGAGCTTGTTGTTGAAGCGCTTTCCGGCGACGATGTCGGAGACAACAGAGTCCTCGCCGTCGACCCTCAGGTCAAAGTCGAGGATCTCCTTCCACATGGGGGCGAGGTACACCAAGTGAGCCTGCTGGCCGAGGTACTCCTGCGTGATCTGAAGCTCAATCGCGCTACCCGTCTCCTGCAGATGGGCAAAGAGGGGAGAGACGGGCTCGCGCACCTGGAAGTCGATAGGACCATACTTGATCTGGATGATGACGTTGTCCTCGAATTCGGTATCAAGTCCGTCAAAGAATTCGACAGCGGCGTTGGCGCGGTCGGCCTTCCAGTTAAGGGTTTGGTTCAAGCTCTGGTGGTCGTACACAAAGGCGCGGAACATGAGGATGCCGCCGTGCGGCTGGAGGGCACGGGCGAAGAGGTTGGCGCCCTCGGCCAGAGTCCTGTTGTACGTCATGGGACCGGGCTGGCCCTCGGAGTTGGCCTTGACCAAGAAACCGGCCAAGTCGGGGATCTGCCCGTACAGGGTGTCGGTGATGTCGTGCCACCAGCCGACCACGGACTCGTCGAGCGGATCAAAGGTCTCGAGACCGCCCAAAGTCTGGGGGAGGCAAAGTTCAGGGCGACACCGAGCTTGATGCCGTAGGGGCGGAAAGCTTCGGCGATGCGCGCCAGGCCCTCAATGTTTGTCTCGTTGAGGACCTTTTCGTTGGCGTTGACGTTGTTGGCAACCACGGCGTTCAAGCCGATGGAGGCTAGGAGACGAGCGTATTGGCCGGCACGGGTAAGATCCTCGCGGGCCGTGCCATCCCACCAGAAGATGGAATCTCCGCCGTAGCCCCTCTCCACGCTTCCGTGGGTACCGCCGTCCTGGAGGTTGTCCCACTGGTTGACCCAACGGACCGGGGCATCCGGGTTCGAGGCAACCGTCACGTCCGAGGTTTTACCCTGGGCGAGCCTGGCGAGGTACTGGAAGGTGCCGTACAACGCTCCGCGCTCGTTCTGCCCGAGGATCAAGACCTCGCCGCCGGTGACGTTGAGGAAGTAGCCGTCTTCAATCAATTCTGGCAGGGCCTCGACGTCGCCGCCGCTCTCCTGGTAGGCTTCGACGGTGCCCACCACGACGGCGGGGACATCGAGGTCGTCTCCCCACTCGCCAATGGTCAGGTTCTTCCCGAACATGCCGCTGAGGCCATCGGCGAGTTCTTGGCTGGCGGTGTATACCGGCAGGCCCTCGGTCGCGTTCAAGGTCACGATGACGGAGGGAAGGCGCTTCTGGAAACATTTGGCGTTAGGAACGGGCGCGTATCGCAGCCACGCCGCGAGGCCGTCCTCGGCAGCCACCAGGCCGAGCGACGCGAGAAAAAGCAGACCCCTCATTGTCGGACGTGAGGTTCAAGAGACTAGAATGAAGAATCTTGAAGTTGGGGAAAAGTGGGTCACCGAGCAGAAACAACAGAGCCGCGCCGACTGGGATGGCCGAGTCGCAGGTATTTGTAGAGGCGGAGGAGAGAGCTTTCTCCAACCGGTGCTGAACGGGCTTTGCCCCCGTCGCGGTCAGGTCCGCGGTTCCATATCATCACATCGCAATAATAGAAAAGCGGCTCCCGGTTGCATTTATTCCCAAGTGGAGTATAATTTAACTCTCGGGCGCGCCCTTCGTTGGTGGGAAGATTTTCTCCCTAAGTTCATAATTCAGGCTATATGATCAACCCGGCTTGGGTGCATCCCCACGTGCGGGGTTGCACTGGGCAAACGTGGGCGTCGGCGATCTTTTCGGTGCCTGCTCTCGCGGGCCCCCGACGCGAGTAAAATTAATCATCTCTCGACCCGTGTTTTGTCCCGTCCGCCGAGGACCGACCCTGAATAGCCGACCCGAGTAAATGGTTAAGTGGGTTTGAGCGAGCGGGTTGAACAGAGCGCTTGCCCTCCATGATTCTTTGCCGAGCCACGAGCGGGCCCAAGTTTCTTCCCATCCGCCTTGGCGGGTGCTTTCTATTGTGCTTTTGCCCGCTGGCGCGCCATCTCGACTGTCGAATGCGACGAGAGTTTGCAAACTTGGGTAGCAAAGAAAAAAAAGATCGCAAAGATCGCGCGAACGAGGAGTCAAGAGCGAAAGTAGAGTGCCATACCTTGGCGCAATTAGCAGCCGTCGACCGCAACAGTTGAAAGCCTTCCGGTAGAGCCGTAATCCGGGTTCGGCGGATCGAAACTGGGGGCTCAAGCTCCAGAACTTTGTGCAGAAAATGATAGCACCAGGGCCGTGAATGCCAGCGTAGGATTGTTGAAGGAGGTTTTGGTAACGTGCTGCCGGAGGATCGTCCACACATTTCCTATACATTTCCTATCCTGGTTGTTGTTTTGGGCCTTTTAGAAGGACGTCAAGGGTTCATAGCGGCCCGCTACCCACAGGGCCATCTCCTTCCTCCTCAATGCAACGGAAGCAATTCTGATAATGGCTGCTAGTTACCTTCCAGCGATGTTTATGGGATTTTGCCATCTACAAGATGATCTCTTGTGTAGATTTTACGTTGACAGCGAAGAGTTTGTCGTTTTGCTATTTCCGTAAGCTCAAACCTTTTCTACTCACTCTATCTAACGCCCAAGATGGGAAGTTGTGGGTATAGTTGTCCGTTCAAACGCCTAGAAAGCTGGCTATGGTAGGCGTGGCGGTGTCGGAAAGGCTCTTATCTACTCGGGGCCACTCGACTCCCCAATTGTTATAATATGGGCCGGGCATAGTTTAAACCCCTAGGCCTCCCCATAGATTGACTAATGTCTAGCGAGCGAATTGGGTTCATTACCGTCTGAGCTGCAAACCCGAGTCTCGTTCGGGCCCGGCTTCGCAGTCCGGCGCCCAGTCTCGCGGCGCCAAGGTGGCAAGCCGCTGTTCGCCAGTGCCCGTGCTGCCGGTCCATCACGGTGGATTTATCCTGGGGCACACGGCGCAAGACTATCTGGAGTCTCGGGATCCTCGGGCACCCCCTCAAAGAAGAACCATGCGTCTTTATGCAGTCTTCATGCGGTTATACCTGACCGGCCTTCGTACTCTTTGCTTTTCTTTCAGCTTTTGCTTGCTGTCTGCCCAGTGGCGGTCTCCAGATTCCGGACATGATGGATGGAGTTCGCCCCACATTATACGGTTAAAACAGGTCCCCCCGAGCAAGAGCTTAAAATCGATTCGCGTTGATCTGGAGGAAAAGTTGAGACGACTCACAAATCGTTAGAGAGGCAGGCTCTTGCCGGGGAGGGGGACCAGGAATATATGTCTGGGGTTGAAAAGTGGAAAAATCGGAAACTAGCACGACAGATTGTTGCAGAATTCCACAATCCCTACTTGACATTGTTCGTTCGCCCACACTTCCCATCGTCCCGTCACAAGAAGGATTGGGAGGATTTGGAGGTGTTTGGAAGCTGTGGCTATCAAGCCAACCGCAGCGCTTTCCCTTGAATATGTCAACAAAGCCAAGAGTGGCGCCAACTCGAGTTTGGTTGCTTAAGCCACGATTGCCACAACGATTGGAGAGAATGGTGGGGCTTGAAGAACGGCAACGCCACTGGAAGCCCCAAAAGTTCCCCACCTCCCCACTTTTCATCTCCGCCTTTTGGCGATCTTTGCCTTTGGGCGCATTTGCGTGGTGAAATGAGACACAGTTTGCGTCACTTAGCCGAATCGAACCTGCCAAGGAGGATTAGCGGTATCTACCACTTGCCAGGCCCACACGTTACCCACCAAAATCTCCCGAGGTATAATTATTAGCGTCCCCACTCACAGCGGGCCCTCGACGGAAATGTCGGACCCTCCCACTCCCTCTCCTTACCATGAGTCGGAACCCCTGGTCGGCAAAATGTTCCGCGTGCTCTACCTGAACAACCCGGCCCTCATCGAGCCGGGCAGCCGCGACGACCATATCGAGTGCAACCTCTCGCCGACGTCCTTGGGGCAACACCCCCAGTTTACCGCTCTTTCGTACTGCTGGGACGTACCCGAGCCCAAGGTTCCCATCCTCTGCAATGGCGTCAAGCTCCAAGTGCGGCCCAACCTTCAGTCCGCCCTGCGCCAGCTGAGGCTGCCCGAGAAGCAGGTCTGTATATGGGCCGATGCGCTATGTATCAACCAGGATGATCTCGAGGAGCGCGTTCGCCAGGTCAAGTTCATGAAGGAGATTTTCGAGGCCGCAGCCGAGGTCATCGTGTGGCTCGGTGACGAATCGGACGATAGCGATATTGGCATGCAGGCAGCCAAGGAGCTCGCCGACGCCGCGAGGAAATACCTAGAGCAGCGCGACACCATTTATAATATGCCGGCCGACGATCCCCTTGTGGATGAGATCTTTGGTAAATTCCGTCGTGGATCCGAGTACCCTCGCTTCCACGCGCTCTCCCAGATTCTCAACCGGAATTGGTTCCACCGCACATGGGTCGTCCAAGAAGCCGCCGTGGCCCGCAAACTCAAGATTCTATGCGGCGGGTCCGTCATGACGTGGGAAGACTTTACCCTCGTCGCCAGCTTGCGAAGCCAGTTAAACCTCACTACAAGCGCCAACGACAAGAACGTGACGCCGCTGATCCTGGCCAATACGCGCCTCGACTACCAGAACGGCGTTAACCGGGATCTCCTGTCCATCATGTACCGCCACCGAGTCTTCGAGGCGACCGTGCCCAGAGACAAGGTGTACGGCCTCGGCGGCTTGGCGGGCGACGACATCGCGAAACACTTCATGGCCAACGTTGACTATGCCGGCCACGAATTTGTCTTGTACCGCGAGGTCGCCGCCGAGATGTTGAAACGTGGCCAGCTCGGCGTTCTTTCCGTTGCGCCAGGCTTGAACCGGGAGCATGCCGACGGGCTCCCTACCTGGGCGCCGGACTGGAGGGTGACGAGGCAGTCGCCCTGCCTGGGCTTGTGGAACGAACACGACATTCACCTTGTCCGGTACAAGGCTAGTGGCGATTCCGAGCCATCCGTTCGCTTCAATGACGCCGGTTCCTTGCTTGCCCTCGAGTGTTGCCGTGTCGACACTATCGAGGCGGTTGGAGACATTATGATCGTCGAAGATATCCCCCACGGGTTCCCAGGCATTCTACGGTTGCCGAAATTCGCCTACATGCTCGACAACTGGCGCCAGGTAACACGGACGTCCCAGTCTGCCGAATATCCCACCTCGGAGCCCATCGCCGATGCCTTTGTGCAAACGCTCGTCGGAGGGCCCCCGAGTTCCACATTGACGTGTTGCGACAGCAATACGATCTCATCACCCGTCAGGCTAGCCTACTTCGCTGGATGAATAGGCTCGCCCGCTTCCTTCCTCCTGGCGCGGAGAAACTTGTCGTGCCTGCGCTGGCCAAGATTCTAAAGGTGCCTCACACGTCGGTCGCCTTTGCTTTTGGAAAATACAGTGCCCCCTGGCGGATAGGGCCATGTTCCGGACGGAAAAGGGGTACATGGGCTTGGGAAGCGTGAGGGCTGCCGCGGGGATGTAATTGCCGTCCCCAAGGGTGGCAAGGTGCCCTTGGTGCTAAGGCGTGATGGAGACGTCTGGAAGCTGAGAGGGGATTGCTATTTGCATGGAGTCATGTATGGCGAGGCGTATACGGAGGATAAACTAGAGACAATGTGGATTGCATAAGGGGCGCAGGTCTTCAATGTCGAGGATGCACATCGATCAAAAATCAAACGCGGCCAAGATAACGATCCGCAAACCCGCTCACGGGATTGCTATGAAATTATTTCTATCTATGATAACCTTGTTTATTCTAAACCCGGTGCTTTTACAACTTCTGACTCTACCAAGTTCCTAGGATTTGCTCCAACTGGTCGGTACACAGCTAGGCTACCATGCTTTTCCTGTCGTTGCAGATTTTCACACGACTGAGTACTATGGTCACAAAACACTTTAAGTCTACATGGAAAGGTGAGGGAAAAGGCGGATTTGGGCTTAAGTGTTCTTTTCGGATAAGTCATCATTTCCTGAGATCTAAGCAGGCGATGGCTTATCTAGAGTTACTTGATTCTTTACATGACCTTCTCCGGTTAAAATCCCTCAACCAAACGATAGGGAGGGGGCTGTGCTGGGATCGAGAACCCAAGTGTTAGACGGTGACCTCGCCGTCGGCAATGTGCTGCAGAGCGGTGCCGATATCAACCTCCTCGCCCGCGTCGCCAGTGCCGAGGCAAGTCACGAGGCAGGCAGCGCAGATTGGCGGGGCAATGCCACAGCTAGAAACCAGGCAAGCCGCGATGCAGAGTTCCTGTGTAATTCACGCGTCTGTCAGTGCTGGGACTTTGGGAACATCAGGAAGAAACAAAGGCAAAACTGGATGTTGTCAGACATACAGCCAAAACACCCTAGATAATCGTTCTTATGTCAGCTATCGATTCTTGCACGAGTCTCTCACGTGGATTGATCTCTTCTTACACGCTTGTCAACGGGCGAGGTGGCCACGGGGGTAGCGGCGGCGAGGCCGGCAAAGGCAGCGACGGAGAGGGTGGCGAACTTCATTTTGGAGGCGTGGCTTGAAAGGTACTCGACGGAAGGTGCTTGGTGTGTAGAAGATCTGCTGATGAGCTTGAAGGGATTGAGCCTGGTGGTGATATCTCAACAAGCGTCGTCAAGGGCGGAACCGTGCTCTTTATATATTTCTCACCCACTTAGGTTGTTCTAAGAATGCTTGCTCCCGCAAGCTTACCAGACAGCTCGTTGCAACTCCTCTCCAAAGTCTGATCCATCGTACACTTCGGAACCGACGGCGCACCTAGGTTGAGACCATCAACAAGCGCTCAATATCCAACGTCTTCCCCTCGCCCAATGTGAGGTTGAAGGTTACTCGCGACCTCGGGATCCTCAAGTCTCCGCCACCTTCCTTTCCCCACTAACCCCGCGGCACTTTTGCTATCTCTTCGTGAGGCAAACATGAACTTCCAACCAAGGATCAAGAACCACCCGAGGTGATCCCCACTAAGGGGTCAGACTCAGGCGATTTTCAAATCTCTGAAGCCCGATACCAAGGCGAAGGAATTTTCAAGATGTGGTGCCGAAGGATTCGAACCAATCTTAGAGTGCGGCAGGCAGCGTTGTCGGCGTGCAACTACATGAATCGAACACCGGCAGCGTCGTAGTGAGGGGAGGGGGTGATTGGTCGCCCTGAGATGACGTCGAACAGGATGACTGCTTGTATCGCTGTCAGCTTTAATATATTCTCCTTCCTCTGCACTGCCCCGGGGTCGCATCGAAATGTTTAGTAATAGCGGGCCAGCTCAGGGGGTCGGTAAAAGGTAACATGCCTTGGGGCGCGAGCAATGCCACCAAGTCATGAGTAATCCTGACTGTCGTGAACGCCTCGAGATCGCATCCTGTCGAGTCGAGCGAAACAATCTGATTGGTGAGGTGATGTCGGCCCGCGGCGTAGGCATGCAACGCAGCGGGCCTAGGTCGCGGTGTGCCGATGTGATTGACGCGAATAAGCCTCCCTCCTCACGCCCGGTAGACGTGCCACAAACAAGTGAGACTGGTGAGCGCGGGACTCGATCAATCCTGTCCGCAAATGAAAATTAGTAGAGGAGGATCGGAAAGGGGATGGAGGTGATGGTATTAGATCTGACGGTGCCACCTCGAGGCCGGGTAGCGGCTGGCAGGATTTGTCCGCCAACACCAAACGCCCCTCTCTCTCCTCCGGGTCGGGAATCCTTCCATCTGAAGGTCAGGACCGTCTATCAGTCAGACCAGGAACGTGGGGACAGAGGACCGTGCTTGGCACCGAGGACTTTCATAAGTTCGCGGATCGTACCGAATTTGCATCAATCGATGCGAGATGTGACGGACGGGCAAATTGTCACTGCCGTACAGCCACAGCCTCCAGTATCTCAAAAGGCAGAGCACATTCTTGCCCACCGCGAATATTCCCCCTCTTGTTTTTTCTTTTACCTTCTACAACGCGCTGACCACAGCCCGGGATCATCAAGATGGCCGTTCACATTAGTCTTTTTCTGGGTTGTCTTTTGCAAGCCCTTGCCTTCGCGGAGCCACGTGCTTCCCTGCCCCCAGTCTTTTCTCCGACCCCGGGCCACTGGAAACGTGAGGGCAGAGTACCGGCAGCAAAGGTGATTCATATCGATGTCGCCCTTACCCTCAGCGAAGAGACATCGAAAGCTGCAATCCAGGCCCTCCAAGAAATATCGGACCCTGCTTCGGCCAAATTTGGCCAACACTTGAGTCCACGCGCCACGGCTGAGATTTTTGCTCCCCCAGGAGAGCCTCCATGAGGTCGCTTGGTGGCTCAACCGTTCCGGCATCGACCGGTCACGGATGCGGGTATCGCTTGATCGCGCCCACATCTCGTTCGATGCACCAGTTGAAGAGGCCGAAACGCTTCTAGGTGCGGAATTTCATCTTCTCTCGTCGGGCGAGGAGGTGCAGATCGTCTCCGAGGCGTACTCGTTGCCCGAGAGCATTTCAAAACTCGTCGACTTTGTTATGCCGGCACTGCATCCCGCGTCATTCGCGCACTTCACTCCGGATTCCTCTCCCGTCAACCTCTCCAGTGCCAAGATACAGGCCCGTCAAAGTGTGGCAATCGACTGCTTCCGCTTTATGAGCCCTCATTGTTTGCGTCAACTCTACGGCATTGATGACGGCGCAGGAGTGACGCCCCACCCGAACAACTCGTTTGGTTTCTTCACACCGTCATATTCCACCTGGCTTCCTGAGGACATGCGATCATTCTTCGCCTCTCTCGAGCCTAGACTCACGGGAGAGGAGCCCGTCGTTATGCCTATCAATGGCGGGTACCGGTATTTCGAGAAAATCCTCTCGTTCAATCTAGAGCCCAACTTAGACTACCAGTACGGCATGGCCATGGCCTATCCGCAACCAGTCACCAACATCCAGGTCGGAGACATGTACCAGATTGGGAATCTAAATAACATGCTGGCGGCGTTTGATGAAACCTACTGCACGGCTCTAGACCCCAATTTTGACCCCATATTCCCGGGCCCCGGTGAGGAAACTGCTTCCGATTGCGGCACGCGCACACCTCCACGCGTGATTGGCATCGCCTATGCTTGGAACGAGGCACAGTTCTCCAACACTTACCTCGAGCGCCAGTGCCTAGAGTTTTTGAAGTTGGGCCTCCAAGGCGTCACCGTCTTGACCGGATCCGCAGATCGGGGCACCGCCGATCAGCTCGGTGGGTGTGTTGACCCCGACTCGGGCAGTTGGAATGCCACCGAGGGCCATTTCTCGCCCGTCTTTCCCGCGTCGTGTCCCTGGGTGACAACCGTTGGGGGAACGCAGCTACTTCCGACGGGGAATAGCACTTGGTCAGAGGGGACCCCGTTCCCTGGGGAAACCTCCATGGATTACGAGGGCACGCAGTCGGGCGGGGGCTTTAGCCGGCTCTTCCCCGCACCCTGGTACCAAGCGCATCATACCAAGGAATATATCTCTAGCTCTGACACTGCCCAAGAATTAAGCAGTAGCGGCTACTTCAACTCCCGTGGCAGGGGTTACCCAGATGTCTCAGCCATGGGAGTAAACTATCTCGTCAACATTCACGGTGCTTTCCGAGCAGTTAGGGGTACCTCGGCATCCACCCCACTCGTGGCCTCCATGCTTACCAAAATCAACCAGGAACGACTAGATAATGGGAAAAGTACCGTTGGCTTCGTAAATCCCGTATTATACGGCCTGGGCAAGAAGTTTGCTAGGGACGTAACAAAGGGTAGAAATGGGGGATGTGGCGTTGAGACCGCATTCGAGGCAGCGGGTGGGTGGGATGCCGTTACCGGGATCGGATCGTTGGACTACCCTAAGCTCAAGGCCCTGTATATGTCACTTCCATAATATCTCAACGTATCATATTCCCAAGTTCGAGTTCAACTCCCCACCTTGTACGGTTGGAGACGGATTGTTCTTAGGTTTGGCCATCGACCTATCCCTACATAATTCAAATAGCACAAGACCTATTATTCACTTGTATCATCTAGAGGCTCATGTCCAGATTCAAAACCAAGGCGTAGCTCAACAGAAAGTTTAAAAAATCTTGTTTTGGTAACCGTATAAAGGCAAGAACGAGGTGTGAATAATCTGTGTATGTAATCTATTAAAATGATGAAATATAGGGTCCATAGATCAATTGATGTATCAATACTAAAGGCTACGAACAGTAGGACTGTATAACTAGTACATAATAAGTCTTCGTAAGTTAAGTGTGATAATATGTATCAGTCAGGTAAGTATAATGTATAATCTTTAAGCACAGGCGGATTATTTCCAGCCGTTACAATTCAGAGGTTTCACTGTGAGATGGATTGAAAAGAGAAAAGTATGAAGTAGAAGTATAAATTCATTGCTTTAAGGAAAGTCTAATAGTGATTAACGTCTAGATGCACCAAGCCATGATTACCGAGCCCAAAAGTCAAACTCCCAAGTCTATGCCAAAGACCGAGACCCAAAAATGAAATATAGTAGAAAAGGAAAGAAAAGATGGAAGCGACCGAGAGATAGCTTAGTCGTACTTCTCGGGAGTCCACTTTCCGTTGTCGTAGCCGGTGCCCTCGCCTTCGTACTTGCCGGGAGCCCAAGAGCCATCGTCGTTGCGCTTGTCACCGGGGTACTTGCCGGGAGCCCACTTGCCATCATCGTAGCCGGTACCCTCTCCCTCGTACTTGCCGGGAGCCCAAGAGCCATCATCGTTGCGCTTGTCACCGGGGTACTTGCCGGGAGCCCACTTTCCATCATCGTATTCAGTGCCCTCGCCCTCGTACTTGCCGGGAGCCCAAGAGCCGTCGTCGTTGCGCTTGTCGCCGGGGTACTTGCCGGGAGCCCACTTGCCGTTGTCGTAGCCAGTGCCTTCTCCCTCGTACTTGCCGGGAGCCCAGGATCCATCATCGTTGCGCTTGGCCTTGCTGCCAGGGTACTTGCCAGGAGCCCACTTGCCATCATCATAGCCAGTGCCTTCTCCCTCGTACTTGCCAGGAGCCCAAGAGCCATCGTCGTTGCGCTTATCGCCGGGGTACTTGCCGGGAGCCCACTTGCCATCATCGTAGCCAGTGCCTTCTCCCTCGTACTTGCCGGGAGCCCAGGATCCATCGTCGTTGCGCTTAGCCTTGTCGCCGGGGTACTTTCCGGGGTACCACTTGCCATCATCGTAGTCGGTACCCTCACCCTCGTACTTGCCAGGAGCCCAAGAGCCGTCGTCGCTGCGCTTGGCCTTGTCACCGGGGTACTTTCCGGGGTACCACTTGCCGTTGTCGTAGCCAGTGCCCTCTCCCTCATATTTGCCGGGAGCCCAAGAGCCATCATCGTTGCGCTTGGCCTTGTCGCCAGGGTACTTTCCAGGGTACCATTTTCCGTTGTCGTAGCCGGTACCCTCACCCTCGTACTTGCCGGGAGCCCAAGAGCCGTCGTCGTTGCGCTTGGCCTTGTCACCGGGGTACTTTCCGGGGTACCACTTGCCGTTGTCGTAACCAGTGCCCTCTCCCTCATACTTTCCGGGAGCCCAAGAGCCATCGTCGTTGCGCTTATCGCCGGGGTATTTGCCAGGAGCCCACTTGCCATCGTCGTAGGCAGTGCCTTCACCCTCATATTTGCCAGGAGCCCAAGAGCCGTCGTCAGCGGGCTTGGCTGTGGGAAGGGCCAAGACCGTGACGGCGAGGGCGAGGACGGTGAATGAGTAGCGCATATTGAATGTTGGATATGTGGTATAAAGTAAAGAAAAGCTGGGTGTATAGATTGGTGGATGGAGATAGTGTGTTGAGGTGGATAGAGTTGAGTATTAGAGAGTTATATTGTATTAGTGTGGTGGGGAGAGAAGAGGATTATTGGATGAGTGTGGGATTGAAGTGTTGGATGTGATGAGAATGATGAGAATAATAACAAGTCGAACAAAGTCGAGACTGCTGCGTCCTTATATACAAAATCATCTCGTTGATGCTTCCATATAAGCTTCGAGAGAGTTGCAACGTTCCCGCTGCCCTGAGGTGTGATGCTAGGGCGCAGCCGTACTTCGCCCGAAAAACAAATCTCCTAGTGAGATTTTGCAAATCACGATATTTGGGTAGACATGTCAGCTCCGTGTCACCGATTCCCCTCAATTGGGACGTAAGGCTAGACGTACCCTGGAGCTTGTGGAGGCTCGTGCTCACCCGCGCCCATGCTCCCTTGGTGGCTATAACACGTCCCGTTACTATTTTGGGGGCCGCTAGCTGTTCTTGGTGGCCCGAACGAAAGTGGCCCTAGCTCGGCTTAGGTTATCGGACCTCCACCAACAGGGCCAACAGCTCTCGACAGCCCCAAAAGCCCCGTTCCCGTGGGAAGACATCGAGCAAGGGTGGGGGCTCCTTCAGCTACGCTTTGATTGGTCGAGTCGCGGTTGGCGGAGCCATTCACACCAATCAGAGAGGATCCGCTTGGTCGGTCTTGGGGTTCACCGTCTGACCTGCTTCCACCACCATCATCCCGGCTTGGCTGCGGCAATTGCACAGCCCCAGCCATATTGTTTTCGAGTTGGGACAAAACATGGAAGCAAAAACAATAAGCGCAAGAGTAACGTTCAGCTCTTGCGCCTGAGCCTGGCCAGGCCGGGCCGGAAGGAATCGAGGGGAAATTTTGCTGCAAGGAAAATAGGCCCGGATATGAACTTCGTATCTGGTCGCTGTCTTGGTAGGATCAGATACGATTATTGCGTCTTATTGTGTTTTTCTCACTTGATCGCCACGGTCGCATGCACCACTAGTAATGCGCGACCTGCTTCTGGGCCCCAGCCGAGGTCGCGAGTAGGATTTTTGATTTAGGGGAAAATATGCCTTGAAGGAAGAGGATCCAAATGACATTTCCCAAGGTCTAACAAAAATGTCGTGAGACGCCCACAGAGCACTCTCGCCTTTCCCAAGTCCCTGTCCATTTGGCAGGTCACTCGGGCATGCCTTACCCCTCCCTTCCCCAAGACCTCCAGGGACCTTTCCCCTCCTCGTCTCAAGCAACGAGCCAGGCTCTGCGGAAATCGGAGTGGTGAGATCCGATCCTGCATCACACCCATAGCTGTCATGTTGTGCAACTGCACGGAGCGCGGTACCGACAAGGGTGGCTCTGTCAGGAGAGGGGCGGCTGCTCCCCTCTAGACTCCCGAGGTGCAGCACCTACGACAGATCTACAGCCCAGATAAAACGTAGACGGAATCTCGCATAGCCTTCGATATTCCGTCTTATGCTAGATTTATTCATGCTCTCGATATCTACGAGTTGCGTCAATTTCGTGCCGGATTCCCCCACTTGTGGATGTCTATCGCACAATGCTAGGAATCGTAAGTGATGGGTTGGAGATCCTCCCAGACGAAGATGGGGCCGAGGGGGCGAGGGGGCGGATCAATAGCGAATTGCATGAAAATGATATCAAGTATACTGGCCCAAGGGGATGGTGTCCCGATGATGCATGAGCTGTCTTGGGTAGATTCTAGCAAGGTGCATAATATTCTCCACGACCTTCATTACTCACTAGCCTTGTCAAGCTAGTGGCGGTCACTGAACAAGTTTAATAATTTTAAAAGTATTAATAGAAACTGCCTAGAAATGGTCAGCACCTGAAAGATATTGTAAAAGAAAACAAAGGCGCTGCCGTCCACCAATATTAGGGATGCACCAGAATTTCCGGTGTCACTTCTTGCTTGGGGGCATCAGGCGTAGGTCGAACTTTGCCTTGGGGGTCGAACGCCTCCGAGTTAAAATAAAACATCATAGTTTAGTCAGATGGACTCACACTCAGCGAGGGATTCGACTAAAGCGTGCGGAAGGACGCATGGGGTGAGAGATCATCGCTCGGCGCTCTCAATACGAGGGTGGGCCCACCCCAAAGTTTCTCGAAGGAGCAGACGCCACGATTTTTGAGTTGGCCGCATTTCCCCACCTCGTGCGAGCAGGATTCTTCCTCATTGACTTGGCAGTGGCACGTACAGTTATTAAACCTTCGCACCAACCGGAACCCTTGCGCCAGGGTCGCGCTAAGGCCGCGCTACTACGGAAGGGCGGCGGTGTACCTAGTAGTAGCCTTGTCTAGTCAGCACAGCCGATTTCGTGCCACCATTGGGCTTACATCTGCATGGCTATGATTTTGGATGGGACTGCGGTATGTAGATGGCATACGAGCAAAAAATGGACGTCAGGTATGGTATTAGAGGAGTGTTATCTCACGCTCCGGACTACCATAGTTCTTTGCCAAAACGTCAGCGAGCCACCGTTGCCTTGTCTTCTGCTCGCCTATAACTCGAAGGAGCCCGACTCTTTCATAACACTCGCCCACTCCCTTTAATTTCCTAAGAGCTAGGAAGTAGTCTACCCCTTCCTTACCTGCTCTCCTGACCTGACTGTCACAGACATGCAAAAGGAAAACCGTGGTTTGGCTACAGCCAGTTTGCTGAGGTTTGATCCAGTCGAACAGGCTGAAGATTGACTTGACATCTAGGTTCAGCGTGACCCGGATGGCACCATCCCATAGAGAAGGACCGCAGTCATCGAACTTGCAATGCCATGGTATAGGTAAGTCGTCTTTAGATATTGTCATATCCGGGCTCTCGAGAATAACATGTTTACCAGCACCTCCCTTTTGAACATCTAGATCGGTGGCGCACAGTCGTCGCATGGGCAAGCGATACAGGTTAGTCCGTAGCTCAAGGGAGGCAGATTGGAGGCTTCCCATTGCGTTTTTCCCTTTGGGAGTGCATATAGCTGCGGTAACTTTACCTGCAAAATGTTGTAGTTGCGACGACTCTGCTATCTCGACGAACGATACGCCTTCGGCCACATCTACGCTAGCCCAAGACCAGGACGGTGCCCGCCACTCGGGCGGTCGTCGTGAGTTGGCTTGGGGATGGATTTCCCATAGGAGGTCCCTTGCAAGAGTATTTCTCCATAGCCCTGCTAGATAGTCGCCGCCATTATCGATGGAGGAAGAGATGTCCTTCACGCAGCCAGCCAACGCCGGGAGCTTGTCTCCCGGACATGTAAGCTGGAGCTTCGTGTACTCCGATACCGCCTTGTGCCAGTGAAGCGCGGCTTCCAAATCTTGAAAGCGACCCTGTCCAGGGTTCATCCGGGCGACAATATGTTGCGCGTACTCTTGCTTACGCTTCGCCGTGGGATACATCTTCGACGCCTCGACCGCGTGAATTGCCGAATTACCGCCGCATTGGCAAACCTTAGTCTCCCGACATAGCAACTGAAGCTCGTGCCTTGTGCAGTACAAAAGCCTCCTAGAAAGCATCCTCTCCTGGTATACCCAAGCGCGGGATAAGAGGGGAGATCTCTCCCAATGTCCGGCTGGCCATCGCGCACAGTAGAGTGGTCCCTCACGCCTATTACCACACCAAGTTGCTGGCCCGGTCGTAAGACTCGCTGGTGGAAGTCCCCACGCTGATTCCTAGAGAAGCAGCCGCCACGAAAATCTTTCGACGCCACCGCTGCAATGGTCACAAGAGCACCTCCATACACCGCTGCCATTCGAGCTGCCTCCGCTTCCCAGTCATCTTCGCAGTCCTGGATGATGCATAGAGAGTCGATCCACAGATATTCCAAGCCCAATTGTCTAGCTATCTGTACCGCATCCCGAAAGGTCGCCGGTAGGGAACTGTGAGGGATAAAGTCGAGGTGTCGCGCCAAGTTGGATTTGAGGGTCCGGATTGGCATGGGGTCCTTGCCCCAGCAATGGGATAAGCAAGCATAAGTTCCCAATTTCCCGGTCGTAAGCGCCAAGCGGAATCCTTCTTTGCCCTCCTTCTCGATGGTTTCAAGTTGTATGAGTCTGGTTGGAAGGGTCACGTTGCGCCCCTGTCCGCAGAGTACGTGAGAGTCCTCGCATTGAGAAACATGGTTTCGGGCCCATTCAAAGCATGCATCGGTTGAAGTGTCTCCGCTCAGCACTGGGGAAGATCCCATGCCTGCTACAAAAGGGTTCCCGTCTAGAATCGCGCGTCAATGATCAGTAAACTTGCATCCACCCATCGCGCCTTGCGGTCTCTTTGATTGATCGACTTTGTGTGTAAGACCGACCTATGTTGACGGTAAACAGCTCAATATTGACTGAGATGCCACCGGATGTGTCACGAAGCTCTAAATTGAAAGCATAACTAGTCCATCGTAGTGTCGTGGTTGTCAAATCAAGGTCCAGACGCGTCTTGAGATATGCCTCGAGGATCTCCAAGATGAAGCCGCATACTCCGCAACCGGATGTTGCCGATGACGCCAAAGCATCAAAACTAAACTGTTGGCGGTCCACGGCTCCTTTTCCACTGCGAGCACCTGCAGCCCTTTTCAACTCTGTTATCCGTCTTTTCTTCTCTCGTTGACCCTCCCTTGTGTTGGGACGCGTGCCATGGACTTCTTGCCATTTCTGCCAGGCAGGGCAGTCGAGCAAGCAGTTTGCGACTCCGAGGTTTTCGAACAGATCAACCCGAGTTGCTGAAAACATTGTTCGTGGCAGTACCGAGGTAGAAAAGGGTGTGGATAAAAGTCTCGATCCTCCCATTCTGGCCAGAAACAAAGAGGGGTTCGTACCAATTTGCCAATAGGATAATAATCCCATTCTTTTTCTATTTTGACTGGGAGGGGCATGCAGCGAAGTTGGGCAAATAGACGAGGGCTTCCAGCTCCCATGCCCCAGAAAGGCCAAAATAGGCCGGGCCACCGACCGCCAATTGGCAGTTATCACCACACTTGGACCATCTCACGGCGGCAATTTTCTGGGTAGCATTTTGCTCGTAGAGCTACGATCATAAAAATCGCGGCAATCCCGTCGTTGCACGCTTTACGTTGTCTCTGCACAGCCGACGAGGCAAGAGTCTGGCAATTCGGCCCGGGAATTGCTCCTGGCGTCTCCGTGGAACGGCTGGAAAATCTGGGGGCGATTTTGGGGGCTCTCTCCTATTTATTCATAAGAATCGTAAAAGTAGCCCAATAGGATAAAGGTTGGGGAGGAGGCAGGGGCCGCAAAGGGGTGAAACCGAGGGCGGTGCAGAAAACCAGATCCCACCCGAAATCTCACCTCCGCGCTTCGGTCGCCTCTTTTTCATTCTCCCAGCGAATCTAGTGGTGAGCGGAGGGTTTCGTGGGGCTCGGACGGCCCCTTCCCCCATTCACGTGGATCAATGTCAGCAACACTAAAAACCAACGTCAGAAAAGGTTCTGATTTGGAGGCTGAGACTTGTGCCTTTGTTTTTCTTCTCTGCTTCCTCTTCTTTTTTAAGCAACGTGATATCAACCTCGAGCGCGTCGATTGGTCAGGATGGGCTTCAGCCCCTGCATCAGCGTAGCACTCCAGTGCTTCCTCCCGGTATGGAGCCTCGAACTTGGGCACTCATAGCCTCCTTTTACTTGGGGTCTGAATTATACGCATCTATCATTTGTGGGCCAGGCGCCGTTTTTTGTGTAAAGTTAATCGGGAATCCCGCGTCAGAGTTGCGATTGTACGTACGAGCGAGAGAGACAAAGCATCGTGAAGCAGAGGTTGGAGTCTTATCCGCATCCACATAAATACTTTGGAACTCCCGTTTCTTGTTAGAGCTGGCTACTAGAGACTCAAACCAATTCATTATCTTCCATCGATAACCATCGCCTTTTCTAACCTTTAGAGCTTCTGATTTCCTTTTTCCTATATTCTGCAGAAATGCGTGCCTACTTCTCAACTCCCCAATTCATGGGACTCCTGCACCTGCTAGCCTCTGTTCCTAGCATCGGTGCCATCCCCATGCCCCAGGATGTCGTTGTCATCGGGCCAAGCGTGATCCCCGGTTTCACCACGGTAGATGAGATTTGCGGTGCAACTTATGACGACCCTTTCCTGACCTGGGTCCGCTCCGGAGCGGCTCGTTTCCTTGGCAAATTCATCAAGGAGAACGGTGCCAACAACTGGGCCAACAAGATTGACCAGCAGACCACGAATGGCGGCAGTCAAGGCACGTCCAACCTCGCTTGCACCGATCTGCTCACCGGAAACTGTGCTTTCCCTCATGTGCAATGTCGCTTCTATACCCCTCCCGAGCTGTTCCACATCAGGAACGCCATGGCCAACGCCCACGCCATGATGACCGGCCTCCACGAGGGATTGCAGAATACAGCCATCGTCGAGAGCTTGAGCATCGATCAGATCGCAAATGACTTTGGGCCTCCGAGTGCTTCTAACCCGGCGGGTCTCCTCAACGCCGCCTTCACGATTGCTGCCGGCGCTGCCGCTCTCGACGCTTTGATCGCGGGTCCGCTGACCATAATTGCCGGTGTTTTCGGCATCTTGGCCAGCAGTGGGGTAGTCCCGGCGACGACCCTTCGCTCGCTGTCAAAGAGCAACTCGCAACCACCTTCACTGCTGCCGATAACCAGCTTAAGAACTTGGCCAGTGCTGTGTTTGGAGGTGTGAACACAGACATCATCCCTAACCCAGAGGGTGACGCGGATCCTATCAGCGCCTTCTTCTCCGGAGGCAAATATCTCTTCAAGGTCACCGCAGAGGGTAGCATCGACACTGTTGTGAGCAACACAATGAGTATCGCTCAAAAGTATATCGTATGTTGGCCCTGATCTTCTACCAGTTAGGTCCTTGTGGCTCTGGCCAAACACATACTAACTGAGATGGTGTAGCGACAACGGCTAGTCAACTCCGCCCTCAAGGCCAATAATTACTACATCTTTGTCGACGTACGTGCATACACAGCTATTCATAATACGTCTGGAGCTAGAACTAACTAACTTGTCAATAGACCGATATCACCGATGGCAACAGGTGCGCGTCGGTCCAGGGAGCTGGCTCTCGCTTCATCAACAACCAGTGTTTCCAGATTCATCACTTTGACCGCCCCGACGTGTTTACCGCTGGAGAGTCTTCGCCCATTGAGCGTGAGAAAGTCCTCAAGCTCGATGACGGCTCTTCCAAGTACAACTTCGTTATGGAAGAGTTCTACGCCAATGCGAATGACTGCGCCGACAGGCACCCCAACTTCGACGGCTCATTCAGCGGATCCGTCCCTGTCGTGGGCAATGCCGGCACGCCGTACCCAGAGTGCTTCTTCGATTTGCCCGTTATCAAGTCCTCCAAGTCACCCTGCTCCTTCGGTGACAAGTCGAAGCTTCCGGAGAACCTTGGAATCACGGACTCCAGGTGCAGTCGTATTGACCGCTGCTTGGGAAACCCCGGCTTCTGTATTCCGAACTAAAATAAGATGACCCAATACCCGCGATCTGTTGTGCAAACTATCAGCAGATCGCAAAACTTCCCTATCAGTAGATTTCATAGTTAGATTCATCCATGCAGGCAGGATGACTGGTTTTGCTTTCAATAGACCGTGCCTTTTTTCTTTCAATCATTTTGCCTCTACCTCCTTGAACGTCATTTCCAAACATCCCACAGTATACTTATCGATATGTGAATCTTCTCAAAGTCTCCCTGTACACCGGAGATATCTAGTTGCAACCTCGGAGTGGGAACAAATATGGAGTGAGTTCTAGCGTCCATGCTACCATCACCCACCTTTGACCAAAGATGGTTGTTACTAGCAATAAAAGTGACTGAGAGAACAGCTGCGACTCGTTTGTAGTGTTGAGACGATAAGTGTTTAATTTATCTGGACATCACTAGACAAAAAGTAGTACGCTATGTATCCATTATTGTTGGCGTGTGTCCTCGATCATGTGCCACGTACATCGTAGAGCGAGGGAAAGACGCGGTCGAGGTATCGGCGATTTATCTCTAAACACTCGTGCCACCAATGAAGGTTAAGTGTCTCCGCTTTCTCCTCAATCCGACTGAAACCGAAGGTGTTGTGTGAAAGTCAGGCGGCGCTTCCGACAAAGGCATCATTGGAATCACAAGGTATAGCGGGAACAGGAAGATGACAGAGGCTGGAGACACCATCCTGTGTACCGCTTCGTCGATGCTGCGAGGACTTTAAATTCACTGCTTGCCTAAGGGAGAAAACGGGAATGGGTCTTGGTCTTTAAAAATCTAAGATTGGACGGATGATATAAAGGTTTGACGTGAACTGCGTATCTGGATAGGAAACGTATAGCCGATGGCTAGATCACCAAAACAGGATGACCAAAAGCCTATTCCAGCCAGGCTCTAGAAGTGCGGCTTGCATCAATAACGCAGACTTCCAATCCGATATACTGGCCCACGGCGAAAGCTGGGTACTTTTCTTTTCTTTTTATCATGTAAACGAGGACAGGAGATGGAATGGCATTTGGATACGCGAGCAACCTAGGCTTGACAATGCAGTTGACCCTGCGTTCGATATTACATGGCGGAGAAGCACGACGAAACCAAGGAGAATTAGGGAGCATAAGGCTTAAGCTAAGCTGTCGAGAGTCTCTGGGACCTTGAAGCCAACAGGAACAGTTGATCTCCAGGATAGATAGGTAGCCATGCCACGCCCGCTTTCTTCACGGGGGTTTCTCGAAAATACGGTAAGAAATTACGACAATGTCTATGCAAACTAAGATGGGCGTTTCGAGCCGTACAAGAAGCTCTTTAGGTCCCAGGCTAAGACTGACTTGGATGAGATCATAAGCTGGAACAAGCGCGGCCTCTGTCTGAAGCACTTCACACACCTAGCACCGAATAGTCCGAGATCAGGCAACGAAAGATTTCTCACTGCCAGGTCATTAAGCTGCGCAGTACCAGTCCTATCCAGTGACCATGTATTAGATGGAGGCAACCTGGTGGCTTATACTCTTGTCGTCGAGTGTCAGATTAACGGATCATGGGCTCTGCTGGCCAGTGAAAAGGGCTTGTCAACCCAGGCCTACCGCGCCGTTAGGGCTGAACCCGTTCGGCTGAGCAAGTACGAAGTTTGGCTCTGGAAAGAGAGAGCAACATGGAAGGTTTATATAGACATTCGAGTGCCTTCTGATTCAGGACGGTATGGCAGCTCCCAATCCCAAAGATATTGCTGACCCGGTTTTGAACAACGGCGACGGACTTCGGGCTCGCAGCCTCGAGCTGGACACGCTGCTTCGGGTGATGGATCCTTTCCTCGAAGCTTAGTAGAGACTATGCTGTTTACATTTGTGGTATCGCAAGCGCATAAGACTAGGGAAGCGATCGGATTCGTTAGTAAGGAAGCGGAATACGCTCAAGGGGGGATGGAGACCAGGACTATGCTATTTAGTATGTTCATAGCTACCCTATCGTCTTCGCTGTCGTAGGTTAAGAGGCCGGCCGTAGCGAAGGGATGGATATTGGTGGAGATCGTCGAGACAATCGCGGTAAACAAATTTTCAGGGGATGAGGCATCGACGGTGATGGAACATGCAGATGGCTGATGGTCTCCCATGCTGCGAGCGCTTGCTTACTATTTCGGGGATGCCGAGGGGACAAAATGTGGGCGGTACTGATGATATCTAGGCTATTCCGGGGCCAACTGGGCCTGCGGAGTTGAGCGTATGTATATTACCGGAGGTACCCACAAAGACATGTCACCAGCATCTAGCATGTGCGCAAGAGAAGACGAAGCACAACGATGACTACGTACGTTTATACTAAGCTGAGCATTCGTCAAGGTTACCAGGAGTTTCTCTGATAGTCCATATCAAGGTGCGTAGGAATCAGGACTGACATATTTTCGGTTCCCATCTCTCTCACTCTCTCCCACAAAATGGGGAAGGAAAAGGAAATACGACATGACCAATGCCTTGATTATCTTGCCGAACTAAAGCCTCTAGACCACTGGCTTTTACACCTACTGTGGACACCCAGCGAGTTTGAGACAGTCAACCGCTGCTTTCGAGCGATTTTCAAACCAGTCCGACCAGGGATGAAGACATGAGCAGCGTAATCAAATGTGTATTAGAGAAAAGCACTCAACTGGGTATTAATGGCGCCTCCAGCCGTGACAAGTATGTTGTACCTGATATTTGGCAATTTCCAATCCATGACCATGGATCACGACACCCTTCGCCATGCACTCTGACAGAATTTGTGCATGCGGATATGACGGCTTCCCTCGTCGTCAACTCGTCCTTATCAGCAGCACCAAACATTCTAGGTGGATATAATCTCAGTCTTGGCGTAATGGGAGGTTTGGAGCAATCCTCAGAAACGCTCTGTAAATCTCCAGCCATGTATGCGTGCGCATACTGTTCCAAGTGTGCGACTTTGAAAGCTGTCAAGCCTCGAGCCGACCGTTTTGAGTGGCTTGGGCGAGCTGTTTCGATGGATGCACGTTTGTCCCAAAACGTGACTGGCATGAAATTGGTGAACATCCTTCGAACCAGGAAGCCCCGACTAATAGTCTAGCACGAAATCCTAGTCCCGAATCCTTCGTATTAGGAGAGGCGGCGTTAACTCCGCATTCCTCCGCCTCCGAAGGCTCGTCATCCGCAAAGGTGCTGCTTTGCCTAATAATGAATGACGCTGGGTACAGATTGCCAAGGGAGCAAGCCACCCTGATTTTTTCGAGTGCGGTGGCTGGCGCCGAATATCAAACCTTCTCCATGAGGGACAAGCGCACCTATGAAGACCGGCAATGTCAAGTTTTATATCTCTTGGCGGTGGGGATAGAACAGAAACCTCCCCTCTACCACAGTAACGGCCCGTTTTTACCAAGACAGCCCAGGCTACAGTGAAAGCCATCTTATTCCTTTAGCGATGCCGCAGAGAAGACATCTATTCATAATCTCCCCGATGCTCTGGAGGTTTCCAGCGCCATGGGTTCGGCTCGCGTTGGGGGCTGTTGGTTGCCATGGGCTGATGACGCGCGGAGTTAGGAAATTTTGACAGGCTTGAGACTGTACACGTAACAAGTGATCCTTTCATTCTCATTCCCCACCTCCCTTGCATTTCCCGATGGTGGTGTCAAGCATGCCAAATCCTTGGAAATCTGGAGGGAATGAAGAAAAGAAGGCCAGAGTGATAGCGTTACATTGCCATTACGCGTGCCGGAGCTGTCGGTGTTGCCCTGGCGGAGGATTCAATCACCGGTTCTTAGCACGGATAGAATATGCACCTTCGTTCTGTCTGGACGAACGTTACATCCATTGGGTTTTAGTTTCATAGTTGATAGTCTTGCTCGATTTTCTCGTTCTTTCGCCACCAACTTGATATTTTCTCTCCCATTCCTCCTTTTTCGCACATGTTTAGTACTTGAAGAGAACACTCTTTTTCTTTTCTTCACCTTGCATCTCAAAATGGTTAGCAATTGTGATATCCTAACCCAACCCGATGCCTAAATAGTGGGACATGGGGTTTGTTCAGACTGACATGGGCCAGCCAGCGGCGGGAGACACGGCTGGCCCAGGGCTATCGGGGAGGTGTTCTTGTGGGGAACATGGGGGTTTGCGACCAGGGTCGCGGCTCAACATGAAATCGATGTGGGGATTCGACAGATCCTTCCAAGGGTCAAAAGTTTGATTAAATGAGATCGACCGAGATTCTCCTTTCGGAGTGTCTGTATACAGACACGGTTACGTACCTTCCTCTTCCGGCTCCGTCCGAATTGCGAAACCTTAAAGACAGAGTGGAAAAGATAGGCAACCGGAGAGGTTGTTCGGCCCCAAGCTCCGGGATCAGCACTTCAGTATCCTAAACCGAGAGAGCAAATTCGTTCACGATGCAATTCGGAGCAGGCGACGCCATGGGTCTTGGGAACCGATACCCCGGAGAGTAGGTTCCGGCGGGCGTCAAAAAGTGATTAAGGGTTCCCCCTCCCCTTCCCTTCGCCAAGGGGAAGAAGAGAAGAGAAAAGGAACAAGAAAAGCAATGAAGGAAATCGGCTACCCTAAAAGCGTCAGGTGGCTTGCGCTTCTGATCGGCTAACGGCTCTCTGGCTGTTGTGTCGCGGCATGCGAGAAAAAACCTCCGGCGGAGACCACGAAGGATCGTCCAATACGACACTTCGAAGCATTGATGGCCTGATTTTTTCTTTTATTATTTTTCTTTTTCTTTCCCCCAGTTTCCCATCCAAGGCACCGGACCGGAAATTTTAGGTGACGGCTTTGCATTGTTTATCAAGCTGCTGCAAGTAGTCAACAATCTCCAGTCCCTTGTGGCGCCAGGTTCCTGGAAAATGAAAACCCGAGAATAGGGGCGGGACTGCTATTCCTCCGCATGATTACAGCACATTGACCAGCGTCGATTTCTCGCGGGCCCTGTCTGCTGGTATTATCGTCACGCCCGCCCGACAGGCATGGGCGCGGTGGGGGACTAGTGGGGACAAAGAGAGTAAAGAGGGATTGGTTTTCAAAACTGTCGTAATGCAGCGAATGGGACGCATCTAGCACTTGGGTTTGACGTTATTTGATTTTTGGTCTCTGCTTTCTGAGCCCCGCCAAAACTCGCCGCCGTGGTTTTAGCACTTGCGATCAGCAGTCTGAAGGCGTCGGGGATAGCAGCTTATCCGCGTAGCAGTCTCGCGAGATTCTTCGAATGGGGTTTACCGTCGACCTTCCTTCGCGCAGCCACAGCAAAGACTCTCCTGCCAAAAGCGGGAATGTGAGTGCCGGTCAAGGGCTCAGCGCGGGAGCGAGAGCGGGAAAGCGCAACAAGCAAAGGCAAAGGTCGGAGGGGAGGCCAGAGCAGGACAGGGCAGGAGAGCTGCCTCCGCTAGTGTGGAAAAGACTAGTGCAATTTGCAAAAATAAAATAAAAAGACGGAAGACTGTTCGCGCCGGGAAGTGGACCCGGTTACGGGTTACGTTACCAGGCTGGGGCTGGCCACCAATGGGCTACGCTCGCCGGCCAAAGCTTGGGTTAATCCAGTCTAGTCCGAGCCCTCGCGGATGCTGACTCGAGTCCCGACGCCAGCCTACGCCCATCCTTCGACACTTCTAGCGTCGGGTCTTCGCCTGCTCCAGAGGGGCCTCCGAAATTAAGAATTAAGGCTGGCTTTGGCTTTGCCCTGGAGTCCGAATTAGAACGATCTAATTTTTCACTTCCGGCGTAATACCTCAACGCTCCCCATCCTCTCTCCACATGTCCACCAAGGTTAACGATGTTGGGGCAAGCAGAGCTCATCCGCCTCCAGCGCACGTCCCTAGTTCTAGACTGGCAGTTGATCAACGGCAGATTGGAAATATCCGATGAGTAGTGTAATCATGGAAGCATATAGGAAGATGCCAGGGAAAAGAAGTGCAGTGGATGGGACTACTGAGGGTGTACTAGTATTGCCCGGGGAGGGGCCGAGATACAACATTGAAGTTGAAGTGGTCCAAGGCCCTTCCATTGAAGACCCCTTCTCTTATTTCTGTGGTTTCGATTACCAGGGTCAGAAACCCTTCAGACCTGCAAACCTGGAAAAGCGGCATGCAACACAGCTCGTGCCTGTCCGGTGGGTGGCGACGGCCACATGTCTGGCCTCCAGCCACAGGTTACCCAAAGCATATTGACTCGCATCTGGAGGATTCCGGGGACTGGGGATTGGAGGCAGAAAGGGGCAGGAGGGAGTATCAGCCAGGCGCGCCCCAGGGAAGAGGACGGAAGAATGGCCGGGGGACAAGGAGCCTAATTCTTCAAGAGGCAGTTTTTCGTTACGATCAGCATAATAGTTTTCCTTTTTCAAGCAAATGGCTGTGGCTGCAAAGAATCATCGAACCAAGAGACCGCACTTGGAAGGATGGGTGTTCCGCTGGATCGGGGAGATCGCTCGCATTTTCTTTTCTCTCTGTCTTTCTTGCTAGCCTTCCCCTGCACGTCCTGCTTCCTCCATGCAGGGGAGGGCGACATTACCATCATGGAAGCCACTTATTGCCGCCCCGAATCCTTCCATTTGACTGGTACCTGGTGCATGGTCAGTACCCTACCCACTACGTCCCCAGCGACAACCAAGTGACTGTGTCTCTCTCTTTTTTGCCCTTTCTTTCCCTTCGTTCTCACCCCGCGTGCCTCGTCAACGTCCTTGTGGCTGATTTCCTAGCGGCATCATTCTCGGTGAACTTGTGTCAACAGGAGAGAGAGAGCCAAAGGGATAAGACCAGGCTAGAAGATCACAAAAGTCCTCCCTGCGCGACCCCTGATCTATGGTTCTATCCCGCACCCTCGCCATTCCCACCGGGCCATGATAGACATCCTTTAAGCATCAGAATCCCTGGACCCCTTTCTCTCTCTTTCTGTCCCCTCTATGGAAGGGAAGGTAGCATCATTCCTCCTTGCCTCCTCTCCCTGGCCCCATCCCCTTTTTGCTTGTTACTCTGTTTTATTTCTTTTTCTTTCTAGCCCTTGTCCCTTGTCATCGAGTTGGTAAGTTCGACTCCATATAATATTCGGGGGACCAGGTAGATCACCGACGATCGATTTCTCTTTTCTTCTCGCGAGCCAGGCTGACCGGTCATCTTCCCGGTGATCTTCACTTGACACCTTGCTTCCCCACCAACAACCCTCGCGAGTTGTCATCTGCTCATCTTTCCTTCTTCGTCGGTTGCCCGTGTCTTTCGTTAAAACCCCCGGCTCCAGTCTGCTGGAACTGCCATTACGATGGAATCCGCTGAGCTAGTCGCCCGTGCCTGGGCTCCTGGAACGGATTTCCCAGATCCGATCCAGGTCGATGGGCTTTATCACGTCGGTCTATCGATTATCTGCATTCTCTGGACTCTTGCGTTCATCATTGTCTCTCTCCGTATATGGGGGCGATGGGGAGCAAAGCAACTAGGCGTCGGTAAGTGGTCGGCTACCTTCCTGAGATATATGAGTTATCCCCGAGAGTGTTAATGTGTGGGCTAACGCGGTATGGCCTGCAGATGATGCCCTTATTCTGGCTGCTATGGTAGGTTGATAAACATCTCGGAACGGCGAGGGTGACTAACTTACTGACGCTGTTCTCTTATCTAGGCGGTAAATACCGGCTGGTTTTATACGTTGATTATGTGTAAGTGAAAAGAAAAGTGGTACTGTCCTGTATTTCTCCTCTCGCCACTCTTGACTCTGGGCGGCCTGTCAGCCCCGTGCCAAGATACGAGCCAAACCCAGGGCAGAGGGTCGGAGGACAAATGGGACGAGACTGCGCGCATGGCGCCAAGCGCGTAAAGAGTGCGGCCACTGAGGCACGAGAAACTGCTACTAACATGGGCATCATGGTGACAGACGTCAAGACGAAATATGTGGGAATTCACTATTGGAATGTGCCGACCCTTACGCACGAGCAACAAGTGGCCGCCAAGCTATACGAGTGGCTCATTATCCTGCTGTACCACCCCGTGTTGGGCTTCGTCAAGGCTTCGGTCTTGTGCTTCGACCAAAAGTTCACGGGTATCAAGAAGTCGATGCGCTACACCGTCTACGCCCTCCAGGCCGTCAATGCCGGGTGCATGATTTCCATCTTCAGCGTTACTCTCTTCCAATGCACGCCCATCTCGCGCAACTGGGATCCTACGTTTAAGCGAAACTGCATCGACAACATATCCTTCAATTACGCATACAACGCCATCGTCATCGTGACTGACATTGCCGTGTTGGCTGTGCCTTTTGGGCTTTCCTTGGTCTGCAGATGCCCATTCGCCTCAAGATTGCTCTGCTCAGCGTGTTCGCGCTTGGAATTATGTAAGTCGTGGCTGACTGGCCCTGGTCGTTTTCTGTGCAGGGCGGGGGTGTCCCCTGTGTTCGATACTTGCTTCTGACATCTTGGCGCGATCGATAGTGTCACCGTGATCTCTTGCGTGCGTTTAATTCTACTCGTCAACTGGTTCAACCAATTCTACAAGGGCCTCGGCGGCAAGGATCTCTACTACTCTGTGGGGTGGGCGATCTCGCCGATTGAAAGCAACCTTGCGATTATCGCCGCGTCGATGCCCGCGCTCTGGCCGCTGTTCCGACGATGGTTCCCCAACTTCTTCTCGGCGCTGAGCACCTCATACCCGGCCGCCTCTCACCCCACCACCGGCAACCGCGTGACGGCTTTCCGCTCGCAGCTCAGCCGGCCCCAGGGCGCGACGCAGATCGACGACGATGCGAATGACGCGTTCATGATGAAGTCAATGCACACCAAGGTGCACGCGGATGGGCGACCGACGACACCGACGGGTTCGCAGGATGGTATTATGGATTACAAAAACGGTATTATGCGAACGACGAATGTGGAGGTGGAGTATGAGACCAGCTCAAAGGGCGAGAGGGAGTATTCGGACGATAGAGACGAGTACGTCAGGAAGAAGGTCGTATACGCCGTCTAAGTGATCAATTGAAACTACACGCTGGAGAAAAAGCCTAAATAAAGTATGTTGGAGGGGCGGGGCATGTAAAAACAGCTAGCCAGGACCTGGCGTCATTTCAATTCAATGGGTGCGTGCCGTTGGTGTTGAAACGCGATTAGAACGCTTGTCAGCTTTAAGGGAGGAAACCTCCGTCGCGCTTACAAGCTTTATAGATGTAGCAATGTGTGTTTTCCCTTCTATTCAAATCATCCCGAGGGTACATCAATATCTTTATATACCTGTTCATTCGTCTTGGGCTTTGATGTCGGTCGTAGCAAAGAGTCATTGAACATCAAATTCGACAATCAACTCAACTTTTTCTGCACAGACATTGACGCAGGCACAGACTTGGACGCGGGCACAGACTTGCTCTTAGTGGGCATTCGGAAGAAGCGGACCTCTAAGGGCACTAACGGGCCTTTGGATTTTAGCGCTCGTTCGCCATTCGGTATGTCTTAGTCAATACACCATAGAGAGAAAGGATCTGTGAGGAATAGCGTGCACCAAGACGAGTCAATGTGGCAGGTACTGACATTACGAAGTATTTCGGTCCTCGATCCATCCACCCATTGGGGAAGTGAGGAGGGTTACGTCTTGTCCTGGTCGCCATGTGGCTGTCGAAGAACGTGTCCGGTCACACGGCCGCCAAGAACACTCCATTCGATCGACCTGCCATCGGCAATTCGTGCAGACTGCAAGCTGGCCCCCAACCCAGGGAACCGGGAACAGGAGCCATGGCTTTCGATACGCATCTATACCGAAGCACACGTGGGCACAGCCTCTCCCTTTCGTTCTCGATCGTTTCGTTCTCAATATTGCCTCGAATCACCCCCTGCTTCAGCATTGCTCCTATTGCGACAGAATGAGGTGCCGTGAAGAAGACAATTTAAACGGGCGTTGCAGGTTCTTCTCCAGTGCAACTGAAGTGTCCTGAAGCGTCGCGGACCCCAGCAATGCAACGGGGGTGAAGGGGGCAGAGGGTAGAGATGTGTATTGCTTGTATTACTTGTATTATTGTTATTAATTCTTCCTCCCTCGGGTGCCCTCAGTTGCCTCTGGCCCCTGGGGCCACGCATTGTGAAGGATGTGGTCCCTTGTCCTGGTTGCACGCGAGGATTGCGCGCCAATGCACGTAGAACGGTGGGATTTGGGAGGGTGGCGTGGAACCTGGACACCTACTCAGTAATTGACCCTGCTGTATCCACCTCCTGCTAGCTATCGGGGAACAGCTCGATCAATACAAGCGAGAAAAAAATTAGGACGAAAAACCTTGGCCCTTGGACTTGGCCCTTGGACTTGGAGTCGAACTCTCTCGCTCGACATGACACCAAACGCCAGTTGACCCCCAATCCTTGATACCACCCCGCTGCTCATGCCACGGAGAAGACGGGCCCACAGCTAATAAAATGGGTTTAGCTGCGCCGGCCCAGTCCTGCCCCAACGACGGGGGCACCTTATTCGCCAGTTTCGGAGGAGGTGACGGAAACGGGTAAAGAAGGAAGAAAGGAGAAAAATTATTGTTATTACTGGCAAGATCGACCTGCCACTCCTTCTATTAGCACCCTCGCCTGCGTTCGGACCTGGGCTCCACCTCTTGAACTTGAACGGGGCCCCGAGAGGGTTAGTCCACTGGCTGCTGTTGAGCTCCGCACGTCGACAACGCTAAAATGAGTTCTGTCCGTGAAATTTGTACACTTTGGAAGTGAGTTTGCTCCTTGTTTTGCACTCCTTCCTATAATCCCCCAGGCCCAACAAGGCTTGGTGTGTCGTTCCTCCGCCTGCCCTCCTCTCGTACAAGGCAAGGAGAAAGGGGAATATAAATGAGTTGATGAATCCGTCATTTGATATCCCCTGCCATTTCAAATCCCCACAACAATACCACCTTATAGTGGCACTCCACGTGGGCGAGTACCATCGGTCCCCTTCCTGAACCGTTGTATAAAAGTGTCGCGATCATCCCGCCTCTCTTCTCACTCTTCCTACCTTCTTCTCCAGGAGCAGTGTATTCGGCAGAAAAGAATATTTTTCTTCTTTGCAGCTTTCCCCTTGTTCTTCCTTTTCCCCTTCCTCGAGTTGGGTAGTCACTCCTTTTACCCCCACATACTAAATCAACAAAACCCAAAGAAACCACTTACGCTCCTTAACTTCAGTACATTATAATCCCTTCACAATGCGTCTTCTTACAGCATTTTCCGCGGGCTCTGCCGTCCTTGGCCTCGTTGAGGCCCTTCCCCGTATCTCCAACTTTTCCAGGCGACAGGCTGCCGAGCTTCGCGCCGAATATGACTTCGTCATTATCGGTGGTGGTACCGCCGGCTTGACCGTCGCCGATCGTCTCTCTGCCGCTTTGCCCCACCGTAAGTCCTCTCCGTTTTCAGGCAAACGGACCCGCTTGGCCACCAACACCAGCTCCGTTTTGTTTCTCATCTCTTTTTTTTCTTCGTTTCTTTACTGTTGCTGTATCGCTAACCAGAACAACGAAACCAAATAGGTACCGTCCTCGTTATTGAGCATGGAAAGGTTGAAGGCACTGTGGGCTACTTCGATCCCGCCGATGATGGCAAAGGTGCTACTCGTCTCGTGATCAGCTCCTCCCGTCGAGAGCGTTAACAACCGCTCTGCGGTTGTTATCCTCGGCATGACGGTTGGCGGAGGTTCCGCTGTCAACGGTCAGTTCTTCGACCGTGGCTCTAGGCTCGACTACGATGAGTGGGCGCGTCTGGGCAACACCGGCTGGGACTGGAAGAACCTTTTCCCTATTTCCAAAGGTAAGTGTGGTCTATCAAACGGACGTCCGGACCCTCTCACTGGCCGCAAGACATCGTTCGCTGACGATAGCCGATAGAGCTCCTTCTTGACCGAGCCCAGCGCCGACCTTGTCGCTCAGTACGGTTACACCTGGGACTCCTCCAACTACGGTGGCGATTCCATCCAGGTCTCCTTCCCTCCCTTCCAGTGGCCTATTCAGAGTGAGTTTAGCACCTTTCATTCGCCGCCTCCTGTGTTTATTTCACCTACGCACGCAAATACTAACAGAAAATCTGCTTCATAGAGGTCAGCTGGGACGCCTGGGTCGAGTTTGGTCTCGACACCCCCAAGGACTGCGCCAACGGTGACAAGCATGGTGTTTGCTGGGTCCCTACTGCCCAGAACTCGGAGACGGTACAGCGTTCGCATGCCGGTATTGGCCACTACACCAACATCGCCGCGGCTCGCCCCAACCTCGACCTTTTGCCCGAGCACAAGGTCACCCGCCTTGTGATCGACAAGTCTCAAAAGGTTCCCGCCATCGAGTACCGCCCCGTCGCCGGCGGTGACGTCAAGACGATCCGTCCCAAGCGGGAGGTTATTCTCTCCGCCGGTGCCATCCACACCCCCAGATTCTCCAGCGCAGCGGTGTTGCCTCTGCCTCGTACCTCAAGTCCGTCGGAATCAAGGTTGTCGAGGACCTCCCTGGTGTGGGCCAGAACTTCCAGGACCACTGTGGACCCCCAATCACCTTCAGCTGTAAGTTCCACTCCCTCCACCGTTTACCGCTTAGCCGCCCTCCGCAAAGAGCTCAGCTAATCCTGTCCTACGCTTTTAAGACGATGCCCCCAGCCCAAGTGAGGCCGACATCACCAACAACGCCACCTACGCTGCCGAGTCTGTGGCACAGTTCCGTGAGCGTCCCGCCCGCGGCCCTTACACTCGCCATGGGCAACAGCGCCGCCTACGTCTCGCTTCCCAAGATCACCTCGCAGTACAAGAACATCGTCGCCAACATTCGCAAGCAGATTAGGGACCGCTCTGCTCTTCAGTACTTGCCCGCCGGTGCCGCCAAGGAGGTGCAGGCTGGTTACCTGGCCCAGCTCGAGGTCATTGCCCAAGCCCTTGAGAACCCTGAGCACCCTATCCTCGAGGCTCCCTTCGCCACCGGCCCTGGCACTGCCTTCCTCTTGAAGCCTCTGAGCCGCGGTACTGTTCTTCTCAACCCCGAAGACCATGATGCCACCCCTATCGTCAACTACCGCACTGCCGCCAACCCCATCGACCTCGACATCATGGTCACGTACGTCGACTACTTCCGTCGTCTCTACGCCACCGATGCCTGGAAGGCCCTCAACCCTGTCGAGGTTGCCCCTGGTGCCGGCGTTACCGATAACGCTGCCATCGCGGAGTACATCAAGAACAGCATCATCCAGTCCCTCATGCACCCTTGCTGCACCGCCGCTATGCTCCCGAGGGCGAAGGGTGGCGTCGTGGACACCAAGCTGTCCGTGTACGGTGTTTCTAACCTCCGTATTGCCGACCTTTCCATCATCCCCACCCTTCCTGCTGGCCACACCACCACTACTGCCTACGCAGTCGGTGAGAAGGTAAGAAACGTCACCCCCACCCTCCCCAGATCTCACACAATGACTAGTATACTTTTGCTAACGTCACGCTGCAGGCCGCCGATCTCCTCATCACCCGCTGGAAGAAGGACTGCAAGGCGTAAGGCTTGCCTTGCGCATAAAGGAAGGGGTCTGGCAGGAGTCGGTTGGGCGGGGTTGGGCGTTCTGTTGGTGAAAATAGAATAGTGTGATCACGCTGATATTTAATAATACCTATGTACTAAATCTACATATGCTTCGCTTCTCACCGAGGCCTTGCCAAGGCCTACACTGTATATAGAAGTACCGTGCAGTAGGCTTGTATACGATCGGAGATAGGAAGAAGAATGTAAAGACGCGATGCCGCTTTTTCATGATATGGCGCTCCCGTAGAGTCTCCGCTGACCAACAGGTCTTAAGCATAGTTTATCCCAGGGATGTAAAAAGACTTAACCTCATCTAGAGACGCCTGCGTTCCCATGAGATGTCAAGCGCGAGGTTACTACGATCCTGGCCATCATACCGACAGAGCTTTAAACAACAAGTAGTAGGACCAAGAGAGTGAAAAGCCATTAATTTAGCAACCCTCTGCACAAGAGTACAAGTCTTTTCTAAGCTTAGGATAGAGCATAGTTAACTAGGTAGCTACGCAGGAATTTCTTTAGCGGCGTAATTGAAGGATACAACCTAGTATTAATACTGAGCTATTTAATTTATCTTTCCCAGCCACCGACCCCAGCCTTATTTTGAGTAATCCACAGGGATGTTCCTAGCCCACCATTCGATAAACCTGGGCGTTTCACGACCTCGAATTAGATCGTCGATAGCGCTGCCATACTTGATCAACGTAGGTTCGCTCCACGCCGTTCCAATCAAAGAGATGCCCACAGGTACGCTGTGTGCGTTGTGCCCAACTGGCATAGTGACCATGGGATAGCCTGCAATAGCAGGCATATTGGTTGCGCCTCCAGCCGAGGGTACGAGCAGAGCATCAATCTTGATGGTTGTACCATTGTCGGACGTATAAGACAGAGCAGCGTCAATGCCTTCTTCCCGAGATATAGTGTTGAGATAGGCCTCGTTCTCCCAGTACGATGAGTTCATCTCACCCTTGGTCGCCGCGCTTGACAGAAAGCCGTCTTGACCAGACTTGAAGCCTGCCAGCGTTCCAGGGATACCACCCTCGATGGAATTGTACTCGTAGTTGTACGCGATAATGTCTTCAATGGATCGGATATTTGTATTCTCCAGTTCCGCTAGATAGTCACGGATGTTGTTGTAGAAGTCGACATCAACTCGGTAGTCCACGGTCAAGAGCGGTGAAGGCCCGGTGGACCATGACCACCCTGACGGAGACAATACCTCCTTGTACCGCGGGAACTCGGTGCCGTTGATGATGGTCGCACCCGCAGCCTTGAGCTTGTCGACAACCGCAAGAAGTTGGACCATATCACCGATGTTGGCGGTTTGGTTCCAAACAGAGTTCCAGGGAAGACCAAACACAGCGCCTTTGAGTGCACCTTTATCGGCCATGTATTGAACGTAGTTCCCGTCTTGTGGCCCTTCCTGGATCATAGTATAGTTGTCCCTGGGATCGATCCCCGCGATGGCCTCGAGAGCATAGATGGCATCTTTGAAAGTTCGCCCGAAGGAGCCTACGGTATCTTGGTGCACAGATTCGGGGAGAACACCCGCGCGTGAGGTTAATCCCACAGTAGGCTTGAAACCCACAACGCTAGCCCTTCTTGCGGGGCCAATAACGCTACCATCAGTTTCTGTGCCGTAAGAAATGGCGACCATGTTTGCGGCGACTGCCTGTGCAGGGCCGGAGGAGGAGCCACCCGGGGCGGTAGAAAGGTTATACGCATTTCTCGATTGGCCACCACGCGCCGCGTAGCCGGAAGACTTTGAGGAGGAGCGCATGGATGCCCACTCATCAAGCGTACCCTTCCCGATAAGGACAGCTCCCTTTCGCGCAGAAGCTTGACAACGTGTGCATCACGGGGCACAACGGAACCCAGCAAAGCGTATGACCCTGCTGTAGTTTCCATTTTATCCTTGGTAGCAATGTTGTCTTTGACCAGGACTGGGATACCGTGTAGTGGGCCACGGATAGTCCCGGCAGCCCTTTCGGCATCTGCTCGATCCGCAATGAGGAGTGCATCCGGGTTAAACTCTAGGACCGAGCTTAAAAACATGTGAGCCTCTCGACTTATCTTGCTCTCCATGATGTTGGGTTTTACGCGCTGAGGAATAGGAGTGCACTTACTTGACATATTCATTGACCTGGAATATCCGACTAAGATAGCATAGGGTCAGCTGGCGCGAGGTTAATGTTCCGCTTGCCATCCAGCTTTGCATTTCATCAATGGTGGCCTCTTCGAGGGGTAATCCGTAGCACTCTGCCATCGGAAATGGAGTCTTTGACCCGCCACAGCTACCCCCGTCGACTTCCTCAGTTGTCCCGTTTGGATTGACCCAAGCATGGGAGGTTTGGGGGAAGTAGTAGGCATCTGAGGAGGGTTGCGGAGTGTCAAGCTCTTGTAGGGAGCAACTGGGGGTTCCGTCTCACGTTGAACCCTTGGGCAGAGTGGAGGGTGGACAGGGCAACAAGGCCAATGGAGATAAGCGTGCGCATCATGGCAGCAGTGTTTACTTTGCAAAGAGAGTTCCACGTCTAACAGTTGAGTGCCGCACGAAACCTTTTGAGATTCTGCTGCTTTGTGCTACTTATAAGTTACAGTTCCCGGACTTTCCCACACCTCGATTGTGACTTTTCTGGTGCCGATTGTCCTAACCGGAGGCTTTGCCCCGGAGTATGGGAAGCTTGAGGGGCGGTCGAAGTCTTATCGCGAAATTATCTTGGCCATATTCGGGAGGCCAAGGCGCCAAAGGATTTTATTGCTGATAGGCAGTCAAGCTCTGGCAGCGACTTTGGCAGTTTCTCACCTGACTCTCGAGGCGACTACATATCCGAACGGGCTTCGGGATTTGCCGACAGAGGGCAGATGGAGGCAATCCTCGCGTGATCAAGCTGATAGCCTTGACTAGACTCGAGCTAGAACGGGAAATTGCATCCCATATTTCACTAAAAATACCTCGGCGACTCATCTTCTCTCAAGTCGGTGAAGGATTGGCGGGCCCGGGAGTCCGGCAACGAAAGTGAGGGATAAAAGTGACGATAAGCCCTGGACCATGGACCCGGGTTCACTATTTTGGACCCACCCGCCACAACCCAATCAACTTAACCAGCTTTGACAACCTGCTGATAAGGCTGTCACCAGTGGGGTTGAACTGCCAGTTAGTGGGTTGAGAAGTCAGATAGCGCTTGGTTCAAGGTTGGGGTTCTCTGAGCTCTAAGGCGGAACGGCAATAGCTCAACTTTCCCTCATGCTCGAGAGTTATACTACGACTGCGGTAAATTTGGTATGAGATACTATATTTTCCCGCAAAATGCGACATGGGCTCAGCCATCGTGTCCGTCCACCTAGTCAGCCCGTCCTTCAATAACTCTGGCGAATGAAGAGCGATCCATGGAGAGGAAGCTTATGCGTTAATACAATCGCAACCTGGTACTTAACCTCCATAGAGTTATTTTGTTTCCGCAATACTAGTCAGTTCGTGTTCAGGTAGATTAGTAACGTTTCAATCTAACTGACAAATTTATAAGCGATGCATACGCGCCGACCGGTTGACGTATTAACGTTAAGGCTCTGTCTTTCCGAAGGTCCATCATTACCTAGCTATCTAGGGTTTAGGTCATGTTGTCGAGCACCTGACCATGGAAGGTTCAACGTTCTAAGGGCAATACCTCAAGGCGGATTAAGCACACTTAGCAGCTCTAACTAACGACTCTGCATATCATTAGTATCTGACGATGTTAACCTAATAGAAAAACATGACGCAGTTGCCAGACATATGACCACGACGACAGCTGGTGAGGCATGCAAGTTGGCCGGCGAAACGGATGTATGGACCGCAGAAGTATCTCATGAATATTCAAACTAAAGGGGCCCATATATATGACAGGTTAGGACTGATGTGACTTTGCAATCCATTTCGGGCTAGAGATATAGACATGGTGGAGTAGGTTCTGTGGTCCATCACGAGCACTCAATTGTCCAGCTCTTCTTTCCACATCCAGTGCTCGGATCACTGCGCTAGATACCCTATCAAATGAAGCTTGCCAAGAGATGGCTGTCGCCAACCAGAACACCCATCGCACGGGCTGGGCTTTCCACCCCTCCCTGAAGAAATGTGGTTGCCTAAATAAAAGCTGATACGAATTAATACGGTGATCCGTGTAATTTCAAAGAGTTGCTAGCGGATGGAGATCCCGAGAATTGTCATGTTTAGGTCCATAATGGATAATAACAGGCAGTCTATCAAAGTCATTAGCTTAATCATATTGGCATCTTCGCCCCTTCTTGCGGACTATTCTTTAGTCCTGGCTTTTTACTATAGAAAACCTACACTTGCCAATGTGCCTGTGACGCGATGAAGGTTTGCATGTTGCGACCACTGTCCGGCGTTGCCCGCTGGCCTATGTTGCTTCTCAGAGCTCCTCCCCACTCAAGGTTGTTGGTCATACAACCTCGTGCTAACGTGCTAACGTGACGCAACAACTTGCTAGCTGGATCTCGTCTTATTCCTCCACCTTCAATTTGAGCGGTTCGCCATAGATAGATCCTTGCTTCTAGGCTTTCGAAAGAGCAGGTTGGAATAGTTGGTCTTGAATTCAAGGCCCCGCAATGAAGATTTTCTCTACAAGTAAATAAATTCTCCCCAATTTAAAGTTGTAGAAGTACCGAGAGACGCGCCCAGACTACTCAGTGCGGGGTTGCGTGTCAGACGGCCTCCAGGAAGCCGATGCCCATCCTAAGTTCGGCTATATTAAGCCACATCCGTTCACTGCATCACTTCGTTCGGCTCTTCACCCGAACATGAATGATAACCTACATACGCAGCAACATCTTATAAAATATTAAAACATGTCCTCTAATACCGAATCCTGGCAAGCGAAGGCGCAACGCAAGCGTGACCAGATTCTTCAGGGCATCCCGGAACAGTGGAGGTTGAGCCGCGCCGACCTGGACCGAGCCGCCTTGCAGAGCGACCTCACGGGCTCCTTTATTCAGAGTTTCCTGGACCAGGAAACCATTGAGATAACTTCGTTGGAAACTAATGAGATCGTCCGTTCCCTGCAGGATAGGACCTTGTCGGCACTGCAAGTGACAACGGCCTTTTGTCAGGCAGCTTCCGTTGCACACCAGATTGTGAGACCCGCGGTTTTGGCGAATAGCCCAGCAAGCGGGGCCTCTATACTAACGCTTCTAGAACCCTTGTCTGCATGAACTCTTCATCGAATACGCACTAGACCGTGCTAAGGAGCTCGATGCCTTCTTTGAAAAACACGGCAAACCGACGGGGGCACTTCACGGCCTGCCCATTAGCCTCAAGGATCAATTCCATGTTGGCGACTTTGATACAACGATGGCTTACGTTGGGTGGATAGATGGCAAGCTCGGGATCGATAAAGAGAAAAGCCCTGTGTTCGAAAGTGATCTGGTTAAGGAGCTGAGATCACTAGGTGCAGTATTCTACTGCAAGACTGCTCTACCTCAAACTGTCCTGGTCGGTTTCCCCTACGGACACCTCAACGGCAGGAGCCAGGGTCTAACATTTATTTCACTACTAGCTTGGAGAAACAATCAACAACATCATTGGCGTCACGAAGAATCCGAGAAACACAGCCTTGTCGTGTGGGGGCTCGTCTGGCGGGGAGGGTGCCCTGCTGGCACTTCGAGCAAGTCCAGCCGGATTTGGCACGGATATCGGTTAGTCTATCAAATCTCTTCATTTGCCAGATTCCACTTTTATTTTCCCTCTTTACAACAGTTATTTATAGCTACATACACTAATAAGATGTTTGAAATTATCCTTGCGCTTCAGCTGGCTCCGTTCGAATCCCGGCATCGTTTTGTGGTGTTTTCGCCATCAAGCCTACCCCGGAACGACTACCATACAGGGGTTTAGCGAATACTGTATGTAACCATCATATCTCGCTTGCTGTGGCTTTTCATTATCGCTATATTAATTATTTGGCTCGGTTATCCCCATCTCCCTAGAATCCGGGGCAGAATACTTACCGCTCTGCTGTCGGACTCATGGGCACATCTCTCCAAGGCCTTGAACTCGTGTTCCGTTCTGTGCTGTCTACGAAGCCCTGGCTCAGCGACCCAGCTGTTGTCCCGATCCCATGGCGAACCGAAGAGCTCGAAAGCATCCGCTCCCGTGTTAATGCAAAAGGACAATCCGCTGGTCGACCCTTAAAGTTCGGGTTCTTCTGGAGGAATAGCACGCTAGAACCCCACCCTCCCGTACGTCGGGGCCTTAAGATCGTTGCAGAGGCTCTCCAGAGAGCTGGTCATATCATCGTCGACTGGAACCCGCCAGACCACAAGGTGGCTGAACACATACACGCACAATTCCTTTATGCGGATGGCGCACACGACGTACAAGCCCATATTAGCCGGTCCGGGGAACCTATTATCCCGAATCTGAAAAGCCGCTTCGGCCTCCGAGAGCCGATGCCGCTTCTACAATACCAAGACCTTACAATGCAGGGTCTCGACTTCGAAAATCGATATGCAGATTACTGGAATTCTACCGGCACCGAGGACGGTACGGACTAGCTGGGATGTAGACGAAGACGAAATGCAATCATATCACTAACACTTGCTTAGGACATGCTGTCGACGCGTTCATCATGGCACCTGCGCCGCATGCAGCCGTCATTCCAGGGAAATATCTAACACCTGGTACATACTCTTCCTATCCATCTTCTTGTAGGAAAAATAAAAGATTAACTATGGCTCTTTCTGTCTAGGGTACACGGAGGTGATAAATCTGCTCAACTACAGCGCCGTAGCGCTCCCCGTCACGAGAGCGGACAAGGCTCTTGATGTCGTAGACACGGACTACATACCATCCGAAGGGCTAGACAAGAGAAACTGGGATGCATGTGAGTTCATTTGACGAGGATTCTCTATACAGAAATGCGCCGATTGGAGATTCTCACAAACAAGCTAGATGAGCCTGATATATATCACGGCGCGCCAGTAGGCGTGCAAGTAGTGGCCAGGAAATTCGAAGAGGAGAAAGCACTTGCAATTGCCGAAGTGGTTCAGGCCGCCATCCGAGCTGCTCAGACTTAGGTAGGATTAATCGCCTCTTTGGCCACGCAGGCCAACCTTTGTAACGTCGTATAGCAGCGAGGTGCGAGTATTCAACACGCAGGGTCGAAGGGTCCTTCGGTGGCCAGGAACACTTTGAAATGTTATCAATACTATGCTCCTATGATCTGCAGGATATAAAATAGCCTATATCCTTTGGTCCCGCAGTAGGTATACGTATGATAAGCACTGAGCGATAGTGTGCGCACATTTTGATTCACCACACTGAATTAAAGATCTGCTTCCACGGCCGACTGCTCTTTGGCCATGTCTCTCTGCGTCCACTCCTTTTTATACATCCAGGTGAAGCCCAAACACTCTCCTGGAGCGCCGCCCCAAAATCCCGTGATTCCTAGAGGCGTCAACCATCCCGTGTTCTCCCACTGGTGGCCGCCATAATAATCCTTGCTCAGCGCTATGTAACCCGTTACTCGGGATAAGTATCCGTGAAGCCGAAACATTGCAATTCCATCGACGCACTCCTCCGCCGTCAGGAGCAATTTGGTGTCGTCTTCGGGATGTTGTGCTGTTGAGAAGTGAATGTTCCGAAGAGGCGGATCCACGTGGCTGGCATTACTCATACCATAGGTGTAATAGCCAATCCATTCTCCGCGGTCGATTTCGTCAATGAGAGTATTAACAGTACAACGAAGCCACGATTGCCACGAAGGCGCGTGATTGAAAGCTCTCATCGAGGTGACCAGTGCCGACAGACTACCAGAGCCTTCGGTCGGCGGTTCATCCCGCGACGTCTCTCGTTCCCCCATTTGGTAAACACTTTGGTAATGGGATTGCTGGCACCTCCCCTTACTGCCAGTAGCATACGCAGCTCTCAACAATGGGAGAGCTGGGAGATAAGGTATGTCAACCTTTTGACCAACGGCGTGATGTGAGTTGAGCAACCATGGCATGCAGGCAGAGGCTAGGAAGCCCGTGGCTTGGGAGTCCAGAAAGTCTTGATCGTGACCCTGAATCATAAACCCCGCCGTTCGAACAGACAAGAGCCGCATGTTGTTCAATACGTGATTTCCCAAAGTACCGGTTGCGAGGCAAAAGTCAGTTGCGAGAACCTCAGCGGCTCCAACTGGACCTTGGCTTGCCAAAACCTTTGGTCAACTAAGTGAGCTAGGAACCCGGAGAGGGCTGCGGCAACAGCGAAGTTGTTGATTGTATGGTCTACGTAAAACGAGTTGTTGGCGTCACTGAATACGAGAAAAGAAGGTAGTCTTGGATATTATCTTACAACCAAGGACCGCGAGTGTGCTGAGTGTCGCGGAGAGGGTCGTCACACGCTCCGTTAGCAACTCCGGCCACGGCAACTCGGATTCCCAGGGAACCGATTGATACGATTCGAGGATTTCCTCAAGCTCGTCGATAATTAGAGGTAACCGCGATACTGCTGATGATAGGCGAGCCCATACAGCTGTTCTACTCACTACCTCATCAGTCCTGAGTGCCTGGCGTATGAGGTCTCGCAGTGCATTCTTCTTAGCAACGCTATCGGACGTTTCTTCGTTTGACTAGGCACGGTTAGTAAACTACCCGCCTTAGTATTAGAACTGACTCTGATATACATGTCGAAAAACACTCTTGGAACACAAAAGCATTGTGACAAGAGTCATATAGAAAGCGGCAGGTGGTGTTGAGGTGTAGGATGTCGCGGGGTTCACAGAGGGTAGCAATCTTTTGCAAAACCTCCACGGGAAGGCGGGTTATATGCCCTTGCATTTCAGATGGCCCTTATCTCGTTCGTATTATACCTAGAGGTACGTGTGATCTTGAAGCAATTCGTTGGAGTCACGATGGAAATGTGATCGTCGGCCTGGGAAGAGGTGTGGGGGACTACGTGAGGGATATGTTAACTCGCACTGTAGCTGTTGCCTAATGCTGACGGGCCGGCGAATAATCCTGGATGTCTGTTTTATTTAAGCCGCCAACCTTTGACCACGGCTTCGCGCTGTCAAGAGTAGCAGCCCACAATTTGATCCATGCGAAATGGAGTTGTGGAGAGTCTACGAACACAAGCCAGCCGCGTGTGCTTCTAAGTCTAGACTTGTCTATTATGATGCATTTGAAACATTCTAGTTCATTTTCTCTTGCCGACCGCGATGTTCAGCACATCCCGCTAATCGAAGACTAGGGTTGCTCGAGCCAGAACATTGGAGCAAGCCTCATTGAATAGTGATGATCCATCCTAGTGATCCTTAATTTTTCACGGGTTTCAAATCAGTGTGAAGTAGCCACCTCGCATGAGTTACCCTAACGGTTTCTGCCTCCCAATTTAAGTTGAGTATGGCTGCCTTGTACATGTCTGACGACGCGGCCTCGTAGGATTGAGCTGCCATATGATTGTGTATGCTATCCTCCACGCATGCTATCCTCCACATATATATTCTAGAATGGAAGAAGTGAGTACCCTCTTATATGTGTTCTCATGTTAACCCGGCGAGTAGCCCCTCGGCTAATGCTAAGATGCCCACAGCACCTGGATCGGGAACTTGCTCCCAACCGACTTCATTTACGTAGACCGCTCGACCGAATGCCGGCTTCATTCCTTTTGTCCTCCTCATACCTTGACGACAGGCCTCTACTGCCCCCTCCAAGCCGCCACTCAGCGCTTCTACGAATGGTTCAAGGGCGTCCATCAAAGTCCTATCCCCAGATCGTGCAGGTGTGACAGCTTGTAGAGATTTCAACGCACCTGCTGCTGCGATGGACCAGTCCAAGGGTGCCATGATTCCTTCACTGTCGTTATCACGGAGGTGCAGAGCAAGTCCATTGAAAAATAGTCCATAGATAGCGCCTGAAGTTCCGTCCATATTCTCTTCGATGGCGTGGGCGATTTGCAGTAAATGGTGCATTGCCCGATCACTCATGATTTCGTTCTTTCGATATAGGCTTAAGACTGCCTCGCAGCCCCTAGAAAGGGTAATTCCGCAATCGCCATCACCTACAATTGTATCGTATCGAGTTATGTCTGGAACAGCCCGAAGAGCTGCCTCGCAAGCGCCAGTGATGGCTAATTTGATCGATTCGGCATCGACTATTCTCGCCTGTTAGAGAGAGCAAACATTGTTCGTTAGCTGGTGTCAATATACCTTTGGGCCCCGTGAGCATGCCCATCGAGTTATCTTGACCGTTCGTTTCAATGATTTTGGAGAGAACTGAGCTGGGGTCTGGAGCAGCCGAGAGTGTATTAACCCAGCCTGGCGCCAAGGTAGGCGCATCCAGATAGGTAAGCATCTCCATATCTGCATTGAGAAGGGTGATGCTGAACCCCGGACCATTGAGGCTTGTCATATAGGTACCGCTGTATATGCGCTTGGGCTGAAATCCGAGTTTTCCTAGTATAGTCAATAAACACGACACCACTATAGGTAATTTATAACGTACTAAGTTGTCTCAAGACGATTGTAGTAATTGCGGATACTTCTAGGACCGACAGTGACCCCAAGTTGTTTACTAGGAGAACAACATCCGATTTTTCGCTAAACGTGACATAGTTTCGCTCTTCGTCGCTGCTGTCCAGAATGTACGCTAACATAGAGTCTACTAGCTTTGGAAGGGTTGGCTGCGGGCTCAACACCAAAGCTCCTGGTTCATTGTGGATTCCCATCCCGAGTTCTATTTTCCCTTGCGGCAAGAATAGCTCAGGTTCGAAAGGCTGTCCCGGGATATGAACACGGTCCAGTGAGGCTGCCACGGTTGCCATTCCAGAGTTGACGCTACTGGCCATGGCTAGGCATTGCTCCAATTGCTTACCCATAGAAACCATGGCCCCGATTATCTTGTGCATGAGAACTGTGCCCGCCAGACCGCGACGGCCAACTTTGCCAACTTTGCTCCGGCCTAGCGAGGCGTCATCCGCCACGACAACTATTTCGACTCGTAGCCCATTCTCGGCCCGTAATTTCTGCGTGGCTTGCTGGAAGTGAAAAATGTCGCCAGTATAGTTTTTGAGGATAACCAGTGTACCATGGGGCCCGGTGACATTTCGAATGCAGCGAGATATCTGCGGGACACTAGGGGATGCGAAGATATTTCCTAAGACGGCGGCACTGAGCATACCCGGCCCGACGTACATGCTATGGGCCGGCTCATGGCCAGCTCCGCCACCGGAAACCAGGCTTAAACTCTTAAATGGGTTGTGCAGCAAAGAGTAGATGGCTGCAAAACTCAAGTCAGCTACTCCGTATGCCTTCAAGTCAGTCTAGGTGGTGACGCTACATGGCTCACTTTTGTTTGCCTTGTCTAGAACAAGTCCGGAGTGCTGGGACACCAAACTTTGGAGCGCGTCAACGACGAGTTCAGAGTGGTTTCCATCATCTACAAAATGCTTTCCTGCCATGGTGAGAATTTCGCGAGTGCTTCGTTTGTAACAACACCCTTCAACTTATTGACCATACCCCTGGAGTTACTCCGTGGGTATTAATGTCCTATTGCCTTCACGCTAGTGATAAGTCGCCAAGTACCTCCGGGCCCTGCTTGCTCGTCGATACCGACGGCAAGTCGGCCTTGTCGGAAAATTCGGAAATGCCGGAAATGCCTCGGCGCTTTTTTGCTCGCTCGGTCGGAAATGGATGTCGGACAGGCGCCCTCTGTCCACGTCGGAGATTGCCATTGCGGAGGGACTGACTTGCTATAATGGGCGAGGAGTTTTAATGACAAAGTTATAATATTAAGGAAGCGGAGTGGGAAGTTCCCTACTCTAAGTCATCAGACCATTGAAGTAACTCATTCTTCCTAGTCATTCAAAATATTCACCATGGTGTACCCGGAAGACAACCGTACTTGGAAAATCATCCATGATGCTCGCAAGGGTGGTTATGCTGTGGGAGGATTCTGCGTGTAAGACAACGCATCTCACCCACTCTCTGCATGATTTAGCAAATCACTAATTGAATCTTAATAATCTCCTGTATGAAGGTACAATACGGAAGGTGTTCTCGCTGTCATCAAGGCTGCCGAAAGGTGCCGGTCACCCGCGTTGATACAATTTTTCCCTGGACAATGCATTTCCAAGGTCCTGCGTTCATCAGGTATGCGGCGGACGTGGCTCATCAAGCCTCGGTCCCCATCTCGATTCACCTTGACCATTGCCTGAAGCCCGAAGATGCCGACTTGGCACTTGAGTGTGCATTTGACTCTATCATGGTTGATGGGTCTTTGTTCGAAGAGCAAGAGAACATTAGATATGTCAAATCGGTGGTGGACAGGGCGAAGGCGAAGGGCATCACGGTCGAGGCCGAATTGGGGCGGATGGAGGGTGGAGAGGATGGCCTTCCGACTATTGATCTTGAGAGCGTGTGGACTGATCCCGATGTCGCGGCGGACTTCGTCCGGCAGACCGGAGTGCATTTCCTCGCTCCCAGCTTTGGCAATGTCCATGGCCCATATCCCTCAGGCGGTGCCGAAAAACATTGGCAAATAGAGAGGTAAGATCTTGGATGTGATGCTGAATTCCAGAGAGATGTGTCGGTGTGTTACTAACCCAGTGGAATCTCTAGGCTAGAAAAATATATTCTGCGTTGGGCGAGAAGACGCCTCTGGTTCTCCACGGGACTCACCCTCTGGCGGATGAAATGGTAGCCAGAGCCATGGCTCGTGGCATGGTGAAAATTAATCAAAACCGCAATGTGCGCGATGGCTACCATGCCTACATACGAGAACACTGTGCAAAGACCGAGCTCACTACCTTGCAAGAACAAGGAGTTGAAGAATATTCTAAAGGGGTCGAGCGGCTCATGGTTGAGGTGCTACAGTCAGCTGGAAAGGCTTGAGGTTAGGTAGAAAATTGTCCCACAGTGCTGTACAAAAGTGGTTCTTGTTCTTGCCACTAGTAAATGTCGACTCGACCTCCACGAGTTGGGCCTAGTTTAGATCATTAAATCCGACTGTTTCTAAGGACAGTCACGTGTATTTTAGCGATTCAAGTTGAGGACTGGAGACACCGAAAATCCCCATTTCAACGTCATTGGAATTTCCGACACAGCCAGGAACAGAAGTTCTAGATTTCCTGACTGCGCCCAGTCACAGCGAATCGAATGCGGATCGGAAATTTGATCCAATTCTCGATCTGCCGTTTCATGCATGAACGCCCCCTCCTTCACCCACCACAGTATAATGTCCGCGTCCGATTTACCGACCAGAAAAAGATATGTGACGAGGTTCGTCCCTTGCCCGCTCCACCTTCCCCTCTCATTCATAGGCTTAGTTTCTGTGTTGACCGAGCATGTTAGGGCATGTGACGCTTGCAAGAAACGCAAGTCTAAATGCGATGGCTTTGAGCCCTGCTCTCGTTGTTTAAATTCCGACATCGGTGAGTTTCGGAACACTCAGTGAACCAAGAGCTTCGCCCTAACCGCCGGCTTCAGTGTGCGCCTACAACTCCTCATACAACCGAGGCCCACGGCGGAGTGCAGGAGTGTGTTTTGTACCTTTACCTTCGCCAGGCCTATCTTAGCTAAGCTACGCAGGTAACTTCTCGCAACGCCCCTCGAACACGCTCTCGCGAGGCCGGTTGTCAAGATGATATCCCTTCGCCTAAGGACGCCACGGTAACAGATCACGGGAGGCCTACCTTACCGGACACTGAAGCCGTGGAGGAAAGAATAGATGATGATTCAGGTACGTCGTAACAGTAGGGCTGTTTCCCCTTTTTCTTGTTCTAGTACTGCTATATATAGTTTACCATGTGCTGATACCAAGTAATCAAGGCGATCCAAGCGTGCATGGCTTCTTACGTCGAGTTTCGAGTCATCTTGCGAGGGTTGGCCAGGGCCTCCCACGGAACCTGTTTAATAGAGAACAGGACGCCCTCAAGGCAGGCGAGCAAATAACAACCTTTGTCCTTCCTGAAAATCTACTGCACAGAGCTATATCAATTGCTTCTTTGAACATGCTAATGTCACCTATCGCTATGTTCCTCGTACCGATATCATTGAGCTATTTGACTTGGTTTACGCCGATGGAGATACAATGCCGGAGGATCCGACGAAAATGGCCATGCTTCTCCTCGTCATGGGATTAGGGTATGACTATTTTCTTTTCCCCTCGGCACTCTTGTGCCAAATAAATGGAACGATGTTTATTGACGCCTCCCTCATAGTTGTATATGGATGGCGTCATGGAAGAATGAGCCACTCACACCTTGGAGGACTAAAGCGTATGGTTCTACCAAATACCTTCATGGAATGCGGAACGGCACGTTTCTTACTATATAGTAGGCTGAAATACCTTAAAGCGGCAGAAGCCAGACTTGAGTTGACTCAAGGATCATTTCCACCCAGCTTATCGCTTGTCCAGGCACAAGTACTGAAGGTGATTAATATCCTCTCGTCGATGCAGCCACTTCCATGCCTCTCTAACCCGACCAGTGCCAATTGGAACTGGGCTCAAGTCGTTTTAATAGTGCGTGGTTGACCCTTGGATATGCGGTGCGCTTAGGACAAATGGTAGATATTCAGCGGGAGCAGGCATCATGTGATCGAATCGAAGCGCACTATCGGCGATGCGTGTTCTGGGCCATGTTCATGATTGATCGGTACATCTCAGTGTCTCTTGGAAGACCCATGGCCATCAATGAGAGAGATTCGAATATCATACTTTCAGCGGAGCTCGACTCTGATGTGGCCTCACAGATCGGCCAGCACGAGAAGAAGCTGCTCGTAGGGGTTGTGGCGCACACCCGGTATGTTTACGCACAACTCTTTTGATTAGACAGTGATTCCTAACTCTTTCAAGCCTCACGAGAATAATTGGACACGCGATAGCTCGGCTTTACCCTGGCGCTAGAAATGGTAAAGTGTCAGCGGGGCATACCTTTACCGATATTGTTGCGGAGTTAGAAGCAGAGATTCAGGACTGGCTAAGAGACACGCCAGACTTTTTCATCCAACATCGCGAACCAAGGTATCATCCTCGACTGACTTTTTGACGTTCCCTGGATCTTTAAACGTCAACAGCGCACTGTTCAGGCATCATTCTTCTTTGCGAACATGCTCATCTACCGCGGTTACTTGCTTCAAGATTTTCTAAATCAGATGCCCAGCACCCCAAGATCCGTCCCACCTTCTGACCGTGTAAGGGCATGCGTAGACAACGCATTGTCCATGGTTATTTTAGCCGCTGAGTGGGGCGGCGATGAATGTAGATACAACGCGACATTTTGGGCAAGTTACCTCGAGCCACAACTTTCCGTCCTGAGTGCTGATAATAGACGTCGCCGATCATAGGCTACTGCGCATTTCTTATTCTGCGCGATTTCAGTTCTCCTTGTTTACTTAACTCTATATCAGGAATCAGATGACCGTGCTAGCATCGAGGCTGCGGTGGAAGAGGCGATGAAAGTCCACCGCAGACTCGACTACAATGTCAATATTAACGCTCAGAGGTTACTTGAGGTAGTCTAAGGCTCCAACCCGCCGGTGAAAATCATAGCTAACCAGCTGCCTATAGGAGTCTCAAACGAGGGCCCAGATCGTTCGAAATATGACATCCCCCTGTTCAGATCGCCGTGCTAGTGGCACCCTTCAAAGGACAGACAGTGATCTCCAACAATCCTTTCTGGACCTATCAAGACCCACGGCTAGCGGACATATAATAGGCAACCTTCATTCCCGGACCTCGGAAGCATGGTTCGATACGAATCAGCTGCCTAGCGGACACAATGGCGTAGATTTGTTCCCAAATATGGTACGATAGTGGCATCCGTATTGTACCAGCACATGCTAACTTGAATAAGGAGCATACGATGGAGACTTTTGGAAATGTGACAGATCTTGATATGATTATGGATATTGGGTTTGATAACGCTATATTTACGGGGAAATATACGCTAGAAGAGAGTCAGGGGTTTTAGTACGAGGGAGGCAGAGTGAAAACATCTAATACAAACTCTTTTGTTACACATCCAACAGCGTATAAATGTCAATATCATGGATTCTAAGATCGATATGCTAATTTTATACCGGCGGTCTATTTAGCTATTCTGATTCCGCTAATAGTATTCCCTCGTGGCCACAGTTGTTATAGTATTAGGCTTCTTCAGATCCTGGTTATGGTACCACTCGACAACTACGCTTTCCAAACATTTCCATGACGCCGTCTGTTGAAATTCTACGGAGCCCTAAATATATAGTGTGTAGGCTTATTGTTTCAACATGAACTGACGAGGTAATTATGGACTAATTATTGGTCTTGCCCACTCATGGGGACGTGGCTTCAAGTTATAGACCGCTGGCTTTCGAGGCATAGTTAGGCGAAGAAGACAAGATAGCAAAGCGTCCTAACGAGGAGGTATAGAGCCAAGTAACTTAATTGATAATATTTTGGCATCGATTAATACGTGATCTGAACCTAGTATCCTTCAGTCCTAAATTGCCTTGTTAGCCAGTCGAGGAGGTGATGCCACCATCGACCACGATCTTTGTCCCGTGATATACCGGCTCTGTTGTGAGGCCAAGAAAACAGCAGTCATGGCAACATCAAAGCTGTCGCCCATCTTGCCCATCGGTACCGCCTTGTTACGCTTTGCAATGAAGCCACTAAGGTCACCACCGGCGTACTTGTCTGCCAGCATGCCGACGAGAGGTGTGTGCATCAAACCCGGTACAACGACATTCAGTCGTATATTCTTTGGGGCGTAAATGACAGCCGTAGCTTTTGTGAACTGGATTACAGCGGCTTTGGTCGCGGCATATGCGACCTGCGGCTTTCCGATATAGCGAAGTCCAGCAATGGATGCAATATTAACCACAACCCCATGGCCCTGCTCTTCCATAAGAGGCAAAATAAAGTGGCAGCAAAGATAAACAGATTTGAGATTTACGCTACTTTGCGCATCCCAGACCGCCTCTACCATTTCAGCAGGGCCACCGGGTTCAGAACGACCGACGTTGCTAGATCACAACTTAGCTTATGAGTTGATAGGAGACTTAGCATCACACTTACTTGACTAAGATATCAATGCGACCGTACTTGGCAATGCAAGCATCTACGGCAGCTTTGACGCTTCCGCTGTTGGTAACGTCTGCAGCAACAACGGTGATGTCACCACCCTCTGCAGCAATACGTTTCTGAGTATGTTGTGCAGACTCTAGGTACAAATCACAACCAAAAATCTTCGCTCCCTGTTGAGAGAGGATTCTTGCCGTAGCTGCGCCATTCCCCCACATATTCTGGTCACCAGTCTGGCCAATACCAGTTACTACATCCAGATTGTATGAGTTTCCGGACACTTATTGAAGGTATAAAGCCGAACGGAACTTACAAAAACAACCTTGTCTTTTAAGTCGGGGTAAGAGGCTATAGGTGGCTGCCCTTCAATGGGGCTAGTACCATTGGCGCTGCCGTTACGCACGCCATTGTGGGCCGGCGAGTCTGAGATTGCAGTCATCGTGTAAGACTTTTGGAGACGGTGGAAGCTGAAAGGCTAGTGATAAGTGCTCTGTAGTTCTTAAACCGCCGCAATAGCTATGTAGGAATGAAGTGTTCCTGGGTAGATATGCAGGTGCAGAAAACCAACGCCTGGGAGCATATTTATGAGGCGACGGAGAAATAGTAGACGAAATGCCATGTTTCGCGCCCGCTATCTTAGACACCTAGTTGCGACCACTGTATATGCCTTCTCCGAGCACGAGCGGAGAGTTAGTGTCGGAAAAGACATGGTCGGAAAATGCTGTCGACAACGATAGATCGGAAATTCGGTCGGAATCCTGTGCCGTATCGGGAATTTAGACTCAGACCACTCCTGCGTCTTTCACAGCGCACCTTGCCCATTGTGGTGGTTGGAGCGGAGAGAACCCCACCTAGAAATGTGTTCGCGCTAGGAAGAGGAGGGTCGTCGTCAATCTTCGGTGAAAACATATTGTTATTGCCACATTTTCTTCATTTACACTCTGTCCTACAGCGTGGTCACACCCCGCGGGGATTCACAAGTTCCCCATGGGGAAGAAACTAACAACGATGACCAAGAAGCCCGGATCAGGCCCAGCTTCTCTCAAGTTATACCAGCTCCCGGTATCATCTTGTCGCATATAAAAATATATAAACTCGACGTTAGTGTCCTGTTCATCATCCCACCTGCCCTGCGATATGCGCGCTTCGATCTCAGTTGATCCACCTATCTAGAAATCAAATCTTGAAGTTAAGACGAGTACTATCAACAATGGCTCTTCATAGGCGTGAGGTTTCCCCACGCGTCAGTGGTGGTTCAGCCCGTCCTTCTGATAAGGAGAGAGCCGCCTCCCATACCGAAATCACCGACGACCTCACAGCCGAGGATCGCACCTTCCTCGACAATTTCACCGAGGAGCAGAGGAAGAAGGTCCTCTGGAAGGTATGTAGGAGTGGAAATATATGTAAATACGGCGCTAACTTTCTTATCGTGTAGCTTGATATACGCCTTATTCCAATGCTCGCGACCCTCTACCTGATTGCTTTTCTCGACCGTGCTAACATTGGTAAAATGTCATTCTAATCTTTAAGCGTTCAGTTTTAAGTCATAGCTAACCTAATTGATCTTGTTTAGGAAATGCTAAGATTGAGGGCATGGCGGAAGATCTCAACCTGACAGGCAAGGAATACAACATTGCGCTTTCTATCTTCTTCGTTCCCTATATCCTTTTCGGTATCGTATAATCTATTAGCTGGAAGTCCTATAATCGACCCCTCAGGACTAACTTAATATGATAGAGGTGCCCAGCAACATGCTCCTGTTAAAGTTTCAGAGACCCTCGACATATCTTGGCATCCTCGTCACTACCTGGGGGTTGTTATCACCCTGACTGGCCTTGTTCAAAATTTAGGAGGATTGATTGCATGCCGCGTATTCCTTGGCATCTTTGAGTAGGCCTATCTTTACATCCGGTCGTTACTGCCGACTATTGGGCATAACTAGGAGCCTAACAGATATCCACAGGTCGGGGTTCTTCCCCGGTGCCGTATTTACCATCTCGAGATGGTACCTTCCCCACGAAGCACAGGTCCGAATCGCCTTATTCTACTCAGCCAGCGCTATGGCGGGCGCATTCTCCGGCCTCCTAGCCTTTGCCATCGCCAAATTAGATGGAGTCGCCGGAATCGCTGGTTGGCGATGGATCTTCATTCTCGAGGGCATCGTGTCCGTGGTAGGCGGCCTAACCACATTTTTCCTCCTCGTTGACACGCCCGCACTTTCTAGTCGGTGGCTCTCAGAGGACGAACGAAAATACCTCGAGATTCGCCAGCTCGCTGTTCAAGGAAACACCATGCGCGTCAGAGAAGCGGAGAAATCTCGAAAGTGGCAGATATTGCGCTCCGTATTTCTCGACTGGCAACTTTACCTCCAGGCGCTCGTATATTGGTCAAACACTGTGCCCAATTACGGTATGAAATTCACGATGCCTCAAATTATCAAGAACATGGGTTATAGCAACAGCGACGCCCAACTACTTACCATTCCACCATATGTTCTCGGCGCAATTTCCGCTTACGTATCCGCCATTTTTCTGACAAGTTCAAGTGGAGGATGCCATTTATAGTAGGTGCCCAGCTACTTGTCGTCATCTCCTTTGCAATCCTATTTGCGAAGGCGGACAAGATCAAGGATAACATTGCTCTCTGCTACTTTGCCATCTTCCTCGCCAGTGTTGGCTTCTACCCCATTAATCCGGGTGGAAACGCATGGACAGTCAATAACCTAGCAGGTCCAACTAAGCGAGCTCAAGGAATAGCCTACATGATCTGTATGGGAAGCGTCGGTGGGATTATTGGCAGCTACATATACATTGAGGATGAAAAGCCCAAGTACCCCACGGGATTTGGCGCGTCTTTTGCATTCGCGGGACTTGGCGTAGTGGCCTGCCTTGTCCTTGAATTTCTGTTCTGGAGAATCAACAAGGCGAGAGACCAGCTTTCAGAAGAACAAGTTAGGGCTAAATATAGCCAGGAGGAGCTGGAGAAACTAGGTGATAGGTCACCACTTTTCCGCTATACGCTGTAAAGATGTTTTATCACCATCGAGGGCATGATCTAAGGGTTGGAATGTTAGATATTAGATATATGTAGACTCTATCTAGCAATCTAAATCTAATTCTATCCGCTTTACTTCTACAAGGGTGTGATGCTGATCTCTTATCTGATATCAAGATCATTTCTAGTGTAGAGGAGGACTTAGCACTGACATTAACTAATACTAAAACATGAGAGTGACTTCTATCAGGGTTACACTTTTATTAATCTACCACTCGCTTTGTGCTCGCCTATGAATATCTTGAGTCTTACCATCCGCCCCTAACCTAGACGATAAATATAGTCGATATACTATGTAAAGTAACATTGAAGGGCTCCTCTAGTTAGTGAACTTGTAAATTCTTACTTTTTTACTTCTTACTATATCACTTCAATTATAATGCTAGTTGCAAGGCAAACTAGGAGTGTCCAGCTGTGAAGAGAGGTTTAGAACTAGAAGTCCAAATAAAAGAAGCTATTCCTATCTTGTCTTAACTAAATGAGAAGGAATAAAAGAAGAAAATAGTAAGAATTCAATTTAACCCCTTTATCGGGTGACGCCGATATACATCTTCGTTTGCCATCATGTCCAAGGCTCAGGCCACTACATCTATGGTCCAAAACCTTGGCCTCTTACCTATATCAGTTCTGGCCGGTGGTAATTGTCTTGAGGCCCCGCCGAGAGAACTATTTAAGAGGCGGAGGGGTTGCCGTTAAAGGCGAGGTAGTTGACAGTACCGCTAGGAATGCTGGTGAGGACGTTCTTATTAGAGGTGCTAGCGATGTAAGAGCAGAGCTCAGCAGGAGTCTTCTTGCCGAGGAAGGCAAGTAGGTAGGCACCGAGACCAGCGATATGGGGAGAAGCCATGGAAGTGCCGGAAATAGTGTTCTGAAATAGTAGGTGGTTAGTATCGGAATTCTGAAGGAAAAGGGAGGTGCATGGCTTACGGTAGCGCTAGTGCCGCCAATCCAAGTGGAGAGAATGGAAGTACCAGGCGCGAAGATGTCGACGACAGAACCGTAGTTAGAAAAGCTAGAGCGTACATCGCCAGATGTGGTAGCGCCCACAGTGCAGACAGTGGGCTCGGAAGCAGGGGAGTAGTTGGCGGCGTTCGCGTTGTCATTACCGGCAGCGACGGCGAGGAACACGCCAGCGTTGACAAGAGCAGCCGCAGCACTGTTAACAGCAGTAGATTTGCTGCCGCCGAGGGACATGTTGGCAACAGCACCACTAGGGCATGAGCGTGTCTTGGAATCGGTAGCGACAAAGTTGATTCCGGCAATGACGCCCGAGTTAGTGCCCGAGCCGTTAGCGTCAAGGACCTTGACGGCGTAGAGCTTAGTCTTCTTGGCGACACCATACGTAGCACCGCCGATAGTGCCGGCTACATGGGTGCCATGTCCGTTCCCATCGGTATTGCTGCTGTCAGCGTAGTTGGCGAGGAACGTGGCACGACCCTCAAATTGCTATGTCCCATTTGTTAGCCGCGGTCCTCGCGCTATCGTTGCTGTAGGCCACTCTGAAAGGAGAGAACACACCGAGTGAGACGTGTAGATACCAGTATCGATGACATAAGCGCATGTACCCTCACCAGCGGAGCTGTCGTAAGTGTAGGTCGTCTTGCCGGCAGTCTTCTGGGAGAGACGGGCCAGACCCCAAGGAGCGCTAGTCTGGGAGGTGTAGGCGTTGATGGTCACAATCGCATCTTGCTCAATGTAGTCAACCTATATGTAGATGGAAGTTAGCCCATGACCCAATCCACAGAATATGGTATACCGCGCGCATGAAAGCCTACCGTCGGATCATCCTGAAGGGTGGCAAGGGTCTCGTCGTCGAGCTCAGCGGCGAAGCCCTTGAAGCCTTCGGCGTTATAGACATGCTCAGGGTCGACGGTGAGAGCGCCAAGGCTGCTCTGAATGGTAAACTCCCCATCATCCTCTTTCAAGACGACAATGTACTTGTTAGGGATTGCCTCGCCGTCACGGGGACGGAGGACAGGCGCAGGCTGCTCCCTTCGGCGGAGGGTGGAGGGCCTTGCAAACGCGAGGGGAAGTGCAACGAGGAAGAGAGAGAGCTTCATCTTGGATAAATCGTGAATTTTTCAAATAACGGACTCAAGAGTTTTAGATCAAAGTAGGAGCTAGGACCAGTTGGCTTCGAACTACAGTTGAGGCAGAGAGGCTTGATCTAAAAGGTAAGTACGGATTATAAGGGAGAACTACTCATTATTTATACCTCAAATCCTATCATGATTTACGTCGTTATCACCTTTGTCAGAGGAGGGGATGGCGACTTATCGGCGTGGACTTCCCCTCAGGGAAGTTGGGTACGGCCTTATGGTGACCCTTCGGTGAGCGCTTATTTTGCCGCGCGCCCGGAGCAAACGAGCCATCTAGCTGACGTTGTATGTCCATGAGTCTTCCCGGTCCACTAGGGAAGGTCGAGAGAGAACTTCCAGATCAGGCGTGCCCCGAATCCCGTGCATAGCGAACTGGATTGCGAATCAGGCTCACGATGCGTTGGATGAGATGAGGCTAGTGACTTCCCAGGTGCTGTGTCTGAGGGGCAAGGAGGAAGACAACTTCGCCGACGATCAGTGTCACATCGAGATTCCCGCTTTCGTTAGGAGGTATTGGCGCGACCACGTACTACCATTTTTGCACCATGCACCGAAGATCACTGGCGGAAGCAACCCAACTTCTACGCTGTGATCGCGCCAGCCACAGATGGCTATGGGTGAGGTTGTGAGAGATGAGGGAGTGGGAAGAGGGGAGAGGATCCGTGACGACCAAAAAGAACCACCGCCGAGCAAAAGGACAAACCAGCAGACCACCATCCGCAGCATGGCGGGGTGATGGCACGCTACTCTGCTTTGGCACGAGTTGGTATTGACTTTCTTGACCAAGTGCACGCGCACTGAATGTGTTATCTACAAAGGTTCTGTCCTGTCCTATCTCGTCATGCCATCTCGAAAAAGAAGGTATAAATGGCAGCACTTGAATCTTGGAGAAAGTTCCCATGCCCTGCGTGATCCGCCTTCCGTTTTTGGACTCAAAGCCAGGCGCAACGCAGACATGTGTAAGAAACCCTGGTCACGGCCAAACTCTGACTGGTGCAACCAAGTTTTCTGCATGCCTCATTCCGGCAGTGCATCCCGACGCCCCCGCTCGGCCCCGCCAATTTTGTGTGGATGGGAAAGGCCCGGTAAAGTGGGGGTCGAGATTTGTGAGAGGTGTGGCTTGAAGTAGCTTGGCGGCCAAGATGGCACGTGAACTACAAGACACTACTTCCGCTGTGGCGTCAAGAACTTTTGACGTCTCACTGTTGAGAGATGTGCCCTTTCCCCCACCTTATGGCCACCTCAACTCGCGACGATGCACCTGAGTCTAAGATGAGATATATGACACGGACATAGATTTATAACCCTTTCTTAGACTTTGCTACTTGGTTCCCACTCTAGGATCTTCAGTAACTATGCGAAGCGTAGAAGGCCTCCCCTGCATTGATACTCCTCAAATCAAGCTCTTAGGCCACACGCCCATCCATCAGGCCGAGATTGACAGTGCCAGAAACCAGACAATCTATCGCATGACAAACTATAAAAACCGAGGCACGATATAGCCAATATACAGCACACCTTCCAGGTGTCTCGTTGAAGTAGAACGATTATTATTAACTATATATAAGGATATCGTGTGAGGGAGATCTAGTGAAGAGCTATCTCTAGAGGCTAGAAAATAACAAGTAAGTGAGAGAATTGAAATCAACAGTAGTTATATAGCTGGGATGCACCTATCTTCATACTCTCTGATGAGATTACGTCGATCTACGTAGAGTGCTGTTTCTTTTAAAAATAAAAGGAATAGAGGGACAAGTATTAAAGATCATCTAGATCAAACAAGATAGTGCTAGGCTATAATTCTTAGTCTAGATAGTTTTTAGGGGGCATGTTTCTTTACTTTGCGGAGTAGTAACCTATTTATCATGTTTTATTCCCTCTGCCTAATGGGGCGCCTGGTTAACACACCGAGGCCCCCTCTCAGTTTCGCATAGCACCCTATGAGACTCTAATTAGCAAGTTTGAACTGTTTAAAGAGGAAAATATTCTATAAGCATAACCTACTATATCTAACGCTATATGTTTAAAAGGTGGGCAGGATATGCGAACTTGAAGACTTAAGTGGGATCTATAGTTCGATAATAATAGATGCTGAGCTCACTTACCTCTATTATAGATCGGAATCAAGACCAACTTCTAGTGGCGTTTTAAATCTGTCTATCTTAATCAGGGTCGGGTTTTAGAATATATATTATAGAGGTCGTGAAGCGACTTAAAACCCGCACTATTAAATGTAATTATCAGGCCTTTTCAGACGGATAACGAGTAGCTTATGAGATTATACCGTAATATCTTCTTCGGTAACCTAGATCGACAGTTCCTCTTCGAGAGAACTCGTAGTAGGAAGTGTTAGAGATTTAAACCCAGATACCACGTACCCCTTATATTGAAGATATGTAGTCATGTGTGGGTTCCAGCGGGTGGCGGTAGATTACATCAGGACTAGGCTCCATGGCCCCTTTCAGATTTCTGTGAACAAGGCCAAGTCTTGGAGAAATAATAGGGATCGCACATTCATGTTTGTCCCGGGCACTGAGCTCCGCCATTTTAGAGAACGTGTACGGTGTCGTCGCATGAGGAGTTCACCTCTCGCTCACCAAGATCAGACGCCATGAAATGAAGAGGTTTATTGACGTCCCCAACAATATCGTTAGGCTCTATTTGAACCAGCATCTCACGATCTGCATTCTGCTTCATTTTGGGATATGCGCATATAGGAATGCGTCCTAAATTAGCAAAAGCCCAAGTTTCCAGGCCATAGATTCATGGACAAGATTTCATTGTTGTCATGATAGACCTACTGACGGATGTTTAGTAGTGGGAGCTGTCGGCCATTCGCGTGAGATGGGAAGAACCCACGCGTTAGCTTGAATCGCCAGCAAAGCTGATCAGCATTCGACTCCTATGTCCTCACCCTTTGCTATGGGGAAAGCCGCAGCATATCCCAAAAATAACAAGTTTAGGATTTCATCCGACATTAGACCTATTTCCGTACTGGGCAACTCACTTACCTCTTGAGTCACTGTCTCATCATCCGCGACGAAATTTGATAAAAGTCTACCCCCGAGCAAAGAACAGCAGGACCGGGAGAAGCTAGCTACCATACGCTTAGGTTTTTGAGGGTGTGTAACTTGGGCATGACAGGGCAAGAGTTGGTCCCTTTGATGAGCATTGAATAAGGGAGAGATCGGAGCTGGTTGTGCTGCGTCTGGGACATCAGTGTAATCCGACTCGGCATATTTGGTTCCCTCTTAGCAGACAGCGGCTTACGCTACTCCTACTTCGACGATGACGCAAGTGTATAAATTCCTTACAACCTTAATGATCCGCGCGCAATCTAGAATTGCATGGTTGACTTCGTTTTATACATCGACTATTTAGAGAACGCGGCCCAATAACTCACACAACTTGTAACAGCGAGTGGTCAAGAGGAGCCGCGGTCTGATAAACTAATATCAGGAACCATAGAACAGGGAATACAAGTCGAGAGTACGAGGTAAGAGACCAAGCAAGCCACCAAAAGCAGAGCGTCGCTGTTCTGTAATATAGTAGCTATCAATTTAGAAGGAGGACGTAACTCGGGGCACTACACTTTGAAGTAAGAGCTTCTGAGAACAACATGGTCGTATTATATTATTCCGTGTGTTTACTTACGACGCTGCTATCTCGAGACTAGAACATGAACGCAGCAGTGGCGTATGTAAGACGCACTAGATGGGACATGAGGTGATGCGGTGTAAGCTGCGCAGCCTAAACCAGGCGGTCATCATTTATTCATGTTAAAGGACCCTTTATACGTGTTATACATACGGCGTAGCATTTACTTCGAGGATATGTAGGTTATGTGAAGATTCTGATGGAAAGTATCACGGTCTAGCCTGTAAGCAAGCGGTTGTCTTGCCAAGCGGCTACGTCAGCTCCCGTCAAGCTCGCTACTTCTCGATGGTGACACGACCTGACCGCTGGCTCACACGTGTGGTAGTGACGGACCAGTCCCGGGGTTAGAGGCGTCGTGGCTAGGCGAGCTGCGCCGTTGATCCCCCTGGATAGTACAGTATAGCATGACTCTTAGCTTGATTGGCGTATGCGGTGAAAGGATCAGCAAAGCAAACCAGCCTCGTCTAAAACATATACGTCAGACGGAGCGATATTGACCCTCGTTATATTAGGACAGGGCGCTCAAGTGAAGGAGGGCTAAGTGCCGCCGAGCGCCGCGACTATAAAAATGAATTACCCCGTCATTAACTCTCTCCACGACAACTTTTAAGTAGGGTAAACCTATACACCCAGGATTCTCAGAAACGTTCTCTTATAACAGCACTTGAGGTTAATTGAAGCCAATATCCTGCCCCTCCAACGTATCTATACTAATCTAACTCGTATCAGAAAGCGGCTCACTATGTATTTCCCTGCAATTTCATTTTTAATTGTTTTCGCCTTCGGGGCTACTCAACCCAGCCTCAGAGAATTCGGCAAACTTCTTGCCCCAGTTACAGCCAGAGGTGTCCATCGAGAGACGCCTGCAAACCCTCTCCTCATGAAGCGCGATATAGGAGTCTAGCATTTGGAAATGGGAAACTGAAAATTCGTGGCGTCCGCGCTAATGCTTCTATATAGTTGTGAACAATGTCTGACAGGTTTATATCCTCAAGTGCTATAAGTATCCTCGACTCTTTCTTATGTTAATGAGTGAGGTAGCTAATTATTAAACTGCTTATCGTAATCTATCAATGTGAACCGATATTTGACGTCGTTCTTATGCACACGTTCCACTAAATGCAAAAGTTAGTTTCACCCTCTAGAACCGAGGAGCACTGCCACTTACAAGCCTTGCCACAGCCCTCTTCACTGACGGGAATCGTCTCGACCCAGCTTTTGATTCCCTTTTCTACTGCCAGCCTTAGCATATCTAATGTCTCCTCCCTACTACCCAGGTGGCTACTTCCAATGAAGCAGCCATTTCCGAGCAAGCTCTGGGGCTTCACCTTCCAACCTTCCCCTTCCGGAAGCCCAACAGCAACGAATTTGCCGTGCACGCGGAGAAGGGAGAGATATGGACTGAGATCGAAGCCTTCGTCGCCGCTGGCGGTAGAGAGAATCACATCGAAGGTCATCTGGTGGGGCTTGTTCCAATCGTCAACGCGGGTTTCAAGGAAGCCATCAGCGCCCATGGCAAGCGCGTCTGCCTTCTTGCCGTCCGTGCGGGAGATAGCCCAGGTCTCAGCGCCGAGTGCCTTGCTAAAGAGAATACCGAAATGACCAATCCCGCCACTAGACACAATAAATAGCTTATTAGCTTGTGGGCAAGGTTGAATGGTGGAAGGGCCCGACACTTACATTCCTACAATGCCTACCTTCCTTCCAGGGCCGACACCATTGCGAACGAGAGGAGAGTACGCCGTTAGACCAGCACAGAGCATGGGCGCCGCGAGTTCTGTGTCGAGGCCATCTGGAATTGAAAGGTAAAATGCTCGTGTGCGCGAATATGAGAGGAGTAGCCGCCCTGGGAGAGGGTGCCATCGGGGTACGTCGCGCCATATGTGTCGAGCTGGTGCTTGCAGTAGGTTTCATTACCCTCCTTGCAAATAGCGCAGTCGAGGCAGGCATAGATCTGAGCGCCAACCCCAACACGGTCTCCGACCTTGACCGTGGTGACTTTCGGCCCGACGCGAACAGCCTCGCCGATTATTTCTAGTTTGGCATCCCCGTTAGCAGACAACGCGATAATTTTTATATTCCCGCAATCTTACCATGGCCAGGTACGATAGGCCAATTCTTATTACCCCATCCTCCAGTAACCGTATGAACATCTGAGCCGCACACTCCGCAGGCGGTGATTTTGACGTCGATATCATAGTCGCTAAAGGGCTTCGGTTTGAACTAGATTCAATGTCAGAACGACACGGCCACAATATACTTTCCCGGGGACTCGGATAAATACTTGCCTCAAATCTCTTAGGTTGATTCCACTTATCAGCCGAATGGACAGCGAAGCCTTCAAAGGTGTCCGGATACATCGTGTAAATAAAGGTCTGAGTACGCTCGACTTTGGGAAACCAAGACTACCGGGATGCTTTGGTTAAAGCTCGACCTTATACGACCGCGGGTTTCTACTCGAGGAGGGGCAGCAGCGGCCGACTAATAGTAACAAGAAATTTCCCCGAAACATCTAAAGCTCTGTTCAAGCTCCCCTCATGAGGGGCAACGTGGATAGACCTAGCGGGCCGCCTACCCCCGTGGTGAGACGCTAGGCTTTGCTCGCATTTCGTAAATGAAAGCAGGCAGGTGATGCGGTATGAAGAGGTCAAGTAATAGATCCGTACACATTACAGCCATGGTTAATAGGGCTCACTTCATGGACTAGAGGTACGCTAGGTCGCTAGGTCTGTTTCGCAAACTAGCTATACAGGGAAACTCTAAGAAAAGGGGAAAAACTCAGCATGATCGCTTTCCCCTCAATCATTAGCAAGCGAGTTAGTTATCATTACGGATTATAGAACTCATAATCTAGTATGCTCCGGTAGGACTACTCCACCCCCTCCTCCCCATGCCATGTCCCCCAATTCCGCTTATGCCGCTAATAGCTACTGAGTGCCGGTCAGTCGCACTAGAGCTTGCTAACGAAATATTGAAATCGGATGTTAGTATAGTGCCGACTATCCCCGTAAGCCCTTAGTTTGTCCTTTCCACCACTGCAGCCACTTCCCCGTCGGCAGTTCCACCCCATACATAAGGAAGAATATCTAAAGCATGATAGGGACTCGCTTCAACTTGCATTAATTTGTTTCTGCTTTGCGACGAAGACTTGCAGCAGTGCTAATGAAGGTAGTAGAGGTTTACCTGATGTCGGGTGTGTTTGTTCCTGGAAAAATGGGGAACAAACCCGAATTCATCGGCCATTTTCGGTGATAAATCACGAGCAGTGACCATAGCACGGTTAACAAGCCCCGGTCGCGATATTGCTGTGAGAAGTGCTTATCTACCTAAGTTTTCCTTTCATCCCTCCCTCTTTTTACGATGTACAATGTCTACATGTAGATGATGTATTCGCCGGGGCGGGAGCAATAGCCTCGCGGTGTAGTATTAAGCTCTCTACCTACGTGGGTCACTATTTCATCGGACCCTTAATCTTATCATTTGTTTCCATCGCTAAGGTCTGCGAGATTAGATCAGTCACAGTATCTTGGAATGTGTGAAGCTCAAGACCGAGTTCCTCGGCTACTGTCTCCCCATCAAGACCATACGACTCATCAATCACCTGGCTATCAGCCTCCACTTTTCCCTTTAAGCTTTCGAAACGGTCTAACATAATTTGTGCGGCTTTTGCGTATGAGAACCTCTCAGGTGATGCAGGGACATACCTCCTTCCACCAGCCTCAGGCCTGATCAAAGCTTCAACGTGGGCCTTCGCCAAATCTCTAACGTCAATCCAAAACGGAACACGAGAGACCGGCAGGGGCTTGTTTCCCTTGGCGATGCTCCAAAGAGTAGCACTGGACTCGTTCAGCTCATCAACGCTGTTTATTGGGTGCACAATGGGACCGAAAGTCATAGGTGGACAAAGTGTGACAAGGTCAAAAAAGGCTTTTTTCCTTAACAAAGGTCCAAGCTTCGAGCTCAGCAAACTTCTTCGAACCTCGATATGCGATAAAGGCAGGGGCGGAGTTGTCAATAGACTCCTCATAGGTTATAGGATTCCAGTCATCGCCGGTGTAAGTGAAAAAGGGTGGCGCGTTGCGGCTAGCATTTAGCACGGATGCAAACGAAGATGTGATGACGATGCGCCTGATATCCGGATGAGCTGCGGCGGCCTCAAGAAGCGCTCGCACACCACGAATGGCCGGGAGAACCAGTTCTTTTTCGTTATCAGTAGCAGCATAGTTTAGCGGCTATACGACACGGGGGATGTTAATACATTGGCGCCCTCTTAAAACCCAAATGGGAAGCTGGCAACTCGCAACGGGCACGTACGCTCGCAGTATGTATTATAGCCCCAACACCCTCGACTGCCTTCGTGAAATCCGCAGACCTCTCAAAGTCGGCGATTTGTACAAATTCGAGTTGACTTTTATACTTGGGCCTTGTATCGATCATAGCCTCACCTTTGGCTAGCGACCGCGTGGTACCTCTGACTTTCATCCCGCGGGAGAGGAGATTGTCGACAATATGGGCGCCGATAAAACCGGTAGCACCGGTAACAAGGATAGGTTTGCTATTAAGATTTAGTATTCGTCTCTATATGGAACCCCTTATACAGGTTATATTAGGCAGACCAAGTGCTTGGTGAATGAATGTTACATACGACGCGGTCATCATATAATTTCGATTCCGAGAAAAAGGACAAGTGAATAAAGGAAGAATTCCTTTTGAATTGTAAAGCTGTGGTCTCACTGGTGCCGTAGTCTCAGTTTATTCGAAGAAAGAACTGGGCTGATTCTATAGATGCTGCAGGTGCTGCGTGATATCATATTCTAGTAGCTGAAGGCTCGCTTTAGATGTGGCGCAAATATAACAATTGATCAAAATGAACTGTCGAACTTATAGTGGGCAAGACGGCATGACTCCTGCGCAGGAATACGGGACAGGTCCATTCGGAGGTTAGTGGCTAACTACGGTGGGCCCGAGTTGCATCTCGCACTTGAGTTGGAGAGACTACTCCACACCATGGACCAAGTTCAAGGATTTCTCCTCTCGGTCAGCCGAGAACCCACACCGTGCCCGACAGGTTTCTCTTTCGCGGATGGTAGGCACGCGGGTGCCCTTGCCGTATACCCCGCAACCCCTGCTAGTTCTGAGACCTTGCATGACATGGAGTGTGCTCACGCTTCCAGATCCCGGTAGGCGTGATCCTTCGGTGCGAGGATTTGTCGCTGTTGACCATGAACTAGTAATCATACAAAAACTAGTTTCTTGACGTCGTTTTGCTCCATACTGGCTAGATCTTGAGGGGTCGCCGGCGAAGTGTACACGCGGGGTAGCGCTATCCACTTTCACGCGTTCTTAATTTCCATCCCCGTGGTCATGGTGCTCTGCACATTCATCCCTCACCTCATCCTCCCACACCCACCATAATTGTTCATCCCCCACCCCGGCCTTTAGATTACGCCCCCGCAAATGAACCCCGTGGGGACTCATTCCCCATTCGCCAGAGAGGGCACACATTCGGTTTAGGAAAGGACTCACCCCGTCAGCTACCCTGAGCCCGTTCCTCCAGATATTGGTATTCGTGGTGAGGCATTGAGAATTGCTTACGACTAGCAAGACATCGCGTGAGGATTGACACGTTCCTCGATGTATATATGCATATATATATATGCCATCAAAGCTCTATCACTCCCGTTTCTGTTCTCTATCGCGACAGAATAGATCGTCAACCCTATTTCCAGCTTCCCGATCATCCATCTCTACACGCTGCATTTCCACCTCAGAATACCAGAAATACAGTACACAAGGTCTTCTTAGTTAGCCCCAACTGTCATCATGGTTGGGCTTAGCGAGCGCTTTAGCGGCACGGTATTAATCGTGCTCATCACTATTGTCAATGCTAGTAAGTTCCGACTTCCTGGTTTCGGCGAGCGTTATGTGCCGGACTCTACCTAACGTACTATATGCCACAGCCTCCATGTCATGGTTTGGCTACGATCAGGGTGTCTTTTCCGGCGTCCTCATTTCCAAGGATTTCAAGAAATGGTTCCCGGAGACGAATGAAGCCAACATTTCTGGCATCACGTCTAGCTGCTTTGCCGTAAGTAGCTAATTCATGACCAAAATCAGCCTTGGCCAAGCCTAAGTCTTGCAGTGCCTTTTTACTAACGTAATATCTTTGGTTAGCTCGGTGCCTTCTTCGGCGCCATTTTCGCGTTCACTCTAGGTGATAAGCTTGGTCGCCGCAAGACCATCGCGGTCGGTCTCACAACTAATTTCATCGGCGCTGTCCTCCAGATAGTTTCATGGCACCTTCCGCAGATGATTGTCGGTCGAGTCATAAACGGATTCGGTATGGGAGTTTCATCTTCCACCTGCCCCGTATACCAAGCCGAGTGCTCCAAGCCCCGAATCCGAGGGAAACTCGTCGTCGTCGGGTCGCTCTGCAACACACTGGCTTTCTGTTTGGCCAACTGGATGAACTATGGTCTTTTCTTCCATTCTGGGCCTCTCCAATGGCGCTTTCCTCTAGGCTTCCAACTGATCTTCCCCATTATTGTCGCCACAGCCCTACTTTGCGTGCCTGAATCTCCACGTTGGCTTATGCTCAAAGATCGCCATGAGGAAGCCCGCAAGGTGATTGCCCGTCTCCACGGAAAAACACAGACCTCGATCACGAAGACGTGGCCGCAGAGTTCTTATCTATACATGGGACCATTGAACTCGAAAGAAAGGATCGCGTCCCAGTTATGGATGTACTCCGATGCCGCGACAAGACCCAGACATTCCGTCGTTTGTTACTTTCTTGCGGCACGCAGTTCATGCAGCAGTTTAGCGGTGTTAACGCTCTTGGATATTATCTTCCCACTCTCTTACAGCAAAGCGTCGGGTATGATGAGCAAACAAGCCGCCTTTTGACCGGTGTAAACGGAACTATCTACCTTGGTGCAGCCTTTTGTTGTTTGCTGCTTATTGATAATTTTGGCCGCCGGAAGTAAGTGGTTTACAGTATCCGCCGGAATTGCCATGGCACTGACTGAGAAACTAGGATGATGCTATACGGTGCCTCCACCATGGGCTCGTGCTATCTTGTTGCTGCTCTCTGTCTCAGGGCTGCCCAGAACGATAAATCTAAGGAGGCCACGGTACGTTAGATGTCACGCTGCACGATGACAACGTCACAGACTTGGGCTAACTTTAGTATAGCTCGGCCGCGTCGTCACTGCCATGTTCTTCCTCTACTACTTCTTCTACGGAACCAGCTTTGCCAAGGTCGCGTGGGTATACAACTCGGAAATTAATTCCATCGGCTGGCGAACGAGAGGTGCTGCCGCAGCCACTGCAACCAACTGGATGGGCGGCTTTATCGTGACGCAGTTCACTAAGGCGGGCGTCAATAATCTAAAGTGGGGATTCTACCTCAGTCAGTTCTTTCGCTCATAATATCATCTCTGCTAAAAGATATCAATGTCTAACATTTACATAGTCTTCGCGATCATCTGCTGGGCCTACTTCCCGGTTGTCTATTGCTTCTATCCTGAGACAACGCGCCGAACCTTGGAAGATATGGACGAAATTTTCATCCAGAACCCCTCTATATTCGTCTGCGGCAAGCCCGATCTCACGCAGCGCCAGCGACCGCAGGCATTTATCGAAGCTGAGCAGCAAAGAATTGCCGCCGCCGGTGACGAAAAGACCAATGTCCATCACGTTGAGCAAAAGGCCTAGAGCGCAAACTGGCAATGCATGGACAGTCGGGAAATAACGGAAATCGTCTTGGTCTTCAGTAGCTCGGGCTTGGACTTTTGTTTGACGTGGATACTGTGATCTCCTCTCTATTTATTCTCTGTACGATTCTATTTCAAGTGATAGGATGACCTATATAACCTTACAAAAATTCAGGCTTTAGGCTTGTTAAGTATTTATTTGTGATGGCATCTATATTGCGACCGCTCATCTTCGCTAGCCGACCGTATGAAGGAGGTCTACCTCGGTATCCCAAGACCCTCTACACCACTGGCTGGGTGGAAATCAACGATTGCACTAAGCTAAGCTCGGCAAGTGACTGTGTTAAAGAAGTGAGCAACACTGTGAAAAGGAAAAAAGTTGGAAGGAGCACCGTCCGCTTTTCAGTACATCCACTATTAAAGTCTCTTGGGCACGCCACTGGAACCGGCAGACTCTTTATACCTGCGCGATGCCCCCAGACCCACGCCACTGAACCCCTCCCCGCCTCCTCGCATCCTACATTTCCCAACTTTTCCGCCTCCCCCGACGAACGCGTGCTGTGCCGTAGGAGACCCCAGGCTGCCACTGCCTCCAATTTATCCACATCTTCGAGTAGAAAGAATTCAGGAAACCACTCAGTATGAGTTTTAATCGAAAGAGGGTCGCGTTAGCGTGTTCCTTCTGTCGTCACCGGTGAGTGATTTCACCAGCCTATTCAGCTATACTATGCTTGATCGTGATACTTCTATAGCTTAGCTGGATTCAGGCATCCCTTCAGATCACAAATATATATATTAGAGATTGAAGCTAACTATCAGCTGAAGGAAACGGCGCTGTGATGCGAGGAAGCCGAGATGCCAGAACTGCATCGAAGCAGAGGTGGAGTGCCACTACGACGACACTCCGTCGCAGAGGTGAGGCGTACTAATGACAGAGCAAGATAACCTCCTCCACTATAATCTAACCGCTACGATATAGAATCGATACATCTGGCGGGAGTCGGGAGATTCTCCACAAACTTCAACGCATCGAGTCCCTACTAGACGATCAGTCCCGGATCGTCGCCACCCTTTCGTCTGAGCTTCACCTTCGTTCCACCCAGGAAGATATTCAAGGTACCTCACCTAATAGCCAGGTATCCTCGGTACCGGCTATCGGTAGCCGCTTCAGCGTCCCCATCACAACATGGCCAGCAAACATTTACGAGGCCCAATCTGACGTATCCATTTTACCGCCGCTTGATATACCCGTCAAGCATAAGACCTCCTCTAGCTACCTCCTCACCCTCCCCTCTATGAAGGCTTTGATAGGCGAATACCCCACTGACCTCTTCTTCCTCCTCGAATCTAAAAATCCGCTCCCTTCCCAATTATCCTTTGAGACCATCCCCCACCAGCCCCATCTATTCACGTTGATCGTGAGACAGCTGATTACCTGATTGACAGCTTCTTCGCTATCGCCCATGCAAACCACCCTGTCCTCGACGAGGAGTCCTTCCGTAGGACCTATCAACTGTTTCTAGAACGAGGTGTTGACTCAAGTGTTGAGTCCGCGATGTGCCTCGCCGTATTGGCTGTGGGTGCTGTGGCAATCGCTTCACCCGAGACAAGGGACTTTACTACCTCTCCACCAGGCATGGAGTATATGCAGCACGCGATGCCGACCTTGATCACTCTCAGCTCGTGGTCAGTTTCATATAGTGTACCTTTAGCGCAGACGTTGGTACTAGCGAGTATTTACTTCGCATATATTGTGAGGCCGCTACAAAGCTGGAGGCTTATACACTCCGCCTGCACGTTTTTACAGTTCAAGCTTTCAGGGTTGGTGACAGAATATACGTGTGGATATAAGTAGTCCTAACACGTTATAGATTTGATTCGAGGAGTGAAGGTGCGGAGTCTCGTGAGAGTACACTCCGCCTCGTCTGGTCCTCTTTCCTCGTCGAATGCGACCGCCTTGCTGAACTAGAACTTCCCCGTAGCGGTCTCCAGCAACTGATTGACCAAACACCCCTGCCATCTTGCAGCAATCTCGGCGACATGATTCACACCTGTTTCCTTGCTGAGACTTCGATCCGTCGTCTCCTCAACCGCATTCACAACTCTCTTTACCCTAGCCGAAAAACATACGCCTTGACCTTATCGTCTACCTCCCTAATGGCACCGGAAGAATTTTCCACAGAAGAAATATCGTCAATGATGGGTATATGTGATGAATTGCAGAGCCAGCTAGACCTGTGGTACACCTCGATACCGGAGCCGCACAGGCCATCATTAGTGGTGGGGCCAGCGGCAAATGATAGAGAGGCTGTTTTACGGATAAGGTATTTTGCGGCACGACATATCATATACCGGCCATTTGTTTTGAATATCACAATGAATCCGGGATCACATCCGCAGTCAATCATAGAAAAGGCAGGGCTCGGTATAGAAAGTTGTCGGCTCTATCTCCGGAGCGCAACTAATATCCTCCGCAAGCCAAGTCCATATACCTGGACTTTCTCGCTATCGTAAGTTGTAGCTTTAGGATGTATATTTACAATCTAAGCTAACATTATATTATAGGTCTCTCGGTGCCGTCATCGTCCTTACTCTCTCGTCGCTTAGCCCGACACTTAAACATCTAGTGCCTGATATCGATGAGCTTCAGACCCTCGCTATACATAACATTCGTCCATGGGGCATCTCTAGTCTCGGCACAGTCGTTACAATTCTTGAAGATATACAAAGAAAGCAAAGGATCCTGTCATGTATCTAATTCTTTCGATGGAATCATGAAATGATATACACTATATTCGAGAGCTTCTAGAAGCTAGGCTCAACGTATAGCCATAGCTATATAAACAGTAAGGTTCCCTCCAGTAAGAATTCTACTTATAACTCCCCGCCGGTAGGCTGGTTTGCGAAGTTTAAGGCCTACATGAGAAGTCCAAAAGCTTCCCATAGGATAGATATACTTCTCCAATGCCTCATCTGTGTATCCCGTGGAGTAACCGGGGGCTAATGGCGTCTCGTAGTGCGCATTGACGATCCGGCTAGGATGGCGAAGGTTCTCACGGAAGCTATCAGCGTACTCAAGCATAGACTTGCGGCCGGTAACGGTGACGTAGTCAATGAGGCTCAAGTGCGAGGTCAGCTCGGTGAGCCCCATGGCGCCATTGTGGGGAACACAAGGAACGTCGAACTTGGAAGCCATGAGCATCACGGCCTTAGAGGCGTAGTTAGTACATGTTGTTGATGGAAAATGACAGCGGAGGTGAGGGCAGTCCTTACTAAACACTCGTTAACGCTGCCGAGTCTGACAGCATCGATTTGGCATACATCAATGGCTTCGGCTTGAAGTAGCTGTTTGAAAGTGACCCGATTTTGGGCAGCTTCTCCAGTGGCGACGCCAACACCGTAAGGTTTAAGGGCCTTACGGATCGCGGCATGACCGAGGACATCATCAGGGTTAGTCGGCTCTATTCATATAGTAAGTAGTGTCAGCTGCTGTGGCCATAAGAAAATGTAGATATAGGAGGAGCGTCGTTGCTTCTGGCGCCTAGTAACCCACCTTCGATGAAAACAGGCTTGAATTCGACAAGCTGCTTCATGTAGTCAATAGCTTCAGGAACACTCCAAACTTGGTTAGCGTCAATCATCAACTGGAAGCCCTGATCATATCCGATCACGGATCGCACGGCCGCCAACTTGGCTCTATCTGCCTCCACTCCGGATCCAACCTTGAACTTGAACACCTTGTATCCCATTTTAATTTCTTCATCTAACACCTCCCTCATCCTATCTCCTGAAAGGGCCATCCAACCAGGAGAGGTTGAGTATGCAGGCACTGCCACGTTCTCAAACGCCTCCTTTAGCCTCGCTTCCTTGCCGTCTTGCGCTTTCTTTAGCATCTGGACGGCCTCTTCAGGGGTGATAACATCGGTGATGTATCGGAAGTCGATGCATTGCACAACCTCTTCGGGTGTCATATCGCAGACGATCTGCCAAACGGGCTTCCGTAGGATCTTACCCCAAAGATCCCACACGCCATTCATGACGCCGGCCATAGCGAGGTGCGTGACGCTCTTCTCAGGACCAACCCAGCGATACTGAGAGTCGGAAACCATATATCGCCAGGTCTTGCCCATATTACGAGTAAGCTCATGCATCGTCTTTCCGACGACCCGTTTTGCGAACGTCTCTAGGCACATGCAGATAAGTTCACTACCGCGGCCGTTACTAAAGGCCTGTTTCAGAATGGTATGCTTTAGTATGCGATTCAGTATAATGGGAAGGTGTTATTCGCAGACGTACAATTCCCTCTCCTACAAGTCCAGGCTGATTTGTTATAAGTTGAACATATGGTTGGGAGCCATTGGTGCCCACGTGCATCGCATCGGAGCCCACCCCATTTAAGCTTGTGGGAAATCGAAGGTCGATGATCTTGAAGTCAACGATCTTGACTTCTTCGACTGTGGGACCGGACACCGTCATTGTGAAAATATTGGTGAAGATATAAATGAAACAACGAGGAACGAGGCGGAGGTCAATCGATAGAGCTTTTCGGCGTCGCGGGCCACAGCTTGGAAAAATAATGACGGGGGCGGTACCTTTAAAGACGCAACCTAGCTCTCCAAAAGTCGATGGGAATCAAACCTCCTCTTCTTCGAGTGGGGAAGGGCCGCGTTCCGTTCCTAGAGCCCCAAAGGCCATCTCGGGGAAATGGCCGATGATAGAAAGCAGAGGCGATTCCCCACGAATATTGGGGCTTGGATAAACAACTAAGAGAACGGGGTAAGCTAACATTCCCTTTTTCCCTTGCTGTGGAATGTGGCGGTGGGGTAGAGGGGTCCGCCTCTCACCCCACTCGCTCCTTCCCACCTCCCCGTAACGAGGCCAGGAGAGGGGAGCGTTGTGGCTTCCCGCTAAGTAATTGTGGGGGCGACAAGAAAATGCCTACATAGGGAAAGCCGGGTACATGTGTGAGTGGGGAAGCCTGGGCGGAGATGCTGCCGCTTACCCCTCCCTAGCTCCCCAGTTTGACCCGTAGGCGGTGCTTCCCGCGGCACCCAGCATGTGGTGGAATCAATACCTCATTCGGGTCTAAGGTCAAACCTCATGGCGCGTGTGTATGCTCTGCGCATGACCCCGGGGAAGCGCGGGGACCCTGGGCCGCGTCCTTCATGTGAAAATGCGATTTACGAGACGTCAAACTCTATCGTTCTTTCTCGAAGCACCGTGTCTTCCTCAAATACCCATAGCTCTAGACCCTACTCTCAAAGGGCATTGTCCTTTTTCCCGTTTCATTCACAACAATTCAGCTAATCCCATGGTCTTCGAAATCTATAGCTGCTGTCTTCTAGGCATATAACCCTAATCTAGACGGTTCATCTCTGCCTTGCTATAATACGTGCTTAGCAGGCCGCCCACCATGACTCGCCAGCTTCAACCAGGAATTTACGCTCCAACCCAGGTCTTCTACCACGAATCAACCCAAGACCTAGACATTTCTACTATCGAGAAACATGCCGTCCGGCTCGCCCGTGCTGGGATCTCCGGCATAGTCACTAACGGCTCTAATGGCGAGGCCGTCTACCTCACTACACAGGAGCGCCTTCAAGTCACCCGGATCACACGCAACGCCCTTGATATAGCCGGGTTCGCGAATGTGAGCCTTCTAGTTGGTACCTCAAATGAATCCGTCATAGGGACGCTGGAGTTATGCCAGGATGCTGCGGAGGCGGGGAGATGCAGTATTGGTAATGGTTCCGTCGTTTTTCAAATGGGCGATGGACGCAGCTACCATTATACGATATTTCACGCAGGTTGCTGACAGAAGCCCTCTGCCGCTTGTTATCTACAATTACCCTGCAGCCGTGTCGGGAATCGATATCGATTCGGACACTTTGATCAAGCTAGCAGAGCACCCGAATATTGTGGGGACTAAGTTCACGTGTGGGAACGTCGGGAAACTCGCACGGGTCGCTAGCGCAACGAAGTCCGTATCGGAGCTTTTCACGCGCAGAGATGCCGAATCTATATCGCCGTACTTTTCTTTCGCTGGCATTGCCGATTTTATATCACCGTCCGTCGGGGTTGGGGCAAGCGGAGCTATTGTTGGGGCCGCCAATGTCTTTCCCCGCGCCTGCGTTAACGTTTATAACCTTGCGGTGGCGGGAAGGCTTGAAGAGGCAATGGAAGCGCAACAAGAACTAGCTAAAGCGGATTGGTGCCTGACAAAGAGAGCGATTCCAGGTTTCAAGGCAATATTAAACCAATTTCAGGGATACGGCGGCAGGCCTAGAGAGCCGATGCAAAGCCTTAGCGAGGGGATGCTCACTTGCTGTATGCAGAGATTGCATGGATGGCGGCTATAGAGGAAAGCCTTCCGGATGTATAGTGGCAAGTGTGTAAATGTAAGAGTCAATAGAGACAGCCTTCGCTTCAATATAGTCTTGGATTTACTTGGTCTCAAGTATATTAGTTTTTTTTTATCGCGTCAGCAAACGTAATCCTTAGCTCCTATTATGACTACCATTCCGCTAGTCCTTCCTCTTCTAGTGCTTTACGAATCTGTTCTGCGAGCTTAATACCTGTTTTGGTCAATTTGCCATGTAAACGGAGCATCCAGATCTTCGAGGCTGTAATGACTACCGCCAAACTCCAACGTTCTCCGAGTGAGCCTGTTAAACCATCCCCTTTAAACTCGAGTTTAAACAACAGCTTTGTTGAAGAAAATGCCCGCGTCCATGTCACTTCAGCTAGGATGTCCCGGTCGTCATCTCGCGTTAATGAAGCACCCCTGTTGACTTGGTCCTGTTTTCGATAGATGCGTGGTATAGTCTGAATCCGCTCGGCCTAACAATGCCCTTTGCTCGACATTTTCTCCATTCAAAAATTTCCCTGTGGCCATTTTCCCCAGCCTCAACAGAGAATCGAAGCGTAATGTTCTTACTAGGACTTAAGTGCGGGAGCATCCGGGATTCTACTAGGTCTCTGTGTATCGAGCCGCCAGCTTGATTAGGGAGCTTCGGTAGCAAGATGATGCTTTGTGTATCAAAGTCCATGAAGCTAAGTGAATTGATAGACTGGTGACAGGCTGCTGCAATCACAGGTGCCTGTAGGGTGGTCCCATTGCGTAAGATCAACCCTGGTCGATCATCGATGACCCCGCCAGACTTGAAGCCTAAGTTGAGTTCGACTATATATAAAATGTCATTTTCGTCTTTGCCGCAGAGCTTAAATGTTTTGAAAGCGTCTCGGTTTGCTTCCCATTTACTGATAGCTTGGATAAACGCCGGAAATGGGTACTGAAGAGAGGAAGCGATTTCGCTACTTGCTAGGTGCTTGTTGGTCAGGTCATCTTGCGTGGTTAAGGGTTCCTCCCCGATAGAACGGTCGAGGTTCCTTTCATGGCCGGAGTAGCTAGGACGTGATTCAGATTCACTAACCATTGTCGTAGTAATGCTTTTCCCCTCGAAATAGGTAGCTATATACCTCGGTAGAGGATAAAAGATTGGAAGATGTAAGATGTGCTGTCTTGGATCCTGCGACGCAATCCCGGTGATATAAGTATTTGGTCTATAAGACCCTTGTATTCTTAGTTGCCCGTCTTAGCCGTTGCCGTGGCTTCCTTCCCCTTGAGACGGATGCGACTCTGACATGTTGAATATGCGACTGCGGAAGAAAGAGGCCTCCCTCCCTTTCCTTCGGGTCATTAAGTTTTCCGATTAGAGGTCACGTGCGCAGCATAACTTGTCGTGAGTGGAACAAACATGGAAGAGGAGACAGGCGCGATGAACGGCCTAGACTTGAGTGAACCTGACATCAATGAGTCCGAGATCCCCGGCAACAGCCCTGACGCTCTCTAGCTTAGAAGAGAGTCATTATTTAGTTACTTTAATCCCACGGCACTAATAATAGCAAATAAGCACCAAGGTATGAATTAACCCGTGTCTATCCCCTTTCTCCACTTCATCGTTCCTCGAAGTGGCACATACTCAACGCCACAACGCCTCAGCAGCGCTAGCAACATGACCCCTCTGAGTGACATCGACGAAATCTGCAAGCTATGCCACCAGTTTACCTCCGATCTGATAACATTCGGCTTCAAGGCACAGCAAGCCTACCCGGACCGCTGGGTTAAGCAGCCGAACGGGTTCTATAGTGACTGGAATGATGCCTTCCACCACTACGACACTTATGCTCAGCTTCTAGAGAGTCGCGGTGCGGGATGCTCCATGTGTAACGTGATCGCCACTGATTTTGCCAACTCAAAAGAGTCCTCGGCTCAATGCACTGGCCGCCTGTTACTATTCCCATTCACCACCGCAGGCAGGCCGGAACCCCGCACTTTTATTGCTTGCTGGGATCAGAGCCGAGGCTTCCTGGCCCGCTGGGGGCGCCAACACCATTTGTTCTTCTTTGGGCGCCGTGGCCAGTGGGACGTCGGCTTCGCAACCACGTCTCCCGAATTTCAAGCTCGGTTCTTGCGCATACATGAGCGGGACTTTATACGAGCAGTGGCTTCAAGCAGTGGGGGGCAGACGCCCTAAACACCGCGCGCTTCTGGTTGAGGGATTGTCAGGCTGCGCATCCCAAATGTACCCGAGTGGTAAGCCAGCTTCCTAGTCGAGTGATTGACGTTGGAAGCCCACCAAAACTACGCATCACAAACGGGGAAATGGGCCAGTATATAGCCTTGAGTCACTGTTGGGGGGCAATATTCCACATAAACTCATCCAAAAGTATATGGCCAGTTATTGTCACCAACTCGCAGTTGATTTGCTCCCTCAAAACTTTCAGGACGCCATTATCCTAACGCGGGAACTGGGCTTGCGCTACCTATGGATTGACGCACTCTGTATCATCCAGGACTCGGAGGACGACTGGAAGAATGAGGCCATCAAGATGGCTGAAATTTACTCTAGTGCCGTCGTTACCATCTCTACGCTCAATTCGGACCGGTCCACAACCGGCTTCTTGCGGCCGCGGGAATCTGGAGCCGCGCTTGTGAGTCCGGACTTCGCCGTGCAACCTTACCATGGCTCACTACTAGATGCGCTAGAAGCATCCACTCTCAACACTCGCGGCTGGTGCATGCAGGAGCGGCTACTAAGCCCCGCGCTCCTGCACATCGGCGATGCCCAACTATTCTGGGAATGCCGCACCGGATATGGCGCCGAGAGCGGTTCGTTTGATATCAACCACGACCGTGTTGGCGCCAGCCTCAACTACACCACGCGCGAGTTCATCCGCCTGCGCAAACGCTTTGTGCCTCATGCCTGGCAGGGTTGGCAAACGTGGTACGACCTCGTTTCAGAGTATACCCTGCGGAACCTCAGCTTTGCTTCCGACAAATTCCCCGCTCTTGCCGGCGCGGCCCGCATTTTCCAGCACGGCGCCACATTCCGTGAAGACGGGGACGATGATAAAAGGGCGCAACATACGTTGCGGGGTTGTGGGAACAAGATCTTTCTACCGGTTTGTTTTGGGGTGCCCTGTCAAAGAGGCTCCCGGCCCAAAAGGCTGCGGGCTTCTCGGAGTGTCATAATCTCTCGCGTCCTACAGAGGGGCGTGCCCCAAGCTGGAGCTGGGGTAGTGTCGACGGGCCCGTGCAATTCTATGGGAATGGCGGGAAGCCCGGTCCTGGAGAATTTTGTGTCCTTGATGTAAACGTATCACAGAAGCATGGGGAGGCGGATAGTCTAGCGCAACCCGTTATGCAGGCCAGTATTCGCTTGAGGGCCCGA